GGGACTCGTGCGCTGCATTCAATATTTCCAGATAGCCCCACAGCGGCTGTGGTGGGGCTTCCTGGTGGATAGGGTCGAGAAGACAATCCCTCAGCGAGAGCAGCCGCCGGGTGCTCCATCGAGCCAGCGCGAAAGCGGCGTCAATAAACGTCGGACTTGGCTTTTCTGGGAGGATCCCTGAGAACTCATCATAGGCCTTGACGAGACTGAATCTTCGATCGAGCTTGGCAGTTGCATCGGATGACAGGTCAGCACTTCTGTCGAATCCCGACGTGAGCGCGTTATGAAAAAACTCAAATGCCTCGACGCGAATGGGGCTTGACAGCAACGATTGAAAGACCTGATGCGTCAGGACTGCGTTCGACACATTCTTCGCGTTTACTTTGACAGAGCCGGATCCCTTTCTGACCATCGCGGCGCGAGATACCCGGTCCGGCGGAAACGGTGTGAGGCCAGTGATGCAGGGATTGGACTGAATGGAGGAGAAATACTCAACAAAGTCTCCGATCAAATCCCCAGCAGCCGCAAGTGGCGCGCAGGGTTTGAGCGTTGAGAGGGCCACCCAGATTTGGCCAATAGTTTACAGTAGATCCAATAAAAAACGGGACACCCGGGTTTTTGACCATTCATCGAATATTTTGTTACCCAATGTTATCGCGCGCTGGCCATGACCATTCGCCACACATCCGACTTTCGCACCGCCGCATTGCGATGCTACGCCCTCATCCATAGCCTGCGTAAGGTCGCCTCCATATTCAGTGTATCCAAGAGCACCATCCATCGATGGCACCGAGGATGCAAGCTGGATGACCCATCCCGGGTCCCAGCTCGCAGATCCACTTTCTTCGAGCAGGCATGTCCAGTCATTCGCACCCTGATTGAACAGGACCCGTTCCAGATTGGTCCTGTGTTGCGATGCAAGCTCGAGTCCATCCTCCAGAGGAAAGTATCACTCTCACTCTACCACACTGCCATCCACCGAGCAGGTCTCTCACACAAGAGGGCAACACACCTCTACAAGTCCAAGCGACTGGATGAGCGAGTGGCACAGTTCAGGGACCAGGTCCGCTCCATCGACCCACGACGATTCGTTTTTGTCGACGAGACAGGGATCAGACGAACCACCTTTCCGCTCTACGGATACTCACCGAGGGGTGCTCCTCTTCGCCAGCGCAATCACATGAAGCACAAGTCTGTCTCGGCTGCATTTGCCATCAACCACTCTGGTGTGCTGCATCGCATGTACATCCCCACATCATTCAAGACACACTCGATGGTCGAGTTCTTTGAGCGAGCGAGCTTCCCAGACGACTCTGTGATTGTGATGGACAATGTCAGCATGCACAAGACACGGGCTGTCCTGGACTGCATCGATCGCCGAGGATGGTCAGTGATCTTCACCCCACCTGCTTCACCCGACTTCAATCCCATCGAGAACTTCTTTGGGGTTGAGTCCCCACCGATTTGGGGTTGAGTTCCTCCAATTTGGGGTTGTCCCTCCAATCACGCCGCCATTTTCGCGTTCACATCCCTGGCTTCAACCTCTCGGCGATTTTTGAACAGGTCGCTTCCCCAACCAACCCGCAAAGACGGGCTCCTGCTCTCGGGTATAAATGCCACACCTTCGTCTCTGCTGCTTTCTTCCCTCATCTCGCCTTGATCTGATCATCGCGCTATTGTACGATAAAAAAGTCTCTGTTCTGACCAGTACCACTGGCAGGCATCCAGCATCCTCTGCCCCCATGCCTCCGAAGCATAAGGGTACCGGTGATGGCCAGCCTCGGCCACCCAGGCCCAAGAAAGCCAAGTCACAGTCGGAGCCTGTCTCTGGTTCGTATTCTGATCCCACGCATGCTTGGTCGTCTGTTGCTCCGTCGCTCACCACCACTGCTTCTGCAGATCCAATGGATGTCGATCCCACCGAGCCTGGTCCATCTACTTCCTCGAGTACCGGCAAGCGATGTCGCAAGTGCGATGGCACCGATCATCAGCGAAGCAACACCAGCAAGTGTCCCAAATACCGGCCCCTCAAGAGTTCTGTCGTCCCACTCGTGGATGGAAGGTCATCCGCCCCTCAGTTCAGCTGCTTCAAGCAGACGATGGATGGCTGTTGTCTCAATCCCGCTCTCCGCGACAAGATCCAGGCCACCGTCGAGGCCATGACCCAGATCCAGTTCGAGGCATCCAGGCTGCTCAACCTGCACATCCTCCGGTGCATCGAGCAGGATCTTCCCATCCCCGTCATCTCCAAGTCCACCCCTGCTTTCGTTCGCCAATGCTTCACGATCGTCCAGGCTGGTGCCCTCTCGCCGACCGGGGACAATGAAAAATACGACAAGCAGCTGGTCGCTTCCTTTGGCGACTACCAGACCACTCGGCACGCAGACCTGCCTCCGGCCCCTCGTCTGCCTGATGGTGCTCACAGTCAGCTTCTCACACTGGCTGTCAATGCCTATGCTACCAACTGCACCACCCACCTCGACCTGGCCTACTGGCGACTCCTTCGCCGCTTCTGCGCTGTCGTCTTCCCTGCCAACAAGCACAAGCACGACGCCATCGAGGCTTGTCTTGAGCTCTTCGAGAAACCAGGGCAGACTCCACCCAAGGCCGATCTCGAGTTCCTCTATCCAGACTTTGGCCACGTCCTGGACGAGTTTCGGTACAGCAGCGACCAGGACCGCTTCCGGGCCCTCCATCGCCTCTCACACCATGTGAGAATCCTCGCCCGAGACAAGATGGTCGACAATGTCCACAAGTGGATCGACTGTGACATGCCCGCCCTCCGAGTCACCGAGCTGCAGCGCCAGGTCAAGCTAGACGAGCTCACTACCCAAGGCATTCCCTCCGACGACAAGAGGTTCACCACGGCCAAGTCTGAGCTCGGCACCACCAAGGCCAAGATCAACAAGCTGGCCGCCAGGATCAAGTGGTGCCTCAAGCAGCTCGCTCTTGACACTCCTCCGGCCGTGTGCACGATGGTTCCTCTGTGCACTGCAAGGGCCAAGTATGTCAAGATTGACACGGTCACTCTTTGGGAACTCCTTGACACCGATCATCGTCTTGGCCTCACCAGGGACATGCTCAAGGAAGAAGGTGAGGACGGTGTCAACAACCAGGATCGTCTCTGGCGCAGTTGCTTCAAGCTGCGTAGTTCCCTCTTCCAAGAGCGGGACGTGAACAAGAAGCTGTTCAACTACGAGATCAGCACCGATGGCATTGGATGCACCATCGGTCTCGTCAAGTTTCTGCGTCGAACCGATCGCACCGAGACCATCGAGCCTCCTCCGACTGCCGAACAGCGCATCCAGACCCACATCGGCGACCCAGACCCCAACCGCACCACTTGGATTGGCATCGATCCTGGAGTCGGCTCCATCTTCACGGCGGTCATCCAAGCACCGGGCCACCAAGACGAGGTGGTCTCATTCTCCAATGGCCACTACCAGCAAATGTGTGGCCATACGTCCAACACCAAGTGGCACAATATCATGAAGTATCGCCTCGACATCGAGACCTGGATGTCGACCACTCCCTCACCCAAGGTGTCGTCCTCGGAGGCTTTCAAGGTCCATCTCACCCATGTCCTGCGACCGGAGCTGCGAGTGCAGCTCGACTTCCACCTTGGCAAGAAGGCCCGTCACCATCGATTCACGGGCCACAAGAGGCGCCAAGTGGCCGTCGACAGGATGTGCAAGGCCGTCCTGAAGCACGCCCCAATACGGACCGATGTGGTGATCGCCTTTGGCAATGCGTCATGGCGACAGGGCAAGGGCTATGCATCCAGCCCTCGGAGGCAGCGGTTTGCTCGGTACTTTGAGCAATTCGAGCACCACCGACGCCGTCCCAATCACCATCATGGAAGCGTCAAGGTGGCCTCGACGAACGAGTTCAACACCTCGCAAGTGTGCTCCAACTGCCTGAAGCCCTCTCGGCTGAGGGATCTGGAAGCGCCCAGCGTTGCGAATTCCCACTTTGTCAGGAGCTGCAAGAATCCCAGCTGCCGGACAGTGTGGAATCGCGACGTCAATGCGGCGCGCAACATGATCACAGTGTGCAGGTCGATTGTGGAGACCAGAGAGCGACCGGCGGTCTTCACTCGGAGGCTGCCAAAGTGATCTGTTTTATTTCTTGTGGCTTTGCTTGACGCAAGCACAGCACATACTACCTGTTCATGGAAACGGCTATATTGTCCCGTTTTTTTCTGAATAAAGTGTACAGTAGATCGATCAAGAAGCGGGACAGGCACTTCCTGGTTTCAGAGGCCTGTAGCCTGCCGAACTTCCATAGGCTCCAGCGGGCAAGCCATGCGATTGTTTCCCGCCCTGGTCTTGAATGCACTCGGTCGATCTCCTGTGGCGCCAATCGACTAGTATTGATGTGTCGATGTGGGAGTGTGGTGCATCCACTCGATGTGGGAGTGTGGTGCATCCACTCGATGTGTGAGTGGGTGCATCCACTCGACTCTCTGGATAGTTTCATGGTGTATCGATATCAAGATCCTCGAGCACACCTGGGATGTGTTGAACTCGTTCACCGAGCACACCTGGACGTCTCTGGTGGTATATGAATTGCTCAAAGTACTTGGCGAACCTGAGTCTTCGTGGACTGGATGCATATCCCTTCCCTTGCTTCCAGGAGGCATTCCCAAAGGCAATCACCACTTCGGTCTCCTTGAAAGCGCTCCTTGGTCATGGTGGGCGATGGATTGGGTGTGTATTCAGGCACGGAAATCAACGACCTCCCGGACTCAAAACGGGTGTCCCATTTCGCTTTGGCAACGCTGTACACTTCTCACATGAGCAAACGGGACACCCTCACGATCCCCTTTATCGGTGTAGGATATGGGACTGGATACATAGCCCTTGCCTTGACGCCATGACGCATTGCCAGCTGTGAATGGTGGTGCTCTTGGACACACTGAATATGGAGGCAACTTTTCTCAGGCTATGGATGACAGTGTAGCACCGCATCACAGAATGGTCGTGGCCAGCGTGCGATGCTTTTGTCGGGGGAGGGAGACTATATTCGCCCAAGTGTTTTACAGTTGCCATCGGCTACGATGGATACCCAGTGCTATCGGCTGGTGTTTTGGTCGATCCTCGCTTCCCGAAGACCTTGAACAGCTTTCCAGAGTTTACCTCGTCCTCCTTTGCAGACAGAATGATCGAGGTCATTTTTTGAACGTCCTCTTCGATTTTGGATAACGCCATGCCCCGATCTTTCCGCTCAAATTCCAAAAGCTCGTTCATAATTTTGACATTCTCCTTTTGAGTCCGAGCCTCGCTTTTGAACTGCTTGTCAAGCTCGGAAATGAGACTCTTGATGTCGCTAAGCTGGCTCCCAAACTCTTTCTTGAGCTTGTCGACATTGGCGTCAAGTTCTCGAAAGTCGTTTTGATTTGTCATCGACGACATTATAGAAATGTGCCGCTCATCGATTATTCCAGGATCCAGAGCAGCTCTCGACATTCGACGACCCATACGTTGCGGTGGGGGCTGGGTTGTTCCAAATGTAACAGCAGGGACGACGGGTGCGGCGGGGAAACCTGAGCCTTGGTTTGTCGGCGCAGAGTCCACGGTACCGGTGCGCGAAAAGTTTGTAGACTTGGCATTGTGCAATAATGGCGCTCGAAGCGATTCGGAGCTCGTTGCCAGCTCTTCGTTTGTTATAAATCCTAGATTGATAGCCTCTGAGGCCTCCTCATCTTCGTCACATCGCGGAAGGGCTGATTTTTCTCCAAGCTTGACAATTGATGCCCGTCCACCCCCAGGCAAAGTTCGAGCCTGCTGCCGATCTTGCACGCCCAAAACGCTGGCTATGGTACTGGTCCAGTTCGGCCCAGCTCCACCGGCAGGCTGGGTTGAGTTGCTCTTTTGCCGCTTGCGATCGCCGTCGGCAATGTCGGCTTCCCACCACTGCGTTTTCCGAACCTCTTCCGCCGGCCAGGTATACAAAAGGACAGATTTTGTCTGGGGATCGTCCTTGGCCATGAGCTCGTGTGATTTGCGAAGCGATCCAGATACCTTTGCCCACAGCTCGAGCAGTCGACCAAGGAATGTAGGCTTCGAGTTGCTGTTAAAAACAAAATTCGACACTTCGCTGGGACGGCGGGACTGACTTTCCAACTTCTCATCCATATATCTATCGCTCTCCGATCTGAGCTCGTATCGAACAGGGAATGGCCAGAGGAGATCCAACTCGACCATGAGATCGGAAATCTCCATCAGCCAAGCGGCCGTTGTGTTGGCGTGAATGTCTGCAACGTTGACGGTCATCAAGGCAATGATGACATTGATCTAGGCGAGTCGTGAGTTATCGCAAACAACAGAGATAATCAGTATAGAGAAGCACGCAAAAGAAGAAAGCCTGTGTTGCCCCCGATTGCAAAGATAGACTGACTAATAATATCAGCGGCGTCACTAAGCACAGGGCAGCATTCTGGCTTCTGGATGTGGCCACCAACCAGCTCTAGACACAAAAGTCTGATTGCATTGAGCGTAGCTGGCAGTCATGGATATACTTGCCAGGAAAATGATAAATACAACATGGAACATCATTCTTAGCGTAAATACTTGTGGGTTGGATGAGTTTTCGAGAACTCTAGAAACTCGAAGGTGGAGGTTGTACGCGTTAGATTGGATGAGAAGACCACTTTGGGTACTCGCGTCAATATGGGTAAGGCCATATAGCTCCTCTGCTGAGCACGAATAAAGCCAGTGGAATCAACTTACGAATAGTCCCACGAGGCCATAGTCATCACGCTCTGGAATGTTGTCGCTGCGTCAGAGAAATGCACCGATGGAGGAATACCGGTATTGGATAGCCCTCGCTCAACGATATAGAATCCGCCCGCAAAGCTTGTGATGACTACTGCCATTGGAATCAAGATGGGAAGAATGTTGACGGATGCGCTGACCCATATCCGAACCAGTGGTCCCACACTGGGAATAATGCGCAGATGCAGCATCACCCGTGTGGCATATAGAACAAGCACGATCGACATTAGGAGCGGCGGCACCGATTGCTGAAGCCACACAGACTGTAGCACGATTATGATGGTGACGAGGTGGATTCCGATGTCGACCGCGTTTGACATGGAGCTGATGTATCGGTCTGGTGTGTCGAGAAACTCGCGAAACTCTTGAAAGAGGAAGAACAAGGACCCAAAGAGGACAACCCAGGATGAATAGAAGATCGAGTTGTACTCGGATGTCCCGGGACTAAGGTTGTAATTGACGACTTGGATGAAAAAGTATGCCGAAAATCCAATGTGCGAGAGCGTGAAGATCAACTGGATGATAAACCGGAGCCAAAAGTATCCTTTGACCCAATGATACTCCATCATGGCTCGCATGACAGGCTGGAGAATGATAGACTCATCTCCTGTGGCCAGAAGCCGAATGAACGAGTTGGCCTTGAAATAGCGCTTCCCAACGCTGGCATGAAAGGCGTCCGCTGTCAGCAAGGCCTCAGGGCACATGCAAATCGTGCTTTCGGTCTCCAGATCATCGCTGCCGGATCCTCGACCCAGCTGCGAGCCCATGTGTACGCGTGACCATAACGTGGAGTTTGAGGATGACTGAATAGCGGTAGACATTCCCATTGCACCGAATTTGAGGCCGCGGATTGGCCGCGATCGTACAATTGGATCGTGGTTTCTTGAGGGAGGCAGCGCCGCAGGTATAGGAAAGCACGAAAGCTGTTCCAGAAACCAGGCTACCTCGGCCGGAAAGCGTGTGGCGGCAATCGGCAATAACCCAACTGCCTCGTTGCGTCTGAATATGATAGGAAGAACGCCGGACATTGGGATAATCTGGGAATCGGGAAGCAGCAGAGATTCGAGCAACAAATGCACCATATTCTGGTGGCCGAGTTGAATTGCTTTGCTGAAACAGGTTTCGATACTGGCAGGCACCCAATTGGCCTCGATGAGTGCCCATATAATCCCCGTGAAGTTGAGCTCGCCAGCGTAGTTGAAAATGCTGCGGACGATTTCATCGTGGTTGGTCGTTGGGACATAGTCAGCAATGTGTTCCTTGCAAGTGTCTTCAAAAAAGTTGATGAGCTCGGTGACGGTGGAAGGATTAGCACGGCCAGCGGCGGCAGCCAGAATAATAAATGAGTATGTGCTGAGAGCCAAGAACACACTTTTCTTGCTGGTGACGACGTCGTTAACTTGCGACGACGAGAGTCTCCTCATTTGCGCGGCTTTGGAAAACCGTCGTTCGTAAGCTGTCTTTGCTACCGACGCCAAGGTGTCCGAAGGTTCCGCATCGCTTTCTTGCAAAAAGTCGAATATAAATATCTCCATGAGCGATAGCGATTGATCTGCTCCGAGTGTGGCGATGGGAAGTAGTGCTGCACAGACTCCCTCGACAAGGATGCCCTCTTTGCAGCTGTCCAGGATGATTTGCTGGCAGTCGCTCCGTTGGAGATGGCTGCAGTACTCAAGGCACGAATTGATTGCATCGGAAGAGACGTGATCTTTAAAGTGCGATAGTCCAATTTCAACGAGCAACGTTCCGTCATGGGCGGGCTGGATGACCGAGAGAATCAAGAAGATGCAAACTTCTTCTCGGAGTCGGGCTTGTCCCAGTTTTGATTTGAGGAGCTCAGATATGGTATGGAGCATGACATAGGCCATTTCAAACTTGGTCATGTACCGAAAAAACGAAACCAGGGCTTCGTTTGAGAGCCCGGCAAGTTCGCTTTCGATAGACTGCGTAAAGTGCATCACCGCATCGTCACGCAGGGAGTTGGGGTCCAGTTCAAGCGACGTATGTTCCTCGACCTGAAGAACGCCAATGGCATACCGTTCCCAAACCAGCTCGTCAGCGTGTGTATCAACCTCGCCACCGTCTGCTGCCGTTTGGGCCTTGAGGCAGATATTTAGGGTTTCCGCATATGTTCCAAGAGGCTCCGCAGGAACATGGCTGATAGAGGGCTCCAGAAGCTCATTGAGAATTCGTCGAAACCGGCTGGCACTCCAGCGCCCGAGGGCAAACGACGAGTCGATAAAGCTGATAAAGGAGGATGGTGGAAGTGCCGATGTCGCTTGATAGTCCTGCTCGTCAAGTCGCTGATGAATTGGAGTTGGCCGCGCAGCGGAAGTGCCCGTCTTTGTTTCGGGCGACAGCGGATTCCTCAACGCGTCATGGAAGACCGAAAAGGCGGCGCGCCGGACATCGTTCGCCACGAGATCGCGTACGGCTCGATATGAGACTACGCCTGTTCGCGGCTGCTCGGAGGTTCCGCTGGTATCATTTTTTGTTGATTTATTGGATTCGATGATGATTTGGAGGGCGTCTTGTTTTTGGACCGGGGTGGCCATGTCGGCTGCCGGAAACCGTGCCAGTCGGGGCTTGGGTCGCTTCACAGGATAATGCTGCCAACAACACCCCGAGCTGCACAGCCACGAGCAACAGAGTCAGAGAGTTGCCGAGCCGCAACGATGTCGATATATTAGCTGCTCGAGTTCGGGGGCCTCCAGTATCGATCCAAAATCGCCGAAGGCCTTCCACGCCCAGCGGCAGAGATGCCAAGAGGGCAAGCCCGGGCCTGGGCTGCAGCCAGAGTGCGGCCGTCGTGTGGTTCGTTGGGTGCTGGCCTGATTGGCTGGCACGACGCTGTTGGTGGCTGCAGCGCTTGGTCAGCAACTGGCTTGGACGGGGCAATCGCGGGCGTTTTGCCAATCAGCCCAGAAGCAGGCCTCGCGGAAACGCTCTGCTTCGATCCACCAGAACCAACTGCGGGCTTGCAACAAAGCCTCCCGGACAGGCGCTCCAAACGATCCAAATGACCGTCCACAGCTCGACCCAGGCCCCCTCCGCCGGCCTTGCTGCCGCCGGGCAGCTCGCTGCGGCCTCGCCACTCGCTGGAAGTGCGCCCCCCAACACCCCAATCCAGATGCAGCAGATCGAAGCTGTCGACGGCCCGGCCGACCATCCACAGGATGACCAGCACGCTGATGGACATTCGTGCTGCGGGCACGATCATGCCCATGATGACTCCAAATCCGGAAGCTCGCTCTTGACATCCTACGCCTCGAATGTCGCCACCTGGGTCATCATCCCCTTCTTCCAGGGTGTATGCTATGGCCTTGGCGAGGGATTTGCCAGGGTCTGGATCGGACGATTTTTTGGAATCAACCCTGCCGCACTCTACCAGGCCAAGTCCTCGAAAAAAGTAGCCGTCAAGCCCCCCGCAGCAGTCTCTGCGGAACCCGATCCTACCCCAGGGTTGACCGGAACCCTGATGAAGCGTCCTTTGATCGTCAAGGCCGAAGTGGACAAGACCTGGTCGCGACTGTGGTCGTCCGAGAGCCCGGAAGCCTTGATTCGCAAGCGCAGAGAGAACTCAGGCGCATCCAAGGAAGGTCTTGCAAAGCTGGGACTGATCGTGGTCGACGACATGGCCGGCCGCGCTGTGAGCGAATCGTATGATGAGCGTAGCTAGTTTCGGCCTGTGACGCCGCCTAGCCTGTATACAGCGCACCCTGTTTCGTTTTGGATGTGCTGAAAACATGATCTCAGTGAAATAGGAGATATCCTTTCGGAATCCCCCACGACATTATTGTCTTGCAAAAGCCTCTATCGATGGATCAAGGGGCCCCACCCAGATGACAGACCTTCGAGATCGATATCCAGGGCTGAGTGATGCTGCGGGCAAAGTTGGAACAGTTGCAAAGTGCAAGGATCAAGCACGATGCGACGGAGAGAGCGATGCAGATGGCCAGAGTGTCGGAGTGGTTAGAGTGTCAGAGTGTCGGAGTGGTCGGGCCGAGCCACACCAGCAACAGCCAGCAACAGCCAGCAAAGCCGCTGCGGCTCTGAATGCGGACACTGGGCTGGCGGGTGGCTGGTGGGCTGACTACAATCTGGAGGCGACATGGACAGATGGGCGACAGATGGGCGACAGATGGCTGACAGGCGGCTGACAGATGATAGACAACCCGCCCAGATTAGCCTGGTCATATATGCGTATTGGTGTAATTGGATCGAGCCATGATAGTATAGTGGTAGTACATTGCGTTGTGGCCGCACCGACCCTGGTTCGATTCCAGGTCATGGCATTCTCTTTTTGCTCTGCTCTGTTCTGCCGTTTCGTCTCTTCGTCCCTTCGTCTCTTCTTCTTTCGGCCTGCATTTGCATTTGCTGTTTCTTGCATCTCCTGCATCTCCTGCATCTCCTGCATCTCCTGCATCTCCTGCACGATCGGCATGATTTGTACTGCTTGAGTCTTCGCCGCCCTGCTCTCTCCACCTGCTTGCACACCACTCACGCTCCACTCACGCTCCACTCCCATTCCCACTCCCATTCCCACTCCCATTCCCACTCCCACCACTCCCGATTCAGTCTTGGTCGACTTGTTGAGAATCTCCACACTGCTGCGTCCGATGTCTGGATGTCCCTGCCTGCATGCCCACACCGGATCGCAACCAATCTGTCTCCCGGATGCTCGTTGGTCTGCGGCCCAGATGTCCACCATTGAGCCGGATACTCGGGCCTTCCGGCATGATGACCATGGTGGGAGAGTTGGCGAGCCAGCTAGCCAGCGCCGGAGCAGGAGCAGGACGGGTCTGGCCTTTGACAATATTGGTGCGGAATGTCAGTTGATGGTGCCTGAAGTATCGGCGGCATCGATGTGAGCGCCGTGGTGAGCTGGAAACACAGGACAAGTGGCCACGGAGTATCGATATCGGCGGACTTGATATGGGCAGACGAATGCTGGTGGCTTTGGTGGAGTAGATGCGGGATATTGCGGACTGGCGACGAGTGGTGGAGTGACGGTGAGTGGAGTGCAAGCAGGTGGAGAGAGCAGGGCGGCGAAGACTCAAGCAGTACAAATCATGCCGATCGTGCAGGAGATGCAGGAGATGCAGGAGATGCAGGAGATGCAGGAGATGCAAGAAACAGCAAATGCAAATGCAGGCCGAAAGAAGAAGAGACGAAGGGACGAAGAGACGAAACGGCAGAACAGAGCAGAGCAAAAAGACAATGCCATGACCTGGAATCGAACCAGGGTCGGTGCGGCCACAACGCAATGTACTACCACTATACTATCATGGCTCGATCCAATTACACCAATACGCATATATGACCAGGCTAATCTGGGCGGGTTGTCTATCATCTGTCAGCCGCCTGTCAGCCATCTGTCGCCCATCTGTCGCCCATCTGTCCATGTCGCCTCCAGATTGTAGTCAGCCCACCAGCCACCCGCCGGCCCAGTGTCCGCATTCAGAGTCGCAGCGGCTTTGCTGGCTGTTGCTGGCTGTTGCTGGCTGTTGCTGGTGTGGCTCGGCCCGACCACTCCGACACTCTGACACTCTAACCACTCCGACACTCTGGCCATCTGCATCGCTCTCTCCGTCGCATCGTGCTTGATCCTTGCACTTTGCAACTGTTCCAACTTTGCCCGCAGCATCACTCAGCCCTGGATATCGATCTCGAAGGTCTGTCATCTGGGTGGGCCTCCCGTTGATCTATCAGTTTTGCCGATTTGACTCCTGGCTCTCCGGCTCATTCTCCCCACTGGTATATGTCCGTGCCACCCAAAGACAGATCCAATCGGGCCCAAGAGCTTGCTTTTTATTATCTGAATACAAAAGGGCGTCCTGTGTGAACTTACCCTCCGTCCGCTTCCAGTTAATATCAACAAGTGATCGACAAAGCCATCCGTTTCTCTTGCTTATCGCGCACCCTAACTCCCGTCCTACAAGGCAGCGATCCCATAGCGCTACCGTGTCCGTGTTCCTTCGATTTCCTGAGACATTTCGATGTATGGGTCATGGATCCCATATGGGGATGCGACATATCCATCTAGTTTGCTCGTCCCGATGCGCTGCTTGTGCTGCCAGCACCGCCTTTGCTGGTGCCAAGCTTCACCTTGATTTCAGGCAAAGACCGCTTCGCGTTGACTATCTGGTTCAAAGGACTACTTTGGGCTGTTTGGGAAACGGCCGCGTATGTTTGGGCCGGTCGAGACGAGCCGTTCGGTATTGTCGACCCGGAGCCAGCGGGCTTGGTGGCGACATTTTGAGCAGGGCCTCCGGACGACTCAGTCGGCTGCGCCGCATTTGAAGCCATCGTGAAGTGTGCGCCGTTCGAGACAATTCCTTCAGCAGCTACCCTTGAGTAGCTCTTCGGAGCCAGTGCTCCGGGCTCAGATCTGGCGGCAAAAGTACATTCAGACATTAATGATCGTCAACGATGACTCTGTGGGACCGCAAGCTTCACGGAGCTCGTTAGAGCGCATTGTCGAGGCCAATACCTGTCGCTCTCCGACACGTTTGAGGACGCAGCTGTATTGCCAGTATCCACAGACTTGCTCTCGCGCGAATGGTCTTTGGATCCGCCTCGCGTGCCATTAGCATCGGCGGCTGAAGTGGCATCGACTGTTGGATCGCAGTAGTTCGAGCCGTCCTCCGTCTTGAGTTTCTTGGGTGGATTTTCAAGCGCATTATGGGTCTAGAAGACAGGCCCAGGCGATTGCCAAACATGGGCCATACCGAGCGATGTCGTTCGAATGGCAGCAAGAATTGCAGAAAACAGAGCCATCTGTTAGAACGTTACCAAACGTCGATTGCTCATGACCACTTGCCCGATAGTCTAAAACCTCGCCGCTCGGGCGCGCACCGCTCCGATCTGAGAGGTCATACTATTGCCTCGATCCGGTCATATCCGGATCATTCGAAATGGGCAGGCGTACCTTGGTCCGTTTTTTGATGAGCTTGGCGGGAAGCTCTCCTTCTTCAAAGACGTCTGATGGAAGCTGAGAGCTGTTGTGTTTGGACAGCCAATGAATATGTGGGTATGAGATGCTTCGGTCAGTTTGCTTTCCTCGTTTGAGTCGATCTTACCTCACGCTACAGTATCGAATCAAGCCCCAGATCCGCTGCTGCCAATCACAATACTTACGCTTTCAGAGGCTGGATCGTGATAGCCATGTGTTCCTTTGAAAATCTATCCCAGCTCCGGACCATCTTACAGAACTCGGAGGTGGGATATGAGACGTCGATTCTCCGTACTCCGCCTGCTGCCGTACCTTTCCCCACGGCGGAGCTAGCTTCCTCCTTTCCCATGACCCCAAGCCCCATGTAAAACAGCGTCGAGTGTAGCACAGAAACCCTTTGCTCAACTTGTTGGTCAGTCTTCTCTTGCTGTTGCTTATGTCTGTTGATCAACTCGGCTTGTTCTTCCGGCGTTCGCTCAAGTACTTTGCCATGCACAAGTTGATCACGCTCTTCTTTGGATGTATAATATGCTTGTCGTTCGAAGCCTTTGATGAACGGGTGGGCAATCTTGATGCCTTCAGCAAGCTCAAGCTTGGAGTTGAGCTGGCGGATTTTCGACTCAACCAATCCAGACCTGCAGGGAATTAAGCGGTGAAGGTAAAATGACTGAAGCGGCCAAAGATAAAAGTGCCGATTTCAAAGCGATCGGAGCTATAGAGGAATGAATGACAAGTAGAAAAGCGACTCGTCTTTCAGCGCTCGCGACAGTGGAAGCACAAACGATGGGCCATAGGGGACGGAGAGCGGAGTATGCGCTGTGTAAGACAGCGTGGGAACATCGCATGGCTGCTTATCCCATCCCGTCCGACACTCGTTCAACGGGTGATGTGGCCACAGCTGGCTTGCAAGTTTTGCAAATATGCAACACTGCATCGCTTAGCCTGCGATTTCCACATGAGAAAAGATGAAGAACTCTGATGAAAATCAAGGATTACAAAGCCAATACCAAGTCAATTGCGTTTCCGGGTCGTCCGAGGTCACCACTATTTGGAGGTAATGTCGGTAGGTGTAGAAAAATTGATGTTTGGCAAAGAGGTCGTTCCAGACACCATTCTTGTGATTGATCTTGTCGACAATCTCTGCTGCAAGCTCAAATTCCCGGGTCATAATTCGCTGAGTTGAGCTCATCACGTTGTGGGTTGAGCACATCGAAGGATACGCTGGGGTGATGACAGGCATTCTGTGCGCTTTATCCTGGGGGTAGAGTTTCGGGTTCCAGACTCGTACATTTAATGGGCCGTCGCTAATAGGCTTTAGCAAAACGGGCTGGGGCCATTTCCTATACGGCGTCATCGAAATGCGGTTAGCGGGCTCAAATGGGAATGGAAGCGGCTAAATGAATCGATCGTGCTTACCATTGATGCATGATCCGGAAGAACTTGGCAACAATAACTGAGGCTGCGGCATTGGGATAGAGCTGGCAAACACGTGCCACCACCATAGCCCAAGCAACTCCTCCAAAAAAACCCATAACGTTGGAATAGATGGCCTTGCGCTTTGCCCAGAGCTTGATGCATCGGAGCGCGGTACGGAAGTTTTCAATGTTGGGAACCAGCCTCAGAATTTCGTCAGTTACGCGCGAGCCTGGAAAGACGGGTTTGCCCGCATAGGATTTGAGGGGTCGCGAGGATTAGGCAGATGCCAGATGACAGATCGCGATCGAGCGTCCTGCTCACTCGGGAGCAATCACTGGGGCTGTTGGCATCGTCTAAAACGATATTACCGTTTAGGCTGCGGACACATCGTTCGTCTAGATTTCGCAAAAGATTATCGTTGGAGAGATCAAGGTCATCCTCGACACGGCTAAGCGCAAGGCGCGCGAATAGTAAATCGATTTGAATCCCATCAAAGACGAAGGTGACGACTGGAACATAGGCATCTTGGACACGCTATCGATTTGTGGTCCAGATAAATTGTGTAAGTGTCGACCATCCCTTACACGAAGCGCTGCCGGTCATACAGTGAGAGAGGAGGCTGTTACCGTTAGCTCCGTCACTTCGGGGTGCGCCTTGAGCATCTCGTACATATCCTCAAAGAACTCCTCCCGTTGAATATGTTTTGGAGCCACACAGAGCGTATCGATATCAGCGCCTGCATCGGATGTCAAGTAGGATCGTGGTTCCGAAGGATGAGAAATTGGCTTTGTAAGGCGGATGGCCGAGAGGGACTTTGCAAAAAAGACAAGACCCAGCACCGGGCATTTTCATGCTTTGAAGCAAGGCTTGCATCCATGTTTCAGGAGAAGATAGTGGTGTGTTGCATGCTTCGAGAGAGGGGGGGATAGTGGCACACCTTTTCCGTGAACACCGAGCCGAAACGATCCGAAAGTGAAGATCTTGCCGCCCACTTCATTCGCCATCGACTCGGACATGTTCTTTTTCAACATTGTCTTCTTGATGAACTCTTTGAACAAAATATTGAGTTTCCCAAGGACAACCTCGCTGAGCGGCAGATCAAGTGAGACGGTATAATCGCGTACATCGCTGGTCAGAGGCGAGCTGTGCAGGTGTCATCCCGATTAATGCAGCGGCGGAAGAGCAATGAAGACAGTACGGAATAATCGACGGGCGGCATTGTGCTGCTTGCATGGGGCAACAGCTTATTCAAAAATCTTGTGTTGCTGCGGCATACCGATGCTGGGCTTCCTGTTCGGATTCATACTGGCCCAGATTCTTCAGGGTCTCCACCAAGAGTGTGGTCGAATGCTGATCCTCTGCTGTTGGATAAGCAAGGGAGATCGGTTGGGTGACTCCAAGAGAAGACATTTGCCGGACGCTGGTGATCGATGATGATGCGATTTGGTGTGGCTTTGGGCTGGTCCTGCCGACGGACAAGCAGGCGGACGAGTCGAGATACGTTGGACACTATGGGGTTAGCCTGGGCGAGAATCCAAACGACAGCATCACAGCGTGGGTCCGGCCACCGATCAAGGGCTCGGGATATACCTTGCACGGGCGGGTCAGCACGGGTTCGTGAGGAGGCGATCTCGACTGCAAACGGGGCGGCAGCTTATTGTTGTGGACGCCAGATCAACAGATATGGCCCGCCGGGGTCTCTAGAAGCACGATGCGAGTTGAGATATTGGGGGTTTTTTCAGATTGCTGGCTGGGCTGCTTTCGGACCGGGCGAGTCGCAGCGTCAGGGCGTTTGCGGAAGCGATGGCACGGCGCTTGCTGGGGTGGGCAGCGCAAAGCTGTATGATGATGGGGGGAGAACAGCAGCCAGAAAAAATTTGGACGAGAAGGGCACTCTCGCGAGAGCGTCCTCGCTGTCTGAGAGCGAGCAGCCACGAAGCAGCCACGAAGCAGCCACTGTGTGGCCAGCCGCACTCGAGCCGCTCGGCGAGGGTGTGGCGGGCGCCCGCGTCGTCGCCCGAGCCCGCCAGCCTTGCCCTTGATCGGCTTGTGGGCCCCAGCCAACGATCCCGCGAAGGTGTTCGGCTCCTGCAGATACCTCCTGGTCTCCAACAGCACTTCCCCACACGCTGCAGAGGCCACAGAATACGTCGGCTGTGAATTCAGGCCATCTCGATCGCACCTGTCTCTCCGTTTCCGTTCCGCTGTTTTCTGCCTTGCTGCTCTTTGCCTTTCGATCAAGGCCGCTCTCATGAACCCGCCGCGATCATCCAGACCAGGCACAGCCTCTGATCTCGATCCGGGCCTTCTTGATGTCTTGCCCTCTGCACCGTCATCGGCAGATTCCCCCGATCCAGCCTCCTCGCTCGTTTGGGTCGAGCCCACACGCTTTCATTCCCCACGATGGCTGTTCTTTTCCTGCACAGACAAGGTCGACCCCCGCTCGCACCGCCGCAGAGCAAAATGCACCTTTTGCTCCACTGTCCTTTCGGGCAAACCCGAGTCTCTCTATTTTCATATCTCGGAGAAGTGTCTGGCGATCGATCCTGTCTCGAAGCAATTATATCTACAGAAAAATGCAGCTCCTGCCACCTCCACGTCGCCGCCATCGTCGCCCTCCTCGCCCGACGACCTTGGATCAGCAAGCGGGGGATATCGTACACCATCCTCCAGGAAGGCAAAGAGGCCTAAGGTGTCGGCTCCAAAGCCTGTGCTGTACTCTCCACACACGACCGTTTCGCAGCCGGTCTCTTTTGTAGCCTCACACACCTCCCTGTATCCATCGCCAGCCCTGCCCTCTGCCGGCCTGGCGTACGCCCATCCCTATCTTGCCCATCCAGCCGCCCAGCAGCCACACGCACTTCCGTTTGCCTTGCAATCGGCCTATGCCCTGCCACAATTTCAATCAACCTCGTTTGCGCTGCCCAACCTTTCCTCACCTTCAGCGCACGCTTTTATTCCGTCTTTCAGTCAAGCACCGACTCCACAACCTTCGGCGATCCACCCCCATCTACTTCCACCACGCGCACCAACGGCCCTACCAGCCCCGGACCATCAAGCTCTGAGTCACTCGTACTTGCTGAAGGCTTTGGCCTCAAATCGCCTCGGGTTGCAGCTATTGGATAACCCTTATTTCCAAGATTTCCAGGCCCTGCATATGAAGGGATCTACTTTGCCGCTGGCGGCAGCAATATCGGATTCGCCGTTGCTCTCCTCCGATCACTTGCGGGAAAAGCTTCGCGGCTGTCAAAGCCGGGCTGCGGTGCTGCTTGCTCAAGAGCGCTTTTTGACACTTTCACTCGATCCTTGGGTCGATCCCTCGGGCGTGCACTACTACGCCGTTGCCCTTGCTCGGAATGAGCCCTTTTGCCAGATCCACATCAAGACGCTCGAGCTCCTTCCGCTTGAGCATTCAGCTACCCGTCTAATCGCAGAGATAGAGTCCTGTCTGGCTGCTCTTGGCATCAATCCACTGCAAATATCGGCGCTGGTGCTTCCACTTCCAGCGGCCAGCTCTTTCACAGAACACTCTCACGAGCGTATCGTTGTATCGGATTTGGTCCTCCAGTTTTGCTCAAAGTACCCAACGTGCCTTCTGGTCGACTCGCCTCTCCATGTTATGGGCGATGCCCTCAGGAGCATTCTCTCTACCGAACCCTTTGCTTCCGTCTTGCGCAAGAATCAGGTCTTGCTCAAGTTCTTTGCCTCCTCTCGATATTGGTCCGCAAAGCTCAATGACTTTTTCCTCAACCATCCGGAACACACGCCGCCATCATGGCTTTCTATTACATCGCGATTGGAGAGCTCTTCTCCAGCGTGTGCCTATCCATCCACATCAGGCCAAATGGGTTCGCAAAGCAATTTTGCAGCACTCGTCTCACCAATGCCGGACACGCCCATCAGCTCCGACCCCGCTGAAAGTCTTTTCAAAGTAAATGGTACATCCGCTGCGTCAAACTCTGCAACGTCTGGCCACCCTCCCTTTCTCCGAGCTGTCTCGAACTCATCATCAAGATTCCTTTCAAAATCTCCGTTGTTGCTGTCTGCCTTGCAGTGCCGCCCAGCATTTCAGAGCTTGGCCAACCAACTCTCCAATGACACGGACTCATCAGCTACAGGCTGTCCGAGCCCGGTTGCTTGCATATTGAAGAACGAGTCCCACTTTGATACATCCTCAGCTGCAGCGCATCTTGTCGCGCCCATCATTCGTTCTATCGAGTCGTTGCAGTCTGAGTATGTGTGTAGCATGCACTCCGAAAGCCGCCTTCGCTTCACCCTGGCTGATATTTGGGGACAGCTATTCAAGGCCGTCGCGGACGTCAAGGAGATTCGATTCGAGAGCGCAGGACTGTCTTTTGATCAGCGAGAATTCGAGGCACTCAGGCAGCAGGTGCTTGATCGTCTGGAGCACCGCCTGTCCGTATTCAAATCGCCCCTGTACTCTGCCGCTTTCTTCCTGAGCCCTCGATATCGCCAAGCCGTCCTGTCCAAGCCCCAGACGTATTCTCTTTCAAAAGTCACGAACGAGATTGCAGAGCTGGCCCGAATCAAAGGGTTCACTGCCGACGAGATCAATGCACTGAAGACCCAGGTCGGCGGCTATTTCAATGGGCTGGGCACCTTTTCGACTCTGAGTTCGTCTCTGGCGAGAACACCTTCAGAAGCCACAGCGCATCCGACCGTTATCGCTCTCGGAGAGGTCTTGAGTGTACCGTCGGGCATGTCTTTCAAAGAAGTGACAAACTCGGCAGCCTCGCCGGTCGACAATCCAATTCAGTACTGGATGAATCTGGTCCACGCCCAAGATACGTTTGCCCTCAGACGACTGGCATTGATGATATTCCAAATCGTTCCACATTGCCCCGGCATGGACGAGATCTTCCTCGCGACCTCGAGCGCTGCAAATCTATCTCCCACAGCATTTTGTCCGTCTCGGCGACAGAGAGATCTCGAATTGGTATCACGGGCTTTACCGGGTTTGCAGAGCGAATGCAACTCTGCCGGTCTGTTTTCAGGCCAGGTCCCGTCGGCTCAAGCGAGCTTGATATCTACCGACGGACAGTCGCTGTCGGCGATACATGGAATCTCAAACCCGTTGTACACAGCAAACGGTGGCCGAGCCAGTGACCACCCCACAGGCTCGAATCTTCAAACATGGGCCGACCTTACGCGACAGAACGTGCCCCTGGGCGAAGGAGGACATGGACGTCGCTCTGACATGCTCTGGACCAAAATCATCTTCCCCGACATGACCCTTCAAGAGCTTGATGATTTCGAGACTGGCGTGGATCTGTGGCGTCGTGGATGCCACGGTCGCATTCAAAACGGTGGCTCACAGGCATCGGAATCTATTGCTGGCGCCGATGCGGGTTTCCAGAGTAGCCCCGATCAGCACCCGAAGGTTGCCAACGAGAGAGCTGCCAAGAGCCATCGGACACCGATATCCTTGCCGCTTCCTGTCCATCTGTCTGTCAACTTTGAAGACACACGAGGGGATACTCCAATTTGTGAGCTCGCCGACTGGTCAGCTGTCTGATCGTTTGTCTACTCGGAAAGACCCTTTCAGCCCTTTCAGCCCTTTCAGCGAGTGGGAGGCTATTTTTTGGATGGGAAGGCACCCACACATCCATCACCCGCAATGACTAATGACCGTCTGCCCCGTGGGGGCAAGGCAAAGGCTACGCCTCAATGGTCGAATATATGCAGCATACTCTCACACCGCAACACGGACGTCTCTTGGAGCACGATCTCGCTGTGCGAGAAGATTGCTGCCGATTGCGACAGTCTATCCAGAAAAAAACGGGACGGTCACTTTCTGGCACCAGGGACACAAGTCTGCTGATCCGTAGGCTCCAGTGAGCAAGCCATGAGATTGTTTCCCGTCCTGGTTGGCAATCACTCTATGTGGTGCATTCGCTCGACCCTCCGGACAGCTCCATGGTGTATCGACATCAAGATACTCGGCCTTCTCGAGTCGCTTGGCTCCCCGGCATTGTGAGCACACCTGGAGATCGAGTCGCTTGAATCGCCGTCTCCTGGGTGATGTCTTTCGCTCGCGGGAGCCATCTGAGCGAGAAAGCGTCTTTGATTCAGATCCAGAAGCACATCACGGAACGGCCATGACCAGTGCGCGATGCTTTGAGTAATAACATACACCAATGACCAAAGTCCGGGTGTCCCGTTTTTTATTGGATCGTCTCTAGTTGTCGATTCGGGAGAGGCATTCGAACCCTCGGATCGGGCACGCTCGCTCAAGGCGAGCGGCATACAAGATAAACTCTCGAGCCTTTTGGTGCCTTTGGGTCAGGTTGAAAATCTTTCCCAGTTGGCGCCAGCTCTCGTGGCTCCAGACGCTTGAAACCCCCGAGTAGTTGGAGGCCATCCCGGGCTGTCCGCCCGACCCTCCACGACCTTTGGAATGCTTGACGACGCGCAGAAACTGGTGCTCGGCAAAGGCCAGGTTGTCTGTCTCAAGGTACAACAGGCCGAGGTAATAGTGTGTGGCCATGTGATGTTCATCCAAATAGCTGTTTGCCTGGAAGTCGGCCAGCAGTGCCTCTAGCTTGCTTGTCTGGATCTGCTCGTTGCGGTCGGCTTGATTCAGCAGAATGACGTTTGCGGGACTGCCGGCACTGAGACTATGTCCGCTCTGTGTGCTGTAGCCATCGGCCCCAGTGAGCTCACCAACGCTGGATGCATTAGTGGGCGATGTTGTTGGGACGGTGCTGGCAATGGATGCCGACGACGGAGAGACCTTGAGCCGGGTCACTTGATGGGCGGCCTCGACTTTCATTGCCGGCGACATATACTTGTCATACTTGCCTCCGGGTGCCGGCTGGTGCTTGCCTTTGTATTCGGCATATTCCACCACAAGCGACTAGAGGGGAGGGGAGCGTCAGAATAGATTGGTTGCTCAGGGATCCGGACTCCAGTTGCTCCGTCGATGCCACGCTCAGCGGCGCCCATATATCTGGATGGGCGATGGTGTGAACTGAGCTTGATGAAGCTCAGGAAGCGACCAGCCTGAACACATACGACATCATTCGGCGATTGCGGCCTCGGTAGTAACCGCACGAGAGATACCAACCTCAAAGGTGATATCGGCAAGGATTCTTTTGATGTTAGCATCTGTTAAACCCCATTTTGGGACGGGGTTGGTCGAGTCCATGTTAAACTGCAACAGACCAACAACACTGACAACGGATGCTGTGGCTGTTGCTGGGCTCCCCGCAGCCACAGACGCGCTTGAGTCCCCGGCCTGGGTGCTCCGTTTTTGAAATCCTCCAAGAGTTGATCTGCCCGAGACCCCAAGGCTATCGGTGTTTGGCTTGGAGAGGCTTGCTATAATCTCGGCCTTGGATCGGGCTGAGGGCCCGTTGCGTACCTTGTTTTCGATCTTGACGAGCACCTCGGCGACTTTCTCGGCTTCAGCAACAGCGCCACGCGCATTGTCGTATTGCTGGACCTCGCGGTAGAGGGCAGACACAAGGAGCCAGAGTGAGATCTGCTGCTCAAAGACCTTGAACCGATAAAATGACTGATGCTGTGTCGGCGATGTGCGATGGAAGGTGGTCGACAACGTCGAAACAGCCGTAGGAGCGCGTGAATGCGGCGACTTTTGAGCCATTGTGTTGGATCGGGGGCCGTCTGGCACAGGTGCAAGGAAGGTGGCATATCGGCTTGTCAGAGGTTTCCGCTGAGGTGTCTACGCAACTGGTATGCTCTAGGCTGATCGATAAGGCCCGCATTAACAGAGACCTACCACCGGTACTGTTGCTCACATACACGTTCCCGTGTCCAAGAAACTCGACACTCTGGCGACCGAGGGGATCGCTGTTGGGCATGCGAGCACTCTCTGCCACATTTGAGTTTGTACCACTCTCAACAACAGCCGTGTACGGTTTGCCGAGATCTTCGGCTCGGTAGCTGAGAGGATTGCCAAACAGCTTGCGATAGAGGGTCAGAAGTCCCTGGACCATCTCTAAGCCCGACTTGGGCCCGTATTTTCCAATCTGCAGGAATGTCTGGGTGATCTTGAGGCTAAGTAGACAGGATATCAAGGGTAAGCGAGAGTCGCTAAGCGAATGCCATTGCAACCAGCCGGCGCTACCCCAATATCCAAGGCTGTCAATACAAGGGAGGGGAGCTGGGAATACCGGGACAAATCACTCACTTCATCAAAGACTCTTTTTCGAAAGGAGAAACACAGTCCCAGAGTAACGGAAGCTCGCCGGATCCATCGATGGCCTCTGGCGGAGTACCCAATCTGGTGGCGAGCGAGTTGATGCACTGTCGCCATCCGGTTTCGCAAATTCTCAAACTTGCAAGGTAGTTTTTCTTGGAGCTCAGGACAAGTGCCAGTAGATTCCAGGAGGAGGCGTGGGTTGGATTTAGTGTCAAGGCGATTTGCAGATGCTCGATCGATAGGTCGGACTGGGAAGTAATTTAACATGAGATATGTGAGTGAAAGCAGATGCTGTCGACAAATCTGGGGAAGCAATCTTGATCACCCGTATCCCAGAGCAATTCAACGTATCCCGCCAAAATCCAGCGCGCGTAAGGCAGCGTCGATCCGTAACGACAAGGATCAACCCGTATCACGCCACAGCAACCCATATCAACCAACGTCAGACAATTTCGGCGCCGGTACCCTACCTCGCCAAGTTCGGCGTATGCTAGTGCCAGCTGATATCGCGTTTCCCACTGCTCTGGATTGAGTTGGACTGCGCAGCTCAGATGCTCGATCGATTTTTCTTGACAGCGGCCACGAAGCTCCGAGTCCGACACTGAGTTGAGGCGGTAGAGCAGACAAGTCACTCGCTAGTCCAGCGCGGCGGATGAGGGGGTGAACTTGCGCTATCGGAGAAGCAGCTGGCTCTCATCGTTGAGACGAAGTGGAGTATACTGTACCCTCCAGCGCCATTTCACCATAGGTAATCCCCAGGTACTGCTCCACCTTGACGAGAACAGGATCAAAGTTTGCGAGGGTGGCGCCATGCACCTTCAAAAGCTCGAGTGCTTGCTCCATGTAGTCTACAGCCTTTCGAGCCTGATTATATCGAAGCCCACATTGTGTGATCGCGCACTCTATCAGCCGCTTTGAATCGAGGTAGGAGATATAAAAAATAAACATCGGGAGCGTCGGCCACACCTACCTTCTGTTCGTCGCCGTTCAGGTTCGAAAGGATGATCCGCACCCCGGAAATCAAGACGCCGATCGTGTCGACTATCCCCTCATTCTCCAGACAAGGAATACGGACGACTAAACTATCGCGGCTATGCATGTGACCATGTGCGGCTGATGGCTGTGAAGCGTCATTGCCGCTTGTTGGCGCGGAGTGGACGGGATCGGGACCAGGTCGACCAGCCCCATGGGCACTCATTTGCGAGAGTCGCCGCTGCTCGACGACTTCATCTCGATGGGCCTTCTGGCCGGCCTGGATCGCATCATCGAGTTTTCGATTGTACAGTTCCAGATAAGCAGCAACAGCCCATTCCGCTTCCTGGTGAGCCGCAGTCGTCGGTTAGGATCCACGGCGTACATGACCGACTTGGTCAACCGACAGAGTCTTCGCATGCTTACCTCATACTCATGTTTGGGGATAACATCAGGAAAGTTGACAATAAGCGACGCAAAAGCATGGACAATGTATCGAAGAATTCTCAGTGATTCGAAAGTGTGCTTGGCTCCTTGGTAAAGGATCTAGGAAAGTCCAAGCAATTTGGGCGCAACGGTGGTCAGCATTAGCAAAGCTTTAGAAATGAGCAAACTTTGTGTCACTGGTTGTCGCAAAGTTGGAACACTGGGGCCGTATCACTCTTTCTTTGGCGATGGATCGCGCACGTGGTCGATCAGCCAATATCGACCCAGCTGTCTGACATCGCTTACCTCTAGCAGTCGATAGTGACTGTCAATGATCTCGCCGCACTCCTCTGCGCGCGATACGGACTGAGCCTGGCGAGATGGAAGTGACATCTCACTCATCACAATCCAGTCCATGCATTCGTGGTATCGCTGAATACGCTCCTGCTCTTCAGGCGACATGTCTTCTCCGCGAGGGAACCGGATGAGCTGCGCAAGTAGTCCCTCGTAGGCTGTCAAGCAGCTGCGAAACTCTGATTGTATCCCTAAGGGCAAGTCGGCACATGGGAAGGCGAGGCTTGGAATCCCAGAAAACGGATTTGCGTACGTCTGCAAATCAGCCGTCGAGCGATCCCCAGCGGCATTCAACCGTGACGCAGACAGGTTTGGGCTTCCTGTTGCCGTCAGCGGTGCACTGAGCATCATCTTGAGATACCATCGATACACCTTCGTCTTCCTGGCGGTTTGGAAGCTGTTTGAGGTGGAGGCGAGCGTGGTCACGTATGTCCGGATGGGGATATGCACCGTTGATCTGTCGCTGAATTCGCACGAACACGGTGTGTCAAGTTAGCGTCGCCGTGTGTCTCGCAGACGGGGCTGCCCTATAGAAACTGTGATGCCTGCTGGATAGTTGAAAAGCCTAACTGTCGTGGTCGTAGGCACCCGCTCGTAGGCTATCTTAAAATCACTCGGTAACATGATAGAGCAAGCAACGGCTTACCCGAGTTTCATCAGCAGGCATGTTTGTCTGAACAGCGTTTCCTCCAGCCAGTAGGTCCACTGACATTCATCGGGCTCGATCATTCGTCCGGCTGTCTTGGCAGAAGCAGCCGGGACCGAGTACTTGACTTGCAAATGCTTCGCGGCGCATTCGTAGGACTGAATGGCCAGATTGAGCTCGCCCTTGAGCTCCAGCGCGACTCCTTGAAGAGTCCAACCCATGACGGCCACGATTTTCGCAGACTCGCCATATTCGGTGGGGCTCGAGTGCGTTTCGGCATTAAGGACTGCCCTAAGCTTCGCCAGCGCGGCATCGGGGCTGCCGTGAACAATATCGAGTCGAGCTAGTAGTATTTGCGCTTGCTACAGGGAAACGCAAAGCGTACGTATTGCCGGATTGTTAGCACTGACAACGACATATAGCTCAGCTGGGCTACGTTTTTTGGCAGAGGCAGGCGTTTTAGCCACCGTTCGCCAGTGCATTCGGAGTATCTAATTTTGAAGCATATGGCTTATTGGAATAAGCCAGAGAAAGGACAAAGGGAAAAGGGGGCAGTCTTGGGGACAGGGAACATCCAGGAACAAGCAGCGCCAGTTGTTCGCACAGCAGACCACCAATGGTCTTGTTGACAACACATCTGAATACCTTGTAGTATTCTCCGTCTGCGGCTTTGATTTGCTGGAGGGTGTTGGCAATGTCGTCGGTCTGCTTCGGAGCGAGCCTCATGCTCCAAACAGGTGTCAACGCAAAGTCGCAATCATAAGGGGTTGAGTCCGGAGCCTGACTCTGAAAGAGCAGATTCATCAGAGCATCTGCGAGCATAATGTATTCCCGAGCCGAGCCATTCGGATAGTACTTGCGCCGATATTTTACGGCGAGATCCCGAAGTAGGCGGAACTGTCCTTTGCAGCGACAGACATCCATATCCTGCTCGATAGCCGCAAGCTTGGCTATAACCATGGTTGCAACCGAGGTCGAAGCCGAAGAAATGAGACTCGATGCCCGAAGGAAAAGTAGCGCAGGGCCAAAGACACAGCGGGATCGCTCGATGCGGCTGGGCCCTCTGCTCGAAATCCAGATGCTGGGGGAACGCTGGACGGCGGGCTTGGCCAGGGACAACAGCAGGAGGGCGACAACGCCAAGAGAGCAGCAGGCAGCGAGGGCGAGGGCGAGGGCGAGGGCGAGAGCGAGGGCGAGAGAGAGTGCGACGCGTGTGCCCGGACAAGCCGCATGCGCAGCACAGGGCAAGGGCTGTGGGCCCCAGGGCAAGCCCTCCGGCACCCCTGCGGAATGTTTGGCCACATGCGCAGCAGGGGAGGGCAGATCAACAAAGCTGTGGTGGGATCAATCACGGCTTCTTTTGTTTCTGTTGATTCGTTCCGGCGCAAACACAATCATCAATATGCTGCTCTGGCCCTGCGCTGGCCGCAGCCCGCCTCCCCATTTTCGCACGGAGCACTTCAAAAAGGAGTACTTGCCGACCCGCGATCCTTTGAGCTTCCTGCTCTTCCGCCCCAGTCTGCAAGCTTGGCGGCAAATAGTGTCTTGGTTGACTGCCACAACTCCTGCATCCCAACGCCGTGCACATCCCTGACTTTTCTGGACCGTGTCCTTGTTGTTGCGCAAACCGCTTGATTCGGCCATCTGCCCTGCCGCTCTCAACTTTTCCAAAGCCAAGCGAGGTGCCCGACCGACCTATCTCGAGTGGTAAAGGCTATCCAAGCGCCAAGGTGCAGCTCGCATGGTTGCTCCGTCCCAAGATTTTGCTGCACTCGAATAGAGTCGAGCCTCCGCAACGACGCCTGAGATTTGATCGCTGCGTCCGAGAAGCGTTGCCATGCTTTGGTTCAAGAAAAGTGCCTCAGCAGCCCTGGCTGTTGACAACCGCTGGCCAGTTTCGCCTTTATCAACCATCCCATGTGCTCCTTCTGCGCTCACTTCAGGTTCGAACGTATCTCGGCTATTTCCGATCTATCCACCATCCCGAATCAGCCCTCGCGATCGACATACAATATGCCTTACACGGCAACTGGACTATTCAACCATGCCACAGCGGCGACCCCGGTCGACATATTTCAGAACGCAAGAGAGTTCATCAAAGGTTCGTTCTGTCGCTGAATAAACCATTGAAAGGGCTGCGAAAGCCACTCAGGACGGATGCGTCGATGTCCCTAACGCGACTGGTCCATATTTTCACGCGACAAGACAAGCTCTACTTCACATCCGTTTCCTATCCGCCTCCGCAATATGTGAACGTGCACTTTTTCACCATCGACAGCACGCTGGTCTACATCAGCTTCTACTCGGATTTCGGGCCGTCCAATATGGGACATATTCTCCGATTCTGTGAGATACTGAACGAGAAGTTGGTGGTAAGGTCTAGTGCATTCGTGTGCATACCGTTAGGTTCAGGGCTCTGTCAGACAAGGCTGAATAGAGAGCGTCATTCGCTGACGATATTGGGTTCGGTACCGGGACAGCTGCAGGTGCTGTATTGGTGTTTGACTTGATCCGTGGCTGACCAACGCCCACTCCTATCTGCATCTTGAAATACATGATGCTCCGGATATAGAGTCCCATCAATGCCAACAAAAAAATATGCTTGCTCAGCTCAATGGAGAATGACAAACGCGCCAATGCAGCGTTCCTGATGTGTGCTTACCAGGTGAGTGCATGTGAGGCTGGTGATTCCATCCAGGGGAGCGTGATGACCTTGCATGGGCTTGAGCCGTCAAGGATACAACGAGAACAGAGGTGTGAGCATGAAAGGACGCCAGCGACGATGCGCACTCACCATAACCCTGTCTATGCATCCGCTTCTCGTGAACGGGCAGATGATTGCATTCAAGAAAACCCCAGAGGAAGCCTTCCAGCCGCTTATTGGCATATCGCCTCCATTCACACCCTATCGTGATGCAGGCTATGGGCCAGCAACATACTACATCACCATTCTCGATTGCTTGCGGGGTCTTTACAAGGGTCTCACTACAGGGCTACTGAATCTCGATACTTTTGACTGTGACGAGTACAAGTTTTACGAGCGAGTCGAAAACGGCGATCTCAACTGGATCACAGACAAATTTGTAGCCTTTGCTTCTCCTCACGATGAGCCGGCATCGGCCGGTTTTCCTCCAAACCTAACCGGAAACGGCTTCTTTGGCATGTCTGCTACGGTGGCATGGGAAAAGAACGAAACCAAGGAAGGCCGCACACCAGGCCAGCCATTCTATTCCGCCTACAAAATTGACGATTTGGTGCGCTATTTTCAAGAAAAGCAAGTTCGAACTGTCGTCCGCTTGAACAACAAGATCTATGACCGACAAAAATTTGTCGACAGCGGCATCGAGCACATTGAGCTCTACTTCCCTGACGGAACCACGCCTCCGGATGGAATCCTTAAACGCTTCTTGGATTTGTGCGAGAATCGCCAAGGTAACGCATCTTATGGTGATAGAACATTTTGACCGCTCTAGAACACTTGGCAAATGGGGTGGTTTCTTTTGAGTCAGTTGCTGAGCAAATCGGTCCTGGATTCCAAACCAATCATCGATATCATTGAATTGGCCCTGTTGGCGCTGCAGGCAAGATAGGCATTCACTGCAAGGCCGGTCTTGGGCGTACTGGAACCCTGATTGCCGCATATCTCATGAAGCACTACAAGTTCACTGCTGCGGAGGTCATCTCCTACCTCCGTATTCTTCGCCCTGGAAGTGTCGTGGGCCCGCAGCAAAACTATCTGCAGAGGTAAAGGCGCTACGGCGATAGTTCTCCATGCGCTGTATTTGGACTGATTGCCCGAGCACCATTTCGAAGCCATTTTCGGTGGTACTCGTTCAGAATTTACCCGTGATATTCCATCATCAACCGAGTGAATATGTGCTCGCTGTGCGGGTGAGGGGTTCATGTTGAAGCTCGCCGCTGTCGGACCAAATCAGAGCATGTCGATATGTTGATGGCGCAATTGTATTTCCCATTGCCGAGTATTGCTATTGACCCGCATGGCATACATCGGTATTGCAATCAATATGCTCGCGTGAATGCCGTAACTCACCAACCATGTGAATGAACCATCCTCTATCACAGCATGCAGTCCAAGCTCTGGAAAATGCACCCCTCGAGCAAGCTTCATCCACTGATCTCGCTTCTTAAGCCAGCGACATTTTTCACCACGACGCGCTTCTCTCCGCCAAACCAGATTGTAGCCCTGCTTAGGGTTGTCGATGCCTCCGCTGAACCTGAGGATGAAGTTGATGAGGACTCCAACGTTGCCGGAATTGACACTATGGAACTATCCGATGCCCCTGAGCATCATGGCCAAAAGCCACAGTTTATCCAAAACGATTCAAGTCTTCACCGAGCAGCCAAACCCGGCGAGGTCATGTCGATTCCGGTGCAGCCACGAAAGCATATATCCACGACACCGTCCGCAGGTGAAAGCCGTCCTGGGCGCGCCACCAGTGCCCACCCTTCTTTGGTAAGGTCGAGCGGGGATACTGCTTGTCCCATAGTTGCAGATCTACAGTGTCCTTAGGTATGTTGTCACTAATTTCAATCGATGCTCTCGCTCTTAGGAATCGACTGGGGCAACTATCGCTTCAACGGGTTCCAAGTTCCCGACTTACTCGCTTGGTGGAACCGCTGCCTCGGTGCACGGCGCCAGCTCGACGTCATCCAACTTCAACAACTCCGTGACTCAGAGCACTCAAACACGCTACCAACTTCGTTCGGGGATGCTTCAAAGCGCCGGCGCCGCCGGAAAGCAGAAAGGAGGCTACTCTGCTGCGGGGCCGCTCGGCCCTGGTGTCGGAAGCTTCATTCTGTCCGGGACAAGCAAGCCTGGTTCTGCGAATGCTATTGGAAACCCGATCCGGACCGACGAGGAGCTAGCCAGAGAGACAAGGTCCGGCTCCTCCAGAAGGAATTGATCGCAATGGGGTCGCTCGACAGCTTGACACTGCGACAGTCGTGCTGCGACCTTCTTGACGCCTATGGCATTCACAAAGGCCGCCCGGACTTGATTGCTTTTGAGGGGGGGAAAGGAATACAAACATGTATCATTCACAACGGCTCTTCATCACACCATCTATTTCTGTGCCGCTGCACTGCAGTGCCGCGACCCTATCTCAATCGGTCGAGTGTGGCTCTGTGATCAATATCTCATCGGCCAAGTCCATCGCAACAGCGCGAACGCCGATCGATGTCGTTCAGGCAAGCGGCCGATCAACATCATTCAACTCACGCAAGCCATCGGCGTCCTGATTCAAAACGGGTGGGCTAGCTGGTTGAACGGGAGGAGGCACTGAAATATCAAGAGTTCGTGATGTTACATCGGTCAAGCCGCTGTACAGCCTTCCCGAGCGAGTGCTCTCGCCTTCACCGATCTTGCTGCCTCGAAGGCAAGACAGGGCCGTAGCACTCCTCGGCCCTGAGGGCGACGCTCTCAACAGAATCCTAATTCCGAAGCGTGGGTGATGCCCTGGCGCAGCGATCGATCCCCGCACCGAGGGTATGGTGGACAGCTACTGTCACGGAGTTTCCTATTGATTTCTGCAAAGACTGAATTCGGTGACGATGAAATGAAATGAAATGAAATAACAGATTGCAAAGAAACCACGATCTGGCTTGAACAGGAGGGCGAGCGCAAACAACCATACGGTGCAAATTGGGGTAGCGTTCGAAGACAGATACAACGGCAAATGCAAGTGCAAGTGCAAGTGCGACGACAGCAGCAATGACAACATCCACTGTCTCTGGCAGCGCTGAGGGCACCACATTCCGCAGCGCTCCTACTTTCGCACCAGAACCCTGTATTTGGCCACGGCGACTTCTTTGGTGTCGAAGCCGATCAGGCAGCCCTTGGAGTCGCCAGCAATAGCCTTGCCGGCATAGACGCCGCCAGCATGCTCGGCGATGGCAACGTACTGGGCCGTTCCGTTGGCCTCGGAGCCGCCTTCGATCTGGAACTGCTGAATTGGGATCTTTGCGGCTCCGGACTGCTCGATCCACAGGAGTCGGCTCAGGTCGCCGACAAGGACTTCAAACTCGGTCTCGAAAAACTCTCGCTCGGCGTAAGAGTAGTGGAGGCCCTCGGGGGCATCGGCCGTGACCCATCCGAGATGGACACCCGTTTCGTGGAAGGTGCGGCCGCAGTACAGGGGTCGGCCATCGGCTGTTCGTCCGACGGGGATGGCGCTGGGCGGGATGGCCCGGCTCGAGGTAGCGACCCAGTAGAAGACGGGCGACTGCCCCTGCTGCAGCATGGCCTCGTAGTCCCGGCCGTATTCCCTGGTCTCGGCGAGCCAGTCGTCAAAGCCAGCGACTCGGTCGTGGGTGCGAGAGTGCGGCTTGTAGTCCGAGGGGATAAAGTACGACTGCTTATGGTGGAAGAGCATCTTGGAGCACAGGAGGCGGGGGATGGAGGCGGGCTGACGAAGGGAGAGATGCGGGCCGACGAGGGGAACAGCGGGTCGGCGGGGACAAGCCGAGTGACATGGCTGTGGATGGCGTGGCTGGCTTGCCCGAGGCCAAGGAACACCGCCTTCGTTGGAGTTGGTTGGCCGGACGATGTTCGTCTGTCGGATACATCGCCGAACCCGAGACGCCATCAGCTGAACGCCCGTTCGGACCGAGACACATCCATCGGCCGGGCATACCAACCGAGCCGAGGAGGGACATCAACAGGGCCAAGAGAGCGTATCGACTCGGCAGCGCACCCATCGACAGAGCAGCGACAGTCCAGCCATTGCCGGCTGCACCACCATCCACCACCATCCACCACCATCCACCATGTCGTCCTTCCGCCTCATCAAATCGTGGATCGGCAACGCTGCTCGCCAGATCCTCTTCGAGTCGCCCATTGGGTACTTCTACACGACGGCCCAGGCCGGTGCAAAGCCTCCTCACACCGTCGTCGGCGACGCAGCCATTCACACCGCCGGTCCCTTCAAGATCATCCCTGTCCCCTATTTCGAAGACAACTATGGCTATCTTGTTGTGGACACGGAGAAAGGTATTTCCCACTCTCGGGCCATGGAAAACGATACTCTGCGGGCAGTGCATGCGCTCTGACCTTCACTTCCTGCCCATCGGTACAGAGGAAGCTGCCATCATCGATCCTGCGGGTATGCATGGACGTCTCCAACCGACTTCACCCAAGTTGTCTGTCTAACAAGGGCAATACGGAGCCGCAAATCTCGTCGTGAATATCTCCGTTCGCGGCTCCAAGTGTCGTCTGTTTGTCGCTGAGCTTGCGCTGATCGTATCCTGTCCTACTCTTCGCCATATCGCTCATCAACGAACCACCTCTTCGATCCCGCTCCATCCCAGATCCCGCTGCCATCATGCAGGCGCTTCGTGTGTACGCCCCGACTGCCAGCGTTGCCGCCTTCCTTACCACCCACAAGCACTGGTAGGCAAACTTGCAGCGTCCGGTGCGTGGGTCAGGGCCCGCTTTCATCATGATCACGCGAATCGGTCCGTTTGTGTTGGCTGCGATCCTGTTGATCCACCCATGCCATAATCCGCTCGCCTCGAAACAGGGACCACAGCGGCGGTAACGCCGCCCTCAAGCAAACATTTCCGAGCGCAAAGTTTTACGGCAGCCATGTCGACTTCACCCAGGGGCCCGTATCGTACAACTCGTTCTATTGTATCGATTCGCCTCTACATGGCGGAGATCGATTCAAGGCAAGTCGCTCACCATTCGGCATGCGCGATGGCTTGACGGTTGTTTGGTGGCCTCATGACAAACCGCAGGGGGCCCTGGATGGCTGCTCGTCCTCTGGCGGCCGCCGTCGTCTGTTGATTGAATTGCCTACATGGACTAATGAGAGTCCAATCTTTTGCACAGGTTGGCCGCATGGCTTTCACTGCGCTCTCTACGCCCTACCATACCAAGGGAAGTCTCGTGTATCTCTTCGACCCAGCCCTATCCAATCCAGCCGGTATGTGCATTGGTGTCCAGGTCTCTGTCTATGTCTCGGGCCTCCTCGTACCCGCTTGTCCAACACAGCTCGGTTGTTCTGCCATTCTGGTAGCTGTATGGGCTGGCGCATGGACTTGTGCGCGGAACCATGCTGATATACTGTTGGTTACCGATCGCTGGTCCCCAATCGCCGCTCTGCAGCCAACATGCCAGCATCGGTCTTCACTGGCGATACACTGTTTGTCGGAGGAGTTGGTAAGTCAGCACAAGACGATGCGCAACTGATGCACGGAGCGATGCAAGAGCGCAGGTGGCGATATTGTACAATCTAACCCTGCGACGGGGCGCCTCATCTGTGCCAACCGTCCTTGCTCCTAGGCCGTTTCTTCGAAGGCACAGGCGTCGATATGGCGCGAATCCAGTCTCTACTCAGGGCCGAACTCAATCCCTCGACGTTAGTGTGGCCCGGCCATGAGTACACTCACTCCAATCTGGTGTTTGCACACTGGATCAATCCGTCGAGTGAATCTGTCAAGGTATCTGTTTGTGATTGTATGGCATGGTTAATGTGCCTTCATGACCACATCTGCCTGGTGTCTTAGGATGTGTGTAGCCGCCTCTCTGACAACGTACTGAAGATCTGACGCATCCCGCTATTCTGCATCGTCGCGCGAATTCTTTGATCTCGGCCGAATAAAACTCCAGTCGAAGCTCGAATCTGCAAATAACTGCAAGGCCAGCAACACCCCGACCATTCCCTCCACCGTGGCTGAGGAATTCAGCCACAATCCTTTCCTAGTCGTTTCGGGCTCGACAGCTGACAGCTGGGAGATCCAAGCAAGAATCCAGAGCACCGTATCGCATCAGGATCGAGAGGCCGTCGAGTCTGAATGCCGACAGCAGCTCCAAGCCGAAGGTGGTGGGGACTCGGAGGAGCTCCTGGCACGAGCCATCTTGACGGGCTGCTTGCGCAGGTTGAAGGACCAGTTCAAGCCACCTGTGTCCTCAGCGGGACTAGACCCTAAACTTTGACGGACCAACATTGGCTTGATCACGGCCAATAATGCTCTGGCAGGACGAATGGTGCTGGTTGTGCACGGACGGACGGTGCTGATGTGCATGGCAGTGTGGGAAGAATCGCCGCCAAAGCAAAATACAGATATCCGTTTCGTAGGGAGAGGCCAGCTCTCTTGCTTGGTTCTCTTGCTTGGCTCTTTGGCGGGTCGCCAATGCCACCCTGATGCCCACGGACCGAGCCCGGTCTGGGGCAGAGCTCGTCAATCGGGCCACAGGAGATCGTCTCGCGTGCGGTTCTTGCCTGGCTTGGCGGGAACGCCTGTGTTCATCTTGTCTTGATCAGCCATCGCCCGATCGTCGCATCGTCGCATCGTCGCCCATATCCCGTCGACCTCTCCTGTCGCAAGCCAGATGTACGCCTCGATCGAATACCGCAAGCTCGGCAACGCCGCATTCCAGTCCAAGGACTACACAAAGGCTCTCTCCTGCTACAACACCGCTCTGAGCCTCGATGCCTCAGACTATCTCTCCCTCTCAAACATGTCCCTATGCCAGTCCAAGCTAGGCCTGCACCCACACGCCTACGAGACGGCAATCCACTGCCTGAATCTTGCACCGGCCTCGTACGCCAAGGGCTGGGCCAGAGTTGCATACTCCATGTTCATGCTCGGGTTTGCCCGCGAAGCCTTGATCGTTGCCGCTGCAGGCCTCAGCGCCTGCCCAGGCAACTCCATGCTGACTGAGCTCTCGAAGGAGATCATCTCGGTCCAGTCGGTTATTCCGCCTGCAGAAAACCTCAAAAGCTTCCTCCGTGCTTTGAAGCGATACACCCTTGGATGTCGGTATATCCCCGAGTCGCTCGCGGTCGATGATGTCGATGCCCAGTTCGATCATTTTGCAGCCAAGGTTGCTCGCTTGAAGCTCACCGGCTCATCCTACCTGACGATCGTTGGCTTTCCAAGGCTCGGCAAGGCTCGCATGGATCTTGTTGATGTGCTGATTGACAAGTGCACCTCACACCCACCCGTAAAGTCGCCGTGGCTGGATTTGATTCTGGCTGATGGAGAGGTGGCCGTCATTCCCCTGATCATCATGGCGCATCCCGAGCGGTGGATGAGCCAGTTCGACAGCCTGCAGCCGTCCAGCCGCCTGCGTGTTCCGATCGAAATCGAATACCAGGATCTCTTTCTCCAGCTCTTGATCGTCCTGGTCAAAAACACGGCCCTATCCAAACCCATCGTCGACCGCATCGTCGACATGTGCAAGGACATCCTCGACAACTCGCCGCACCCCAAAACTACCGAGCATAGCCTGCTCTTTATCCAAACTCAGAGCCGGAATGCGCATTTGATCGAACTTGTGAAACTCTGCGAGCGACAAGAAGAGTGTCTGCCGGTCATTCGAAGGGCCGTCATGCGAGACATGATCGATCTCAACATGTTTGGTGACTGGCGGGCCATCCTGCAGTACCTTGGCCTCTGGCTCGATCAGCCGATTGACCTGCCGCTGCAGATCAAAACCTTTCATCTCCGAGCTGGGAGGCTTCACTGGGATCAGCTTCGCTTCGGCCAGGTCGTCGAGGGCGAGCTTGGCTATGTGCATCCCAAATGCTCCAACTACATGTGCACCGTCACTTCGACTCCTGCGGAGCCATTTGAACTGCTATGCGAGATTTGCCTACTCCGCCACTGGTGCTCGACGGAATGCAAGGATCTGGATTGCAGTGACCACCAAGCAGTCTGCAGCGCCGCGCCCGAAATCATGCGTGACAGCATGCTCAAGGCCCTCAGCAACGAGTCCTACCGCGCCAATCCAAACCCTGAGCTGGCCATGTGCTGCAACTGCGAGGAATACGAAGTCGAGCCGAACCAATTCCTGAAGTGCGAGCGTTGCCCGTCTCTGTACTGTAGCGAGTTTTGCCGCGATTACGATGCAACTGAGGGCAGCCACGGATCTGTGTGTCCCGCACCCGAGACGGATGGATAGTCGATCCCCGCACCCTGGTGTCCCTAAAGGAGCCTTCCCAACGAATAGGTTGCGGGCAAAGTCCAGTAGCGACTATACAGGCTGATATTATGCGGTTTGCAACGCGATTGTTCGGCAAGCGTTGTTTCAGCAAGATCAGCACAATATATTGGGTTGGCTCAACATGTCGCTGACACGGCCATTTAATGGAACTGCAGTAGGTATACGACGCTTCCATGAAAACAGAAATCAGCGTACTCCAAATCAAAGCTTAGCAGGGGATTGTGTGGCGGACGGATCTATCGGCGAAGCAAAGGCTGGCTTCTACGGTCATATTCAGATGCAACAAAATAACTTTGGAAAGGAGGCATCAAACCATACAAAGGGGGCGAAGGGAAGCGGAGGTGTGCACAAGCTGGGAGCTTGCACGGGCACTCGTTGAAACGATCGATGTATCGACCAGGCAAGCGACGGTGTTTCGTCTCAATTGAATCTAGCCAAGTGCTGTGGGGGCCCGCCGTATTGAGTGCAGGTTCAAAATGGAGGTCATTAGTCGGCCGGCCAAGACAGAATCAATTACAAGACGAAGCGGGGGGTCGATAGTCAACCACGAAGAGGACGGGGCGAGCCTCAATCCAAAATCGCACAATATCCTGCAAATAGCAGCCTGGGGGGTTCCTCCGCCGCAGTCTAAGCACATCAGAGCGTCATTCGCTCACCTCTTCGATCTCGGCAATCTCGGCATCGTCCATGTCGTCCTCAAGAATAAGGCTATCCGAGGACAGTTGCTTCATAATCGACAAACGCTCGCGAGCAGGTGCAATGCCATCTGGCTCGACCGGTGTGGGCGACAGCATCCCCGACATGCGGTGGATCGAGTTTCTGGGCGAGTGCTCGGCCTCAGTCACATCGACGGCCAGTGTCGCCATGGTGGTCCCGAGAGAATACTCCTCCTTGATGCTGCCGAGAACGACAACGTCGGCCTCCTCTGACATTTCAGATTCGCGCGTCGCAATTGTAAGACTGTAGCCGGTTGCTTTGCCCAAGCTCGAGGCAACCGAAGATTCGCTTCGGCCGCGAAAGTGGCGTGCCCCAGAGCGATCATAGAGGCCTCGAGTCGATGCTTCGTCGTCATCCTCGAATTCATCCTCAGAGTATGGCGATACCGCAGCAGTGCTTCCATTCGAGCGAATCGATGCAGTCACTGCCGGAGCCCCGTTTGTATCGTCGGTGACAGGCAGAGGGCTGGCACCCAACGGGAGATCTGAAGAGGCTTCGTGGGCTGAATGTGCCTCTTTCAAAAGCGTATAGGCGGCTTCGTTGGTGAAGATAGCTTCGTTGTGTGTGATCAAGTCTCTCAGCAATCGCGCCGGGTGCTTATCATGAAGCGTGACCTTGGTGTCGTGCTTGGGCCGCAAGATGATCGGCCCGAGATATTGAGTGAACTCGGTGATACGCGAGTCGGCCTTGTCGACAGACTCAACCATCCTGTGCGGCACACGAATAGGCATATCAGCGATTCACCGGTTATGACACCGCCGTCGCCTGCTATCGCAGCGCTCACCTCGACCAGTGTCGCGTTAGTGCTGCCAGCGAGAAGAAGTGGGCTGGCGTAAGCGTCATAAGAAGGCTCCGCAGCGATGTCAAGCGCATGGGGGTTTCGTCTTCGGTTTCTGTGGACAGGAGATGAGCAGATGGAATGATGTCAAGCGCGGGCGCCACGACATGAGCATGCTCATTATAGCAACGAGAGTGGCCTACTGGAAAAGTATAAAAGCTTCAAGGGTTCGTAGATTTCGTGACTGCGGCCATTGATATACGGATGTCAGTGCAGATAAAGCCAGACAGCAGAGCAAAATCGATGCGACACCCCCCCCCACATCAAAATCAAAAGGCTCACCTGCACACCGAAGCGGGAAGCTCTACCATGTAGAGCTTCAGGACCCCGACCAGGATTTGGGTAGGCAGCTTGCGGATGTCTTTGGTTATCAAGGGACCGCCGTTCAGCTTGCCACGGAGGGCACAGACGGCCGAAAGGTTGGTATTGGATTCCAGCCTGATCAAACGAGAGCAAAGCGATAGGCAGAGCTACTTAGATATCCTGCGATTCGGGCCGCATGAATATGTGGAACACCGTTTGTCGCAGAGGATCCAGGTGGTGTCAGCACAGTCCGAGCAGAATTACCAGTGATTGAGTTCGCCCGAAGCATAGTCGCGCGCCTGGCGCTCTTTAAGCACAGCCAGGCACTTGCGAATAATATCTGGGACACGGCGCTGCTGGTGAGCAGTGGATTCTTCAAGCGAGACGCCAAACAAGGTATCTCGAGTCCCAAAGTGATGGGAGTGGTACACAATAGGAGGAACGCGAGAGGTGCCGGTTCGTTCACGATCAATAAAGACCTAAAGGTGCGGATAATCGGAGCAGGCGTTGATACGCATTGTACTACTGATGGACCAAGGCCAACAACCACTCAGCGAATTTGATGCCTTCGTGTAAACAACTCTCGGTGCCTTGGAATCGGTTCTCGATTTGCTCGAGGTTGTACAGCGATGGATAGCATCCGATTGGTGCCAATCTAAGGCTATGAGTATCTGGCTGACGTCCAGCATCCGGTCCGCGGAATCAAGGACGTGGGTGATTTACCTGGAGCTCTTTCTCTGGGTTGAACGTTTCCAAGTAAATATTCAACTTGTCGGTCACTTGCTGAATGATCGGAACCGTGAGTTGCTCCGCAGCCGCAACACCCTTGGTAACACTCCGCATGATCTGCAGCTTGGAGAGCTCAAGCTGCTGCATCTGATGCATGTAGTCGACGCAGTAGCTTTCCAGTAGGATTCGTGTGGCTTCGGCGGCCTCGACGGCTTTCTTATACTCCACATCGGCCCGCCGAGCTTCGCGCTGGAGCTTTTTGAACAGGACATCGGTCTCGATCTCCGTCTTTTTCCACTGGTAGAATGCCTGGGCGCTGAATAGTGCCGAAGTGCGGTTGCCGCCACTCACGGACTTGAGGAACCCCTGGGCGACGAGATATTCGACGATCGACAAGGCTCCAGAGTCGTCAATGCCAAGTTGTGTCTTTGTGAACTCGACAATATCTTGGCCCAGATAGCATGACTTGTAGGTGCCGAGGAGCGTTTTGAGATCCTGTCGTCCCAATAACCCCAGGGAGGAGATGGAGACACATTCCATGTTAATTGATGTCGCCTTGCGCCTCGGCAATATCACCGAGGGATAATTTTAGCGCCGTTGCCACTGTTCTCAACGCGAAGTGTCTCCATTGTGGCAGGTGTTCAGTCCGATGCCAGATCTAGCTATGCTGGCAGGCGATCGGTGGGTTTACCTGCTGGCGCGTCTGGCTCTGGCAAAGGGCGAGGACCGAGTTAAAGTCCTCGATAAGGAAAGCGTAGATGCCGACATTCACCATAGCCTCGTCCGGATGTGATCGCGCCGAGTCGGTCGAGGATTTATCGCTCGAGTCTGTTCTCGACACTTCCTCGTTCCAGTTTCGCTCCTCCGACTCGGCCATGGTGTTTTTCTTTTCGTACAGTTCTTGGGCAATCTTGACCTCGATCTGCTGCTTTTCCATCTTTTTGAATGTCGCCTCGATCCCCTCCTTCCGCAACAGACTTGCCTTTCGATTATCATCGAGGTACTTTTGCAAGAGCCGTACAAGTTGATGTAGAGCGGCAGACACTTGTTTTCGCGACTGGGACAACGTCTCGGTTTCCTAAAAGGAAGGCCGGCGTTTGGCAGAGTCGATGCCGACCTCGGCAACGGTAAGCCGAGTGTGGGAGCACCATCGGTGAGAAGAGAGAGGACACGCGACGGCCAACTTGCAAGAACGGCAGCTATAAACCGGCGGCGGCCAACGGCGTGCGGCCAGAAGGACCAAGGGCTGGCGAAGGACAGAAAGGCAGAAACGACCCAGCGTCCCTCCAGCGGTGGCCGATGTCGGTTGAGAGTCGCGAGTGGCGCTCTCTGGAGGGATGGTGGGACGCAGGCACTCGGAAGACCAACGGCACCAGGTTCGACCACAGCGAGAGAAAGATAGAGCCCACCCAGTCCGCAACGCCCGTCGGCTCGGAAACATACGCTCTTAGCGATCTTGAAGATCTCGCTGATGAGCGAGTCGTCCTTGCTAAATCCGTCAGCTCGATATTTGGACTTGCCAATGTCAGACAGCTTGGAGGCGTAGTATTCTTCGCACACAATGCGCTCCCGCAGAAACTGAAGCAGCTCCTCAATCTGAACCAAGCCCTAAAAGCGAGCCCATCGAGGGTTTGATAAGAAGTCGGGCTCGAGCAGGTGTAGAGCCACCGTTGCTGTTGCGGGCCCCTTCTGGTCCAAGAGACCCATGGCCGTTGTTGGGCAACACCGGCGGCTGCCTTGCCGGTCTGCTCGACGACAGGTCCTCAGCACGGCGGCCCTGGCTCTGCCAAATACCGTGGTGGCTTTACCGTATTAAAGTGATCATGAAGCTTCTTGATGCCCACGAGGGGATCCTCTGTCGGGAGGGCCAGCAAGAGAAATCAGAGACAGTCACGCAAGCTGCCGGGTCGCTGGCCGGGGGAGACCATGGGAGACAGAGCTGTTCGGATATGCCAGCGAGCAGCAGAGGGCCGCACCGTTGTTGACGGACCAGAACCAGTCCTCGAACCTCAGCATGGCGGCAAAAGGCAGATACTCTCGGATGGCGGAGCGGATAGACAAGAGCAGGCGGATGGTCTGGCGCCGATCGCCACCGAGCCTGGACCAAGAATGACCAGGCGACAGCAGGCCGTGGCGGTGCACCAGGCGCGGAGACGCAACCAGGCGGGATCGGCAGTCGACTTCAGGTGACCTGCGCGGCGCGCCACCCCACCCGTAAATAGCGCGGCAGCGGGTACACAGGACTGTGGCGTGGTGCTGCTTGTCGATGCGTGTGTGGATGCAGCAACAGCGACTGTTGCTGCCGCCCGATTTGTGCAAGGCTGCTGCGCTCTGTGTGACGCCCGCACCGGTTTTGTCCGGCCCTTGTGCGCTTGTGATCCACGTTCTCGCCTCTCGGCCCTCGGCGCTTCCTCGCTCCTCTGCATCTCTCCTGGTTGCGGCCCTGCAACACTCACGATCGCCCTTGCCCCTCATCTCATCACTCTCCGTTGCTCCTGCCCTGCCGACCCCAGCGCCGGCCATCTCTGGATCTGCATATCGCAATGTCGGATAACAAACAGACGCTCTTGAGCCTGCTCAAGCTCGAGGGCAACAAGACCTGCATCGATTGCGGGGCCTTCTATCCCCAGTGGGCCTCCGTCACCCACGGCATCTTCTTTTGCTTGGACTGTTCGGGCGTCCACCGCTCGCTCGGCACACACATTTCGTTTGTCCGCTCCGTCTCGATGGACAAATGGTCGGACGAGCAGGTCAAGCGAATGCAGCTTGGTGGAAACAAGAAAGCCCTAGACTTTTTCAAATCTCATCCAGGTTGGCGTCACCTATGGCTCTCGAGCAAACGGAACTGCGATACCATCGCCTTTCGTTGAGGATCGCATCCTGGAGGAGCAATCGGACTTGACGGCAGTTACATCCGGCTTCCGTACAACGCTAATGAGCCTAGAGAGTGTCGACCGCATGGAGCTCGACCTTGAAAGGGCAGATGCGGGCAGTGTCACTTACCCAGTCCGCCCTCTTGAACACTGGCTCTCGAACGATCCATCGCCTTCTCGATCGGCCCGGACTTGACGACGAAATTCACATGGTTCCAAAAAGACTGGCACGAGGACATGACGATTCAGGTATGCTTGCGGCCGCTCTGTGAGTGGGTCAATCTTGTCGTTGTCGTTGTCGTTGCTGGATTATGTACAGTGTAGAAACTAGCTTCCTGTCACATCATCGCCAACCTCAAGGACTGACATCCTGTCTATTCTGGCTTCTGATAAATCCAGGAAAAATATCAAAGGCAGGCCACTCCCTCTATACAGCCCCTTGCTCTTGCCTCCGAACAGCCCGCTGACTCACCCTTCCCTTTGCCCACCACATATGCAACAGTGAATTTGCCCGAGCTTACAAAGAAAAGGTAGTGTATGGATCTGTCCGTTTATACAGTTGGTGAGCCCCAGAGCTTGTGCTAACTTGGCCTGTCGATGTGTCCAGCTGACCGCCGATGTAGAAGGAAGAGCATTCAAAATGCCTCCGCGATCGAGCACGCCCAGCTCAACCACGGCAAGATCGACCACTCCCCGCTCAAATGCGACCTTATTTTCTGACACCCGAGGCAACTCGTCCCCCCAAGCCACGACCTTTAACCAGAGCAGCTTTGGTAATGATCCAAATGACAGAAAGGCAAAGGTCGATGAGGACTACTTCAAGGTAAATTGCTGTCCAGGGTGTCCCGCTGTTCCTTAATGGAGGCTATGTAACGACCAGCCACCGGAGCAACTGTCAAAGCCGACATACTAAAGCTTGGCCGTATCGATGCTGTTTCAGAGACTCGGAAATACAAACGAATCGCGATCTGCAAACCTGCCCCCAAGTCAGGGCGGCCGATATGTTGGATTCGGAAACTCTAGCTGTGAGTCGATTGATGTACAGATAACCCCCCCCCGCTTGACTGAAGCTCGAGTATTTGTTCGCGATGATATCGAATGTGGCTACCGCCTTGGATGAAATGGAGAGTGCTATTGCGGTTGCCCACACGTAGCGCCTTCATTTGCCTGATGCAATCACCGCTCCTCCATTGATTCCGACGTTGCTCTTGGCAGATGCCCCCACTCCTTCTCGTAACAATGCCGATATACTGGCCGATCCTATGTCCACGCTTTCAATGGGGTGGTCCTTTTTCAGCTCCACCGCTCAGACAGCTGTTGGTGCGCTTGGCGTTGCCGCCGCTGAGGGTACAAAAATGGCCCTTTCGAGCGCCGAGACTCTCGGCCAAACTCTGACTGAAAAGGTGATTCGCCCAACCACTGATGCAATCCGAGACCCTACTTTCAGCGAAAACATTTCCGCCTATGCATCCACTCTCCAGCGCCAGGTATGAAGCACAAGACAGAGATTTAGAAGGCTGACCGAGAAGCTGTCTCGCTTGCATTTGGAAAGAGACTGCGAGGACTTTGGTTGCACTCGTTATTGCTGGATGGACCAAATTCCCCCTCGAAACGATAATTCGGAGATGCTGATGTACTTTACTCACAGGTTACGGAGGGCGGAAGCAAAGGTGTGTCATTCATTTCCGGGTTTGTCCAATCCAAGGCCACGGGCCCCGGCGACAGCAAGTACACCGGGTTTGGATCCGAAAGCAAGTTTGCCTCATATGGATCCACACCTAGCACCCATAACCCCACGGATGATCATGGCGACGACTTTGACGACTTCTGGAGCCGAGGAGACCAGTATGATCGGAACAATGGCTCTCATTTTGACCAGCAGCCTCATCAGGGAGACGAGGATACATCCCTCAGTCAACATTACTCGCAGCCTCATCAAAACGACCAATACGAAGAATCGGTCGTTGATGATGTCTACCAGAGCGAAATCCAACCTCAAGTTGTCTCGAAAAAGGCCGCCACCACCGCCGCCAGGTCACGGAGCTCTCAGGCGGCCAGCAAAAAATCGGACTGGGAGGATGACTGGGACAATTGGAATTGATTCCGTGCGCAACATGGTTGATCGGCCGGGATGATGCACGGGCCCGCGGTGGGACGCTGATGGGTAGCCGAGGCGACTGATGGAAATACGATCCCCCCTCAAAACTGCCCTTTCTTTACCCATCATACACATGCTCTTCAGACAGCTGATCGACTTGAGGCCCGTCGTCCTTGCTAATAACCAGGATTGGACTGGTCCTCTTGTCCATTTGGCCACTCGCCGGGACATTCCAAGTCGGGTCCCTGACAGACCCCAGCAGGACTGCATCGGCAGATACGTATCACCAATGAGTGCGTTGATTCCGTCCCCGGTCGCCGCGACGGCAGCGGTCAACTGAGGAGGGATATGATCAGCCACGTTGACCGATACAGTTACAGGCGAGATGAGATATGGATCGACTGAGCCGGTGGAAACAGCTTGATGGCGGCCGTTGAGCCTTCCATTACCCACCTGTCCACCAAAGTAAGCCTGTCCTGGTCGTGGCAGGGGCACCATCACCCATGCTGCATCCCATTGGAGTCAGGCTCGCAACGGGCTGGTTTTGAAGGCTGTATGTCTCGAACATTCGGCGAGTCGAGCAGGCCCGCCGTGGCCCCGATCACCACAGCATCGCTCGGCTGTCGGCATTGTTGCGCCAGCCGGGCTCGCTCTGGCCTTCCCAACGCAACACGACACTGAAAAAATTGATAGTGCAAACAACACGCGCCTTTTTGGTCTTCACCTTCGTCAACCCGGAGCATTACCCCCCCCCATTCCTCAGCCGCAAGTAAGGCGCTATCACCATGGCTCAAGCGCACGTCGATATCATCCAAGCGGCCCGCGAATACCTGAGTCTGGATAAGGTAGGGGCTAAGGACACCCGTGCAGAGCGGATCAGATATAATCAAGCACGCCGAAACCTCGGGTCGGGTGATGTTGAAGCCTGGCACTGAGCAGAGCCATCGCAGTGTTCAACAACGGCCTCGCCAATGCTGATCCAGGCTATTCTTGCAGAACCCCAGAACACACAAAGAGATTCAGACACTCCTTGACAATGGCGATGTCCAAGAGCTTCAGCAGAGGCTTGGCGAGAGGATGACTTTTGGCACGGCTGGTGAGCACATTCGAGCGGGTGAGCCGATGGAGGATTGGGCTGCTGCCACCGTAAGAGCTTACAGGCATACCCCTGTATACAAAGCCATGCACCTTGATCAGCCGATATTCGAGCCGGGATGGTGACGATGTGGGCCGAGCAATCGACTGGCTCACTCGACCTTGTTTTCTTCGATCCAGGCCTCCGATCGGCCATGAAGGCTGGCTATGCCTTTATGAACGACCTTACGGTCATCCAAGCATCGCAGGGCTTGCTTCGTTACCTGGTGGCTACATTGACCACGGAGTCTGTATCGGCAGCTGGAGTCGTTGTTGGCCATGACCACCGCCACAACTCGGACTCGTTCGCCAGGTAAGGGATTGTAGCGAGCCGCCAATCGCTTTCGACGGCGCACCAAGGAGGAAAGGTGTCGCCTCCGCTGTTCCCATTTGCTGATCGCTCAACTGCCCGCAGATTGACGGCAGCCGTATTTTTATCGCAAGGAGTCAAAGTGTATTATTATCCCGATCTGGTTCATACGCCGTTGGTGGTAAGTGAGTTGAAAGACGATCGCTCGAGCAACCTACCTTGTCTATGTTATTGATCAGGTGCATTTTTTGAATCCCAGCCATTTGCAGTGAAGACCCTTGGGGCTGTTGCTGGTATCATGATAACGGCGTCACACAATCCGAAAAACGACAACGGTGAGCCAAAGGGTTGCAAATAGATCGATAGATCGATAGATTGTGAACCGGGAGAAGGATGGATATTGACTATGTAGCTAGTCGATGTTGTTATTTACGATCGTGATTTCAACTTCCCAACAGGCTATAAGGTTTATTGGGGAAACGGATGCCAGGTAAAACTCACTTCCAGAAGGGCGGAGACACTCCAATGTCTTTACGATGGCTCATATTGGTCCATCGTTTGTGCTGTCCCACCAATTGCTCTTTCGGATCGATAGATTATTCCTCCTCATGACAAAGGAATCGCCTCGAAAATCATGTAAGTGGGCAGTGGTGGGGTTGCTGAAAATGCGCCACCACACCATTCGCTCGCCGATCGTAATCAACTCTGCATCATTGTAGCGAAAATCTGGTTCCCTGGACTTGGGATTACCAACTTGTCGAGACATCTTCCCTATGCGTCCGTTTGGGCGAATCGATCGTGAAAGAATATTTTGATAAAATCGAGAAGCTCTGTCAGCACAAGTAAGCCCGCACATTTGAGGGAGCCGAGCCTCTTTTCACTCTGATCTTGACAGCCGACTGCCCCGTTGACTAGGGAGGACAACATTGCCTCGCAAGTCCGAATCTGCTACACCGCCATGCATGGCGTAGGCTTTGAGTTTGCCAAGCGTGCTTTTGAACGGTTTGGTCTGCCCACTTTGATTCCAACGGAGGCTCAGGTAAACTCGCGTCGTGTGTCGCTGCATGTGAGCACCCCATTTTAACACGACATTCATCTACATGACGTAGGTGCTTCCGGATCCGGATTTCCCAACTGTGGTGGGTGTCATAAACATAAAGATTCAAGCAATGTCCTGTGGCACCTTGGAAATTGAGCCGACGACGCGTTCTGGGCTGATCATATAGCTGTGACATAGGAGTTTCCCAATCCAGAAGAGGGCAAGGGCTCCCTAGTGAGTATCAGCACAGTCACAGCGGCCGCGATCGCAAAAATCGACGAGTGTCGACCTTCTACTTTTCGACATTATCAAGGATGACTGAGTTGCTGGCGTCGATTCACAGGCTCTCGCTTTCAAAACTGCCGAGGCTCACGGGGCTAAGGTGGTGTTTGCAAACGATCCCGATGCTGATCGATTTGCTCTAGCTGAGCAGCTCCCGAGGTAAGCATAGATATGTGGTCACATCGCATCCAATATGGTGAGCACAGTATACACAATTACTGACACTTGTCCATAGCGGGGAGTGGCACGTTTTTTCGGGCAACGAAATTGGAACGTTGTTTGGATGTCATTTATCCCAGAATTTGCCGCACGGAAAGTATGCCATGCTCGCAAGCACGGTATCGTCGAAAATGCTTGAGTATGTCGGCAAAGCCAGAGGATTTAGGTTCGAAGAAACCCTTACGGGCTTCAAGTAAGCGTTGGCTTGGATCGGCATTTGTGTGGACATTATATACTGTGAAAGTCGGATCGCTCATGCAAGCAACGACGTGGCTCCAATTTACAACTTAGGTGGCTTGGAAATCGAGCAATCGATCTGGAGAGCAGCGAGGATTACCAGGTTTTGTTTGCCTATGAAGAGGCCATCGGCTTTATGATCGGCGACATCGTTCGCGACAAGGACGGCATCAGTGCTCTGGCGGTCTGCGGCGAGCTCGTTGTTCAGCTTCAGAAGAAGGAAATGACCTTATTTGGATATTTGGATTCGCTGCGTCGAGAGTATGTCATGATATTGAAGAATATTGCAAACTACGCCCAAGTTCATATGCTGCCGATATCATGCCTGAGCACTGAGCACTGAGCACTGAGCACTTGATTAATTACAAACACCATATATTGATGATCAAGATTCGGCTACTTTGTTTCCAACAACTCTTATTTTGTATGTCATGATCCGCTCACGATCAAGAGAATATTTGAAAGAATTCGATTTGGAGAAACACCGGTAAGAACCTCGTCTGATCGCTTACAGAGCTCAGCCTTTGCTGGATGCACAGGGACGAACCCGGTGAGCAAGACAGAAAGGAAGACTGGTTGTAATTGGAGCAGATAATAACAGTTCTGTTTGGCAACAGGTTCCGTCGGCGGTAAGTGGCTGTGAAAGCATCGTTACGGATTCTCGAGCCTTGTCACATATTCATATTTGCTCGACATCTCGCGTAGCAGTCTCCTTTCAAGTACGAGCTTCAATATCCACGAGTGATTGGAGGAAGCAAAGTTACTGCGATTCGTGACCTGACCATTGGATACGACTCAATGCAAGCTGACAACAAGCCGGTGCTTCCGGTGTCCGCCTCTTCGGAGATGATAACATTCAGGTAACTTGGGGTCAAGGTCATAGGAGTCTTTTTGAGCACAGACTTATCGTTGCTTTCAACAGATTTGAAAATGGCGGTGTCCTCACCCTAAGAACATCCGGAACAGAGCCCAAGGTAAGAACGCTGAATGTGAGCGAGATTATCGGCAATGATGGACTCGCTAACAATTGAATATTCCAACTGGAAACCGCGGTTTCAGATCAAGTACTATAGTGAGTTGGGCGGCAAAACCTCCGAGGCTGCCAAGGCTGCACTCGACAGAATCGTCGAGGGCTTTGTGAATGAATTGATGCAGCCCGAAAGAAACCATCTTGGATATCGCAAAGAATGACGATCAAACCCGGAAAATGCATTGATATCAGCCGATCATGTCCAAGATGGCTCAGAGGAGTTCATGTTTCGGTGAGTCTCATTCTCAAGAGGAGGAAATGAGATATAACCAAATCAAACCTGCGAAATATACAGCAAATCCAAAATCACGATGCTGGAGAGGCCTTGGAAACAAATATTGATGCTGCGGGCAAAGTTGGAACAGTTGCAAAGTGCAAGGATCAAGCACGATGCGACGGAGAGAGCGATGCAGATGGCCAGAGTGTCGGAGTGGTTAGAGTGTCAGAGTGTCGGAGTGGTCGGGCCGAGCCACACCAGCAACAGCCAGCAACAGCCAGCAACAGCCAGCAACAGCCAGCAAAGCCGCTGCGGCTCTGAATGCGGACACTGGGCTGGCGGGTGGCTGGTGGGCTGACTACAATCTGGAGGCGACATGGACAGATGGGCGACAGATGGGCGACAGATGGCTGACAGGCGGCTGACAGATGATAGACAACCCGCCCAGAGTAGCCTGGTCATATATGCGTATTGGTGTAATTGGATCGAGCCATGATAGTATAGTGGTAGTACATTGCGTTGTGGCCGCACCGACCCTGGTTCGATTCCAGGTCATGGCATTCTCTTTTTGCTCTGCTCTGTTCTGCCGTTTCGTCTCTTCGTCCCTTCGTCTCTTCTTCTTTCGGCCTGCATTTGCATTTGCTGTTTCTTGCATCTCCTGCATCTCCTGCATCTCCTGCATCTCCTGCATCTCCTGCACGATCGGCATGATTTGTACTGCTTGAGTCTTCGCCGCCCTGCTCTCTCCACCTGCTTGCACACCACTCACGCTCCACTCACGCTCCACTCCCATTCCCACTCCCATTCCCACTCCCATTCCCACTCCCACCACTCCCGATTCAGTCTTGGTCGACTTGTTGAGAATCTCCACACTGCTGCGTCCGATGTCTGGATGTCCCTGCCTGCATGCCCACACCGGATCGCAACCAATCTGTCTCCCGGATGCTCGTTGGTCTGCGGCCCAGATGTCCACCATTGAGCCGGATACTCGGGCCTTCCGGCATGATGACCATGGTGGGAGAGTTGGCGAGCCAGCTAGCCAGCGCCGGAGCAGGAGCAGGACGGGTCTGGCCTTGACAATATTGGTGCGGAATGTCAGTTGATGGTGCCTGAAGTATCGGCGGCATCGATGTGAGCGCCGTGGTGAGCTGGAAACACAGGACAAGTGGCCACGGAGTATCGATATCGGCGGACTTGAACTGGGCAGACGAATGCTGGTGGCTTTGGTGGAGTAGATGCGGGATATTGCGGACTGGCGACGAGTGGTGGAGTGACGGTGAGTGGAGTGCAAGCAGGTGGAGAGAGCAGGGCGGCGAAGACTCAAGCAGTACAAATCATGCCGATCGTGCAGGAGATGCAGGAGATGCAGGAGATGCAGGAGATGCAGGAGATGCAGGAGATGCAAGAAACAGCAAATGCAAATGCAGGCCGAAAGAAGAAGAGACGAAGGGACGAAGAGACGAAACGGCAGAACAGAGCAGAGCAAAAAGACAATGCCATGACCTGGAATCGAACCAGGGTCGGTGCGGCCACAACGCAATGTACTACCACTATACTATCATGGCTCGATCCAATTACACCAATACGCATATATGACCAGGCTAATCTGGGCGGGTTGTCTATCATCTGTCAGCCGCCTGTCAGCCATCTGTCGCCCATCTGTCGCCCATCTGTCCATGTCGCCTCCAGATTGTAGTCAGCCCACCAGCCACCCGCCGGCCCAGTGTCCGCATTCAGAGTCGCAGCGGCTTTGCTGGCTGTTGCTGGCTGTTGCTGGCTGTTGCTGGCTGTTGCTGGCTGTTGCTGGCTGTTGCTGGTGTGGCTCGGCCCTGACCACTCCGACACTCTGACACTCTAACCACTCTGACGCTCTGGCCATCTGCCTCGCTCTCTCCGTCGCATCGTGCTTGATTATTGCGCTTTGCAACTGTTCCAAGTGTACCAGGAATATACTCCATGTCAACTCGGAAACAAGTACTGACGATCAAGTGCTTCGGCCGCTGGTACGATCGCAGGGGCGACTCAGGCTTCCTCACGTCGCAGGTGCTCAGACACATTGCGGAGCTCCCAGTAAGGGATGCAAACAAAAGGATCCTCTCCAAGCTGACCGGAAACGCCACCTGGAAAGAGCTGGAACAGCAGCACAGAACCTCCCCAGAGCATTCAAGACCGGCCCTATTCGAGAAGGGGACAGGGACAGGCGTTCCCATCAAGAAGGCAATGATTATGCGCTTATACGAAAAGGAAAGAAACCCAAACAAGGTGATGTCGATCGCAGGCACCTACAAATGGGATGGAGACCCTATCCTGACCGCACGGATGCCAGTGATATCAGTCGCTCAAGCCCGAAGAATGTTTCTCTGGCGGGTCGGAGGCTTCCCTCCCAAACCTGATGGAGCGTGCAGGAAGCCCGGACCCAATGGTCTCAAAGTCCCCGTGAACAGGAAACATGCGTCGGAATGTGTCCGAGCCAAGAACCGTCTCGAGCAGTATGTACACCCTGCGAGGATCCCCGAAGGCATCACGTACATCGACCTTGCAATCGACGCACTCCCCAAGCTGGCTCGAGTGCCCGCAAGACCAGCCACCATCGACCAGGAAAAACTGAGCAAATGGCGAGCCAAACGCGAACGAATCCTCAACAACAGACCAGCGATCTGGCTGGATGTCGTGGCGGTGTTGGATGACATCGCAACTGAATGTCTGTCGTGGACGCCAATCCCTCGGATACGCCGCGCACGACAGTAGGAGCCTGAGGAAGTAGTGCCACAGGCATACGTCAGCACAAGTCTGGACATGGAAGTTGGAGCTGCAGATTCCAAACTGTCACTGGATAGACCGAGTTGGACCGAGTTGGACTGAGTTGGGTTAAGCATACTTCTATTGTCATCAGGCCCGCTTAGACCCCCCCCCGCTGTCCTTGATAGGGGGCCATTGGCCAGATAACTTAAGCGACGCCGATGAGTCGGCTTGAGCTTGGATGTTCATGCACTGTCGTCGGCAGCGAGCCGAGCAGACGACCTAAGTCCTCGTTCCTGACTGATGCTAGACGTTTGTGCCACTTCTGGCTTCGGTTTATCAGCCCATGTCCAATATAGGGGCCTCTGCTTGCTTGCTCGGGGTTCTCCGTCTTCGTCGACAACAACAAGATGATCGAATACATCTTTATTCGACCCACGGCACTTGATTCAAAGAGCGAAGGCTCCTTTTGGATCAAATCAAAGCCACATCGGAAGTGTGAGGGATAACGACTAGGGTGCCAAACTGGTCCGTTCGGCAACCCAGCACCTTTGGTCAACGAGTGCCGTTCAGACTCTATCGCTATATCAAAGGGCGTTCATCGCCTGGCCTTCTATCGTGTCTTATAGGCGAGATCTATGCTTTGTCGGGGCCATGGAGTCCATTCCTTAAGTGGGGCGGAGGTAGCAATGTTTGTAGACACAGTCAATCAGTGATAGAAAAACGCCACGCAGTTTATTTGGTTGGAATAAATTTGATCTTATAACACAGCCATCATTTCGGAAGGTTGTCACCGACAGATCCGGCGCGGCGCTAGAGGTCGAGAATGGGATGATAGCTGCTCGGTCATGAAACGCACAGGGCGTTGAGGATGGGATCCCAGGGCATACTGCTCGCTCATTGGATGGGGCTGTGGTCTGCTGCTATCCGAGTCTCAGATATCTCCATGCGGACGATGGGGGATCAGATTTTGGATTCAGGAACAAAGCCCACCAGAAACGCGAATAGGGATATGGAAGAAGACTTGCTCGCAATTGGCGTTTTCCGATAGATTTCCAGCGCGCAGATTGACCTGCAGAGACTGGAAAAGCAGGCGCGGGTTCTTGAGCGTGGCGTCACGATTGTTTCTCCATTCCTTGAACTCGTCCGGATGAGTGCCGACCTTGACGTGCTTGTTCAACTCCATCTGCTCGCCCAGGGTGGAGACCCAGTGGTGGTTGGAGCGACCATCGTCACCGCCGGGAGGGTAGTCGTGGCCAACGTAGACTGGGGTGTCTTTGGGCAGGGTGTTGAAGAGGTTCTGGATGCTCTCCCAGAGGTCATGGGTACTGCCACCAGGGAAGTCGCATCGAGCTGTCCCGACATCAGGCTGGGAAGGAAAGGAGGGCAAAGTTGGCATGTCAGATATCAGCTCCAATTCGTATGGATGACGGAGGCACCGTATTGAGGAGCCTTCACATAGCTGAGATTGTCAGATCGCGCGCTAACGACTGGGATCAGATCGAGACTGGCGACTCCATGGGTTTACGCAAGAGACAGTATCTACGCGATACACAAATGCAACGCAGCCGATGGCGGGCATCCTGCATCCAGCGGGTAGCCATGATTCCAGCAGAGCGCCCGTGGCGTACCAGGAAAAGCGAATCGCCGCAGAAGAGCGAGTTGCCAATCAGATAGGAGATATCGGCGGGGGTGTGGCCGCGGGTCGGGATGATCTTGCACTTGAGATTTCCAAGGGTCCACTCCTGTCCATCCTCAAAGAGGACGTCCCACTGGCGCCCGTCTTTGGGGAAGCTCTCGGGGAAGTTGAGGATCTTGGAGAAAGTCTCCTGGACGACGGTGATGTTTTTGCCGATGGCGACTTTGGGCTGTTGTTGGTCAGGTCGCACGCGCGACCGGAGGAAATGTCGCAGGACGCGGGACACATGCGGTGGAAAATCGCGCAATCGAGCATGTGAGTTGCGAATGACGAAATCGGCAAGATCTGATTGACAGGAAAGCCCACGGCGAGCGATTCTGGTGCCGGGGTCGGCGCGGAGCGGGGGGTCTCGCGACAATACACACACCATCGGACAGAGCAAGCAGGGGCATGCGGCTGACGATGGAGGCGGGTTCGTACCTTTCCATCAAGCTTCTTCTTGAGATATTGGGCAGCGGTCAAATGGTCCTGGAGACGCAAGCGAGTGCTGGATTAGTGAGGCCGCACGACAGAGGATATAGCCCCATAAAGGGTCATGTTCGTGTTCGGTAGCAAGCAACGAACAAGCAGACTCACCGCGTGGCAGTGTGTCTCCAGAATCCACTCGACAATCAGACCATTGCTCTGGATGTGCTGGAGCAGATTATCGGCCGAGGTGGTTGAGACGATGGCTTGGATGGGGTCGAAATCCAGGACCGAGTCGATGATGGCTGTTTTCTTGGTGGCTGTGAGTGGTGCGGGAATGCGTCGGGAAGAGGAAACAACGCGTCAGATACTCTGGTAATAGAGCAGCCTTGGAACTGCAGGGGCTGGAAGCGGGGCGATCGCTCAGCTGGGCTATGCCAAGATCAACTCACCAGGGTCGCTGACAATGAACTGGCAGGTAGCCGTCTCCTTCTCGAAGAAGCAGGTAACGTTAGGAGCAGTCATAGCGCGGAATGTTGTGGATGTGAATGGGCGCGTTGGGCGGCAAGATGAGAGAGAAAGGCGCGGCTGGGGCCAAGGGATGAAGGGAGGGCGATTGATGCTGGCTGGGCGGGTCGAGGCCGGGGCGGGCGGGAGGCAATAAATACTTGGACGGAGCTGAAATGAGAGGGGAACGAGTGGGATACGCAGCCGAGAAACAAGGGGCAGACGACGCAGGCCACGCCGCGGCAGCATCAGCATGACGACGCTCTCAACGCCCTTGACAACACTCTGGCCGACGCTCTGGCCGACGCTCTGGCCGACGCCTTGCAAGGATGCGAAATCGGGGAGGAGGCGACTGGGATCACGGAAGCGGAGCCGACCCGTGCAGGCCACGTGCTACCCCACACCCGGCGGGCCAATCGCGCGCAGGCACCCCACACCGAGCGGACCACTCGCGGGGCGTGGCGCATGCCGCCATGTGGCTGCTGCGCGCGGGGCGGTGCTCTGCCGCGTGCGGATTGGTCACCCGTGTCACCGCACACAGCGGTTTGTGCTGGCTTCGGCATCCAGCACCAACATCCAGCACCAACACCAAGCATCAACATCCAGCATCAACATTCGCTGACGACCCTCAGCGACGACCGACAGTGGATATCGGCGCTGATATTCGTCATCAACAGCAACACATCCATCATCACCATCACATCCATCATCACCATCACATCCATCATCGCGATCACATCCATCATCGCGATCGCCATTACTGTCACGGCCATTTCGAACACTGCCTCCTGTGGCTGGGCATCCGTCCTGCTGTCCTCGTGGTTGTCGGCGTTCCAGACTATATAACCCACTGCCCGCCTGCTGGGATTTCGCCATCGCTCCTCGATTTAGGTAACCCCATTGGTCTCGGCCATCCACCCTCTGCTGCCGCTCGCTGTGATCGGCACGCCCTCTCCACCCCGCCCGCCTCGTGGCGCCGAGCCTGCGTCTTCTTGGCCTCGTTCGCCGCCTGTCTCTTGGCTGCGGGTGTTCTCCATCGCATTTTCCAGCCGCTTTGTCCAGGCCCAGGCCCTCCTGCCTGTGGCCCCCCGCACTTCGATTCCTCCTCTGACAGATAATTTGGTCGAGCGCGCTTCTGACCCCTCGTCTCCTCTTTGCCTCATTTCCCTACTGCCGACGCCTCATAGCCCACGGGCGATACTTTGCGCCATATGGTCATCTTCAGTCGCCTCGTACCCACGGGGCTCTCTCGGAGAATCGCCGCATTCTCCTCTCCTGCTCGCTTGACCCCCTCCAACCTCTTGGTCCGTCGACACCAACCCGTCCAAGCAGCCCTCAAGTACTCGACCCAGTCCCAAGCACCCTTTCCACCTCCGTCTTCTCGCCTCATTTGGCTCGGCGTCCTCGCCGGCGCCTCGGCATTGACCCTGGGGTGGTACCTCAACCAACCGCGACTCCACGGCGAATCCCGCCGATCGCTCGCTCTCACTGGCCCTGCATCCTCCGCTTCCGATTCTCTCGGCACCAAAGCAGATACTCGTCCATCGTCCGAGGGCGCTGCCACCGTGCCCGCCAATGCGCCATCCTCCCAAGTTGCGGCGGCGGCCTCTGCTGCTCCTTCCGCTCCCACCCCTGTTCCCAGCCTCAACTCGGTCAAGCCCGGGCTGCCCTTTTACACCGCCGACCAGGTCGCTCAGCACGATTCCAAGGCTACGGGCATATGGGTCATCTCCGGTGACGGAGTCTATGATATCACCAACTTTGTCGACATTCACCCTGGCGGCGAGCGCATCTTTCTCGCCGCAGGCAAGTCCATCGATCCGTTCTGGAACGTCTTCACCATCCACCAAAGCCCCGAAACCCGTGCTCTTCTTGAAGAATACCGCATCGGCAATGTTGACCCCAACCACCGGCGGTCTAGCGACGATGACGCCAAGGCCCTCCAGCTTCTGTTTGCAAACGACCCCGAGCGTAGCCCCGAGCTGATTGTCCGCGCGGCCAAGCCCTGTAATGCCGAGACGCCTGTGCATGGTCTCCGCTCCTTTGTCACTCCAACCGATCTCCACTATGTCCGCAACCACCTGCCCGTTCCCAAGATCGATGTCGATGATTTCCGGATCAAGATCGAGGGGCCGGGGATCCCGGACGACTACTCCGTCTCCCTCGACGACATTAAACGCATTGGCAAGGAGGTCGAACTGACGGTTACTCTGGAATGCGCTGGTAATCGCCGCAAAGATATGCACGACACCAAGCCCACCAAGGGCTTGCTCTGGACCCAGGGCGCCATCTCCAACGCCGTCTACACCGGAGTCCGCCTGCGCGATGTCCTGATCGCTGCCGGATTCGACCCCACCTCGCCCGACGCCCAAGAGGTTGAGCACGTCCAATTCACCGGTGCAGAAGGCTATGGCTCCTCTATTCCTCTCAACAAAGCCCTGTCGCCAATGGGCGATGTCATCCTGGCCTACAAGATGAATGGCGAGGATCTGCCGTCCGATCACGGCTATCCCCTGAGATCCATCGTTCCTGGGCACGTCGCTGCTCGCAGCGTCAAGTGGCTCAACGGCATTGTGCTTTCAGACGAAGAGTCGCCCTCGCACTGGCAACGACGGGACTACAAGGGCTTTGGCCCTTCCAAGACCCTCGAAACGTCCGACTATGAAAAAGCCGAGAGTATCCAGGAGATGCCGGTCCAGAGCGCCATCACCTTTCCCCTGATGAACCAGCTTGTTTCCCTCGATCCCCCATCGCAAGACTCTGGCCGTGCCAAAACCCCAATCCAGGGAACCGTCCGTGTCGAGGGGTATGCTTGGAGCGGGGGCGGTCGCTCAATCGCCCGAGTGGATGTCTCATCTGACGGCGGCAAGACCTGGATCGATGCCGAGCTGCTCGAGGGGCACAAGCAACAAACAGGACGCCATTGGGCCTGGGTTCAGTGGCGCGCAGATGTCCCTGTCGGCAAGCTCGATTCGACCGCAGACGACTCCCAGCGCCAGGTCGAGCTTGTTTGCAAGGCCATCGACTCGAGCTACAATACCCAGCCTGAGACCCACGACAGCTGCTACAACGTCCGGGGCGTGCTCGTGAGCGCCTGGCACCGAGTCAGCGTGTTGGTTGCGTAGCCGCACGGAGCGGTCTTTGTCCTCCGGATTCTGAAGCGGATGCTGATGCGGATAGGTGGTATCGATGCTGGCGAAGGTCCGGATTGCCGGACGGGTAGCCAAGGCAAATCCTGATCCTGCATACCGCATTTTTGTATGTTTGTTGTTGATCCAAGATGTTCGTCAGTACACTTACAGCATGTTCCAAACAAAACGGGGCTGTACCCCATTTGCGTTTCTTCAAATCAACCTTGTCGATCTCCTTTGGCGATGATCGGCTGGCACCAGCATCGCGATGTGGGAGTGTGGTGGATGCATTCGATCACCAGGACAGCTCCGCACAGGGTGAGGTGTCGCGGTGCCGGTCTCCATGGACACACCGTTTGGTTATGATATGTATTCGGGACCCAGAAAGCGACGACAGCCCTGGCTCAAAACAGGGTGTATGCTGCAATCTAGGATGCCGTGAATGAGCATCCACTCGGAGCCAGAGCCAGAGCCAGAGCCAGAGCCAGAAAAAGCAATCGCCCACGCGGCCCGTGGCGAACCACCAACAACGCGACCGCCGTCACACAAACATGGCCGAGGCGGTTTCCTCGGCCTGGCAATCTGTGGGCCGGGCTGTCGCATCCGTCGATTGTCGTCCAGCCCTCATCGCTCTTGCCCAACCAACAACGCCGCCGGACCCAACTCCAGTGCTCGTTTGCCATTCGATCCAATCCGAGCCGAGCTGATCCTAGCCGATCCGAGCCCGTCCAACAACCCGGCTTCAACATCAACAGCGATACCGATACCACAAACTCCGGTCAACCGCCATGTCGCTTCGAGGGATGCCCTTCGTCAAGGAGGCCCCGGCTTCGGATCTCGCTCGTTCGGCTGCTCCACCGCAGCAAAGGACGCAGAAGCAGCAGCAACAGCAGATACAGCAGCAACAGGACAGGCCATCGTCCCTGCTCAAGGACCTCGAGACCGCCCTCTCGGATTTCAGCGGTCGCAAGGAGCTCTCGCTGGGGCTGTCCCTCAGCTACCCCGACGGCACCATGCGGACCCTGGGACGGAGCCGCATGTCCCGCTACGTTGCCGGAAGAATCAAGGCCGACCACGAATGGCGGGACTGGGCCATTGTCAACTACCTGCGCTGGGCCGAGGACGAGGAGGCAAAGTCTCTCAATAGCACCACCTCCCAAATCGACCTCGAGCGCATGCAGCTGCGGAGCCAGCTCGATCAGCTCTGGGACGAGGCGATCCGAACCGCCGTCGACACCCGGACTCCTCGCCATCAGATCCAGCAGCGGCCGGGCTCCGTCCCGTCGTCCCCGTCGATGGCGCCCACGGGCTCCTTTGACCGCCCACCGCCGTCTCCTCGGCTCGCCCCGATTCGGTCAAGGTCCAAGCCGTTGCCGTCGATTCCATTGGGACCACAAGGTATGCGAATGTGTCTCGGGGGAGGGCACCGTCGCTCTCGGCTACAGCGCCGCTGTGCTTGGGGAAAGCCGTGGCTGTTTCTTGGCTCCATCGGCAGCTGTGTGTATGTCGAGGTTTCCGGCCGTTGATGGGTTGCCTGTGTGCGTTGAGCCCAGGGCCGAGGTCCAAGGGGATCTCCAGCACCAGCGCCCTGAAAAAAAATAACACCTGTCTCGGCTTTTGGTGACCCCGCTGCGGCGCCTTCTGCAGCAGCATCGGGATCGATAGGGCCGTCCTCTGCAATCCTGTCGCCTGTTCCACCCCACCTCCCGCCGCGACCCAAACCCGCCTCCCCCACGACATCGCCTCGGATCCCAGCTTCTCCAATCCAGTTTCCGGCCTGGCTGAGCCGAACACCCTCGGGCAGTGCCAGCCCAATGTCGCCCGAGCCAAGCAGCGCCCGCTCGAACCCTGGCCGATTCGACTCGCCCAGAGGAGCCGACCCAAGCAGTCTGTACCTCCTGCTCCGGAGCCGCATCGCTCTGGTGTACTTCCTGGCCTTCCTTCTCACCAAGCACTCGGCCGAGCTCCTGTTCTTCATTGTCGATGTCCAGGGTTACTGGGACTATGAACTCGACGACAGCGAAGCATTGATGATCTACCAAACTTACCTGGACCCTTCGAGCGTCTTCGAGATCAACGTCTCGGACCGAGCCAGACGTCTCGTCCGCGATGTCATCAAGTCCTCGGGCGTTTCATCCAGCGCCACCACTCGATCCCTCGACCCGCAGATCTTCCGGCTTTCGTACGACGAAATATTCCAGCTTCTCAACAGGCACTATGGCGACTTTTTGTCCTCCAAGTTCTACAGCCTTATGAACCGGACGTCGCTCGTTGATCGGGGCAATGGCAGCGGCAGCAGCAACGGCAACAGCGACGGTGGCAGCACTGTCACTGGACGTGGAGGTGTCTCTGCTCGCTTCAACCAACAGCAGCAACAGCAGCAACAGCAACAGCAGCAACAGCAACAACAGCAACAACAACTGCAGCATCAACAACAACAACTGCAGCAGCAGTCAAACCGTGATATCCAAACCGAGCGGGAGGCCATCAAGATTCTCACACAAGTCCTGAACTTGACCTGCCCGCGCCGGTCAGAGGGGTACTCGATCCCCGGAGCCGAGTTTGGCTCAGAGTTTGGCGAGGTTGGACACCTGCGCCAGCAAATCGAGTTCTGGCTTGGCGATCGGCTGGCGGTAAAGATCAACTAGCAATAGCGGAGCCATCCATGATCCCATGGCTTGATGGCCGTTTCTGACTCTGAATACATAGAAGCTCATCTGTGGCGACAGTCGACGACAGTCGGTGCAGAAATGAAACGGAGCGCCTGGGCACCTGGATGCGGTCGGGGGGGGGTTTCTGTCGACACTTTGCAGCGACTGTAAATGGATTGGGTACCCCTGGTCCTATCGCATGTCTCTGTTCTGGTGGGACTGCACACACATTCATAGTCCACAATGACCACCCTAGATTTCCGCGGCGCACAGCATGATCGCTGTGTGCAACTCTGTGGCGGCGACGGGATAGCGGTCTGAGGCTCTCCACGACGAGGCTGCTCCCAAGCAGCGATGGTGTATTTCCAACGGCCCAGGCTACTGCGCGACTCCGAATACGACACAATCGATTGGAAACGTGGCTGTCCCCGCTTTATTTTGGCCGAAACATGTGGGCCAGCTTCCAGATTCCAGTCAGAGACAGTTGCAAGAGTCAAATATATTGGTCGATGCGTTGGGGACAAACGAGAAGGAAGGATACCAAAATGAACAGTCAAATATACTATGGGCGCTGATGAGGAGGTTGAGAAAGTGCCGGACCGGAGGATAACGATGCAGGGCGGAGGAGTGCTGGTCGATACGGGGGATCAAGGCCGGCCTAGAGTGCTGGATGCATCATGCAAAACGAACGGATCGACAGACGCCTCGTCGATGAACCGAGAAGTCGAGCTTGTGGTGATGATCAAGGACGGCCAGGATCATCAAGCGCCCACCGGAGCCCCCCCTGCTCGCAGGGATTTGTGGTTACTTGTCTATGCTTGCCATCCTGGTTCCGTTGTATCGCATGGCATCACCGCTGAGGCACTTGCCCTTGGTCCAGCATACCGGTCTCGCACCTTGTCCGGCAACGCGAGGCAACTTACTCGGGAATACTGATTGCCGGACACATACGGCAACTGGCGACTGGCAAGGGGCTCACGATCGAACATCCGTGGCGGCCTCCATGCGCATTAAAGCCTTCTGTCGCCGCTTCTCCTCTTCCATGCGACTGAACTCGCTTCCGACTTCAATCATGCGGAATCCAACGGCCTGGATATCCCAGCCTCGGAAGAAGGCCCGGAATTCGATCGGCTCGTTTGCCTGGTTGACCCAGACCACATCCGATCCTCGCTGCTGGTACGACCCCGAGGGTCGGCGCGGCTCGTCGTCATCGTCACTTGTAATCTGGGGCAGGATTGCGCGCCCGTCGTCGAGATTGTCGAGCCAGACCTCGACACTCTTCCAGGTGAGCTTGCAGACGACATCGCTGGCTTCGGCGCCCTTCCAGATAAAGATCTTGTTGGGTGCGCCCGGGTCGAGGATGACGCAGCTGTCGGGGGTCAAATCCACCTGGGTGATCTGGATAAGCTCTTCGACACTGAAGAATCCGCTGGTGCACGAGCATTTGAGGAATCGCGGTGGTTTGATATAGTAGTACTCGCTGCCTCCAGCGTAGCGCTCCCGGCCATGCTGCAGCAGGCTCCAGAATCCGTGCAGCTCCAGCCGTTCGTTGATGACTTTGTAAGGCAGCGACAGTATGTCTAGCGCCGTCAGCGGGTGCTGGAGGCTTTCGAACGCGAGGCCATCTGTGGGGGTGGTTGGCAGCGTCGCTGCGCGTAGGGTCGGTGACAGCAGCGTTGACATGGCGCTGACCAGGGACTGCTGGGTCTTGAACGACGGTACTGCGCCAGGGTTTGGGGGCCGCACCTTGAGGATCCGAGCAATCACGGCGTGTGCCCGCCGCACTTCGTCCTTGGAGGCGCCTTTACCGATCCAAAGGTACGAAGGCGTGTTGGTGTCGAGGCTGTAGAGAAAAAAGCAATCTCGCGAGACCAGGCTGGCGGCCCGGCTGGCAACTTGTACAGCACGGGTGGTCTTGTACCGGTTGTCGGTCCAGATGTGATAGAGGGCGCTCTTGCGATCTCGATCCTGGCCGCGCTGGCCGCGCTGGTGGACAACATACATGTTATCGAGGTGGGCCAGCAGCGCAAGAGGCTCTTTGCCTTGATCGAGATAGACAACCTTGACCGAGCACTTGTACATGTCCATGACGAGCGCCTCCATCTCCTTCTGCGTTTTGAATTTGAAAGTCGACATTGCGATCGCACTGGACCGGATGCCCTTCCAAAAGTAGACCACGCACTCGACGCGGGACTCGTCCTCGGACTCGTCGTGCTCTTCGTGCTCCTCAGGCTCGTCGTCGTCTACTTCGCTCCTGGGTGAAGGAAGCTCTCCCGAGACGGGGCTGAACTTGGACTCTTCGGATTCTTCGAGCGTTGGGGTCAGGATTGAGGTCCGTTTGCTACTGCTGCTGCTGCTGCTGCTATTCGCGACAGGGATCTGCAGATGCAGACGTGACGCATGGCTGGGTCGCTCGCTCCCGGACGGCTCCATGATGACGCTACTGCGGCTCTTTGATGTCGCGGCCGACCGGACCGAGAGCCGTCGATCGCGCTTCTCTTCGCGCTCGATTTTCTCCTTGAGCTCCTCAAGGCGGTATACGCACAGGAAGATGTACGAGTCTTCGGCATAAAAGTGGCCGCGCTCTTCCTCGGGTAGCCGGACGAAGCGGTTGCCGCGGTATATGAATGCTGTCAGAGATCGCAGGAGTCCGTTGGCGTGGCCCATGGTTTCCTCGATGACGGGCTCAGAGACGTCAAAATCCGGTGGGGGCTCGTAGAGCGCTCGCACATCGACTCGGAGCGGGCTCGGCGGTTTGGTGGTCGGAGCCAATTTCTTGGGGATGTCGCCTAGGTCGAAGCGTGGGATCCAGATCAGTACCGGTGAGTAAATGCCGAATGACGCTGCGCTCGTTAGCCCCGGAAATGCCTAGATCTATTTCGGTGAGTCGAGATCGGCGACGGAGGCTCTTTACCTTGCTTGACATCCTCCCAGTTGATGTCGAGCTTGTCGTCCCAGTCAACGAACCAGAGCTTGAAAACTTCGGTCTCATGCCCCTCCCAGTGCTTGTTGAGAGCGACCCACTTGGGCCTCTTGCGGACCGGGACGATTCTCTGTCCATGGAAGGGGTGCAGGCGGATATTGTGTATGTGTGTGTGTCGTGATGGAACAAGAGCCAGGTGGTCCGATGGAAACGAGGGAATGGGTCAGCACGCCATCAAGATCCCCCCCCTCCAGATCCACAAGCAGATATGCATATTGCTAGGCTCAACTATGACACAACGGCACGCGGCACTGTGGCTCTCGTATTTACCGTCAGGAGCTCTGTCGCCGAGCTCTTTAGAGCGAGCGTCGCCAGCTTGCCTATCCACAGGTTCAATTCGACGCCAGTGTCAAGTATGTAGCAGCCTTCAGACTCGAGCATGGCTCTCTTCATCTTGCCGGCTGTGACGGTGTGGCCTTCCACTTCATCAGCAAGCTCCTCGGTCGCGCTAGAGATGGTCGTATCGCAGGCGAATAAGTGAAGATGCTCAATCAAAACTTTGCCGAACGTGGCCGGCAGGATCAGCAGCGACCGCAACACGACACAACAGCGGACTCGAGTTTGCAGGATCCAAAGCAATGACCACGAGTGTTGCCGCAGATGCACCCAACGAACCGATAGAGCGCCGGAGAAATATCACTGCTTTGATAAAGCGTCACAAATTCGGCGTGCTCCTCGTCGACGTCTTGGTCCTCGTCCTGTGTCCTCTCGCCGCCGAGGATGCTCCAAAAGCGACTGGGTTCGTCTGACTCATCTGAATGTACAGAGTGAAGATACAATGACATTAGGTTCTGGAACGGCGTTCACGATAGGGGTACCGTCCCGAACAGCGTCATGACGGAGACGACTGACTGAGCCGCAGTTGCAGCTCCTTCGGGTTCGGAGTGTGCGATGCCCGACAGCACTTCCTCCCTGTCCCATAGTGCCGATGAATGAAACATGCCTATTTCGATAGGCTCGACCTTTCCGGCACGCTCGGACTTGCTAATGCGATCAACCATGATGCGGCACTTTGACTTGTGCTGCAGACTCGACTTGGAGCCATTCCACTGGTAGAGGGCGTATCCCACATCGAGCAGGAAAACCCCGTCAGAACGCAGAGACCGACTCGACGGCTCGACCTGAGGAATGGAGGAGAGACAAGGTCGTTCCGATGGACGAACAGCATGGCGTGAGCATGGACATGAGTGTGGGTATGCCCAAGAGGGAGACGAACATTCCTTGGAAAGTCTTGTGGTTGAGACGCGGCATCGGCGGACATCGGCGGGATAATCAAACAACAGCCACGAGAGGAACCGGAGCTCTGGAATCGCTGTAGTCGTAAGCTTACCAGTTGAAGGACAACCTGGGCCTTGCCCTGCACCCGATAGAGCCTGGTGGGATAGCGCCTCTTCTCGGTGACATACAACCCGCTGTCGGTCGCGTAGGAGGCGTCGAGGATCTCAAAGTTATCACCAAAAAGGTCCAAGAACGACTCGGATTCGTCCGAATCCGTCTTTCCCCAGAGTGCCGGGGTTGGAAGGTGCGGCCGGCGACGTGGTGTGGGGTTGGGTTGCGACGAGAACAGGGCGGTGCATTGATTGACGGCATCGAGTTAGAATCAAGAGAGGGGCGACTCGCAGCAGGCGATTGTATCCCAGGCTCGGTCACAGGTACAAAGAGTCATGAGCCCACGACCATGCACATGGCGAACCGTGGCTGTGGGCTCGTCCGTGCTCTCGGCGGGTCCGGACGATGGGGCGGCGATCGATTCTACCCAGCCTGACTCGGAAACCCACCTCTCGCTCGACCGTCTCGGATGTTCCAATCCAGTTTCGCAAGCCAACAGCAAACATGGCTGCGCAAAACCGCTTGTCGAGCTCGGCCTGGTTGCCGATCCACGAGAAGATCTTGTAGTCGTAGTCGTGGTCATCCATGTCGACGTCGGCATCGGCGCCATCCTGTCGGGTGGCATTCAGGATGATGTAGCAGTCGGCGGTGCAGAACTTGCCAAAAGTCGAGTCGCTCTGCAGCGCTGGTTTGAGGCTCTCGATGCGAAAGATGCTGACGCCCTCGGTCTTTGCGATGAAGGGAGGAAAGAGCTCCGAATAGTCGACGGGCTGCTGTTGCGCAGGGTTCAGGACCGAAGCGAGAGGTTTGGGGACAAACTGGGAGGACTCGGGCTGCTGGGGCGATGATGGCGAGCCGGCAGCAGGGTCGGGTGAGTCTGTGCTTGGGACCGATGCTCTCTCCGAGCGATTGAAGATGATGCTGTTGAGCGCCGAGATGAAGACCGAGCCCTGCTCAGCCCGAATGCGATCGAGCTCGGAGGTGGTCTGCGAGTCCGGGGGTGGGCGGTGAAGGTTCTCGAGTTCAGGGTTTTCGGGGGGCAGCGAGAAGTCGGCGCCATAGAACTCGGCCGATTGGAGGACATACTTTTTTGGTTTCTTGGCCTTTGCGGAATGGAAGGAGGACGCAGGCTTGTTAAAGAACGTCGAAGCCACCTGCATCACGAGCTGAAAATAAGAGTCCCGCCGCTTCTTCTGGGCGGGGCGGTGGTCGCCCGCTGGGGCCGATTGGGGCTGTTCGGGTGCCCAAGTGAGCGCCGTCATTGAGGTGGCGTTTGCTGGGCAAGGCTGTGGATGCCGCCAGGAGAAGGGCTGTCCTGAATGCCAGAAGGGAGGGACGAGTCAGAGCGGGTGTGGGACGAGGGGTCGCTGTGCCGATGGACTGCAGGGAGGCGGCAGCGGGCCGGACAACCGATGCGGGTGGAGGGCAAGAGAGGAGGCTCCGGGACGCAGCCGAGTCCTGAGCGACGATGAGTCGAGGGCGGTGCGGGAAAGAGTGAGGAGGAGGGGGGGGTGCAAGATGCAGAAGGATCTGGGTGATCGGGCCTGGGCATTTCTGCTGGCCGAGTCGCACCAAGCCGGGCCCAGCAGCAACAGCAAGCGCATCGGTTGCACGCAGACCACGACACCCCGCTAACATTCCGAGCGACCGCATGCCATCCGTTGGTATCCACCGACATCCGCTGGCATCCGTTAGCGTCCGTTGGTATCCACTAACATCCGTTGGCATCCATCGGTCTCATCGCCCGCTGCAACACCGCTAACAACTGCCGCCGGCATTGCAGCCACAGTCACAGCAACAGCGGCCACGACGCGCCGTCGCTGTGTCGCCTCAGCACCGTTTCGGGCTGTGTCTGTCCCACGGCTGTGTGCCCGCCACCGCCCCAAACGAATCACATGCATCGCCACGCACCTGATCAGGCGTCGCGCTGCCTGCCTGTCGCTTCGGCTGTCGTGTCGGTCATGATGATTGTCCGTATGCCGAGTCGTCCGGGGTGCGATCCCTGCGAGCCCGGCCTCTCGCTGTTCGGTCGGTCGGTCGGCCGGTTGGTCGGTCGGTCGACTGTCTCGGGCTGTTCCGCCAGCTCTGGCCGAGCATCCACGCTCGCTTCCCACACACAACACCATCGGCAGGCCCATACCTTCATTAGCTCGCGCTCCTGCTGCTGCCGGATGCGTTCGAGTTCGGCCTCTTTCTCTCGAGAGGTCTCCCGCTCCTTGTGTCGCTCGACGAGCCGCGCGGCACTCTCCTTTTCCCACTGGAAGACCTGGGAGGTGCACCGATCGATCGAGCTGATCCAGTGGCTGAGAAACCGCTGCCGTGCAAGCTGGGCCTCCTCGACGTGTCGAATGCGAGCCGCCCGATCGGAGCGATAGCGCTCTCGTTCGGCCTGCTCGTCATCGCTGAACTTTGATTTTTTGGGCAGATCGTCAAGCTGGGCAGCAAGCGATCGGATCGCCGCCAGCTGATCATGCCAGAACGACGGCGTGCTGGTGCACTGCGACAGGGCGGATGTCCTCAAGTTCATCGCAGGCTCTTCCATCACGAGACGGCTGTAGAGTTTGTGATGTGTCGAGGGATAGACGAGAGAGCCAGATCGGCAGGAGAGGCAGATCAGCAGCACAAAACGCAGCTCAGCGAGGCGAGAGATTGAGCGGTCGCCCACACGAATCAACAACCAAAGCCGGACTCGCGGAGCGATCGCGCCAAATCATGGCGAGCGGAGGCATCGGCAAGGCGGGCGCAACAGACCAAAGCCAGAGGCGAGCGATCCATGCTCGAGAAAGCCAGAGTTGGTCGAGCACTTTGGGCAATCGGCAGGATATATTGGTTGAGCCAAGCCGTCACCGTGATGGTAATGCTTGCACGCTGGGCGGATGGGAATCGTGTCTGTCGCATATTCGCATATTCAATATGTATTGGGATCGCAGTGACAAGTCCCGCCATAGAAGTATCTGCCCACAGACCCAGGGATAAGGTAGCTGCCGTCGTCCATGTTGGGAAAGGCTGGTAGTAGGCCATTGGTGCACAGCCAGGCCCGCAGAAAACGCTGCAGATGAGCACAGCCGATTCGAGAAGGAAAGAACAAACGACTTCTAAAGATGACCAAGATGATACACGGAATGTGGTGAGGCTGCGCCTGGGATCGTTCCTGGGATTGTTCCTGGGATTGTTCCTGGGACTATCCCGAGCGCATTGGGTCCGGAGGGCATCAAAGCGACCCCACAAATCCGTATTTGATTGCCCTGGCTTCCACAAGGCTGCGTGGGTCGTGCACCCACACACTCATGCCGCCGAATCCAGAGTCTCGGAGTGTGCGCTCGAGCCACCCGTTTGCCGCCACGGTCGTGCAATGGAGCCGATCGCCCGTTCCGATGATATTGATGTTGTGTGGCTGGAGCCCATTTTTGGTGCCGTCGGTCTTCCGAGCGAGCAACTCTTGGAATCGGTCCGAGGGACTATCCGGTACGATTGCAAAGCGCGGCAGTGGCCAGGTCGACTCGGGGTCGCTAACAGATGCAATGTCGCTCGGGGCCCAGTTGTACGTGGACAAGTCCTCGGCCCGAAAGAGGGACAGGGCCCGCCGCCTTTCGATAGGGCCGGCGATGACGCGGACAATACTGAAGAACTTGGTGGCAGCGCTGTGGATTATGAGAAGCTCGCGGCCGTTCATGATGGACAAAAGCGCAGGCAAGAGCGGCCGGGCTTGTTCCTGCGCAGACTGCAGCTTCAGTGCGCTGATGTCGAAAGCGTCCTTTGGAATCTGCTCGTACCGGTTGATGAGATCTGACACAAGGCAAATCAGACTAGTAATGTCAAAGTTGAGCCGCTGGGTGATGCCTGGATGAACTTCGGTCCCAAAGCCGGGTCGTGCGAGCAGCGCTATTGCGTGGGCCCAGATTGAAGGTCGTCTGAGCGAGGCATCGTCGACTGCAGAGAGGGATGGAGGCGATCCATCGGCAATCAGGGCTGTCTCCGGGTTGACTGGGCACGATTGGCTTGTGTCGATCTCGGCGGCCGTGGCCGGACACACTAGATTCATGTCGGCGTCGCATGCAAGTCGCCTGACCGTCACGCCGAGTGACTCCAGCGTCGATGAGATCCGGGCGTCGATGTCCTCGTCGCCCACAAACATGAACACCACTTCCGGCGCCTGAAAATGCACTGGATTCTGCGACGCTGCTGCGAGCATTTCTTGCGCCTGGCGAAATATCGTGAGCGGCAGCATGTCCGCAACGACCGACGTGTCTGTCGAAGTTTCTTGGACAAGAGTGTGTCCGCCGGTCCGAGCGGGGGGTATGGGACTTGTATCGGTCTCGTCGCTCTCATCGCTCTCGTCCTGGCGATCGCTATCATCGTCGCTGTCTTGGGCATCCAAAGTGTCGAGTTCCTTCTTAAGTCCCCTCAAACTACTGGCCTTGACCTTGATCCATCTGCGGCCATGCTGGGCAATCACGTCGATCCGAAGTGGGGTTGGTTTTGACTGAGCAGGCTTTGCCAGATCGGCAACATAGTGAACGGTGTTAAAGACTTGCGTAACACCGGGCTCGCTGAGGAGGACCGAGAAGACGGCATCGAGGTAAGGGATGTTGCTGCACTGGACGTGGCTGGGCTTGATCTTGTCTGGCTGTCGGAGGAGCTTGAGAGGCGAGCGGGTCAAGCCCAGTTAGTCTATGCGGGGCCCGAGGCGACGAGAGCGCTGGGATCTGCTGGTGCGCCGGCGGTAGTAGAGGTATGATCGATCCCGACATGGACAGCGGTGGCAAACTTGGGATGGACAGGCATGGACGTTACCCGCCGCAGAAACTGGTCTTCGGCCTGGACGGTGGCGCGGAACTTGCGCAGACCGACAACGGGCTCATGATCCCTTCTAGACTTGAGGGTCGTATGGATGCTGGGGGTGCCGATCAGCGGGGATTCGCCGCGGAAGGATGCGGGCTCGGCTATTGTCCCGGTTCGCAGAGCGCCGTCGACGCGCGAGAGCAGAGCGGACGAGCGGCGCTGCAGGCGCTGGGCTGCATCGAGCCGCTGTTCTGGCTCGGCTGGATGCTGGGCAGAAACGATCGTTGAGGACATGGACATGGATGCTGGAGACAGAGACAACGCTGGCGCGGATCGGCCCTTGGGCGGCTTGGATCGTGGGCCATGCAGACGCACGTGCGCCCTCCATGCGGCCGCCACACACGTGGCTGCGACGCGAGACACGCGGCGGCCAGCCAACCAGGGCGCGGGTCGCGGTGCCCGAAACGGAAGAACGAGGGTGCTGTCTCCGGGGCTGGTTGGGCTGCTGGCCGCTGGGCACGGCCTGCACGACGCGGTGCGATGCGATGTGGTGTTCGTTGGCGCTGGTTGGAAGTGCTATTGGCCAGAGGTTGGAAGTGCTATTGGAGGTGGTTGGGGGTGGTGGTGCAAGAGCCGAGCGGCCTGTTGTTGCGCATGCATCCCTGGCCCCACCGGCTTTTCTTTGCTGCTGGTGCCTGCTCTTGCTCGCTCGTCCCCAGGCCGGCCAGAATCGTCTCCTCGCGCCTGCTCTGGCCGTCTGTCTCTCGCCGTCTGTCTCTGGCCGTCTGTCTCGCTTCTGTCAGGTCCTGTCCCTCGAGGACCGCAAGCTCCGTCTCCTGGATCTGCCCGTCTCTTGCCTCGTCCCCCCCTCGCGACCGCCGTCGATGTTCTTGCCCGCTATCGTGCTGGTGCTGCTCATCGCGGCCTCGGGTTGCGCCCAGCAGTTAACGGCCGGTGTCGAGCTGGGTTGCTTTGTCAGCCCAACGGCCACAAGTGTCCTTTCTGACTACCAGGTTGGTATGCGGCGGGGCATACTTGGCAGCAACACTGGCAGCGTTTTAGCACTGATGTCAGGGGCCAGCAGCTATTGCGCCCAGAGCGAGTATCCCCTGGCTGACCGTGGTTACCTGGGTCCTCGTCCATTCCGCAGACAACGCTCTCGCCAAACTCAATCACCCTTTGCCAGTCAGCATGCTCGCAAAAAAGCTATCGGTGAGATATCACGCAACGAGAGGGAAGTGGGAAGGAAGCGAGAGTGCATGGAAATCTTTGGATGGCTGGGCTTGTCTCGCTGCATTTTAGGCAGCCGGCCGGCTGTTGGTCGCTTGTTAAGTCGCTTGTTAGCTTGCTTGCTCGCCTGCATCCCGTGCACGCCACCGCAGCCACTCTGCTCTTGCTGGATAGGGGCATTGGCCAGTCATTAAGTCGGCTGGTCGTTAAGCTGCACCGCCATCCTCATTGTTTGCCATATTGCTGCGCTGATGCCACCACCAGCTTCTCGGGCGTCTCCAACGGCACCACATGTGTCTGCGGCGACAATTTTATCTACGGCGCCATGATCGGCAACGACATGTTGACGTCCGGGCTGTCTGTCCTCGACTCGGACTGCAAGAACCCTTGTTCTGGCAACTCAACCCAGAGCTGCGGCACCAGCTCCCGAATCTACGTCTCACTCTCGTTTCCGCCAGGGTGCTATATTGATGGCACCGTCAGCCACATCCTCAGCGACTACACGGCGGTATGGGCCTGATGCGTTGCCGTCTTTTCCAGGCAGAGGAGAGCCTGTGTCGAGCACCTTGTCGTGCCAGGGCCTGGCGCCTGACGGCCGGTTAACCCAGATAAGTCTCTTTGGTTCTGTGATGAACAAGCCCTGTGGTCGTTTGTTATTGACTCGACCCGTCTTTCCTTTTGATTTCTGCCAATCGATAGACGCCAGCTGAGTCTGTTCAGATGACAATGCACTCGTGCCAAGCTTTCTGCCAGGATAAAAACTACATGTAGGTGCCAGTGCCGCCGTACTCGCCGCTATGGCGGACGCTTCACCAACAGCAGCAGCCAGCTGCTGACCTTCAGAGTCGTGTTTGGTTGAGCTCATGTTGTTATCCTTGACACGCATAATCACAGCTACGCTGGAGCCGAAAGCGGTGGCACATGTATGTGCGGCAACAGCGTCAATTACGGCGGCACCGGAGCCGGATCGCCCACACCAGCGGGCTCGGCGACCGCAGCATCCGACTGCAATGTCCTGTGCACGGGCAACACCACCCAAACCTGCGGAGGATCGTATCGAATGGCGATTTCGCTCACAGGCGTGGCGCCCAACATCACCATCTCCAACAGTACCATCGACCTGCCGATGCTCACCGGCAGCAGTGCATCGCTTAGCGCGCCATCGTACATCGGCATCGGAGTCGGTGTTGCTTGTGGGGTCACGCTCATAGCGGTCGCTTGCTGCATCCGGGCACGGAGGAAACGGCGGTCGTCGCAAGCCCCGGACTTTCCTGTCCTATCGGAGAAGCACCTGACCATCGTCCCGAATGAGAAACTCACCAAGGACTCGTCCTCGACTGTCACGGCTGTATCCAGCAGTGGGCAGACACCCACCAGCGAATCTTCCAACAGCACGGCATCCCTGATACGCAACGACAAGAGCTCTTCCACATCCAAGTCAAGCCGAGCCAGTAATGCGAACTACCTCGTGACGCATCGACCAAGGCCTCCTGTTGTGCTTACTGCAAGGCCCGTTCCATCCAGCCCCCCGAACGTCGAACACAATACCATAGACTTTGCTCGAGCTGGCTCGCGGGCTTCCATCCACAGCAACCATTCGCGTCCAATGTCGATTGTGTCTGTCTCGGCAAGTGGTGGCAACGACACCAAGCAGGCGCTGCGACACATGTCGATCTACGACTACGTTCACGGTCCTGGGGCCAGCGTGGCCTCGACCAACCCTCTGAGCAATCACTCGCGTAACTCGCTCATGATCCTTCCCTCGCCAGTGGTCGCCAGCCCAGAGGACGGCCGCCCACGAGCGTACTCCACCCCGCTGCCGTCAGTGTCCGTGGGGTCGCTGGACCTTGACTTCAAATTGGACTCGCTCCTCTCGATGGGCCGAACGATGTCGGCACAGTCCCACGGACTCCGATCCGATGTTTCCTCAATTGGCTCGAAGCGCCGCTCCATAGCCACGCGAGTGCCGGCCCAGCCCGACGAGGTGCCGATCAGCCGGGTTGGAGAGGTGTTTGAAATCACAGCCGAGTTTGACGACGGATGGGGTCTGGCTCGGTCGCTCAACACCGGACAGACCGGGGCTGTCCCCTTGAACTTTCTCGAGAATCTCGACGAAACCGAGACAGGGATGGCCGCCAGCGCTGGACCGACAATCGCCTGATCCCATATACACCTGTTCATAGACTTTGCGTTGCCATCAACTTCCTACAGGCGATTTGATCCAGCGGCACTTTCTCCTCCGTCTTTTGATTCTGTCGAATAAATCCTGTTTGCGCTCGAGCCCAGAGGAGTCGATGCGCAGGGCCGGCGGGGGCATCCGGCGGTCCCCATTGTGGACGACGACAGGCCTTGAGTCACAGCCCCGATGTCCCAGCCAATGACGCCAACTCAGGCGACCAGCTCCATGAGCCAGCAAACAGTGCTCATGGCAAGCGCCAGCAGACAATCACGTCAAGTCACGTTGGCGCCCAAACAAAGGGCATGATATCCCCAGCACCACGAGTCCGCCAGATTGGCGGAAAAAAAGGACGTATCTGGCCAAGCAGCAGTAAGCAGCTGTAGGCAGCACCCAGAACATGTTCATCTGCCCACCCGCGGCCGTCGTCGTATTGTACCCACTCGCGGTCGGGGACCACACGAATCAGCGGCAGACTTTGCCTGCCTTCGGAGCCGCCATCGCTGCCGTTGTTGGCGATTGGCAATGGCTTCTCTGTCCTTCTGGCCTCTCTGGCCTCCCCGCAAATGTCCTTGCGACATGTCGCGCCGCAGGTCGCCCGCACAGCAATCGCCGCCACCGCGATCGCGATCATCCACGTGTGCGCCTATCGGACGTGGCGCAGGCCATGCTGCGCGCGGGCGGCAAGCTGCTCCGACGGCGCGCAGCCGCACACAGACTGTGGGCTTAATATCCGCCGATAGCCTCCGTTCATTCATTTGGCAACTTTTTTTTTGCTGCGCGGCTGACACCGTCCCGCCGCCAGGCCGCCGGGCCTTGCTGGCGGTGCGCACGAGAAAAAAAAACACCGTCGCGGGCAGACCCCCGGGCAGATATAAATGCGGCTTCCCTCCCGGGCCTATTGGTTTCCTTCTTCGCGGGCAACAGTCCAAGAAGCTCATTTGCATACAATAAAGACTCCTTCAAAGATCTCTCTCCCAATTTCTTTCGAGTTGTCTTCTTGATCTGCGCTTCGTCTCGACCCCACGCCCCAGTTCGCCCCGATTCGATTCATTTTGTACCACTGTTCATATCGCATCCCCTTCCGCATCGATCTTTGGATCTATCGCTATTTATTCATCCGCTTCTCGCTACCTTTGCGCCTCCTTTCCTCGCCATCCAAGCTTCTCCCGATTGGATCTCGAGCCCCACCCTCTTCTTATTCGTACATTTTTCCTGACCATCCGCCACTCGCGTCCTTATCTCGGTAAATACGCTCTCTCGCATCTGCCTGTCGTCCGCTGCATTCTGCGCTTGCCGTCGCTGCTGTTGCTTCGTATGCGCTCCGTCTTTTCTGCGTTTCGGCATGACGGCTTGCTCTGTATTGGCGGCAGTCCGATGCGCCGGCGTAGGTCATATATCGACCGCGTCGGGGTTGTCGGATTCCCTCACTTCCCTATCTTTCGTCCTGTTTGCCTTTCATTGTCTTTGCTTTTCATTGTTTTGCCTTCTGGTTCATGTCTCGATGCCTTCTCCCTGACTGGTTCGGATCGGTGGCGGCGCTCGCGTCGCTTTTGGTGGTGTGGGTCGATTTGGCAGAGAGATTGGCTGGCTGGCTGGCTGCGATGACAAAGGACAGTCAGTAACCCTCGTTTCTCTGGCCTCTTCCGCGGCCTTCCTGTCCAAAGCGCCAAACCCCACCGATAGTCATTATGGTCCAAGCTTTGTCACTTCCCACCACCTTCGCGCAGCCTAAGCCGCCCGTCACCACCCTCAACGCTGCCAGCAGCACCATTGCCACCCTCTTGCTGCAGGATGGAACTGCTTTCAACGGCATCTCCTTTGGCGCCGAGGTCTCCATTGCCGGTGAATGCGTGTTTGCCACAGGTACGGCGTCACCTCTGAGCGTTCGCCTGCGGACATTGTGCCCGTTTGCCTTTGGCCGGAGCCTTGGGCGTGCTCGTTTGGGCGTGATCGACCAGCGAGACCACCAGAGGACGGGATCGCCCCCTTGCAGCTTGAGCGGCGGCTGGCGTGCCTCGCCCAAAGCCAAGCTCGGTCACGGAGATGAGATCCTTGCACGGCTCCATCGTCCACGCGGAACGCGTTACGGACTGCTCCTCAGCAACCGAAAACTGATTCAGGGCACGCTGCTATCATCCCGCAGGCCACGCCGGCTACCCCGAATCCCTGACGGATCCTTCCTACCGCGGCCAGATCTTGGTCTTGACCTTCCCTCTGATCGGTAACTACGGTGTGCCTTCCAGAGAGGCCGTCGATGCCGCCCTGAACAACCTCCAGAAGTATTTCGAGTCGAGCCAGATCCATGTCGCTGCTCTCGTCGTTGGAAACTATGCCCAAGACTACTCGCACTACCTGGCTTCTTCCTCGCTCTCGGAGTGGCTCAAGGAGCAGAACATCCCCGCCATCTACGGCATTGACACCCGCGCCCTCACCAAGAAGATCCGAACGACGGGTGCCCTCCTCGGCAAGCTGGTCTTCCCCAAGACCGCCAGCGCCGCTGTGGACTACACCCCTGCCGACTGGCTCTCCAGCCTTGCGGACGTCGCCTGGCACGACCCCAACACCCGCAACCTTGTCGCCGAGGTCTCCACCAAGCACTCGGTCGTCTATGCTCCTGATCCGTCCGTGGCTCTCAAGGGCCCCGACGGCAAAGTCATCCGCGTGCTCGCCGTCGACGTCGGCATGAAGAACAACCAGATCCGCTGCTTCGTCAAGAAGGGCGTTGAGCTCAAGGTCGTCCCTTGGGACTATGACTTCACTGCCGACTCGGACTACGACGGTCTCTTCATCAGCAACGGCCCTGGTGATCCCACCACCGTCACCACCACCATCGCCCATGTCGCCAAGAAGCTCAGCGATGCCGACAAGCCCGTCTTTGGTATCTGTCTTGGCCACCAGATCCTGGCCCTGGCTTCGGGCGCCTCCACCAAGAAGATGCCCTTCGGCAACCGCGGCCAGAACATCCCTTGCACCAACCTGCAGACCGGTCGCTGCTACATCACCTCGCAGAATCACGGCTTCGAAGTCGATGCCTCGACCCTGCCCGAGGGCTGGGAGGAGTTCTTTGTCAACGCCAACGACGGCTCCAACGAGGGCATCATCCACAAGTCCCTGCCCTTCTTCTCCGTGCAGTTCCACCCCGAGTCGACTCCTGGCCCCTGGGACACCGAGTTTTTGTTTGACAAGTTCATTGACGCGATCAAGGCCAGCAAGGAGGCCGGCAAAGCCGTTGCTCTTGCTCCGCCCGAGCCCCGCAAGCCCTCGCAGCGCGTGTACCCCCGCAAGGTTGTCGTGCTCGGCTCTGGTGGTCTGTCCATTGGCCAGGCTGGCGAGTTCGACTATTCTGGCTCCCAGGCGATCAAGGCCCTGAAGGAGGAGAACATTTATACCATCCTCATCAACCCCAACATTGCCACCATCCAGACCTCGGCCGGTCTTGCCGACAAGGTCTACTTCCTTCCCGTCACCCCCGACTTTGTCCGCAAGGTCATCAAGCACGAGAAGCCCGACGGCATCTACTGCACCTTTGGTGGCCAGACCGCTCTCAACGTCGGCGTCAAGCTGCGCGATGAGTTTGAGGGTCTCGGCGTCAAGGTCCTGGGCACCCCTATCCACACCATCGAGATCACCGAGGATCGCGAGCTCTTTGCCAGCAGCATGGAGGAGATTGGCGAGCGCTGCGCAAAGTCTGAATCGGCCGTCAGCATCCAGGAGGCCATCGACGCCGCCAACCGCATCGGCTACCCCCTCATCATCCGTGCCGCCTACACCCTCGGCGGTCTGGGCTCCGGCTTCGCCAACAACGAGGAGGAGCTTGTCGAGATCTGCACCCGCGCCTTCCACTCGTCTCCCCAGGTCCTGGTCGAGAAGAGTATGAAGGGCTGGAAAGAAGTCGAGTACGAGGTTGTCCGCGACGCCTACGACAACTGCATCACTGTCTGCAACATGGAGAACTTTGACCCCCTCGGCATCCACACTGGCGACTCGATCGTCGTGGCGCCTTCCCAGACGCTCTCTGACGAGGACTACATGATGCTCCGCCGCACTGCCGTCAACGTCATTCGTCACCTTGGCGTCGTTGGCGAGTGCAACATCCAGTACGCTCTGAACCCCCACAGCAAGGAGTACTGCATCATCGAGGTCAACGCGCGTCTCAGCCGCAGTTCCGCTCTGGCCAGCAAGGCCACCGGCTACCCGCTGGCCTTTGTTGCTGCCAAGCTCGGTCTCGGCATTCCTCTGACGGAGGTCAAGAACAGCGTCACCAAGAAGACCATTGCCTGCTTCGAGCCCAGCTTGGACTACATCGTCGTCAAGATCCCCCGCTGGGACTTGAAAAAGTTCAACCGCGTCAGCACCAAGATCAGCTCGGCCATGAAGAGTGTCGGCGAGGTCATGGCCATCGGCCGCAGCTTCGAAGAGGCCATCCAAGATGCCATCCGCTCTGTGGAGTACTCCTTCACCGGCTTTTCCCCCAACGAGTTCATCACCAACCTGGATGAGGAACTGGCCAACCCCTCGGACCAGCGCCTCTTTGCCATTGCCAACGCCTTCCAGAAGGGCTATAGCGTCGACCAGATCCACAAGCTCACCAACATCGACCGCTGGTTCCTGAACAAGCTCAAGAACATCTCGGACATGGACGCCCGCCTGTCTGCCTTCACGGCAACGTCGCTGCCCACCAATGTCCTCCGCGCCGCCAAGCAGATTGGTTTCTCCGATCGCCAGATCGCCAAGGCCACCCAGACCACCGAGCTTGCCATCCGCGAGATCCGAAAGGAGGCTGGCATCACCCCGTTCGTCAAGCAGATCGACACCGTCGCTGCCGAATTCCCCTGCTACACCAACTACCTGTACATGACCTACAACGCCTCGGAGCACGACGTCGAGTTCGACGACAAGGGCGTGGTTGTGCTGGGCAGCGGTGTATACCGCATCGGCAGCAGTGTCGAGTTCGATTGGTGTGCCGTGCGCTGCATCCGCACCCTGCGAGGCCTCGGCGTCAAGACGGTCATGATCAACTACAACCCCGAAACCGTCTCGACTGACTACGACGAGGCTGACCGTCTCTACTTCGAGACCCTGACCCTCGAGCGTGTTCTCGATATCTACGAGGTCGAGCAGTCTCAGGGCGTGATCCTCTCCATGGGCGGCCAGACCCCCAACAACATTGCGCTCCCTCTGCAGCGCGAGAATGTCAACATCATCGGCACCTCGCCCGAGATGATCGACAATGCCGAGAACCGCTACAAGTTCTCGCGCATGCTTGACAAAATCGGCGTTGACCAGCCCCTTTGGAAGGAGCTCACCTCGATCGACGAGGCCCGAACCTTCTGCGAAAAGGTCAACTACCCTGTCCTTGTCCGCCCCTCGTACGTTCTCTCGGGTGCTGCCATGAACGTGGTCTACTCCGAGGCCGACCTCAAGAACTTCCTGGATCTGGCCACCAACGTCTCGCCCGAATTCCCTGTCGTCATCACCAAGTTCATCGAGGAGGCCAAGGAAATCGAGTTGGATGCCGTTGCCAAGGACGGCAAGCTTGTGATGCACGTCATCTCCGAGCACGTCGAGAATGCCGGTGTCCACTCGGGCGATGCCACCCTGGTGCTCCCTCCCCAGGACCTGGATCCCGAGACCGTTCGCAAGATCGAGTATGCCACCCGCAAGATCGCTCATGCCCTGCATGTCACTGGCCCCATGAACATCCAGTTCATTGCCAAGAACAACGAGATCAAGGTCATTGAGTGCAACCTGCGTGCCTCGCGCTCGTTCCCCTTCGTCTCCAAGGTCATGGGCGTCGACATGATCGAGATGGCCACCAAGGCGATGATCGACCGCCCCTTCGAGGCCTACCCCACCCACGAGCTGCCCAAGGACTACGTTGGTGTCAAGGTCCCCCAGTTCAGCTTTGCCCGTCTCTCTGGTGCCGATCCCGTCCTCGGTGTCGAGATGGCCTCGACCGGTGAAGTCGCTTGCTTTGGCAGGGACAAGTACGAGGCCTACATCAAGGCTCTGCTCTCGACCGGCTTCCGCATGCCCAAGAAGAACATTCTGCTGTCGATGGGCTCGTTCAAGGAAAAGATCGAGTTCCTCCCTTCGGTCCGCAAGCTCCACCAGCTCGGCTACAACCTGTTTGCCACCTCCGGCACAGCCGATTTCATCCAGGAGCACGGCATTCCCGTCAAGTACCTTGAGGCTCTTGAGGACGAGGCCAATGTCAGTGCCCAGAAGCTCGAGTACAGCTTGACCCAGCACCTGGGCAACAGCATGATCGACTTGTACATCAACCTGCCCTCCAAGAACCGCTACCGTCGCCCGGCCAGCTACATGAGCAAGGGTTACCGCACCCGCCGCATGGCCGTCGACTTTGCCGTTCCCCTGATCACCAACATCAAGTGCGCCAAGCTCTTTGTCGAGGCCCTGAGCCGCAACGCCACCGAGTTTGATGTGCACCAGAACGACTTCAAGACTTCGCACCAGACCCTGACCCTCCCTGGTCTCATCAACGTCCAGAGCTTCCTGCCCTCGGTTGCCCATCCCAGCTCGACTGACTTTAAGAGCGTCACCCGTGCTGCCGTTGCCGGTGGCTTCACCCTGCTGTGCAACAGCCCCCTCGGTGTTGGCGGTAACGTCAGCGACCGCAAGACCGTCAACCTCGCCCAGGCCAACTGCCGCGCCGAGCCCTTCACCGACTATCTGCTTTCGATCGTCGCCACCCAGGACAACCTGAGCCAGATGGCCTCTGTCTCGCAGGACGTTTCGTCTCTGTTCCTCAACTTCCGGGACGACGGCGTGACCCTCAACAACATGGTGCAGCTCACCAACCATATCCACCAATGGCCCGCTGACGGCATCCTGATCACCAACGCCACCGATGCCGATCTCGCCACTGTTCTCCTCCTCGGCAGCCTGCACGAGCGTAAGGTCCACGTTACCGAGGTCAAGACCAAGAACGACATCCATCTCATCACCATGAGCAAGGAGAAGGGCGTCGCAGTCACCTGCGACGTCTCGGTCTACAACCTGTTCCTGTCCAACAAGGACATCCCCTCCGAGTCGCTCGGCACCCCGGAAGATGTCCAGGCGCTCTGGGACAACATTGCCAGCATCGACTGCTTCTCTGTTGGCACCGTTCCCTACAACGTCACCATGGACGCTGGCAAGAAGGCCTCGGCTGCTTCGGGTCTCGAGGATGCCCTCCCTCTGCTGCTGACTGCCGTGCAGGAGGGCCGCCTCGCCCTGGACGATATCGTCACTCGCCTCTACGACAACCCCCGCCGCATCTTTGAGCTCCCCGAGCAGCCCGATACCTACATCGAGGTCGAGCTGGATCGCAAGTACGTCGTCCCCGCCCAGGGATTCCAGAACGCCCAGGGCGAGTGGAGCCCCCTGGCCGGCCGAACCCTCCGGGGCACCCTGCATCGTGTCGTCTTCCGCGGCCAGACCGTGTTCCTCGACGGCAGCCTCTTTGGTGAAGCCATTGGTCGCGACGTCACCTCGCTGGCCCGCATTCTCTCCAAGAACGCCCCCCACGCCGCCACCAGCACCCGCCGATCGGATGTCAAGTCCCCTCGGGTCCGTGGCAGCATCCTGGGCGACGCTGCTCTTGGCACCGTGCGCTCTCCCTCGACTGAAATCACTGCGCTTGGCAACCTTATGAAGGGCTCCAGCGCCGGCAACCTGGCCGAGGAAGAGTCCAAGGAAGGCCAACTGGTCAAGGCCCTGCGACAGCAGCAGCAGCAAGGCGTCGAGGCCCCCAGGTTAGTAACGACAGGCGCGCTTCCTCTGTCCCTCGCAGGAGGCGTCTCGCCTGTCTGCCCATTCGACCCCTATCTTGTTCTTGATCTGCCTGTGTCGCCGATGTGCCTGTCACTCGACTCGATCGTCATGATGAATAGCTGGACCAACCCCAACGCCCTTCAACCAACTGACCTGTTCCTTCCTTCGTCTCGCCATGTCTCTAGCTCTATCTCCTCGCGCTCGCCCTTCTTCCGCAAGCACATCCTTTCCGTCCAGCAGTTCAACCGCAACGAGCTGCACATGCTGTTTGGTGTCGCCCAGGAGATGCGCAACCTTGTTGAGCGCTACGGAGGAACCAACATTCTCCAGGGTCGCGTCATGTGCTCTGCCTTCTACGAGCCCTCCACCCGCACCAGCTCCTCGTTTGAAACCGCCATGGTTCGTCTCGGCGGACAGGTTGTCAGCATCAACAGCATCACCAGCTCGATTGCAAAGGGCGAGAGCATTGGCGACACTGGTACGTATCTGCAATCCCAGGCGGGCTGTGTTGGCCATTCCGAGCTACTTGATTGGAGCGACTCAGCAAAGTCTTCATTGAGCAGCGCAGGACGACACCTCTAACGCTTGCCCCACTTGCCGATCCACCACCAGTCCGCACCCTCGGCTGCTACGGCGATATCATTGTGATGAGACACCCGGAGCAAGGCGCCGTTTCGCTCGCCGCCAAGCACTCCCAGGTTCCGATCATCAACGCTGGCGACGGTATCGGCGAGCACCCCACCCAGGCCTTCCTGGACACCTTCACCATCCGCGAGGAACTTGGCACCGTCAACGGCCTGACCGTCACCATGGTTGGCGATCTGAAAAACGGCCGCACCGTTCACTCGCTCGTCAAGCTGCTGTCCCAGTACGACGTCAAGTTCAACTTTGTCGCCCCCGAGTGCCTCCGCATCCCTGACGAGGTCAAGGAGATCGCCATCAAGAACAAGTCGCAGATCTACGAGACCACCTCGCTGGATGATGTCATTGGCGCTACCGATGTGCTCTACGTCACCCGCATCCAGAAGGAGCGCTTTGCTTCCGAGGAAGAGTACAAGCAAGTCTTTGGCAGCTACGTCATCACCAACAAGGTTTTGCGCAATGCCAAGTCCCACATGATCGTCATGCACCCTCTGCCTCGCATCAACGAGATCGATGCCGAAGTCGACTACGACCAGCGCGCTGCCTATTTCCGCCAGATGCGCTATGGTCTCTATGTCCGCATGGCCCTCATTGCCCTCGTCTGCGGCAAGTCCCTCTAAGTGCTGTGGCCCCTCTTCCATCACCACGGCTGGCTCTCTGGCGCCTGTCAATCTGTCCAGCCCCATTCCATCATCGTCTCCGCCGCCATTCATTTCATCAACACCGCAGGCGACGCTTCAAGCACATCCCTATGTTCTGGGCCGGCCGAAGCGCCACCCAGCCCTCCCCAATCCAATCTTGGCCGTCTTGCAGCGATCAAGTCACACCGTTCCTAATCTGCTAACTTTTCCGAAGCCGGACAATGGCGCGCGCACCCCCCCTGTCTCTTTTGGGAGAAAGAAGGCAGGGCAAAGCTCTCGTCCCCCGCCTCGCAATAAACACTCTTGTCGGTTGTAATTTGTCCTGTTTGCATTGTTCTTGTTTTCTTTTGTCGTCGTGTGCTGCGATGGTCTTGGATATCCAGCCAGCCGAAAGCCGCACCTTTTCTGCCTCGTGAGGTATCATGAATAGAGATGAAGGGTATTTGCCACGTTCAACCAAAATTGCTTCTCGGTGCAGTGTTCTTTGATCGATCGTGTGGAGCCCTGGCATTGTGCAACCTCTTGATGGATCCGACAGACAGACAGCTTCGGTGCCCACCGTCCTCCATTTTCGGAGCGGACCACATCTGAGGGGCCGTGTCTGCGGCTTGCTCGGAACGAAACGGGACAGTGTGCCCCTGGCTGTCCTTCACAGCGATCTGGCGGCCCCAGTGGGCAGGTTCATTCTGCGTGGGCAATCTGAGTCCGTGTGGGCTCGATGTGTATCCCTTTCCCTTGCTTCCATGAGCCACTCCCGAAGGGCTCAGCCAATGGCCCATGAGTCTGAATGAGATATAATGTTCATTATTTTCCAACGTGCTGTATCATGGATAGACCTCGATCGCGCAGCCACAGCGACACCCGCCCATCCTTCACGAGCGGCCAATGACCTTGAGCAAGTGGCCGCCTGTCGTGAACACAGTATCGGTGAGGCCGCCCCATCGCTCGTGAGGGCCTTGGATTCCGCCGTCGCGGAAAATGAGGTACAGGTACTTGAGTGTCTGGGATAGAAGCCACGAAGGCATGTGGTCGTCAAGGTACTGCTTGGTGCCGGCGACCTCGAATGCCGCAAGTTCATCCGGATCCAGTTCCTTGCGAAGGTCCTCGGAATCGCTCGTTGAACGGATGCCGCTGTAGCCATGAGGCGTTTTGCAGTGCTTCTGAAGCGACTGGAAGAGCGCCCAGGCGCGCTCGCGATATACAGGGTTTCCGGTAAGGCGGTGCATGATATAAAGACTGGCAGGATGAAAGGCAAAGGATGGGAACAGCAAAGGAAGGGAACAAATCAGGCCAACAATGTCGTTTTTCAAGCACGAGCCCGTGAGACAGTCGGCTCCAACTGTCACCGGCCCTCTGTCGACTTTCGTTTGTCACTTGCAGCGCCAACCATACCTCTCGGCAACTTCAGGGCGCAGCTTATACGAGTCGTCGATGGCTTGATAATCCGCCCATCCGTAGGGGAAGGACTTGACGCCCTCCTTTCGGGCAAGGTACGGAAGCTTGTGCGAGTTGAACAAGATCTGCTCCGGGCCCAGACCAAGGGGGGAGTTCTCGTACATATTCCAGCAGGTGTCCATCAGGCGGCTTGCCATGTGCAGCTGGGTTTCGGCCCGCGCCTGGGCGCTGGCAGCCATATCGACATCTTCGTCCAAACTGTCCATGTAGTCACGGAACGAAAAGTCCTCATCACCTTCCTCTGTTGCAGAGCGCTGCTGCGGAACAACCGATGTGAAAGCACCCAGAGCCAACATGCCCGGGACATAGCAATGGAGATGGTGGAATAGGTCGACGACGTTTTTTCCTTCGACCGATGTGATGAATGTTTGAGCTGCGGGAAACGAGGTCTTGAGAAGCGACTTGAGCCCGCTGGTGCTGTTGGCGTACATTTGCAGGAGCCGGTTCGCCCAAGGCTCGAGGTTGGTAGGCGGCGGCACAGAGATCTTTTGGGCAGGGGCGTATCCGGTGATTAGGTACTGCTTCAGCAGCGTTTCATAGAAGGAGTCGGCCATGGGACCAAAAGTGAACTCGACACGCTCTTTGGAAAACGCGCCGTCTTGGTTGTTGATGAACACAGGAACGAGCCCCTTGTAGCGATTGGAGGCGACGACGTAGAGCCTGTTGATGACGTTCTGCGAGGTCTTTGCAAAGTCGTGGTTTCCGGTATCAAGCGTGAGCTGCAAGAACTCTAGCTGAACCGATCCCAACTTCAGGCGAGCGAGGACAAAGCCAAATTTGGTAAGTAGTTCACCGATGCCAGTCGGCAGGACGGAGATGTGCTGTCGTGCGTGGGCTGAATTCTCGATGTACGTCCGGTGTCCGTACCTCAGACAAAATGGACAAGTCTCCGTACAACGAATGGGGGTTCGATTGATAGGGCAGGCCCTTTTGGAGATGAACGCTGTGCACAGGGATCCTGTACATCGCCCAGTTTGCCGCAGATCGCATTCCCATAGTGCAGGAGGGAGCAACGTGTGGTGGCATTAGCTAGAGTTGCCGCAATCTGTGGCTTGAGCGAAGCTATTGCTGCCAAGCCGATGCTGACCGCACGCACGCATACTCACAGAGTCGGGGTGTTGAACGCCTTCAAGAGCCTGGTGCCAAGGTCGGTGGCCTTCTGCAACAGCGCTTCATCTTTCTTGCCGCCATTCTTGGGATGAGTGCCGGAGAGGTGGTAGGCGCTGAGCAAACCACCAAGGTGGCGGGTGGTAAACTCGAACTAGGATCCATTGTACCACAGGTCAGCAAGTCTCATCGTGATATCGGCAATCAAGCTGCAAAATAGATTTGGCATAGCAACGGAACAAAACAGGGCCTTCGTCGCCTATCAATAGAGCTGGTAAAATGTGTGTGGGTGACGCCTCTGCACGGAACCGTACCAGCGAGGCCGAGTAATCGCGGTTGTAGTCAAGCTTCTGCTCGATAAACTCAAGTGCTCGCTCGTAGTACCGGGCCACTTCGGTGTCCTCGTTCGACATCAAAAGCATCGTGTCGAGCGAATCCACGATGGTCACGCTGAGCAGCAAAGCGGCCCGCGAATCAGATCCATCGCCGAGATGGTTGTGTCGTTTCACGAGGAACGGCACCAAAAGGTTCAAGAGAAAGCCATGAGTTGCGTCCGATAGCAAACAAGGTATCCTTGCAAGATATCGGCAAGCCCAATGCTTTGGTCTGGTTCGGCTGCCAGATACTGCGCAAACGATGTGCATTGTCGTCTTACCCAAAGCCTCCAAGCGAGTCCTTGTGTGTTTTGGTGACAGGACAAAGCTCGTCATGGCCAAATGCATAGGTCTCATATCCTTTCCAGGCATGCTTGAAGGCCCCGATGATTTCACGGCGTCGCTCATCGTTCTGGGCGTCGGTGTAGTCGTTGAGGTCGAGAAAGGCGTCGCTCGAAACACCGGTGTAGGAGTACCAGATGGTTTCCATGTTGACGCGGGCATACTGCTTAAAGTTGCGGATCGAGTATTGCGGATAGAGCGAGAGGTACGTGGGCACATCGGTCAAGTTCAGGGCGGCAGAGTAGTGCTGGTAGTAGAACTTGACGGTCTGGTACTGGTAGATCCAGTACTTGCGGTTGACATAGAGGGCAACCGCGATGAGGACGGCGAGGATGGTCGTGAACAGCTTGACCTGGCCCTCAGTAATGCTGTCGAAAGGATTGGGCGCCTGGCGATTCTGGGGAGGCACTGCGATGGACTTTGGCAGGGCAGCGTTCATGGTCTCGTCGCCGTCGACAGGCTCGGCCGGGGCAGTCTTGGAGGGCGCAGGAGGGTCCTTGGGGGTCGCGGCAGCGTTCTTCTTTGCCATGGTGTACAAAAGTTGCAGCAGAATCCAGGCGAAGCAGACCGACAACAGGGAGAAACAGAAAGCAGCAGCGGCAGCAGTAGACGACCAGGAGCGACAGACACCGAGGAGCCAGCAGCCGGAGCACGGGCAGCGGACCGGTGCAGATGCGGGCGAGGGGCGATCTGAGAAGAAGGGGGCGGACCGGCCCGAAAGGGGCTCGGAGAGGGCTCGGAAGCGGCACGCATCGATCACGTGCATGTCGCCGATTGGTGCGCAGCGATCCAGCCGCTGCGTGGGCAGCCAGGGCAGTGGAGCGTGGCTGGCCGCAGGCTGGCTGTTCGCCAAGCAAGGCGCCTTGCCCCTGGTGGGTCACCGGCGTCCTCTGCCTCCATCTGCTCATCTGCTCATCTGCCTCCATCTGGCCATCCGCACATCCCTCCTCGCTGTCGATCCAGAGCCACAATGGTCTTGGTGCTTGTTATCGGAGGTATGTCGCAGCAGATGAGCCCAACTCTGTCGACTGGCCGAGCCAAGCCCATCCACGGCTGTGTCCGTCCTGCAGCCTCTTCGACGCTATCGTCGGCCGCTGTGCGCATCAATGCCGCCCACAGATTACCTCGTCCGGCAACGTTCTCCACACTGCGATAAAACCAGCATGCACTGGCACCTTCTCATCGCCCGCCACGGCGCACCAGATTTGCACATCCCTCACAGATCGGTCGATCTGCCGGCCAAGATGAAGAAGCTACTTGTCCCCGGCAAAATCCAGCAAATCATCAGCACCGGCAATCTCTGTACTCGCGAGACTCTCGACTATCTGCGCACCGTCGCTGGCGATGTCGTCTGTGTCCGTGGCGACTTTGATGAAGACTCAACCTTCCCACTCACACAAGTGATTCCGTACGGCCCCCTGCGAGTCGGTCTGATCCATGGACACCAGGTCATTCCCTGGGGCAACCCGCAAGCGCTCTCGATCGTCGCCCGCCAACTCGACGTCGACATTTTGATCTCGGGTCATACCCACAAGTTCGAGGCTTACGAGTACGAGGGACGCTTCTTCATCAACCCAGGCTCGGCGACCGGCGCCCTGCCTGGACTGACCCTGGGCTCGGCCAGCGAGAAGAGCCCTGTTCCCACCTTTGTGCTGATGAATCTCCAAGGCGTCAACCTTGTGCTCTATGTCTACCAGCTGATCGATGGCGAAGTCAAACTGGAGAAGCTGGATTTTTCCAAAAAGCTTTACGACTGAACGGGGACGGGCTGGCTGTTTGTGGGTCTTGGCCGTGTCCGCTTTTGAACCGGTCATGTTAATCTCTCGTAGCGGGTGCTGCCGCTTATTCTTGAATCTGCTCTTGACCAACTTGGCTTGTCCGGGCCAGGCATTGCCCGGATTCCAGCTCGCCCTCCCAGCGACTCTGGATGTAAAATATTGGCGGCGCTGCCAGCACCTCCTTCGAGCTAGCCTTCTTTGAGTCAACCTCGGGCGAAATGTCCCTCCTCTGGTCCTGCCTCTGCAATAGAGCTCCTTACAGAATGCCTGGTGTTGCGCTGTCAGATATGCGCGCAGTTGGACTATGTGGTGCCAGCTGTTGTCGACGTCCTGCATGCTCGACCTGCCGTTGTTGATATGACCTGTTGGTGCTGGATGCCATACGACCCAGTCCGCAGCTTAATGCGACGGTGCGGACTGATCATCATGTTGGGGGGGGGGCCTGGGTCGTCTGCACTTCCAGATATCCCAAAGAACCGCCGACGGTCGAGCTGCAGCGTTTTCGCGACTTGGGCGCAAATCTCTCTTGGCTCTCTGATCTGCCGTTCCCGATCGCTCGTCTGTCCTGGGCCGGTCCGCTCTCCAGCCAACCTGATCTCTGGCCAACCCGTCAGCTCGCTTGATTGCGCACATTTTAATCGAGCGACGCAGCTAAAAGTGACCACCGCCCGGTAATATGAGTCCGCCGTGGCATGCTCCAAAACCTGCGCCTCCGCCTGCTGGTATGATCGAGCGCATCCTGTCCAGCATCCCGCCGACGATAAAGACTTGATTTGCTCAGCATGTGCTGTTGATCTGGAAGGACATGAGGCACGCTTGCTGACGACACTTCAGATCCGGCTCTGCACAAGGTCATCGACACCGCTGCGGCATACGTCGCCCGAAACTCGTCCGACTTCATCAAGGTCCTCAGAGATCGCCAGCCATCGTACCACTTTCTCTGGCCCAACGGACCGCACAGCGACTATTTCGAATGGAAGCTCCACCTTCTTCGATCGGGCGACGGACTCGCCTCGAGCCCAGGTACACCGATTTATCCTGGCCAACGATCCCGCGGATCCCGCTGCTCAAGCAAGCATATTGGCCGGGCATATGCGCTTGCTGCCCGGCGATCTGTCCTAGCAAACAACTCGCTGACCTGCTCAATCTCTTGGACCTCGATCTCCTGACATTCGATTTCTTGACACTCGATATCTTGAATCTCGATCTCTCAACACTCGATTCCTTGATATTCCATCCCCGCTCGACGACCTCGGCATCGCTGTCTGGGCTGGACCAGCTGCACCCGCCCGTGCCCCCCCGCCGACCGAAGAGCTGGTCGCAGCGATCCCCTCTCTCACCGATGAGAAGATCCAAGAGCTAGTGTCTTTGACGGATTCAATCTGCCAAGATTGCTCCCAGGCGAACATACAGGTACTGTCTTTACGACTCGGCCGGCAAACGATGATTCTGTGCATTGAGCTACGAACGCCCCTCGATTTCCGATGCGCACGCATACTAACCGCAGATGGTCTGTAGGCTGGCAAGGCCTGGATAACTTCCAACTGCTCCAATCAGCAGCACATGGAAGCCACCATGGCCTTCATCGTACGGTCCATGACTGGCCGCGATTCCTTCGAGGGTCGCCTGCACCTCCTCTATTTGGTCAACGATGTCCTTTATTTCGGGTAAGCCTGAACTGGCTTGCTGCACTTGGCCACGGATTGCAGGAGTCCATAGCTCTTGACGAGACGAAGGACTCGCCAACAACCAGATCGACTCGATGCCTTCACCGCCGCCATGACCGTATGCCTTCGGATGGATGCGATGCTTATATCTGCTCTGCACAGATGCCGGTTGAATGAGTCCTGGATCCGGACCGCCATTCACCGCTCATTGCCAACCATGCTCAGTTTGGTATATGCGGCAAGTGAGGGCGACAAGCAAAAGGCCGACAAAGTCCTGAAGGCAGGTTCCAAGCGCAGCAGGAGCATATCCTGCGTTGAGGCACTTGGCTTCCAGCATTTCGCACCGATCGCGAAAGTGCCGAGGCGAAAACCGGCGGCGCCATTGCTTACTCGTGAGTGCTGATCCTAACATCTCCTGTATTGTTGATCTACTTTTCGGTTTGCAAGGTGCTGTCAATCTGGAAGGATAAGGGCTACTTTGATGCCCAGACTATTGAGGAAATGCGCCATGTGCTTGTTGGCTCGTCGTCGTCATCTGCAGCAGCGACCACTTCATCCTCGCCGTCGATGGCTGTTCCTGGGTTCTTACCGCAACCTGCTGGCGCACTCCCCATCCAGCCTTATGCGACCGAGGCTCCACCGTTCACACCTCCGACCGTCGCCCACTACCCAGCCGGGTATCATGTCGGGACCGGTGCGCCCAACGGATTCGCCGGCATGTCGTCACCACACGCTCCATTCCAGGCTGCAAGTGCGCACGTTCCGATGCCCTTACTTCCTGGTGCTGTTTCAGCCACGGCGATCTCTCCACGACCCATTGCTTTGCCAATGCCAGTCGCTATCACTCCGCCCGCTGTACTTGCAGGGCTACCGATCAGCTCATATGCCCCTGCTCCGATCGGTGTCCGACCTCCGGCCACAGTGACGCCCGTTGCTGCACCCGCTGCCTCGCCTGCACCCAGCCAAAAGTACCACGAACTCCCTGCCGGGCTTATGGTCCCGCTCACAAAGGTATGGAGAGTGGAGACATACTGTGCATCTGACCACCAAGCAGACTTGTGCCTCTGAGACCCTCGGTTCTCACTGAGCCTTTGCTCCTACACTTATTTTCTTGTAAGGCGGCCGAGAAGCCGTATGGGTCGATTCACGCTGACGACGTCAAGATGCCTGCCACACGACCTCCGCCCACCGAAGAGCTCTTGAAGGCTGTGGAGGATTACTATCGTGGAATCGAAAAACAACGAGAGGCGCTGGCGGAACGGAGCCAGAGGGATGGGTTCGAAGAGGATGCCGAGGTGCTTGCCGGGCTACATTCCAAGGACCCGGACAACGCCGATCGGCCCACATCGGGCACGGCATCTGAAATCAAGATCGACCGTGAGGGATGGCAGCTTGGCCTATTGGACGAGTTTTATTCCAATCTGGAGACAGCTCGCAAGCGATTCGAAGAAGAGGCGCGGCACCGGAAGCATGACCGAGACGTTCGCCGCAGGCGCCGCGGACAAAGCAGTGATGAAAGTATGTCCTACAGCCGAAGTCGCAGTCGTCATCGCAGCCAAAGTCGCAGCCGGAGCCGAAGTTATAGCCAAAGTCGGAGTCGAGATCGAAGTCGAGATCGAAGTCGGGGTCGTAGCCGAAGCCGAAGCCGAAGCGGCAGTTTCAGCCCCGGTCGCCGTCGCTCCAATGATCGCTACAGCCGCAGTCCAAGCCGAGGATCGAGTTACGAGTCCTCAAACAATCGCCCGCGTGAGGTGGGGCGATCTGAAGCCGGAAGAAGTCGATGGCGCCAGGCAAGTCCGAATCGAAGCCACGGCTATAGCCGCAGTCGTAGCGGAAGCCGTGACCGTAGCTCGAGATCGCCGAGCCGTGACCAACGGCGGGCCAGAGGACGCAGCCGCGACAGCGGCAGTGCATCGCCTCGCCATCTCCGAGAGGGTAAGCTTATTGTCGTGCGCTACTATTCGGTGGCTCCTGTTTGGATCTGTCTGTGTCGCGATGCTCAGGAGTAGAACGAGTGCATATCATAGACTAGGTGTTACTGACACGGCTCCAATGCTCCTGGATCGGGTTCGGAAAGGCCTGGGAACCAGATCCAAGAATGAAGGATCTACCCCCGGGCAAGAAGCAACCTTTGGATTGGGAACGATAGAGGCCCGGAGCGTAGGGCTATCCGGCAGCGATATCTATAGCGACTATCGGAAGCACAAAAGCTACACGATGCAGCGCGATGTTGGTCCACAGGGCCGAGAGCCTGTCGGGTGCTATCGATGCGGCAAGGTAGGCACATCGGCTTCGGCACCAGCACAATCACACACTGGCGCTGCAGCGATGCCGACGACATGTCGCGGGTGTTTCATGCGTGCCCATCGGTCACTGATCACGTCGTGCATGTTATGCTTGTCCAGGTTGGCCACATCGCCCGCGACTGCACTTGACACCGGGTGTCCGATCCACGCTGGATGCGGCGATAGTAATCGGCTATAACAGCACCCATATCACTGGAGCGGCTGCTTTCATATTATGGTGATGCGTGGGCCTGTCGCCTCAGAACGAAGCCGATACTGCGCCATTCGAATAATGCTGCCGAGGAAGACCATGGCCCTGGGTTACTTTGGAGACATGCGCAATGGGAGATGGATACTGGATCTTTCCTCGCTTGCTCCCGCTCGCTCCCAGGTTTCGTCGCTGTTCGCATTCAGTTCAGCAATACTATCCCTCACCTCCCGTTTCGCACAGCGTTTCGAAGGTGTGGGAGCCATTTGCTCTTGAGTCCGATAGTGGCCCCTCTAGATCACTGAATATATGGGCTCGTGCATCAACCACCCACAGTAGCCAACAGCATGATTTTAATGCGCCCGCTGATCATCGCTCGCGGGTGTCAACCAAATGTATTCACGAGTATGACCCGTTATGCTCGGAGCCTTGAAAGACCACCTCTTCGAAACACCCTGGCTCCTTGTCGTTGCTATTTTGTTACTGAGCTCTGTTCCTCGTGAGAAAGCAGCCGATTGATATCACAGGGTTTATGATCAAGCGTCTCAATGCCGAGGTGTATATTAGGGGCGCCGAACAACCAGTACAGGGTATCGAGCGTGCGATACGACGTAAGCTGAGACGCTACCCAACATCAATCTGTCATTACCAGCAATGGAAGAGAGCGAGTTGGTCGAGTGAGCGAGGGTGCTTGATGGCAGCTTGGATCGGAAAGCATAGCAATTCGCTCCACATGCACAAGTGATATCCAAGCAAGGGCGTATTGGGCGGGATCGTATCGCTTCAGAGAGCCACTTACGTCTTCAGCGCCGAGCGGCCGTGGCTTCCAACGACGATGAAAGTTGGCTCGATCTCGTCGGCGAATGCCAAAATTTCGTGGCGAGGATCGCCATTACGGCAGTGAACCAGGACCTGGACGCGAACCGGGTGTGTTTCCTGGACGGTCTTGATCAGCTTTCGTGTCTCTTCTTTAATCTGTGGTGTGGGAGAAAGTCGAGCGATCCCAACGGCCGGGACCGGATGTGTCAGGGGTGGGCAGTGCCGAGGCCAAGGCACACCTCGTCAATTCAGCGAAGGGGGGGGGCCGGCAACGCGTGGAATACAGATTCCACCTACCACATCCTGGAAATCGTCGGCCGATATGGTGGCTGGGAAGATATCGATGCAAGAGGATCCGTTAGCGCACCGGCGAGATGGGCTCTCTGGGACCGAGAAGGCAGCCCCATGGCCCCGAACCCCAACACAGGGCCAACTTACGGTTCGCTTCAGGGGTGCCAGACACCAGACTCATAAAGTCGAATGCGCTCGTGGGTGAGTTCACGACATTCAAAACGACGATATCGTCGCCATCGTTAGCAAGAGTTGCAAAGGCAAACTCGATGGCGCGAACGCCGTGCTCCGAATCGTCGGCGGCAACCAGGATCTTCTTGCGTGTCGGAGTCGTCATGACCGTGTTTCGACGAACAGCTGGGAGGCTGTGTGGAGGAGTTTGGAGAGATGCGCTGAGGCTGCGACGGTGGATCGGAAAGGATGGGCAGAAGCACAAGGCGCCGGCCAAGGCCGAGCCCAGCCGTTTTGGTTGTCGTTTTCGCTCTTGGAGCGTTCTGGCGAGCTGTGACAATCGGATACAGAGCAGAGCTGAGACAGGCCCGGCCGGATCGGCAGAAGCCCGCCCAGGCCCGCCTGAGCAGCAGTGACTGATTCCAGCTCATTTACCAACCATATGATTGCGGCGGAAACCTTCCTGACCCTTCGAGATGCAACGGACCCGCCGGATGGTCTCATACCCTCGTCTCGAGGTCGGGTTGATCGTAGTGACTATGGATATGGAGGCAATTGGGATGGATGATGGCCGGAAACCCCCGATTGTCTCAGTGACCAAGATCGCCGCCTCGCTTTGCTCCATTTCTGTCATTCTTTTGCGGATCCGGCACCCGCCCTGTCCTCGCCTCCGTCTTGTCAACAGATCAGATTCCATGAGCACACCCACCAGCAAACAAATCCTCGTCGCCATCGACGACTCCGAGCACAGCAGCTATGCTCTCGAGTTTGTCTTCACGCACCTCGTTGCCGAAGGCGACCGGGTCCACGTTGTCTCGGTTTGCAGGATCAACAGCCTTATCGACTATTCCCTTCCGATCCGGACGGATCTTGCTGCTGGTTCGGCATCCTGATTTGCTGGCTTGCACACTTGCAGTTTTCGTTGCTGGGCGACCTGTCCCTCTTCACAGCGTAGCTCCCCGGACTCCCCGGGCTCCTCGCTCTTCATTCACAGTTCCTTCGTCCCGCTCTCAGACATGGAAGGCGACGAGATCCAGGAGCTGGTAGGCCGCTCCCAATGCACACTCGTGTTCTGCTGATCGGCAGTGATTCTTGCGCATGGCTGGACGCTGACGGCTGTCGACCGATCATCTGCAAACAGGCTTTGAACGAGGTCCGTGCCGAAGTCGTGCGGGTCTCGTCCAGACACCCTCACCAATGCGAAGTAGTCATCAAGATCCTGGCGGGCGATCCTCGCGAAGCAATCCTGTCGTACGCCGACGAGATTATGCCCACGCTGATTGTTGTGGGCAGCCGCGGCCGCTCTGCGATCCAAAGGTATGTGTCCCTGGCATCGGGTCATCGTCCAATGTCCTGGCCATGATGGGCTATTGGCAGCAGGCTGACTTTCGGCTGACTCTCCTTCTGACGACGGCATCATCAGCCTCCTCCTGGGAAGTGTGTCTGCGCATGTTGTCCATCACGCCAAGGCTCCAGTGATGGTGGTGCGCCCGGTTGGCCGCTGAATGCGGCCGGATATGTGTGCGAGGGCGGCTGCTGCCATCGACATCGCCATCAGCGTCGCCATCAGCATCGACATCGACCTCGCCATCGCAGCGGCGGCGAAACACGGGCACCTCCATGATCTGCGGCGCTGGCTCCTGAGTCGGCGAAAGAGCAACACCAGAGCATGGCCACGCGCTCCCATGCCACGAGCGCGCGTGGGCTGTGTCCTTTGTGCCCTCGCTCGCTCTCGCTCCCTCTCTCTCGGCCTCGCGCCATCCCACTTGCGCAACGGCGGTCCGCTCTTGCCTCAGCCGCAAGAGGCATGTCGCGATCCTGCTGCGTGCCCTCGCGAGGCCATGGCGAGGCCACGGCGAGGCGAGGGCGACCAGCGTGACGCGACGTGATCCGCTGCGTTTCTCGCCTGCCCATTTGCTGTGGCCGTGTGACCCGTGCTGCTGCGCGGCCCTCGCACAGCAACAGCTTGGAGGATCCACTTCCACAGCAGCAGCGACCGCATCCGGCACATTTTCTGTGATCCCCTCTCTCTGCGACTCACTGTGAGTGCCCCTGTTGCTTGCCAGCAGCACCAGCAGCGATCGCCTGCCAAGTCATCCTCGTCGCACATGCTCTCGCGTCTGCACAGCTTGTCCCTCCACTCCGACAGTGGAACGCGCTTCGCGCTGGCGCGCACCGCCTGCCTTCTGCCTGCCTTATGCCCGCTTTCTGCCTGCTTTCTGCCTGCTCTTGGCCATTCACCCAGTGTCCATACACGCCGTCAGGGGTCATCTGCTTTCGTGCATTGTGGCGTCTGCAGCCTCTCATTGCCGCCGCTGTTTCGGTGCCGCAGCGCCGATCGCGTTGCGATTGGACTCTCGCTGCAGCGAGACGGCGCCGAGAGCACGCCGAGAGCGCGCCCAAGCCCGTGCTGGTGTCTGGCGAGAAGCTTGGCGAGAAGCCTGGCGAGAAGCCCTGCCCCCTTTGGACGCTCGGCCACCCGAGCCTGATCCGATAAAGGCATTGGCCGTCCAAACCACCTTCCTCCCACCACCACCACCCTCCCCGACATCATCAACGCCCGATTCCGCCCTCCCTCGCTCTGCCGCAATCGCCGATCGTCTTCCGCTCCCCGTCTCCATCGCGCCTGGTCTCCCCGCATCGATCCTGTCTCTCTGCGGCTGATGGCTCCACGAAAACGACCCCCCGTTAGTCTCGCCGCCGTCCGGGCTTGCCAGGGTATCACTTTCTCCTTCGAACTCGCCAAGCTCCCTCATCTGGACGACGATTTCGCCCGCTGCGGCAGCGATCTGTATCATGCTCCGGCCTCCAATGCCGCCTCATCCAGCACCCTCGGTCTCCCCTTTGTGCCCACAACCTCATCGGCCCCCTCGCGCCCCTCCCAGGACTACACCCTGGCTGTAAAGGTCCACTCTGTCACCAGCAAGAAGTTGGCCTCCCGTCTGCTCGGCCAGCTCTCCCGCCCGCTGCAGCGTAAGTCCCCTGCGAGCCGAGCGCTCCTGTCCATTTTCTCCATTCCTCCCTGTCCTTTCGTCGTTGCGCGATCGTGCCGCGATCGTTCTGGTATTTCTGCCTGTGTCGGCGCGGCGTCGGTTTCATTCCGGTGCCCGGAGCTATCCGATGCTCGGCGTGATGCGTCTGCCAGGATGTCCGCATGGCCTGCGCTGCATCCTCTGTGCTCGATCGTCCCTGCATCTCCGGGGCTGCGTCTCGTTATGGCTTTCCCACGATCGAGTCGCAATCCTTGTCACCCGGTCCGGCTGAGCCGGGATACCCGTCCTGAAACACTGCGCTGGTGCGGAGGATTTGACAGGAGAAGGGGGATACTGGATGCGGGTCGTATCAACTCCGCCAGCTGCATGGCGTCCCACTCTTTTGTGGTGCATTGTCCTCGATCTCCACGCCTCGTTTTCTGCTACGATCGTCCGACTGCCCCTGCTCGCTCTCGATCTCTTGGGCCCTATTCATATCTGATCGAGCATCTCGTGTGGATCATGCATACCATACAATCTATCCCGTACTAATGAGTCCGCATGTTTACCTTCTTTGACTGCCAACTCATTCGACTCAACTCAATTCAACTCAATTTGACTCAATTTGACTCAACTCAAATGTCACCAACATCCCTTGGCATCTCGGATTCGATTCCCCGCAACCCGCAACCCGCTCCTCGGCCCTGACCGATTGGCCTGACTCTTTCGTTCGAATGACAGACCCACCTTCCAAGGTTGTCAAGGCAACAAAGCCGGCCAAGCCCTATATCCGCCAGTACTCGCCCTCGGCCTCGTCCAATTCGTCCAACTCGTCGCACGACCGGTCTGCTCCTATCCGACCCCAACCCCAGGCCGCCCGAGACTCACCCACGAGAAGCCTCAGGCCTCCAGCTCCCTCACCGCCGCGACCGCCCGCAACAACCTTCCCGGATGGGCGTCCTTCTATGGCGTGGGGCTCATCCCGATTGGACGAGCCCTCGACCCCTCCTCCCCCAGCCGTGATCCCCAAGGTCGTGGCCTCGGGCATACTTTCGCCGCCCTCGTCGACCGACTCGTCCTCCCAATCTGTTGCTCCGATGGCTTTCAGGCCCATCCCCGTGACGATGCCCTCGCCCCCGCCTCAGCCCTATCGTCCCAAGCCAAAGATCTCGCGGCCCCCGAAGCCCCCCATGAGCATCGTCCGCCCGAACCCAGCCCTGGTCAACCATGTACCGGCTGCGGCAGCTCTGTCGCTGGTGCCCTCTTTGGCTGTCCAACAGCGTGCCTGCATGGTCTGTCTGACCAAGAAAACTGGCCAGTGGAGACGAGGTCCTGCTGGCCCCCGAACCCTCTGCAATGTAAGTCGGATGCGCATGTTCTCACGCGTGGCGTGCGTCTGGGCCTGGGCGTGGAGGCCACGGCGTCGGAGTGCACAGAGCGCACGGCATGCACCCGCCACGAGGTTGGTCTGTCCACAGCACGCTCTGTGCTTGCTGGTCGGCTGGCGGAGCAATCGGATTCGTTGGCAGGCATGTCCCTGGTCAGATGGCATGCCAAACCGTGCCAAGCCGCGTGTTGCAAGCCCAGGGGCGCGCTTGGCGGCGTTTCGCAGACCAAAGCCGCTTTTGGAAACGCCTGGTGCGCTGATTCCCTTGTGCCTCGCTCACCACTTTTTTTCCCCTCTCCGCCCGGGTTGCGCCTTCAGGCATGCGGCCTCGAGTGGACACGCAAGATTCGCCACGAGGCCCAGCGCTTGGGCATCTCAAACCAAGAGGCCGAAAAGAGCCTCTCTGTCCAGGAGCTGGAACACGGCATCCTCTCCCGACACCACCGACCAGTCTCGAGCGAGGACGACTGGAGCAACTGAGCGCCTCGGTCTGGTGGCCATCGTGGCTCACCTGCGGCGTCAGCCGGTGCCTCGGTCCGTGCTCCTGCCGCCTCGTCTCGCTGTCGTCGCTTACCTTTGCTCCGACACCGCTGTCGCACCAGCCCATCTACTTCCCTCTCCTCAACGTCAAACCTCCGCTTCGTACTCGTACCTGAACCAAGATCTCGGACCTCTGTCTCTATGGTCAGCGAGCGTTGTGTCGTAACCAGTGGGACTCCTTGTGCAAGGTCACCTCCGGTCAGTTGGTGCCACTGGATCCCTTCTCGCCCTTCAAGTTGCTGGTTTTTCTGCCGTTTGCCTCCTCTTTGGTGTTCTTTGGTATTGCCTTGTCAGATCGGCAGGCGGTCACGGCCCAGAACCGGCGGTTCTACCTTACTAGTAACCGTCTCTTCCGTGCCCTGCATCTCGGCGACTGGATCTCTCGGGGCTGCGAGATGAAGTCGCTCGGCGCTCCATCACCCCGAACATCCCGCCACGCGCGATCCCGCTTGCTCCATAAGCGGCATCCTGCAGTGATTCTGCCACCTGTCTCCTGTTTCTATTCCATCCTCGCCCTCTGATTTCCCACCACATGTTACTCTTGTTCACTTCGCTTGTTTCCTTCCTTTGCCTTCCCCCTCGCTCGATCTCTCTCTCGCTCTCTCTCCATTTTTGGGCCTATATTTTGGTAATCACACCCGCCTTTTTTTGATTCTGGCTTAGCTTATCCCTCATTCGAACTTGTCTTGACTCCTTCCTGTCTGATTACCACTGTTTTGGATATTCACTCTCTGGAGGCGCACCATCTACAATGTCTTTGCTCGGGCGCTCTCTGAACTTGGTCGTCCTGCACATCTCCGCAAGCACTCGACACTACCTCTCCTTCCCGACATCTCTACCGACAAAGAAAGCAAAAGTTTAGGCACCCACCACAAAACTAGAAATGATCACTCAGTCACTCCTCGCCGTCCTTCTTGGCATCTGTCGTCTTGTCGCTTAGTGCTTTTTGCTTTTTTGCTATTTGTTGTTCTGTTTGACTCTTCATTCATGCCAAAACAGTCGCTTCAAATCAATTCAAATCAATTCAATTCAATTCAATTCAAATCAGACCAAAAACAACAAAACAATTACAAAACCAAAAGCCAATGGCTGTCAATGATTTGGGTTCACCCGCCCCAAAACTTCTCCCTCTTGATCCAGCTCTGCTCACCCGCTCCCTTCTCCGCCCTGCATTCTCCGGCCTGATGGCGGGCGAGGACCACACTGCCTGTTCGGGATACCACCGGTCCATGTCGCAGGCAGCAGCATCTGTGCTGCTGCTGCCTTCATCGCATGGTCACTTGGCAGACCAAACAGCTGAAACATCCGTTGTGCTAGCATAGTCTTTGAAAGCCTGCGCCCAGCCGATCGTTGACAATAAAAGTTTTGGCAGCTGAGATCCTTGCGATGTCTGACAAAGTGGGAATTGGCAGCGCTCTGGGTAACTCGAGATCCTCCAAGTGAGTTGGATCCAAGCACCTGGAGCTTGGTCTCCGTGGACGCTTGGTCATGGTGGGTGTACATTTACGGCGCAGAATAAAAGGGAACCAGGCTCAAATACAGGCATGGGTGGATCTTCAAGGCAGGGCCTTCCAAACAGAGGGCACGAAGGGCGAGCCCGCCGTCGCCGGCGCCCAAGGAAATCCAATCGCCGGGGAGCACCCGAGTTCTGCTCCTTTGCTGCTGCCTGATCGGGTCGTCGCATCGCCTTGAGGCTCGAGTTGCCAGTCTCGCTTCCATCGCCTATCCTTGGCCGATTGCCGCCCCCCCTCAACATCTCCCTCGCCGTGGTGGTGTTACGCGCAATTGTCGCATCGGCCTGCTGCCCTTGCCCGTGTCAGTCGATTGCTATCGTTCGCCCACATCAAGCTTCCTGGTCCTGCTCCTTGCTGCTTCAGCCTTCGGAGACATCGATTCCGGCTCAAGAGGAGGCAAGCAAGCACACACACTCCTGATTCCGAGGTAAATCAGCATAGCACCCGGCCGCCCTGCAAAGTCGGCGAGACTCGCCAGAGGGACTCACCAGAAGCCGACGCGACACATCCCTTCGTCCTCGATGGAATCATCGCGATCGGATTGGGATCACGGCTCGGGCAGAGCGGTCGTGTCTCCATGAGCGGCTTCGATACTGACATGGCTCGACGGGCGTACCGTTGCCGCAGTGCAGCTCACTAAGTCTTCATCAACCGCACATTGCTCGTCCCGTTCGTTTTGGCCTCGGCCTCACGACGCGCTCGCGTTGCCTTTGGATATCCCACGGCTGTGAAGTAACATGGACGCTCAGCCCCCATCGGCAGCGACGGAGGGCCCTGTCCCTCCCTCTCAGCCCGCACCTGTGGCTCCATCGATTCGTCCACGCAGCCGCACAATGGTCGAAGTCAGTCTGACGCCCATCACATCCTGCGATCTGCAAACGAGTCAAGATCTGGAATCGTATATCGTGCCAGCGGAAGGCCTTCAGCTCGACATGTTTTCAGATGCATTTCAATCTCTTCAAGTCCAAAGCTCACAGCAGCAGCAACAGCCTTTGATGCTGGTCCCGGAGCAGTTGAACCAGCCGCAGCCGCCATATCAGCAGTATCCAACGCAACAGCAGCTTCAGCAGCAACAGCTACAACACCAACAATTCCTGCAACACCTGCAATTTCAACAAATTCAGCAACAGCAATATCAACAACTACAACAGCTACAGCAGCAGCAACATCAGCAATATCATCAACAGCAGCTCCAGCAACAACAACAACAGCAGCTCCAGCAGCAACAACAGCAGCAACAACAGCAACAACAGCAGCAGCAGCAGCAACACCAAGCGCGCTTCCGAAGTCAAAGCAGCGGCACAAAGTTCCAACGGCCCCCGCTCGTCATGACTAGCAAAAGCTTCCATCATGGCTCCAAGAGCATTCCAAACTCGCCAAAGATGGCCGGCAAAACCATCTCTGAAAGCGTGATGATTCGAAACATCAACCACATTGCCATGTCTAATATGGGAGCGGTGCGAGCTCCACATCCACCCTCCGCGCTGGGCATGAGAGCTGAGGGCCAGGAGAGCTGGATCGAGCTGCCGGCGTCGGGGTCGGGGCCTCAGTCGTCTGTATCTTCAGCAACAAGGCTCTCTCAAAGTCAGCGCCTCGGGGGATCGACTGGATCTACAAATCTCTCGGGCCGAGGATCCATCACGATCCACCCGCCCCAAGCAACCATTGCCTCCCCGCAGCAATCAGCAGCTCCCACACATATTTCATTCCATCCCCGATACTCTCTCGAGCACCGAGGCTCTGCTGGGGCTGTGATGACCCAAGCGAGCTACTCCAATTCCAGTTCGCTGATGGAAGTTGAGCCCGAGTCCTGTGGCGGGGGAATCGTGACCGGTCCAGACGAAGTCTATGGTGGCGTTAACCCAAGCGACTCGATACGCGGGAGCCTTGTCATGAACTCAAGCGGAGGATCCTTTCGCAGCTCCGTTATCAAAGAGCGTATTCCCCAGGCTGTGGCTTCCATCCTTGGCGAAGACAACCTGGCCGAAGGATCGTACCATAACCTGGACAACGACGATGGTCTGGGCGGTGTCCGTCCAGGACCGGACCATCAGCAGCAAGGTCATCCACCATCGGGCTCTATCGGCCCCATGTCGCCAAAGCACACTCTCTATCCATCTATCCAGTCCATTCCGTCTATTCCATCAGCATCGACCCGCCACGTCACCGTGAGTGTGACGCTGACCATTCCAACTGACGGCGGCATCCCTGAGGCCAGCGAGCTGACTCCCTCCATCCTGACGGCCACGGAGCTTGCCATCGCCAGCAGTTTCCCAAAGCTCGCCAAAGTCGCTCCAGCGAGACCACCGACACAGCTTTCCAGCAACGCCACCGTACCCACCGACGACGTTCCCGTCTCGCCGGTTTCTTCAAACTTTTCCCATGCCTTTTCTGAACTCGCCGCCCAGCCGTTGAGGTCCCAATCGATACAGCCTCAGCAAGTCCATGTGCTTCCTGTGCAGCTCCAGATTCCACCAGGACCTCCACAACCTCTTGGTCAGCAAGCCGCGCAGTCCACCCATCTCTTTCAATCCCAGGCATTGGACGCATCTCTGCTCTCGCTTCAGCACGTGAGCCCCCAGTCTCTGCCTCATCTCCAGTCTCAAGGCTTACAGAGTGCTTTGCCGATCGGACAAAGCTCCTCGTCCCGACTAGCTGAAAAGCCGTCAACGCAATCGTTATTGATCGGCGGATCTGGATCTGGATCTGGATCTGGATCTGGATCGAGTCAACCGACCCAGGTGTTTCAAGAGCCCCTTCAGGTGCTCCCAACCATTGACCAACAAGGAGGCAGCACCCTGGCGACACCCGGCTATACTGTCGCAGTCGCTGGCTCCCAAGTACTTGCTGATCCGTGCAACTTACCCCCACTAGCGCCGCAGTCGCCATATGAGCAGCAGGCCAGATTATCGGAGCAGCAAGTCTACTCGGCACAAGCGGCCCCATCTTTGTCGCAGCAAATAGTGACGCAGCACAAACCGACTGTCGAGACCCGGAGAAAGAGCCAGGTCGTAATCGGAAACATCATGGTAAATCCGCCACGGAAGGAGAACCCAGAAGAGTACCTGGAGAAGCTTCTGGTGACCATCTCAAAGAAGGAGCTCGCCAAACTCCTCTCAAAGGAGTAAGTGAACAGGGCCACAGTCAGCATTCTTGGACGGCCGCAGCCGTATGTCGTCGAGGCTGCAGCTGTTATATGTCACGAATGTGTGTGGATGACTCTCTAACATCGTGTCGTTTCTCCTGACCTGCGGATCGTGAAACTATACTGCCCGCACCTACAGAGATGACTTCCACGCCGCCGTACTAGAGTGTCTCATGCGCCGGTACAACTTTGAGCAAATTGCCCTTGATATGGCTCTCCGAAAGTTCCTATACTCGTTCATGCTGCCGCCCGAGTCACAGGAGATTGATCGAATCTTGATGGCCTTTGCTCGGCGGTACTTTGAAACCAATCCACGAATTCTCGACAGCGCAGGTAACGCTTTTCATTACAGGCTCATGTGTAGACGAGCGCAGGGAGGACAAATCGAGGCCTCCCCAATGATCGCCCAAGTCTTGCTTACCCATCATCGTCTTCCACCAGAAACTATCCACATTATATCATTTGCACTGGTCCTCTTGAACTCGGACCTACACAACCCCGCCCACCGGAACAAAATGCGCATACAGGATTTTATCGACAACACGAAGTGCGCCTGCCCAGACTCCTCTGTGATACCCACTGACATTCTGGAGCTGTTCTACGAAAACATCAAGCACCAGTCCTTCCAGTACATGGTCGATGATGTTGATCCCGTCGATGGAGGCGTGCTGATCAAGAAAAACAAGAAAAAGATCAGCGGCGTCAAAGTCGATCAAGCAAAGAGCTGGCTCTCCATCTTCCATGGCGATGAAACCAAGAGCAATCAGGTAATACTTCAACTCAATCGCGGCATTTTCTCTGTCATGCTTGGATCAAGTGGCTTCTTCGGAGATGTGGCCGCTCGTTGCGCCAAAGGTGTATCCGCTTGAATGACCGTGGGTTGTCGTTGCATAGCCATATCGGGACTCGACTGTCGCGAAGTTTATATCCCTGAAATACTAATCATGCTTTACTCTTGCCTGCCTGCCTCCTTCTGAATACACACCGCGAACTCAACTGCAACAGGTTGGGCCCGACCGGCCAGTTCCTACCATGGCCGAGGCCTACAGAGGCCTGCAGACAGACATCATGGCTGTGTCATTCGAGTACCCCATTAATCCCAGCAAACAGCTCGAGAAGCCTTTCTTCAAAGCCCTTGGGCGCAATCTTTCCGTTTCAGCCAGCAGCAGCGAATGCGGCTCTTCGCCGATGGGGACAACCTCGTCGTCACATGCGTCGTGTCGCATATCATCGAGTCCATTGTCACAGAGCTCGACGCGTCGGATATCGGCTGGATCGTCGGTCTCCAGCGTTGTTGCTGGAAAGCAAGGCCAGACCTCACCTGTCACTGCCTCGGCCCCAGCGCCAGCAGCTGCTGGCCATACTGGTAGCAACGAACGCCTTGCCGTTGCCCTGTTGCGGCACTCTCGCGACGGGATCCTACATCGCAAGAAGGACTGGAAGGATTTTAGCACGAAGCATACCTCTCGCGTCTGGGTCAAGTTCTGGGCCGTCTTGAGTGGTAGCCAGTTGATTTTGTTCCGAAACTGGGAGTGGTTCGTGAAGCGAAGGAATGCCGGCCTGAGTCTCTACGGCGAAGACGCGGTGAGTCAAGCCATATCAAACATGGGAGTTGGGGTGCATAGTAGAGGTTATGATTTCTTGTCTCGGCATCGACAGCGACGGTGGCCGCCGAGTTTGTGGAAGTTTCGGCTCGACGTGCACCGATGAGGCTCGGGCTTGAGCCTTACACCACCTGGAGCCCCTTGCCAACGCTCTTACTCTGACTGTTCCCCCTCGGCAACAGGATAGCCAGAACGCCCCAAAGGCATCGTCGATCTATGGCTCCGACAACGCCGTTTGTTTGTTCGACCCGACTTATAAGAATCGCCGATTCGTCTTTCGGTTCAACCTCTCGAGCGGTGCACAGTACCTGTTACAGGCTGAGAGCGACGAAGCGGCTCATGACTGGGTCGAAAAAATCAACATGGCCGCCACCTTCAAAACTGCTGGGGTAAGATCGCGAGTACAGCTCACGAGGCAGATGGCCATGAACGTGCAACAGCAACAGCAACAGCAACAGCAGCAGCAGCAGCGACAGTCAAGTCAGACACAAATGTCCCAAGTGCGGACGCCAAACGTCGGTCTGGAAGACGAAAAAGACACGAACGAAATGGCCGACGCAGAAGGAAGAGCGGCTGTTATCCAGGTACGAACACGAGCGACCACTTTGCCCATTTGAATGGCAGCTTGCAAGTCGGTGAACACCGTGCAACGGGCGAGAGAATCACCGTCGATGCTGCGGGGGCACTCGTGCTCCTCAGCATCTCCCCGATGGTGTATCCGACCATATTTACACCGTGCCTCGCGATTGGCCGTTGGTTCAGATGAAACTCGAAGAGATCAACAATACATCGTCAGGCCTGGAGAAGCAGCTTCTCAATGAGATCCGCATTCAAGATCACCTCAGCATTCTTCAGCCCCTCTCAAAGCAAGCCAAGTCCAGGGTCGAGCAGGCAATCACAAAAAACTTGGAGAGTCTCAAAAAAACCAAGATGGGCTGCGAGCGGTTGCGCTGCTACAGACATTTCCTCGTCGCGGATCTCGAAGCACAGGGCTTTGAGGTCCTCGAGGGGTCGCCCGTCGGCCCGTCATAGCCCCTCCTCCACCGCCTTGTGAGCGGAGCCCAACTTGGCACTTGCGCATGGTCGATCGCCACAGGAGGCCGGCCAGGTGTATTGAGCGTCTAGTTGTACAGGACAAGGCCACAACGATTGCCCGAGCCAATCCTACAGTCAAGACCATACAGTCCGCGAGCTGGATCAAAGTACAGGTTCGCCCTGCTCCCAGTTGAAATAAAAGCCTGCCCCCTCAAACCAACCCGTGCTTCTTCTGACTTGTCCAGGGTGACGATAATCCAAACACGGGAGCTAGATATAGCAGGGACAGGCGTGAGTGCAGTAGCTTGATGCCGGCAGTGAGAATAGCAAGCTACAGCCGCGCTTCTTCGTTCTCGGCCACCGCGCCTATCCACGAGTGAAAAAGTACCAAAAAAATATAAAAGTGCACACGCCCACGACCGCCCCGAGTATCAGAGCGTCCCGCTTCTTCTTGAGGTTGATTTTGCTCATCAGATTGTTGATGACCGGGAACCGTGCTTGCGAAGGGGCATTCGAGGCGTCAGTCGCAGAATCGGCAATCATGGGCTGTCGATATGCGTACGAGCCCGATACCACATCGGCGACTTGTGGCCGAGCGCGGACGCGGAAGAAGCATTTGTAGCTATGACAGACACAGCCCAAGCTTACCCATGATTGTTCCCAACCGACCCTGTGCTCCAAGAAGCATCCGGCCTTGGGCTGCTAGAGACGCGCGAGCCTCATAAGCTTGTTCCAAAATGTTGATTGTCATGCTATGCGAGTTGTCGATACGATTGCGTTCGGAAAGATAGAAATCCTGCGCCGATGCCCCGGACCGATATGAACTGCGGAGATTGACGGCGCTTCTGTTAGTCACTGGTATTGGTGCGGCACTGCTTTGTCCAGTGACCTGCTGTGGCAAGCCGATCTCACGGTCCAGGTTGCGTTTGGTTTCAAGACTCACTTGATGTCATTGTTGATTGTAGTCAGGAGCTCGGCGTGCTCCTTGGCCGATACTATGTTTGCCTATGAGCAAGCCGCAGATGGCGACAGGAGTAGAATTGCAGCCGAAACCGGTCAGCCAGCAGACACGGCACCAAGCATCGCAGCCGTGCGGACAGAGGCGGATAACGATCGGCAGGCGAGGGCCGACAGCCGATCAGACCAGCGCGTCGGCAGCAGTGTGCTCCAGTAATCCGCCCGTTTATGGGGGAGATGATCTGTCTCGGCTTTCGACTGCTAAGGTGCTGCCATCAGCCGCGGTTGGTCACCTTTGTTTTCTTATACTCCTTGGTGTAATCAAAGAGTATATCGCGGTGTCGTTGGAGCATATGCATCATAGATGAATTGGAAGGAACTCCGGCAGGCGAGTTTTCAAGAACATCGGCCATGGAATTGACGACCGCGGTGAGCTGCGCAGCAACGAGACAGGAATATCGGGTCAGTCCGGCAAGACAAGACTCTGTTCCGGATATCAGTCCGAGAGCCCTCGGGCAGGGGGATCAGGGGGGGGGCGACGGGCTCTGGAGCCAACCGTACGCCACGCAGACATTCCTGCCGATCCAGCGGTCTTGATCTCAAGAGCCACAAGTGAACTATCGGCAGATTTGTGGATCGTCTGTTCCTCGAACGGATCCCGTCTCCGAAGCCGGGTGGGTTATGGACAAAGCCGCCGCTGCCGCTGACCATCGAGTTGCAGATGGCCTTCGAGTCCCTGACTGCCCGATAAATACAGACCCTCTTGAGCAGATCGTCGACCTCGAGCTCGGCGACATCAGGAGATGTCCACACGTGTGCAGGAGCGGCAAGCACATTCGTCGAAGATGATGAGGCCGCCAGCGGGGTGGAGCCGGATGAGGTCGAGGCGAGCTTGGCATAGGTGGCGAGCTTGAGTTCGATTTCGTTTTCCAGCTGCCGGGCTTGTTTCCGGAGAGCCTCCCAATTCGGCGAGGCGCCAGTGCCGACAGATGTTGGCACAGCCGAGTACATGGTTCAGCAAAGGTCGAGAACGCAGCGGCCTCCAGGTGGGGGAGGGGCAAGCTCGGGATGCGGGAGGGAGGGATGGAACCCAGATGAACGCTGACGGCGGATCGGCAGCGCCAGGCCTTGGGTCGCATTTTGCCTGGCCCTGGCTGCAGCCCAAAACCGCGCCAGCCCAGCGCCAGTGCCCGAGAAGACAGATCCTCCTCAGATGACGCAAGGTATGCAATCGCCTCCAAACGGAACCGGCGGAGACGGCGATCGTGATATACGATATATTAGAATGTGCCTGTTGCATCCTGAAGACGATGAACAGAAATGCTGGCACTGTATTTGTGCAAGCCGCTGGGGCGGCATGTGAGGCATTGGCCTCGACGAAAGCATCCACGGAGCTGCAGACGCTGGTTCAGAATGCGGACAAGTCGTTCAGCAGCGTCGCCAGCAGGTGCTTGTCCGGTCCGGGCGTGACTGGGGGAGGGCATCCTTGGCCGCTACATTACGCAGATGCCGATCAAGCACTTGTTGATCAGCATGTCCTTGCGGCGGGGCCGCTTCCACAGCATCGACTCTGTCTCAAAGACCTCCGAGTTGACGCTCTCAATCTGCTGTCGCGCCCACTCTTCGTTGAGCCGCTGCTTCTCCTCGGTAATCCGGTCGATTTCGCGGGCTTGCTCGGTGTTTTCTAGCAGCTCCAAATTGCGCTTGTAGTCGGCCAGCCGTCTCATTCGGTCGAGCTGCTCATGCCGCTTCTGAGCGCGGGCATCCCGGAACGCCTTATTGGTCTGTTTCATGAGCTCCCGACGCTCCTGGGCCATGGCTTTGAGCCGCAGATACCACGCCAGCTCCTCGGCCTTCTGGTCTTCCGAAATATCTGGAATCCCGTACAAAAGCGGCCGAGTAAACTTGGAAAAGGCGCTGTTTGAGTTCATGATGGTCTGCTTGGTCATGTTGACAAAGTACAGATCGTAGTGGCGCTGGGAAAACGAATGCAGAACATAGGTCTGCTCAAAGTCGAGCGCTGCGACTTGGTCGTCGGAAAACACAGCCGCAAAGCTCGTGGGATCCTTGATGGATGAGTTGCAGCAAGAAAGAGGTCGTCAGCCACGGCTGCTCAGCCGGAGTGGAGAAGCACCGAAATGCCTTGGTTTGTTGCAGGGAAGCCTGGCCAGGGAACAAGTGCGCTGGCGCAGTGCCCCGAACCAGATCCAAGGCCCTGAATATCTATAGTGGCACCGGCCCGGAGATAGAGTCCGGGCAATGTGCATATCGGCTAGGCCGGAGATACGAGCACAGGTCGCCTGTTGAGAGCGAATGGCCGAGCAGATAGAGATGGCACGCACCTTGCTTGGGTTCGAGAACCGCTTGGCATTCAATACATTCATATCCTCAGGGTCTTCTATCCAGAGTTGGTCGTACATCCGGTGAAAGTCAAAGTCTGCTCCGGCGTTGTACTTTGTGCTGCTGCTGCTCGAGATTTCCTCATACATTCTAATCCATCGGTTGACGAAGCTAGAGTTTGGGGCAGACATGACCACGGATGGGCAGAGTGTGACTCGGTCGCCATGCTGCGACTTTTCGATTTCCTGGCCAATGATAAAGCGCCCATGGGCGTTCCACTCAGGATCAAACGGCTTGATGGAAATAATGTCCGTATCGAGAACGGCGCCGCCCTCGTTCATAAGAATGTGGATTTTGACCTAGATTCAAAGTCGGGGTGATGGATCAGCTGTGCGTGATGATGTTGCTGGGAACTCGGACCAGGCCCGTCCATCCCCACCACAAACATACATACCAGTTCCAAGAGCTCATTGCGCGAGGCAGCGCTCTCGCTATGGATTACATAGGTCTCATCGATTGGTCTCAAGGTAAGGTACTTTTGAGATTGGACCCACCAATGGTTATCGCTTGCAGGAAGGTGGAGATAGTGCCAGTAGATCGCAGCAGGGCTATGCACTTCCGCCGCCGACTGACAAAGAGAGCTGTCAGCCATGATCGCGTCGCCGAAGCGTTCCATGACGAGAGGCGGCAGCGCAAGCCAACGCATGGCATTGCACAGAACGGATGGGTGCAACGATGGCGGGTTGCTGGAACTCGATTAAACTCATAATGGACTGTCCACGCTTGATATCTCAGCCTAAGCGCGAGAATCGTCCAGCAGAACTGACTTATGACGGCAGATCGTTTGCCGTGGGATGGAGTGGTGAAGCGTGTGAAGCGCGTCTTGACCTTACCTTGATGGCCAGAAACTGCAGGATGCCGAAGGGGATTCCATCAAAGTCTTCAAAGAGGCCAAAAACAAAGTGGATGACGTTGGGAATCGAGGTCGTGTTGTAGATTTCGCGATCGGGGTGATGTATGAGTCTGTACTCGTCCACGTTCCTCTGGATGCTGGAGGGATCAAACGCGACACCCAGCTCGTTGAAGACGTAGAGGCAGTGGGGCTTGTTCTCGAGGCATTTACGACGAAGATATTGCGCCGAAAGCAGAGGCTTGTAGAGGGCAAGGAAAATACACCCGCCCAGGAGCGCAACTGCAAGTACGACGCGAAGCCAGCGTCGCTGGACCTGCGACTCCTGGATTCTCTTCAGGCGGCCATGGATAAGGGACTTGGAGTGGTGCCAAGTTTTCGTCAAGTGGTTCTTGTGCGGCGGGGTTGGATATACAATGAGTAACTCTGCACGCCGCCTGGAGAGCAGACATGTGCTTGCAGCGTCGATACCTACCGAGACCACACCCGAGAGTTTCTCTTGATAGATGTTGCGCTTGTCCATGATGCCGACAGCCAACAGGAGAGTCAGGCAGAGGTGCAAGAGTATGGAGCTGTTCCTTGAGACGACGGGCGTCAGACTCGGGAAGGTATTTGGGAGCGCCGGCGCCATCATCGCCCTTCCATCGCGCGCGCAACTGGTCATCAGCACCCAGCCCGAAATGCGACCCGACACATGCGCGGGATTTGCCAGCCGAAACAAATGTATTGGTGGGTGTATGGAGCCAGATCGAGACATTGGAGGCTGAGACCCATCCGGTGCCTTGACAGTGCGGGCAAGCGTACGCTCCAGGAGCCCCCATCACGACCACTGTCATGAAGAGTTGTTGGTCCTCGACAGCGATCGAAGGGTCTTTTCACGCGCCTGATAAAAGGCATCAACTTCGGACTTGACATGGTAGTCTGTCGAGGAGCCTATGGTCTGACCCACTGGATCCGGCAGCCGATGAGCTGCTAAGACATCTTGTCGTGAACTCGCTCTCGCCATCACGGCCGTCCCATCCGAGGAAGATGAACTGTGGCTGACCTGGCGTTGCATGCGGCTCCTCTCTGCCGTCTGGCGACTAGCTGGTCGGCTTGTCCGATCGTTGACCTGATAGGCGGCTCCAAATCGAGACTCGCTTCGGCCATCTCCTCTGGCCTCGCCTCTACCATCCGCCGCCACGGCTGAGCGAGGTTGATCGAGATACGATCGCGCCGAGTAGATTGACGAGTCTGACTGCCACTTTGGTACAGCCGGGCTTCCAGACTCGCCCTTGGGTGCGACCGGATCGTGGCGTCGTGCATGTGATGTCACGAGCGTCTCTTCGTCTGCGGTGCGACTGCTTGTGGATGAGAGAGACCTGGTGCGGCTTGTGTCCGGAACTTCATCACCGGATAAATATACGCTAACGTACCAATGCTCGAAATCGCGGGTCAACCGGTGCCGCGCTTGCTCGAGCAAATGGTGGAGATGCTCAATCTCAATCTTGAGATCTTTGAGCTGCTGATATGCTTTCTTGTATCTGTCCATTGCATGTCCATGAGTATTATGTGTGCCAGCAGAGCGACAGGTGATGAGCGATGCTGCTAGCAGGCGGCGCGACTGACATCTATCCACCAGCAATCTGTATTGGATAGGCAGGTGAATTCAGCAGTGGCTCATACCGCTGGACGTGGTCACCAATAGCGGCTTTGACAGCGTCGTTGTTGTTCCCGGTCTCGTCGCCAGCAGCGTCTAGGGAGCTCTTCATATTTTCTGCCGAATGATGTGGCAGAGACGAGAGATCGTTTAGTTGCCGAGATCTGAGTGGAGGTAGCGGCAGTACAACCAACTATAGTCTGCCACATTTGTCACAACGAAGGCCGACTGAAATCCTGCATTTCAAATATAGATCGACACCTAACTGATTTTGGATCGTAGGTCGTGAGCTTGCTCGCCTAGAGCCTTGGCCAGCGAGTACTTTTCCTTCAGAATGGCCTTCTGGCCATCGATCCAGCCGCTTGACGGATAGCCGCTTTTAAATATCTCAAACGCCTTGGCTTTTTCTGTCGATATCATACTTTCGGCAGCTTTCCGTGCAGCACCTTTATCCTCGGACTTGGAAGAGTCGAGTGGTGCGCGTGGGATCGACACTGGCTGCGGAGATGGATGATGGACAGCAGAGTGGCTTCCAAATTGATTGTGCGCCTGGGCCGTATCCGGTTGCGTGCCGTACTTTGAGTCTCTGCCATTTGGATTTGCAGCAAATCTATCCCAAGGGTGGATAGCATCCAACTGACTGGACTGCGATGTTTCAGAGTCCCTGCCGGTAGACGCCTGCCCAGCTTGCGGAAGGCTGTGATCAGAAGATCGGGCTGCGAGCTGCTCCTTATATTTGCTCAGCATTCCAACCAGGATATCTGCAGTTTCAGCGGAGAGGGGTGCGAGGAACGATCAGTACGAGAGGCCACATCGCGATATAGCGCTTCCGTTCTGGGCGATATACATACTAATTTCGTTGTCGCGGTGGCTCACCAAGCCTCTCAAGCGATCAAGCTCGGCGCTGCTAACCGAGCCCAAAGCCGAAGCCGGAGCTGGGGCCGTTTCTACTCGGGTTGAGACGCTATCGGCATCATCCTTAATTCGCCCGGTCACTTTAGAAGCAGGGGCTGCGCTCTGGCCCAGTTCCTGAATTCAGACGTAGTCACATAGAGTGCAACCAAGCCAGGACGAGCAGCCATTGCAGGGCATGGATTGAAGTTGAGAGTGACTGGCTTAGAATCGATACGAATGCGTACGAAAGTCTGCAAGTATTTGCATTCAGTCTCTGTAGTGCGAGCCGGAGCCGATACCTTGAACGCAGAAAAGGCGTATGATATTTTGCGGTAGTCGCCAAAGAACAGATTGTTCAGGCTCTCGCCGGTAGGGTCGCCGAGGTAGTCTCGCACCGCTTGTTTGATTCTGCAACAATCCACCATTGGCGCACGATGTGATTAAAGAACCGTCGGAAGCAAAACCTCGGGCCGGCAGGCGTGCATCCCTGCTGTGCCTGACTATGGCCCCGGGAAACCCGCTGCATATCTACCTCTCCTTTTCGTAATCAGGCAAGTCTCCGTCCATATCGCTGCTCTCGCCGCGGGCCAAGGCGAGCTCGGCCCGCAGCCGGACAATCTCTTTCTTGAGCCGGACAATCACGAGTTGAGGGTCGATCTCCTCGTTTAGGGTGGCCTTGTTCGAGATCAGTGCGACTCGCTGGGCAAATCTGCACGTGGATATGGATTCCTATGTTGCATTACATAGACATTATCCACTGGGAGGGGGGCTGTAAAAGCCATTGTCGTGCCCAGGCACTTATGAAACCACTCGGCTTTGGTTCATGCGCATGCAGATGGCCTCGCTTGGACTCACATCAATCAGCTGGTCCTCGACAGCCAGGGTGGCAATCATCGTTGTTTTGCAGTTGCCTCCCAGCGAGTCTCGAAGGACGCTGGTCATCATCGAGTTGCGATAGGGCACATGGACTCGTCGTCCCTGGGACTTCTCGTGAAGGGCAATGATTACTTGCTCCAGAAAATGTAAAGACAGGTTGATGTATGTCGCTTCTTTGAGCAGCGTGCCGTTGATGCCGGTTCTAGAGGTGCGCTCGGAGCTGGAGCAGGCTCGGGAGTATCAGTCAACAAGCCATGGCCCACGAAAGCGCTTCGGGCTGGGTATCGCATTGAGGGCCAAGCAAAACACGAGCACCATGTTTGGTAGATGTGACAGCTGCAAGGCTATGTCCATCCGTTCTTTGCGTACCCGGCTAAATCCACTAGATGCAATTTGCTGCGGCGAATCCGGTCGCCACCCTCTTTCTTGCTCACGAGCGATATAATAAAGATGCAGTGACTTCTGGACGAAGCCGGATTCGAGGGTGTCTCGGCAATCATTCGGTTGGTGTCCCCAATAAACAAAAGGTTGAGGGCCTCCTCTTCGTTAATGGCCGGCTGTGCAGAAAGATTTCCGATGTGGATGTTTTGATCCGAATCCTCGCGCAGGGCCACCTTCCTGGTGTTGAAAAACCAGAGCTGTAGCAAGCAGCATGCAGAAGTATTCATAGCATGCAGAAGTATCCACAGCATGCAGCAGTATCTACAGCATGCAGAACAAAAGCGTCCCCCCCCCCACAGAGCTGCCTCGTCGTATCTTACGGCAAGTCCTCCAGTTTTTTGGCATCTCTTGAGCTGTCGAGCAGATCGTATCCTGACTCGTTGTAGATTTCAAGATATGATATGCTGACCTCATAGTGGCAATCGGTTCGCTACAGCGCGCATCCACACAGACAGCACCGACCAGACCGACAACGGCATTAGTCAGGCTGTCTCTGACGGTACCAGGGACAGAGCTGAATCCCGAGAAACACTCGTCCAGATGACCGTTGCTCCCGTGCAATAGTACCTTCTTGATCTCGCTGAATATGAACTGCAGTGATCGTGGAATGAGGCCACGGTCTGCATACTTTTCGGCACCGCCGGTGATCGTAAATGTCTTCCCAGAGCCCGTCTGATGAACCAGATCGGCAAGTCTCGTCAGCGGATAGATTCAGCCGGGCGAATCGGGCAAATACGCCAGTGGTCGCAATCGAAGCGTGAAGCGATGCGCATTCCTGCGCCGGGAGACGGCGAACCTGGCCATAGGCAAATATGGTTCCATTGTAGCCTTCGAGCGCACTCAACACAACATCTTTGGCGACGAGGTCAAACACTTCTTCTTGGTTCGTGTCGACGTTGAAAATGTGGTCAAACTTGAACTCGAACGACTCTCGCTGGTTGTTGACGAGGCCCTGAGTCTCGTCCCTTGGCATCCGGAATCCCACGACAGGAAAGCTGGTGGTGTCGTGCATCGACTCTCGGATCGGCGCCTCGATCCAGTATCGGCCAGGGGTTACCCGGAGCTTGGCATTGGTTGTGCGGAGCGGGCGAACACGGGCATAGATCTTGATGGTCGAGTTTGCCACGGTGGTTGCGGGCTCGTCTCCAGCGACGGCGCTCTGCGTGTCGACGTCTTGGGCGTTCGACGGGCTCAGCATGGATGCTTTCGGAGGCTGGAGAGTGCAGCAGGAGAATCGATGATAAATCCAGCGAATCCAGACACTTGTGCCGGGCTTGCTTCGTATCGATCTCGGGGATGTGGCGTGATGCTTTGGAGTTTCTGGGACGAGATTCTTGGAGAGCCGTGCTCGAGCGCCGCTTATTCACTTGTCCCTCTCGACGAGACAGAAACGGGTATTCAGCCAGACGAGCGCTGCAACTGCGTGATGATATCCAATCGGCAGCTGGGCGAGAGCGAGGGCGGGCGATTGCTGGTGTGGGCTGACGTGCGGATCAGCCCCCAACCGCCCTTTTTCCGGGATAATCGCCATTGCCTGCGGGATATTGCCGTTCGGCTCGTAAGCTGCTGCCGTAGAGTTGCTGCCGTAGAGTTGCTGCCGTATGACTCGAACGGCATTTTTCTGCAGGATCAATCGGTTTTGTCGCTGAGAGCAGCCCATCCACCATGGCGGCGCTTCAACCCGCACCGAGAGTCAGGACCGGAGCCTTGGATCCGCTTTCTGGACCAAAGCCACCGAGCGACCTGCGCGATATAATGCCGGACTTTCGTCCAGCTTCAGCGGTCCCTGCTGTCGACTATGAGAAGCTCATTTCTGTCTTGACGTCCAAGCACACCTGCAATATGTTTGACCGACACGTCGCGATTTTGGAAAAGCTGGCCAAAGTTCTCCGTGGAGGAGTGGTAAGTCGCAACCCAACGGGTATCGAGTGGTGCATCGATATCGAGTAGAGTGATGCCGAACTGGAGCATGTTGACGCCGAAGCCAGCCGCGGACTCGGGCCACCGTCGGTTGAGATTGTGGCTGGCCAGAGGGACTGATGGTTCCAACGCAGGCATCCTGACACGCCGCCGCCATGTTCTTCAGGAAATGCAAGACTTCCAATTCATTGGAGATATATTCATGATATGCCGCGAGAAGATTCTCAGCGGAGCTGCGATTTTGGAGTGTCCCGTGGTCCGAATTCTGTCGGCATGTCGGTGAGCATCACCCAAGCCAATCGATGCTCCGCCGATATCGCGGTGGTCGGCATTCCACTGACGTTCTTGGTTCGGCGATACAGCAACATGCGACTCGACACGAACGAGGCGTGCGAGAACCGAGCGATTGCCAATTTTCTATCCTCGATAACTGCCTTGCTGTGCTTGAAGAACCTCGAGATATGCGAAATAGTCTCTGAGGTGGGCTCGGGTGCATAGGCCGCCCTGGATCTCATGATCCTCAAAGCTCATCGAGTTCGGGTCGACCGATACTCTGCCGACAGCACTATTGCTTGCTTCACCTGTGCAATCACCGACTCACCCAAAAGTCTGTATATACACTCCTAGATCATCGTCTGTCTCGCCGGGGGAGCCAGCACCGATCTGGATGCGGATGGCCGAGTCTTTAACAAGGCAGCGTCGCTCAACAACAGTCCTCCCATCATGCTGGACAAGATCAAGACCAAGAGTAACACCGCCAACGACGAATGGATCGTTCAAATCAAGCAAAGGTAAGCATAGTGCATCTTACATCCCTCGGATTATCAACAAACGGCTGAGACTCCTTGCTCCACCAGCGACACAGTCATGAACTTGGCCAGAGCACTCGAGACACAGAAGGATTTACAATCGCGCCGGACCATGCTGCGAACCGTTCGCCGCCTTTCGACATACCAAACGCTGTGTCATGAGATCATATATGGTGGGTAGTTGAGCAGCAGCCCGCTAGTTAGTCCATGATATCCTGCGCATGCACCGTCGCTTGGTGCAGAGACCCCGCTTGACGGCCCGAGGCTACCAACGAACTGACACCGACATGCGTCGAATTGGGCTCTGCGCGTTGTTGCCTGTCGGCGTAGAGGGTCTGCTCGAGATCATTGCGGATATTATGCGCGAGACCAATGACTCTTCGATCCTCAATCTCGGGATCGATATCCTTTGGAACTCGTTGAGTTTGGACGGATTCGCCTCTGGTCAGTCCTTGACAAGCGAGGTAGTGTTAGCACTCCGCACCGTTGGTTGCATCAATGCTTGGGAAAGAGCGGCGGGCTTTGTTCAAGGCCGAACGTTGAATCGCTGCGTGTCTCAGGCAACCATCGGGAGTCTCAATCAAGTCATTGCAAGATCCATCAGGGACGGGCATAGTGTTGTCCAACGAATCGCGCGCAACGAAATCGTTATTATATCCTTGATAACAGGGCATTTGCTGTGCGGGCGATCGGGGACTTGCTGCGGCCAGACCTTACCTTGGTCAAGTTAAAAGCGATGCCGACTGGCTGACAGAGGGGAGGTGGCTCGATTCCTTGCTCCATTTTCTATGTCCTTGACTACCTTTGGCCACTGCACGTCAGTATCCTGATTCTCATGAACTACACTGGAGCCATACCTTTATACCTATCAACCGGCCTGATAGGGACGCTGTTGGCTTCGTTTCGCGAAGGCTCGGGTATCTATCCAACATACCACATGACGACTATTGATACGGTGAGTCCTTTTGCGAACATGGCAGTGAGCTGATTGCCGCTTATGCTGACTCTGCGCGACCCGGCAGATGTTTGGCCAGGAAGACTACCAGCTGAAGAGGCTCTTGGTATTTGCCTTCACCTGGGCCAGCGGCGACCCAGGGACCTTCCAGTATCTGCTCGAGGTGGGCTATTCTATCGACTCGCCGGCCTGCGCAGCAATCTATCGGTTCGTTTTGCACTTTCTAAACAAGATAAGCCGCTCCATCCTAGAACGGCATCATGGGAAGCTTGATGCCGTATCTTGCCGTCCATCGCGAAGCAGAGTTATTGAAACGATGGTCGCCTCAACAACTCGAAGGTATCCAGATCCAGGTACAGTATTTGTATCGGCTTGCTTGTAGGGCTGAATGACATCGGACAGTCGTCGAGGGGTCGCAAATATCCAAACCACTCAGACATATGTACACCAAAAGATCCTGGGCTTCATTCGACACAACATATCGAGGTTGGCCAATGTGCTGGAGAGCTCGCAGGGCTACTCTGTGCTCATCGACTTTCTCGAGCGGGCCGTTGACCGATCTTGCCACAAGATGTACATGCCTGGCGTGGAGGACCTACTACAGCTTGTGCCTACTGTGCTTCGGACCATACTTTCGATCTCTGGGATGGGCTCATCCCATCGCGTGGCGCTTGGCGAGCTTGGAGTGTGGCCACAGCTCCTAAGTAGGTATCCATTGGGAGGGAAGGGAAAGCTGGGGTTGGGTGAAGGACACGTCAGTCCATGTTAGCGCACGCTGACTTGGAAATCCACCCAGGGATCATAAAGTGCGAAAATTACCCTCCGGAGGTGTGGAGAATCACTTTGCTTCTCTGCTCGTCACTGGGAAGCTCATGTGACTCAAACAAAAGACTGTTTGGAAGCTACGACGGTGTCGAGGCCCTCATTCCGTTTCTGAAGTAAGTGCACCCAGGCCGAGAACACTTATACCAATCGCGTATGGAGTTGGCATAGAGGGAAGGCTCACTGTGTGTCTCGTACCTAATCTACCCAGATTCCACTCGGCCGATCCACAAGAGCGCGAGGCAGTTCTGTTCAGCGTCATCGAGTGCATTTGGGGCGCCGTTTGCGGAGATCAGCTCAATGAAGATGCATTTTTTAAGAGCCGAGGTTTGTTGAATCGTTGATCGGTCATGTTAATTGATCAGCAAGACAAGCGATATCGACAATCGCCAGCCTCTAAGACGGTATGCAAATGCAGGGGTTTACCTTATGCTCGATCTGCTCGAACGCTCGTCCCATACGCTGCAGCAGCATATCCTTGGGACACTGTTGGATCTGATGGAGAACCCAAAGGTAGGCGCCCTTTTTGTCTTTGGTTGGTTCACAAAGCCTCCACCGTGACAGCGAAGCTGGATCGCGCATTGCATATCTTATCCACATCGCAAACGAACCTGCCGCATCGAATTGAATGCACCCATTTCCTCAGACGAGAATGCACGCGATGGAGTGGCGAACTGTCGCTGACGTCAAGAAGACACTGGTTCATTTCCTGATCGATCTCTGGCAAAAGGAAGAGCTCATTCTCGGTGGTATGGCATCAGCACGCTTGCTACGAAGCATATTCGCTTTGGAGACTATGCGTGCATCTTGCGCTGACAACACTCGTACCGCTCCTGGTCCTCTCTCGCTTGGCGGCACTATTGGATGTGCCTGGTCCTCATCCAAACACCTTTATCGTATGCCAGTCCAGCAAAATGCACAAGGAATCATCGAAGATACTGTTGCTCCACTTATGGGTGACATCCATGTATGGCCGCGCGGTGTCTGAGTGACTCGTGGTCTATGGCGTGCGTAGAACCATGGCTCTCACTCACTCACTCACCAAACGCCGCAGCGAGGAATGCACGATCTGCAATCAGATAGCGCAATCAGAGAGCTTTCACTGAACTTACGGGTACGAGTGTCGATTTTGAAAGCGGTGTCGTTTGCTCACCTTCCTTTGGATGCATTTGTGGATGCGAACTCGAGCCCCGCCGAGTGGTTTGTACTGGCTACCGCGTATTGAAACTACTCTCGCTGCCCTTGATCTACCCATCGCTGGGCACTTGGACACCGTTTCAAGGCCAAGATCTATTCGCTGTTTTGCAAACTGGGCTTTGAGTATGGCAGCGACATCCTTAATGTGCGGGAACAGGTTCAGCTTTCTGCGGTAGGTGCACCTCACAATCCAAAAACAAGACCTGTGTGGTCATGATGGCGGTATCCGCAGTAGCTCTTCCATTCGAGAGTGATGCGTGATTCCTCCCTATGGAGACTCGATGGTTTGCGCTCACCTGGCCGATAAATCTGCGACCGACGACAGATTTCCAAGTTCTTGGACTTCAAGATTGGCGAAGTTTGGAACGAAATCGCCGCCGAACTGGACTGGGAAGGCACATACCCGGTGTCACCAGACATGTCCTGTGTTCGCGCAGCCAAGATGGTGATTACCGAGAAGGCAAAAGCCGTGCAGCAGCAGCAAATCGGGTTGATTGAGCAAAACGCAGAGGTATGAAAGAGCGGCGAGGTCGCAAATAGAGTCTGTTGCGCCGTGTTTCACGGGAGACACGAGTGACTCCGAGCGACATGCACCTCGACGATGTCCGTGGCCAAAAGGAGGTTCGTCTCTGATACCTCTCCTGGACGGCTGATTCGAGCATGTCTCTGTTTGTACAGCACCGGCGGAATGAAGAAGATCAGTTTTACCAAAGCGTCAAGGAGCGAAACTCAATGAAGCATCGCACTCAGGTACAGTCCGAGCGATTATGAGCCGCCGGGGATTCGTGCATCTGAGAAACTAGTTCTAACTCGTTCTCGTTGGGGCTGGTGCCGGGGCGAAACAGAAATATGAATCTATGGCGACCAAGACAGTTCACAGGGGCCGCCACTGATCCTATCCTCGAAGCGTAGCGGCAGCGCACATACTCAAGAGCCGTGCAGTCGCGGATTCAGAATCGGCTCAAGCCAAGTGAACAGACTTGTCGCAAGTAGTATCTGTATGCGCCTGTTTGCTGAATAAACGAGTCCCCCCCCCTCAGTTTGCTCCTGAGTATATCACATGCATTCAAGTAGCTTCGTTGACAGTATAGATGTCCACCAATGTCTACACTATTTCCGCCAGTCTTCATGTTCCGTAGAGGCTGAGACTTGCACCGCTAACTAGTCTTGCAGCGGGATGCCTCGTCCCGTTTGCATTGGGGGTCAGTATACCCACGGGTAGCAGCACAGAACAGCGTCGACAGAAACACTTGTCCGAAGTAATGGCGCAGGATGTATTGTTGCAAGCTAATCCCACCCAAGCAGCCACTTGAAGACACAGCACTTTTTCAGCCCCAGCCACTCCCACTCCTCTGGGCCGACCCACATGTCGTTGGCCGACTCAAGCTTGGACAAGATACTAGCTCCTTTCCAGATCACATCGCGCGAGTCGATTTCGCGTGGCCGCAGAACGATTTGCACCTGTGTCGGGATCAGCGACTGGCCGCTTGGGAGTACGCAGCCGCCCCGGAGCTCCAGGTGGTCGCGGATCCGGTCCTGAAGCACCAGATCCAGACCAGCCACCAGACTGCCCCCGCCAAGCAAGAGCACGTTCTGAGATATGCGTTGCAGTCGCTCCTCGACATCCTTCTCTTTGGAGGTGGCCGCGCTAATGTACTTGGAGTATGCAATCAAAGACCCCGCGATCGCTTCATCCAACGGCTCCAGGGCGTTGGCGGCAGCCGAGTCGGGCTCGAGAGGCGGGGTTGGTGGTTTTGAAAGTGACTGAAGCGAGGGGGTAGGCATGTTACTGGCGGACTCGGAGGCCTCTAGGTTTGCGGACGTCGCGCCATTTGTGCTGGCCGAATCGCTGGGGAGTGTTCCAGCTCCGGCTTCTCCGCCGGGAACCTCGGGTTCGGCCGCCGTTACCACGACCGTTGGGGGCTCGTCAGGCTCCGTGTCGTTTGGCACCATATGATCGGCGTCCCAGCGCATAAAAGAAGCTTCCTTGGATGAGACAGCGGTGCTCTTGGATCGGAGGACACCAGGGTAAAACAGATACTGGTGCGAAACACAGCAAGATGGATCGCTTAGCCATATGTCAACGGCCAACGGCGTGGTACTCCAACAAGCCATTTTGTCTACTTTCCGCGACAGCCATGCGAGGCCCCAAAGCAGCTGTTGTGGCAAGTGCGCCTGGCCCGTACCATGGGAGCAACGATTGAGTCCAAATACATCTTCATGGAGTACCAAAGAGTCGGGCGATGAGGCTGGCGAACATAAAACTCACAGAGACTCATGCTCACATTGGTCTGCCAAAGCACGAACAAGAACAAGACGATGAGCCGATCAGGTGGAGATAGAGGGACAGGGCAACGGCCTATGCGACGAGCACTCTGACAAAGGATCGATACGCGATATTCACGGCGGTGGTAGAGTGGGTCGGCTATGCGGGAGCATCCAGAATCACAGCACCTCGATCAGTGTGCAGAAGCGCTCCTTCAAGTCGTTGACAAGCACGCGATCCAGGATACTTTGGTTGAGATCCAGCTCTCGATAGGGACAGTCGCGCCGCTTCAGCAGAGCAGCCAGGAAGCTTGATACGTCCTGTCCGCCGTAGCAAAGGCTTTTGCTGAAGAAGCGCATGGATGTATCCCGGTTAAAGATCTGCTCTACGGTCGCAACAATGCCCAGGCGATACTGGTGTGCCGTGGAGCCACACAGAGACTTACCTCGTTGCGCCAATGCACATGCCATCTTCGATGCAATTCACTTTTGTTGTCTCTGCGCCAATGTCGACAACACAGGCGAGCGAGATGCCAGCTCCAAAGCCGCCGCAGATGGATTCCTGAGCACAATGATGGGGAATGTCAAGGAGCATGCAATCGTTCGTTCGTAAGCGATGCGGCGCTGGCCGCGAGTCGTTCTTTGGGCAGGGCTCGCCGAAAACTACATGTGCGTCGCTGCATCCGACATTCTTTTCTGCAATTGAACCACATAGCCCATGTCTCTGTCAGCAGAACGCCCCCCCCCATGCCAAACGGCATTCCGGTGACTTGCCTGTACCGCGATGGCGCTTCGGAACCCCATATCTCCAAGCAGCATGGCAATCCACTCCTTCAGCAGCAGCTTGGAGTGAACGTCGGGCACGACCACCACGACGCTGTAAGACCCAAAGTCCTTTCGGGGAACGGCAAGCTCGGTTTCGATGCCGTAGGTCCAGATTCTGCTGAGGTCGCTGAGACAGGCGCGCATGCTACCGTATTGGCTTGTATTGAATGTTCCCTTGGAGATCGGGTAGAACAGCTGGACGTTCGGGGCGGGGGCGACTTGAAGTGCCTGGGAGCAGTACCGACAGATGGATTAGGGCGACATCCGATGGGAGCCCCCGAAACGAAACAACCCATGCAGGGAATGACGGCCAGTTCTCTCCCTCTCGCGAAGGAACAGTGTCGAAGCAGCCGGCACGGATGCATACTCACCTTGGTGCCAACGACACACTCGCTATCGCTTTCCAGATGAATCCACTCGATCTTGTACGGGTCGTTGTGATCTTCAATTGTGACGGGAGCCGACTGTGAGTTGTATGCAGCCAAAGTCAGCGAGGCGTTGAGCACCAGCCGAATCTTGTTGGCCTTCATCTTTTGCTTGAGATGGGACTCGATGGCATCGAGATCCTTCTGGTCGATATCGTCGTCCGCCGGATCGCCATCGGTGGCGGTAACGGTGGCATCGTCCGGGTGATCGCTGGTCGATCCAGGGTTCAGTCTGACTCGCTTTGGAGGATGGACGCTCGAGTCTGCCGGCGGCTGGATGCGACGAGCGAGGCACTGGGGGACTTCCCTTGGGACTGGTTGCGATGCCAGGCCGATTCTGAAGTAGTGCGATCCTGGATGGATGATAATGACATCCTCAAAGTTCTTGACCGGCTATCCGGCAAACGATGCAACGCGGTCGATATTGGGCATGCGATCAGATCAGACGGAAGTCGAATGAGTATACTCGCGAAGGAGCGTATAACAGCCATCTATCACCAAGCGGTTCGTGGGGCGCATATGCTCACATCGGGACGAACGCCCTCGGTTGGCTTGTTGGCGAGATGGAACTGCGACGATGACCGGAGATAGGACGACTGGCTGTTCTTCACGTTGCCGATGGAGACGGCGACGGGGATTGACGAGAAGGGCCGCGATTTCTTGGACTTTGGTGGCATGGCAAAAGGCAGGTCTGGCTCAGGAAGTGCTGTCGTCGTATGAAATGCAATGTGGGAGCGCAAGCGTATGGTCGTGTGGCCAGATCGAGGGCAGCAGCAGGAAGAAGGGGAGGGAGGGGCCGGTTCGGGATGATGGGCGCTGGGGCGAATGAGCCGGGGCAAATGAACTGGGGCCAAGCCGATCGACTGACAGATCCAACTGACAGATCCAACTGACAGATCCAACTGACAGATCTGGAGATCAACACCCGACCAGACCAACCCGGACCAAGATATAGGCGATCGGGGACGAGTGCGGGCAGGACGAAACTGGGTCTGACAGAGAGAGAAATCTATTTGATGCATGAACCCGGGTCGTCGCTAGATCCCTGCTCTGGGTGCAATCGTGGGGGGTATTACGGGCGATCCAATAAAAAACGGGACACCCGGGATTTTGACCATTCATCGAATATTTTGTTACCCAATGTTATCGCGCGCTGGCCATGACCATTCGCCACACATCCGACTTTCGCACCGCCGCATTGCGATGCTACGCCCTCATCCATAGCCTGCGTAAGGTCGCCTCCATATTCAGTGTATCCAAGAGCACCATCCATCGATGGCACCGAGGTTGCAAGCTGGATGACCCATCCCGGGTCCCAGCTCGCAGATCCACTTTCTTCGAGCAGGCATGTCCAGTCATTCGCACCCTGATTGAACAGGACCCGTTCCAGACTGGTCCTGTGTTGCGATGCAAGCTCGAGTCCATCCTCCAGAGGAAAGTATCACTCTCACTCTGCCACACTGCCATCCACCGAGCAGGTCTCTCACACAAGAGGGCAACACACCTCTACAAGTCCAAGCGACTGGATGAGCGAGTGGCACAGTTCAGGGACCAGGTCCGCTCCATCGACCCACGACGATTCGTTTTTGTCGATGAGACAGGGATCAGGAAATCCATTTTCCCCCTCCATGGGTACTCTGAGAGAGGTGCCCGACTGCAGAGGCGCCACAACATGAAGCACAAGTCTGTCTCGGCTGCATTTGCCATCAACCACTCTGGTGTGCTGCATCGCATGTACATCCCCACATCATTCAAGACACACTCGATGGTCGAGTTCTTTGAGCGAGCGAGCTTCCCAGACGACTCTGTGATTGTGATGGACAATGTCAGCATGCACAAGACAATGGCTGTCCTGGACTGCATCGAGCGCCGAGGATGGTCAGTGATCTTCACCCCACCTGCCTCGCCCGACTTCAATCCCATCGAGAACTTCTTTGGGATTGTGAAGCATCAGTACAGGAAGACAACAGCGCTGAATGCGTCCGAGGGGTTCAAGGTCGGGATGGTCACATTGTTCGAGTCTGCCGTTCGGAGGGTGCTTCCAGATGTCTTCCCACGGCTGATTGAGCGATGCGCTTCTGGGGTTGAGTTCCCTCCAATCAAGCCGCCATTTTCGCGTTCACATCCCTGGCTTGAACCTCTCGGCGATTTTTGAACAGGGTCACTTCCCCAACCAGCCCGCGCAGACGGGTTCCTGCTCTCGGGTATAAATGCCACACCTTCGTCCTGCTGCTTTCTTCCCTCATCTCGCCTTGATCTGATCATCGCGCTATTGTACGATAAAGAAAGTCTCTGCTCTGACCAGTACCACTGGCAGGCATCCAGCATCCTCTGCCCCCATGCCTCCGAAGCGCAAGGGTACCGGTGATGGCCAGCCTCGGCCACCCAGGCCCAAGAAAGCCAAGTCACAGTCGGAGCCTGTCTCTGGTTCGTCTTCTGATCCCACGCATGCTTGGTCGTCTGTTGCTCCGTCGCTCACCACCACTGCTTCTGCAGATCCAATGGATGTCGATCCCACCGAGCCTGGTCCATCTACTTCCTCGAGTACCGGCAAGCGATGTCGCCAGTGCGATGGCACCGATCACGAACGTTGCAACACCAGCAAATGTCCCAAATACCGGCCCCTCAAGAGTTCTGTCGTCCCACTCGTGGATGGAAGGTCATCCGCCCCTCAGTTCAGCTGCTTCAAGCAGACGATGGATGGCTGTTGTCTCAATCCCGCTCTCCGCGACAAGATCCAGGCCACCGTCGAGGCCATGACCCAGATCCAGTTCGAGGCATCCAGGCTGCTCAACCTACATATCCTGAGGTGCATCGAGAAGGGTCTTCCCGTCCCTGTCATCTCCAGGGCCACCCCTGCTTTCGTTCGCCAATGCTCCATGATTGTCGAGGCCGGTGCCCTCTCGACGTCCAGGGATACCAAGAAATACAACGAGCATCTGGTCGCTTCCTTTCGCGACTACCAGACCACTCGGCACGCAGACCTGCCTCCGGCCCCTCGTCTGCCTGATGGTGCTCACAGTCAGCTTCTCACACTGGCTGTCAATGCCTATGCCACCAACTGCACCACCCACCTCGACCTGGCCTACTGGCGACTCCTTCGCCGCTTCTGCGCTGCCGTCTTCCCAGCCAACAAGCACAAGCACGAAGCCATCGAGGCCTGTCTCGAGCTCTTCGAGAAACCAGGGCAGACTCCACCCAAGGCCGATCTCGAGTTCCTCTATCCAGACTTTGGCCACATCCTGGACGAGTTTCGGTACAGCAGCGACCAGGACCGCTTCCGGGCCCTCCATCGCCTCTCACACCATGTGAGAATCCTCGCCCGAGACAAGATGGTCGACAATGTCCACAAGTGGATCGACTGTGACATGCCCGCCCTCCGAGTCACCGAGCTGCAGCGCCAGGCCAAGCTGGACGAGCTCACTACCCAAGGCATTCCCTCCGACGACAAGAGGTTCACCACGGCCAAGTCTGAGCTCGGCACCACCAAGTCCAAGATCAACAAGCTGGCATCCAGGATCAAGTGGGCACTCAAGCAGCTCGCTCTTGACACTCCTCCGGCCGTGTGCACGATAGTTCCTCTATGCACTGCAAGGGCCAAGTATGTCAAGATTGACACGGTCACTCTTTGGAATCTCCTGGGTCCAAAGAAGCGCCTTGGACTCACCAGGGACAAGCTCAAGGAAGAAGGTGATGACGGTGTCAACAACCAGGATCGTCTCTGGCGCAGTTGCTTCAAGCTGCGTAGTTCCCTCTTCCGTGACCGGGATATCAATCACAAGCTGTTCAACTACGAGATCAGCACCGATGGCATTGGATGCACCATCGGCCTCGTCAAGTTTTTGCGTCGAACCGATCACACCGAGACCATCGAGCCTCCTCCGACTGCCGAGCAGCGTATCCAGGCCCACATCGGCGACCCAGACCCCGATCGCACCACTTGGATTGGCATCGATCCTGGAGTCGGCTCCATCTTCACGGCGGTCATCCAAGCACCAGGCCACCAAGACGAGGTGGTCTCATTCTCGAATGGTCACTATCAGCACATGTGTGGCCATACGTCCAACACCAAGTGGCACAACACCATGAAGTATCGACTCAGCATCGAGACCTGGATGTCGACCACCCCCTCGCCCAAGGTGTCGTCCTCGGAGGCTTTCAAGGTCCATCTCACCCATGTCCTGCGACCGGAGCTGCGAGTGCAGCTCGACTTCCACCTTGGCAAGAAGGCCCGTCACCATCGCTTCACGGGCCACAAGAGGCGCCAAGTGGCCGTCGACAGGATGTGCAAGGCCGTCCTGAAGCACGCCCCAATACGGACCGATGTGGTGATCGCCTTTGGCAATGCGTCATGGCGTCAAGGCAAGGGCTATGCATCCAGCCCTCGGAGGCAGCGGTTTGCTCGGTACTTTGAGCAGTTCGAGCACCACCGACGCCGTCCCAATCACCCTCATGGAAGCGTCAAGGTGGCCTCGACGAACGAGTTCAACACCTCGCAGGTGTGCTCCAAGTGCCTGGAGCCAGTTCGGTTGGAAGGACTCGATGCGCCCAGTGTTGCGAATTCCCACTTTGTCAGGAGCTGCAAGAATCCCAGCTGCCGGACAGTGTGGAATCGCGACGTCAATGCGGCGCGCAACATGATCATAGTGTGCAAGTCGATTGTGGAGATCGGAGAGCGACCGGCGGTCTTCACTCGGAGGCTGCCAAAGTGATCTGTTTTATTTCTTGTGGCTTTGCTTGACGCAAGCACAGCACATACTACATGTTCATGGAAACGGCTATATTGTCCCGTTTTTTTCTGAATAAAGTGTACGAACTACGGCATTGACGGCGAGTGCCTTTCCTTGTCCAGGAACTCCTTGGGGTTGTGATGGTATTGCTTCAGGATCTGGATGGTGGTCTTGTAGAGCTCAGACTTTTTGTCTTGAGTGTCGACGAAACACTGATCGGGTGGGTCGAGTTGGTCGAGGTGGTCGGGATGATCGTTGGCGGATCCGATACAAGGGGGCGAGCAAAAGAATGAGGGCCGAGCAGAGCGATATGCAGAGCGATATGCAGAGCGATATGCAGATCGACCAAGCACAGCCATCCACCGATCGATTCAAAGCGATTCAAAGCGATTCAAAGCGATCGGCAGAACAGCCGATGACATACCTGCACACAGGACTTTGCGGCATACTTGGAGCTCCAGTAGACGGTCGCAAATGCACCTGCAGAAATGCCGACGACGCCAAAGAGCTGCAGCCAGCGAGGCATAACCTTGGGATTGAAGTTCAGGGTCGAGTAGGCGACGCCTCCCCAGAGCACAAAGTTGGCCGGCAGATAGAACTGGGGCGAGGTGTCGTAGCTTTTGACGCACTGCTTTTCGTGGTCCGACAGCTGGTAACCGTTGGTCCTGATCCAGACGCCGAGATGGTCGAGGATGCTCTTTTCGATGAACCAAGACATGGCCGATTGAGATTAGCGGGTGGGGAAGCTGTGGACGGGCTGGGCAAAGGACGCTGAGACGACCGGGAAACGGGCTCGTGGCTACGGAGGGAAGGTGCGGTGGTCGCCCGAGGCAGATGCGCAATGTGCCGGCGATCCAGGTTCAGATGTCGACGAAGGAGAGAGAACACGAAAGGGCTGGGCCGAAGGCCTTGTTGGCATGACTCTGCCGTCTGGGTCTGCTCGCGGTGGATTGGTCGAGACGAGGGGAACGGCTTCCTGGCCGATGCATCCCATGTCCCACCGAACATGGACCCAGTGCAGCGCCCCGGCATGCTGCGAAAAGGACATCCAATTGCGCCTGGGACAGCCGGCCGACCATGAGTGCCTGGAGGGCTTGCGTCCAGGGGGAACTGCACGAATACCACCGACGAGGGCGCGATGTGCTTGATCCACACGGCATGTATACCCGCCAGCACGGCATGTATACTCGGCCAGCACGGTATATTCGATCGCCATGGCATGTCCAGGAGCACGACATGTCCAGGCCGAGGGCGCACATGCCCATGTGTCTCCGGCTGGTGCTGATCCGGCTGTCGCTGTCGCCATTGCCATCGCAGGCAACAAGCTCGGCGGTTGCGGCAATCCCAGGGTCGCAGCCCCTCCCCCCTCGGCGTGCAGGATTGCCTCTTGGTTTCGGACAGACCAGCCCGGTCTTCTGCGGCACCTCTTTCCTTCGTCTCCCTGTTCTGCACTGCCAGTGTAAGTCGGTGCTGCTGTGCTGGCCTGGGATATACCCACGACGGGATGAAAACCAGGGGCGGCAGAGCGGGAGTTTCGGCCGCCGTACTCATCGAGCCTGGACCGCCTGCGGCCTGCATCCCGGTCGCTCTGCCCACTCGCCCGCTCTCGTTCTTGCCACAGGTCGGCTCGATACCACAATCACAGCCCCTCCCTCCCTCTCCAGATCAACCCGTCTCTGAGTCCTCGAGGCCAACCTGCAACATCATCGCCCTCCCAAGCCGCCACTGTTAGCGCTCTCAAAGTGCAAATCACCTGCTTCCCATCCTCAGACGCTGCCGTCATTCCCCCCCCTTTCACCGATCATGTCTGGCGATGTGCTCATATCCCCGTTCAAGTAAGGGCGCTGGACCGTCTCCCTACATTGCTCTCAGGATATGACCGATATCGAGAGCACCGCAGTCTCCATCAGCGATATTGCCAGAGATGAGCGCTGTTTCATCCGCGCTATTCGCGCGAAGCCGATGCTCATAGTCGGCGAGTGCCAGGGGAGGAGCTAACATTGCTCGTGTGCTGCGTGCGGCTTTCGACAGAGGCAAGGGATTCACCGTCTCGATGCTCAAGGACGAGTTGCGAAAGCGAAATGTAAGCCCCTGGGTTCAACAGGCCTTGGAAGAGGGTGTCTCGAATGCTGCTGCTCCTCCTGGAGATTGGCGATCGGCGATCGGAAATGCCGGGGTCATCCTGGATCGGTCGAGTGCTCAACCTTCTTTGATCGTCTCCGTATCCTTCTCTTCCCACCTTCTCTCCCTCGACGTATACGTGATGGTCTCTGGCAGCTGCCAATGGACGGCCCAAGATCGACCCTGGTCGAGCGGTTGGAAGCCCACGACGGATATCTTACCAAGGCCCAGAAGGCTCGGGCCGCGCGCAAAGATCTGCACGTCAAAGATGGCGATCAGGAAGAGTCGGCCGAAGGTGAGGAAGCTGCTATCGCTCTCGCTTCTCCGAGACAAGCAACGTTGGCCTGGCTGTGGGCTCGAGTACTATTTGATATCCTGTTGGAGCTGGGATCGAGCATCTACTGGGGAAGTCGAGAGAATGCTGCATCGAGCGATTCTTCACCCCTCCCACCCTGTGCCATCAACCTAGATAGGGGATGGTGGGATACTGTGATTTCGGCCACTGGGTGAAGGGGGCCAACATGATCGGCTTGAATCCACAGTGCCAAACAGACAGGCAAGCAAGCAAGCAAGCAAGCAGGCTCACCGTATCTATCCGCCACTTGCCATTTTTCTCGTCTGCCTGGACAGTCCTCTCGCGCATCGCTGAGCTCAAGCGGCTGCGAACTCTTAACAACATCTGGAACTCTCCCTTGACGATTCTGGGATACTTTGCCGTCTACCTGATCCGGAACCTGAGGCTTGGAGCCAGTGTTTTGTCGCGCCGTTATGGAGTCACGCTGACGTTCGTGGTGGCAATCGCTGCGGCTCTACTGGCCTATCATCTGGACGGACCCCATCAATACGTAAGTTCATTTTGGAACGAAATGAAGTTGAATGCACTGCGGTGCCAGACCGGGAGTCCCAGACCGGGAGTGCCAGAACGGGAGTGCCAAAGTGGGAGTGCCAGAACGGCACTCGCATCATGTTGAAAGGCTGATTGGCGGTGCGAGTCAGCTTGCATGTCGGCATGATCGGATCGTATGACCCACATGTTTCTTATTCTTTGGGTTCGGACGTGGAACCGAACCAACACTTGCAGGTTGTCCAAAAGGTCGAGCTGGAGGTCGTGTGGCTCGGCTGGTGGGTTTTGCTGGGAATCGCCTCCTCCATCGGCCTGGGCACAGGACTCCACACGTTCTTTTTGTTCCTGGGACCGTATATTGCACACGTCACCATTACGGCGTACAGATGTGGCTCTCTGAACTTTATCTCAAGAGGACCTCATGGGTAAGGATGACCAAGCAGCCAAGTCGGAGGCATGCATCAAAGGGACCGGATGTGGTGGAGTCTTGAGGGCTGCTGGCTTTTTTTTGGTGGGGGGCTGCTCTCCCCGACTCGGCCGTTCTTGATCATATCGGGCTGAGGATCCGTATCTCACCTGTCCATCGCTGCACCTGTCATTCCTCTTTGGATATCTCGGACCGATGGCTGGATCCAACCTATCCCTACCAAACGGTCAATCAGTTTTGTTTGCCCCGAAGAGGCTGGAGCAGGAATCGTCACTATCTGGACCATCTACTCAAAGGTCGCACTGGAATGCTTTTTCTGGGGAGCCGGAACTGCCATTGGCGAGCTGCCTCCGTACTTTGTGGCTCGAGCCGGTACGATCCTCGCTATCGCCGCCTCCTGAGCGACCCTGTTTGGTGCAACGGAAGCGTGTAGATGCCATCGGCCGATATCTGCGGCTCTACCGTTGGGTTATGGTGAGAGCTATTTGTCAAAAGCTGCTTCGACTGACCAAATGACGCGGCGATCGTGACTATCGTGGCTTCGCCCGTGCTTGGCCCATTAGCTGCCTCTGCCGGAAGAGACGATCAGGACTTTTTGACGATCGAAAAGATTCTCGCCAAGAATCCCAAGGACAGGGCCTTTAACGAGAGGGCACAAGTGTTTGTATACAACCTCCTGCAGCGCCTTGGATTCTTTGGTATTTTGCTGTGTGCATCGGTAAGTGGTGCATCCATGTAGCGAGGCCACATCCAGCCGTGGAGGAATGTGTGCCGTCGTGTGCTGTTTTGCCCGGGAAGATGGGCTCCGAGAGTGCTTAGCTGGGAGTGGACAGGGTTATCTCTAACACAGGTGCACAATCACCGTATCTCTTTGCTGCGGCAGATTCCCAACCCCCTCTTCGACCTGGCGGGCATAATTTGCGGCCACTTCTCGATACCGTTCCATACCTTTTTCGGAGCGACTTTTGTTGGCAAGGCTCTAATCAAAGCCAGCATCCAGGTGAGCCAAAGGGCCGTTGTGGCAGGGCAAGAGGGCGCCAACGGAGGGAATCGGGTTCTCGCGTGGGAATGGGTGCCATCACCGGCCTCCCTGCCCTTGTGGCGGCTGCCGTTTGCACGAGGACCCGGTGCATTGCTTTCTCGCTGCTGCGTGGCTGACGCTTTGGTTCTGCAACGACGGCCAGTCCGTCGCAGTCATCGTTTTGTTTTCGAAGGACATTCTGGACTACTTCCTGCGCCACTTGCAGCAGGCGGCGCCTTCGCTTCACGCCATTGTCGAGCGGCAGTTGGACGCCCAGGTCCACAAGTTCAGCAAAACAGCGGATGGGCCCGGAGCCGGCGGCGAGAAGCTCAATCTAATCCCGCTGGTCTGGAACACTGTGCTCTTCCTGATGATCGGCTACTTTGTATCGTCGTTGGTGGAGTCACTGGCGGTGCAGGAGATGCGACGACAGCACGATGCCGACATCGAGACGCTGCGTGCCAAGGTAAGCAAACCCGATCCAGGCACGCTACGAGGCGACGGGGATGGGCGGATCGGACCTCCAGCATGGACATGGACGTGGATGCGAATGACAAGCCCAAGGAGAGAGGAGTGTGTATCGGTGACAGGACAACGAGGGGTTCCTGCCAGGGGCCGGGATCAAGCCCGCCTCTGTGATATGGTGCTTCGTGGCGCTAACGATCCACCTGCCCAACTCACAACCGAACCTGAACCCAACGGCGACCCCCAACGGTGACCACATCGCGGCTGATGGCTCAACGCCGGCGTTTCGCTGCGCCTGATGGCCGCAACACAAAACCTTCTCGCTGGACCACGGTGCCTGCCGCGGACCCAGCACGGCAAGGCCAAGCCTTCGCCTGTGTCCTGACCACCGCACCGCTCCCGGCAACGGCGTGCGAGTCGACCCAAGACGTGCGACCTCAAAGCAACAAAACGTGCCAATCGACCGCGAGCGAGCATCGACCTGAACGGCCACCGTCACCACCACCACCGCCATCACGCCGCACCACACAACCGCATTCTCCGCATCCACCATGCCGCCGGTCTCCGGTCTGGCAGGCTTCGTATCACGCCCGAATATACATGGCCTGGGTCACACGCCGCAACGCCCGAAAACGTGCTGCAGGCCGCCGGTGACGGCGTGCGGCTAGCGACGCCACCAGACAGCGGCGGTATAGCCCTGGTTCGCCGCTGCCAGGGCCGGGCTGTGAGGGGGGGGGCAGGGCCGCCGCGTGCCGGGGTGCATCGGGCTGGCGTCAGGTCAGGCCGGGTTGGGTCGGGTCGAAGGAGGGATATTCGGGCGACGCGGAATGGGGCCAGCAAGTCATTCGGGCGAATGACGAGGCGGGGGGGGGGTCGCCGGGCCAAGGCATGATCAGGCTGGGGCGAGACGCCGCCAGAACCACTCGCAATCTGCGGCGTTGGGCATACCACCCTTACCGGGAGCGCAGGTCGGCGGGGCATGAAAATCGACGATAGCGCCGATGGCGACGATCAGGCGGAATGGGATGCGCTGGCAGGGACTCGTCTGAGCCAAGAGAGATACGCGAGCGCGCAAGCCCATAGACGCCCCGGACCATTGTTGGCCAAGGGCGGAGGCGTTCGATTTGCTGGAAGCAGCCGTGGGAACGGGCAAACCGAATTTCGAAGGCCCTCCGCAGGATCGGGGGCGTGGCGAGGGGGGGCCAGGCTGCGGAAGCGAGCCAAGGACGGGATATGGATGTGCTTGGCGGGCTGAGCAGCGACGAGGCAGCACACATAGCACAGGGCGACCAAGTCGACACCGGATCAGCGGGCAGGCGGAGATGGACTCGAGTCAGCAGGCGCCTGGATTTGCAATGGGGCCGCGCAGCAGCACAAAGCAATGGCGCTGGACTGCTCCTGGGCAGGCCCGCTGACCGACACAGCGCCGGCGCCAACAAGGGGCCAGACGGCGAGAACATTCCGAAATCGAGCGTCACGAGGCAGGCCGCGCTCGCATCATCCGCAGCCCCGTGGCAAGGGGAGCGCGGCGGGTGGGGGAAGTGGTGCGCTGCCAGCGACGCGAGCAGACGCGGGAGGTTCTCGTTGTGCCGCCGCAGCGCGAGGAGGGGACCACAACAGAGCAGCGGCGAGAGCAAGCGGATAATCGGGGAAACGCGGCGGGGTCGCACGGCGCAGCGCGAGCCATGTCGTCAGCAGCGGCGGCAACCCACACGCTGTACACAGTGTGTTGCGCAGGGTCAGCTGGGCTGCAGGCACGAGGGACCAAGGGCGTGGCGGCGGCCGCCACCGAGGGCGGGGGAGGAGCTGTGCGAGAGCGGCTCGCGCCTACAGAGCGCACAGAGCAGCAGAACGAACAGAACGTACAGAAATGGCTGGCCACAGGCACCACGGACAGCGCAGTGCACAGAGGGCAGCGACAGGAAAAGCAGAGAACAGAGAACAGAACAGAGCGCCTTGCTGCCTCGTGGGGACGCTGGCTGTCTGGCGCGCGACAAGGTGCAGCGCCCCGCCAGGTGCTGGCACAATGGGGCCTGCGAGCAAGCGCACCTGTGTCACGCAACGAGTGACCCACCGAGGCTGGGAGGACATTCAAGAAGAAAGGGCAGCGCGACAAGGACAGGGGCAGAGAAGCCGACAGCCAAAGAGACGAGCAGCGGATCGTTCCGAAGAACGAGGGCGATCTGGACAGGCGATCGTGCAGACCCAAAGCCAGCAGCAACCGGGTGGCTGGCTGCGCTGGCTGGTTGGCGGGTTGGTTGGTTGGTTGATTGGTTGGTTGTTGGCCGACGGGCCGGGATGAAAACGCACGCACCTCCTGCGTGTCCCTGCGCGGTGGAGGTGGATTCCGGGCTTGTCCGCACGATGGCGAGCCAGCGAGGCGGCCTCTCGTCTCGCCGAGGAGCCACACAGCGAGGCCGCGGATGGCGCTCGGCTGTTTGTCGTGCCCGTTCCGATCAGTGCACCAACGGGCGGTCGCCGCTGGGCCAGCGCTGGCCAGTAAGCTGTCGCCAGCCTGCCCGCCCATTGCCCCCCCATCTCAGCATGCAGCCAGGCGCCCTTGTGGAGCAGACGGAGCCAGGCCGGCCGTGCGCGTCGAGCGCTGCGCGGGGCCTTGTGACGCGGGTCGGCGCCTCGATCGCGTCCTGCCGTTTCTGGCCAGCCGGGCGCGCCGAGATAGGTCGCGGCCACGGAGCCAATCGGCGGCGGCCGGCCATGCTCGCTGGCCCCGACAGCAAATCGATCGGCCGAGAGATAGCGACGGCCTTGGTCGGTCTCGGGTGGCCTCGCTCTCGCTTGTGGCGAGCTCTTACTTGCGTCTCGCTGGCCGCTCGCTGCCCCCGGTATCATCTCGGTATCATCTCGGTGGTGGCATATCGGCACCCATCTCGACACCCGTCTCGACACCATCTCGTCGCCATATCGTCGCCTCCTCTCCTTGCTTTGCTGTCGGCGTCGTCGCCTCGCCCTTCTCGGCGCTTCTCGCCGTCCTGGCTCTTGTTGCTGGCGATTTGTTGTCACTCCTTCTTTCCTGCGCACACAAGCGCCTGTGCTCTCGCCGAATCCGCCGCTCTCGGCCGCTGCTTCCAAATCCGGCCCTCGTCTCGCTCGCTCGCGCTGTTCCTCAAACGCGCATTTCCAGCCAATCGCGGCCCGCTGCTCCATCCCCCGTTCTTCTCGCCGTCCCCTCGCCTGCTGCCGCCGGCCTCGCTCGTTCTTCTTCCTCCCCTTCCCCCCGGCCATTTAAAAGGCCGACCCCAGGCCCGTCCTCTCGCAACTCTTCTTCTTTTTTAGAGTTTCGTCTTTTTTTTTCATCTTGTTCGTTGCCATCACCGGCCCAGACGGAAGAAAATGACTGAAGCTGGTGAGCACTCTTGCTGTCCTGCCGTTATGCTGCTGCTCCCCTCGTTCCTTTGTTGCGGGCCTCCGTCCGTTCTTCGGCCAAGTGCCCCCCGCGATGTGCACTTCATTGCCGCCCTCGCCCCATCACACCGCCATCGTCGGCTTGGTCCTGTTGCTGTTCCTGTTGCTGTGGCAGTGGGCCTGGGTCCTCTCACTCCCAGGGTGCCTGCAGCCATGCGGTGCCCAGATCTCTCGAGAACCTGGATGGCTCGGGAGGCTCCTGTCTCCCTCTGCGGATCCTCCGCATCTGCCGTCGTCGCTAGCACCGCACTCTTCCCGCATCTGCCCAAGCCAGCCCCCCTTCAACACAGAGCACACACCACCTCCTGTCCTGTAACCGCTCGGCCTCCTGGCTACCCTGCTGACTCTTTTTGCTCTACCATGCTCAGACGCCAAGCCCAAGGATAACAAGGATTTCCACGACGAGGAGCAGCATGTCGAGGTCACCGAGGACATCGATGCCGAGCTCGAGGCCCTCCTCCAGACTCCTCCCCTCGAGGGTCTGACCGATGCCCAGGTCGAGGAGCGTCTGGCCAAGTTCGGAAAGAACGGTATGTGTGCTCTGCTTCTGACACTGTCCACCGATGAGCTGCAGCCGTGCATGTCGCTCTGCACCGCTTGTCTGCTATGATTCGAGTCATTCATATCCTGACCAAGCCTGTGGCATCGCCACTCCGGCCCCCTGTCCCGATCACCCGAACTGACATGATCCGCCGCTCGTTTCCTCCCTGTCAATAGAGCTCCCTGAGAGAAAGACCAACCCCTTCCTCAAGTTCCTCAGCTACTTTGGTGGTGCCATCTCCTACCTGCTGGAAATCGCCGCCATCGTCTCTGCTGTCCTTGGTGACTGGGTCGACTTTGGTATCCTTGTTGCTGTCCTGTTCGCCAACGCCATCATTGGTTTCCACGAGGAGGCCAAGGCCGAATCTGCCCTCGATGCCCTCAAGAACACCCTTGCCCTCAAGTCCCGTGTCTGGCGTAACGCCAAGCTCGTCGAAGTCGAGTCCAACCTCCTGGTTCCCGGTGATGTCATTGCCCTGCGTCTCGGTGATATCGTTCCTGCCGATTGCCGTCTCCTCGGCATCGGTGTCACCGGCGAGGAGACCGAAGGCTCTCTCCAGATCGATCAGTCTGCCCTGACCGGCGAGTCTCTCCCCGTCAACAAGAAGAAGGGTGCCATTGCCTACTCGTCCTCCATGATCAAGCAGGGCCAGCAGCTCGCCATCGTCACCAAGACTGGTATCAACACCTACATTGGTCGTGCCGCCAACCTGATTGCCATCACCAACGACGCCGGCCACTTCCAGAAGATCATCAACAACATCGGCAACTTCCTCATCGTTGTTTCCCTTGTCATGGTTATCATTCTGTTCTTGATCTCCGTCTTTGCCCACGGCAACGCCCCCCTGGTTGCCCTCAAGCAGGTTCTCATCTTGACCATTGCCGCCATTCCCGTTGGTCTGCCCACTGTCATGTCCGTCACCATGGCCGTCGGTGCCAAGCAGCTCGCTGCCAAGAAGGTCATTGTCAAGCGTCTCACTGCCATCGAGGAGCTTGCCTCTGTCTCGATTCTCTGCTCCGACAAGACCGGTACCCTGACCCTCAACCAGCTGTCGTTCGACAAGCCCTTCCTGACCATGCGTGGCAACACCACCGACGACTTCCACGGCACCGGCGTTCCCTACACCGACCAGGACCTCCTGCTCAACTCGTTCTTCTCGTCTGAGCCCGGAGCCCAGGACCCCATCGAGTCTACCATCCGTGCTGCCGCCCAGGAGCGTGTCGACCTCCTCCGCAACCGTGCCGTCCAGGACCACATCATCCCCGGCTTCAAGGTCAACAACTTCATTCCCTTCAACCCCACTTCCAAGTACACCGAGGCCACCGTCACCGACCTCTCCACCGGCAAGCAGTTCCGCGTCATCAAGGGTGCCCCCCAGGTCATCATCCGCATGGTCGGTGGCCACAGCCAGGGTTCCGATGCCGTCATCGACCTCGCCCGCCGTGGTCTCCGTGCTCTCGGTGTTGCCCGTACCATTGACGATGAGATGACCAAGTTCGAGCTTGTCGGTCTGATTTCGCTCCTGGATCCTCCCCGCCCCGACTCTGGCTCGACCATTGCCGAGTGCGCCGCCCTCGGTGTTGGTGTCAAGATGATTACCGGTGACCAGCAGATCATTGCCAAGGAAGTCGCCTTCCGCCTCGGCATGCAGCGCACCATTCTCGATGCCCACAAGCTGATTGATTCGTCCATGGATGAGGAGGCCCTCACTGACCGTGTCGTCAAGTGCGATGGTTTCGCCCAGGTCATTCCCGAGCACAAGTTCCGTGTCGTCGAGCTCCTCCAGAACCGCGGCTACCTCGTCGGCATGACCGGTGATGGTGTCAACGATGCCCCTGCTCTCAAGAAGGCCAACGTCGGCATTGCCGTCGAGGGCTGCACTGACGCTGCTCGCTCCGCTGCCGATATCGTCCTCCTTGCCTCGGGTCTCTCGACCATTGTCGATGGTGTCAAGACCTCCCGTGCCATCTTCCAGCGCATGCGTTCGTACGCCCTCTACCGTATCTCCTCGACCATCCACTTCCTGATCTTCTTCTTCATTGCCCAGCTCGTCTTCCAGTTCGCCCTTCCCGATCTCCTCATTATCCTGATTGCCGTCCTGAACGATGCCGCCACCCTCGTCATCTCCGTCGATAACGCCAAGATCTCTGGTCGCCCCGACAAGTGGCGTCTCGGCCAGCTCCTCACCCTGTCGTTTGTCCTGGGTATCCTCCTGACCCTGATCTCGTTCGCCCACTTCTTCACCGCCCGCTCGATCCTCGGCCTCACCAACCAGACCAACATGGATCTCAGCTACGTCACCGACCAGGTCCAGAACCACGGCATGGACCCCACCATCCTGGACAACCTGCGCAAGCTCCAGTCGATCATCTACCTCAACGTCTCGTCGTGCCCCCACTTTGTGATCTTCTCGACCCGTGTCCCCGGATGGTTCTGGGAGTCCGCCCCCTCGCTGATCTTCGTCATTGCCGTCGGTGGTACCCAGGTCTTTGCCATGCTCATGACCTGGTTCGGTATCCAGGCCCTTGAGTCGTACGCTATGTAAGTGTCGTTTATGCAACCGCGCTCGTAGCCATATGTTGTGTTTGCTCTGCACATTCGCTGGTGCCTCCAGTCGCTGTGACCGGAGACGGATCCTCAATTGGCAATGTCACTGACCCGGTCCCATTATCTCGCTCCTTTCCTTTGCGTCAATGGCAACACAGCGGTCCCGCCTGGGCTATTGGTGTCATCTGCGTCTCCCTGGCCATGTTCGGTCTCCTCGATGTCGTCAAGGTCTTGACCTACCGCCACTGGTCGTTCGAGCTCACTGCCCGCCTGTGGCCTTCTCCCAAGCGCACTGCCGAGCTCAAGCGCCGCCTTGCTCGCAAGGAGGAGCTCAAGCGTGTCCACGCCAACATCAAGAAGGTCCGCAATGTCCTCCTGATCAGCACCGCTCTCGTTGCCTGGAAGAAGACTGTCAAGAAGAACGTCCTCCCCGCCCAGGCCGAGGCTTCGACCAAGACCCTTGTCTAGACCACTCGTAAATTATTTTGATTCGTCCGTCTGGTCCCCCCTTTGACTTTCTTTTCAGATCCATATGATCGACGCAGAGGCCCCCCTCCTTGGTGGATAATAATGAATGTATGAATGCCAGTACGCCCGAAGGGTTCCTGTGCGCATGCCCAGCTGCGCTGACGGCCGATGGATGTTCCTGTATTTTTTTTTTGTTCCCCCCGGATCGTGGCCTCTTCGGAAGGTCAGAGTTGTTTCTTGTGCGGCAGGGGAAATGTTGTTGGCCTTTATTGTTCTCTCGAGTTGTAAAGCCGTTTCTGTCTATCCTTTCTTATTTTCTTCCCTCCTTAGAATACATAACCCCCCTGCTCGGACAGACGAAACTTCCTGGTGTTGTTGTCTTTTTCTGTGCAAATCCAACAAAAACCCTTCTCCCGGCTCTCTTCTTCACTTCGCCACCTCATCCTTCTTCGAAAAGGTTCTTCAGGCCCCCCTCCCCTCCCTCCCCTCCCCTCCCCTTCCTTTCTTCTTTCTCCTTTCCCTTTCCTTGTGACTTTGAGATGATGTTGAGGAATGAAAAAATCGCGGCGGAGAAACCCGAATACGACGGCCCCATACGATGCACTATGAAAAAAATTTCTTGTTAAAAAAATCAGCGAGAACGAAAAAACGCGCTCTCGGAGCCACCTCGGTCGGCGAGAAGAGCAGTCTCTGGCGAGAGACCCCCGAGGGAAGGCGAGAAGCCTCTCGCCGTCACACACACACACACACACACACACACACACACACACTTTGCACAAGAGAGTCAAACACCTCCCATCGACCATCCCAAGAGGGATGGCAACCCCGAAGTGGACTGCCCAGAATATGGGCGACCCAGCATCCACTGTCGAAATGCACAACAGTGCGAGATACTTACAGTCTATCCAGAAATAAACGGGACAGTCACTTTCTGGCTTCTGAAGCCCGCTGACTGACTTGTAGGCCCAGCGGGCAGGCCATGGCATTGCACTCCTGTCTTCGTTGGCAATCTCCTTGATTTCGTTGGTTGGGAAGCATGGTCTTGAATACACCCGGTCGATCTCCATGGACGATGATCGACTGGCATACCGTGATCATGTTCCTGGCTGCATTGATGTCTCGATCCCACAGCGTATGGCAGCTTGCACAGCTCCGGACAAAGTGTGGTTTCTCGATATCAAGATGCTCGACCTTCTCGAGTCGCTTGGCTTCCCGACAATGTGAGCACACCTGGGATGTGTTGAACTCGTTCACCGAGCACACATGGATCTTGGAGACGGATCGGTCTGGTGGGTGGCTCTGGTGGTGGTGGAACTGCTCAAAGTACTTGGCAAACCTGAGTCTCCTGGGACTGGAGGCATATCCCTTCCCCTGTTTCCAGGATGCATTCCCAAAGGCAATCACCACCTCGGTCTCCCTTGGTGCCTGGTCGATGACTTGCTTGCACATCTCGTGGACAGTGCGCTGTCGCTTGCTGTGGAGATCGAGTCGCTTGAATCGCCGTCGCCGGGTCAGGCTGAAGCACAGCTGTTTGTCCAGCATGTCTCCATCGAACACATGGCGAATGTATTGCAGGAAGGGATCCAACCCAGGGATCTTGGGACTTGGTGTGGTGCTCATCCATTCCTGCAGACCAAGGATCTTGTGGGTGCTCTGGATCCACTTGGTCGCCTGGGTGGTGTCTTTCTCTTGCGGGGAGCCATCTGGCGAGAAAATAGCGACCATGGCTGGTTCTGCCCTTGGGGAAGAAAGAATCTCCTCAAAACCAGCGCATTTTGGGCTGGCCGAGATACTGTGCAGTGGCGTCCTTGATTCGGATCCAGAAACGCATCGCTCGCTCAATCAGTCGTGGGAAGACATCTTGTCAAGGTGATTCTTGCCTGATAGCCAAACGATCATGTCATCTCGCTGACACACAGCCACGCTTTCCAACCAGAGAGATTCAGATGGTGGTGGTTCTTGTCCGCAATCGGAGTGGAGCTTCCAACAATGATACAATTGGTCATTCCTCCACACCAATCGCCCACCACCACCGTCAATCGGCTCAAGGTGATACAAAATGCCGTCAACCGACCATGGCCGGATTCCAACTTTTGCTGCATCTTGGTCTACAGCGTGTATTCACATTCGAGATGAGCAGCCGCGAGGGAGCCGGAAAAATTGGTAGCGATAGTTTGTTCGGAACGATAATATGGTTCAATGTGTCCCTAGATTGTGTCCCTGGATTTGTCTCCCTGGGTGACCTTGTAGTTCGTTCCCAGCGGGCCCGGGACAATGGGATTGCACTTCCTGTTCTTCGTTGAACAGGTCCGATGCCTCTCGATTTCACGCCCGGCCAATGTAGAGGAAGACAGAGGCGTATATTCAGGGCCAACGCCAGCCATCAAGACCCCACGGTCCCCGGCATCTCGCCCGTCATCGTTGATGCCGTGTCATCAGAGATTCTTCCAAGGCCGCGTGCGCTGTCTTTGCTTACGACACCGACCACTGTATCGGGCGACAACGGCTTGTCTCCGTCGCCGCCGGTGGGCTCGATCGATCGTTTGTAGTTGGGATTCAGTTTCATCCGCGCCAGGAGTTGCTCGTCATCGCCTGCCACCCAGCTCTCGGTCTCGTCTGCGTAGATCGCCCACAGATGGTCAAAGGTGGCTCGCAGCTGTGGTGCGCCTCGATGGCAAAGGCAATGGATCGATCGCAAAGGCAGTGGGCCGACAGAGTGTTAGTTCTTGGGAGCTGTTGGCTACGGACCAGTCGATCTCTTCCGCACATATGACCAACGCTCCACATTGCCGATTCCGCAAGTTGACCTGCAGTCGACCCGTAATTTTCTGCACTGCAAACTTTGGAAGCGACCAGACCGTTTTCAGCTTCATCGAGGTTGCATCACCCCCCCCCAATCTTGCTCGCGCACTCTCGCTCATATCCATAGCACTCACACGCCTGGCTCGGGTACGGACCTGATTTCCGAGGTGCTCTTGGTACTTGAACTCGCCAAAGTCGACTTCGCCAAAGTCATTGATGCCTTCCATTGCCTCGGTCAGCGTTACGAGCGCCGTCCGCAAGAGTCCCGACCGGCGGGTCCCAAACCACCCTCGCTGCCGCGGCTTCATCAGCGCCAGCGTCGCATTGATCCGGACCTTGAAATTCTTGCTCTTCTGGATCGCGGTAAAGAGCGCCTGGTACAGCATGGGTGTCCAGGTCGTCGTTCCGATCGGAAAGTCGCTGTGCGCCAGCATGTTGGAGACGGCGTAGCATGCGTTCCAACGGGTCTGCACAGCCGCACCCACCGCCAAACATCAACACACAACAATGTCGATTTGCAGAGTCAGTCCACTTGCTCAGAGGGAGGGCAGGCGACAAACACCACCTATATCCACCCACAGGACCCCATCGCATCTCTTGGCTGAGCACCCTCAGTCCAAAGGCCATCGGCTGCCGAAGCACACAGTTTTGGGCCCACGTATGCAAATGTTCAATTGGCTCCGCCGTCCAACTTACTTTGACTGTCCCGCTTTCAATGTTTTTGATAACGACCTGCACCGATGCCTTGACAAGGCTTTCACGTTCACGGGAGAGGAACAGTCGTGATGATGCCAGGACAAGATTCCCAATCGCTCGCACGCCGCTCGAACGACACTGGCAAGGCATAGGATAAGTCAAATAGTGCACCAAGCATACGCGCAGCGCATGGACGGGGCAGCATCCAAGACGATTCGGTTCTGCTCACGTCGACCATGCACACCCACTTTGTCGTTATCCTTGGCTGCCACGATGCTCGTCTTGATCATGTCCGCAACCAGCTCTTCGGTCAACGCACTGGACTCGACGTCTTGTGCTTCTGGGCTGCCATGATAAGGCATGAGATGAAGCGAAGTGTGCCATGAGATGATATGAAGTGAGCCATGCGATGGGTGCCATGAACCGGGCCATCGACTGTCCGGTTGCGTGGCGCTAAGGATTCGTAATGCACTTCATGTACGCCTCATCCAGTGAAGGCTTCTGGGGGCCTTCTCGGTCTTCAGGCACTCTTGCAGCTCTTGTAGTCGTCACAAAGGCGCAGATGTCGTCGGTGCTGTTGTCGCAGATCTTGATTTCTCTCTCTATCTCTCCTTTGAAGCTCCCATCCTTCCCTTCCCTTCCCTTCCCTTCCCTTCCCTTCCATTTCCGGCGCTTCGTTTTTCATCCCCCGACTCCCATCTCTCTTCCCTTCACTTTTCCTGTTGCCGAGTTCCCAGAATAAGAGTGCTCTCAAACTTACAATCTAGTGGCCAGAACTTCAGCAACGTTGGCCAGTGCCCAGCTCGCACGAATGCGAACCGGGAGACTCGAGCTAGAGACATGTGGGGTGACTGTGGAGGCGACATCGAGAACAAATTCCATATCCTTGGAAATCAAAGCACAGCGCCCGTTAGTGCAAATCGGATGAGAAACACCACCACCACCACCACCACCACCACCACCACCACCACCACCACCATCACCATCATCATCCATTGCCAGTACTGTCGCTCCATCGTGGCACTTGGATTTGAGCTCGCCTCACGAGGACAAAGTGGTCAATCAAGTATGTTACCTGTGCCAGCGGCTCGTAGAGTACATACACGCCAAGGGTGCGGCAGGCTGCTGCGACGACCGGAGAGTCGTCATCTTGAGCCATACCCAGGGCCAGCGTCAGGAAGGCATACTGCTGTTTGGGCTGGTTAGCCAAATGAGTGCACACCATTCGTTAGGGTACTTGCATTTTGGAGGTGCATACTTGTTCGTTGGGGACCAGGCATCCGCTTTGGTTGAGCCAATCCGGGCGGGGCTTCTCGACAAGCGCTGCCGTTCTGGCATTCAAATAAACATCCAGGGGTCGCCCGGGCACTTCTTTCTGGACCTACCTCGAATCCTTCAAATGCCTTTTCAGGAACGTTGGAGAGGATGTCACATCCCAGAGCGCGCACCGCATAGAATGGATCATTGAGCGCCGGCTGGATATATCGTGTCAGCATATTGACCCACCACTCTGGAGACGACTGGATTCAGAACCACAAGTCAGTCACACATATCGAGGTCGCAGGCAGGCAGAAGCAGCCGATTTCGTGACGCCGACACTGCATCGACAGAGGATCAGCGGTCACTGGCCGGCCTGGGTTGGCGCCGCCGCACTGCGTGCAGCCAGCCGGCATGTCTCCCAACTCCTTGGATCGCCCGCTCGCTCCCGTGGGCGGAAAGCAGCCCCTGTCTCGCTCTGGTCCGACTCGACTCACGCTCCATTCTTCCCCGGCGCGTGTCGAGTGCAGATATTGCTCGAGAAGCTTGAGCGCAGCCACGCGGATCGCCTCCAGAGAATCTTTTGCTGAGTTGAAGATGGTATCGTCGAGGCTGATCCACCGCATTCTATTCAGAGAAGGTCAGACAACCGACAACAGTCAATGTGCGTGCGTGTGCATGTGAGTTGGTGTTGATATCATGCGAAGCAGCTGTCGGGACGAGCCCGGCTCACGAGTTTCTCCCCCGCTCTGCACACCAAGCAAACGGGGCAAACGAAAGGGTCAGGTAGGTGGCTCACTTTAGATCATCGTGTGTGCTGCGAGCAACGGCGCAGAGGAACTCAAAGGCCGCGGCCCGGACAGCCAGATGAATCTGCGGCTGTGTCAAGACCGTAACTTGTCCAACAAGCTCGTCCATGGACACAAGCGACCTTGAGGCCTCGTTGAGCACCATTTCGGCATCCACCAGGCTGCCGAGCAGCTCCAGAACCGCCGTCTTTGCATGGACATCTATCGAAAGCCGTTCCAGCCGACCGGGCACTGTTAGGTCCTGACATCGTATCGAGCCGTATGTCTCCTGGACAACGAAGCGAAGCCGGTGTACGCTCGTAGATGCTCGGATGCGATGTCGCTCCGTTTCAATGAGCTGTACCTGAGCCTTGCAGGTCGACACATACGGCCTGGTAGAGTTCGTTGCGATAATCGGTCGCCAATCGATCATAGGCACAGTTTTGCACCAAAGCGTTGAGAGTCTATCATGAAAGTATCCCCTCGACAGCGTCAGCGCCATATAAAAGCGTGGCTACCGTGTGAAGCAGTCTGGGAATGCAGTGTTCAGGAAAACACAGCACATTTGCCGTGGCCGTGCTCACCTTGATGACATGGGGATACACAGGACGTGGCACTGTCTGGAGCGCACGAATCAGGCTCAAGTGTAGATCTCGGATCTGGTCCGCCAGCTTCTGTGAAAGGGAGGTGTATGGCGTCTTCCCGGTGCTATTGGTGATCGGGCAGATGGCAGCATGTCAGTCATATATCGACCAAGGAGCGGCGTAAATCCCTCGACTTGTTGCAGCCATATTCGACGTAGCTTTGGCTCGAAGTGCCGGCGAGGCCACCTGCCTTTCGCTCGCGACGCTCAGGTACTGCTTGGAGCCATCGAGCATCGCCATGATAACATCACAGGCCAGGATCCGCAGCTTGATGGGCTCGTCAGCGTTCAGAATCATGTGCGAGACCAGATTGGGAGTTGTTGGGAGATGCTCTGGGAGGAACTTTGACCAGTGCGGATACAAGAGCTTGGGAGTGGTCTGCCCAGCCCCCGAACCATGCCATCATCAGTGACTCGAAGATCATCCCGCATCACCGTTCCTTGATTTCGGATAGCCGCGGCGCTGCGGCTTGTATACACTGCATGTCTCAGCTCATATGCACCCCCATCGTGATTGCGACAGTCGCTAATGGTCGCCGATGGTCGCCGATCGTCCTAGCAACCGGCGGCGGTGCTGTCGGAAACACTGTACCTTGGCAAGTGAAAACAGGGTCATCATCGCTGTCTGTTGCAGTCTTGTCAACAATCTGTGAACGAGGCCAGCCGTGGACGCCGGCAGACACAGGCTTCAGTAACCATTATGGGTCGAGCGCGGCCCATAAATTGGCCTTCGACAGCACGGGCTCCGAATCCGGCGCCAGCAAAAGGCCACGGTGTCATCAGCTTCTTCTCTGTAAGTGGCTAGACTCACGCCTGCTTTGATGATCCAGCCTCCGAGTCCGACAGTTCCGAGTCTGAGCTGATGATGCCGGTCTTGCCCCATCCTGCCGACTCAACCAGAAATTCGTCAGATGAAGGTCATCTCCATCGCTCCAGCATTCCTCCAGCATTCCTCCAGCATTCCTCCACTCAATGAACGTTGGTCTCACACTTGCTCCAATATACCTATCATGCCAGTCAAGATCGTGAGGTTGACTTGTGGAAAGCAGCACAAATGCACAACCGGCAGAAGCTGAGGCAGCGACTCGGCCACCAGTGCCTTGTTGTCGGCCAGGGTAAAGTTGATGGCCTTGAGCAAGCTGACCAGCAGCTGGAGATTGGCAAGCGATGGCGTCGAGATATGGTCGAGACACGCCGCAACAGTGAGCATCGATGCAATGCTCTTCGAATGCAGTTTCGAGACACACCATCCAGACACATCGCCACAGAGACATGCCATCACAGACCGACTGTATCTTCGCGCGCTGCGTCCTGCTTCCGGCTGACCAAATCCAAACCCGCACATACTTTGATGCTCTGCATGATCTTCTCGGTGCCATCGAATGCTGCCAGCTTCGCCATCAGGACCCTGTTGATCTCGATTCCGACCGCGTGGCTCTTGGTGCCGAGTTTGGCGCAGATATTCCCAAGACAGACAATCGCCATCCGCTGGACCTCGACCGAGGAATCCGACACCAGAGGCACGAGGGTCCCAACGAGCTTCGTATGTTGCTGTGCGCATGAACAAACACGTGCGAATGTGAAGATCCGGAAAGAGTGGACGAGCCGTTGGGGACGGCATTGGTCAGAGTCGTCCGGAACATCAACTCATGAGCTGCTCACTGCACCGTCGCATGGTCGTAAAGGCCATCATCCAGGCTGGGTCCGGGCCCGGGGCTCGTCCACTCACCTGCTGGTACAGAACCGAGTTCTCGAACAGCAACACACCCAGGGTCTTGAGCAGCGCTGCGGAATCGATGCGGCTGCTGCCGAGCTGGCCGAGTAAAAAGTCGATCGAATTCAAGAGCGCATGCTGGCCGTATGATTCGTTCAGTGGTATCTGTTGGCGTTCCAGATGGTAAATGGGAGGCACACGGCAGCCGAGAGTCGCAATGCAAGTTCATACTGCTGAATTTGCGATCCAGCAGGAGCCAGTTACCGCTTTGGTGCTGAAGACGGCCATGATCAAGCGACAGAGCTCGGCATGAGCTGGCGGTGAAAGTGGCTGCTTGCAAGCGGCCGACACAAACCGAGCGAGCTCGGCCGGGGACACGGCCGAGGCCTGGTCTGGGCGCTGCAGGGCCTCGACAAGCTGCTGCAGCGAACTTGGCGAGATCTCTTTGGGCGATGGCATCGGCATCGACATGGCGGCGATCGGGTGGGGTGCAGGCACTGGGGTTTGCGTGGCAATGACGGCCGGCCTCCGCCCAGACATGCCCGCGCGATTGCGATCTGCCCAGAGAGGCGCGCCTCGGTCCTGGCGAGACGGGAGCGAGACGGAGGGCGAGGGCAGGCGAGAGGGGCGGGGCAGATCCGATCCGGCTCGATCCGGCTCGACCCGAGGCTGCCCGTGCACGACCGTGGGCGACACAACGGTCGCACGACTTCCTTTTCCGACCGCGAGGCCAATCGAATCTCACCGAAGCGCTCGCTGTTCTCGCGGCGCCCTGGCCCGGCCAAAAAAAGCGCTTCGGCGGCCAGGCCCTCTCTCCCCCTCATCGCCCGCGACCCTTGCTCTGCCTCGTCCCGCCTGCCCTCGCCCCATCCCCAGAAGCAGCCAGCCACCATGTCTGATCGAAAGGCCGTCATCAAGAACGCCGACATGAGCGAGGAGATGCAGCAGGACGCTGTCGACTGCGCCACCCAAGCCATGGAGAAGTACAACATCGAAAAGGACATTGCCGCATTCATCAAGCGCGAGTTTGACAAAAAGTACAACCCCACCTGGCACTGCATTGTCGGAAGAAACTTTGGCTCCTACGTCACGCACGAAACCAAGGTAGGCGTCGTCGCCTCCGGTGGCTCCAAAGCGAGTCTCCAGCGGTGTCCCGAAACCAGGCGGGTCGCGTTTTCGTCCGCTGGGAGAGCTGGCTTCGGCGTCGCCGATGCTGTCGTCGCAGCATCGCCTCTGCTGCTGCTGCTGTTTCGCGCTGCTCGAGCTCGATGCAGTGCCGATGCGTCGCGTATATCCGTGCTGCGTGTCCCTCGCAGGCCCGCGAATGATCTGCCCGGACTTGCTCGGGACTCGCTTTGCGGCTCGTGGCTTGATGAACGAAGCGACGTGTCCAGCGGATTTTGTCGCATCACTTCGGCCAGGTCATCGATCGAGCCTGCCGGGGCCGCCTGCTGGCCATCGACACGGCCTCTCTGGGTGCTGGCCGCCACCTTGGAACACGCGCGATACGGCTGCTCCGGCAAGGTCTGATCAGCGCATTAATATCTCTCTCACATCCACGCTTCGTGTCGGATATGATCGCTGGGCTGTAGCATTTTATCTACTTCTATCTTGGTCAAATTGCAATTCTCCTGTTCAAGGTAAGGACCCGATCTTGCGTTATCCGGGCCGACAGCTCAGGGACTCTGGCGACGCGATGCTTCGTTCTAACAAACGCCCCGCTGTATCTCCGATCCATCTCCTTCGCAGTCGGGATGAGCTGGCTATGCGGAACGTGCGCCCATATCAATATGAAACTCGCTTCAAATCATAGATATCTGCCTGGTTCGGAAGAAGCTTTGGTGTCGCGGTATTGCGTTGCTGGGCGGGCCGGCGCACCGCCCTGCGCGCTTCATCAACAGCCCCATCGTCTCCTCGGCTCTGTGGCCTGCTTCCGCGCCTGGGTGTCTTCCACATCGGTGTGCTCAATAAACGGCTATTCATCTTGATGCGGGTGGGCTGCGTTGTTTCGATCCGAGCTGTGAATCAACGCGGTTTCGAGTCGCAGGTGGAGGAAGGGTGCATCGAGCTTCGGGGGGAACGACGGTACCGACGAATATGCCCGGCCAAGCAGACGTGGCTCGGCTATCACGTACCTGTGAGCCATGATTCCCATGAAGTCGCGGCTCCTGTCGAGGTCGGGCTCGGCCCAGATCCAGTCGCCGGCGCTCGCGGCTGGATGCCTCACCAACGGCGATCTTGTGTGCGCCGCCACGGGCTGCTTTCGCTCCACCGCCCTCGCTCCGCGGCGCTTTCAGACGAATGCAGATACGGCTGACCGGCGGCCATGTCCTGTCCGCCTGCGTCGCCTCCCTCCACTTGCCCAACGCATTGTTTTCGTTTGCCGTTTGGGTTTTGGCAAGGCCGCCTTGCCTGCAAACCTTGCTGGCTCGCCCAAAAGGAAAGCTTGTGCCACTATACATCAGCCCCGCGTGCCTCAGTCTCTGTGGGCTTGCCTGTTCGTCGGCCCTGGTCTGTCCGTGACAGGGCGATGTATGGAGGTGCCGACACCATAAATTCACCGTCCTCGCCCCGTTTCGCCCCTCCTCCGTCGTCTTTCGTCGAGCTCCTGCCTCTGCCCTCCTGCTCCAGCTGGTCTGCCACGGGAAACCGCTCACGGCCGCCAGTATCTTGCAACATGTCAACCCAACGAGATGGCCGCAGCGCCACAGAACACCCTGTCCTCATCAGGGTCGATAACCCACACGACGGATCCGAGCTGCCCCGCCAGCACTCTGTCCGACAAACCGGTTCAACACACCACCGCCATCTCTTTGCCAACTACGACGTACGTGTGCTGTCAGACCTGCTCGTTTTGCATCAGCGCTCCATCTTGGCTGACGATCTCACCGCCTTTGCTCGCTGCAGAGTATCGACTTTGAAGAGCCCGATGGCCGTCTCCTCCGACAGCACTACCGAGAGCAAGACCAGCGCAAATGGGTGAGTCTCCAGCGCGGCAACTGCACTGCGGCCTCTCTGTCGTTGCGTGCTGGTACCTGCAGCTCACATTCGCCTCTTCTACTTCACCAGAGTGTTTTTGTCCAGAATATCATGTCCTATCGTAAGTTCCGAGCGCTGATCGCCGCCGTTTATTGTCCATGCTGTCTATTGTCCACGCTGCCGGCTTTTGTCTACGCTGCCGTCTTCCGTCCGCGCTCACACTGTCTCTTGATCGCAAACTCCATACCACCAGTTCTGGCCCTGATCATCTCGGTCATCGTGGCCCTCGTTTTCGTCCTCCTCGCCTTTGCCACCGACAAGATCGGCGAGTGGAGAATCGAACTCTTTGCCAAGTACTTTGAAGAGAGCCAGCTCGGCGCCGCCATCGGTGTTGCCCTGGCGACCTGCATCGCCTTTGCTGTGGTCCCGTCGCTGTTTATTCTTGTATTCACGGTATGGTATTTCGCACACGGCGCTGCTGCATCGAGTGAGTTGGCGATCGCTTCCAGACATGTACGCCTGATTGCCAGCATCGCTGACCTCGCCGGACGTGTCTCCCTCGTCGGATCCCTCACTCTGTTCCTGTGTCGCTGTCGGTGGTCTGTCAGCCCGATGCGATTGGCTCCGGCATGACCCAAGTCATTGCCTTCCTCAACGGCGCAGCGGTTCTGTCGGGCGTCACCTGGCAGACCGTTATCGGCAAGTGCATCGGCGTCGTCGGTCTCGTGTCCTCGGGCCTCTACTCGGGTATCGACGGCCCCATGGCCAAGATCGGCTCTTCGATCGCCATTCTGGGCACTGAGGCTATTCACAACATCTCGTTCGTCCGTCGCCTGTTCTATGGCGAAGGTCCGACCTTGGCCAAGATGGACACGGACGACACATCCGAGTCGATCGGCGCAACCAGCCTGTTCAACGTCCTTGAGCACAAGAATCTCCGTCTGTTTGCCACCCTCGGCGCTGCCGCCTCCATCGCAGCGATCTTCCGTGCCCCGGTCGGCGGCGCTGTCTTTGCCCTCGAAGAAGCCACCAGCTTCTGGGATCCCAATCTCATGACCCGCACCATCTTCAGCACCACCATCGCCTACATTGTTGTCTGTGTCGCCAACCGATTTACCGGCGTCGATGGCACCTTGCTGGACCGCATCTTTACTGGTGCCGCAACGCTCTTCCCCACCAACATCTCGTGCTTCCAGCACTTTAGTGCATACCATGTCGCTTCCTTTATCGTCATTGCCATCTTTGCGGCCCTCGTCGGCCAGCTTCATAACATGGCGCTGTCGGCCGCCCAAAGGACGCGCAAGCGTCTGCTGATCGACCGTGACTCAAAGGGGGCTATCTGGCCCAAGGTCTGGCGCATCCTCGAGGTCATCGTCATCTGTATCATCACCACGGCCGTCACGCTCATGCCCATGGCCGAGAACTCGGTCGATGTGTGCTCCCCGCTCTACAACACCGTCAAGCATGCCCTGCAAGCTGCTCCAGACTGCGCCCAGTTTGCCTCTGGCAGCGACCTTTGTGCCGGAACTACCTTTAACCAGTGCTACCAGGAGCTGGACTATGTCTGCCTGCCCTATACCCTGAGCAACGCTTTCACTGAGGTGAGGGCCATCCCTTGACTGGTTTGCTTGATGATCTGGGCTGTGTATGTCCAAGACAGTATTTGCATCCGACAGCTCGAGATGGCAGCCCCTCAGGCTCCATTCGGTGTCGAAAGCGTCTCTGGCATGCACTGCTATGTTCCTCTGCCAACCCCATGCTGTGGGACTCGTTCATCACTCCAGTCCTGCTGTCATCCCCCTCCTAATGTTTGGACATGTTACTCTGCCCAGAATGTACTGCTCTCCTACCAGAGACTCAAGGATGCCAGCTGCCCGAGCTCGCTCCAGACCTTTGTCCTTGCTGCCTCCAACTCCTCGACCGTCAACGGCACCACACCAGCACCCATGGGTCCCGATAACTCCACGTACCTTGGCGGCCAGCAGTACCTCACCACCGCCATCGCGGGGCCTTATCTCAGCGTCTTCACCAGCCTCGGCCTCAAGTTCAACCAAAACGAAGGCGGTCATGGCGACTCGACCCACGGTGCCCTCGTCGCCCGAAGCGAGTCATCTCAGCCCTCGACCAATGCTGCTCAAAGCTCGGATCTGTGCTACTGGGAGCTGCGATCGCTCTTGTGGTCGACACCAGGTCAGTTCATCCGACCGCATGTACAAGACCGCGGCCGAGCCTTGTGCCGATGGTCATGGCTTCGGTGGGCTGGATTCGGATGACCGAGCGAGGGTTGGTACCAGTCACTCATTTCATTCCATTTTGCTTCGTTCTCGACCTCCTTCGGTTCTGATCGACAGAGAAGCAGCTCAAGCTCCTGCTTCTTCGTGGACTCAACGGTGTCTGGCAAATCAAGACCCTGATCATCTTTGCTGTGATCTATTGGATCCTCAGCACCTTGACCTACTACATTGCTCTGCCTACCGGTACGCACTCGCGGTTTCGGTTGCGGTTGCGGTTGCGATGATCCTGCAGCCCGGTGTTCAGCCCTGTGCTCAGCCTCAAAGCACCACTGTGTTGTTGTGCCATCGTCTCACATCTCGCCGTCTTTTTATCCAATGCTCTGTTTCGCAGATGTCGTCGTGCCCAACCTGATCATCGGTGCCGCCTTTGGCAGAATCGTTGGTGTACTGATTGATATCATCGGCTCCAAGATTGGCTTGTACGTCCAGGACCCCGGCTACTATGCCCTTGTCGCCATGGCCTCGTTCTGGGCCTCGACCTCTCGACTGGTGCTCACGGTCACGGTTGTCGCCTTTGAGCTCACGGGCGACTACACCGCCCTGCCTGTCCTGATCATCGTCACCTTCATCGGCGCCTGGGTCTCGTCGGCCATGTCGCCCGAGTCCATCTACCACAAGGAAATGGAGAACAACGAGGTCCCCTACCTGAGCCACGAGCCCTACAGTGAGCTCAAGTACGTCGTGACCTCCCAGATCATGAACAGAAACGTCACTTGCATCGAGGCGAACATGAAGCTCTCCAGTCTGGAAAAGTACGCCAACCAGAACCATCACAGCGGGTTCCCTGTGGTCGAGTACTACAACATTGACCATGACGGCGATGGAAAGGTTGATGACCACTTCAAGCCCAAGCCCATCGGTTATGTGCGCCGAGATCGTCTCCAGGCGGCTGTGGAAGGCTATAACGATGAGGATAGTGACCCGGATCGTATTGTATCGGTAAGTACTGCAAGATTGCGAGATTGCCGCCGCATGACGAGCACTTTCGGCAACTGGCCCGTGCTGACTAACCGGTCTCGTGTATCTTGCCAGATCGTCGACATCATGAACTCCTCGCCCTTCATCGTCCGCGACAACTCGACCGCCTCCAAGGTCTTCAGCATCTTCCGACAGATGGGGCTTCGCCAGATGCTCGTCGTGGACCGCGACGGATTCATGGTCGGCATGATTTCGCGCACGGACTTGCTGAAGCCCAAGATTGAAAAGGAAGAGCGTGAGGAGCGTGAGGAGCGTGAGAAGCGAGAGAAGCGGGAGGACGAGCGCACAGCTACCCCGCCCGCTGTGGAAGCCGACGTCACGAAGCACTGAATCTCAGTTGCCATGATAATGCGAACGATGTGGTTGCCAATGCTGCTGGCGTGGAGCAGCTCGCTGATCTAGAGTGCGGACAACATACAGCCAAGCTGAAGAAGTCGGTATGTGCGAGCAATTGCTACCTTTTTCTATGCCTTGAATACACGGCTCCTATAAAGAACACGAATGTCACATCACCGGAACACCTGTGGCTGGCCGTGAGAGTCGTTTGAACAAGCGTACGCCCTCCAAGACTGGAAATCGGTGGCGGCCGATATCTTGGTGTCCTGGTGTCTGGCCGATGTCTGCTTCGCTGCTATCTTTGATGTCAGCGATAACGCCGGTTCCTTGATGGGCCCAGAGCCGTGTCTGCCCCAAGGAGTGGCCGGATGGACGGGATTGGTGGCAAACGCTCGAAGCCGGGGCTGTGCTGCGGAGGCACCGAGCTGGATTCAGGACAGCGGCTCGAGAAAACTCTGAGCACTCGCTTGCTGCTGGGCACTCGCTCGCTGCTGGGCATTCGCTCGCTGCTGGGCGCCGAGACACCGGAGCAGGTTGCCACCACGACGCACTTCCGCCTCCGTCGACCCCCTCAGACGACAGACAGGCAGACAGGCCCGACGCAGTGACGCATATCTGAGCCGAGCGCAGGCCGCACCACAAGCCGTGCCTGGAACCGATGCGCTGTCGCGGCATGACCATGACCAAGCACGACCCCGGACAGAGCTGATCCACCGAGGACCGAGACACGGCGAGGCGGCGGCGAGACGCGACCGAGCCCACACACACACACACAGACGGCCACAGCCGTCATCGTGACACACGGCCGTGTCACCGCCGTGTCGCCGTCGCGGCCCAGTGACATGACATGACATCGCCGCCGCGCCTATAAATACCGCCTGCCGCGGCCGCCTCCGCCTGCTCCCCATCCAGCCAGAGTCTCTCCCTCGCAGGCCCTCGCCGATCTCCAGCCCGCCGAACCCCTTCCCCAGCGCCAATGATGGCTTCCACTCCTCCTCTCTCCAACTCCTGGGCCTCCAAGGGCGCCACCTTCAGCCAGGGCCGCTTCGTCACCTCCCATGCCGACGAGTCCAAGCAGGAGGAGTCTGCTCAGTAAGTCTGTTCCTCGTCTGTCCGTCTGTCCACACCCACCCGGGCAGCTGGCTGCATCGGCTACTGATCCGCAGGTTCGATGTCGCCCGTCGGCCTGGCTCTTGCTCAAGTGTCGCCGATCACCCGGCACGAACAGCAACCCCAGCAGCCGAGCCGATCAATCGATCGACATCTGCCTACTGCCGCCACCGATGTCATATGCACCGCGATCGTACTCGCCAGATCGCCATGGCATGGCACGGATGTCTCTCGTTCCGGTCCTTGATGCTAACTCTTTCTCCTCGCGTCCCGCAGCTTCCCCAACGCCAAGGTCCAGGTTGTTCTCCGCAACCCCCAGCACGGCTACCGCGCTCTCCTGAGCTACGAGGCTGGCTCCAAGCAGCCCGCCGGCACCCGCAGCGTTAACAGCGAGTGAGTGTGTGTGCTGCGTCGCCTGCTCGACCGCTGTGATCGATCTGGCCATGTCGCCCTGGCTATGGTTGTGTGCGGTGCCCTCTGTACTGACCCGGCTGCTGCTGCTGCTGTTCCATGCGCGCGTCTGTTTCGCAGGTACACCGTCATCGAGGGCCAGGTCCGCATCGTCAACCCCCGCACCAGCGAGGAGTCGCTCCTCGTCGCCGGCTCGTTCATTGTCGTCCCTGCTGGCTGCCCCCACACCATCTTTGTCGACGAAGACTCCAAGCTTCTCTATGTCAGCACCCACCCCGTCGAGCTCGTTTCCCTCGCCAACAAGTCAGTATTCCTGCTTGCTCCTTGCTGCCGTGTATATCCACGCCTTCATCCACCCCGGCGGACACTGACGCTTCCCGGTTTCAACCCATAGAGACCACGAGGACGAATAAGCGCCATTGCCCTGAGCTTGTAGCTGGCGCTCGGCCCTTCCAAACAGCGAAGCGGCTCTGTGCCGAGATATATCCGCCTGGTTTTCTATCTTTTATTTTTTGAACATGCCGAACTTCCCTTGAATTGGTTTTGACGAGAATGCGAAAGCCTGAGTTTTGATTTGTACATGTTTTCCTTGGCCAAATACATATTTCGGACGGTCATCCGTATCAATGTAACTCGGCACTGGGGTTGTTGGTGTCAAAGGTTGAGCCGGCGGTGGGGGGGGGCGTTCAGCGAAGAAGTCGGAACCCAGTTGCATTTGACCGGATTGTGCACAATTCGCAGTGCAAACGGCGGTGTCGGCATGCCCGCGAAGGGCCGAGGGAATGGCGCGCTGCTCTGGCCGTCTTGATCGGCAGGTCCGCTGGAGCAAGGACGGATCAGTCGCAGGCGGCCGAGAGTTGCTGGCACCCCCCCCCAGAAGCAGCTTGGGTATCGGCTTTGGCGAGACTGCATCGTCAGCGCTCTTCACAGCCCAGTTGCGATCCCGGAATCTCTCCCCCCAAGCCGACCGAGCAAGATGAACCGCGAGCGCGGGGGTGGAGGCCTCGTTGCCGGCGGTGTGGGTAAAATCCATTCCATTCCATTCCATGCCGATAGTGCCCACCATGCCGCGACACCGGATTGCACACCACTCGTCGCAGATGGGCCAGCATGCGTTTTTTCACGACATTGCCGAGTCTCGAGCTCAGGGGTGCTCTCGCTGGTGCCTCTGCATCCAAAATATACCATTTGCCTGACTGGCTTTTGATTCCGACGCATGCCACTTGAACAGAGTCATCCCGGAACGATAAGCATGCCCAGATCGAAGATCAAGTTTTCAAGCTCAAAGATGAGAATCTGCTGCTCAAGAAAAAGCTGAATGCACAGGACGACATCACCAAAAAGTGCGCACAGCGATAGTTCGTGACCAAGCTGTCCTTGCAGAGCCCGCGACTGCAGACTCCGGGACATCGGGGCATTCATACTCTTTCGGTGGGCTGCTTTATCGAGACTGCTTTCTCCAATCGCTCAACAGGCTGATCACCAAGGTGCAGCGGCTCACCGAAGATCTCAGCAAGCAACGTCTCCCAGACGAGTACCCGACACGAGATACTCTGGATGCGCGGCCATGTATGTGAACGCAGCCCAACCAGCTCTGCATAGCCAATGCGATTTTGTCTGATGCCTTCGTTGTTGCCCTGACACCGAGTTTCCGTCGCAGCAAAGACAGCCGGAGCAGCCAGACGCGATGCAAAGGTGCTTGAAGACCTTGAAGACTATCAAAGCCAGATTCAGGATCTGTCAAAGGCCAATCGACAGCTTCGGCAAAAAGTTAGTCCGTGGCGTGTCGACAACTATCGAGGCGGCCCGGGATAACACTGGCTCAGAAGCATCGTCGAAAACAACCGTGCACGCTGGCTGGATGAGCTGGCGTAATTCGTTTATACGACAAATGCTCGAGATCGAGGTCATGCTTCCTGCACGAGCAGCGAGACTAACGCATCACGGCGTTGCCGATACGTTGTGTAGGTCCAGTACTTTCGGTCCCTCCATGAAGCCGAGACTCGCAAGCGAGGGCCCTATGACCACATCCCACCACGGGTCAAGACGGTAACGGCTTTGCCTTTCAACATGGGTCACCTTCATGATGAGGCGAGCTAACATGGCCATATTTGATGTTTGATCGACAGGGAGCACACAAAAAGATGCATCCGACCCTGACGGTGAAGGAGTGCGTTCTCGCCAGTTGGATATGCCTATTTGCAAGCCTATTGTATTCCAGCGTGGCATCATCGACCGGACACATCTGGCGTCAGCGACTAATATCAATCCACAACTCTGCTGCTCATGTCCACAGGCGGCCAAGGCCACAGCCGGAGGAGCCGGAGGAGATGGAGCCTCCGCCAGAGCAAGAGTATGTTCAGCAACTACCGCACACAGTCAGGCGGGGCTGTTTAAACATGCATCTCGTACATAACGGATGATGTAACTGCTTCACGGAACCACAGGATTCCCGACACACACCTTGAGGAAAACTACCAGCTCAACGAAGAGATAGCCGAGTTGTACGTGCTTGATAGATCTGTGTGGCATGCGATTTGTCGCAGCTTCCGTCACACTCAAGGATATCCGGCAACGGAGCCCGTCTCGCAGACACTACCTGACTCTGGCTTCTTTGGTCCAGTCAGAAGCTTGTGGCAATGCTGCGAAGTCAACTGAGCCAGTCGGAGGAGTGCCGTTGCGATGTCCAGCGACAGCTCGATCTTCTACAGGAAGAATATCAGCGGTACTTGATATCCTCGCCATCTGCAGTCACTGTGCCGAGCCATCGCCGGCAGTTACATAGCTTGCCGAGTCCACGTTCCCCACGATGACAGCATAAAGCATGGACCGTTCATCATCACTCATCGCAGCCAATACCGTTTGACAGGTCGCAGGCCCAGAACGATATCGACCGTCTCGCCCTGCAGCGCGAGATCACCGAAAAGACAAAGCGACAACGGGATCTCGAAGTCAAGCTGGACAACTCGCTGTCCAAAAACCAGGCCATGAATGTTTCGTATGAGGATGCTGTTGCCACCGTCCGAGTCCTGACCGAGGAGCTCAAGGATGAGCGCAGAAAGCTTGTTGAGGCAAAATATCTCATGCAACAGATGGAAGACGATCGACAGCGCGAGGCCGAGGTGTGTATTTGACAGGCACTTCCTCGAAACACTGTCTGGAGCGATGCGGCATAGTTTTCTGCCAAACGTGACCCTGTGCACCTCCATTCGCGGCCGCTTGTCTCTTGCTGTCTATTCTGCTGTGGTATATAGTGCTCAACACATTCCCCACTTGCAGCTCAGGGAAATCATCGCAGACTTGCGAGCCGAGAAAGAGCTCCTCGAGCAAGAAATGAGCAATGTGCTTAGCAGCCAATTCAGCACCGGGCGGGACGAAGGGCTCCTCTCCGAGATCGAGAGGCTGAAGAAGATGAATGCAGATCTGAGGGAGACAATCTCTGAACATTTGGAGAGCGAGAAGGAGTTACATGCTCAAATCAGTACCGCCGAAGGTACCTGGCGCCAACGAGATGCCGAGCGCTTGCACGGTGCGCAAAGACCAAGTGGGGCAGCCCCGCTCATTCCCATCCCGCTTGTGTCGTTATACATCTCAAAATGCGCACAGAGCGGTACACTGAGTCTCAGCTGGAGTGCAAATCAGCAAGGCATCGGATTGAAGAGCTCCTGGACGAGTTGAGCAGGCTTCGGGAGCGACTGTCCGTCTTTGACCGCTACGGTGGTATCGACATGAACGACATCGAGGAGGCCTTGACATTGCTCCGGCTGAAGAAGGAGAAAGGAATCACCATTGAGTTTCTGCTCAACTTTGAGGACAATGGCGAGGTAGGCGGTGGACCACGGCCGGAGTTGTGCGTGTTTGATCAGTTCTCACGAGATTGAGCGCACTCGCCAACAAATGCAGAGCAAAGAGCAAAGAACATGCGTGGGCAACGAATCGTGAGCAGCCCACCGATGTGGCATTGACCCGCCTTGACACTCAGGAGAAGGTATTGCTCCGCAACCTCCGCGTCGAGCACGCGGAGTGCGTCGTGGAGCTCGAAAAGTACAAAAAGCTGTTCCACCTGCAAGAGAAGATCAGTGGCGACTACAAACTGGAGATTCTCGAACTCAACCAGAAAATCGAGGCCATACAGAACGAGTATGGTGTGTATCTCGGTGCATCGGCGAGGGACGCCCCTGCCTCGTCGATCGAAGCAGCGTCCTGTTTGAACGTTTTTGCAACATCGAGCCTAATGGATCACTTGACCGCTGAAGTCGAATGGGGCTGGCGTTTCCAGCACAGCTCTGTTCCTGATGATGTGTTCACAATCTCACACTGCAGAGCTGAAGCTGGAGGAGGATTCACGGCTCCTGGACCTCCGTGCCAACAAGATATCCAAGCTAGAGGCACAGCTCAAGAGCATGGCCTACGGCACAACTAAAGGTGAATGGTTATCTTGTAGCATTTACAACAGCGTCCAGCAGGCCTTCAGCCGAGCGCCACTCTTCATATCCTTCGGAGCCTTCACTGACGACTCATCCGTGCTTCAATCCACTGCATCTGGACGACGTACCATAATCAATGCGGATAGTGAACGGCACGATCGTTGACTCGGCCGAAGACTACGATAGCATTGTGCTTGCAAAGGGTTGGTTGGCTTGCACTTGCAGAAGGGCTGGAGGCAGCACATAGCCGCAAATCTCCTCTGGCTGCGACTGCCTCATCCCCACCATTTGAGCAGCTGCGCTCCCCCTCTGAGTTCGTGGAAGCGATGGAGCAACATGACTCTGAGTGCCATTCTCCATTGGCTGACTTCACAACCAGGACAAAACCTCATCGAGATCCACATCGAAGGGTGTGTTTTCAGTCAAAGCGCCACAAGGTTCTTTGAGCGCGCCTTCCGAAGTTCGTCTGAGGACATGAAGAGCATGACAACATTCGTGTCCTTTGAGTTTTTCGAATTCGAGATCCAGGCCAGCCCTCTTGGTATCGGCGTCAAGCCCGTGTATTCGTTTTCTTCAAAGTGAGCACCTGTTATGGCCCCGCGGCCACAGATAAACACAGTTCGCCTATCGCGCAAAGTGGTTGCTATCTAGACAGATTAGGCGCTCTGCCGGCTGCACTGATGGCGGAATAGCAGTCTCGCTGATTCCGGCTTTTCGTAACAGATACAAGGTCTTTGTCGATGACTTCTTCCTGCTGTATATGCAAACTCAACCCATGTCGATCTATCTGATGCGTGCCGATGGCGTGGAGTTTTCCGAAATCGGCTCCTGGTAGGTTGCTTCGAGCGACAAGCGCAGAAGTCTCTCCCTATCTACTCGGCCATCGATGCTGGCGTGCCAGACTGACGGTCAGGTTTTGCACGGTTATACCCGCACTTTACCAGCAATGTCGTATTCAAAGATTTGATGGATCCCCGGCGAACGGAGCGCATTCAGTATTACGCCGACATAGTCAGCAGCGTCGACAATGTAAGCAAACAAATCATCCGCTCTTACTCAGCAAACGAGCGACCCACGTCCGTTGCGCGACTCTTGCGCTGGCACCTGTCGTCTGGGGTCTCAGAGCGACTGAAAACATATCGAGTGCTTCACAAACTCATAACATCATCACCGACACCAACTCAAACTGTTCAACAACAGAAAACCATCCTGGGCAAATTGGAATACTCGCTCAGGGCTCGCATCCCCATGGTTGATGCAATCAGAGCATTCAAAGAGAGAATCGTCGCCCTGAATCTGACAACCGTCCATGATGAGACCGAGAACAGGCAGGTTCAGGTTCCAACCACCGACAGCGACGGCGGTTGCAGTACCAGTGCGGCCGGGACGTTACAGTCACAAAAGCGGCGATCGAAGCGGCGACGCTACCAATTTGCTGCAGAGCCCAAGCGCTCACCCCATTGGCTTACACAAACTCTGATTTCAACTTGGATGAACAGCAAGCGATTCATGTCCCGAACCAATATGAATGAGCTCCTTGTCCGAATAGTGCGCTGCACTGGACTAAAAGGCCCGCCCAACCGATCACCGGCGCCGTACGTGACGTTTAGACTCTACTCTTATGACGACGTATCAACGGTAAGCCGTCAAAGAGCACGTAGGCTAGGGCAGAGTTGAATGGCGTAAGGCGTTGCGGCAGAGGAGTCTCGAGAACAAGTGTACACCACCGGTGCCGGAAGTGCATGAACTCTAACGCTGCAACCACGATTGGCCAGGAAACCATCGCAAGCACACACAATCCCCTGTTCAACTTTGTGAGGCTCTTCCCGATGCCGATGAATCTGGACGTGCACAACTACCTCCGCTCCGAATATGTAGGTGCCCGAAAAGATGAAGTGAATGTTGCCTGGATGCCATGGAGCCTGAGAGCAGGCATCTACGCGAGGCACATCGCGATAACTGCTTTGCGTAAATGCTGAATGTCGGCGAGTTCGCTCTGGGCTTACTCCATTCGACTCTGTCTCTCCCCTGGCGCGCAAGCTGGACCTGTTTGTCTTGGACGACAATCCCGACCAGGATGACTACATCTATGGAGTCGCTCGCGTTCCTCTCGTTCAGCTGGCCGAAGACGGGTCTGTCCAAGGCGAGTTCGAGATCCGAGAGGAGCATGGTGTCGTCCGCGGATATGTGTCGGTGTCCATGTCTTGGGAACGACCCTATACCATCAACAACAAGCCGGCAATCGTCGAGCTAGAAGAGCAGCTCAAGTCCATATGCAAGCAACCGAGGGACAGCGACTCTGACCTGCTCTTGGAGAACCATAGAGAGCTCCCGACCAAGCCGGTGGCTCGCGCTGGTTCACACGGCACTCGAGCGCAATTGGCTTCCAAACGGAGCGCCCCCTCTCCACTCCTCCAAGACGGGGACAGCTCGTCATCATGCAGTCGACAGAACGTTCGCTTGGATCGAAGCTCTGCAGCCGATGGATCCGAGGGCGGGTCGAGACATGACCGAAGGAGCTGTTCGGATGAATCAATCGCCGATGTGCGCGCCGGCAACACTCACTCTCAAAGGTGTGCAGGCAACCCGGAGCGCTCGAGTGCGTCGCTCTCAGGCAGCTCCGAGTCAGGACCCCGGCTTGAGCGATCCATGGGTCAAAACAGCCCCTCAAACAACAACACGGGAGGGCGCTCCGTCGATCGGTAGGAATAGCTGCATTACGCTTGATGGAGCCGTGTCGTTCTTGAATCGAATGGCAGTGTCAGATAGAGGGTGAACTTGTCCACATGTCGTCGCGCCTTGATACACTGGGGGAATGTGTGATCCTATCCCTCAATTCCATGTTTTTGAATCGCAGCCGCAACGAGAGCCACGGGCCAGAGTCGGCACATTCATCGAGCGAGAACTTTGAAAGCAGTGCAGGTAGCTTCCGTCTCATCAATGGAGCCAGCTCTATGCCTCCAGACCAGGACACTGCCAGCCGAAGCGATACCTCCTACGGCTCGTCCCGCTCTCGCCAAAGTATGCGCCGGAAAACACGCCGACGGGGACCCAGTCCTGGGGACTCCAAGTCGAGTCTGTTGTCAGAAGGTGGTCAAGAGCCAAGAACCAAGCGGGGAATACAGGCGGAAGGCCTCCAAAAACCAGCAGCTAGCCTTAATGAGCTATCCCGGAATCAGAGCGAGCACCAGCGAAACGCATCAACTGCCAGCAGTCGCTCGCTGTCATCGACGGGCCAGATTCGCCAAAGCACGTCTACTAGCTCGTTTCAAAGTGACTCGCAAGGCAGCTCAGATGGTCGTCAGCGGCTCGGTCGTGAGCGGGACCAAGTGCAGCGAGCAACAGACTACAGCCGCCGTTCAACAGAACCGGAGCAACGGTCTCTTGGAGGATCGAGAGACTCTGTTGGCCCGTCGTCTGGCTCTTTAGCATCCGGCTCTGGTTCGGTGGCGCGCCTGAACCCCAGGATATCGGATAAGACCGACATGAACAGTCGCCGCAGTCCTGAGAGACTGCCACTTGATAAACAGCCATCTGATGAACAGCCTCTTGCTGAACAGCATCGTGAAGGACCTGATGCCACTCGCGCTGCATTTTCGAATCACAGCCGAGGCAGCAACGAGAGTATCTCGTCACAACATAGCGCCCGGTCGTCGACCTCGGCACAAAGTCATGCAAGCAGTCAGAACGACTTTGACAGTCAATCTGTCGGCTCTCCAGCAAGCATGGGTCCCCAACCAGCAAGCATGGGTCCCCAACCAGCAAGCATGGGTCGCCAACCAGCAAGCAGTCAAGGTGCCCAATCTACTCAGTCTGCTCGACCCATTCAATCTGCTCAGCCTGCTCAGTCTGCGCCGAGCGCCGGAACTCTGGCCGAGTCAGATTCGGAAGCATCGGATCGCGGCTCGAATGTGTCGTCACAGGGCCGGAGAACTCCCAAGCCACCGCCTTTGCCAACTGTCCATGAATCTGGCGAGTCGGGCTGGAGCATCGGAAACCTGCTGGGCCAGAAACCAGCCGCCGATTCACAGAGTCAAGCTTCCGAGGTAAGCGCACGCTGCTATAGTCGAGAGCGTGCTGCCGGAATACCTTTGATAAAGCACGGTGCTCCAGCACCCCATGAGGTACTGACACTCAAACACCCATATACCCAGCCTTCTATCGGCGGTCAAGAGGAACAGCAGTTCGTGAATCGCTCCAGGGACAAGCTTGGGGCCCAGCGGGACGACAGCGATCGGTCGCATCGGCACCAAGATCAGTGCGCCTTCTCGATCGAGCTGGTTGGTCTTCAGTTCGACGTTTCCGACGAAGATGTCTGCGAGATCATCGAGGAGGTCGAGCAGCTCTATGCAAGCTACGACTTCCTGGGCTATCCACTCGAGAGCCTCGAGACACCCTCGGTGACGATAGGCGACGATGGATTTGCTCGCTTCGACCACAGCAACGGTATGCTGGAGCACTGCGCAATCTCTCCGCTGTGCCCTTGCCGATGTGCCCTTGCCGATGTGCCCTTGCCGATGTGCTCTTGCCGATGTGTCGGCGATTGCTTGTGCAGATCGAGGCGCCGCACTAACCAGCTGCTACCTCTGCTTTCATGGCCACCTGAACAAGATTTCGACATGAGCCTGGATCGGTCCCCGCGCGAGCGACGCTCTCTGTGTCAAATGCTGACTTCGACCGAGCCCTCCGAGTCCAGGATCCTCATCACCGTTGTCAACGAGCCAGGCCCCGGCTCCGAGAACAGCCAGTCCGGACCCCAGCCGACCCAGGCCAGCGAGCTCGGATATGCCGAGCTCGATGTGCGCGATGCACTGGAATACGGACGCGACACCTACGAGGAGCTGCTGCCGGTGACGACCCCAGACGGAGCCTTCTGCCTTGGGCAGCTGCGGATCGTGCTCCGCGGTTGCGACGCCCTTCGAGAACTCATCGGCGGTGCGGACTGAAACGGCCAGAGTCATCGTGAGCGCGGCCGCTGCGGGTGGGGTGCTACACCGCGAATGCCGATTGTCCCTGGCCAAGCAGCCGTCAGCCTGGCTCACCCTTGCCCGCAGTCGATGTTTCATGTTGGCACCAAGCACAGAGCAGGACGCCTGTCATAAATCCTCGCTGCATCGACCTGTCGCTCGATTCATATAGGCTCGATTCATATAGGCTCGATTCATATAGGCTCGATTCGTTCGGGCTCGATTCGTTCGGGCTCGATTCGTTTGGGCTCGTCCTGGCCCGCTGATTCGTCGGTTTCGGCGACCACTCAGACTCGCCGGCTGCGTCCCCGCGCGCTGATTCGTCCAGCCGTCGAGTGGCAGCGGGGCCACTGTCTGTGTGCGCCTTGCTGAACGAACCAATCGCCGGCGGCGTGGCACGCTGCGCACCCGTGTCCCACCGTGTCCCACCGTGTCCGACCTTGTCCCAGGATCATGTGCGGCAAACCTTGCCAGCCGCCCCTTTGGCCGCCGTTGTTGTTCGCCCTTCGCCGTTGTTGTTCGTCCATCGGCGCTGTTGTTCGTTCGGCCGAGGGATCGTTCGCCTGCTGGCGCTGCTGGTGCTGTTGTTGTGCCGGGCTGGGCGTCTTGTGGCCTCTATCTCCATCGCAAGGTTGCCCTGTCGTCCCGCTGGTCTCCTCTTGCCGGCACCGCCCAGAACTCGCTCTGTCTGGTGTTCGCTTTGGCCATCAACCCTCTCGACCGTCTCTCGACCGTCAGCCCCGGTTGGTCCTTTAGCCCACCGCCATCTGCTCTCGACAATCAGCCTAACTACCCCTATCAACCTGACTATCGCTATCGACCTGACTCGGCGACCCTGAATCTTGAATCATCCAGCCGTCAACGGCACCCTTAAATATCACTCCCCAGCGTTTTACACCCGCCATGCCCCCGCTCTCCCTGTCGGAGGATCGAATCAACCTCAACACACTCTGGGCCTTCTTTGATCTGTCGGTGCTGTTCACCGCTCCCCAACATAGCCCCGGCATCCCCTCCCGCGGCCCTCGGCGGTTGATCCGGCGCTCTTCGCAGCCCGAGCTTGGCTCGAGCCGCAAGCAGGCCGCCGATCAGCCCGCTTTGCTGCCTCAGCCCGTTCGTCCGCCTCGTCCTGTGTCGGGACCGGTCTTCCCGGCTGCGACTCAGCCTGCAGTCGCTGTCCCCGAGACTGTGAGCTACTATCCTGCCGATGAACGGCTGCCCCGGCACTTTTCGTGGATCGACGACGGCATGATTGCCGGCATGAGCATCCCGGTAGGTTCGGCATTCTCCCCACCCCACTCTGTGCTCCAGTGGATCATGGACACCCCGCACGATCGTCTGTGGTCCTTGGGCACTGGCCAGCCCAGGGTTGTGCGAATCCGCTTCTGTCGGCAACAGCTCCCGAATGTCGCCACTAACCACCATCGCTCCCACGACGACTTTCAACGGCGGTCTCTTCGTCAATGCTACCCCTGCGGCGCAATGCTCTGCACGGCCTGCTTACAGGATCGCAAATGCCATTGGAGCGCTCTGGTTGAGATCGGCGTCGGACTGGTCGTCAACACCACCGAGTCGCTGATAGCTGGCCGGGATCCCAACGGAGGAATCCGCTGTATGAAATGTGAGTCCCGCTTCTCGTTGGTGCATTCTTGCTCGACCGACGGCCCTGAGCATCCGCTACCTGACGCCGGTTGGTAGCTGCGAGCCCCTGACCTGACACCCATCCGCTTGCTGTTCATCCAACCCCACCCAACGCAACCCAACCCTGACCAGGCTCATATCAAGACACCGCTGTGGATCCAGACGTCTTCGAGCTGCTCGAGCCCGAAAGCGAGATGAAGGTCTTGTTCCTTCCCGTCCACGACGGCTCCGTGCCGACTTGGTCGCAACTCCGCCAGTTCGTCAAGAGCTCCAAGGAGACCATCGCAAAGGGCAAAAAGGTCGCGGTCCACTGCAAGGCCGGCGTCGGCCGCACCGGCATCTTCCTGGCAGTCTATTTGATGGAAAAGTACCAGTGCACCGCTGCCGAGGCGCTCAAGAGCCTGCGGCGCATCCGACCTCAGTCGCTGCAGTTTCACCCGCAGACCTGGGTCTCGGATGATCCGTTTTCGCACACCGGCGAATATGTGCGCAACCGTCTCCAGGAACACTTTTTGGAGCGCTACTGGACAATCTTTATTCGCCCGACCCTTTCGCAGTCCGAGCCTGGTATGAGCACGATGCTGCCCCCGTCCTTTCCACTGGGCCGCGGCATCCTCTCCAAGTCTCCTACCCGGCCCGCCAAACCTGTACCGGGCGCCAGCGACAAATCCGATCGCAGTGCTGACGGAAGCGCCGACAGCAGCAGTGCTCTCCAAAAGCCCAAATCCATCTATCTGAATCGGTCACGATCCAACTCGTCTCCAGTTATACCAACCCCCGTCGCATCTGACTCGACGCCCGATCTGAAACCGCTGCTGGGGCGACGGAAGGTCAGCTTTGCCCTCAAGGACTCGTCCAACTATGCCGCCCGACCCAGCACCACCGTTGATCCTGCTGTCGAGCAGGAGCTGGAGCATCTGCTGCGAAGTATGGAGAGCGCCGATGCCGCAACGCTCAAGACGCACATGGACGATATCCACGAATGCCCGAAATTGTGTTTCGTGTGCAAGGGCACGCTGTCGCTCGGCCCATATCCTGTTTCGCGCAACCACTCGTACCCGACCACTGTGTGATCGAGTCAAGCAGCCTTTGGAGTGACGTTGATACGACCAGCAACCAGTGTCGGCATGCGATACGCTCAATTCCCACTGATGATGTGCCCTCAGTCGCAGGCCGGCGCGCCAGAATATCCTGGCAGCGTCCCCGCCCGGGTTACGAGTGGCCTCGAATTGGTTTCCTGTGATGATCGATCGGGATCCTCTCGCCAGTTTTCTTCTTCTTCTCTTTTTTTGACTCGACCTATCTTGTTTTTTTTTTTGGCAGTTTCATATCCTCCATTTGTGCTCCTGGTGATTCTCTCTTGGATGATTGCGCCGGCATTTCGCTCGCATTGGCCATCGCGGTCATGTTGCGGCCGACGATGATGGACTTTATGTTTGTATGTAGCCATTCTTCAATACGATTTTGTCCACATTGTTCAAATTGTCCACCGCCCTGCCCATCCATACGGCGCTCGTGATCGATACCAGGTTGGAGTGGCCCTACGACAGCTCAAATCCTGCACCGGCGTTGATCTGTGCAGTTCAGCAGTGACGGACAATTAGCTTGTCATGGCTACGTATGATGCGCACGCTGTCTCCGCCGACGGCTGGCCCTCGTCCGATATTCTCAAGTCAGCCGCTCACTCTCGTCTTTGCAGCCGCACTCACCGCATATCTCAGTCGGTCGCGCAAGGTGCTCTTCTTGACATAGGCAGGCAGCTTGAGGACATTGAAGCAGGTAGCCGAGGTCGGCAGCCGCTTGGAGTCCTTGCCAAGACCAAAGACAGATCCAAGCATCTGGCTCATCACGGGGACGATCTCTGTCTCGGCTTGGCCGTTGTCTCCAGCGGATACCGCTACCATCCGGATTGTGAATGCTGGGTGAAGATGCTGGAAGCCCCCGACGGGAGGCTGGTTGGCCAGCACAAACGGTGCGAGTTGGCACAAATCAGCCGTTGTGCTGCTCAATGCATCGCCCCATCTCGATTCCAGTGCGACTGCAGACGTCGACTTTGCCGGCACTGGTCTATGAGACCAGAGAGATGACGACGAAGCAGTGCAAGCAAGCCCAGAGCAGGGTTGGCCCAAACCTTGGAGCAGCTCGTCACAAATTTCAAAAACTTGCTCCTATCAGCAGCATCAAACTCATCCAAGACCTACGGCGATTCCGGTGTGCAAGCGACCAGTGTGACCTTTGGTTAGGTGAAGAGGGAACGAACTCGACACTGCTCAGGGGTTGGCGACATAAAGCCCTGCTCTTGGAATGGCGTAGCGGAGAATGCCTCGTTGGGACGCTGGATCTTCCAGTACATACCTGCCAGAACATCCTGATGGCTTTGTGCTGGTCAAAGTATCCGCCCTCGTATCTGGTGTATCGTCGCAACTCGCCGACATCTTTGCTCGCGTACATATCAAGGAGGGATCGAAGATTATGGATCAGTGCGGTTCAGCCGTAGGGTTGTAGGTTGGAGAGTGAGGTTGGGCCGAGACTCACGACTTACCAAACAAGCTATCTTCGCCTGACATCAGACTGCAGGAGCAATAGCAAGAATCGTTCAGTCGCGGTCCAGCCGACACAGCCAGGGCCGCATAATAGCCAAGCATGCTGCCTGATCCCTCGCACTGCAGTGCACAGCGATGCCGAATCCACTCACACGCGCAGCTCGGTGGGAGAAAACAGCTTCAGCCACGCCTCCGGTATGATCTTGCGGAATCCTTCAATGAAGGCTCTGTACTGATCTCGGCACTCCTGGTTGAGCCGATAGTCGGCTGTGAGGTAGATGTATTCGTGCACGTTGTCGTTCGTCACGGAGATGTGGGTGCCACCAGGCTTGAGTTCTGGACACGGAGAACATGGGCGAGAAGTGAGCCCAGCGGGCAGCTTGAGTGCCGACAGAACTTGCATATTCTTGTCACTTCCGCCGCCTGATGGTTTCCGGCGCAATCTGCCCTTCACTCAAAGAGAGTGCAAAATCTACCTCGAGTCACGACCTTGCCAAACACATCCAGATCAATGGTGAAATTGAGGCCGAAGTCGGCACAGTCCCCTTCGTAGTGGCGCAGCGATGTCAGGTTCTTGTAAAGCTGAGGGTCCAACGATGGAAGCTCATCCTGAAAGAGGAACGCCGTTGTCGCCATACGAAACACAGTTAGCGATGCGTGCAGGGCCAGTCCGTGCAGGGCCAGTCCGTGCAGGGCCAGTCCGTGCAGGGCCAGTCCGTGCAGGGTCAGTCTGTGCAGGGCCAGTGCAGCCATCGCAGCAACAAGAAGATGCATCCCGTCGATGCTTTTGGAAGAGACGTGATCACTCCTCCGTCAGCCACTAACCAAAAAATTGTACATGCCCAGCAACTTGGAGTAAATAAAATCTGCAAAGGGAATGTCGAGGGTAATGCCTTCGTAGAGCGCCTTGCCAAATACCCGCCCGACAAACTCGAGCAGCTCGAGATGATTCTCCTGCACGAATGACGTCGCAGACGGAACCACGGTCCCATCGGGTGTACTCTTGAACAAGTTCAAGTTGGGCTCGAAGCACTTTGAGGCCAGGTCCTCGAGGAATTCTTTGAACACTCCGCTGCGGTCGATGCCGGCCTCCTGAAGCCCTGTGGGTTCAACGAGCCCAGATTCACAGTCAACACCTCGTTCTGCAAGCGCACCGCGAATGCTGAGCTACTTACCGAGTCGGTTGACAAACTTGACGTGAATGGTTTGCTTGAATTGGTGGCCCGCAAGAGGTCCAAGCTGAGTAAAGCCGTCCTCCAAGACCTTTTGGTTCGAGCGCATGGGTCCATGCAACCCCAGGTAGCTGTGAGCGCTCAAGTACGCTCACGTGGCAGACGCCGGGCCCATACAATAACAACGCTGCATCGAGCTTGTTCAGATACCAATGTTGACTGATTCGGACTCGGGAACCAGAGACCTACCCTCTCTCGGTGTATAACAATGCGCGTAGAGCCAGAGCTTTGGTAGAGCGCCTTGTCGGCTTCGATGTAACTACGAAATATCTCGACTGAGATGCGGACATGTTTAGGCAATCACACAGTCGGACAGGCAAACACACGATCGCACCGGGATAGACCATGGAACCAGCGCTGCAGGCAATGCGTCACACTATATTCGAGTCTTACCACGGCTAGAGCATCCATGGCAGCAGTCAGCAGTCAGCAGTCAGCAGTCAGCAGTCAGCAGCCGTAGCAATCCAAAAAATCACGAGGATCAGCACAGTGATGAGTTTTGGATAATACGCTGGAAGTATCGCTTCGACAAGCGCTGCCCCTCGACCCCCTTGTTCCGAGCATCCGTCTGGTCGGCCGAATCTTACCTCGCAAACGACAGACACCACGGCTGATTGGCCAAGATGAGCGTGCATCGCCTGTCTCCCGCTCGCACATCGCGAACAAAGTCCTTCGCTGTTATGGTGCCGGTGCTTCTCTTCCAAGGGTTCGAGCTCGACTTTACAATGCCCCACATGTCGGTCTCTTCTCCGAACGCGCGGCGAGCGCTGCGGGTATGTAGAAGCGTCAGTAGCTTCAGGGCTGGATCCAGAATCGATATGCTCTGGGCCAACGCTCCATGGAGTTCAATGACATCCGGCTGCTGCTGCTCCTGAACTGTTGTTGAGTCCGATGGTGCCGAGATACGGGCAACTCTGGACTGATTCCAAAAGAGCTGGTAGCAAAAATGATTCAGGAAGAGCGAAATCTTGGACAGCTCCTGCAGACGAAAGGGGCGCTCAGTTTGGTAGATCTCTTCTTCGTCCAGAGTCCTGTTGTCAGATAAGTTGGCCATCGGTGAGCTATGCTGCGGATGGTCGCCGCGGGCCGATTCGGCAGTGGCCAATATTGCAACTGTCTCTGTCTGCCCAAGAGGACTCAAAGGGCACGCAGACTTACAGAAAGATGAGGTACATTCCTTCGCAAAATAGCTCCAATATAGGCATCAGCGGCTCTTTCGCTGGCTCAGCGCCGACAGCATCCAGAAGAATGTGCAGACGGTCGCGAGATCCGCCAAAGAGCGACGACGGGACTGTCGTCGCGGCCAAAAAGCGCCAGAGGCCAGGCACCAAGCCAGGGTGGAAGCTCAGCGAGCTCATGATCGATGGCTTGAAGGCCTGTATGGTCCGTGTGAGAGCCAGGAAGAGTTCGCATGCATCATGGACGGCAATTGTTGCCAAGGTCTGCTCCGTTACGGATCCTCGTGGACTCTGTGCCGGAGTACTTGTCGCTGATGCAGACGCAGCCTTGACATCTAGCACGGCCGCAAAGCTTGTGGCCACAAACGATCGCCTCCACAAGAGTGCGAGATCATCGCCAAGTCTCTGGTAGCATTCGGGTGAGTACGTCTTGATGCTGCGTGCCTGGGTCCACTTCAGGATTGGGTGATATTTGCGGTTGCTTGGCAGGACACCGGACGGCTCGAGTCCCTGTTGCAGAATATACAGCACAGATCGCACAAAGTCGCTGTGCCGCTCCGGACGACCCTCAACACGGGATGCGCTTGATGGACCCGGTGCCCTGTGATAGAGTGCCGACAGATTGGCAGTAAGAAACACGACCGACTCGGATCCAGCGACCTCGGCAAGCACCTGGCGGCGGCCTGTGTGCGAGGCCAGCGTTGCCGTAATCTTGTCGAGGAGCAGCGATTTCGACAGCAGCGTCACCGCTGTTGGGTCGATGGCCGAAATGAGGAGCGGTATCGTCATGAAACGGCTGATGAAGAGTGTTGGCCCGTGCTCTGGCTCATCGTGGGGTCTTGTGCTGCCATCCGGCGATTGATCAGGGGCCTTCTCCATCGACGGGGCCGGCGAGTTGCTCGCCAATAGCGAGAGCGACAGGATATGCACCATCCCATTCACCCAGAGGTTCAGCTTCTTGACAACTGCCGTGTGGATATCGAGACGTTTTTTCAACGATCCGATATGGACAAGCTTCTGGATCCGGACCTGTATCGGGCCATGCGACAGCCCATGTGTCAGCTCGCCAGGGCCGCCAATAGCGTGCCAAGCATTCAGAGGCATGCCGTGCTCACCTCCAGTCCAACGGCAATGATTTCGTAAAAGTCGGATCCCCGCAGGTACCGGAAGACACCGGCGCTGTGGGGCCCAAGCACCTTGACGTCCATGAAAACAATCATGAAGCGGAGCTCTGGTCCGGTCAGGTAGAGATCCATATTTGGGACCGCCGTCAGGTCATTGAAGGCCCTCACCAAACGCCCGTCGGCTTTGGCCTGAATCACTTGACGAGCGCAGATTTGGAGCAGCCGCCCCATCAGCGGAACCGCACACGAGCAGAGTTGCTGGGCAACCTTGGTTGGGGAGTGAGCAAGAAGCGCCCGGCAAAGCGCCAGGAGCCGGAGTTGATCCTGCTCGGGTTCGTAGAATCGTACGAGCAGTCCGGCGGCAGGAGGCAGGCCGTCCAGATCGAGCTCGATGTGCAGTAGCGGCTCGCCAGCATCCTTGGGCGGCGACGACGCTGCGGTGCCGGCGGGCAGCGGATGCTCGTCAAGAACCCGGAAGCGGGTCCTTTGGTCCCAGTCACTTCTCAGCTCGGCTGTGCATGTTCTTTGACGACGGAGCCGCACGAGCGAACGGAGGATGGTCCGGGCTGCTGCCTGTCGGGTATTGGCCTGTTGGGCTTCAAGCCGGGCTTGCTCTCGCTTCTCTCGCTCCTCCTTGGCCTTGGCAACGAGCGACTTGGCATCGGCATTCCGTTTAGATGACTTGAGCGGCGTAAAGTCCATGGCCGAAAATCAAGGCTGGAGCGTCGTCGAAGAGAGTCGGCTAGGTGGGGAGGGGAGGGAGGGGGAGAGTGGAATATGGTTTGACGGAGGCAGAGCGCCGGATGGCGATGGCGATGGCGCCGCGACTCATGAGCCACAACGGCGGCTCACCACCAGCACCCATTTGCGCTCTTCGCACCGCCCGTTGTTGGTTGGGGGAGCTGCTCAAAGTACTTGGCGAGCCTGAGTCTGCTCGATGGGCATCCCTTTGCCCGATGCTGGACACGCCGTTGCCCATGGTGGACGATGGATTGGTGTGTGTATTCGGGACCCAGAAAACAGCGACAGCCCTAACTCAAAAACAGGGCGCTTCGTTTTGGATGCGTTGTGCATCCTGCGCCGCAGCGACGACAACGACGAGCCCAAGACGCACCATCGAACTATACTGCAAGAGATACTCGTACTGCCTATCCGCTTAGCCCCGCTCGCTCGGTCGTATTTGGCAATGTGCACGCAAGTCGCACCTCCTCACAGATGAAGGCGCCACTACTTGTGGACAGCGTCGTGGATCTGGCTGAGGTGGCGACGGGCAGTGACCTTGCGCTTGGTCTTGAATTCATAATGCACATCCTCCGGGTCAGGCGAGTGGAGGGCAATGTTGACGGGCTCGAGGCTCTCGCGCACATAGCCGCGGACGCTCATCTGTGGATCGTGCGAATACACGCGCAGCCCAACGGCGACGCAGGGAAGGTCCTCGTCGTCATCGTCGTCCTCGCTGGGCGAGCTCTCGGGGTCGGACAGATAGGCTTCCTCGACATCCAGGATCTCGGTCTCGGCGGCGTAGACGGCCTTCTTGCCCTTCTTTCTCTCCAAGGTCAGAACCTCGGCGGGCGGCTCCGGCGTGGGAGAATCTCGGGGACCGTGGGACAGCGAGGGCTGCTTCTGCACCTTGGGGCGGGAAGCTGTCTCGGTCGAAAACTGCAGTTCGACTTCGGCCTTTTTGTGGCGCGGCTGCGGACCCATGACCTGCGATCTGCTGATGTTCATGTTCTGGTTGAGCCGGATACACTTGGCCCAGTTCTCGGGACGGACTGACTTGACAACATCCTCGAGAGGGAGATTGTAGTTGTACTCGCGCTCGACCTTGACATGGACCTGGTAGCATCCAGGCTTGAGCTGCAGCTCGACGTTGACCGAGCGGCGGTTGACATCCAGGGTGCGGTTACGCACAAAGTAATCGTCCGATCCGTCTCGATGGATCCGGAAGTGGATAATAAAGTCGTACTGGCCCTCGAGCATCTTGAAGTAGCGCGTGTCCAACTGCGACAGCACCACGATGGCGTTTGTTTCGCTGTGAATGGTCAGGTCAAAGTAGATCTGGCCGAACTGACCAGGGAAGTGAACAGGAGCCTCCACCCAGTGCTGGGCGACGGTCCAGCTGCTGTCAAAGAGGCGGGTGCGGTCGATGTACGACCATTCCTGCAAAAAGTCCGAGTCTACATGTGCAAGACGATAGACAGGCATTCAGCAAGACAGCGAGCAAGCGCTCAGCAAGACAGCGATGCAGGACAGCGGGCACGGGCAAGCGTTGGTAAAGACAGCAGACAGGGAACTTACACTCCATCTAGTATGTGCGAGGCAGAAACGAGGTGGACGACGAAGCGTCACCACCGATGGACAGGGATTAGCGATATGCCGATGAGCTCTCGTCCCCGAGCATTTACAAATGACAACCCAGCAGGACACCGGGTGAAGCCGTACTTACCCAGAAAACACCGTCATCGCCAAAGTGGTGATCGAGTCTTGCCATCCACTCCGGGGTCCTGATTATAGTAGGAGGCACCGAACGGAAAACATAAGCAAACACAGGAAGGACATTCGGCCCGACCGGAGGTCCTAACACGTCCGAGCTTACCAGAGGTGGCTGCCATCGCTCCACGGGCCGTTCCTAGTGACGGACAGCATCAAAGACGCGTGCTTAGTCCAGACTGATGGCGTTTGCGGAGTAGCAATCAAAAGGGCGATTGGGTGGAGTACAGGCGCAACAAACATCGCAAGGCCGTCTCGGCTCTGTAGTTACCATTCTTGGCGGCCCCACGGGTTTCTGTGGCGATCAGGGCAGAGCATCAGTACATAGGGAATCGATCGCCCGCGAATCCTACACAGCAGCGCATCCAGATACTCACCGGAGCTTCACAAACCGCTTGCCATGCTCCTCGTGTGTGCTGATCACGCTGTAGGAGTGGTTTGGAATCAGCCCGTTCGTAGCCCGGATCTGCTTTAGATTGCCGAGCTCGTCATATTCAGGGGGACGATCAATCCAGCAGGCAAACAAAAAGTTCTCGTTCGCTCGGGTGAGCTCCTTGGTCCAGAAGGTATCGATATCAAGAATATCACGCGGGCACAGGATCGTCGTGACACCACCAGTGAGGTCCTCAACAGCCTCTCTGGAGGAACAGAGGCGCACGGGTAAGCACAGGAAACCGCTATCGGTGCGACGAATGCAGCAGTTCAGCAAGAGGAGAGCACGCTGTGTGCAACTCACCCGGCAATGCCGCCTGTGTCCGCCAAGCATCGCAAAGATGTGGCCACCGAGATATGCACCAGGGTCCGGCAATGGCATTCAAGGCCGCAGGATAGCCATTCCAAGCGCCGGAGATCGGCCGCATATGCACAGATAAAAGTTCCAATATGAAGCTACAGGTCAGTACAGATTCATGGCCAGATGACTTGGCTAGCTTACTTGGCAGCAGGACTTGAGTATCAGGCGACGCCGGGCCGGATGCAGCACACGGGCGAACACACTCGCAGACAAGTCCTGCCGAGCACTGCAAAGGGGCAATCGACATGATCACCTGAGATGGCTTCGTAGTCGCCATGAATCTTGGCATAGGCTTTCTCGAGCAGAGGCAGCCAGGTCTCGTTTGGAACCTCACAGCTCGAGAAGTACAGCGACTCAGAGCCCGTCAGCATCACCTTCTTGTAAATGTACTCATTCTTCAGGGTTTTTTGTATGTCGCTGTCGGCCCAGTGGAAATCGGGCTCTTTTACAAAGAGCTGGTCATCGACAACAGTCGAGATCCAGTCGCCATCCTTGAAGAACAGAAAGCCGTAGACACCGACCTAGCGAGCACAGACAGATGCCCCCACAGGGGAGTGAGGTCAGCGTTGACGGGGGATGCCGGTGCTCGAGTAGCTCGAAGCTAAACAATCGCCATCCAAGCATTGAGAGCCAGAGGCAAGCGGTCCATGCTCTCAGGATGCCGCCAAGCCCACCTGTTCGTCTCGATCGATGCAGATCTGCGATATGAGACTCTCGCCCATGGCGTGCTTGCAGTTGCGCAGCGTCGAAACTGCAGCCAGAAACCAGCAGTCGGACTGCGAGCCCTGCTTGATGTCGCCGGGCTCGCCTTCCTGGGCGAAAAAGACCGGGTTCTCGAAGATCTGGCCGATGCGCTTGGCGGGCTGCACGCCCTCCTTTTGGACCTCGTCCTTGTCCTTGAGGAGGTTGTAGAGGCACCTCTCAGTATCGCTGTAGAGGTCAAAGTTGGAGTCTCTGAAGCGAACATTGCGCTCTCTGCATTCGCCTGCCGGCCGGGGTTTAGAGCGCGATCCAACGAGGTTAGCCCAGCAGAGACAAGACAAGCGGACATGTGGCTACGGACGGCCATTTCGAGGAAGCGCTGCCTTTGCTGCGCCGACCCCTCGACTGGCAGCTGAGCCGATCTTGTACGGCTGCTCGAGGAAGAGAGCCGGTCACAGAACCCAAGACTTGGGCTCGCCGGCACAGGCAATCAGAGGCCGATGTGCCACGGCGTAGACAGCTCGATAAAGTACGACACCATGGCATGGGCAAGACAGCACTGTTGAAGCAGGACTCGTAAACCCGCTGGTCAGAGATGAGCCAGGCAACTTACGGGCGATGCGGGCGACTTTTTCGCGGCACTGGCGCTTGGCCTCCTCCAGACCCGCAGTGACGAGGAGAGTGACAGGCTGGGGTGCAATCTTCTTGGTGGTTTTCTTGCTGCGGGGGAAGGAGAACTCAGAGTTGAATGCGTTCCAGTCCGACCGATTGACTGTGGCCGATTTCTGGAGGCCGCCGGTCCAGGTTGGTTCCTGGGTGGGGCCGGTACCAGCCTTAATGGTGGCCTTCCGGCGGGACTCGACAGCGGCGGCATTGGGTTTCTTGTCCTTTGGCGAGATCATGGTGGCGGGGCAGCGTTGGCAAGACTCTCACTCCGGGGCGTGGCAGGCTGTCGACAACAGCACAGGACGCTTGCACGGCGAGATGGTGGGCCAGGAGATGACGACGGCGGGGCTGGACCTGGAGCGAACTTGGGACCAGAGCCAGAGGCAAGGGAGGTCGGTGGCGGCACCAAGAGTGGGCGAGGACGCAGCGAGGGGACAGCGAGAGACGCTGTCTGTGGCTCCGGGCGCTTCTCGGGTCCCGGGCCTTCTCGCTTGCCAGGAAGGATAGCCACGTGCTGGGCCAATGAACGAGGGGCGAACAAACGAACGAACGAACGAACGAATGGCCAGGTGTATTCGCCGCAACATTCCCGCAGCCAAAAGCAGCAGGCGGCAACAACACGGCCAGGCCTGGCTTGTCTTCTGCCGAACAGCAAATCTACGTCTTTGGGGCCTTGTCCACTCCGTAGCTTTGCTTCCTGGTCTGGTCCCGCTCCTTCCACTCTTGCACGATCTTGGAATCACCGAGGGGCGCGTGGTGGATGATGACATGAGACATGGAGCATGAAGTTACAACGGCATCGGCTCAGCCCTGCTGGGCGGACTACTCGTCTACTTGCCCGCTCGCTTGCTTGCTGCTGAGACGTCCGCGACCACTGTCATTGCCAGAAGCCAGTGCTTACCCTCGAGTTGTTGGCATTTACGACATTTCCGCAAATATCTGAGGCAGCTTCGAGCATCAGCGAGCACCATTCTTCCAGGACGTCTCACACGCAAGCCAGACCGACGTGCTGTGGTGCACTCTCCATCGCTCGTGGGCGAACATACCGCCCAGCCGCTCGACGTCTGCCGTCGGTGTCTTCAGCACGTCCGGGGCCATTGTCTTTTGATTGCCGTAGCGCTTGTCCTTCTCGGAGACGTTGTTGACAAAGTCCGGGTCCGTGTCCCAGTCGTCTTCATCCTTGGTCTGCTGGAGATGCTCGCTGATTTTCGAGTCGATGGTGGTGTTGGCTTTCCACATCGCGTCGGTGCAGCTGGCTCGCTGTGGAGTGGAAGAAAGCGCTCGCTTGAAAGCCCAAGGGTACGAAAGGCCAAAAACTAATCAGCCAGCAAATGGCGAGGTGGATACTTGTGTGGGTTGTGTGAATCAGACGACTTTGATCGGCCGTTGTTCACACCTCAGTCGAGCACGGCTGGATTGGCTCATCGATGGTGGAAAGACGAAAGCTCGCAGCCGGACGACCCACACTGCAGGTGTGCTGTTCGTCTGAGAGGCTCTTCCGGCCTGCCGCTCTCCGCCCTGATCTGGCGAACAAGCCGCGCATCCGCCTGCCGCCTCGATCTGACCCTGGCTTTGACTCTGGCTCTGGCTCTGGCTCGTCCTGCACCCATGCTGCCGCAACTTCTCGACCCGTCCGAGGGCATCCTGTTCTGCGCCTTGGTGGCGGCTGGCTTTGTGGGCTCGTTCTATCTCTTCCCGGGTGCGCTCTTCGCCTCGCGGAATGATCCTGCCGTTATCAGGAACCGATTCAAGGCCTCCCTGGGCTCATGCGTGGTTAGCTCGGTCTCGATGGTCCTCCTCCTCCAATATAAAGGCGTTATTGGATACGAGGTAGGCCCTGTCCTTATCGTTCGCACTCTGTTCCCGAGAGTAGAGTCGTCATCACGGAATGCCACTCTGCAAGATCCGAGGCATCCCTTCGGAAACTGCAAGCTTCCTCGTCTGCTAACCCATCTATCGATGTCTCGGGGGGGGGGCTCCTGCACACATCGCATCTAGGTCTCCATTCTCGGTTTATTCCACAGCCTCGGATTCCGCTTCGATGGGCTCATGGCCGCGCTGTTCTTGCCGCTACTCCTGACGGCCGTCATCTTCTTTGGTCCGATTATGTCGGAGGGACTGATCCACGAAGCGCTTCCCTTCCAGCCGGGCTTCAACTCTGCGTTTAACATCTTCGCGCTTCGGACCTATGTCGTGGTAGGTCAGATCACTGGTATATGGGCAATACGGCGCACCGCAATTGTGATCCGGGCCTCTGACTGATCTGGCTCTGCCTGGGGGGGGGATTCTCAAGGGACCGATCGTCGAGGAAATCGTCTTTCGGATGTGCATGATTCCACCACTCAAGGCCAGCGGATTCTCCAACGTAGCCATCATCTTTGGGTCTCCTCTCTTTTTTGGAATCGGTGCGTCTCGTTGCCCGGGCATCTGCCTCGGAACACTCTGACATCCTTCGAAACATCCATGCATTCTCGAACCCCCTGCTGGAGATGCGGTGCCTGCTGACTGGGTTTGTTTCGTAACTGCCCGGTGCAGCCCATCTGCATCATGCCTGGGAGGCGTATCGTCAAGGCGGATCTACCCCACACGCACTCAGACAAGCAGTCTCGAGCTCGAGTAAGTCGATGGCCGAGAGCTCCCGGTCGATACAGCTGGCGCTGCACGAACAACGATGCCGATCGAGCTCGCCTTCACTTCATGGTCTCTGTCGGCGTCTCCGGTTCGACTCCTCGCTGGCTGGACCGCCAACTGGCCCGCTCTGCTCGGGAACTCATTCGTCATTTGCGACAGTCTTCCAGCTGGCGTATACGTCTGTCTTTGGCGCATATAGTGCATTTCTCTTCCTGCGGACAGGTGGGTATTCCCTTGTGCCTTCTGGAATCGCTTCTGGAATCTCTTCTGGGTTCTGGAATCGCTTCTGGAATCGCTTCCGGCCCTCCTGAGCATGTTTGCCCGGCGTAATACTCACATGCGGAACTGCAACGGAACGGCCCCCATGTATGCCAGGCCATATCGCTGCACCAATACTCTGCCACATGTTTTGCAATTACTTGGGATTCCCTGATTTCGAAGCCATCCGGCACGACCCTAAACTCAAGACAGGTATGTCGAGAAGCCCAAGGATGCAAACCATGATAGTGTGCTGGCGGGCCACTGCGATGCCGTACTAAGACGATGCCTCGGATCTGCCAGCTCTGATGGCATGCTACGTTGGCGGTGTGGCTGCCTTTTCCTTTATGCTGTTCCCTTTGACGGAGCCCGGCATGTATCATTCGGTCTTGTGGTAGTGGTAGAGTATAGCGTGCCGATCGGTTCAGGGCATCCCAATACAGCCAAAGAGAGCGAGCTTGTTCGCCATAACCATGCCCTGGACTGCAACCGCTGCTCGAGCAGCTCCGCTCCGCAGAATGCAGATCGTCCTTGAATGCTGTCGCGGGGATTGGGTGTTGCCGGCAGTCACCCAGGTGTGTGCGTAGAGAGGGCGCTCCAAGGTGCCATTCGCAATGGCGGCTCTTCATATGATAACACGGGTGTTGGATCGTTGTTCTGAACACAATGAAATCGGCATGTACATGGACTAAGGGGAAGAAGACGGGGAGGGGCGAAAGCGAGCGCCGGCACAAGAGTGAAGCAGAGGCCGGGCCGGCCCATCGCTTTCCAGCCAGCGTGTGAAATGAATAGGGTGGTGGTGATGAAACGCACGGGGCCAAACAGCGACGAGAAACTTGTGCGGACATCATGACTGAATGCGCATCCGGATGCGGCGATGCTGCTCCTGCTTGATGAGCCGGTTCCGCCAGAAGACGATGCTGCCAGCGACGATCAGCAGCGACAGGTTCAGGAGCTAGGAAGAACCAAAAGCTGCATCAGCATATTGCTGTCGGCACGGCCATAGGTTGCGGTGCAGTCGGTTCGGTCGGACATCCATCCGTTCGCCGTGTCGCTTTTCATCGCTTCCGTCACTGCCAGCGATCCCATTCGAGTCGTCGCTTTCCGCCACTGCCAATGATGCCGCTGTTACTGCGACACATTTGCCTTGGATGCGCGGCGTCTTTGGCCAGAAGAGCCAAGCCGCATTATACCGCGACGCCTACTTACCACAAAGATCATGAACCGCAGGTTCTCGGTCGTCGTGACGATCAAGCAGCTTCCCCAGGCGGGAGGCTCGGGTCGTTGAGTCTGGTGCTCCGAGTCGTTGGCCGGCAGCGACAGCGAGTGCTTTCGGGCTGCCTCGACGTGATGTGGATTGCCCTGGTCAAAGTCGACGACTTCTTCACGACAGGACAGGGGCTCTTTGTTTCCGAATGGTTGGCATTGATCCGCTTTCTGCTCGGTGATGGAGGTGGGTCGATCGAATGTGCGTGCGAAGGAGCGTGGGTCAGACAGAGGTTTTAAGAGATGGTCTCGGTGAGCAAAAGCACAGGAGGAGAGCGGTGCGGGATGCTCGTCCGGATGCATCTGGTGTTTTCGGACGTTGCCGGAGTGCAGATCCACGAGCTGCCGCACCTTCTCCAGGATAGTGCAGGACACACAGGGCCCGATGGACTTGCAGTGATATTCCAGGACAGTGGTATTCGTGAGCATGTAGCGGAAGGTGTGGGTATGTGGCTGGGCGGCTGCAGCCAGGCGAGCCAGCGGGCCCACCAGACACAGGGCAAGCACGGCCCAGGACAGCGGGTTGACGAGCATTCGGTAGATCGGGCTTGAGAGGGCTGGGTCGTCAACCTGGGTGGCGATGGCGGGTGATGAAGCTTGGCTTGGCTGGAGAGAACTGCGAGGACATCTTTCTCGGCGGGAACGCTTCACCACACAGCGAGAAGGACGGCCGCTCTCGCTGTGCTGGAATGCCTGCTCGCTGGACATCCAGGACGATTGCATGCAACACCCCGATCTGACCAAGAATCGCCACCATGTCCAAAGGAATCTCTGTCAGCAGCATCGAGTCGCTCTCGGCATTCTACAAGTCCCCGGCCTTCCGGCGACGCCAGACCGAGATCAGGCCTGCATCCAGCTCGATCGGTATGCATCCGGTCTCGCTTGTCCAATGCCATTGCCAGCGCTGCCTCGCTGCTGTATTCCGCAGTCCGCCCAGCGAGCAGCCAGCTGAAACCCAATGCATGTCTGTTCTGTGCCAGGTTTCCTGCCGAGCTACAAAGCCAGCGCTCCGCTCAACGACAAAATCTCGCTGTGGTAGGCATCCCATAGCCGTCGTCGCCGGGATCTGTGATGGGGACTCGTTTCGCCTCGTCCTTGGCCCCTCGACCCAATTTTGCCGATCTCTAAACCTCGATCCAACCGACCGCACACTTCCAGGAGCGGCGATATCACACGCCTCGAGGTCGACTGCATCGTCAACGCAGCCAACAGCACCCTCCTGGGTGGCGGCGGTGTGGACGGGGCTATCCATCGTGCCGCTGGTCGCGAGCTGCTGGCCGAGTGCCGGACACTCAAGGGATGTCCTGCAGGGCTGGCCAAGATCACCAAGGGCTATCGACTACCGGCCAAGCATGTGATCCACACTGTTGGCCCTATGAACAAGTCCTCTTCGGTCCTCACGAGCTGCTACAAGACATGTCTGCAGCTGGCCCAGCAGCATGGGCTGCGAACGATTGTGGGTTGTCCATGAACCGGAACTGCCGCCATAAGATGGCCGCGTGGGATGTGTGGTGGGTGGTGTGTGGCATATGATGAGCGGTGTGTGATGCCATGTTCCTCGTTGGATTGACCTCAGTCCCCTCCTCTCGCAGGCCTTTCCTTGCATCGCAACAGGCGTTTACGGGTCAGTTGCTGCTGCTGCTGCAGAGCGAGGAATGCATCGAAGGCCCTTTCGCACGCCCTCTTGCTCCATCTCACAACATTCCTGTGCTTCGACAGATATCCCAACCAGGCAGCCGCCCGAGTGGCTCTCAACACCGCACGCAAGTGGCTCGATGCCCACCCAGACTCGATCGACCGCATCATCTTTTGTCTGTTCCTCGACATAGACATCAGCATCTACAGCCAGCTGTGCGTGGAGTACTTTCCGCCGGCGGATACTGTCGACGACGGCGCCCTGGACGAGTACGAACCCGAGGCCGAGTCGAGCCAAAAGCGCCAGAAGATCGAGAGCCATTCCAACGATCGCGCTGATAAAAGTGCAGCCGGCGCAGAGGAGGGTACCGATGAACGGCTCCAGAAAAGCCCCCGTCAAGCGCAGAGGACCGACAAGGCGCCGGTACTGGATCGTATGGAGTCTATCCGATACGAAGACGGAAATCACAGCAATCGACCGGCACTGGGGCCTCGGACGCTGACAACATCCATGAGCATTATCGAGGACGAGGACGGAGGCGACAGCTTCAGCCCTCCCGAGTCTGATTCAACAAAAACGGGCACGGCCTAGAGTCGGTGCGCGGTTAACAGAGCTGGGTCTGGTGGGTGTCTCTGGTGATGGTGGAGCTGCTCAAAGTACTTGACAAGCCTGAGTCTGTATGAGCTCGATGGGTGGGTGTCCTCTCTCCCTTTGCTTTGGGTCACCTTGGAAACACCGGTTTGGTCATGGTGGACAATGGATGGCGTGTGTATTCAGGACCAAGAAAAAAGCGACGACCCTGGCTCAAAACAGGGTCTCCCGTTTCGTTTTTGGATGAACTGTAAATAGAAGACAGGTGAGCGGGGAGAGAAAGAGAGAGCGGGCGTGGGGATGTGGCCGGGACAAAACTAGCGGAGCGCATGAGCGCAAGGCTGACACGATAGGCGCAGACTAAAGGTACAAGAGCTGATGAAAACGACAGACATGATCATAAACAAAAACAAAACAAAACAAAACAAAACAAAAAGGGATGGGTGTGGTGACTTTGCAGGTTGACTGGAGAGTATCAATGGAATGGAATCGAAGGAATGGAGACACCGAACAAGACAGACAAAACGGTCGGAACGAACAGGGACGGAAACGGCACTATACAGGAGAAGTGAAACAGCGCTGCAGAATAGAGTGACAATGGGAATCCAAAGTGAGAAGAGGGAGTGCAGGATCATAAATAAGGTGGTCCGATATGGGGATCGGCAAGTGGGCCAGGGCAGCGAAGCAAGCACGGCGAAGCAGACGCCGCCAGTGCGCTGCCGTTGGCAAGTGCATCGAGTCGGTCTCGAGAATTGAATGGCTGCGGCGGTAGAGGCCTTCATGGAGGATCGCAAGCCCTTGTGGACGGCAGACGGGCACTGTTCGCAGCACAGCTGGGACCAGCCAGGCCACGATATCACATCATGGTGCCTGGGCGACCGACATTGGTGGCATCGACGGGCCGGTCGTGCATCGGGACTCCGGTCGGCACTGGGCTGTCTTCGTCGTAGGACGGGACAATGAGCGACTTGAGCTCGAGTTCGCGCCTCCTCTTGAACTTGGAGACGGCATCCAAGAAAGAGTTCTGGAGCTGGCTTTGGGTGGCATGGTTGTCGACCTCCTCAAGATCGTCGCTCTGGTCGTCGTGGTCGGTCATCATCGAGTCGTCGTCGTCGTCGGACATGTTGCAGTCCTCGTTGCCATAGAGAGCAGCGAACTCGGCCATCTTGGTCTCGCGTCTCTTGTGGATCTTGTAGGCCTTGCATTTTGAGATGATGCGGCGAAAGCTGGCATCGCGGGCACGGTCCTGCTCCCGGATCTGGTTCAGGACGCGGACCATCTTCTTGCGATCGCGCTCGCTGCTGGTGACGGACTGTCTGAGCTGCAGAATCTCGCGCTCGAGTTGGTATGGGTCGGTTGGAGGGGCTGGACCCGCGGTGCCAGGGACTGAGCTGGTCGAATTGGCGCTCTGGTAGCGCGAATGACGGCTCGGCGAAGCGGACTCGACCTCGTGGCTGCTGACATCGCTGGAGTCGGATCGGCGGCTGTTGGCGGCTCTCACGCGGCTTCCGTATGGACGAACACCGCCTAGATAAAGTCGAAGCACAAAGGGGTCAAACTCGGTGCACAGGACATGGGCGAGTCATCGGTGCAGCGATCAGGGCAAGCCCAGCGGATGAAACTGATCGAATCGCTGTGGCTGGACCATCGGCAAGGCAGGAAGCGAATCCAAGCGAGTGGACACCCTACTTACATGCATTGCAAAGGGTGCTTCCGTCAACCGGGCTCCGTCTCCACTGTGGCGTGTCGGTAGTGTGACAGATGCTGCAGAATCTCTTGACCTTGGCCGGGTGCACGGGGCCATCTGTTGTTTCCGACTCTGACAGCTCTGTGGGCGTGGCAGGAGTGACACTGATTATGGCTGAGACATGGTCGACGTCTCGGCCGCCCAGACGCAGAGACTGTCCTGAAGACGACACAAAGAGGCCCGAGTGGCTATGGGATCGGAGGCTGGGTTCATCGTCGGTGCTGCTCGAGTCCAGTGGGGGAATGTTCTCTTGGTTTTGGCTGCGGGCGAAGCCGCGGCTGGCGTAGGCAGCGGCTCGGGCGGATCGGCGGCTGCTTGTGGGGGAGTCGAGAAGCGATGGACCGCCGGCCTCCATGGGACCGGGCGACAGCGACTGCAGCGGCGAGGATGGGGTGGACAGGAGCTTTTTGCGGCGCTTGGCCTCAGATTCTGGGTCGATGGCCAGGGGCGCGGCGTCGTAGCTCAGGAGCGGTTCCAGTTCGGTGTAGAGTGCGTATTCGTTGGCGAGGGACTTTGCACGCTCAAGCGGGATCCATGTTCCTTGGAAGCCGTGGTAGCCGCCCTGGACCTTTTCGTGGGTGCCCCCGACGACGTCTCGCTCCAGGATGCGAGTGCGCTGGGGTTTGGTCAAGCCGGCGGCTCGGAGGATCTGTGTGGCGTTGATGTAGCCATCGGCCTGGCGGCGCATGACGGGTATGTTCTTTGCGCGGATTTCCCAGACCGGGACGTTGGAGTAAATGGCACCTCGGACAGAGTTGCTCATGGTGCCAGAGATGACCAGGCCTGGCGGCGAGCAATTGGGAGAGGAAAAGGTGAAGGAGATTGGTGGCCACGGAGGCTCAAAAGTAGATGATTGGATCAAAGTGGAGACCACAGGGGGGGGGTTAGATGGTTGGTCGAGCTTGTGCAGGGCGTGGGAACCGGGTTCGAAGGAGGGCTCTGGACGGTGAAGGGTCGGACGATGTAGGGCAGAGCTGGCCTGTGGTGACAAATGCAATGCAGCGATGCGGGGTCAGGCCAGGCCAGGGCCAGGTCAGGTTAGACACAGAGACGGTGTGTGGTCTGTGGTCTGTGGTGGATAAGATTGAGGCAGAGGGAACTCGCGTCCAGAAGGCTCGGCTGGACGGCGGTTGAATGTCCGAAAGGGGAGGCGCGGCGCTGTGCCGATGGTGTCGTCTGCGAAAGGCGATAAGATTTGTGTTGGTGCAAAGGTGCGCCGATGTCGATGGGTGCTTTGGGCCAAGCAGGCTGGATGCGCCTTTGGGTGTGCTGGCGGGTGGGCCTGTGGGCTTTTGGAGGGGAGGATGTCCGCCGACCACGCGACGGGAGGGAAAGGTCAGCGCGACGAAACAGATGGCGCGGAGGCACCCAAACGAGCGCTGGTCTGATTGGAGGGGCGCGACAAACACAGCGGGCGTGATGGGAAAGGAGACGACGCCGGAAGCACACCAGGAAGCCAGGCAATGCAGAGAGGGGTAAATAACAGCACGGCGAGGGATTCGTCTGCAGGACGCCGGGCCTGGGGCGGGCCCGGGTGCGCAGAGTGATCGGGGGCACTGCACAAGATGCGGGAGACGCCGGCGGTGCTGGTCCTTGGAATTCGGGTATTAGAGGGAGAGGGAGGCAGCACAAGCCGAGGCATAAGCAAGGGACAGCAACTCACCACCGGGACGAATTGATTGCAGAGCGATTCACAGAGGCCGGGTGCTGTGGAGAGCGATGCCGTTGAGGGAACCGATGCAGCAAGCGACGAACAGCTGCGGAAGTAGAGAGCGGATGGGCTGAGGACCGACGGACGGTTGTCTGCACGGAGGAGGCACTTGCTCGGATTTATATACGGCGGCCGGTTGGATGGCGAGGGCGGCGAGGGACAACGGAGGATTTGTTGATGCTGGATAGGAAGCGTGTTAGAGGACCAGGGCGGATGGGGCCATTGGGTTCCTCAAAACGTGCTGTTCTCTGACGAATTCCGGTCGGGAGAAGGCACGGGATGGACCTCGAGCGATGGACGGAGTGGTTTGGGCGATGGGCGCAGCTTCGAATGCCTGAAGACACCTGAAGGACGCCTGGAGGGAAACTTGGAGGGAAACCTGGAGGGCGGGAGTTGGGGAGTCGGCCAAAGCAGTGCCCGTCGACAACGAGGGGGGACAGTCGGAGCACGGGGGAAGGCGAAGGGAGGGTCAGCCACGGACGACGCAAGGGCCGGCAGGAGCGAGACCGCCGAGGAACAGAAACATTCCGACCAGCATTAATTACCTGCCCAAGGGTATTAGTAATGGGGACAGATGATGGAGCAAAGGTCGGAGAGCGCTGTGGTCGTTCGGCGACGGGGGATATGGGAAACGGCGATGCCAGGGAGCGCGGCTCTCGGCGGGCGTCTCGGCAGGCGTCTCGCCGCTCCTCGGCTGCAGCTCGCTGCCTCTCGCTCTCGCGTGGTCCGGGCCAACACCGACAGCGGCGCGTCGGCGGCAGAAAAAAAAATCACGCGCGCGGACGCGGCCCGAATGCCGAGACGGCGTCGCCTGGGCTGGCCGGGGGGGGGTTCGACGGGGTCATGGGCATGGACGAGGGCAACGGGAGCAGCGAGGGTGATGTGCATGGACGAGGGCGACGGGAGCAGCGAGGGTGATGTGCATGGCTGAGAGCGATGGGGTGACGGGTGATGGGCACCAACGGAGGCAATGAAACTCGGTGGCTCGGGAAGACGCGAGCGAACAGCGGTAGAGAAATGCAAGCAGCGAGCCTCAACCTGTTCGCCGTACTGATACCGTCGTGACGAAGAAGAGCACCCGGCACTTGGTTTGTTCCTCAAAGTCTATGCCCGTCTCTCACTCGCTCCCCTCTCGAGCATTCTTGCGCACACTCTCGCGCAATCTCTCGCACGCTCCAGACGATTCCTCTGCGTCTGCCGTTTGCGCACCTGCCCGGGTGTCGTGGCCATTGCGATGAGCAGCAATGTCGCAAAGGACCGCGAGTGCCCATCGGCTGACCGCCCCCAGAAGCCGTTCTGTTGCACCGCGACGCATCTGTCCCACCCGCCCGCGCACCCTGGGGCCGCACGCGTCGCGCGTCGTCCACCGCAATCTCCGATCCTGTCCGAGCGCGACGGCTGCGCACGGTTGCTGTCGCCGCTGACTTTGATGCACTGCTGCTGCATCGCTGGGATCGCTGGGATCGCTGGGATCGCCGCATGGATCTCCGCCGAGCAATGTCTCGGTGTCCGTCTCAGCGCCAGAGGAGAGCAGCCGTGGTCTGGCGGAGCGAATCGCATCTCCGAGCTCAACATGGTCGCGCAGCAGGCGTACTTGGAGTCAGCAAAACCGGGGTGTCTCGGTTCATTTCCGCAAATGAATTGAATCGCTTGATCACGGCCGCCCCGTGCTCAAAACCCGGCGCGGCCTGCTCTTCTTCCTTTCTCACTCGCATCCATCCGCCGCCTGGTCGGTGCTGCTCCCCTCCCACTCGGTAGGTTTCCGCGCTGGCGTTCGTTTTTACTGCGTTCTGGCTTCGGAAGCGGGTTGAAATGATGCTTGCGCTTTGATGAGGTCGCTTTATAAGCTTGACCGTTGAAGATTTCCTTTATGGACTATCCCACTGATCGCTCGACCCGGCCATCGGAATTTTACCGCTGCGCCGCTGTCGATTTGCTGGCTCCCACTGCCCTTTCCTAACCCACCACCTCCGCGCTTGCAGGTCTCTCTATCCCTTGCACACGCACTCAGCTCGGTCCCTCTCTGCGCATCACCAGTAAGCACTATCCCGCCAGCCAAAGCCTGTGTGTATGTATGTGTCCTCACGAATCGTTCGTGAATCGATCGACTCCAATAAACATTGCATCAGCCAATTTCTTGACCAACGAGCACCCTCCCAACTTGGTGCAGAGCGGGATGGGCGGGTGCAGGCTTTTCTGGGCCATTGTTGGCCGCCGGGTTGATCTGCTCGGTCCCGAGTTCTTCCTCGTGCGGGGCTTTCAGATCAGTTGGTCCTCGTCGTCGTCCTCGATCCAGTCGACGTCGGCGGCCTCGGTTTGCTGGTGCAGATCCGCCAGACCAGTAATTTGCTCGAGATACTTTGGGGTGTTGAAGGCCTTGAGGAGGAACTGGTACCCATCGTTCTGGTACTCGGCGAGAACCTTTGCAGCAGAGCCAACAGAGCCGAGTCAGTTACCTGGTGGGGCTCCTTGGCGTGTTGCCGACCACTCTCTCCCAGGGCCAAGCACCGTACCGTGGGCGAGCATGCCGTGCACTTGTCATAGGCCGATCCGGTGATCAGTAGGTTGTTGAAATGTGTCAGGAAGCCGCGAATCTGATGCGGAACCAGTCCAAAGGGTGTCGGCGTTGCGTCGGCTGGGCTGGTTTGGCTGTCAGCAGGGGCATGTCCCCTAGTAGATCAAGAGCACGGCAAGGTCGCTGTCAGTTGCGGTTGCTGCTTGATTCGATGGCTTGGGATAGGCGACGGAATCGCCCTCGGACACCGTCGTGGAGCTTCCGCCTCCATCCCTTTCTCCCAGGCCGTCTGCCGGCTGCAAGTGCAATGCTGCTTTCACTTACGCGAGCGGATGATTGATCACGGAAACCATCAGCTCGACTGCCTGCGAGCTGGCGAGGGCACTCAGACCCGGTCGCGTAACAGTGCATTGCTGGTCCAGGGTGCGGTCGCTGAGAGACTGTTGTCGACGGCGGCGGTCAGCAACACTCCGAGGCAGCAGCGATATCCAAGGGCGGCGATTGCTCCATCCATCGATTGTCAGACTCGGTGACCAGAAGCAAGCCCATGACTGGATTGGCCACAGTCGCCAGAGAGGGGGACTCGGCGGACAGAGCACAGGTTACAGAACACTTACATCGGTGGGTGCAACAACATCGTTGCAAAAATAGCATCCCAGTCTGCTGTCTGTGCCCGCGGCTGCAGCTCGCATTCCATGGCGCATCACCAGGAAGGTATCGAATCCGAGGGCGGCGTTGATGACGATCTATACAGAGCAGAGCAGGACCGTCGGTGAGGGAGGGGGGACATACTCTGGCTGGATCAGCACAGATCGCCGTCGGTCGCTTGCAAGTCTCACCTTCTCGTGATATGCGCCCAGCAGAGTCGGGAGCCATCGTGCCTCACGAGAGTCCGTCAAGAGGAACAGAACATCATGGCTCTTCACAAGCTCTTCAATCTTGGCAACATCCTCTTTGACTTGGCCCACGAGATGGGCCGGGACTTCGTGTCCGGGCATTGGGATGGTGACGGAGTGGCCCTCCGCATTCTGGAACCACCGGGGTGGCAAAGTCCACAGGACGGCGACAAAAGATGGATACAGAGATGTCAGCAAAAGCAAAAGCAAAAGCAAAAGCAAAAGCAAAAGCAAAAGCAAAAGCAAAAGCAAAAGCAAAAGCAAAAGCAAAAGCAAAAGCAAAAGCAAAAGCAAAAGCAAGAGCGAGGTACAACATTGACGCCGCAGCGATTCTCCATACGATCGCAGATCCTCGTAGTCTCATATCGAGGTCTCGCGCAACTCACCACCCCGGGAAAGATCTTTCTGAGCTGCTCGGCGGCAGCAGCGGCCTTGGGCTTTCCTCCGTCCAGACAGTCGTTGAACTCGAACAGCGGCTGGCGCACTGGGTTCGAGAACGACACTTTGCCGTTGTCCAGCAGCGTAATGTTGCGAATGCCCCAGGCCTGGTGATATCACACAATCAGCAGTCGGTCAGCCAGCTTGACCCTCGCCCCAAAGACTACTCGGATGATGCCGGTTCCCATGTTGCTCAGTCCATGGCTTTGATTACAGACCATCAACAGCCGGGCGACATAGCATCCCAGCGTGCCGGCCCCAAAGAGCAGACACTTGGTCGCACCAATCCTCTCCAGCTGGAGAGAAGGCATGATCCGCCACCGCATCAGCTTGAGGTTCAGGTCCACGGCTGTATCGGCCAGTCTGGCAGCATCATGGGAGATTGCAGCCGCCATACGTGCATCGTGGTTAGTCCGGGATGATACAGCCATGCGGAATACACAGCGCTCTCGGTTGCCAGAATGTCCAGCCACGCTGTCATGGGAAAGTACTACCTGTGAGGATCCATCAAAGGAGCCAAATCAACGACTCGGGCACCGAGTTTTCCGCTGGTGTTCTTCTCCCAGCCACCAAACTTGGGACAGTCATCTAGAGCGAGGCACAGGCACAGGCCAAGGGCCGTTGCAGTCAGGCGATCGCCAGTCGAGTGCGCAAAGCAAGGGATCATCGGGCGAGCCGGAGAACGCTGTTCCGTATGGACTCACCTCCGAGTTCCAAACTCGAGACATCCAGAAGCACGACGAGGCTGCTGGATATGTCGCTTCGTCCGAGAACTTCCCGATAGCACACCACCTTGATCCGCTGCAGCGTGGGCCAAGTCTTCTTCAGGAAGATCGCATAGTTGCGGAGCGGCCATCCAGGGTTGCCAGGGAGGCACGAAGGATCCACGAATCCGACCGTCATCTCCTCCGGCACCTGCTCGGGAGCGTCTGAGAGGGCTTGAGCGACAGGCACCTCCCCTTCAACCACCTGGAAGAAGGAGGCTTTTGAAGGCTGGCGCTCCCGCAGGGTACTGAAGCTTTGGTAAAGAGCCGCGATCTAGATTGCCATCGTTGCGGCAATATATGGGCGCCGATCGACATCATCGTATCAGCAAGCATCGACATTGGCAAAACAGCGCACATCGAACCAAAACCAGCGACGGAGGACACTCGACGACGCATGACTACCTGTTGCTCCGAGTAATACTCGGCCAAGGGGGCGACCGCAGTGCCTTCTTGGAGTCTCAGTGGGAGTGTCGGCATCAACGCGGGGAAAGCAAACCAGTAAAAGTACTTGTACTTCTTCAAGTCGGCAAAGGTGACGAGCAAGAACCGCGAGAGTAGCGAGGGATCGTCGAGGGCTGCGCCGGAACAAATGTCTTGCCATATCTGCGGCATCAGAGGTACACCAAGATGCAAACCGAGTACATCGCAGTCTCATTCGTTAGTATCTTGCGAGAGGCGCTGGCACCAGCACACCCGGAGACCAGAGGAACACACAGCTGCCCGCGGCTGCCCACCTGTTCGGCCGTGTCCTTGAGCAGAGCGTTTTTGTCGAGGGCCTTGAAGTCCTCCACCGTATTGGTGTTCTTCAGTGTGCCCGGAGCGACGCAAGAGAACGGCGGAATGCTGCATCACCAAGAACACCAGCATGAGCGAGAATATGTCGGTTCGGGCTGGCCTCGATGGCATGTTCGTCGTCATACCCCCCCGCCACCAAGCCCAACAGGATACCCGTCCGAATTGGACGGACCAGTCTCCCAGACACCACGGCTTACTTTTGACCTGGCTCAAAGGCCGACGACGAGAGGCACAGGCGCGCCGGCAAGCTTCCTGCAGAGCGAGCCCCGGAAGAAAGTGCGTTGCTGAGCGCCGTGTTGTTCGAGTGCCCGTCATAGAACCCTTGGATCGGAAGCGGCGAGTCGTCGAGGCGCAGGACGTCGACCTTGCGAGCCGCCAACGCATGCCAGAAGGTTGCTTCGACGGCGCTTGAGAAGGTGTCGAACTGCAAAGGGGCACTGGCTGGAGCCGACATGATGAACCGAGACGATGCGCAGGGGCGAGATAGAGACGAGGTAGGATGGGCGAGTGCGGAGGAGGCGCTTGCAGGTCGCCGGGGGGAGATGGTGCGGAAGGAGCAGATCGAGAGCAAGTGCCAGGGCCTGTTGTCCAGGGCCTGGTCATGGGGAGAATGGATGGCTCTGTGGCAGCGCACGCCGCGAGCAAGAGGCCGAAGCCGACCTGGCTGTGATCTCGACAGACCGCCATCGCCCCGAGCCTCTGTCGTCCCCGGACCGATCTTGGGCATCGGTCGATAGAGCAGCTGCCAAGCCGATCTGCGTCTCAACACCAGTACTCCCTCCGCTGCAGCCAGTCCGCCTCTCTCGGTCGCTCGCCATGACACTCACGCCGATTCCGCCCATCTCGATCGCCCAAGCACACCAGCCGATCCTGGTTCAACATCCGTCCGAGCGCACAGATCCCAAGGACTGCGTCCTATCCGAGATCGTGCAGTACCAGTGCCGCATTGATCCTCACCGCATCCTCTGCACCCCGATTCGGCGGGTCTTTCAGTCGTAACTATCGCCTGCCGAATGCAAGTCGGGTACTACATACGGGCGACACATAGGCGGGTGCTGCCACGACTGACATGTTCGTCTCTGCTCCGAATATAGATGTGCTGGGAAGCCTCGAGTCGAGATGTAAGAAGCTGCACAGCATCATACATGCGTATATATCAATTCCCGTGGGCGAGCCGTCGGCATGCAAGATTGAGGGCATGCACGCATGGTTGTTCTTGGGCGGCGCTGACTCTCTGATGGACAGAACTCCTTTCCAAACCGACGCTCTCGTCAATGAGCTGCTACCAAGGTGACGATCGAGCTGGTTCTTTGGGAGTCGGGATAAATTGCACGCCTTGTCGTCCATGCTCCTGCCTAACAGCATTCTGCTTGCTTCCCTGCCACATCGCATCGCATCGCATCGCATCGCATCGCATCGCATCGCATCCAGCCAGGTCCCTGAGCACTACGGTGAGTCGTCTTGGGGCAGCTGAACCCGATAGCCAGGCAACTCCATTGCCCTCTACTAACAACCGGGACCCGCGGCCAGTGCACTCCAACCCGGCTCCCCAGTTCCCGTTCATGGAGCGAAGCGAACGATACTGAGACCCGAGCTACATCGGCGACCACATTCCCCGCAATCGACTACGACGGCCACTGGCGCACGGGTCGATATGCGCATCGATACCGAGCACAACAGAGCTTCGGCGGTTTCAGCGCCAAGCGGATCGAGTGTGATAGGGCTGAGGTGGCCCCTGCCACTATGTCACCGATGGTGTGGCAGTCTGGCAAAGGTCAGCAGCACCAGAGCAGCGCGGGCGATTCGGCAATTTTCCCAGCATTCCTTGGAAAGGTCTCTGACCACCACTACTGTGCTTTGCTCCTGGTGCCTCTGTCTTGCTCACGGGCAATCCCTCCCGAGCGCTCAAGCGATCGCTGCATCTACAATAAAACTCTCGGCGCACAGCTTCACATCCATCCGCGCAGTGCGGGCTCCCTGTCGCTTCGAGCCCACGGCCCAACCTGCCCAGAGACCACCGCCGAGAGACCCGCAGCCAGACACTGTTCCCGCAGACTCATCGCACCACTACATCACCCCTCTTCGCCCGCCCGAGATCGAGCCATCGAGACCGAGCCGTCGAGAGCGCCGCCAACAGCAACACGGCGGAGCCAGGTTCGCGGCATCGCCCATCAGCACCGAACTCCACCGATACCGCCGGCAAACACACCGGTGACGGCGACCCTGTAGAATGAGCCAGAGCTCCGTGGAGAGCAAAAGCCAAAGTCAAATCATCCTCCCGACGAACGAGCTGTATGAGCGCCGCGATCTGCAACCCCGGTCTCGGTCTGAGGATGGGTCGTTCGGCCTCGCCCATCGACGGCGTTCGGTTTCGGCATCGGGATACGAGTCGACGCGAATCGACCCCGCCGTTGAGGCCATGCTCCGCGACATGCGGAACGACATCCTGGTCTCTAACCAGGAACTCTCCGAGATCAAGAAGAGCCTCCTGGCGCTGTCCGATGGTCGGTCAGCCCACGAACACACAAGCGCCGTCGATCCAAACCAAAACGCCGGGGGTAACGACAATCAGGTCACCGCACCCTCGCGGTCCTCTCCGCACACTTCGCAAGAACACCTGGAAGAAGTACACGATCAAGTCCCCGACTTTGACGAAGAGGCAAGCGTTATGCCGTCGATGGCCCGGAAAAACAGACGGGCAAGCATCCAGGAGGTCTTTTCGAAACCAGTCGAGTGGACCGTCAACCGGCAGCCCAACATCAAGATTGAGAGCAAGCCCCTGAAGATCATCCATCCGTTTTCGGGATTTCGGGCCGGCTGGGATGTGACTATGGGAGGTACGAAGCAGCCCCGCACACTGGCCGCGTATCGTCGATACGCTCGGGCACAACGAAGAGCGCGGGTGGTGATATCGCTTCCGTCGAGCAGATTCATGAAGCATATCCGCTCCTGGAGGCCGTTTGCATTGGCATGCGTTGATGGGGGCTGCCGACAGACCAACTCGCTACCTGTTCTGCAGTTTTGCATGACTTGCCTGCACTTCTGACGGCTCATCGGAACTTCTTGTACCAATAGCGTTCTACTTCCTGCTGCTATGGCTCGTGCCGCTGATCGTTGCCTTTGATGTCTTTCAAATCGCCGTTGTACCAATGGGCATCTTCACCTCGGCAATCTATGTGTGCGACAGCGTCGTCGGGCAGCTGACACAGAAGGTCGTCGAGGACGGCGAGAACATCAAGAAGCCAACACCCTTCTCGTTCTACCTTGGAGTGCTCATGGATCTGATCAGTATGGTTCCGTTCGAGCTCCTTCCGGTCACAAACAGCAACCTGCTCGTCCTGATCCATCTCCTGCGAGCTCGCCACTTTCCCAAGCTCATATCAGAGTCACAGATCTTCAAGCAGATACGATACGAACTGGAGGAGCACTTTGACATCGGAGAGTTGATCTGGACCCTTATCGGACTCACTTTTAGTCTGCTCATCATCTTGCACTGGGAGTCATGCGCCGTTTGGATCATGGGCAAAGCCAACGGATACGCATCATGGCCAGCTGAGTATCGGGATCAGCTCGTCAACCAGGGCTTTGGCGGACAGTACGTCTGGGGCTTCTACATTGCCGTCTCCAACACCTTCCCGCTGAGCTTCAGGTGAGCGGCCAGCGGCTTGACTCGGCACGAATCGAATGTGGGCCTGTGATGCACTTGTGGCCCCTATACAGCAGCAACGCGACTTGGGTTCATTTGAGGCTGCAAGCATACTCGGGTTGGCACTGTTGAACGAGGCAGGATGACCAAAGCAAGACAGCGCTCCGGCTCAATCGGGGGTTGGCGGCCCGGCATACTTTGTGGGAAATGCAGACAATTCACATTGCGGTTTCAACACTAGCACGTATATCACCTCGGAGCAAAACGTTTTCATTCTCTTTGTAATTGTGTGTGCAGTGCTGGTAAGTGCTGCTGATGCTACTGATGCTACTGGTGCTGCTGGAGTTGCTGACGGGTCGTCTTCGCACTGCATCGATTTGTGCTGTAATCTCGTTCTGGTCTCGATCTTTAGTACGCAGCCATCATCGGAACGTTTTCATCGCTGGTCATGGGTTTCGATGCTTCCGGTCGGCAATACAAGCAAAAAATCGACGCCATAAATGAGTATCTGCGCTTCAAGAAGATTCCCGACTCAACCCGAGCCAAAGTCCGAGAGTTCTACCAGGTCAAATACCACGGAAAGTTCTTCGAGGAGGCAAGTAGCCATGATCCAGGCGTCGCTGACATGGATGCAACAACATGTCACGTCATGATGGGATTGCTGTGGTCATGCATATCATTGCGTTCGTTGTTTTGCGGCTTTCTTGTCCGCTGTGCAGCAACTGCACCACGAATTACGCGGACATCTTGTGCAGCGGTACTTACCCTGCTCATTTCTCGGGCTGAATGCGCTTGGATCCCTGTTGATGCTGCGCAGGAGACGCTGCTGAAAGAGCTCAACGAGTCCATGAGGCAGGAGATAGCCATGTACAACTGCCGGGACCTGATATCGAAAGTGTCGTTTCTGCGTCGCAACAAAGGCGACGGCCGCGACGAGCTATTTCTCACCAAGCTGTGCATGGCGCTGGTGCCGTGCTATTTTATCCGGAACGAAATCATCTTTACGAGTGGACAGGTTTGTTTCCGTCATTGAAAGCCATCCCAAGGCCAGATCTTATGCAAGCCGATCCAGTGCCTCTCGGCACACTGAACTCACCGCCGGACGATCGTGTGTGCCAAACAGGAAGGATCAGATATGTACTTCATCCAGTCCGGAGACGTTAGCGTGATTGTCAACGGAATGAGCGTTGCCGAACTGTCGGACGGATGCTTCTTTGGAGGTGAGGCTCTTTGATCCGTGAAGCTCACTACAACCGCGCAATCAAAGCTGTGGCTGCAGAAGCCAAAGTCGCCGTATCAAAGGGAAGGGTTGCTAACAGCGCCCGGCTCTTCCGCCCTGGCTGGATGTACCCAGAGGTTTCCATGATAACGGGAAGCGCACGCACGGCAACAGTGCGGGCCAACCGCAAGAGTGTCATGTACAAGCTCGGACAGTCGGGATTCAACCAGATTCTGAATGAGTTCCCCGATGTCGGCCAGACCATCCAAGCCGCTTTTGCGGCGCGCATGTCCAAGGTGCTGAAAGAAACCATTCAAGCAGGGCTGACCAAAATACCAGGGGGAGTCTCCAGCCGCAGCAATTCAATAGCCTTTGGAATGAACCCGAATATCAGCGTCAACGGGGATCTCCTGGTGTCAGGCAACATCATGGGCGATGTGTAGCGATCGCGACTCGTCCCGGAAGGAAGATGAAACTCTGTGTTTCAGAATATATTCAGCTGGTGCTCGTCAACAGGCTCACACGGACCCATCATGGCCCTGCCACCTTCGTTTGTCGACAGAAAATCCGTCTGAGAGCATGAGGTCTTGAAGACTGGCGGGTTGATTCCCCTGGGCGACGATCGACTCGCACCATGCGATCGTATTCTTGAGTCCGCTGATGCTGCCACCATGTCGGATATCGCTACGAGTTCATATTCCCACGACCGTTGACAGCTCGCCGCCATGTGGTCTGCGATGGTGTGCCGTGAACCTGGATAGCACACTGAGCTGATGATTGCGAGAGCGATGCGAGCAATAAATGGCCGATAGTCCCGAAGTTTGCTGACTCGGCTTGGTATCCGGATGAACCTGGGAAGCACACGTAGATTTACCTCTGCAGTCCAGCTGGGTGTCCAGATTTGGAAGCAGTCCATCTCGTGGGAAGTTCACTTGCCCGCTGCGACCCTGTGCTGTGTTCGGTCAGATGCAGCCTACACTTTATTCAGAAAAAAACGAGATAATATAGCCGTTTCCATGAACATGTAGTATGTGCTGTGCTTGCGTCAAGCAAAGCCACAAGAAATAAAACAGATCACTTTGGCAGCCTCCGAGTGAAGACCGCCGGTCGCTCTCCGATCTCCACAATCGACCTGCATACTGTGATCATGTTGCGCGCCGCATTGACGTCGCGATTCCACACTGTCCGGCAGCTGGGATTCTTGCAGCTCCTGACAAAGTGGGAATTCGCAACACTGGGCGCATCGAGTCCTTCCAACCGAACTGGCTCCAGGCACTTGGAGCACACTTGCGAGGTGTTGAACTCGTTCGTCGAGGCCACCTTGACGCTTCCATGATGGTGATTGGGACGGCGTCGGTGGTGCTCGAATTGCTCAAAGTACCGAGCAAACCGCTGCCTCCGAGGGCTGGATGCATAGCCCTTGCCTTGCCGCCATGAGGCATTGCCAAAGGCGATCACCACATCGGTCCGTTTCGGGGCGTGCTTCAGGACGGCCTTGCACATCCTGTCGACGGCCACTTGGCGTCTCCTGTGGCCCGTGAAGCGATGGTGACGGGCCTTCTTGCCAAGGTGGAAGTCGAGCTGCACTCGCAGCTCCGGTCGCAGGACATGGGTGAGATGGACTTTGAAGGCCTCCGAGGATGACACCTTGGGCGAGGGGGTGGTCGACATCCAGGTCTCGATGCTGAGTCGATACTTCATGATATTGTGCCACTTGGTGTTGGACGTATGGTCACACATGTGCTGGTAGTGGCCATTGGAGAATGAGACCACCTCGTCTTGGTGGCCCGGTGTTTGGATGACCGCCGTGAAGATGGAGCCGACTCCAGGATCGATGCCAATCCAAGTGGTGCGATCGGGGTCTGGGTCGCCGATGTGGGTCTGGATACGCTGCTCGGCAGTCGGAGGAGGCTCGGGGGTCTCGGTGTGATCGGTTCGACGCAAAAACTTGACGAGGCCGATGGTGCATCCAATGCCATCGGTGCTGATCTCGTAGTTGAACAGCTTCTTGTTCACGTCTCGCTCTTGGAAGAGGGAACTACGCAGCTTGAAGCAACTGCGCCAGAGACGATCCTGGTTGTTGACACCGTCCTCACCTTCTTCCTTGAGCTTGTCCCTGGTGAGGCCAAGACGATGATCGGTGTCAAGGAGTTCCCAGAGAGTGACCGTGTCAATCTTGATGTATTTGGCCGTGGCAGTGCACAGAGGAACCATCGTGCACACGGCCGGAGGAGTGTCAAGAGCGAGCTGCTTGAGGCACCACTTGATCCTGGATGCCAGCTTGTTGATCTTGGCCTTGGTGAACCTCTTGTCGTCGGAGGGAATGCCTTGGGTAGTGAGCTCGTCCAGCTTGGCCTGGCGCTGCAGCTCAGTGACTCGGAGGGCGGGCATGTCACAGTCGATCCACTTGTGGACATTGTCGACCATCTTGTCTCGAGCGAGGATTCTCACATGGTGTGAGAGGCGATGGAGGGCCCGGAAGCGGTCCTGGTCGTTGCTGTACCGAAACTCGTCCAGGACGTGGCCAAAGTCTGGATAGAGGAACTCGATATCGGCCTTGGGTGGAGTCTGCCCTGGTTTCTCGAAGAGCTCGAGACAGGCCTCGATGGCTTCGTGCTTATGCTTGTTGGCTGGGAAGACGGCAGCGCAGAAGCGGCGAAGGAGTCGCCAGTAGGCCAGGTCGAGGTGGGTGGTGCAGTTGGTAGCATAGGCATTGACAGCCAGGGTGAGAAGCTGACTGTGAGCACCATCAGGCAGACGAGGGGCCGGAGGCAGGTCTGCGTGCCGAGTGGTCTGGTAGTCGCGAAAGGAAGCGACCAGATGCTCGTTGTATTTCTCATTGTCCCCGGTCGGGGAGAGGGCACCGTCCTGGACGATCTTGAAGCATTGGCGAACGAAAGCAGGGGTGGACTTGGAGATGACGGGGACGGGAAGATCCTGCTCGATGCACCGGAGGATGTGCAGGTTGAGCAGCCTGGATGCCTCGAACTGGATCTGGGTCATGGCCTCGACGGTGGCCTGGATCTTGTCGCGGAGAGCGGGATTGAGACAACAGCCATCCATCGTCTGCTTGAAGCAGCTGAACTGAGGGGCGGATGACCTTCCATCCACGAGTGGGACGACAGAACTCTTGAGGGGCCGGTATTTGGGACATTTGCTGGTGTTGCAACGTTCGTGATCGGTACCGTCGCACTGGCGACATCGCTTGCCGGTACTCGAGGAAGTAGATGGACCAGGCTCGGTGGGATCGACATCCATTGGATCTGTAGAAGCAGTGGTGGTGAGCGACGGAGCAACAGACGACCAAGCATGCGTGGGGTCAGAATACGAACCAGAGACAGGCTCCGACTGTGACTTGGCTTTCTTGGGCCTGGGTGGCTGAGGCTGGCCATCACCGGTACCCTTGCGCTTCGGAGGCATGGGGGCAGAGGATGCTGGATGCCTGCAAGTGGTACTCGTCAGAGCAGAGACTTTTTTTTATCGTACAATGGCGCGATGATCCGATCAAGGCGAGATGAGGGAAGAAAGCAGCAGGACGAAGGTGTGGCATTTATACCCGAGAGCAGGAACCCGTCTTTGCGGGTTGGTTGGGAAGCGACCCTGTTCAAAAATCGTCGAGAGGTTCAAGCCAGGGATGTGAGCGTGAAAATGGCGGCGTGATTGGGGGACTAAACCCCAAATTGGAGGAACTCAACCCCAAAGCGGTGGGGACTCAACCCCAAAGAAGTTCTCGATGGGATTGAAGTCGGGTGAAGCAGGTGGGGTGAAGATCACTGACCATCCTCGGCGATCGATGCAGTCCAGGACAGCCATTGTCTTGTGCATGCTGACATTGTCCATCACAATCACAGAGTCGTCTGGGAAGCTCGCTCGCTCAAAGAACTCGACCATCGAGTGTGTCTTGAATGATGTGGGGATGTACATGCGATGCAGCACACCAGTGGTTGATGGCAAATGCAGCCGAGACAGACTTGTGTTTCATGTGATTGCGCTGGCGAAGCGGAGCACCCTTCGGTGAGTATCCGTAGAGAGGGAAAATGGATCTCCTGATCCCTGTCTCATCGACAAAAACGAGCCGCCGTGGGTCGATGGAGTGGACTTGGTCCCTGAACTGTGCCACTCGCTCATCCAGTCGCTTGGACTTGTAGAGGTGTGTTGCCCTCTTGTGTGAGAGACCTGCTCGGTGGATGGCAGTGTGGCAGAGCGAGAGTGATACTTTCCTCTGGAGGATGGACTCGAGCTTGCATCGCAACACAGGACCAGTCTGGAACGGGTCCTGTTCAATCAGGGTGCGAATGACTGGACATGCCTGCTCAAAGAAAGTGGATCTGCGAGCTGGGACCCGGGATGGGTCATCCAGCTTGCATCCTCGGTGCCATCGATGGATGGTGCTCTTGGATACACTGAATATGGAGGCGACCTTACGCAGGCTATGGATGAGGGCGTAGCATCGCAATGCGGCGGTGCGAAAGTCGGATGTGTGGCGAATGGTCATGGCCAGCGCGCGATGGTTTTGGGTAACAAAATATTCGATGAATGGTCAAAAACCCGGTGTCCCGTTTTTTATTGGATTGCCTGTAATCGAGTCAAAGAGTATACTACACTTTATCATACTCAGTCGACAACGGCCAACAGCGGCCAAGCGAGTCAGGCCATCTCCCTGGATGTCCATCTCTGGAGCCAGTCCAAGACTCCAATACTAATAGCTGAGTTGAGGCCGATATCGCATCGGCCGAGTCCACCGCGAGAGCGCCATTGCCGATTGACGTCATTCAACCACATCGATCAGCATCATTCCAACCACACGAACCATCTGCATGTCGAAGTGTCCCCTTGAGCGCGGGCTCGCGATAACCCAGCACCAGATTCACACCGGTCCAAGCCCATCGTCGACTCCACGAGCTCATCTACAGCCTAGCTCTCTCTGTCGACCTTGAACGCATGGACCATGTTATCCCCAGATATGCATCGAGGCCAGGGGTACAACCTCTCGAGCCACATCCTTTCTCGCTCGCGGGGCAGGGGCATCAACGAGAGCGGCTCTGCGAGTCTGCTCTCGGGCTCCAGAAGCCGAGCGGGGCTTGATCACCCGATTGATGTCAGCGATCTGGAAAACACTCGAAGCCTCAACAACAGCCGGTCGGCAGTCGGCCGCGAGTCCAAGAGCGATCTATCGCGAGCCCGCATGAACGAAACGGTCATGAGTCACCTCCAGGGCCTAAAACGCAACCTCGAAGAGTCCAAGAAGGATATACAGGAGATTCGAAAAAACATCGATCTCATGTCGACGCAGGATATGAGATCCACCATGTCCTTCCCCGCCGCCGATGACGACTCCCGTCGGAGCAGCTGGAGCGAAGCCTCCCAGTCCCGCCGACGCAGCAGGCGCGAGAGTATTAGCGACGTCTTCCAGAAACCCGTTGAATGGTCCTACAAGGAAACACTGCAGAATGTCCAGGTCGAGAAGAAGGCCATTCGGGTCATTCATCCGTTCTCAGAGTTCCGCGCCTTCTGGGATCTGCTGATGGGAGGTGTGTCTACGGCTGCTGGCCATCAGCGAACGAACGGATTGCTTGATCCCCGGGGCAGTCGTGTCGTGGATCGTGAGAATGAGCTAACAATTGCAACTGCATGGTCTTCTGGGCTCTCTCTCGGGAGCCAGTCTTTTACTTTCTCCTGCTCTGGCTGTTTCCGGTGATCGTGGCATACGACAGTGTCCGAGCCATGGTGCTCCCCGTCGGACTGGTCACAACAGCCATCTTCATCGCCGACACCATCATCGTCCAGCTCACCCAGCGAGTGCTGGAGGACCAGCTCCCGAGCCAAGAAAAGACCATAGCCACGACCATCATCCTCGACCGCCTTGGGATTCTCGCCGACGCGATATCTCTGTTCCCGTTCGAATTGCTTCCGATCCCAGGTTATAGATTCCTGGTCCTGATCCACCTGCTCCGAACCCGGCACTTTCCCAAGCTGATCTCCAAGTCCCAGATCTTCCGCCAATTTCGCTATATGCTGGAGGAGTTCTTCAACATTGGTGAACTGCTGTGGGCGTTGATTTCCACGACAGTGCTGCTCGTCATTCTGATGCACTGGGAGGCGTGCATGGTATGGGTGATGATGGAGAACAGGGGCCAGACCCCAGAGCTGCTGATCTACGTCCAAATCGCAGCCGAATATGCCTACGGGTTCTTTATTGCAGTCTCAAACACATTCCCGCTCAACGTCAGACGACTACAGTAAGCTATCAGTGCAAAGTCGTCCTGTGTAGCAAGCCAGCGAAACAGGATGGTGTCATTGGAACATCAGGGAGGCTGGGTTGAGAATGCCACTTGGAAACGCAAGATGTGGCGAGCGGATGGTGGCTCCGCTGGAGTGATATGACGAGTGGACAGCGCACGGCAGATCGGCTCCCCGCTGACCCGAGTTTCCTGCGCCTAGCATCAGCATGATCAACGAACAGACAATGTTTATGGTGTTTACGATCGTATCGGCCATTCTGGTGAGTAGAGCTACCTCGTTCGCAAACAGATGCCTCTTCCCTACCAATGGCGGCCTTGGCAGGTGCACATCGCCATAGCCGTGCATCCCACTCGCGCTCATCGATTTGACCGCAACCACATCAGTACTGGTTGATCATCGGGACATTCTCGTCACTCGTCATGGGCATCGATCCCTCCGGACGAATCTATCGACAAAAGCTCGACATGGTCAACGAGTATCTGAGATTCAACAGGTTCCCCGAAGCCATTCGCGTCAAGGTCCGACGGTACTTTCGGGTCAAGTACCAGGGCAAGATCTTTCAGGAGGTACGAGGTCGTTTTGACCGCCATGGCGCCATGCATTTGACAACTATGCCATGAGCGCTGAGCTCGAGACACTGGGGCGGCTTCCGTATTCGAGTTTGATGGTGCACGGGCGCAGGGCCTTCGAAAACATCGTCGCTCAGCGAATGCTCGGTCGGGCTGTTGCCAACGAGCGCTTGCGTGTACTCCCAACAGGATCTGTTGAATGACCTCAATCGATCAATGCTGCAAGAGATTGCTCTGTTCAACTGCCGTGGACTGATCGAGAAGGTCGACTTTCTGCGGCGTAACAAGTGCGACGGCCGGGACGAGCTCTTTCTCACGGAGCTGTGCATGGCGCTGATATCGGGCTACTACATCGAAGACGAGATTGTCTTCAGCGCAGGCGAGGTAAGCCAGCTTTCGAGAAGCGGTTCCGGTGCGTTCGCTTGCTGAGCCGGAACTGAATCTTACATCGCCCACAGGACGGATCCGACATGTACTTTATTCAAACGGGGAAGGCGTCAGTTATTGTGAAGGGCAGCGTGGTGGCCGAAATGGAAGACGGGTCATTTTTCGGAGGTCTGTGGAGCCTGACCTGCAGAAGAGCGTATATGCCGACTGCTTATGATGGGATGACATGCCACTCGTTACAGCAACTGTGCCCTAAAGTTTTGATGGACTGCTGGCCAGAGGTATCGCTCATTACAGGAGCCCCGCGCACGGCCACGGTCAAGGCCAAGACGAGGCTGCTGGTCTACAAGCTGATGCAGGATGACTTCAACCGAATCCTGCTCCAGTTCCCGGATGTTGGCTTGCATATCCGAGAGACCTTCAAGGCCCGGATGGCTCGGCTTCAGAAGCAAAGCGGAGCGCCGCCAGAGGCGCCGCCTACCAAAGCGGAGCCGCCGCGAGTCTCCATAATTGAAACCAGGCACCGGTCGAGTGTGGCAACGTGAGACATATGGCATGTTGAAGAAACGATGGGATCCATCATCTCCTTCGGACAAACACGGCGTAGTCGGTCATTTCACGCACCCGGCCAACAACGACCAAGTGGGCCAAATCGCTTCACTGTGTGAGAGAGGACAGAGGGCAAAGAACAAAATCGCTGGAAGACCTTGGCGAGTGGATCAAAGTCGCCCGATTCACACAAGCCACAGAAGTCATCCGTGTGTGGTGCGAAATACTTGGCGAACCTGAGTCTCCGTGGACTGGAAGCATATCCCTTCCCTGGTTTCCAGGAGGCATTCTCAAAGACAATCGCAATGTTGGTCTCCTTTGGTGCCTAGTCAATGGCTCGCTTGCACATCTCGTGGACAGTGCGCTGTCGCTTGCTGTGGGGATCGAGTCGCTTGAATCGCTGTCGCCGGGTCCCGGTGTGACACTCATCCATTCCTGCAGACCAAGGACCTTGTGGATGCTCTGGATCCACTTGGTCGCCTGGGTGATGCCCTTCGCTTGCGGGGAGCCATCTGAGCGAGAAAGCGTCCTTGATTCAGATCCAGAAACACATCACTGGATGGTCATGGCCAGCGCGCGATGTTTTGAGTGAGAACAGTCACCAATGCTCAAACCGGGGTGCCCCGTTATATCCGAGGCTCGATACCCGAGCCGTCGTCTTGCCCCCCCCCCTCTCGTTTCGAAACCTCGCTTTCATAACACTGCAAGAGCAAAGCCAACGCCAAGTGTCCCGAGGTGCATCCTTTCGAACTGTACACTTCGAATGGGCTGTATTTCAGCGCATGCGCAACAGCACACGAATGTGCGATTATAAAAAGGACGTTGTGAAATGATGCAACCGACGGTCAGGGGGGGGGGAGAGATGTACAGATTAAAATGAGACTGCTTGTCTCAGACGCAAGGCTGGCCTGAAGCTGCATCGCTTCGGCACGGACCGGCCGAGAGAAGCACGGGAGGGCGGGCAAAATAAGCCAGGACAGCAGGCCAAGTCGAGGGAAAGTCCGGGACAGTTGGGCGGCAAACAGGCATTGCAAGAGCAGAGCCGGGACAGAGGCGAGTAGTAAGAAGACAGGCTCACACGCGCAATCTAGTGCTTGCCGGTGGAATACACATCCGTGTAGATGGGGTCACTCTTGATGGGAAGAGCCTCGACCTCAACCTGGGTGAGAGCAGGCGGGGGAGGAATCTGCTCCTTGGTTGGAATAACCCGGGCACCTCGCTTACGGTAGAGATCGCGAATGGCCACGCCGATGAAGCCAAGGAAGCCGACAATAACGACGCCACCAATGACGGAAGCAGCGATGGTGACCCGTGGGTCACCCATGTTCATGTAAGAGCCGCTATCGGACGAAGTGCTGGCAGCGACGGTTCCATTGCTGGAAGGGTCAGGGCCATAGCCATCGTTGGCAGCCAGGACCTTGCCAAGGCCGTTCGAAGTGACAAAGGAGCTGTGGTCGAGGGGCTTGATCGGGGCATCGTCGTCCTCATCGATTTGGAAGTTGCTGGGCTGCTGGCTCGGCGAAGCGAACAAAAAGTCGGCGGCCTTGGAGCTGCCCTGCTGGCTGTTGCTATTGCTGGGAGGAGCAGGGCTGTCGTTGGGATCCAGGACAAAGTTGGCCACGGGCGAGCTGTTGCCGTTGTTGCCGTTGTTGCCGTCGTTGGCGCTAAAGTTGTCGGGCAGGTTGACATTTCCGGGTTCGCCCAGCTGGCCGTTGTTCAGGTCAGTGATGATGGAGTTGTCGTTGCCATCGCTACCGTTGTTGTTGTTGTTGTTGTTGTTACCATTGTTGGTATCGTCTCCAAAGTTGCTGTAGCTGTCGCCAAAGTTGTTGCCAAACGACTGGGGTGCATAGTCGTCGTTATCGATCACATAGTTTGGTGCACCGACCGAGTTGTCGCGGGGAACGAGAGGGGTGGCGATAGCGTTGGCGACCAGGGCCGCGACGAGCAGCAGCGAAGTAGGCTTTCCCACAAACATGGCGGCTGGACAGAGGTGCTGGGTGCAGATGGATCTCGAGACGGGGTTGCTTCTGGGCAGGCAGAGATGCTGGAGCAGGACGGACGCTGAGCCCGTGGGAGGTGGGACGGGACATGGCTTTAAAGCCGCGGCGCACATGGCCACACACGGCCACACAGTGGCTGGGCGGGCGTTGGCTGAGCGGGCGACGCTGCCAAGGCGCTGGCGCCCAAGAGCGGCCGCCGGCGCTGGGAGCGGCACCGCCCGGCGCGTCGCATGTCGCATTGCTCGACCTGTCGCTTGGTGGGCATCGCATTGGGCCGACACAGCCGGCGGGGTGTTGGGCACCGTGCAGACGAAATGGTCGGCGTGGGCAAGACGGGGTGGCCAGGATGGTCCAAGTCAGGATGGTCCAAGCCAGCACAGGCCACATCGCAGGCCACCCGGATGCGTCCAGCATCAGCATGCAATGGGATGTATTCCCGGGACCCATCTCCTGCACTCAGGGCTGTCGGTGCCCTCTTGGCTTTGGCGGCTCGCCGTTGCCTTGGTGACAAGCCTCTTGTTGCGCCGAGTTGGCTGCTGGCGTCTGGCGTTACAGCTCGTCGGCGTCGTCCTGGCCATACTCGCCTCCCTCTTCATCCGAGCTGCGGCCAAGATCGGCGCCAAGCGGGTTTCGGAGCGGTTAGATGTAAGGTAAAGCAACTCGATGCCCGACCAGATGCAGTGCCAAGCAACTTAATGTCCGGCCAGATGGACCACCAGCACGTCAAAGTGCATCACTCGTTCATGGTCGGCGCATGCGGGGCCGTCTCAGGCTTACCTCTCGTTGCCTCGTAAGCCGCCGCCCGACGACGATTGTCTTGGTCCGTCCTGCCCCGCGACGGCATTGCATGGCACATTGGGTCCAAAGATCTCGACCATCACCATGACGGCCTTTGCGAAGCTCTGGCCGACCTGGAAGAGGTCGTTCGGCTTGATTTGCAGTCCCTGCCGCGTGTGCATCCACCAAGCTGTTAGAGCGATCGCCGGCAGTGTCACCGGATGTGGCTGCAACAGCGTACTCCAGCACAAGCACCATGATTGCTCTGATACCCCGGATCAGTGGCCACTGGCACCCGTGCATCTCTCGCTTCCGAGCTGAATGCATGTCCGGCATACCTTGAGCGGCCCAATGTCGATGCCGCAGTATGTGCTCTCAAGCGTATACGAGGCAACAACGCCAAGCTCTCTCCAGATGACCACCCGGGCCGTCGCCTCCTTGGACTTTTCAATGGCGTACTTGCACTGGCTCAGATCGAAGAGCGAGGAGCGATCTGACATCAGTTGAGGGAAAATCTACAGATATAATCAGTACCATGCCAGTGATCAGTACCATGTCAGTGATCAGTAGACGGCAATACCAAAGCGTTCGCGAACAGATGCGCTGGTTCAAGGTGAGCTGCCACACTGCCGATGGACAAATGCAGGCCGCCCGAGTGCAGCTGATTCGGCTCTGCTTCCTCGTTCATCTGCACACCATCAGCAGCATGGATGCCGACCTTCTCAAGCCCATCGTTTGGAGCCAGGGTTTCGCACCCAAACAGAAACATGTTCTTTCGCTTCGAGTGTCCGTGAAAGTCACACGATAGTAACGGCCGCTTGCCCTTGGCCACAAGATGGCTCAGGACCTTCTTGGCCCAGTAGATGGTCGGGTGGTGTTTGAGCATGGGCGCCTGCCACTGGCGGTTGAGATCCACACCTGCGAGCGAGCATCGGTGACTGGGAGACAAACCAGCAGAGCCAGTACCATTGTCAGAGCATGCCAAGCCAAGCCCTGGCCTTGTGACAGTATCGGGTGTTTTTACTTTGCCGGAAACAGTCCTTTCGCATCATCGCAGATAGCCGTCGTTGGGACTGTGTCGCCTGCTCGTTGCCGCGAGTCCACAGCTCCCGTATCATACCTGCCGTTGATGACACCATCCGGATTCAGCATCGGGATGATCTTAAAGATACATGTGGATCGCAGCTTGATGGCTGTCGCTTCGTCGCTCAGCAGAAAGGCAATCACTCCTAGGGGTTCATTGGTTCAGCAAGATCCACGATAAAGTCCGAAGGGCCTGATTCAGCTTCAAATATCCAAGCAGGGCAAAGCATGGCATTCTCGGCGGCGGTTGAACAGTCTTGCCGCCTGGCAGGAAACGAGCGTTCTCTCGAGCGCTCACCTTCGATGATGAAGCTAGAGTTTGTTTCTCCAGGATGTACCTTGAGCCAGAATGGAGGTCAGCCCAGAAATGGCCAAGGACAGCCGGCCGATGCGAGACCATCGATCGGCGGCTTACCCGAGAGCTGAGGAAGATATACTTGCGCTCATCCAGCGGAGAGGCACCCAAGGATTCTGCTCAGTACAAGCAGCGGTATAAGCAGGAATGAGCCAGCCACGAATGGGGAGCATCAAACTCGACAAAACCGGAGCGCATCCTGCTCCACAGAGCATCCAGGCTTACCCGGGTCGAAAGCCGTGATCGTGAGCAAATCACAGTTATTGTGCGAGAGCGTCTTACACAGCAGCTGCCGCCGACACTTGAGGTCAAAATTCGGCAGCAGGCTGACTCTCGACATGAATTTCTGGTCGATCGATGTTTAGTGGCATGCTTAGTACTGTCAGTAGGGCACTCGTTTGGGCTGCCAGCCCCGTGAAGCGTAACCGAGCCCCTCTACTTTTGGCATCTGAGTCGACAAGCAGTGTTTCGTGGTTACTCCAGCCGCAGGAATCCCCACCTGATAATCAGTGTATGTGTATGGATAGTGATACGCCAGAGAGTACACATCGTTGTCGTTTTTGACTTGGATGACAAAAATGGCGCTGGAATATGAGATCCAAGCGTTTGGGTTCTTCTCGCCAGGGCACTTGCGGTAATGATTTCTGTGTACGTATCACCCGTGTGAATCGTTGTTGGACTCGGTGGACGATGGTGACATGAACAGTCCCTTGGCCAACATGCTCTTTCTCATCACCGCTGGGACGAATGCAAATGCTCATCAACAAACAGAAACTTCCGCTCAGCAGCAGCGCCAACCTCAAATAGAGCACATTGTCACCGATGCGCCTCCAACAGTCGTCAATCTTTGAATAGATCACTGGCTGCATTCCTGGAACAGAAGGTGCCCATCAGGTCAGCGAGCCACAGGCGTGAGCGAGTAACGATCACGACTCATGCCACGATCTGCTCTTTGAAATCTCACGGCCCACCTGAGTTGAACTGGCTGTTGGCCTTGCTCATGTTGATGATGTTGAATTTGTACGAAACATTTGACATCATACCTTCGATTGAAAAGTAGAACCACTTGCCAAAGAGACGGCCACCCATTGTGTTGGTCTTGCTGAAGGCGTTCGTTGCACGGCTGAAGAACAGGCCCCAACCTTGGCCAACCTCGCAAACAGCGCGCATGCGCCCATTGGCTTGGGATGATAAAGCGCTTACCTGATTGTGTTTTCCAAAGCCGGCATTGATATCGCTCTGCAGCATCAGATCATATTCTGTTTCCGAGACCTGCATGCATTGGCCCTGTCAGTGCTACATCCCCCCAATGTTATCTGCTTAACTTGTCAAGAATTATCGCGCCGCTCTATCACTCGACCACATTTCGGCATCCGACTACCTCATTCCAATACAACTACAGCAGCTTGCTTGCTGCAAATAGGATTGTGGGCTGTGAATATGGCTACAAGTCTTATCGTCTGTGGCTTACCTTGATGGCCATCTGGAGATTGCCGCTCTCGAACCGGGATTCGAAAATGAGTGTCCTAGGCCATGCGATCGACCGCCCAGTGAGTAGATACAATAAAGGTCCTTCGCACTCACCAGCGCTGCGCTAATAATGACATCGGACTCTCGTTGAACGGCCTCCACAATCCACCGCACCGCTGTCTGCCATCGCCGGCGCATCTTTGCCCCGTATACGTTTTGGCTGCACTTACCCTTCCATGGCACGAGCCGCTTTACCGACGCTATCGTTCATAACATCGTAAACAAGGATGTTCTGAGACAAGCCCGGTTGAAGGAGACGACTCGTTTGCTCCCAGATCAGTCGCCTAGCAAGCGACACGAGGATGGAGGCGATATCAGCAGGACCACTTGCTGTTGTCATGCAGCCAGCTTCACTCTGCGGCAGGTTCTTACCGTGATGTGTTGTTGCTCTTCCGAAAGAACGGCTCTGCCTCCTCAGTCGAGTTATGCCCGCACGACTGATCCGATGTGGCGTGCGGCTGAGCGAAATGCACGGCTGGGGAGCAGGAATCGTCGCTGACGACCTCGGGCGCTTGTCCTCCCGTCATCTCAAACTCGGGCGAGAGGTACATCAGCACTCTCTCTTCCTCCTCTTGAAGCTCAAACGGTTCCAATTTTGCTTCTGCCTCTACCTCTGCGTCAGACGATAGCGGCAGGGGAAACTCGTAGCGAACATGCTCGCTGAGAAACGGAAGCTCGCATGTGGGCACGGCGGCGCGAATGACCGTGACGATTAGTTGCGGAATGATGTTGGAGTATGCTGATCCAGCCGACTGTTCTGACTCTGATGGATGAGTAGATAAACATCAGGAGCCGAGAGGGAACGCCCAAGTTAGTTGCTGATCATCTTGTTCGTATGCGCTCACGAGAACTAGCGAGTTACAGTTGCATATGGAGTAGCTGTTGGATTCGATACCCTTAATGATAGACTCGAGATAAGACATGAGCACTCCGAAGCCGTCGGCATTCACAAACATCCTGCGTCCTTCGTCTATATGGAGCAAATGCCATAATGGGCTGGTAAGCATATAGAAACCGTCTGTGGCTTCGTGGGATGCACGTTAATTGGAGTGTACAGCTGAGCCAGCAAGTGTACCATTGTCAACCACAATCTTGAGGAACCGCAGGAGGGATTTGTGCATGCTCTCGGATCCAGAGAGCGCAAACAGGCCAATAAAGTATCGCACGCTCAGAGACTTGAGAATTTCACTCAGCACACCCTCTGCAGCAGGTTTCCGACAAACCATCATCGCCGTCGGTTGTTATGGGAAAGAGACGAATCAATAAGCATAACCACCGCAGTTGTGGATTGACTGAGCTGCAAATGCCCCGTGATATACGAATGGCGCTTTCTGAGCACGGGGCAACGGCGCAACCGAGGTGGTTGTGATATGCCGATATCAGCCGCCATATGACCTGATAGAGCGCCTCCTCCCTTCTTCTCCAGTGAAATCGAAAAGCAACCGATCGACGCAGTCTGGTCACAAGCTAGCAGCTGCACGTACTAATCTTGGCAAAGATGGTCAGGAGATCGATCAGACAGTCGAGCTTGTATGTATCCTTATTCTGGGTGGTCAGGGTCTTGAGCATCGATGAAGTCATTTCGACGAGGCCACGCTTGTGCATGGACAGCGCATTGTTCTCTGCTCGGTTGAGCAGTGCGATAGGATGCAAGGATGAAAGAATCAGTCGCACATCAAGCTGCATCCTGATGAGAGGAGAGTCAGACCGCGGATAGGCTATGCTGAGCAGATCATGCCACCAGTGCCTGACACACACCGTTCTTTGCTGAGAGTAACTTCAAAATGTGAAAGGACATCAAGCTTGCCGATATGTCCTTTTTCTCCTGAAACCGCTGGACAAACTCGATAATGATCTCGACGGAACAGTGCACCCTATGAGAAAACAAAGTCAGCCAGATACACCGCAGACCAGTCTCACGACCACACCACGGGGGTAGCAAGAGCATGAGCGCTATCTTCAACATCCAGAGCATGACATCGGAAGCAGCGGCGCTTCATCCGCAGGATGGTAATCCACATGGCACATACCGTGCCAGCAGAGGAAACTTTGTATCTGTTGATAAACATGCCCAGGACGGTGTGGGACATGGTTGGGTACCAGAAATATATGCTCATCAGCCTGTCGGAAAGACCCACGGCCCAAGACTTCCTCAGGAGCAATTTCCGCTGTGTGCTCTGCAAGCTCACTATACCGTATCGAGAGAGCTTGATCAGGAGGGTAAATATGTTTGTGGCAAGCTCGTCGGCACGAGAGCCCGAGTTCGAAGGAAGTGCACTGCCTCCAGATGTGGACGAGCTGTTGATCTGGTGCTGCATCTGTTGCAGCTTGACAATCTCGGCCTGAGCGACTCGCAAGGTCTGTAGCAGTGCTATGCACAGCCCGCGCTTGGCCATGAACGACATATTCGAGGAGCTAGACTCGGTGTGTTGCGTGAGCCGAACGAGGATGTTTGTTATGATGATGGCGACATCGATGTCAACCAGAACCTGCATGGGGAAGAGAAGCGCAGTCAAGGGAACCACATTTGAGGAATAGTACAGGGGCAAATGATGCAGCCGTCTCATCGCCTTCACTATCAGCAACCGTGCAACAAATCTCGGCAAAACCTGCCTTGAGACACTTGAACAGGATCGAGACATTCACGCTGGACTTTGTCGAGAACAGCGAGCGCTGCAATGTGGAGTCTGGCGCAGCCCATTGTTAGAAAGTGTCCCTCTGGCCCTCGGTATCAGACAAGGCAGCGCTCTGCAGCAGAGCCAGTTGCGGTGATAGCCTGAACCAGCCGCATGAACGACACACTGGGGAAGAACAGCAAGCGCAGCCAACCTGAAAATACATATCCGCCCTCTTTGTCAAGCAGTCGCTTCAGATCAAGGCAGTACTTGACGATCCGCCGCCGGTTCTCGGACGAGATCTGGGGGCTCTTGCTTCCGAAGGGGGTAATGTCCAAGTCTGAGGCCGAGCTGGGTAGCGAGAACTTGGTGACGCTGGACCGGGCGCTGCTTTCGGAGACCGAGATGCTGGTCTCGCTGCTCTTGCGACTGAAGGGGGCATTTGCAACCAGACCGCCGACGGGGCTGAAGGGAGGCGGAATGACGCTGGGCGGCGTGCGCTTGCGGAGCGAGGGTGTATCGACAGCTCCCGAGACCGGCTGACCACCAGAGCCAGCTCCGTTGCTTTCGGGAGTGGTTGGGCTCACGTCTTGGAGCAGCTGGAACAGCGACTCGAGGATGCGGGTTCCAGGCGAGGCAGATCCCAAGCCGGTATTAGATGAGCCTTCCCGAACGGGCTTGCTGGTGAGGCAAGATCAAGGACAAAAGAGCACGAATAAGCAGATATTTTTGAGAATGCTGTCTCGGCGTGGCGGGCTCTGGTGCAGCGCAGTATCGATGCGCCGGCATGTCGGTGCAAGCCAGTCCAAGTGCATGGGCCCGGCCAAATCTTTCGGCTTTGGGGCTGGTTGTTGTGCGAACCCACGCGTCGATGCCGTCGATTCAGGGAGATATCGCTCGGCCTTGCGAGACAATGACGACGGCCGAGCTCGGAGGCGAGGGAGCTCAGGTTCAAGTGCGGCTGGGAGCAAGAGAGGACGAGAAGCAGGAGGCCGCAACCCGAGGGAGCGTGGGAACGGCGGTTTCGGAGGCAAGCATACATTTTCGGGAGATTCAGGCTGCTGGAGCTTCGTGCCCGGAGCGACGACTGCTTCAGGCTGTCGACGGCCTGCGACAGCGGCGACTCTTTGGTGGTTCTCTGGAGCTCGGGCATCGAGGCGGCTTTCCTCGAGCCGCCCTTGGTGCTGGATTTCTTGACCATATCTGCTCAGACCGCGACGGGGCTGGAATATCGTGGGGATGTGATGCCGAGGACGAAACTGACCGGGCCACGGCCGGCTCAAACCTGAGACGATTTCGTGCCGAGGCCCGATTGGCACCGGCTTTGCTCCTCTCTCGGCCATCAAAGCCATCCCAAACCCGCGGCCCTGTCGATACCAACTGCCAGCATGCTTTGGCCAAGGACAGCAGGCAGCATCTCGCTGCGGACCATCGCTGCCATGCAGCAGCACCCCAGCTGCATCCCCCGTATCCTGCACGGGCGCTCAGCATCATCATCAGCATCATCATCGTCTTCCTCGAGCGAGTTCGCTGTTGATCATTTGGTGAGAGCCCTGCAGCTATTTGGTGGTGGTGCTGGAAGATGCTGCTGGATCGACATTGGCTGCAGTGGACTCGCCGCCGATGGCTCTGGTTCCATCGTTCCTGCAATCTGACTTCACAACACCCTCCGGAACGGCCCTGCAACAACTCGGCTCATCGGCGCTACCTATGGCCGGGTATCGCTATCGGCCGCCGGGTGTCGCTACCACTGCAATCGATATCGCTCCTGGCCGCCTGCCCAGGTCATCGGTGGTGGCGTTGTCGGGCTTGCTGTTGCTGCCCGGCTCGCCGAATCGCATCCGAATGCCTCCACGCTGTTGCTCGAGCGGCATCCTCAGTTTGGCATGGAGACATCGTCCCGTAATTCCGAGGTGATCCATGCAGGCATATACTATCCCAATGACTCGCTCAAGACCAAACTGTGTGTGCAGGGCAACCACTTGCTCTACCGGTATTGCAAAAGCAAGAATGTGCCCTTTTCGCGGATCGGCAAATGGATCGTTGCTGTCAGTGCCGATGAGGCAGATTACCTGTCGACTCTGCAGCAAAAGTTTGATAAGATCAAGCATCCGGAGCAAGAGCAGCTGCGGTTCTTGTCCGCCAGCGAGCGGGAGCTCGAGCCCAACGTCAAGTCGACCGAGGTTCTATTGAGTTCCTCGACGGGCATCATCGACTCGCATGCGCTGATGGGCGCTTTGGAGGTCGGTAGGCTTCGCTTCACGGAATGACGGCAGAATGGCTGCAGATTGCCGGCAGCTGCGGCCACCCGGATCCTGTTTCTGCTGTCGATGCTGACGTCCATGGACTCCCTCGTGCAGTCGGATTTTCTGTCAACCGGAGGCATGGTCGCATATCGCTCCAACGTCGTCGGAATCGAGTATTCCCGCAGCTCGGCCTCATACAGAATCCAGCTCGAGGGCTCTGACGAAGCCATCGAGGCCCGATGCGTGGTGAATGCAGCGGGCCTGTCGAGCGACCGAATTGCAGGGCTGCTGCTGGACCCACTGCCACCCGACTATACCCTGCACTACTGCAAGGGACGATACTTTTGTCTGCGAGGGAACCAACCACTTGTCTCTCGGTTGATCTATCCCGTGCCCGAGAAGAACTTGGTTGGGCTTGGTGTCCACTGCACTCTCGACCTGGCTGGTAAACTCAAGTTCGGGCCCGACACCAAGTATGTGACGGATGCGGCCAACCTGAGTGTCGATGATATCACCGAAGACGAGCTGGACCAGGCCTGCAGAGCCATCCAGCGCTATCTGCGTGGGATCCGGCGAGAGGACCTCTGCATGGACTACGCTGGCATGAGGTGGGTGCGCCCTGACGGCACTGTGTTTCTCTGGCAGTATCGGCCGCGACCGATAGTCGCATCTGCTGCTTGTAACTACGCTGATCTGCCATGGTATTTACCTGCGGCTTTGGCTCTGGCTTTGGCTTTGGCTCTGGCTTTGGCTTTGGCTGCGGCTTTGGCTTTGCCCTCTCTGGCCTTCTCATGCATCCCGCTGGATTCAGACCCAAGCTCTCTGGACCCTCCGGCTCCTTTCGCGACTTTGTCGTCGCAGAAGAGTCTGGTCGAGGATTCCCTGGATTTGTCAACCTCATTGGCATCGAGTCACCGGGGCTGACGAGCTCGCTGGCCATCGCGGATAGAGTCGAGGCGCTGCTCCATCATCCAGCGACACTCTAGGCGCTGCCAATGCAATAGACCATTCAACATGGTCGGTCGACATCGATGCCCACAATAGCACGATCAAATCGGCCGGTCCAAGGATATACGGCATGCCCGTCCGCAACGAGGTGTCGATCTGTAACAGTGCCGACCTGTTTGCCATCACCGCCCGTCATCCATTCGGTCGTCTGGGTGCGTGTGCCAGATCGATTGGCTCAGCGCAGCCAAAGAGTATATTCCGTCAATCTCATGGACTCAAGGGCGGAAATGGTATCACAGCGGCAGGGACAGGTGTCGGTAGACATCGGCGACAAGGTACAACGATCCGCACAGAACCACCAGTCCTTGCGATGCGGGCGTGCCCGCTGTTTGGAAGGCACTGTCCAGATCTGCCGCCGCCTCGCACTCGACCGAAGCAAATCGCTCCTCAACCAGGGCAACGATATCCGCAGGCAGTGTCGGGTGGATCCAGGGCATGTCTTCGGGCTGGCTGAAGGGCACGGCGACGAGCCGATCGTTTGCTCGCAGCAGATGCGACAACACGCTGGCCATGTCTTTGCCGCGGGTCATGGCAAAGATGAATGTGGTTGCAGCGGGAGCGAGTGGGTGTCTGCGGTGGTAGTTGTCGATGAAGCGTCGAAGCTCGATCGCAGCGGGGGCGTTGTGTGCTCCATCGATGACCATTCTTCCAACGGCCGGCGCCGTGATCCACTCGAGGCGACCTGGCCAGCGAACGGTTGACATGCCTTGGATGACTGCCTCGGGCGACAGGGCAAAGCCAGCGCGAGGGTGCTGCAGGAACTCGAGGGCCTTGAGGGCAATGGCCGAGTTTTCGAGTTGGAAATCGCCCACAAGAGGCAGTTGGAACTCGATATTGGCGCCGGCAAACCGGGCAGAGACAAGCTGAGTGTCGTCCGAGTCCTGGATCTTGATTAGCGGCTGCGCGAGTTCGAGAGGACAGCCGAGGGCCGTAGCCTGCTCGACCAAGACCAACTTGGCATCCGAGTTGGCCTGGTGGCCGACGACGACAGGAACGCCGCTCCGCATGATCCCAGCCTTTTCACGAGCGATCTTTGCATGGGTGTCGCCAAGCAGATCGACATGATCGAGGCCAATGGAGGTGAAGACACAGACGAGGGGACTTGAGCACACATTTGTAGCATCGAGACGGCCGCCCAGCCCAACTTCAATGACGGCGACTTGGACAGCTTCTTGGGCAAACAGGCAGAATGCCGTGGCGGTCAAGATTTCGAAAAGCGACGCCTGGACGCCCTCCTTGGCATTGATCTGCGTGACAGCGGCTCGGGCTTGGACGTAGACTTCCTGCGATATGGCCTGTTCGTTGATGCGGATCGAGTCGTTGGGAGCGACGAGATGCGGCGAATTGAAGCGGCCGGTCTTGTAGCCGGCACAGGTGAGGGTATTGGAGATGTAGGCGCACACGGAGCCTTTGCCGTTGGTGCCGCCCACATGCACAATCTTGAGTTTCTCGTGGGGGTTGCCGAGGGCAGCGAGCAGCGTGGTGATCTTTGCGAGACCGAGCTCGATCGACATGGCGAGCAGAGGGATGTGACCGGGGCTGGCTGGACTGGCCGGAACGGGAGGATAAAGACAGATATAACTCGACGATGCAAACCGAGATGATGCAAACCGGGATGATGCAAACCGGGATGATGCAAACCGAGATGATGCACAGGCACGCTCAGCCGGGATGGATCCGGGGCGTGTCTTTGCCTGACTCAGACGCTGGCGGCGCTCTAACTTGCATCTGCCTCGGCACCCGCATCTGTATCGCCTCCTGCACCGCATCTGCAGCTCCATCCGCATCCGATCCACGTCTGCAGCCGCATCGGCATCTGCTCCGTCGAAAGCACACCGTCCCGCATCTGCAAGCACATCCACGACCCACGCCTCGGTCCTGGTATGTCCCGCGCTTGATCCTCGCTTGGCTGCCAGCGGCCAGACACGGGCTTCCTGATCACACTGGCCTCTGCGACCATCGGCAGCGCCCAGTGGATGGATGGACGGCCCAAGTACCGGGTTGAGAGAGGAGCAATATGGATTATCTCGGATATGTCCGGTGGACCCGACAGCCTGGCCATCGCCCTGTGTGCAAGCCAACCTGGCGCTCGATTGCGCTGGCGGGCGCTCGGAATCTCGTTTCCTTTGCTCCGAGATCTCGAAAGTCTTTGGCCCTGCTCACGCTCTTTGACTCTGGCTCACCCGCCCTGCCTGTGCTTCGTCCAGCGCCACTGCAGGTCCCTCCCGTCTTCAACTCCATGACCACCGACTGGCAACCGCTCTCGACTCCAGGTGCCTCCCTGGCGGCCATCTTGCCTGGCAGCCTCGAGCTCGAACACGCCGGTGATGCTGCTCTGCACCCCGATGGCTCGCTCGCGCATGCAAGCATTGCCCTTCTGGATCATAGCGACTCGTCGTTGGGTCGCTCCGACTTTGCCGTGGCCTCTGGCCTGTCAGCCACGCCCATGGATGCTCCGGCGGCCGGCCTCAGCGCTGGCAAGGATATGGACTATGCTGGCAACGAGCCTCGTGCCGAGGATACGCATCGCCGTGGTCAGGACAATCGCGACGGCTGTTCAAGCGTCGAGACGACGCCTAGCCTAATAAACCATGCCTTGCGCTATAATGTAAATTCGGATAGTGCCAGCGCCTCGACAGCGATAGCGACCGCAACAGCAGTAACCACAGCAACAACGACAAAGACCGACGCCGTCGGCACTCAGCAGAATGGCCCCCGTGCGGCTTCTGATCTGGCCGCCAACGAGCCCCCAAACTCGGATGAACCCACACGAACTTGCGATGGCAGCAATACCGCCGATACCCCCAACGAAATCCCCGCCGACAACGACAACGACAACAACAACAACAATGACAACGACAACGACAACGACAACGACAACGGACTCGCTCTCCAGCCTGCGAACCCAACCGTCGCGGCGATCAGCGACGACCAGCACGACGACCAGCACGACGACCAGCACGACCCCGGCAGCTCTGCAGCCAACGCAGTCGATCCTGGCCCCCACACCCGATCGCCATCTCCTCCCGTCTCGCTGCTGCCCGAACCATCTGCCCTCGCCCCGGCCACCATTTCCGATCCTGCTGCTTCTCCAACCTCGCCCGCTCGCCCACGAAGAAACACCCGACACAGCAACCAGCCGCCAGTCTCCTACAAGGCCATCCTCAATGGACCCGTCGTGAGTGCTCGCATCGTGCGTCCACGCAAGATCGCCCGAAACGAGAACGGCGAGCCGCTCTACTGCATCTGCCGCCAGAAGGACGACGGCAGGCTGATGATCCAGTGCGACGAGTGCAAGGAATGGTGAGTGGCCGCGATGACGCTGATCTGCTGCCTCCTGGATCCGCCGATGTCGCCTGCTCAGATACGATGGGCATCTCTCTTTCGACGAGGATGCAAACGGCATCGGCGATTTGTTCGACTGTGGTCCGGAATGGCTCATCCCAAACACCTGCGCGACTGCCGCCTCCCTCCCTGTCCCCTTCAACGGACGCTAACACCGCCGAATTGGGCCCGATGCATCGCCAGGTACCACATCGACTGCGTCGGCATCTCCGAGAAGCAGTCCAAGGCCATGAAGGACTTTATCTGCCAGCCATGTATCGACCACCAGCACGGCGCAACTGACCAGCCTAGTAAGTCCCTTGTGCCCATAGCCCCCCCCCTCAACGACCTTCTGGATCTATGTCTCGACCTCCGCTATGCATCGCCGCCACCGTTTTGAACCTTTATTTCTGTCCACGCCAATCCAGAAAAGTCGCGCAAGTCGCTTTCTTCAGGCGCTGATGGCTCCGGCTCAAGCAAGGGTGCCTCCAAAGCCATCAAGCACGAGGATCTGCCGGACAGAGACTCGCCTGTGACCGAGCAACCGCTATTTAGGCCACCCGATGTGATGGTCGGCCATCCGGTCGACACACAATCACCCCACTCTCCCTCAGCCGTCGAAGGAGCCGAGCCAGTACCGGTAAGCTTGGTGCAGATCGCCCGACCAACGACCATTTGCGCCGCGCAAACGCTGACTCCGCCATGTTCTGTGGTATAGGATGCGCAGGACCCAACGCCTGCCTCAGAGGCACAAGTGAATACTGCAGTGATTGCTCCCGCCAAGGTATGTACAACTCAGTCATGGGCCAGACATTTCTGTGCACACCAATCTATGCCGTTGCTGGTTGATTTGTGCGTCGCTCATCAATCTGCCCCTTGCGGCTCGGATCGTGTCTGCCCCCCTGAACTTGATAAATCGCCAGACCATGGGCCCAGCACCGGAGCCTGGTGTTGCCGAGCTCGGCTCTCGGCCTGCCCGAACTGTCGGCAGTCTCCTGGCGGAAAATGTCTGGATGAAAGACAAGACTCGCAAGATGGCACGCATGTATCTGGAAGAAACCGTCTGCAAGATCTTTGAAATGGCCAAGGACGAGACGGGTCTGCGGTGGACCATCAGCCCCGATATTGACCTGAGCAATCCCAAGATGTTTGCGTTTCGGATAGAGCAAGAGCTCTTTGATTGCTATGCGCTTCCGAACAAGGAGGGCAAGCTCGAATGCACGGATAAGGTAGGCTGGACTCTGATGTACCAGTCGCGGAGCCCGGCCAGCAGCTCCGTGCGAATGCATTGCTGTGCTGGCCCGATTGCTACGACAGTCGGCCATGGTGGTTGTGGATGGGGTGTTTTGTGCTGACCCGTGCGTCCCCTGTTCTCTTCCCGCTCAACGCCGCTCAGTACAAGAACAAGTACCGGAGCATCCAGTTCAATCTCAAAGCCAAGAATAACAACTACCTTAGACGCAGAGTTGTTTCAGGCGAGATCTCCCCGCATGCCCTCGTCCGGCTCAGTGCCGAAGAAATGGGCAGCGAGGAGCACCAGCAGATCGTGGCCCAGGTCCGGTTGGAAAGTACCCTGAGCTCCATCAAGCCCCCGTCCGACACATCCTTTATCCGCAAAACCCACAAGGGCGAGGTTGAAGTCAGTACCACGAAGAACGAACTTACCTACAACGAGCGCACTTCCCGTCCAGGCCTGATGATACGACCGCCGATCCAACCGCTGGCCCAGCGATTGCTCGAGACGACTCAGGCCCGCGGTGACAGCCCTGGTTCGTCTGGAGACAGCGACAGAGGTCTGGGCTCGGCCAACTCGACTACCTCGACCAAGCGACTCGGCAGTCCAAGCGAAACCCTCGGCAGCCCAGACTCGATAAAGCGTGCAAGACGAACGGGCTCCGACGGCTCTGGAGACGACTCCGAGCCCCAGCGACATCACCCGGTAGCGGCAGCCGGCGGTGGTATGTTGGCCGAGGTTGAGCGCGCCTTCGATGCCCTTGATTCGATCGTGACCGACGAGGAGTTTGAGAAGACCCTGAGCCATGTCGACCGGTATGCTCAGCTCCACCCGGACAGCGCCAACGAGCTCGCTCTGGAAGCCAAAGCAAACAAGGTCTCGTCACTGCAGCTCCCACCTGCCTCACTATCTCCTTCGGGAGGCCCACCGACGCCGACCGAAGAGCGTGCGCCAGAGTGCTGGCAGGGGCGGTTGCATATGCCCTCGGTCGGCAAGTTTGAGGGGCTGTGTCGACAGGTGTGTGGGCGGCCCATCGGCGACCTGAAGGGCTGGGAGGATGTGCTTGCGCCCATCCTCACCGTGCAGGGCCGCATCCCCCGGGAGCGGGTGGTGGAGTACCTGAAGCAACAGCGCCATTCGACCAGCAAGGAGATTGTAGTAGTGGAGTTTGACTGCAACCCCGAGGACGCCGACCGGGAGGGCTACCGCAGCCTGTTTGAGTACTTCCACAGCCGCAGCCGATACGCCGTCATGAGCCAAACCTACCAAGCTGTCAAGGACATGTACCTGATCCCGCTCAAGGCCGACGACCCAGTGCCGACGTTCCTGTCGGAATTGCCGAGGAACCGCATCCCGCATCTGCGCCAGCGCGACCTGATCTTTGGCATCGTTGTCCTGGTCCGGAGCTTGATCCGGGCTGGCGGCATCGGCCACACCCTTCCCAGCACCAAGGCAGCGTCGCCCGCATCGTCTACCCCCCGGTCGGAAACCCCACAGGACCCAGCGCCTCTGGAGACGACAAGCTCCGCGAAACTACCTCGGTCGGCTGCGATCGCAGCACCGGTCTATCGACCAGACTTTGCCCCGGATGCAAGCAACTCGCGCGCCCAAGAGCCTCAGCCAGCGCCCCTTCCGTTTGTTGCCCGTCCGCCGGTGCCATTCCAGGCATTCGGCTCGCTCGCCTCGGTTCTGGTCCCGCCCGCCTCGGCAGTACCTCTCCACGCCATCCCGAGCCACCGTGCGGATCCGATTCGATATCCATCCAGCTCCGAGGATCCTGCTGGCTCGGCTGCAGCAGACCGGCTCTCTCGACTGGAGCAGGCGCACCAGCAACGTCTGAGACAACTTGAACGAACCGGCGGCCGGCGCAGAGGATCGGCTTCGTCCCGCTCCGAGCCCAAGGCGCCGGCAGACCGGCTGCCAATTGACCCTCCTCCCACCGCCAAACTCGGCGCTCCCCCTTCGCTGCCGGTGCCTGTCCCAAATCCCGCTCCTCTTACGGGCGCTGTGCCTGGCTCGATCGGCGCTGTGCCTGGCTCGATCGATGCTGCCGCACTCCAGCTCTTGCAGAATCCAGCCATGATTCCTCTGGTCGCGGCTCTCCAACAGCAACAGCAACAGCAACAGCAGCAGCAGCAACAGCAACCCATTCCAGGACGACCCGCAGAAGCGACCCCGGCACCGCTGCTCACCACCACACTCGCAGCGCTGCTTCTAGCCCAACAGCAGCAGCCCCCAAAAGAGTTCACCAAGCCCCAGTAGCAGTAGAATGTGTGTGTGGATGGGGGTGCAAGTGCAGCGAGTGTGACGGGTGCGATGAATAGTAGCGACCTCAGCATTATCAATATAGCCTTCTGAATATCGAGACTGGCTTGGGATCAGAGAGGCAGAGGTATCTGTCCAGAAGCGGATTATCCCCCAGGATCGAGTCAGAGGGGCATAGAGCTGTGTGCCATGACAGGAGGACATGCAGGAGCCATGTCGCTATCGAGATCCCTCGTTTTGGCAGGCACTCGGCTTCAGAGTCCCCAGACCGCTCTTGCGCTCGATCTGCTCCTCCGTCATCGGTCGCTGACCAACATACTATCCGCACAGCATGAGCACCCCCCGCCCCGAGCATTCGAGCAGCAGCAGCAGCAGCAGCAGCAGCGACTCGCCCGCATCGAGCCACACAGCCGATCCAGCCGCCAACGAGATGCAGGACTGCCTTGGGTGCAAGATCACCGGGACCCTGACCGGGCTTGGTCTGGGCAGCTACTGTCTATACGAACGCAGCCGAGTCCGCATCCCCGATCGCCTCGCTCACGTCCCTCCTGACACGGACTATGGGCTGCTTCTGAAGAAGGCCGTGCGCGAGGCCAGGATGCATCGGAATCTCTTGGCTGTGATGTCCACGGGTGAGTCGAGTGTTGCAAATCAAGGACTCTGATCATCCTGGCTGCAGAACGCCCCACAATGGAGGCGACAACGATGCCTGCGGTGATGACGGGTCAATGTGGCTATTGTTTCGCTGTCACTGCTGAACTTGACGCAGGCAGACGCACATTGTTGCAGGCATCGTTGTCGGCAAGTGCACATAGATCCTGGAGCAAAGTGCTGAGCCTTTTCACGACTCTCTATAGGATTTTTCGCAGTCGGAATCTATCGAGCATTCATGTGAACAGGGCTCCTCGTGCGGCCTGGACGTTGGGGTCAAGTTGAGACAGCAGCCAAGCCTCGAGATTGAGCCTCAGAAGCATCCCAACCACAGCCTCGCCGACAGCTACGCTGGCACTCACTCACCCGCACTCACGAAACGCTTCGAGCACAGGGGTTGTTGAAGACGGCAAAAGTACATATTTACTCCTGATCAACTACTAGCGGACGCGCTGCAACAAATGAGAACGATGGATGGCTGAGGAAGGTTGGGGAGAAGGGGAGAAGGAACAGCGCCGAGCCTGGACAGGGGTGGGCGAGGGCATGGAGCGATGCAGCGCACTCCTTGGCGACCGATCGCACGGCTGTCCCGAGTCCCCATTCCGTCTTCCAGATCATCCGAGAGCCCAGGGTTTAGTTCATGTACTGAGACAGCCAGCGGATACCTACACAAGAATTACGATCGGTTAGTCGGCGCAAGGGGGTGTCGACTCTCGATAGCGGGACCGCAGCCACAGGAAGCAGCCCGTGAGACGAAGAGCAACAAGTCGCATGCGACTGGCGGGTGTGGGCCGGAGCGACATGCGCGGCGTCATCACTTACCCTCGCCGTAGCCCTGCTTGAGCTTGACGGAGCACATGAAAACTTCAATGGGACGGATATCCTTCAGAGGGACCTTGCCCTTTCCGGTGGTCTGGAAGAGGCCAAGCGACATGCGGAGCTGGTCCTCCGAGATGGCGCCAGGAGCATCGATCTTGTTTCCGAGAACCAAGAAAGGGGTCTTCTGCAGCTCCTCGATAGCCAGAAGGGACTGGAAGGTTGAGGGGGACGGGACGCAAATCTCGGTCAACGCTGGCGTGATCGACAACGCTGCCTGCCTCCCAGACATCCCCAACTTCTTGTATACAGCAATAGCACCCAGCGGGATAGAAATGGGCGAGGAGCCGGTGCGGGTGCGAGTGCGGGTGCTGCTTACATCCAGCTCGGCCTTGGACTCAGAAAGACGTTCATGATCAGCAACATCGACCAAGTAGACGATGCCGTCGACCTCAGGGAAGTAGTCTTTCCAGAGACGACGAGCTGTCGACCGGCCGTCAGTTGCACGAGGGTGACAGCGTTCATAGGTATGGTTGTGGAGCGTTGTTGTTTGACAAGAGAGAGAGTTGCCGTGAGGTGATTTGAATTATGTTGCCGATGCAGGCCGTTCCGATGAGGATTGATCACAGAGTAGCAGGAGTAGATTGAGATCAGATCACACAACGTGAGTGAGTGGTGACGTCTCGGCAACGAGGGGAAGAATGGCAGTGCAAGCCGGACCGCCGCCAGGGCAGGAATCCACACTTGAAAGGAGAGCAACTACCACCCAGAGAGCGGGTTGCTCGTCTTCTCTCGGGGGAATCTCTCGATCCATTGCCGCAATGCAACACCGTTGCCGACTGATAGACGGGATGTGAGCACGGTACCCTGCTTGTGACCACCGAGATCGTAGGTGGTGAATTTAATGTTTCCAATGGCAAGGTCCTCAGAGGCTGCAAATGCGGTGAATCGCAGAACAAGGGGAGATGAAAAGGGTGAGGCACCGAACGGACGACCATAGCTGCGATCGACGACAACTCGTCGCCCGATGGACAACGGCACGATCAAACAAGATCGAGAGCATCCTTGAATCAACGATGCAGGGAGGGAGGATGGAGCAGCAACGAGGCCAGGGATGTGGTGCTGCAACGAGAGGACGAAGGATATGCAAACATACTGGGGTGGAGGGTGGGGTTCAGTTGGGCGAGACGGCCGCTCTTGAGCATGTGCAGCAGTGTCGTCTTGCCGGCATTGTCCAAGCCCAAGAAGAGGATCTTTGCGTTCTTGTTTGCCAGTCCGAGACTGCTAAGGAGATCGAAGAACCAGTTGACCAGGAACATGGCGGACGCAGCGAGGGGGGGGGAGCAGGGATGGGGAAGGGCAGCAGACGGGCTGGCTGGCCGGCAGATGGAGGTGGACAAAATCGGGCAGCGAAGGAGCCAGCCGCCAAATAAAGCGTGCGAGAGGCACGCCGGGGAGCGAGAGCGCAGCGAGGGGCGCCGAGACGCGGCGAGCGACGGACAGCGAGACTGACGTGGCCAGCCAAGTGTCAAGCGGCCCTTGGCCTCAGTGCCAGAAAAGGCAGGTGCGTCGCGCGGGCCAAGGAAGGGGTGATGCTGCATGTGTCGTTGGCGATGGACGGGGTGGGCGGATATGTTCGGGCCGGTGCCGGTGCCGGTAGTCGATAGGCGAAGGCGAAGGCGATAGTCGATGGTCTATGCGAGTGGTCGATGTGATGCGATGCGATGCGATGCCGGTGCGATGCGATGCGATGCAAACGACTGCAGCATCTGTCCGCTTGTCCACACTGTCTCAATGCATGTGGCCAGCTGCTGCGCTTTCTGTCTGGTTCGTTTTTTTCTTTTTGGTTTGGTGGGTTGGGCGGGTGTCTGCTCGTGGTCCAACCAGCTCATCCAACCAGCTCGCCCAACGCACCCGTTCAGCCGACTCATCCAGCACACCATCCCATCGACATACTCTGGTATCTGCACCACTTCCCTCCCCAGACAGCACACCCATCATGCCGCGGCTCACGCTCAACACCCTCGACATCAAAAACAAACAGGCAAGCATCCGGCTCGTCGACAGCATTCGCAGACTCACCGATCACCGCCACGGACGGCGGGCTGCTCTCCATCGCCGCAACGGCGCTCATCTTCTGCATCGCTGGGTATCTAGAAACGTGAGGAGGTTTATCACAAGCTCAAGGCCGAGAAGGCCCGGGCCAAGCTCAAGCGCCGCCAGCAGCTGAAGAAGGAGGAATCCAAAGCTCCCGAGCTCAAGGACGAGCGCCTGAAAGCCAATGTGCCCAAGACCCTCGAAAGCACCCGGGAAGAGGACGAGACCCTTGTCCAAGACGACGAGGAGGTGTTCCAGGATGAGGACACGGACGAGTTTGCCGAGTATTTCAACAACGGAAGGCAGCCCAAGATCCTCATCACCACCAGCAAGGGACCGTGCTCTGTACGTCTGGGCTGATTTCGAGTTTGTCGCAAACCGATCTGGTGCACTCGGATTGGAGGGTTGCCTGCAACTCTGCCGACCGCAAAGCATCGAGCTTGTATGTTGCTTCTGCATTCGCGGATCAAGTTCACTCACCAAGGCCCTGCCTCTGCATCTGCTTCTGCTTCTGCATCTGCATCTGCTCTGCCTCGGGCCTGGCGCGCAGACAACATACGAGTTTGCCGAGGAACTTGTCACCGTCTTCCCTGGAGCCGAGTTTATCAAGCGGGGCAATCAGTTTGACCTGAAGCGCATCATTGAGCTATGCCAGAAGCGAGACTACACCGACGTCATTGTCATCAACGAGGATCACAAGAAACCCAGTAAGTAGCTGCTCTGTATGCTGTCGGGTCAGTCTCCTCATGCACGAGCTTGCGATTGTGATTCGCCCTCACCAAACCCGCCCGTGCCGACGAGCACTCTGCGGCTCCGCTAACATCCGCTCCGCTAACATCCGCTCGCGTCCAGCGAGCATGACCTTTGTCCATTTGCCATATGGACCCACGGCCCAGTTCCGTCTCTCCTCGATCAAGCTCAACAAGGAGATTTCCGGCCATGGCCGTGTTGGCCACGAAAAGCCAGAGCTCATCCTCAACAACTTCAATACCCGTCTGGGCCACACCATCGGTCGAATGTTTGCTGCTCTCTTCCCACACGTCCCAGAGTTCAAGGGGCGGCAGGTTGCAACCTTCCACAATCAGCGAGACTTTATCTTCTTCCGGCGGCACCGCTATATCTTCAGAGACGGCAAGCGCTGTGACTTGCAAGAGATTGGCCCGCGGTTTACCCTGAAGCTCAAGAGCCTGCAGAAGGGCACCTTTGACACCAAGGGGGGCGAGTACGAGTGGATCTTCAAGGTATGTCTTGCATGCTGTGTTTGCCGTTCATGAACCGCCGCTCCGTGGGCAGCGCGGGTGGTTCGTTGTCGTCTTTGAGTGTTTTTACACCATGCGGCTCTCCCACACGGGGCGATTCAACCGAGTCTACGCTGTCGATTGCATACTCATTCCATCGGCCTCTGTGCCCTGCCCAATCTACCAGCCCGAGATGGAGACAAGCCGAAGACGGTTCTTCCTGTAGCAACTATGCGTTTGACTTGGACGGGCTTGAGAGGCGGCGCTCGCAGGGCACATGGCACTCTGTTCCGAGGACGCCGATCGCCTTTGTTCTGTATCTCGAATACACTCATGTCTTTGGATCCCAGCGGCCGCCGATCTTTGCGACAGCGGATATGGGCACTATGGAATATGGCTGCGATGGTTTGGCCCTCGACGACCAATGCGGATCACTGCCAGCGGACATGCGGTGCATCCCTCGAGCAGATTCACATCGCCCTCCCCCCCCCTCTCCTCCATGCGGCCCATGCGGCGATGCAGGCTGGTGCGCATATGCGACCTGACACAGACTCACCCTCCAACCCAATCCAACCCAACCCGACACAACCCATGCCCGCAGGCCCCTGGCTGCCCACCAATTTGGTCCCAAAACGGACGAAATGAACCGCCCGCCCAGGCCCGATCGCTCACGTGCCGCGGCCTCGCTTTTTTTCTCGCTCGCTCTCGCGGGGCTCTCGCGCGGCGTCCTCGCCCATCTGGCCGCCAACCCGTCGCTGCTCTCGCTCGCTCTCTTCTTCCTCCCGTCCTCCTCGATATCCTGCCCAGACCCGCTTGTCCTCCAGCAACCTCCCCCCCCCATCGTTTGCTTCCCGTTCCCGTATCGGCTTAATCGTGTGGCCTGTCTTGCTGTCGCCTTGCCTACCGCTCCCTCCCTCCCTTGCCTCTGGCTTTCTCTTTTCCAGCCCACCGGCTGACCTTTTGTCCGGGCGGTCTCCCCCCCCTTCCGTTCACTGGTTCCTCCATCCTTCTCTCACAGCCAGCACGCATCCCGCTTGCTCTCCTTTTGTGCATCTGCTTCCAAAACCAACGGATCATCCGCATCAGCGTCATAGCCACTCAGTGAGGTAAGCACGCACCGTAGATTCCCGGTAGGCGATCGCCTCGGTCTGCACAAAGAATTGCGTGTGTCTCTGCTTTGCTTGGGATGACGGCAGCTTGGTTTGCGTTGGTGTCGCATCGCTGTACTCTCCTGGGCTCCTCAGATGCAAAACGCATGCATCAAGGGCTGAGGGGGGGGGCCTTGCAACCAGCGTGTCCCAACGAGCGTCCGGCTCGCTGTCGGAATCCCGGAATCTCTGAGATTCTGGTGGTTCTCCCCACCCGTGTCATCCTTCTGCACGCGTTTTCTTTCGATGCCGACCCCATCTTTCCCGCCAACTCCCGCCCGCTCCCCCTACTCATGGCCATTGCCGTCTGCGCCATCCCACCGATGTGTTGATTCGTGATGCTTCAGGCCCGCATCTTTGCTGCGCTTTGTACCCTGCCGATCGGTCCCTCTTTCCCTCTCTCGATTGCTCCTGCGGCCTCTCCGCAAGACATTGGCCAGTGCTGCTGCTTTCCCACAGCCACTGAGACACACCGCGATTGCTGCCTCCGCACTCCTCTATTGGTTTTCAGTCTCTGTGTGGCTGCCGGTCCAAATGGCGACTCGACCTGGAGACGGCGTATTGACGGCTTCTTTTGGCACTGGCCTTTGTCGCTCTTTAGCATATAATATTCATAATTCACACAATGACAACTCAGGTACTCGTTGTCTCTGTTTTTGCATCGATACTCCCCATCGCTCGATGCCCTCGTGCTGCTCTGGCCTGTTCGCTAATCTCTCGACCGCGATGTCATCCAGATCCAGCCACGCACCCGGCGAACGCTAAGCTCGCTCCGCTCCGTCGTGAACGACGAAAACGTCGGCCTGAACCCGGCACTCAAAACAAAAGTCTCCGTCAAGGACTCCACCAATGCTATCCCCCACAAGCATCTTCCTGCCACCAAGATGGCCCTTAATGCCTTTGCCAACCTCAAGGGCGGCGAGGTTGCCTCGCGCACTCGCTCCCGGGCCGCCCTTTCGTCCGTCAGCAACAACATCAGCACACAGGCTCAGCGAGCACCGCTTGGCGAAAAGCCCCCCGTCAAGAGCTCGCTGAAACCCTCGCGCCCTCCCGCCGAGGAGAACGCTGACCCCAAGATGGATGAAGATACCCATGCTCCCGTCCACCGTGCTCCTTCTACCCGCACTGCAGCCGCCTCCGCCGAGGAAGTCAAGGCCGAGAGCGGCGCCCCCGAGCAGCCGCAGCGTCGCGCCCTCCGATCGAGAAACGAGAATGCCACCGAGGTGGCTCGCCCTCCTGTCAAGCGAACCCAGATCCCCGTGCCCAAAGCTGCCCACCATGCCGCCGAGACTGCTGCCCCCGCTCCGGTGCGCCATGAAAAGACTAACGTCCATCCCCTTGAGGACCCCATGGACACCGATCAGCCTGCCCAGAAGAGGGCCAAGATCCAACCCGCCGCCCCCGAGTGGGACGATCTCGACGCCCCCGAGGCCGATGACCCGATGATGGTCACGGAATACGTCGGCGAGATCTTTGAGTACATGAAGGAGCTTGAGGTGTGTCTCGCCACGCTTGTATGATGTCATACTGTCGAGCCGCCTTTGCTGTCGCGCTGTCATGCTGCTGTGCCGATTGTTTCCGTGTCGTTGTGCCGATTGCCCGTGGAACATCTTGGCCCCTCTGATGTCCATATATCCACTTCCGAGCGACTAACACCGTTCCCATCGATGCTGTCTGTTGCACCGCCACAGAAAAACACACTGCCGAACGCCAACTATATGGACGACCAGAAGGAGCTTGCGTGGAAGATGCGCGGCATCCTGATCGATTGGATGATCGATGTCCACAACAAGTTCCAGCTGCTGCCGGAAACCCTCTTCCTTGCCATCAACATTGTGGATCGCTTCCTGTCCCTCCGAATCGTCTCGCTCATCAAGCTGCAGCTTGTCGGCCTGACGGCGCTCTTCATTGCTGCAAAGTACGAGGAAGTCTGTGCTCCGTCCGTGAGCTATTTCATCCAGCTTGCTGGCGGAACGTACACCGACGACGAAGTCATCAAGGCCGAGCGCTATGTCCTGCAGGTCCTGGACTTCTCCCTCCAATACCCCTCGCCTCTCTCTTTCCTCCGCCGTGCCTCCAAGGCCGACGGATACGATATCCAGAGTCGCACTCTGGCAAAGTACCTGATGGAGGTCGCGCTGATTGAATACCGCTGCCTGGAGTTCCCTCCTTCGCAGGTCGCCGCCGGCTCCCTGTACCTTGCCCGCCGCATGCTCGGCCGCCACGACTGGGACGCCAATCTGGTACACTACTCTGGATACCGCGAAGCGGAGCTCCAGAACATCACTGCCCTAATGATTGCCTATCTGAGCCGCCCCACCAAGCACGAGGGGCTCTTCAAGAAGTATGCCGCCCGAAAGTACATGAAGGCCAGTATCTATGCTCGCGACTGGATCCACAAGCAAAACGAGCAGTCGGATGCCTCGGATGAGCTGTAAAGGAGCAATGCAGGCACACACCCCCCCCCAGCCTGCTGTGACTCCTGCCAGTGCGATGACTTTTGACAAGTCCACCAAGCCTGGTATTTGTGCCCTCACCCACCGCTTCCTATCACTTTGACACAGCTGCGCTGCGCATCGCTGTCGTCGTGCAGCTACTTTGGCCCGGAATTCATGTTAGATACTGCCCATCACCACCACCCCCGCTCTCTTTGGCTTCACTCACCTTTTTTTTTTGCTGCTCAACAAGCTCCTCCCCCCAAGGCGCTTTCATATACATAGTTCTCTTTGAGCTTCCCTCCCACTCCAATGCTGCCGCCCTTGCGTGTATCTCCCTCGTTCTATCGATTGCAATTTTCTCAGAAGCACACCGTTCCCCCCCCCCAAGCGGTCGCCCTTCTGATGGAGCTGTTCGTCTTCTCATTCGCGCATGGCTCCCAAGCTTCGCCTCTCTGGTCTCAGCATCCGCCCGCCCGTCCCCTCTACCTCTCTCAGCTCGTGCTCTCTCTCTCTCTCTCTTGCTCCCGTCCTTGCTATTTATTCCAGAGCCTCAGACAGAAATTCCCCCCGCTTCTGTCTTTGGAGTTCGCCCTCTATCCGATTGCCCACTTCCCATCGACAATGTATATTTCTATACGTTTATCGATTTCCTCGAGCCCATCCCCCTCCCCCTCCCCCTCCTCTGTTCTTTTGCACGGATTTGTCTTCAGTTACGGAATGATTCATATATTGCACGCTTCCTTCGTACACGCATAACGCTCCGTTGTTGGAGTGAGGCTGATCGCATTTGGGCATAGTCAGGACGGGCCAAGGACAGATGGCAACGCCCCTCTCTCCCAGCTTTGCATGGGGGTATTCAGCAGCGTCAGGCCGGCACAATGGCCGACGAGCCAAAATGGCGAGCATTTCGGGCCCTTGAAACGGACGGAATCTTCAAACAAGCTTCTTTGGTCGCTTCGCCTGGCTCTGCGCCGCTTCCTCGGCCCGTCGCTGCAGTGTCTCCAAGTCAACGACGGTGCGCTTCGGCTTGGTTGCTGCTGCCGGCTTTGGAGGCTCTGCTGGCGCCCCTGTGGTCGAGTTGGCCTGCTTCGAAAGGTCGATGGGAATCCCAAGGGGTCAGCAGCAAACCTTCCCGCCGTTGCTTTCCCCTATCCAGGCTTTCCAGTGCCAGGATCCGAACACCCTTGCCTGATGTCGTCGTGGACAGGCTCCGCCTGCAAACACTGTACCTGGCGGTCTTCGTTGACCAGCGCGCTCCGCTGCGACTGCAAACTCGCCGTCTCCATTGTCTGGAACATGCTCAAGGAGTCGAATGTCCAAGTCTCTTGCTGCGAACTAGGCCCGTTTCTGGGCCCACGGGACGGAGCCCCCAAATCGATATCTGCCACGACGCATGTGGTTTTAGAGCAGCACAACCTTCTGCTGGAGAAGAAAGGAGTGTGTGCGAAGCCGAACGGGTACCCGGAATCCTACCCACCTCGCTCGAGGCTGCGGAGACGGTCGATCTGTCCAGTGGCGGTGGTCGTCGAGCTGTCCTGGATCCTGGCCAAACAAGACTGGTAAAGGGACTCGTCGCCCCGGAAGAACTTCATGATGTTCTCGGGATGTGTCCGGGGATCTACTGGATCCTGGAAGGCGGCCACGATTCGAGGAAATCAGTATGCGCTTTGGTGGATCGCATCGTGCGGGGCATTGCCTACAGGCGCTATCGTATCTGTACCGTTTCAGATGGTGCTTCAGGGTCGTCGAGATCGCTTGCGTTGACATCGACTGAGATCGATCGTGCGGGCGGCGGCGATTGTCCAGGCACTGCGTCAGCACGATAGCATGGCACAGAATCATCCATGCAGGCAAAGACATCCGGCTGCACAACCAAGCATTTGACAACGGCGATAGAATCCAATACGATGCACTTACATGAGCCTGGTGCTCTGATGCCCTGGCGGGCCACGATATCTTGCAGGTCCCTCAGCTCACGGGCATACTCGCGAAGCATGCCCCTCAGGCGCTGGGACCGGAGGCGATACTCGTCTGCCATCAGCATCAGTGGCAGGGTGACATGCGTGGTGACCATGTCGCCCAGTCTCGGGTCGGTCGAGCTGTCCAAGCGATCGAGCCGGAACGTGAATTCGATCGGGAGGAGCCGCTCACGGTCCACATGGCCCTTGGCCTCGACCAGGAGCTGCTTCGTCGGGAAGGTGCATACCTGCTCCATTAATCATGGGACATGACAACGACTGGCCAGCTGAGGCGCTGCTCAATCAGATCGAGACTCACATGGCCATGATCGGCGATGGTGATGCTGTGCTGCGTGCCGTCTGGGTCCGCTGGCTGGAGAAGGTTCTTCAAGAGTAGAAAGAGATCCTTCATGTCCGTTGATGCGAGCTCTTTGGCATAGACCTGACAGCACACGGACCGACCGATGATGCCGACCGAGACGTTGTCGTTGGTGAGCAGCGAGCTGGGCACAAGCAGCACCCAGGCGGGGCGGACCAGCGATCGCTCTTACATCGACGTCTGTGGCGACCCTGTCGGCGTCGTAGCGGGTATGCCACCAGTCGCAGAGGTCGGTTGCCAGCAGAACGAACTCGTCCTGGGCAAAGTGGGCCTTGAGGTGGAGGCGGAGTCGTTCGCCCGAGTCTGTGCGGGTGCACGACCGGATGGTCTGCCACGGCAGCTTGGCGAGGCGGTCGTCCATGTGCGGTGGTTGATGGTTGATGATGTGGTGGATGATGTGATGGATGATGTTCGGTGGTTGATGTGATGGATGATGTTCGGTGGTTGATGTGATGGATGATGTTCGGTGGTTGATGTGATGGATGATGTTCGGTGGTTGATGTGATGGATGATGTTCGGTGGTTGATGTGATGGATGATGTTCGGTGGTTGATGTGATGGATGATGTTCGGTGGTTGATGTGATGGATGATGTTCGGTGGTTGATGTGATGGATGATGTTCGGTGGTTGATGTGATGGATGATGTTCGGTGGTTGATGTGATGGATGATGTTCGGTGGTTGATGTGATGGATGATGTTCGGTGGTTGATGTGATGGATGATGTTCGGTGGTTGATGTGATGGATGATGTTCGGTGGTTGATGTGATGGATGATGTTCGGTGGTTGATGTGATGGATGATGTTCGGTGGTTGATGTGATGGTTGATCGCTGCTTTGGAACCGCTCTCTGCAGCATGCCAGCCACAGCCAGGTGGCCAGCGACGCGTCTCCCGGCCGCGGCTGTCCCTCCCTTGCGCCGGGTCTGTCTCGCCAAACCTTCCTGTCCCTCGTCTCCTCTTCGCCCTCCTCATCTGCTGGACCATCTCTCGTCCTCTGAGGCTGGCTGCTCGACTTTCCATCTCCTCCAGACCCCGTCTTCACTGCCCCATCGTTTCCAACAGCCATGAGCGACACCAAGGGTCCCTGGGTGTGCACCAAGGGCGTCTCGGTTCATGACTTTTACATCAGGCAAGTCGCATCGCCAGCGATGGCCACTGGCGGGCTGCATCCCGGAGCTTCCCCGCTCGTCGTCCGTGCCCGAGTTCCCGTCCATGTCTCTGACAGCTGCTCCTTGCCTCCCGTAGCCAACGCCGAACAACCACAAACTTTGCCTTCCTGCTGCTAAACGAGCTCTCCGAGAGCTCATTCCAAGACCGGCCCGTCCACTCGTTCCTGCCCCACACTTGCATGAAGTGGAAGGGCGTCGATGTCAATCTGCAGTACGTCGAGGGCATCCGCCACTCGTCCGTTGTTGTGCTCCTCATTGCTGAAGCCGACATGAAACGCATTCAGATCATGACCGAAGAAGAAAAGCTGTTCCTCGATGTAATGTTGCCCGGGCTACACTGCATGTTCTGCTGCACCGCAAGCTAGAGCTCTCTCGCCAGGCGCACGCTCGCACAGCGGCCTGACCCACTGACTGACTCGTCATTTTCTCCGCCTCGGCTGTACCAGTGGGAGCACGCCGTCGACCTCATGGACCAGTTCCAGGCCGTTGTCCAACCCGTCTTCGTCGGCACCGTTGCAGAGCGCATGAGAAAAAAGAGCGACGTGCAGTCCTTCCCGAACACCCTCCACAACAGCGACCTGAGTCCGAGAAAATACACCATCCGCCAGATTGTCCAGCGTATTTTTTCACTGACACCCATTTTTGTTGCTTCACAAAAGCTGGAGATTGCTAAACGGTAAGTGTGCATCGTGCTCCGTTTTCGCAGCAGCATGTTGCGAGTTGACTCTACAGTGCAACGGCGAGACCGCTCGCTGAGAAGGCCAAGAGGGCGGGCGGTAGGTAGGGCAGCTCCGATACAGCAGCTGGGTCCCTGACACCACGATTCGCTGCATGGCCAGAATCGTCCCAGGCCTCATCGAGACCCTGGGAAGAGCCACACAGTCGAATCTCCCTCGAAACGGTGAGTGCCTTTTGCCGATACTTCTGCTGCCTGCTTTGTCGGTGTGGCTTGGTCATTGGATCTCCTTCGAGGGTTTGCCCAGATCGCCATCGCTGGACCGCTTGCTGCTACCGCGGAGCACTCACACTGGGGTCGTCCTCCTCCTGATACGGCCATGCCCTGCAGAGACCGCCAAGTCCATCCTGATCGTGCGGTCTGTTGTCGGCGAGGAGCGCGAGGAGTCTTCGGCCGTGGTTCGGTTCACCAACTCGACCGACGTGGCCAAGATCAGTGTCGACGACATGGATGTGGACCGCCGAGTCAACGACGCCGGGTGCCTTGTCTTTGTGTTTTCTCTTTCGGATTCCAAGTCGCTCTGGAAGCTCTTGAGTGTGGTGATGAAGTACCGCAACAAGATCGAGGCCGCAGAAAAAGCTGGTAGCAAGCCGGACATTGCTCCGTTCTTGGTCGTCGGCACCGATGCCACCGATTCCCGCCGCTTCATCTCGACCGAGCGTGCGCATCAGTTCCTCCAAGGATTGGGGCCTGAGATTGTCACCTTCATCGAAGTCGATCAGGCGACTGGCAAGGGCATGGACCTTGTAAGGCAGCTTTCGTGTCGCATCGCAGCGGGCGAGCTGGCCACGATCCGCAAGGAGATTGAGAGCGGCATCACTCTGCCTATCTACGCCATGAAGAACATGCTGGCAGGTAAGTGTCGCTGCAGGCCTCCGTTGCGTATACATCCGCGACGCTGACATGCGCACGCTCGTTTGTCTAGACACCACCGAGCGCCCAGCCCTCCCGATGCCCGCTCGCACAGGTCCGCCGCCTGTTCCTCCCAAGCCTGCTTCCATGTCGGGTCCGCGACCACCAGATCCGGTTGAGTCCGAGCCTGCGGCGGAGTCGCCTTCGATGGGTCGGTCAAGGTCACGCCCGGGCTCGGGTGCTCGCCCTCAGCTGGAGCCAGTCTCCATGTCCCGCACCAAGTCGAAGCCAGTCCCAATGTCGCGCACCAAGTCCCACAGCAAATCCCAGAGTCCGTCGCCTTACTCGGACTCGATCCCACCACCCGTCCCTCCCAAACCAACGACTTTCATCACACCCACTGACAACGAGGCTGAAGCGCCCCTCCCGCCCCCGCCTGCGACTCTGTCTGCAGAATCACGGACTTCCAACTTGAACAAGATCGTGGAGCTTGCCGACAACATTGAGGAGCCCACGATCGAGGAACAAAAGAACGCTCTAGAAAACGCAGACCAGGATATCGAGGATATGGAAAACTCAGCGTCGACAAACGACGAAGACCAGGACGAGGTACGAGTTTGTGACGGGCGGTGGAGTATGGTCTTGCGAAAGGCAGCAATCACGGAGAAAATCGATCCTCGCCCTCAACTCACTGCTCCACCACTGCGTTTCGCCTCGCCCGGTCCTCCAGGATCCCTTGGCTGCCAAGGACATCATCAGTGTTGCAGTTGTTGTGTCGCGCGACAACGTAGAGACCGCTCTTGGACTGACACAGCAGCTCCAGCAAGCCCAAGCGGCAGACCCATTCGCCGAGTATTCTTTCACCTTCCATCCCAGCTGGAGTCTCGGATCGAAGGAGCCGTCGTTCCTTGATGTCGAGGCCATCCACAAGGGAATCGAATTCGATGCCTCGCTAATCCGGGCAGCCGATGCGGTCATCCCTTTGGTTTCGGCTTCGTTCATGGCGGACAGCGTGTGCACCAAGTGTCTGGTCTATGCCAACCTTCATCGAAAGAAGATTGTTCCGTGTCTGCTGGAGTCAGACGACGGAAGCATCGACCAAATGAGCGGCGCCACGGACTTTATTCTCAGCGGATCGCTCTACTATCGCATCAAAAGCCCTGCCAGCCCCACTGTCATCAAGAGTATTCAAGATGCCATCGCCGTCAAGGAGAGCTGGAAAGCAGGCAAGTGACTTACCGGCTGAGCCGACAGCTGGATCGGTCCCTTGTTGCTGCTTGTGAATGCGACTGCATCCGATCGTGATAGCTGGGCGGCATCAGCGTCCCTGACTTGCGTCATCTCCCTTGGCTTTAGTGGATTATGTCTTTTTGAGCTACAGCTGGTCGACTCAGAGCTTTGTCATTCGCGTCAATGCCGAACTGCAGCTTCGCGGATTCCAGACGTAAGTGCTTCTGTGCTCCTGATGGTACCGCGGGCGCCCCTTCGTCTCTGCGCCTTTGATATCAACTTCATTATTGAGTCTGCACCCCCGCCACGGACGAGGTCGAGTTGATAGTCAACGGCTGCATCAGGTCTAACTCGTCCTTGTCGCCCCCCCCCTCGTTTTCTCGCATCGCCAGCTGGATGGATCTGGATCAGATGCGCGGACAGATCTACGATCAGATGGCAACGGGCATCGACGGATCCAAGGGAATCGTTTCCTTCATCAACAACAAGTATGTCGAATCCGACAACTGCCGCGGTGAGCTGACCTATGCTCGCATCAAGAGGAAGCCCATCATTGCCACATGGATCCAGACCGATCTTGCACTGCAGAAGAGCTGGATCGGCCCTGTGGTGGCCACCCGGGTTGGTGAAGTGCACGTGAACGACGCCGACAAGATTGCCAGCGCCGAGTTTGACCAGTTTATCAAGCGGCTCGTTGACTACATCCAAAACATTCTTGGCCTGCTTCCCAGTCAGCATGGCGATGTGTTGGATCTTGGAAACTGAATAGTCACTCTGGCCAGTCCCCCCCCCTCACCTGTCGAGGCGGAGCGCGAAGCCGCCACAATGGTCTAATAAACTGTGCGATTCCAAGAATATCGCCCCCTCACAAACGAGCACGGTTCACATTGGCGGAAAACGAGACACCGCAGTGATGCTTTGCACCTTGGAAGATTGTTCAGTTATATTGTCCGAGTGTCGTATAGTTCTCTAAACTCAAGAGGCATATTGATCATAGAGCAGACCCAGTTATCCTCGGGGAGGGGTTCATAGGGTGAGTCATGTTCATAGAGGCGATTCATATTCATAGAGATATTCAGCGCAGTGCAAAGTGCACACGACCTTGGCGACCAGCGGTGGTGGCGGGAGGGAGGGAAGGAAGGAAGGAAGGCAGATTAAGCAGTAGGAGGGTAGGGCTTGCCAATGTCTTGGATAAACTTGGGAGGAGCTCTGGCCTTGAGCTTTTGCTCCAGGGCATAGGCATACTACAATAGGAGCCGAGCGCGATGGGCACAGACGTGGGAAATCGTTAGCATCGCTGCACTCTGGATCGAGCTTCGAATAGAAAATCGAGCCAACCACAAAGCCACACTCTGTCCGGGCGAGCTGCCGGAGAAGCGGCTGAGCTTGATTGCCACGAACCTGGATCAGCTTATCTTCAGTATAGGGCAAGCCAACAAAGGCAAGGCCGACGGGGAACTCCTTGGTGGGCAGCTGCAGCGCGTTGAAGTAGGCGTCGAGGTAGATGTCCGATCGACCAACAGGGACGGTGATGACAGGGAATCTGTAGGGATGTGGTTTCAGTTAAGCACGCAGATGTCGAGGGGGTGGGAGCGGGAGTTCAAAACTTGGACAAATCAGAGTGTCCCATTTGTCGTGAGCCACATGAACAGCCAAACCTACCCGCAAACTGCAGCCAAGCTGACGACGTTGGAGAACCCAGGGGCGACGACCGCATCAAGTTGGCCGTCCTTGAAGATCTAGATGACGGAGGGACGGTGGTTAAGCAGAACCAAAGTCCGTTTACAGGGCTGTCTGCGCCTTTGTGCTTGGATTGTTTTCGCCAGGCTTCGCTGTGCCACAGACACTGCCGAGTCTCAAAGCGAACCATACCTTGGTGAACACGTTGATGGCGGTGGTGCGGTTCTGGTTGCCTTGAATGTAGGCTGGATCGGAGAATCCGTTGGTGGCCTCGGCTTGCAAGAAAAGTTCCTGTGACGAAGCATCGATGAGACGATGAGGGACAATAAAAGACAATGGGCGTGATGGAAGGAAGGCATGGCAGACGGACGCCGACCTCGGTAGGGCCAGTCATCTGTGCCCGACCCTCACCTGTCCCCAGATGTTGTTCTCCTCTCGTGGGTCGTTGATGTTGTATTGAATCAGATCTGTGATGAGCGGAAGTACGAATGTGAGACGTCGAGTCCTATGGCGGATGGGATGTCGACAACCGGCGTAGACGGGTGCGTTGAGGACCCACCAGCAAGACTCTTCATCGGAGAGTTGCCAATAGTTTGAAGGTACGCCTGGATGTCCTGCTTGAAGTCGGCAAGGAGAACGGGGAACTCGAACGAGATCTAGATCGTGGATCCGTGTGGTTGCATATTCAAGTTGTAGTTGCGCCAGGATCGAGATGCAAGCAAGTATCAAAGTGTGGCCGGAAAGGCACGTATATGCACGCATAAGTACATAGAATTATGTTGCTGGGTATCCAACGCTACCATGGTCGAGTGGCACCGGATCGTGTGCGCGGCGGCAAGATGCGACTGTATGCACAGGGAGAGATGCTGCATGTCCCGCTCGACTTACGTCCATCGCCGAGGGGTCCACGTTCTGCAACTGAGCTCCGAGGTCAGAGAGGGCGCTGAGACTCTGGTTGGCCGTGGCGTACTCGTATGCATCGCCGACGGGGTCAAAGTAGGCATTGACGACGCCGAGATTGGCGTTCTTGAGGCCGTCGGCCTTGAGGTAGTTGAGATAGCTCTTGGGCTTCTTGCCCTTGCCTGGAGCCGACGACGAGTCCTTGGGATCGACGCCAACGATCACATCAAGGACAGCAGCGACATCGGCAACGGTGCGTCCCATGGGCCCTGCAGATGACGATACGATGGTCATCCACAACAGTTATTCACATGCGCGTCCCAAGGCGAGGACCAATACAATATCGATGGCACCCCAAGTTGCCTGATCGCAAATGGTGACGATTGCCCTTTCCTGACCACAAGCGACAAAAAACCATCCGTGTGACCTTACCGACAGAGTCTTGGTGGTGCGAAATGGGGATAACACCGGTTCGGGATGTGAAGCCGACTGTGGGCTTCAGGCCGACAATGCCGTTCAGCGACGACGGGCAGATGATGGATCCATCGGTCTCCGTACCCAGGGCAACGGTGACCAGGTTGGCCGTGGCAGCAACGGCGGAACCAGAGCTGGAGCCGCACGGGGTGGCGTTGAGGACATAAGGGTTCTGGGAGCATCGGCAGGATTGGGATGTTCCGGGTTATGAGAGCGCTTGAGTACCCGATACGCCTCCTCTGGCGTATCCACAGCCGCCGTACATGTCACTCACCATCGTTTGGCCACCGCGCGATGTCCAGCCTGAAGTGTTGGTCAGGTTCGATCGGAAGTTGGCCCACTGGGAGAGGTTGGCCTGGTCGGCATTGCGGACGGGTTCGTTAGGCTCCATTGACGACGCAGGAACGAATAGCCGCCCGTACCAGACACCGAAGGTGTGTTGGACGAACCTTGCCAAAGATGATGGCACCTGCCCTTCGCAGCTGCTGGACGACAAAGGCATCGTCGGTCTTGGAGCCCAGAAGGGCGAACGAGCCAGCGGTGGTGTTGAGCTTGTCGTTGGTGGCAATGTTGTCCTGAATCGACATTCCGGTCAGTCAGTTCGATGACAGGAGTTGCAAGCCCATGCATCGGAACCAGGACCCTACCTTGAGGATGATGGGAATGCCGTGCAAGTGCGGGAGAGTGCAGCATTTCTGCTTGCAAGCAGCGCGCTGGAAGTAGACAAGAAGCCAGCAACGATGGATTGCATCCGACGACAAGTGACCGCGGGTCAGTAATCGGCACCAGGATCCCGTGCAGAGTGTCGGCGGCAGGCGGCTGGGAACATGGATCACCCACCTCATCGTCGGCCTGCTGCGCCAGAGCAGCGGCATCGGGGTTGATTTCGATGATGGAGTGGAGGGAGGCATAGGGCTGTTGGAGAATGGCAAGGCATGTAAGCGGCGGAGGTCGCGAAGATGCAATACAGCGGGTAGAGAAGGACACACTGCAGCCAGCTTACCTCCTGCGAGGCTCGGTCGATGTATGCCTGGATGAGCTGGACAGAGGTCAAGGTCTCGGCAGCAAAGGCATCCCGGATGTCGGCGATGGTGGCTTCCTGCGGAACGAAACTGACGCTGCATCAGTGTGTGCGATTTTCTCTGGTCATAGCAGGCCGGAATCAGCGGGCTGGGTTGGCATGCAGCCACGCACCTCCAGGACGAAGCCGGTGCTGGGCATGGCCTGAGCTTGGAGGGCGAGGCAGAGAGAGGAGAGGAACAGGGTTGCAGAGAGGAGCTTCATCTTGGCGAGGGCAGGCGGGACAGCGTACGGGACGGGCAGGACGAGCGGGACAGCACCGGCTTTTGAGGATCGCTTGGTTTGCCCCCAGCAAAAGCCCATCTGAGCACCAAAATCGCCGCGGGGGGGCATGACCAGCACCAACCCAAACACAAGAGCGTCGGCTGGAAGGAGGCTGGGAGGCGAGCGCCCCAACGCTTTGTTTGTGCTGCAGGGAAAGAGCATTTGTCCGCGATGCTGCCACGGGAAAGACGAGGGACAGCCGGCGAACCGGAAAGGCATTTCGTTGTACACTGTGGGGGGTCACACGGGCGCCGACCACCCCTGTGCAAAGGACGGCTCGGCGAGGTGTTCACCCGGCCTTCGACAGCAGCCGCGCCGTATCGTACAGGGGGTCGAAATAGCGAGTCGCTGCAGATGCAGCCACTGCAATTCAGCAAGAAGACAGATCTCAAATGGGGGAGGAAGACACAGAGCAAAGCACAATATCGCTGGTTTGGGTACAGATCAAAGCCGTTCAGCCGGATCGATCGGCATCAACCGATCCACAAGCCATCCGTGCGTAAATGTCCCGTTACAAAATTGATTCGCTGTAAACGCCCGCAATCCTCGCCACAGGACTTGCACGGCTTTCGTTGCGGTCTTGGCGGTTGACGCCGGCCGCAGCCCCAAACGAAGCGATGTTGGTGTATTGCAGCCCCAACTACGGATGCCCTGACCCACAGTGCAACAACTGTCAGCTTGCTGTTTCGGTAACCTTGAACTCAACCTGCAATATAGATGGAAGCGAATCGGGTACATTCTATATAGATTATCGACGAGGCCCTACTTTGCTCGACTCCGCTCCGCCACTCTCGTCGGTTTGATCACCGGCATCATCGGTGGTCTGGTCGGTAAGTTAGGTTGTTTTGCACTGTCGCGATATGGGCTGTTTTGCGCTGCCATGATATGGCTTCTCGCGGAGATGGGGGTTGTTTCGCCAACAATGCTCTCCGTCAGGCAGCCTTGCGCACCATCGGCATTGCTCTGGTCAGCAGCATCGTGTACTTGCTGTGTCTCGAGACCTTCACATCCATGCTCTGGATCATATCCATATCCCCTGCGCAATTCTATGAACCCGACCCTGCAACGATCTGCCGCAGCCCTCGCCCTGGCCGTAGGCGGGGTGGTGCTCCGGTACATATTCAAATCCCGAAACAAGAGACAGAACGAAGCCTATCCAATGGCAGCCATCGCCAGCCCCACCGAGCCTGATGCTTCTGCGACACTCCAAAACGACCAGAGCGCTTCCCTCGGAGCAACTCTATCCCCGCTGCAAGATATTCAAGCAAGTCCTCCTCCGTATCGTTTGCCCAGCCAGTTCCCGGTGCAGCAACCGCCCGAGTCGTCGAGGGCATATGGCACTTACATGCCCATCAACGTAAGCATCTGCTGGCTCTCAGGGGCAAATTGCGACTTTTGCTCTCGCCGCCGATGTATCGTGCTCATACCCTCGTATTCGCCTGTATTCACAGGCTACGGGACAATACAATATGCAAGCCGGCAATCCTTTCTCCAGCCAGCCAATTACTGTCCAGATGAGTCACCTCCCAGACAATCTCGGTTCTCTGCCAAGCTATCGAACGTCTAACCCAATTGACATATGCGTCGGCATCCCTGAGGCCTCGGAGGCTCCCAAGACTAAACAGTAGTCCGAGCCAGCAACCTGTGCCAGGGATGACTCTGTCGTTTCTCGCTTCTAGCAACTTGCTCCTATCTGCCCGACCAGCCTGTCGGGAATGTAACTGCAGCACCCTCGACTGTGAAGTCGTATATATGTATCTTGGTCTCGATCCACTCTTGATACAGCGTATCGAGACCAAACGAGAGACCTTCTCGTTGCGGCAAGATCCACACATCCGTGCTGCAGCCAGGCCCAAAGAGATGTGCACCATATCCAGGAGAAAGCGGGGCGCTTCCCGGACATATGATCTGTGATTCGCCAGGTTGCAGTGATCCGGCATTGTCGGCACTGGGATCGAATCGCGCATGTCAGTTGTGCGGGCGCGGCGCTCTTGCTGCAACCTGCTCTCTCCTCATCAACAATGTCCAGGCGGATCGGCATCAGCGGCCTCCAGCGGCAGACGCAGGAGCGGGTGAGGGTCGCCGTTCGCTCGACTCTGCTGCCGATGCCCATCGGGGCTCTGTGTGTCTAATGCGGTTGCTCTGATCGACTCTTCCTCCCTCCCACATCTTCAGGAGGCTTTCCGGGACGCCGGCAATGCGCTGGCTGTCCAGCAGCTCGAGCAGGTAGGCTCTGCGAGGCCGACACACCGGGCAATCTGAAGCATGACGCACTGGCTATCTGGAGCATCGCACTCTACGCTCACACGACGGTTCACCAGCTCCAGGCCCAACTTGCCTCGTTCAAGACCCACCTCGAAGCATTTGCAGTCAAACACCGATCCGACATCCAGAGAGACCCCATATTCCGCGCCCAGTTTCAACGAATGTGCAACAACATCGGTGTCGATCCGCTTGCATGTACGGTGTCTGCCTGGATGAATGGCTCGCCGTTGCCAGCGATAATCGCCGGCCGGTTGGTGGCGAGCGGGTTGAGCAGCCGGAATCATGCTGCTGCCCTTGGTGCCCCCGTGGGTTAACATGCCGCTTGCTGACTCTCCGACAGCAAAGAAGGGGTTCTGGACAGAAATGCTTGGGTTTGGCGACTTTTACTATGAGCTCGGCATCCAAATAGCCGAGTGCTGCCTGGCGACTCGCGAGAAGAATGGCGGTGTCATCGAATTGACCGAACTCAAACGGTTGGTGGAGAGGACTCGGGGCAAGTCCTCCCAGCCCATCTCGGAGTACGTTCACATCGCAGCCGCTGGATAGCATTGGATAGCATTGGATAGCATTGGATAGCATTGGATGGGATTGGATAGCATTGGATAGCATTGGATAGCATTGGATGGCATTGCTCTCCGTCGTTGACCATCTTCACCTCCTCGTCGTCGTCGCAACCTCATTTAGAGATGACATTCTCCAGAGCATCAAGAGCATGGCGGCTTTGGGCAGCGGGTTCGACATTGTGACTGTTGGCGGCAAGCGAGTTGTCATCAGTGTGCCCAAAGAGCTGAACTCGGACCTGGGCACGCTTCTCTTGGTGGTTTGTATGATGCACCCATCGGACCCATGCTTGCGCTTGGCTCGCATCTCCGGATCTACTGACACCGACCCGGCATTTGCAGATGGGGCAGTTCACAACCGCGGCCGAGGCAGCCAGCACACTGGGATGGGAAACGCAGCGAGTCCAGCAGGCTTTGGTGAGTTGCCTCAGCAGCCCTCATACATCCAGAAATCCGGCGTGAAGCCGCAGATCGTCCAATGCCCGTTCGAGCTTGCTGAGATGTCCGCCGGGCACTCTGTCGTGAGCAAGCACTCATCCCGAATCTCCTCTGCTCAAACAGGACGAGCTGCTGCGAGATGGGATCTGTTGGGTCGACGAGCAGGCCCAGCCCGCCCAGTATTGGGTGTCTGGGCTGTTTGGTGGGCTGTAGATTCGACTGCGGGGCACAAATACAGTCCGATGTGTATAGCGAAGCGCCGGGCTTGAGGGAGGGCGAGATGCGAGTGGGGTAGTCGAGCCCGCACATGCCATGCTCGAGCCTGGATGCGGCTGCCCCTATGCATCCCCGGTGCATCCCAGTGCATCCCCGGTGCATCTGGCTGCATGGGAATCGAGTCAGTCCAGCCTCGCCACGCTGGCCACGCTGGCCCGCCCGAGTCGTCGCCCTCCTCGCGCTTGCATGTCTGCAGGCTTTGATGCTCGTCAACTCGCCGCCAACAGCGCAATGCCTGACATGATTACCGATGATCCCAACGCCGCAGCTTCTTCGAGGTAAATCCGCTGCGACGCTTGTCTCTCGTCCGTCTGACCTGGCCCCGGTTCTGCCTCGAGCAAATCGGCCCGATTGTGCCCGCATGGTCTTGCCCCCTGCGATCCCTACCAGTCGTCCACCCAAGCAGCACCCAAGACGATAGCAGCAACTCTGGTCCAACAGCCACAATATGGCCAAGCCGTTGGTGGAGGCGGCTGGGGTGATTGGAGGACTTCACGGCCGAGACCCATTGTGTGCGCTGCAGCGAAGACTCTTGGTCGATGCTGGCTCAGACTTGCCCATTTGGAGAGTTGCGTCGACACATCGAGCAGCACGGCTCCTGCGAGGGGATACCATCCTTCGTCGTTCTCGTTCAGAAGCCCATCCCGACACCACATCCAAGTAACGCAAGACGGCACTTGCTGATTTCCATTGGGCATCATCGTTGCTCGCCGTCTGCCTTCAAGTTGGGCGTTGTTTCATGTATACCGCCAGCACATCGAGGGCTTCGTTGCATCGTCGCATCCGCCCGACATCCCACTCCCGATGACATCAGAACCTGTTCGCATGCTGGCAACGCACCTGCAGAGACTAGCAGGGTGACGATTACACCAGGTCGCTGGGATCGGCGCTAACAATCCTCGTCTCTCTTTGCTGCCTCGACCCTGCTGCCTCGGCTCTGCTGCCTCAACTCTGCTGTCTGATTCTGTGGCCCATACGTTCAGGAAGACAACCTGGTTCAAGAACAGTCTTCATCTCCCTGGAAAGTACGTACCCTGAGCGCAGACGCTGTGGGTCTCGCTGATGTGGATGCTGTCAAGCCCATCGGCCCTCGGCTGAAGAGGAGCATGAATCTGATCACCTCGTTGTCTGGGGCTTGCGCAGAATCACTTCCACGACTGCTCCTTCCAAGGGCACTAGCTCGCATTCTGGAATCGGCCTCGGCGCTGGAATCCTTGGAGCAAGGTGGGCTTCTGTCGCAGCGGCCATACTGCCCGGCTATGCTGTGCAGAATCGTTACTGTGTATGAGTGCTCCCGGCAGCGGCGGCGGCTCGGTCTCCCTGGCGGGATGCAGAGAAAGTGCCAGGAATGGAGGGAGGGATGGAGATGGTTGAAAGGCCCTGGTTGCTTTGGTCATTCCGCCTCCGCTGGGCCTCTCGGCTCCGGGGTCTGCAAGCTCCGGGTTAACAGGCTGTCATCTAAATTCTCTCTCGTCCTTCCTCGGATATCTGCCGCTGTGATCTGTTCGTCCCATTCGGTTGCCCGGGCACTGCCGGTTGTGATATTGATGCTCCGCACATTATTTGATCGCAGCAGGTACAGCGGCATATCGGTTGACCAGTTTCCGAGGACCAGTCCCTCCGATTGTGTGCAACTGGAGAAGAATGGCAGTACACAACCAGGGCTGGTCTGGTCCGAGGATGTCTGTGCTGATCAACCTGATCGTCATCGCCGATCCACATCCTTCGCTGATCTCCCTCTCTCGCTCTCTGTCCCGCTGGCTGCTCAGAGGCGCTCCGCATCTTGCCGAACCGGCCTATAGCAACAGCAAAGCCGACAAGAGCTCCAGAGAGTTTGCTGCATTTCTCTCTGCTACCGACGACGAGTGGGACTCAAAGATCGAAGTCCGCAAAACCGATCCAAAGATGGTTGGAGGTGGGCTGGCCGATATGAGCAAGAATCCCAGCCATGCTGGATCATCGAACGCTCTCAGGAGCAGCATAGACAACTCTCCAAAGAAGGGCAGTCCAATGACCGAAGGTGGGCATGCGGCATCTCCCCGATCCCCTGCGGTCCGCTACTCGATGTACAATGCCGGACACCCGGCAGCTGGCGATTTACGATGATATTAACTCGACAATCGGCATCATCATTCGCCATCGCAACGCGACACCCCTTATTCTCGCAATATCTCTGGTACCACCACAACTATCCTATCTCGGTTGCATGGATCGCTGCCTCGGCGTGACTTGACGAACGACCGCACCAATCGATCGATGTGCGCTGACGTCCGACCTGCTTCAATATCGGAATCTTGCGGTCAGAGGAGTCCAAGATGCTTGGCGAGATCGCAAAGCTAAACAGCATGCAGATACGCTATGCCAAGTTCCGGACCCTTCTCGAGCAGCCAAATATTGATCTTGGTGCGTTGAAGCACGATTTGCTGCTGCTCTGATCGGACGACGTCGATTGCTGTGCGGCGAAGGTCGCGGCGTCTGGCACTAACCACATCTTTGGTGTGTATGCAGACCAATTACGAAAACTCAGCTGGATGGGCATACCCGAGGAGATCCGGCCTACTGTCTGGAAGCTGTTGATGGTATTGTATTCCGGGCCGCGAGCCGAGCTGCGAGCCTGGCTGCGGGGCCGGCCCGATCGAAGAGTCGCTCGCCGGTCAGTGCTGCATACCTGCATGCTCATGCATTTGTTGCGAATGCTGCACAGAACTACCTCCCGTGTAATTCCGATCGGAGAGAAGCCACCCTCACGAGGAAGAGAAAGGAGTACGAGGAGTCGGTGGCCCAGTCGTTTGGTCGTGGCAAAGCCGGACTGGACCAATCGCTATTACATCAGGTACGAGAATAAGCTCTTGCCATGCGGGTTCGGGGCGGGTGCTTGGGACCCGCAGGTTCGCTCAAGCAACATCGCTCTCTTTCGACACTCACTCCATGAATCTTGGTCACTTAGATCCACATCGATGTCCAGCGGACCAACGCAACGATTCCGTTATATCAGAGCACAGCTATCCAAGAGGTGCGGCCGTCTTCATCATGAGCACTACAAGGCGATGCCGATGTCGATGCTGATGGAGATGGCAGCGAATGACCTGGAACGACATGTGCTTATTCGGTATGCTTCTTACAGGCGCTAGAGAGGATTTTGTACTGTTGGGCCATCCGACACCCCGCCAGTGGCTACGTACAGGGCATCAACGACCTCGTCACCCCGTTCTTCCAAGTCTATCTACAATCCTATGTCTGTGGGTATCCGATGCGTCCTGGAAGCCGACCCGAGCGGCTCGTGTTGTCTTGCGTTGCGTCACTTCGTACTCGTCGATCGCCTGCCACAGTGGACACGGCGGCAAGGAGGTATTTTGCATCCCACGACCGATGCGCTGACTGCCGGACCATCCTCGTTGGTTTATCGACACAGCGGGAGATGTCGAGAAGACCGATGTCTCCAAGATCAAGCCGGAAACCCTGACGGAAGTTGAGGCGGACTGCTTTTGGTGCTTGACAAAGCTCCTGGACGGCATTCAGGTGAGTCAATGCGAAAATGCGCTTGCCATAACCAAGGTCTATTTGAGAGGCGAGAGGGACTACTGGGAGCCACCGAGTGCTCAAGGTGGCCGTACTGGCCCTGAGGAACCGGCAACATAGGACCGATACGGTTATCTGTTTTGCAGCTCGCGCCGATTCTTGACTGACTGTCGCTCGTATGTGTAGGATAACTATACGCACGGACAGCCAGGCATTCAGCGACAGATGACCCGACTGGCAGAGTTGATCAGCCGCATCGACGGTAGGGCGACGAGACAAGCTGTTGTTTAGACCAGATGATGTATTGGAAGAAAGGAAAGCTCGGTCGACCGCGAGCGCCAAGGACACCTGGCTGAGTCCTGTGCCTGAATCTCCCCCCCGGTGCCGATTCATCTCCCCACCAGCGCCGCTCTACAACCATTTTCAACAGCACGAAGTCAAGTTTGTACAGTTTTCATTCCGGTGGATGAACTGCCTTCTGATGCGAGAGATATCGCTCAAGAATACGATCCGGATGTGGGACTCTTACCAGGTGCGTCTGCCCTCTCGTCTCCTTTCGAGTGAGTCCGGGATCTGGAGGACGCACATCTTTGCCGATGTCGAAAGCGGTCGCTAACGCAAGGGACCGATCTATGGCAACCCAGGCCGAAGGCGCCGACGGATTCTCGGAGTTCCACATCTATGTCTGTGCAGCATTCCTGATCAAATGGAAGGACCAGCTCAAGAAGATGGATTTCCCGGTATGGCCCATGTTTCCCCAACGCTTGGCTGTGGCGACGATACATGTCCCATACCTCTCGGTGCACTTGCGATACTCACGAACGTCCTCATCGTCCTCCACAGGATATCATGATGTTCCTGCAAAATCCTCCGACAAGCGAATGGGACGATAAAGACATTGAGCTCCTGCTCTCGGAGGCGTTCATGTGGAAGGCGCTCTTCCATAACTCGCCGAATCATCTGTCTGGCACGGGTGCAACCAACTCATAGCGGCGCTGCCACACGAATCGTCAGCAGTCACTGTTCCCGAAGGAATACGCTCTCGCTGCTCTGCGCCATGACGGATCCTGATTGTTTTCGTATGTCCGCTTGACCTCCGTGTTGGCTGAGCAGTTGAAGGGTTTCGAGTAAATGCAACCCGGGGTGCTTGCAGTGAAACTCGCACTCATCCGCATCGATGCTCCAGCTGAGACTGCTTCAGTCAAAAATGCATGCGCATTCCAATATATTGGCCCGGCGCGCGGACAGGGTGAGGACCAAGTCAGGACTGCTTGAATTCGCACGTCCACAGCCCACATCTTTCCAGCACCAGGAATCAGCCTTGGGCAGTCCTGCTCATGGTGTGGTATGCGAGAACAGACTTGGATGCGGCAAGCGACAGCGCCGCCGTACCGACGAGGGACAGCACGACCAGCGTGTGGGCCGACAGATGGCGTGGAAAGGGACAGGCCGGGATAGCCGACACTATCCGGTTGCAGAACGGTGGACTGGATTGATACTTCAAGGCCTTGATCCAGAGGGAGCGGTCGCTTCGGATGCACCCTCTCGTCTCAGATCCTTGATGACGGCCGCAAGAGCCTCGGGATTGACTCCGCTTTCGCAGAGCGAAAGACACAGACCAAGAGACTTTCGGTCAAGCCCGGTGTTGAGCAGCTGGGAGATCTCGTACAGAATGTCCATAGTCTCGCGGGCTTCTTTGATCGACGGCTCGTCCATGCTGCGGCTGCACTCGATGGGTCGATGGTGGGTGTTCCGGAAAGCAAATCCAAGTGGCCGCAGGGTGGTGCTAGTGGGATATCGATCGATCGACTGAGAGGTGACGATGCCTGGTTGTTCGCAGAGCGATCGGGATCGAAGGCCGAGACCGATCCCCCAAGAGCGAGGGCGTCCTCGCCTGCTCTCGCCTGCTCTCGCCGAGATGGCGCCGGATCGATCCGGCTTGGAAAGAGACAAGACCCCTTGCCTCTTGCGCCGCTTGCGCCTTGCCTGCCGTCGCTATCTGCTCTCGCTGCGCTCTCGTGCGCTCCTCGCTGCTCGCACGCTCTCGCCTGTCCTGCTGCCAGGCGGCCCAACGCATCATCCCTCTGGTCTTTCATCTGAGCAAGCGGCCACTGCATTCCTGTTCCTGGCGGCTCCTTCGACGATCATGGGGAGCGATCTGGACAGGTGGGTGTGGTCTGATGCACTGCTGTGATTGCGGATCATCCGAGGCAGCCGACGGGCCGCCTCGACTGAGCGGACAGCGTCCGCTCTTGTTCCTCCCGCTCCTGTGTTGGTCTTGGTCCTGGATCGTCTTGACGTTGTTCATGCCATTCACTCGTCCGGAAACTCGCCCACGCCTGCGCTCACGCCGACGCCAACGGCCCTCGAATCTGGTGTAATCACGATCGCCATCGGGTGGGCCCTCCGCCGCCCGCTCCGCGCACAGACAAATCGAGCAACTTCGGCGATGCGAGATCATCAAGGAAAGCGAGGTCAAGGAACTATGCAATAGAGCCCGAGAGATCCTGGTGGAGGAAAGCAATGTCCAGAGAATCGCTGCTCCTGTCACGGTACTGTTAATTGTGCAGTCAGTCAAATGCCTTGCGCAAATGGCTCCGGGGCTCCGTCCTTTCGCCTGGCCGTGTGTCCGCCTGCAATCCTCGGATGGTTCGGCTCATTTGCTCGCCCACTTCTCTGGCGGATCGCTTTGACCGGAATCCGGGTGGTCTTGCTGATGGCTCCGGCTCCTGATCGATTCGCTCGGCTGATTTGACGCTCGTGGATTCACCAAATATGCGATTCTCCCGGCCCTGCCTTTCCGAATCTCTGCGTGGGGGAACCACTGCAGATCTGCGGCGACATCCATGGCCAATTCTACGATCTCAAGGAGCTATTCAAAGTCGGCGGCAAGTGCCCCGACACCAACTACCTATTCATGGGTGACTTTGTGGATCGCGGCTTCTACAGTGTCGAAACATTTCTGCTGCTGCTGGCGCTGAAGGTAAAGTGTTTTGAACTGGAGCAAGGGGGCCTCGGATGACTCCTTCGACTGCTCTGCGAGATTGAACGGCGGGCAGCGGCCATCGCTACATGGAAATGGTGCTCCCGGGCCGATCTGATCACAGGGTGGTGGGAATTCCGGCCTTGCCATGTCTCATGTCTAAGTCGTTCCCGCTCCCATCACTGACGGCGATGCTAGGTGCGGTATCCTGATCGGATGACGCTGATCCGTGGCAACCACGAAAGCCGGCAGATCACCCAAGTCTACGGATTCTACGACGAGTGTCTCCGCAAATACGGCTCGGTCAACGTCTGGCGCTACTGCTGCGAAATCTTTGACTATCTAAGTCTCTCGGCCATCATTGATGACAAGATCTTTTGTGTCCATGGCGGTCTTTCGCCATCGATAACAACTCTGGATCAAGTAATGCATGGCAGTCGTACAAATAGAGAGAGAGAGAGAGAGAGAGAGAGAGAAAGCGAGAGAGGGGTGTGTGACTTCCAGATGGAAAAGCGCATGTCGTTCAATGCTCGTTATCACGCAGTTTCTCAGGCTAACCACCGGTTGCACCTTGGCACAACCGCTGACTGCAGATCAGAACAATAGACCGGAAGCAGGAGGTTCCCCACGATGGCGCCATGTGCGACCTGCTGTGGTCCGATCCCGAGGAGATCGAAGGATGGGGCCTCAGTCCCAGAGGAGCCGGCTACCTCTTTGGAGGCGATGTCGTGGGCCAGGTTCGGATTGTGTTCTGAGGCTCCTACAGCGTCGTGCCATATCCTGATGGGCCTGCTACATCAATGGCAAGCGACCAGACGACGCCTGATTCAGATCTCTTCGCCGATGCTCAGTTCCTTCACACCAACAATCTCGAGTTAATCGCGAGAGCGCATCAGCTCGTCATGGAAGGATACAAGCTTATGTTTAAGGATACCATCGTTACGGTGTGGTCAGCGCCAAATTACTGCTACAGGTATGCGGACACTTCACTTACGAGCAATGGCGATGTATATGCGCTCGAGCCTGGCCTCGGTGTGCTTGTGACTGCCGGATCCAGGGCACCAGCGTGTGCAGCCACTTTCGCACTGGACTCGGCTCCATCACCCTCGGATGGCCTTTCTGATGCCCTTTTGACTGCTGCGCATAGATGCGGGAACGTCGCTGCAATCTTGGAGTTCGATGAGCACCTCAACAAGAATTACAAGCTCTTTGAGGCAGCCCCGCAGGTACGGCGTGGCATTTGTAGCCATGACACACATCGGGAGAAACCACCCCCGCCCCGCACGACCACAGTCCAAGCCTGCTGGGTACCTGGGACTCCATTTCCGGAACTTGGAACTGAATTGATGTGGCTCTCTGCGACTGGCTGACTCCTGTCGACATATGCATTTCTCCTTGCCAATGGATCGACACCCGGCCGTTCAATGCCTTCAGGAAGCGCGCGCGATACCCGCAAAGAAACCTGCTCCCGACTATTTCCTGTAGTTGTGCGTTGCATTTGGATGACTGTGCTCTGGTCGTGCGTGCTTGATTTTCGGCAGCGATGTGGCCGCCGTGAGTGGCAGTTGCTTGCGCTCTAGCTTTCCTACCCGAGCCATTCTTTGTGATGGCTGATCGTTTTGTGACAGGCACTGGGCCTTGACCTAATACAACTTACAGTCAATGGAACAGTCCCCGCCTTCTCTGGCATCAACGGCCGTGAATCACGGATACACTACCGACAGCTACAGAAGCAGTCTCCCGTTTCAGTCCATGGGCGCCGTAAAAAAAAACTGGTGTATTCTGTTGGCACGACCGAGCTGGCGGTGGTGGATGTGCGCGGTCGAAGCTGGTTCAACGCGTCCGAGTCCACGACAAAAGCCATCAAGGCTATCAGAGGACAGAAGTCCCCTGAAAGCCCGTTTCTATGTTGAAATATACACTTTCAAAGGAATGACAAAAGCAAGCAAGCAGCGTGAGAGGAAGAGCAGAAGCGATCGGAAGCACAGCGAGAGCGGCACAAGCCGACACGAAAGGAAGCAAGGCACTGAGAACAACCCAAAATACAGCTCGCTTACGCCGACTCCCGATCTGGAGCCAGCGGGACGAGTAAATACGAATGACTGCGAGGGAGAAAGCCAAAGGGCTTGCAAGGGAAGGGGGGGGATAGAGAGACAGAGGAGACTGTCATTCGGCCCTCACTGATCCGACAGCATGCTGCGGGGTTCTGCAAGAACTAAATAAAGACAAGCAAAGTGTGGCAGAGAAGTAGGTGAAGAACGATAGAGATCGTATTAGACCTCGGAGATGTGGTAAGAAAAGCCCGACCAAAGAGCAAAAGAGGTTGCGGAAGAAGACGAGAGGGATTGAACCCAGGGCTAGGTTCAGTTGAGTTTGGTCATAAGGACAAGAGGTTCGGTCGTCGGGTTTCGGATATCCGGTTTCGGGTTTCGGGTTTTGGGTTTCGGGTTGGGTTGCGTAGAACAGGAGTTCAACACAGACATAATGAGGTTCGAGTCAGAGGGGGGGAGCTATTGTCGAAGGTAAGAGGCTCTTTGGCTGCAAGGCTGCAGTTCAGGAGGCAGTAGCAGATACGTCGCTGCCAATGTTACGATCCATGGTGCGAGTCGTTGGAGCGACTGGTGAAGTAGCGCGTATAATTAGCAAACGTCGACAGCGGCGAGCTATCGCCGCCACTGCCGTGGCTTGCGCGACTGCCGCGGCTCGAAATGGTGTCGCGGCCGGCCTCGTGGATGCGCCCGGTGCCGATGAAGGACTTTTGTGTGTTTGGCGATGACGACAGCCCGTTGGGAGAGAGAGTCGATGGGATGGGCGATGCGCTGGTGCTGCTGGCGATCGGATAGGCGCTACGAGGCGAAGGGTTGGAACGAAGGCCTGACACAGGGGACCCACTGTTGAGAGAGCGGGTCAGCGACAGACTGCCGAAGCCAGAGGCCTCGTGGCTCACAGAGCGGCTCATCGGTAGGGACGCAAAGCTGGGAGACGGCGTGCCGCGGTAAACGGCTCTGGGGGCTTGTGTCGGCATCTGCGGGGTGGCACCACCGTCACCAAGCATCAGAGCGTCGGTCTGGAGCGAAGGGCGGCGGGTTGATGGAAAGTATTTCGCCTTTGGAAGCTCCTGGTGCGACAGGACCGAGACCGTGTGTGTGCCTCGGACAGTTGCTTGGTTGAGTCGCGGGGTCTGGATTTGGATTGCCGCGAACTTTTCGCTCGGGTCTTCTTGGCCAGAGTTGGGCCGGCTAGACTCCTTGGATTGGATTGGAACGAGGGCCACCGGACCGTGCTTGGGAGCTGCAGTTGCAACGCGTCGCCGAAGGAAGCGGGCCAGCATGAGCCCGGTCACGACACGGACAAATGAAGCATGGTCAGCGCTGCAGTCCGTCCAATCATGAGCGACACATCCCAGTACTGGCAAGCCTCCAGAGTCATCTCATCAATGCAGTAACATCGGACCACGGGGGATGGAAACCTTACCGCGTTGGGAGGCTCGGACCACAGCATTGATCCATCCAATCAGACCGATCTGGGTTTCGCAGGAGAACCTGTACGGCGAGGTACTGGGTCGAGTCACTTTGAAGGCAAACTTGGCTTTGTTGTTATCGTCGTCAGGCAAAATCGAGAACCCTTCCGAAAGGGTGAGGACATGAATGGGATGCTTGTTCTAGAGACGGGTGGAGAGGGGGGATATGTGCAATCAGTTGCGTACACAAGAGCCAGTTGCCAGGCGCAGCACAGTGCATCCTGCCCGCAGTGTAATGTGGCCGAGTGACCATCATATTCAGGCTCCGGGTGACTTCACGGGCCGCTGAGCTCGACCAGCCGATCACCGTGCATGGGCCTTTCAGGGGCTGTGTCTGCATTTGAGCACGTACCTCTTGGGATTTGAAGATGAACATCGAGTCTCCGATCACCAAACACCACCGTTTCTTCCATACGACTTCGTTTCCGACCTTGACCATCAGTTGGCCCTCGTAGTCCGTGTTGCTAAAGTCGTGCACGTTTACGTGCAGTCCTTCGACCTGGGGCTGAGATGATATGGAGGCCGTACTGAGCCGATTGGTCTGATACCGGGGTGAGGGTGGCTCCAGCGAGTAGTCGCCGCTATTTGACTGACTCGGGTTGCTGTCGTAGCTACAGGGCACATACAGTCTCAGTTAGCTGCACTCATTGCTCAACGAGCGTGCGAGTGAGCGCAGTGATGGGCGCAGTGCAATCGCGATGTCCACAAGGGTCTCAGGCTTGTCGACATGTTGACTCACAAGAACGGCTCGGCAGTGTCGGGTGTGGGTATGTGTGGGTCGTCAAAGGCGTCAAATCGCGGAACACCCGCCGAGGCTGTCGATCCACTCCAGCGAGCATCCGACCCAGAGGCACGGGTGTTGTTGGCGTCCAGATAGTCGCTGAGGGTGAAGGCTTCGGAGATGGCTGAGGCCTGTCGATGCAGCAGCGGGTCGGTGCCGGACTGGCAATTCGAACGATCCGCAGCGTTATCCGTATCGGACGCAACGGTGCAATATGGCATGAGTGGCGAAATGCGAGCATGCCAACCAGGAGCACACACACTCAAAGACACACCCTCGCCAACACACCCACTGGCAGATAGATTCACACAAATGCATGCGCAAAGCTCAAGCATCACCGAGACAGTACCTTGGCGGCTCCCACTCTCGACGGTGGTGGTGGGGACGGCGAAGACGAGTACGACAGATGCTGGGGCTGTGTTGAGGACGGGTCGCTTTCGCTTGGCAGCGCTGTTCGCGACTCAGATAGGCCTAGCTCGCACTTCTTTTTCAGCTCCACGATGCTTTGCATCAAGTCGATCCGGAGGGTCAAGCTCTCGATGCCGAGGTCGCGCAGCGAATTCAGCGTGCTCTGAAGCAGCTGGGCGCCAGTGACGGCGTTTTCTGTGTACCGACGAGATGGATGTCAGACTCGGAGACGGCCAGGACACAGCCCAGCGCACAGCCGGGTGGCGGAACACAAACTACGGGAGGGGTACCAAGGCAGGGCACCATTGTACCGGCCCATGGCGTGCAGCCACACAACTCAAAGGGTCGTGGGGTCACCATCTATGCCCGGCGGAAATACTCGAGTATGGGACGGGGCGGAGGCGCTGGCAGTCGCAGCGGGGCTGGCAGCAAGCAAGCAAGCAACCGGGCAATGGCATGCGCTTGGGCTTGGGCTTTGACCTACCGACAAAGATCCGTGTCACATTGGCGTAGCCAGTACTGATGAGCCATTGCTGGACCTGGTGAGGCGACCAATCGGTGGGCTGGGCTGACGGAAGCGAGTTCACATAGGCAACAGGGTTGTTGATGCTGGCGCCGCGAGCAGGCGCCGCGAGCTTGATGCTTGCTGGGCGAGCGGCTGCCGACTCGGCTGGGCTGTCGGGCCACTCGTCGTTGACTTCTAGGAGCGGCTGGATACTGACGTTGCGGATATTTTCCGGGGTGATGAAGTTGGCAGGAAACAGGCCGACTTCGCCTCGAAGATTTCGGCCCTTCCACCAGCCGTCGCCGAACAATTCGTCCTTTTCGAGGACCAGGATCGGCTCGCCGACCATAAAGTTGACTTCATCGGGCTCCTCCTGCAAACACCGAGGGCAAGGTTGAGAGGCAGAGAGAACAGGGTCAATGCAGGCATCAGAGGTATCAGCCAGCCAGCGGATTCATCCTGGGAAAGAGACCGGTTGCAGCAAGCACCGAACATGTCGGATAGCAAGAGCCGTGATCGTGAGGCTGGCCAGCACCGATCCGATCAGCGGTCCAGGCTCTGCTCAGTAAATCTTGAGACAGCACATGTGCGCTTGCAGATGGGGATGCGTGGGCAGCCCGCGGCTGCTGCATGCGACGGAGAACGAGGTCGACGACCGACAGAATGGCAAACGTACAGCCACGAATGTGTGCTTGCCGAATACGACAAGCGGGGGATTTTGCGGGGAAACCATGAGGCTTGCTTTCAGCCAGACAGGGCGGTGGAGCAGCAGGAGGAAATCGGGTGCTGTAATCGCACGGTTGGCGGGGACAAGTGCTGGCAGATGGCGATCGGGTGAGGGAAAGGAGATGACGATGCAAGTCGAGGCAATCGACCCAGGCCGGAGTCGTGGCTGGTCGGCGGCGAGAAGGGGCGAGAAGGGGCGAGAAGGGGCGAGAACGGGCAAGAAGGGGCGAGAGGCGGCGAGGGGAGAGAGAGAGAGCAGCACACAGGAAGTACTGCGTGTGTGTGTGTGTGCATGCGGGCCGAACTGCGGCGTGTGCACCCAGAAAGCGAGGACGCCTTTTCCAACAGGCGGGTGTGGCAAGTGCAACCCAGCCGGAGCAAGCAAGGAGAGACGCCGCCGCGCGACCATCGCACAGAGCACGAAGGGGCCACCCTGGCTGGGTCTCTGCACGGCAGCGCAGATGCACCGAGCATGGGACGAAGCCATTCGACTGACTGCCGCATCGGCCTCCAAGCCGTCCGCCCAGGCCGACTCCAGCGACCCCGCAGGATCTCGCAGCGACCGCGCGGGAGCCCAGCACCACCAGGAATAGCGCCCCCAGAACAAACGCGCACATCGAACATTGCACTAACTCTGAAACGGTGGCGCACGGCCACAGCGCCCAGCCAGAAAGGAGCGACGCCACACACACGCGACACTGTCGCTGCACAGGCACGCTGCTGGCAAGGCCGTCCGGGAGGGATTGGCCTCCGCCGCGACGCGACCGCCCGATTCGATGTCACACCTGTGCAACGCAAATGGCGCCATCCACCCCCTTTCCTTCTCCGCCCTGGCCTAGTCGGAGGCGAGCCGCCTCAATCGGCTTCTCCGTGGCAAAGGCTGCTCGAGCGTCTATATTCCTAGCAGGCCGCATTAGCCTCGCATTCATTCGCCGAGACGCGCAGCGACTGTGAACTTGATCACGGTGCTGCGGTCCAGGCCGCGGTAGCCATCGCTCACGACGTCCAGCCGATATTCAAAGTCCCCAGGCTCCGTTGGGGATGTGAACTGGAGCGAGGTGCTCATGCTCTGCGACTGCGAGCTGCCTCGGTTGCGGCCGTCGCTGCTTTGAGGAGCGGCCACGCGTCGCATACCCAGCAGCTCGCGGCCCTCAACGCTTTCGTCCGCGCTTTCGGAGAGCACGACCCACCAGCCCTCATACTGAGCCTTGGGAAACCGCGGCGACGAGATCTTGTAATCCTGTTGTCCGCTCCAGACATTGGTCTTGTACGGTCGCTCGCGGTCAAATCGAATGTGGATTTCGTACTCTTCGTCGCGATTCAGCACCCAGCGCGACTCGTACTGCGTCGCGCCCTCCACTGTTGCTGTGATCTTGAGCAGCGGGAGGTTGTGGACCATGCGGACGGCTTCCTGGTACATTCCCGTATCGAGTCCGCTCTGGCGCAGGGCCTGTCCAATATCGTCGTTCGGAAGCCGGGCGAGCGTCTCGATATCTTTGATCCCGCGCCGAGCCAGCTTGGCGATGGCCTCGGCAGTCATTCCGGGCACCTGCAGCAGCGTCGAATCCAGTGGCCACAGCGCCTGCTTGATGCACTGCATCGTGTTCATCACGCCCAAGGACGTGCTGTAGAAGCCTTCGACAGCACTAACGTCAACCATGGCCTGCATCAAACGCACTGCCTGGTCAAGGACCGAGATCTGGTCCGTCGAATAGTCGGCGCAGGGCATCGTCGACAGGCGGGACAAGTGTGCCTGGAGCAGCAGGAAGGACTTGAAGTGCGGGCTGTCGAATCCCTGAACGCGTGGGATTCCTCCAAACGGCCCCCGGGCCTTGATCGAGCCCAGCTGAATCGGCAGCAGCGCCTGAAAGCTCATGTTCAATTCGTCCTCCTTGTGGCGCACCGGAAGCTCTTCGTACTCAGGCACATCGCAGAGGATCTGGAGCAGCGCTGCAAAGTCGCCGTCGGGGCGGTCGCGCTCGTCTGTGCCAGTGAAGCGATAGCCGTCTGTCAGTCGACGGGTCAGCAAGTCCATCGTGCGGTAGTCCAGGTAGTAGTAGCTTGCGATTCTGCCGAATGTTGTCGGGACCATCTCCAGTGGCGTCTCAAACTCGATACATCTTGCATTGGCCAGGTCCTCCAGGATGCGGTTGACGAGTCGCGACAGGAAAATGTTGATTCCCTCTGGCGAGACGTCCTCGACTCCATAGTATGCAGGATTCTGCAGCAAAGGGAGGTGCGTTCAAGTGAAACGCGGACAGGAGCAGCGAGGCGATGGCTTTGGTGAGCTTGGCAAGCATGCAGCAGCTAAGTAGCGCAGACGTAACACGCTTCACGAACGCTGTTTCCGCTGAACGCTGCTTCTCAGCAAGTTCCTTTCAGCAAATCACAGATCGAGTGCCCATGTGTCTGTGAATGCTGGCCACAAGGAACGCATTCATGGGCTTCACTTACCATGTGCAGCCGCCGGTAAAAGTACGTCCATGTCAAATAGTCGACCATGTCCTGCTTGGACCGGATGGTGCCGCCAACGACCTCGGCATTGATGTGGTTGTGCAGACACTTGTGCAGACTGCTCTCGACCGGGAAGGGCTCGTGAAGGAACTTTTTGTAAAAGTTCTTCTTCGAGTCCTGGACAAAGACACAGGCAACACCGTGATTGTCGAACTGAGGGCGGCCGGCGCGACCCATCATCTGGAGCACGTCCGTTATTGGAAAATCGACATAGCCGTGCGTCTTGGCGTCAAAATACTCGGTGCCCTTGACGACAACAAGGTGCGCGGGATAGTTGACTCCCCAAGCCAGGGTGGAGGTGGCAATCAGGATTTGGATCTTGTTGTTCACAAAGAGTTCCTCGACAATCTTTCGATCGCCTTCGATCAAGCCAGCATGATGGAGCCCAATGCCGAATCCGAGGGAAAGCTTGAGCGCTGCGTCCTTGACCTGCGACAGGATGCCCTCGAGGTCCTCCTCTGCAAGCTTCAGGAACCGACGGGGGTTCTCGTCCAGGGCGCAGAAGGCAATCAGATCGCGCGCGGTCAACCGAGTCTGGCGACGGGAGGACACAAACACAATCACTGGCTGGGTCGGGGAGTGCGTCATGATGGCAGAGTACGTAGGCTTGTTCATCGAGATCATCCTGGGGCAGTCTGCGGGTGGAAGCGTCCGGGCAGGATCCCGAGTCGCGGCGGGTTAGGGTCGTCGCAGATGAGATGGCGCACAAGGTCGCAGAACAAACGATCCCGGCGAGCAGAGGTTGCAGCAGAACCAGCAGCGAGCACAGAATCTTGTGCGCCAAGTCTTGCTACCGGGCCGCGCCACATGTGACTCTCTCGTTGCCTCCGCTGATGCCATTCACTTACAGTGCTTTCCAGGGAAGCCGTCAATGTAAATCTCAAGGGGCACAGGACGGACAGAGTGCTCAAAGTTGAACAAGCCGACATCCTTGATGCCCAGCCAGTCGCCAAGGTCGCCGGCGTTGGCCAGTGCAGTGCTGAGTCCAACGATACGAATTCCAGCGCCCGTTTGATTGGCAATGTAATTCATGCGCGACACAATGACCTCCAGAATCGGGCCGCGGTCTGCGCCGAGCAGATGGATTTCGTCGATAATCACCAACGAGACCTTCTGGACGTAGCTGCGATTCTGCCAGCTGCGGCTGATGCCGTCCCACTTCTCGGGGGTTGTGATGATGATGTCGCCGCGCATCAGGGTTTGGATGTTGGGGGTTACGTCGCCGGTCAGCTCCACCACGCTGCGGCCCATAGGCTCAACGAGGCGAGCCCTCCAGTCGGCAACACGCTCGCGCACAAGCGCCTTCAGCGGCGCAATGTAGACGACTTTGCAATTTGGCTTGTCTCGGAAGGCCGCCCTACGATGCAAATCGTCCGAGCTTCTGTTAGCGGCGACAGGAGCATTGGCAGTCATGCTCCCACCACAGATCAGCACCAGCGACGCCTCGAGCCAGGAACTTACCACATGGCGAGTTCAGCCGCAACGGTTTTGCCGGAGCCGGTAGGCGCACCGATAAGAACATTGTGCTTGGTGCGATAGAGGGTGTGGAAGATTTGGGTCTGCACAGGGTTGAAGTACTCGAATCGCTTGCGGCAAATGTCCTCGAGCATCGGATTGTTCAGGGCCGAGATATGCAGGGGCTGTAAATCTAGCAATTGGGTGTGGGGCGTGCGGTTGTGGCTCGGCAGGATCAGGTGCTTGAACGAGATCGGCACGACTGTTTCGGAGCCGATCCACTTGTCCGAGACGGCGCGGATGAAGATCTGGGGCGGCAGCTCGTCCACAGTGGACTCGGATCGTGGCACAGGAATCGTAAAGTTTAGCGTCTGGGGTTGGCTGGCGAGCTTCGGAGTCATCAGGAAGTATTCCGAGTGCAGAATCTCGGCGACTTCGGCGTCCTCGACCCAGATCCAGAAGGGCTCGACACCTCCGTGGACCCGGGGGTTCCAGACAAAGTCCGGCGTCACCTTCAAAGACACTTGGAGGACGGTGCGGGTGATTGGCGCAATCGTAGCATCGAGCGCAAGGCGAGGGAACTGCTGGACGCACTTCTCGATGGTTGCGCCCATCTTGCCGTGGCGCACGAGCTGCCCAAGATCGTTGGCTGACATTTCCCGCATCTCCTCGATCGTCAGGGGATGCTCCATGGCCTCGAGCTTGCTTGCGACTTCGTAGGGCAAGTCAAACTGCAGCAGCGAGTGCTGGAACGACCACATGCGTCGATCCACAGACTTGCACAGCGAAAGGATCACCGCGCAAGTGGGGCCCCAGTTGCGGCTCTGTGCAATCTCAAAGAGCGCGCGCAGGATACGGGCCGAGTTTTGAGCCACGTAGGCAGAGTCCGAAACCAGCGCAAAGTCCTGGATGGGGATTCGAGAAATATATGACTGCAGCAGGATGTTGGTCTTGCCGTGGCTGTTTTCGGTACCGCCCTTGGCGACACAGACACTTTGGTGCTCGAGCGCCTTCATTTCGCCGCCTTCCTCCTCGCGGACCTTGATGTTGTCGAACTCACTGCTCAAGCTGATCATGCTGAGGACGTCGGCCTCGGTCATCACAGGGCGCATCATTTCGTTGAACACCTCGATACTAACGTGGCGGATGTAAAAATTGCTTGCAATGCGACCGAGGTCCTTCGGTGTCAGATACCCAGTTGCTTCGTCAAAGTAGATCATCTGGGCCTTGGAGAGGGTTCGGGCCGCGGCCGTGATCAAATCGCGGCGGCGGCGGTTCAAGACAGGATCTTCCTGCACTTCGTTCCAATCCAGGCCGTACTGCAGCGGATTCTTGCGCATGCGGACATAGAGATATGTGTACGACAGCCAGCGGATGGCTTCGTCCACAGTCGTCACTGTGCCAAGCGATACTTCGGCGTTGAGATTGTCAAAGAGGTGTTGGGCAAAGCACGATTCGATCGGGTGTTGCTGAGTCAGCGCCGACACGTAATGGTTCAGCTTGTCTTGGCTCGTCACAATAAAGGCTTCGCCGAGGTCTTCGTATTGCGGTCTAAAGCAAGGACGGTTGCGATGGGCACACTTCAGTACAACACTGCAGCCGGGCAGGAGCAAAGGCTGGAAGAGTTGCGAACCGGACACACCCACACCGCTCTGAGACCCAGTCGAGCACTCGCGAGCATACACAGCATCAGAGCCACGAAGCAATGCCTGCACTGGCCGGGGCAGTTGTCGCTTACCTGCCAGCACGACCAAATATCTGGAGCACGTCCAGAATTGACAGATCCACGAATCCGCCTTTGGTAGAATCGTAGACTTGCGTGCCCTTGATGACGACTGCGTAGGCCGGTAAGTTGACACCCCATGCCAGCGTCGCGGTACAGCACAGGACCTAAAAGTTGGCCAAATACCATCGAATCAGTGATGCTGCCGCGCATCTGATGAACAGTCGGTTTGTGGCCTTGCACAGCACACGAGTATAGCAGCCCATAGTGCAGCGCAGGTGCAGTAGCCCGTCGTAGATGCAGCAACGCTTGCCTTGATATAGCCCTTTTCGAAATACTGCTCAACCAGACCACGATCCGAACGCAGCATGCCTGTCAATCAGGCCAGCCCGGTTAACGATGATTCGGTTCACGTGTCAGTACAGAATAGCAGACGCAGATTCAGTCGACATCAAAGCATGTCCCCTGCATGGCTCAATATTGAGCGGACCCCAAGGTGGGCGAAGGGATCATACGTGTCGGCGACGGACATACCTGCGTGGTGGATGCCGAATCCAGACGCAAATAACTCCTTCAACTCCTTGTTCTTCGATTTGGCCACGTTCTTCTGCGCAAAGGCATACTGTGGGTCCGACGACGCATCAAACAGGCCTGGGAAAGGAGTTTGGATCGATGATGTGAGTGACTCTGGGGCAGGCCAATGCCGCGTTAGGATGCCGCGTGGACACGGGACTCACCTATTTCTCCATTGTTGAGGGCCTCGTCTCGCAGCATCATGGAAGTTTTGACTGTGTCTTTGCGCGAGTGCACAAACACCATGACTTGGTGGCCATCGCGCACCAACTCGATCACTTTCTCGTAGCAGACCTGGTTCATGTACTGCTTTGAAGTCGCGCCACCAGCCTTGCCCTTGACTCCGATAAAGTTCTGTTTCAGCGGGACAGGACGGAATCCAGAATCAAAGTAAAACAGTCCCTGGTAGGGGTTGACGCCTAGGAACTGGGCAACATCCACATAGTTGGGCAGGGTCGCCGAGAGGCCGACGATTCGGATCATGGTCTGGCTGGTCTCGACCTGGCGCTGCGTGCGCGCCACGATGCTTTCGATGACTGCACCGCGATCTTCGTGCAGCAGGTGAACCTCATCGATGATCAGCAGGCGCACTTTTTGAGCGAGCTCTGTGTCGCCGGTTCCCTTTCGGGTGACAACGTCCCACTTTTCAGGCGTGGTGACAATCATCTGCGTCGACGCAAGCTCGGCTCGCGTGAGCTGCATATCACCTGTGGCAACGGACATGGTTGACACAGTCAGAATCGCAGATGCTCAAAGTCGGCGACCTCGTGGATCGTGTCTGCGTATCGCGGCAATGGCCCGTCGACAAAGCAGCCGCAAGCAGCCAGATGCGTTGCCCAATCCGGACAACGATCCGCCCTTACCGGTCAGTTCTCGAACGGCGACGCCCAGTCCGCCTTCGTCCTCGCTGCCGCCGATTCGGCCAGAAAACTTGCGGACGACTTCGGCCGCCAGAGCCTTCAGAGGGGCAACGTAAACGATTTTGAAATCATTCTTTTGGAGCCGGCCATCGACTCGATATTGAGCGAGGGTGCGTAGGACCGTGAGCATGGCAATATCGGTTTTACCCTAACATCGGCCATCAAAGCAGAAGGAAGGGTTAGCCCAGACCGATGCAACGGCTGGTATCAACCCCGCGACAAAACATTAGGAGCATAACATACCGCGCCTGTAGGAGCACAGACGAGCATATTTTCGTTCGTGTGGAAGGCGATCGGGAACACAATCGACTGCACGCGATTGAGGCTTTTGTAGCTTTTGTATGCCCGCTGGGAATACTCGTCCAGAGACGAAATGGGGACGGCCTTCTCGGTCGAGCGAACATAGCTAGGGCGACCCGCGGGAATGACAATCTCTTCGTATTCCTGGAAGAAGAAGACATTGGCCAAATCAGCCGGGCACCGATACGCCGATGCACTGATGCACCGATGCACCGAAATGCCACAAGAAAGCGGGACGTACCTTGTACTCGTTGCGCACGCTGCCCACGGGGAGCGAAAACCGTGTCCCGAAAGTCGAGAGCATAGAACCGCCGGATCCGGAGCTGTAAATGTTTGGGTACTTGGGCTGCTCGGGAATATTGGTGGATTCCTGTCGTGGTTGCCGTTTTAGTACGGCCAGTGTCCGTGCCGTTTTGATGCTCGACAACATCGTGATATGCCCACACACTTACAATCAGAGGAGCGGAAGCTGCATTGGCCAGCTGCTCTTCGCGAGCCCTTCGCAAGTAGTCGCCGTCAAAGCCGAGTAGACTGGATGCATCAGCCACCTTCGGCTCAACTGTCACGGTGGGAAGTGAGGGATCAGCATCAGCCGCTGGATATGCGGGCGATAGCATAAATGCCAAACGAGTCTATGCATACCAGCGGCCATCTTCATTTTCTTCTTCTGCTCCTTTCGCTGCTGTTTCAACTCGACCTTCTCGTGCTGCGACATCACGGTCACTTGCGAGCCATATGCCGGCCGGTGTGGAGTCGCAGCTTGGTCGCTTTTGACCTCTGGCTGCTCATCTCGGAACAGATCCTTCTGTGAACGTCCCTGAGCCTGGATCGCAGGCGAATACATGTATCAGCTACTGGCATATCGGGGGGCGGCGCACGGTCGCCGTCCCTTGGTTGGCACAAGTGCAGGGGCTACCTCGGACACAATGTTCGATATAATCAGCGTCCGCTGTGTGATGAGACTGCCAATAAAGTCAAAGTTGCTGAAGCCCAGTAGATCGCAGAAACTTGACTGGATCTCGTCGTCTGGCAAGGCAAAGAACGATAAGGTGAGATGGCCGAGCTTGACCGACAGAGGCAAACGATGCAGCACATACCAGACTGGTCTGATCTGAGAGTGTTGAAGATGTCAATACAAAGCTGCTGAGGATCCATCGTATCGGCCTCGGCGAAATTGGCCAGATGGTGCTCGCACTGTCTGTGGATGGAGCGCACCAAAGCAGAGCAATCAGCAGGGAGCGATTATTCATTCACAGGCTGGATCGTGGTTCCGGCAGCAGGAAGCAGATTTGCTCTGGCACAAAGCCACAAGTAGGGCGAGGGGCCGTTCATCGTCGATGTCGGTTCTGTCAGCGCCTGGGACCGGCTGACCCACCTCAGCAGCCAGTCGCGATTGAATTGCGGCTCTTCAACTTGCAGCGTCTGCTGGGGCTGGAGTTGGTGCGTCTCGCTTGCTACATCGGCGAAGACAGGTTCATCGCTCTTGGGCCACGCAGCAATGGCACGAAGATACTCGGGGGTTTTGTAGTCGACGGTCTTGGGCAGGATGTGGTCTGGGTGCCGACGACGGAAGCGTGAGATCACGGCCGACGCCAACCAGACATCCCGGCGATACGCTGGAATCGGTGCGAAACGATACCTTTCTTTTCTGCGCTGAATCTGAGCAAGCAAGCAGGATTCCGGGATAAACATATATGCTCAGTTAGGGCAGCTGCACGCGGCGTCGCTGGCGGTCGGATCTGGGTGCAGGAGCAGCTGCCTACCCTTTTGCACGTCGCTGCTCAAGAGCGTCAAAGAGATTGTCGATGAGAGAGGTCCAGCGCTGGGCCGGGTCGGGCTGGCCCGAGGTGCGGTTGCGGTTGAGGTGCTGGCCCAGCAGGGCGTCGAAGCCGTCGGAGAAGCTCATGGCGACTCGAAGGCAGATCAGCAACGCAGTCGCTGGCCGGGGAAGAGTGGTTGCGCTGCGATCGCTTTTGGGTGCCCTTGACGGCGCAGCCAGCTGCCCCGACGCAGCCGGCTGTCCCGGCTCAAGAACCTGTCCCGCCGCAAGCGACTTTGGGCTGCACACCGCATCCCTGCACCGCTGCATCTCCGGATTGCACTCGCAGCATGCGCATTCCCCAGAGCCGGCCCTTTCTCTGGGCCGACAACGACGATGCTCGCCCGCTGCATCCACGAGCATCGTCGCTGCCACATCGCCGTGATGTCGCCTGCCTCGCTGTGAGCTATCGCCACGTGACCCTCCTGCCAAGGATCGGCTCGGAAACATCAGCCCACAATCCGTTTCGTCCGCCTCTCCGCTTCTCAGCATTGTGCATACCAGCATGTCCAACAGCACCGAGCAATCCTTCCGCGACTCGCTCCGCAACTTCAATCAGAGCCGGGCCTCCAATCGCCCGACTGGCTCTCCCATCATCCGGCTGTTCACCGACGGCAGCAGCAGCAGCAGTTCGGCGGCTGCCCAGGACGATACCTCGGCGTTTTCGAGCCTCCTTGGATCTGTCCGCACCGGTGCCCAGAGTAACTATCGCAGTGGCCATGGCGGCTCATTGTCTTTGGTCGCTTTTGCAAGATGCTGCTCCAGCGCCTCTAATCTTGGCACCGTCCTTCTTCGGGATATAGATGCCCTTTCAAGCGTCGGGCTCGTTAACTCGGCGGAGCAGGAGGAAAGCTTCTTCGGCTTGACCTGGACGCAGGTATGTGCGGCTTGTTGATCCACTATGCGTCTGCGTTTGAAGTCGCTGGCTAGCTGCTGCTGCTGCAATGCCACCGTCTCTGGGACTTGTCTGAGCTGCCGCCCCCCCCCGGCCTGGTCAATGCCGCCGCTGACACCCGAGGCCTTGGCTCTCATTATCAACTCTGCCCACAGCGATGTATTGGATTTGCAATCTGCATGGCTGCTGCAGGTTTCTCTTTTCTGCTGGTATGTTCCGCGCTCTTTCGAGACCGAAGCTACGTGGGACTCGTCGGATGCTTGCAGTTCGGCTGGCGAGCTCACCAGCTCCAAATCTGGCTTCGACAGGCATTTGTTACTCTCGGCCTCATCGCCATTTCTCCTGGAAAGTTTGCAACCTCCTTTACCCTCGGAAGTCTCTTCTCTCTCTTTGGGTCAGTGGCCTCAGGCTCGGCGTCAGCAGATCGACAGCTGATCATCGTGCTCGTCGCCGTGGCTGACTTGCTTCTCCCGTCTGCAACAGCGTGGCTCTCCTGAAGGGACCCTATTCGCACTTCAAGCATATGATCTCAAGCGAGCGACTGCCTTTTACAGTGGCCTATGTCGGAACAATGATCGCGACGCTATATTTTGCTGTCGGGGTGTGTATTCGAGCCCACCTTTGCATCGCACCGGGTCCTGGCAGAGTCTTGGCTGGTGGTGGGATACCCTCCACAACACCCTTTGTCTGGAGCCTTCTAACGGCCTTGATCGCGCCCAGGTTCGGTCCTACTTCCTCACCCTCATCTTCAGTATTCTTCAGCTGGTGGCGCTCCTCTGGTAAGTACACCGTTGTTGCCAACTCAGTTGACGAGCGAGGCTGTTTCCTAACCGCCCACGTCTGGTTTGCCATCAGGTACTTTGCTTCCTACATTCCCGGCGGCACCAGCGGTCTCAGGGTATGTACTATAACGATCGACATGGCAATCCCGACCGGTGGTTTGATTATTGAATCTGCGTGTTGAATCTGCGTGTTGAATCTGCGTGTTGAGTCTGCGTGTTGAGTCTGCGGCAGCGCCCGCTGCGTCCACTGTTCGCTCATCATTGCCTACCTGACTCCAACACTCCAGTTTATGGGACGGGCCGCTGGCGGTGCCATTGGGCTGCCTGTCTGAGAAAGCGACAGCACTGCCCTCTTGGAACCCGTTGGGATCATGCATCCCTCTCCAACAGCGATAGTAGAAATGCGCCCTGTTTGAGCGATATCGCAAGAGCAATACATTCTGTTGAGTCGCAATCGCCGGGTGTCAGCTACGATCGTTCTTGAGTTGGCTCCATCATCCGCATCGTCGGTATCATCCGCATCGTCGGTATCGTCGGCAGAATCGCAGTTCCGTTCTGATTCTGAGCAGAAACGTGACAGACACATGACCAGGTTCAGCCGCCCTTGCTCATGCCCCGAAAATCCAGGTTGGCTCTCGACAGCACAGCGGTCGATCGACGACCCGAGGCCAGAGCGCTTCCGACCCGGCCGAATCTGACGAGCCGAAGCAACCTCCCAACAGGACATGCCGCACGACGCCAGCATCTCGAAGCCGGAGATCGAGAGGCAGCTGCTCAACGAATTGGCATGTTCAAGCTGTCCTGTGACTCCTCTGCCGCCTGCTGTCGGTCGCGACGCTGCTTCCGAGATCCCCGTTGCTACGGAGTCGGCTCTGGCCAAGCTCGGTGCCGGCCGTGGAAAGCCCAAAAAATCTTGTGCAAAGTGTCGAAGCAGCCCAGACAGCTTTCGAGGACTCGGAATCGAAGAGTGGATCGACCTCGGTGGGTTTGTGTGGGCCAGTGCTTGCGTGGTGGCTGGACGCTTGTCTGTTGGGGCTATCGCTCGGCCGTTGCGGCTCCTATCCTTTCCTCTGCTCCAAAGTGCTCCTCTCACACTATCCACTTGGCAATCTTGGCTAGATGCGCAAGCTATGGCCCGCGAGAGCCTTGGTGCCGATCCCCGCAGTATGCAGCGCCAAGGTGGCGAACCAGTCGGGCTGAAGGCAAGTGGTCCTGCTCATTGTCACTTCCGCCTACTTTGCGAACTCTCCGATCGCCGACGATTACTTACGAGCGCTGCTCTCTCTGGATCAACTAGAACCTTGGAGCCACCTGCTACATCAACTCTCTGCTGCAGGTAGATTCTCTGCAGGCCGCTGTCTCGCTCCTCAAAGTTGCACGCCACTGACCAGCACCATCACACCGGATAGATCTGGTTCCATGATCTCAAGTTCCGCAGCTTAATCTATGGATATCGCCCACTCTACGACAGCGGAGAGACCGTAAGGCTCAGATGAAAGCTGTCAGCGTTGGAGCAAAGCGCCATACTGGGGACCCATGACAGCATTCTAAGCAAAAGCATATGATCTGTGGCCAAATCAGGATATCATTACGGAGCTCCAGAAGGTGTTTGCCCGACTCGATCACGGCATGCGTAAATGGGCCAACCCATCTGCGTTCATCGAGAGCATTGGAGTCGATCCAAGTGTGCAGCAGGATGCACCAGAGTAGGTGAAATGGGTTTACAGGGATATGTTGCGGCGGAGCCGGCTGGTCGTCAGCCCCTGGAAGGTGACAACTCAGAGACGGCAATGACGAGTAGCGGCAACAGATGATCATGACGAATGGAAGCCACGAATGATGGATGCGTGTGAGCCGAGATTAACGGTGGCTGATAGCAAGAATCTGGCCGTTGGAACTTCACGTCCACAATTGGCTGCCGCAGATTCTGCAAGCTCTTTATTTCGCTTGCAAGCCAGCAGCTCAAGAGCCACATGGTTGATTTTGATGGGAACACTATCAGCGACCGGGTAGGCGGCTCTATATCCGATCAACCATCGTGTCTGCATCAGGTCCCGGCAGCATTGTTGCGAGCAAGGCTGTCGGTACGATCGCTGACCCTGCTCGGCACCAACTCGACAGTTCCAAAGTACATACGCATATGTGACAACGTGCTCTAAATGTGGCTTTGAATCACGGAACGAGTCGCCCCAGTTTGAGCTGCAGCTTAACATCAAGGTAGGCCGTGTATCAGCCCCTCTCGGGTTCGATGCAGTGATGTCGTTCCACAATGTGTCGACTGACCATCGCCGACAACTTGGCGCCAGCACGGCCGATGGTCTAGAATGCCATCGGATCGCATGTGCACTGCGGTCTATCAGATCGGATGCCTTCTGCGAGTACAAGAACGATACTGACTGAGTATCCCACCGATGTCCCAACGGCTGTCCATGACCTCCAGGATCGAGGCAACCTCCACGAATTCATCGAGAGTTACCAGAAACCCGAAACATTGGCGGACAAGAACCAGTACTTTTGCCCGCAATGCTACGAAAAACGAGACGCCCTCCGACACACACAGCTGACTCAGTTGCCTACGGTACCGACGCGGCCTTCGCCCCGACAAAGACAGGCGTTGCCAACCACCGCATCATCAGAGTAGCCTCAATCGTCTGATGGTGTGTGGGTTCTCACAAACGTCGATATCGCATACAGGTTCTCAACATCCAACTCTTGCGCTTCATGTTTGATGAAAAAACAATGTCCAAAGTCAAGGTACACTCGACCATCTGGTTTCCGCTGACACTCAACATGTCCAGACTGTTGCTCAAGCACGAGCCCGCAGTTTACGATCTGCAAGCGGTTCTCTTGCACCAAGGATCTGACGCCTACGGCGGACACTACACCGCCAGTGTATACGACGCCAGGTGGGTCATCGAATACACGACTGGCTGCTGCTATGTTTCGGATGATAGAACATTGAGTTTCTCACTCGTCTTATAGGAATGAATCCTGGTTTCATTTGGACGATACCGTGGTGAAGCGGATCGACCCCATGGCCTTTACCAACTGGGACAACTTCAAGTCGTCGACCAAGACCAATCCGAACCCACCCGATGACGGAAAAAGGTGCGCCTTTGACCCATTCAGGCATTGTTCACTATTGGACACATCAAAATACGGCACTCAGTTACGCTGCTCTGGCACACAGCGACTTTCCAGTCCAGTGCCCCATCATGCATGGCTCGCCTCTCATCACTAACGTCCTGCGCAACCGATCCATGCTTCAGCTTCTGCTCAGAGAAAGTGTACATGTTGAGCTACAAGCTCAGGAGCGACGCAGGACTCAGCGACGTTGCTTTACCATTCGACTTGCCATCGTCCATCTTGTCTGAAATCGAGGCCGATGATGTACCCCTGATATCTCAGATCGACCAGTATCAGAAAGAGTAAGGTTTCGTCACTGCTGTCGTAGCTGTCATCGCTGCATATGCTGTCATTGCTGCATTTGCTGGCATTGCTGTCATAGTCGCTATTCGCATGCACATGCCTCGTGCGATCCTCATATCGAGAGCAATGAAGCATCTTATTGGCCATGTGAATCGACAGGGAAGACCGGCTGGTAGCCAGCATTCGTGCCCTTCGCGATGCGAAGCTAAGCATCATCGGAGAAATGCCATCGCGAGAGGAGGATGTAAGATGTCGAGAAGCGTGTATGCGCGTTGCATGATTCGATGCTTGAAACGCCGCCTGCTCGTCTCGATTCTGTGCTGATAGGATTTCCACAAACTCATCCCACCAATCCATCTACGCAATAGTCGCCGTCGGTCTATATACCAACATTGGAGCTCGAAAGATGGATGGAGCTGCCCGAGATTGTTGGCGGCGAGTTGGTGAGCGGCACCAACACTGTCTTAAACTGCACCTCGCTGCTGTGTGCACACGGCCATTTTGATCCGAGCCAAATCAAATGCTCCAAGCGAATATCGCAGGTCGGTGCTGGCGCGGTGTGGAGCCGACAGGAGAACGAGAGCCGTGCACCATGCCTCCTCGAGCTGCCAGACACTCCCCTCGAACCGACTTGTACCTGCATGCTGTGGTGTGAATGTGGCTCACGTTCACAACGACGGCGCTCTGCCTTCTCGGTTGATTCAATACTGCATCGGCCTTGCTTTGACCGATCTGTATGCATGCAAGCTGATTCGTGTTCTCTCGGTGATGTTAACACAGCTCGCCGCGGCATGTATCGAAACGAGTGGATACCAGATTAAGCCACTGCTTTGCACAAGTGACATCTGCGGGGTCTGTTGGTCGGAGAAATGCGAAGGTTTGTCTGTCACTCTGGCGACCCGTCGTTGTGCTTGGATTGCCCGATGAGCAGCACAAGTTGCGTCTGCCTCAGTCCAGAGCCACCATATATATCGCCTGCAGTGTCGCTGATGCACCTTGACTCGCCTCGCATGTGTAGAGATTCGGTGGCACGAGAGTTTTCAGGAAATGCGATCGTCCGTCACCAAGGCCTTGCTTGAGAGTGACCCAAAGACAATGTGGATCTCCAAGAGATGGCTCCAAGGTGCGTCCCGCTAAGCGGCGTGCGGTTCGCTCCTGCCAGATATGTATTTGCCCGTATGTGTGTCTGCGGCTCACCACGCTGCGATCCGCGCTTGCCATTTTTGACACTTAGACATGAAGAAACGGAAGCCCAACGGGCCGATTCACCCGATGGGAAGGCTTGGCGGACCACTGTCCGATTCATACCTCAGAGATGTCTTTTGTGAGCATAATGGTCTCGCTATCAATCCGTCCGACCGGACGCTTGTCTCGCTGAAGGTATTAGAGTCATGCGTGCTTAACGAGATGGGTGGCTGCCAGGTCAAGTTGCTTGTCGCTGAGTTTTGCCTTGATTTCTCGGCCCAGGTCCTGGACATTATCCGCAGTTTCTTCCCTGAAACCGACGCGCATGCCAAGAGCGAAGATGAGTGTATTCTCTGTCAAGAGCAACTGTTTCAACAGAACGAAGAGGAGGCACGATTGGAAAATAGGGCCAGACTCCAGAAAGTAAGCTGATACGCCGTGCCTTGAGAGAGTAAGCTGAGGTGATGAAGGAGGCGTGGTGCTGACATGTTCTGTTTACTGCGTCCAGGGGCCTCTCAGAGGACTCCTTGGTCGCCAAGAACGGCTCCCTGAGGCACATTCCGATTATCGGATTGTATCGGACGGTATGTACAGCGATGTGTGCACAGACATTGGCCTTGAGGATGACCTGCACCTCGGCACAGATTGCCGTGAAGATAGCAAAGAGCTCTAGCAATCGTCGCCGCCAGTTCATCAAACTCGATGGCGGAACAGACACACAGGCCGCTAGATCTGGTGGATCGGACAGTGCTCGAGTAACCGGGTTATGGCGGTGCATGGTGCAGCTTTCGTCCAGGCCCTGAAGCGATTCGACCAGATGAACATTCCGCCGGATATGAGCGCCAGCTCGATAAGCATATTTTGCGACCACGGCGGGCTTCTCTACGACCTTGGCCATCCTCGCGATCGGATGTCCGTTCGGTATGTGACTGAAGAAGAGTGGACCTTTCTCCAGACCGAGTGAGTACACGCAAGCCTCTCCATGTTTGAATAGCCGAGCTTCGTGGCTCCCGATGTGTCCGAGAATGGCGTTGGATGGCCCCCGACAAACGCGGCTGACGAAATTTCCCATCCTTCGTAGATACCCTTCTTTGGCTGCCGCCCAAGTAACCACTGACAGTAATGGATCGCCAATTGATGTTTACCCGCCGCCCTGTCACGCCTGCAGGCTCAAGAGGTAAATTATTGTTGCGGGCGAGCGTGATATCCGTGTTCCTGTCGCCGATGCCTGGCCGACTGCCTGGTTGACTGCCTGGTTGACTGCCGGAAAGTATCGAGAGGCTATGTATCAGTGCCGAAGCCGTGGGGCGATGTCACGCAGCTTCCTGTCGACTAGCAGTTTGAAATCTAACGCCGCATGCCTTGTGTCATGGCATGGTGTCGTGCCTAACATTAAGGCACCTGCAGTATAGCTCTGGGTACGTGAAGGTTCGAGTTGCACGCGCCGATGCTGTCAAAACCAACGTCGATGCCGATGCCGACGATAGAGACGAAGATGGCGACGATGAAATCAAAACTATGGGACGACGACCGAATACTAAGCGACAGAAGCTGGATAGCGTCTATCGCGGCGCTCGCCCGACGCCATCGAATCCCACCGCAACATGGCAGTCGGCAGGGCCACGAAGGGCCACGAGACTACAATCGATGACGTCCCGGGGATTCAAGCCTGTCCCGATTCACCCGGGAATGACAGTCCGCGATCTCATGGCAGAGATTTATCGCATATTCCATATTGCGCCATGCGATCAGCGACTCCACTTTGGCACGCACCGCATCAGCTACACCTCGGCTACCAGGCTGACGATTCCGCCTCCGCTGGTGTTGCCCGGATGCGAGCTTGCCGAGGACGAGAGCAAACCGACGCCCAAACTTGGAGCTACCGAGATGCCCATTGACGTGGACGCCCCGCCGATGCCTTCAAGCCCTCCATTTGCGATCAGGATTGTGTATACCGACCGCCATCTGGCGATGATGAGGCGATGCTGGAATGCCGACAGCATCGACCTGGAGCGGTTGCTGCATCCTTGGAACGACGACGACGACGATGATGATGATGACAGTGATGATAGTGATGATGTTGGTGACGGCGGTGGTGGTGGAGTAATGCAACCGATCGAGAGCGATAAGGTTCTGATCGATGATTTCGGCATTGGGCCAGACGACGAGATCGACCTTGAGGTCCTGGAGGCCGCGGCATCAGAGGTGATTGACCTCAGTGGCGAGACAGGTGAGTAGCGAGCTCGGGAGTGGTCTCGTCATTTGCTGTGGTCCCATCATGCTGTGGTCCCATCATGCTGTGGTCTCATCATGCTGCGGTCTCATCATGCTATGGTCTCATTTCTGCCATGACAATGCCTGCCATGACACCGCCTGCCATGACACTGCCTGCCATGACACTGCCTGCCATGACGCTGGTCCACAGACCGCGAGGGTTTCGGCGGCAGCCGGCTGTTGGGGCGCGGCGAGGGTTGGTGACGGCGCGGCAGCCCCAGCCCCAGCCCCAGCACCCGCCCCAGCCCTTGCCCGCCTGGCGCACTGGCTCTTGCGCGGGCGAAAAGCCACTTTCGCCCCGTTCTAAGCCTCACCTCCCGTCGCTCTCGCACACAACCCCATCGCCGACGGGTAAATACATCTTTCGTCTCCTGGTTTCTTTGCGTCGCATCTCTGCCTTGCATCTGCCTTGCATCTCTGCCCTGCATTGCGTTGCATCGACTGGCTCTGGCTCCTGGCTGTGCTCGGCGGCCTCTCCTGTTGTCGCTCGCCATCGTCTGCCTTTGCTCTTCCCTGTCGTCTCCAGCGCACTCCCCCCCCTCCTCTGCTTCTCGCCCTTGCCTCTCCACTGCCCTCGTCCCGCCAATGATATCCTTCGTCTGCACATGGTCCAGAATCGATCTACCAGTGCTCGCTCTCACCTAGCCTACACCCCATCTACCGCTGTTCCTCCCCTTGGGTAGATCGCTGCCTCCATGGAACGAAGCTCTGGCTCCGGCTCTCCCGAGCCCCACTCGGAATACGATCACAAGCAAGGCTCGGAGGACTTGTCTTCCTCCGCTCCAACCCCTGGGCAGGTTGCCTTCCAGACTGCTCTTGCTCGCCAGGTCCAGGTCGTCGCCCAGCGAGAGCGCCAGCTGCAGGAAAATCTGCGCCACCGTGACGGCTCCAGCGACACCGCCGACGGCAACAGGCACCCTGAAGGCGACGACGGTCGCCCCGCCAGCGAGAGCCGCCAGCATCAAGAACATGCTGCCGACGACGGCGCTTCGTCGGAGGGCCATGGTGACGAAGCTCAGGAGCGTTCAAAAGATCTCCAGCACGGCCGCAGCCCAGAACCCGGCTCCGGTCCAGAGCACGGCCACAGTCACCAGCAAGGGAGCAGCTCGGCCCCGTCGGCGATCGACGAAGAGGCCCTCAAGGCCCTCGGCCAAAACTTTTCTGCCTCTGCAGCGACCAGCGGCTTGCTCGTCCTCAGCACAACCGCCTTGGCCAACGGCAAGCAGAGCCTTCCAATCCCGCCCGGCATCAACAATCCCTTTGCGGCCTTCTACTACTCGCACGCCCTGGCCTCGGCCGCGCCCGGCCTGGACCCGTTTACCTTCATGGCCCGCAACCATCTCGCAAACTCGTTCCCGCTGAGTTTGATCCAAGAGGCCGCCATGGCTGCAGCCCAGGGACAGGCTACCGACGAGACACTTGAGCGCCAGTCCGACGAGGGATCGGAGACGCATCCTGGATCCCCTGACCACAATGCCAAGGAATTCAAGCATTTCTGCCCAACTTGCAACCGCGCATTCTCTCGCGCATACAACCTCAAGAGCCACATTCGCACCCATCACGATCACCGACCCTATGTTTGTCACGTATGCCAGCTTCGGTTTACCAGGTTAGTCGTCCGCACTGGCTCGATCTTGGTGCCGCTCTCCAGTATCTGAATCCATAGCTCACTCGTTTCCCCATCGCGCCTCCTCGTTCGCACGGCGCTTCGGTTTAGAAACCACGACTTGAGCCGACACCTGCGGACCCACTCGAAGGAAAAGTCCCACAGCTGTGAGCAGTGCGGACGAATGTTTGCAAGGTAGTATGCTTGTCTGGGCACGTCTCGCCAGCCCGCCCTCACCAGCTCCTCTGTAGAACCTTGTCGCAGCCAAGATCCCGCTTCGGCTGGCTCATTTGACCCCCGGCGTATTAAACTCACACCATTGCAATCACCCACTGGACAATCCGGGTCGCTTTACAAAGACGCGACGCCCTCCGTCGACACGAGCTCATGAACCCCGAAGGCAAGAAGATCCACTGCGTGAGCCCAATCACTGTCGACGCTCATCTCGACCAGACGTCGGCCGTGGTGATGGACGATGCCATGGCTGATCCTATCGCCCAGGTCGCTCAACTCTCTGCAGCGCAGGCATCCCAGCTTCAAGCCCATGTTGCCTTGCAGGTCCAGGCACAGCTCCAGGCGCAGATGGCTGCAGCGGCTCAGAGCGGCGCCACGCCCGCAGAGGTCTCGGCCGCGGTGACGGCCGCATTCCAAAATGCCCAGAGCCAGCTTGTTGCCAGCGGCATCGTCGGCACGTCGACTGAGGAGCATCACGATCATGATCACAGTTCGATGGGCGAAACTCGGATCAACGAAGCCCTCTAGCGCCGCCTCAGTTTTTGGTCGCGGAACGCTCTTTTGCCTCTCTTGAGTGCCTCTCCCCCTTGGCAGATTCGCGCGCTGAGGCGAAGATGGCGTCTTCAGCCCTCTGGAATGTTTCCGCCTCGCCTCCCATCTCTGTTTTGTTGGAGCTGCCGTGCCCCTTTCCTTGCACTCGATGCTAACCCACCCCAGCACCACACGAGTGCATCTTGGCCAGATTTGTCTTCTCCCACCCGCTGCCGCTTGGACATTGATCCACGACAGACATTTCTTCACCACCGGTGCCACGCTTGCTTTTCGGTTGTTTGCTCTTCAGTACCCCTTGCGTCCGCCGATATCACCATGTATATACAGTCTATTTAGTGGAGCATGGAGGCCCGCCTGGCCACTGCCATGGCCCCACATCAGCTTCCCTGTGTGTAGGTGAATCAGGGCGGCCGGTCTGCGCGCCTCGTTTGCTTCAGGGCGCTGCCTGGTTTGGCTGGACTTGCGGTCGTTCTCTTGATCTGTCCTTCCTCTCCCTCTTCCTGTCCCCCCCCCTCCGCACCAGAGCCGCTGCGGAACACTGATCATGTCGTCCTCCGTTGCTGCCAAACCAACGAGGGCTGCAGTACCCGGCCAGGCTGCTCCATCGGGCCCAGGCTCAGGCTCAGGCCCAGGCCCAGGCTCGGGCTCGCAAGGACCTTCAGGCCAGGCCGGTCGAGCGATCCACTCGCATGCCCCCCGTCCGTTCTGGGCTCCAGTTCAGCGCTGGGAAAAGCGCTGGGTGCTGCCCAACGCTGTGCTGCAGGGCATCGTGTTTCCTCCTCGCCCTGGGATGGTCGAGTCCAAAGTGGCTCACAAGCCCGTGGTCTTCAAGTGGGTTCGAGGTTCGTGCGTATGCGATCGGTCGAAGGGATATCAGCGGCCATGGCTGCGATCGGTGTTCATGCGCTCGACCGGCGAGTATCCCGGAGTCGAGTCCAAGACTGCTGCTCATTCAAGTGTTCGGCTCTGATCCACCCTCTCTCCCTCGATGCACCTGTGGACTTGCGTGCTTGAGGGGTCGCAGGTCCTCCCATGAGCACCGATCTGACCGATCCCGATACACTCGCGCCCCGAACACAACTCGAGCATACCGACGCTGTTACCGTGCAAGATGTCGATGAGACCGAGCCTGCCCAACGCGACGATGGCGAGGCAGTCTCGGGCCAACCTAACGCCCCGGTGGATCAGAGCGAGGAGTCCCAGGGTCGCGAAGTGGCAGAGAAAGCTGGTCCGGGCACCTCCACAGAGGAGGGAACGATGACCCACAATCCCTCGACTGAATCGAAGAACGGGCCCGAAGATGTGGAAATGCAAGATGCTCCAGCAGATGCACCTGAGGCCCAGGTAGGCTCTGTCGGTTGGTCGAGCGAGCGAGTCTGTCAGCGGCTATGGTATGCGTTCCGTCTTGAACGGCGATCGCACAGCAAATTGGTCCCAACCATGTGTTTCTGGTATCGTCCACACAGGGCCAAGCCGCGCCCAGCCCGAAGGACCTCAAGCGCCAGGTCGCAGACGAAGATCAATACCCGAACAAGAAGCCAGCGGCGGGCCATGACACAGTGGCTCCCAAGTGTGCCGATGATATCCCAAGTGCCGAACCGACGGGAGCCACGATCGGAACGACGATCGGAAGGGCGATGGAGGCTGATCATCAAACTGCCAGTGCGGCCCAAAGCGTAGACTCACTTGGCCAGCCGCCAGAAGACCCCAGTGGCCCTGTATCATCGCTGAGCGCGAATGAACAAGCCAAGGGACAATCCACACAGCCGGGGCTGCTGAAGCAGCCTGGACAACCTCAAGAAGCAACCAAGGAGCCGGTACAGCAGCGCCCAGAGTCTGAGAAACAGCCTGAAGCGCCCGAGCAACATAGACCTTCGGATCCACACCAAGCAGCAGCCCCAGAGGCGGCCGCAGCAGTTAAGGAAGAAAACTCTGCAGGATCTCAGCAAGCGCACGCAACAGGCCCCAATGAACCCCCTGCCGACAAGTAGTCAAAGTAGCCAAGCACTCAGCCAAGGAAGTTGCCAAACGAAACGAGGCATTTTGTTCGAGAGCGATGAACGTACTCTTTTCTCCTGGCTCCTGAATACACACTCATCCATCATGCTCGAGGACCAGCTACCTTGTGAGGGCAGTGCAAAGGATGCGCTGGTGGCTGGGAGTTTTATCAGGCGTCGCTGTAATAGCCATTTATGTAGTCTGGCCCAGACGATGGTGCTGGGCAGCATTCTTGAGAATCAAATAACTCACACACACTAAATCAACCAACCAAAGCAGCCATCAAATAAGGCAAGTGTGCGGTGCAGTACAGATCAAAGCAATGGAGCTGAGCTGGATCGCAGACTGTAGGACCCGCAAGTGATGTTATGCCCAAGCAGCACTATCGGTGGCCCACGGGCAGCGCGGCTACGAGTCGGCCATTGGCACCGGTATGCCAATTACCTTGTTCAGAGGATCGTTTCTTGAGACTCAAAGGCATCATCCTCGCCCGAGAGAGCCTCGAGGGTCTTGCCCATGGTCTCGGGGATGAAGTAGGTGGCAACACCGCCGAGGGCCATGACAACGGTGAAGACGTAGAGGACTGCCTTTGGATTCATGCTGAAGAAGGGACCGACAGCCTCGACACCGATGATGGCTCCCAATTTGCCCATTGCCGCAGACATGCCGTGGGCGGTGGAGCGGAAGCGGGTCGGGAAGACCTCACCAGGAACAACAAAGGTGGTGGTGTTGGGGCCGAACTGGAAGAAGAACTGGGCGATCGTGAAGACAACGCAGAAGGCGACAGTGTTGTTCTTGATGGTGTCCCAGGCAATGGCGAGGATCAGGAGGCAGACGGTGATGACAGCAAAGCCGAGGTACTGGATGGGCTTGCGGCCCATGCGGTCGATCAGGGCGACACAGACCCAGTATCCAGGAACAGTGCCCATGCATGCAATGATGACCTGGCCGACGGTCTTTTGCCAGTAGTTGTCGTACGGAGGGAGCGAGTTGGAGCCGTTCCAGTTGATCAGCGTCAGGATCGTGCTGGCGTTGAGCGAGAGACCATACCAGGCGACATCGAGCGCAAACCAGGTGAAGGCACAGCCAAACAGGATCTTGCCGTTCTTCCACTGGCCAAAGTGCGCCCAGAATCCTCCCTTCTTGACGTTGGCACGGGTGCCGTTGGCGACCTCCTCGCCGACCCAGTTGGACGACACATCGCGGGTGGCGTTGAGGGCCATGACCTTCTCGACATCGCGCTCGGCCTGGTCGACAGAGCCAATGACATCGACGGTGTAGCGGGGGGTCTCGGGGATGGTCAGACGGAAGTACACGGCACCCATCGCAGGGATCACACCAAAGGCCAGGATGATGCGCCAGACGAGGTCGAGATAGGCCGGGTCGGAGCGGATGCTGTTCTGGAGGGCGGCGAGGGTGGCGAGGGTGACGAGGCCGCCGGTGAGGATTCCGATTCCCTGCATGGCAAAGACGGCGGCGATCATGGTGCCGCGCCACTTGACGTTGGCAAACTCGGAGGTGATGATGGCCGAGAGAGGATAGTCACCGCCAATACCGATGCCGAGGAAGAAGCGCCAGACGGCCAGGGTCTGGAGGATGTTGGCGCCGCGGATAGCGCTGGCCGAGAAGGCCGAGCCGATGGTGCAGACAATCATGATCATGAGCTCGACACCGTACATGTTCTTGCGGCCGAGCTTGTCGCCGAGGTAACCGAAGCTCAGTTGGCCTGCAATATGCGGAGTAGTGACAGAGCAAATCCGTCAGATTATATGAGCGAAGTAGAGCGCCGAAGCTCGCGTATATCAGCAGCACAAAATCTGACATAGCCCCCTGGTTAAGAAGGCGAACCTGGTGCGTAATGTCACCCCCAGACAGGTCGCGAAATGACAGGTGCCACAGGGAACGCAGCCGATCCAACCGGCCCTATGAGAGCCTCACAAACAGAGAATCCCTGAGATGCTCTGTGCATAATCCCGCTCGACGGACGCATCCAATCGCCACCTCTCCTGTTCCGATCCGCCAGTTGGAGTCCGGGCGGCGCGATCTACTGACCGAAGAGGTTCCCATAGGAAGTTGCAGCCTTCATCCAGGCGTCATAGTTGGGGTTCCTTTGCGGGAAATCAGAGGGATACTGCAGATCGGGCGACTTGGGGAAGTAGACATGGTAGAGCATGGGCAAGGCCAGGTTGATGACAAAGTTGTCGTACGAGTCGGTGTAGAAACCGACGCCGGACACCAGGATCGCACGCAGATGAAACCATCCGAACTGGGCCTCATCCAGATGGGCAAAGGCCTTGGCGCGGATCTGGGTCACTCGATCGTAGTCCATCGTCGGTCGTTTTGCTGCTTGAGATGAGCGCTTTCCTTTACGAAACAAAGGGCTCTGGAGAGCAGGTTGCGGCTCATATACCCGGCCCTCTCAGCAGTTTCTCGCTTTGGCGGGCACGATCCCCGGCGCCATGCACTCCGCCCGGCCCCGCTCTCCGTCGGGATGGGCTTCGAGGGGGTTTGGGGCCCTGCGGACCATCCCGGCAAGTCGATAAGGCAGCGAGGCGGGATGAGCATCCATCTGCCTGGCTGCATTAGGACCGGCTGTTGTGCTTGCGACTCATGGGCGGCTGTCTCGTCGGCCGAAAGGGAGGCTCTGATCCCGGGTCAGAGTGCATTCAGTCTCGCCTCGATTCCGAAACGACGCAGGCCTTCCCTGTTTGAGTGGTCGCCCGACATGGTCGCCCGGCATTGGGATGGCTTTGCTTGGCTGCAGCCCAGTGTCCAGCGACGGCCCGGCATCCCATCGATTCGATCCGCATCAGGACGCCGGCTCGCACTGTCCCTTGTCCACCAATGCGGTCGCCAAGACGGGCACCGATTGTTCGATGGCCGTGGCTCTGGGCGGTTCCAGGTGGAGCCACGTATCCCTCGCCCAGGTCTTGGCAGCGCGCCTTGGCAGCGACATATCAACGCGACCAGCCGCCAGTCCCAAAGCCACCATCACAGGAATCTCATCCATCTCCACAGACATCCCGCTGCTCTCGAGCACAGCCAATCCTCGTCCACCGTACAATACCGTTGCGCATCTTTGCCAGCCCCATCTATTCCAACCATGTCCCTGTTTAATCTTATCGGCAAGGTCGCCGTCGCCTATGTCGTCTACCGCTGGTGGTCCAACCGCCAGGCCAAGCAACAGGAGCCCTGCGAATACCCTTGTTGCCAAGGCAAGCAGAAAGGTCCGTGCCGTTCCCGCCACCCACACAAGCGCCCGGGCCAGGAGCAAGGCCAGGAGCAGGGCCGCTGCATCCGCCTCGCTGCCGATGGCAAGTGGAGCGAGCAGGATTGGGACAACTGCCTCAGCCACATCCGGTAAGCATCCATCCATCAGCCAGTACTTTTGCCCCTGCAAGAGTCGGCAAATGTCCTTTATGCAGCATGTATCAAATGAACTGAATCTCATACAGCCCGCATGCACTAACACTAGCTGGTCTCGACCCAATAGCGCCAAGGCCTCCGAAGCCATCCCTCCATTCGTCGACTGGGTCGAACAGAACATCAAGCCTGCGGTCGTGTCATCGGAGCAGAGCATCCAGCAAAACAGCTCCGAGTTCCAGGCCATTTCTCTCCCCGACCGTCTCACCCTCATTGTTGAAGCCCCTGGCTTCCTGCGCGAAGATATTGACATCACCCTCACCGACGACACCCGTGTGCTCTCCGTCAAGGGTCAGGCCCAGTCCAGAGTGGTTTCCGACAAGCGCCTCGATCTGCAGTACACTTTGCCCCAGAACTCGGACATCCAGCGCATGACCGCCAATCTCGACCACGGCCTCCTCCTCATCGATATTCCCACCTTTGCGCCTCCAACCGTCAGCACCACCACGATCCCCGTGTCCGAGTCCAAGGCCGGCAACCTGTACCCAACCCTCCCCGAGCTCTAAATGTGCCATCGCAATGCTCGCTGTGCTGGCTATCGTGGATCACGCAGCCCAGTCGCCCGAATCCTCATGTATCTATCCCCTCCCCTCTCTTCCAGTTTTGTTAATTGCTCCTTAATCTGAATAAAAGATGTTCAGATACCGCAAATGAGAGCGACGGTACAAGGTGTGCAGATCAGTGGAGAGCGCATGTCAGGCGGAGACAGCGCTCCGATGATATTGGCGCTGAACTCTCAAGAGCGTCGTGCATAGTCATAGGGTCGACTCGCCCTACCAGGAATCATGACGAGGGTGCTGTCATGGGTTTCGGAGCCTCCAAGTGGCTTCTAACTGAGGTTTCGTTGATATGTAGTCTTATTGGGTCTCCACACCGCCGTTGGTGTCGCCCGTCGTTGTGCTGAGTAGATCGTGGTTGGGATGCCCATCAAATCAATGTCTGTGGCTCACCAGCGACACACACTGCCGCATCATCGCACTTGACGAGTTGACCGAACACACCTTCATAGACCCACATGCGGCATTCTTCCTCTGGAAGTGGAGCTGCTCGAAGTGGCGAGGACTGGACGGGGGCATACCCCCTGCTTTGCTTCCATAATGTGAATGATGAATGTGCATGTATTTCTACGTAACCAGTATATGCACCAACCACATAGAAGAGCACAAGAGCGGGTGCGGCATGCTCGTTAGTGCCAAGGCGCCTAAAAGTACACCGTTTGCTTGTTGACAAGTCTTGTGAGCGAGCGAATGTCCTTTTGCTTGCCCATGCCCCACAGGAAGTTGTCAAGGCGGAAGGCAGCCAGGGCTCGCAGGGTCTCGGAACGAGCCGGGTCCGAGTCATCCTGCCATGAATGGGCCTTGTCGAGTATTCGTTCGGTAGCTTCGATGGCAATGGCACGCAACGCCCAGTCCCACCGATCGCTGTCTTTGCCAAGGTCCCGACCCGCCTGAATCATTTGCACGAGCGACGGATTGTGGATCTTGATGATACCAAAGTGCTCCAGAACGCGAGGCACAACGTTATCGCTGAAGATTGTCAGCTGGTCCAGCTCCTGGAAGGCAAAGCGCTTTGGATCGCTGCCGCCGAAGCGCCGGTACAGATCGCACACGAGTAGCTGTGCCCGTTTCAAGATGTAAACGCCTGGATGCAAAGACGGATCCCCAACACAATCGTGTCGGGTCGTTTCAGACTCAGTCAGTGAGCGCTGGCCAACATGAATCGGATGTCTCATAGACACTGGGTAGACGAAGCAATGCTTTCGACTGATGGTTTGTAGTGTAGATGCTAGTATCCAGCACCAAAAACGTACGCTGTCCATGCCACTCGCCATAGTCCCGCATCGAGGGCAGGAGACGAACAATGGCTTCGACCACATCGGCGGCCTTCCTGGGGCTGTCATTCGATGGCTGGGTAACCTGTAGAATGAAGTGGCCCAAGCTCTTGAAGCCCTGGGACTCCAGACACTCGCCGGTCTCCTTCAGTGTGTCGGTGATGGCCTGCACAAACGGTCGAATGGGTGCAGGCTCGCCAATGACGACCGGCAGGCTTGGATGCGGGACCTCGTGCGTCACCGGGATGTCAAAGAGAGAGGAGATCTGGGCGCAAAGCGACAGATTCAGGCGGAGTGAGCCATAGCATCGGTGGCCGGATCGCCAGCTGTCTGGACCTTTGCTCCGGGCCCTTTGGGAGCCGACACAAAGCATCACTCGAAGGAATCATATACTGGCAATGCAATGCTTGTCCCGCCAACATCGACGTATCGATGATCGCAGCTACAAGTGAGCCTCGGCGCATAAACGCAGCATGAGGGTCGATCGGTATCGCTCTGATGCAGGCCAGTATCTCACCTCGGATATGGTGACGCTCTTGAGATACTCTGTCGTTGCTGTAATTCCTGAAATATGCATCGCCATAGCCCCAAATTTGATGGCTTCCGAAGCTCCCTATGTGAGTGCCAAGCGGTCAGGTTCTGTAGCCGTTCGATCGAGAGGGCAGGGAAGGGAGCCACAAGTGTTGCTGCCTCCGACAACATCTGGGTCGGTGGCCAGCCCTGAGCTGGGGGCCATCGATGGCACAAGACAAGCACGGCAAGAGTCGCTGCGACATACTCTTCCAACAGCGTTGTGCAGCTCCACTCGCCAGCCGCTGCCAAAGTTGAGCAGGTCCAGCAGGGCGATGAAGTTGATCTCGGCTTCGATGCTGTCGAACCGAAGCGGAACCCGGAAGGGCTCGGTATTGGTCAGATCTTTGAAGAGATTGACATCGAAGGTGGAGAGAAACTGGTCGATCGACTCGTCTTGGATCTGGGGCGCAGCGTATATCCGGACTGGGTTAGCCGGGCCAGATTATGCGGGGACATGAATGCGACAATAGGACAGAGTGCAACGATGGCCGCCGGGGGCAGGTGCATTCGTACCGAAATGTCTGCGGTAGCAGTCTCTGCCAAGTGTTTGCAAGAAGATTTGACAGCCTGTTGGAGGAAAGCAGGACCGACGAAGCCATGCGGGGCAGGTGAGCAGCGAATCCAGCGAGCCCAGGACGACTGCTGAGCTGGCTGGTGTGCAGCCAAGAGGGAGGGAGGCACCTTCAGAATATTGCCCTGGGGCACGCCGCTGAGGTCCAGGCTGTTGTTGGGTGAGAGAGTCATGTTTGCGGATGCGAGGGGCCAAGCCAGATAGCCAGAGAGCCAGAGAGCCAGAGAGCCAGAGAGCCAGAGAGCCAGAGAGGGCGAGTGATCTTGGGGCAGGGCGGTGGGAGGAGATCAAGGCGTTGCGGGACTGGGATTTGGTTGGACAACACCAGCCAGGGTCGCCGTTCCGACCAGGGCCTGGAGCAGCCACACTGCCGACAGCGCCGGACGCCCATGAACTCGCTCGCCACGATCGCTTGACAATGAATGCGACTCAATCTAGACCAGCAATCCAAGTGGAGGATGAGATATGGTGGTTCCAGTTTGCAAGCACATTCCTTGTGTATTTTCGAGCGCACTACACACTCCAGTCCGTAAATATATTGTCGATCTGCGACGGCGACGCCTCCAGATCCCGGGAAATCAAAAACTCGGAGGCAAGCTCCTCAACGGTTTCGCGCTGCGCACCCGCCAGAGCCGGGCCCATTTGTATCTTCTTGGCAGAGATAACCTCGAGGGTCTCGAGGGCAACGCCGTTTGTTTCTGGAACGAGCAGCGTGGCCATCCCGCCGAGAGCCATCACGCCCGCAAAGCAATAGAGACAGACGTCCAGATTGCTGGCAAAGATGGGACTGAAAATTTGCACGCCGATGATGGCACCGAGCTTGCCCATGGCTGCGGCGATGCCGTATGCTCGTGCTCGGAAGGGCGTGGGAAACAGCTCGGCTGGAAGGATGAACGTGGTGGCGTTGGGGCCGCACTGAAAGAAGAAGCTGGCAAGTCCATAGAGAACACAGAACCCAACGGTTCGGGTTGCGATCGTCTCCCAGAATAAGGCGAGAATGAGCAAGCTCACCGTGATGACGGCAAATCCAAAGCCTTGGAGGGTCAAGCGACCCGTGCGGTCGATCAGGGCGACACAGACCCAGTATCCAGGAACAGTGCCCATGCATGCAATGATGACCTGGCCGACGGTCTTTTGCCAGTAGTTGTCGTACGGAGGGAGCGAGTTGGAGCCGTTCCAGTTGATCAGCGTCAGGATCGTGCTGGCGTTGAGCGAGAGACCATACCAGGCGACATCGAGCGCAAACCAGGTGAAGGCACAGCCAAACAGGATCTTGCCGTTCTTCCACTGGCCAAAGTGCGCCCAGAATCCTCCCTTCTTGACGTTGGCACGGGTGCCGTTGGCGACCTCCTCGCCGACCCAGTTGGACGACACATCGCGGGTGGCGTTGAGGGCCATGACCTTCTCGACATCGCGCTCGGCCTGGTCGACAGAGCCAATGACATCGACGGTGTAGCGGGGGGTCTCGGGGATGGTCAGACGGAAGTACACGGCACCCATCGCAGGGATCACACCAAAGGCCAGGATGATGCGCCAGACGAGGTCGAGATAGGCCGGGTCGGAGCGGATGCTGTTCTGGAGGGCGGCGAGGGTGGCGAGGGTGACGAGGCCGCCGGTGAGGATTCCGATTCCCTGCATGGCAAAGACGGCGGCGATCATGGTGCCGCGCCACTTGACGTTGGCAAACTCGGAGGTGATGATGGCCGAGAGAGGATAATCACCGCCAATACCGATGCCGAGGAAGAAGCGCCAGACGGCCAGGGTCTGGAGGATGTTGGCGCCGCGGATAGCGCTGGCCGAGAAGGCCGAGCCGATGGTGCAGACAATCATGATGATCATCGTGGAGCTGAAGACAGCCCTGCGTCCATATCGATCGGCCAAGTAGCCAAACGAGATTTGACCTGCAGCGGACCGAAAACGTGTCAATGCTCGAGCTGATTCTCATTTCAGCAGCACATGGATGTTATTTACTCGGCACTCATATGGCGGCTCGGGGTTTTGCGGTCCTGATACGTACCCACAAGATTCCCCCAGAGAATCGAGGCTTTCATCCAGGCATCAGAGTCGGGATGTCTTGAGGGAAAGTCAGATGGAAGTTGGTATGGATCCTCCCCGGGTTGTGCGGTCAGAGTCGGATAGTTAACGTGGTAGAGCAGCGGCAGAATCAAGTTGGCGACAAAGTTTTCATACGAGGCTGCGAGAAATCCGAGCCCGCATGTAAGCCAGATGCGCACATGCAGCGTTCCCACAGGAGCCTCATCGAGTTTCGCCAAGATACGGGCCCTGCATATGCGGTAGACGATTTGGGAATCGTATCTTTCGCTGGAGCGACTGCTACTGAAGCCTTCGCTGGTCTTGCGCGGTGAGGACGACGATGAAGGGTACATGCTATCGACAGCTCCACGATTCACACGACTGCCAGTGCTGCAGAGAGATAGAGAGATAGAGGTAGAGATAGAGTAGATAAACGGCCGAGGCAACGATGCGGTATATATCCGGCTCGCTTCCGAATCATAGGGCTCGTTGATCAATAATTCCGGGATGATGCCGCAGGAAGGCGTCGTGGCGGACGTCATCGAGCGGTAGCCCGATCACACTCGGTTGCCGAAAGCGGCTCCGTTGACGAAGCGTCGGGCGGGAATCCCGCCCACATTGATCCTGGAGGGTACCCGCCAGGCCTTGAGCAAGAAGACATGCGGTGCGATGGGTGTGCAGCATGGCGCAAGGCAGTCGTGAAGTAACATCGGCAACGGAGGGGGTGTCGGCCCCAAACGAGTGCCAACTTGCGTCTCGACGACTCCCCAAGTGGAAGCCTCACGAATGGGCTGCCCTTCCATGGAGGTTGTGGATCCTCGGCCCCTCTTCTATACCCACGCTCAAGTATTGCAGCATGTTCAGAGCGAAATGGGGTGATGCCATACGCACATTAATCACTGCTTGCTTGTTCGGGGGAACGCAGTCCGGGAATACAATATGCAGTTGGCCGTCTGGATAGCTCCCGTGGTCTCGATCGGCATTCCTTCCCCTCCCTTGCCTCTGTGGGACATGCCGTTTCGCCATGATGGGATGGGCGTGCCTTCACCTCCAGAGGAAAGCGACGACCCTGCCTCAAACGGGCGCCCCATTCTGGTTTTGCTACAGCATATCCAAAATGAAATGGGACACCCCCGTTTTGAGCCATGACTGTGTTTTTTCTGTGGCCTGAATACACCCACCCACTCATTGCAATCATGGCCAAACACAGCACCCTCGATTTCCGCATCGCTGCAGTGCGACCGGTGGTCTTCACTCGGAGGGTGGTCTTCACTCGGAGGCTGCCAAAGTGATCTGTTATATTTCTTGTGGCTTTGCTAGACGCATGCCATCGCATACTGCGCCGACAAATGGGTTGTGTCCCATTTCCCCCTGAATACAGTATAGAGTGCGCGGCGATTGGCGCTCCCAGTCCTTCCGCCCAGGCACCCAGAGAAAAACGGACACGCAGGATTCAAACACGGGTCTGTTTCGCTTTCAGTGTGCCGCATCTACTTTCCTCCATCGCCACGAATCCGCTCCGTCCTCCACGTCTCCATTGCTGCGACGCCGGGCACAAATGGATCCGCCGACGATCGCGCAAGCCGATGCGCCCGCAGACGGTCCACACGCTTGGACAAATCTGAGCCGGATAGGCAGCGAAGCCGACGCTCGTCTGGCTGACACACCGCTGGCGATCGACCGGCCATCGGTGGTGTCGTTCAGCGCCGAAACACCGCTCCAGAATCGGGAATCGCTCTTTGATACCAGCCGCACCCAACACACCAGCACGACGCGAAGGAGAAACGATCGGGCGCTGCGAGACAGCTCGAGTGAGCTCCGGATCATGGAGGACGAGCCGGCCCCGCATCCGATCGTCCAGGTGCCGGGCGGCTCGTCCGCCTTGGCTTTGCCCGAGCTTTCATGGGGTCACCGCCGGGTGTCGTCCGCCATGGACAAGGACGAGCTGTCGGCCAAGTTGTGGAATGCCTCCTTTCCGGGCTCAGCCGGCGGCTCGAGCATTGACTGGGATCGCTCGCGGCGGCCATCGTGTGCCGTCCGGGCGAGTGTCTCAAGCACCGGCCATCACCGCCACGACCACCTCGAAGCTTCGCTGCAGGAGCTGCTTGACAGCGCCCTCAAGAAGAACGAAAAGCTCGAGGATGAAAACAGGGCCTTGAAGTTGCAGCGGCAGGTCGTCGACGACGAACTCGAGGCTCTGCAGCAGATCGTCAAGGCCCTCGTTGCCGACCGCGAAGCTCCCTCGCGCGACGATGTGCTTGCGGGCGGGACCGTGGGATCGCTGGACTCGGAGGAGCTCGAGAGGAGCAATGTGCAGCTGCAACGACGCATCGAGATTCTGGCGGAAGAAAACACAGCGCTGAAGGACGAGCTCGCCGAGCTTACCATCGAGCTGGACGACCAGGACACCCTGTTCAAGGACCAGCTCACCGTGGCCGAGCAGACCATCCACAAGCTTTCATCGCAGCAGACCCACACCCACGACGAGCTGGAAATCGCCTTGGCCGAGCGCCAATATCTCCGTGAAGAGGTCGAGGATCTCAAGGCCGAGGTCGCCAAGCTCAGCGAGCGGCTCTCGCAACACACCGAGACTCGGGCGCATGTGCCGGAACTGCCTCTGCTCGGATCAAGGGAGCTGAACAGCGACGAGGCGATGGGCTGGACAGCCGCAGGCCCGGCAACCCAGAGCCAAGAGGCCCAGGACCTTGTTTCTCAGGATCCGGAGGCTTACTCCGATCGCAAACAGACATCGTCTGGCGCGGAAGCCAGCGACCCGCAACAAAGCCCGACTGCTCTAGCGGAAGCCCGCATATCCAGCGAGGAAGAGTCGGCTTCGCCAGCATCCATCTCCGCACCCCAAGAATATCCGTCGGTCGATGATCAATGGTCGGTCTTTATGGTCTCTGCCGACGGGCCACAGCCTCAAACAAGCTCACAGGGCGCCTCGGCCAGAGAGAGTATCGTATTGTCGCACTTTAGCCATTCCGGGACGCAAACGGAAGACACCGAGCCAACCCGCGCAGATACGCAGGATGTTGCTGTCGGTGAAAGTATTGAAATTCCTTCTCTGGACACTGCCGAGACCCAGACCGACGATCGAGATCCAGAGCCAAAGCCAGATCCAGAGCCAAAGCCAGATCCAGAGCCAAAGCCAGAGCCAGTGGTCCAAGCCGAGATACTCGATGCACCGACTCACGCAGAGGCATCGACACAAGTCGAAGCCTCGATCCAGACCGATCTCCCAACCAACACCGAAGCCCCAACCCAAGCAGCAACAGCCAAAGCACCCAGCAACGACGCTGCAACACAAACCCCAACTCCCCGCTCGACTCCGCGCTCAAACCGCAGACGCAAGGTATCCAACACCATCGAAGAAATCCAGGGGAATCTGGTGGGTGGCGGCAGCGGCAATACAAGCGGCAATACCAGCGACAATGAGGACGACGACATCCTTGGGCCCATCGAGCTGAGACGAAGTTTGCCCAAGCCATCGATTCCAAAACGAATGTCGTCGCTGATCAGCGCCGCTGAGAATGTGCTTGGGAACCTGTCGACTGCCACAGCACTGTCGCCTTCGGTCGGATTACCAATGTCGGCCGTGCAATCGACGCCGCCGGGCCTCGATATCGGAGAGAGCCCAACACAGGCTCGGCCTGTTTCGATCGAACAGCTGCAGCTTGAGCGCGATCGCTACCAAGAACAATACGAGGATTCTCAGAAGCGGGTGCACGCACTTGAACTGGCCCTCCAAGCGCTGCGAAATGCCAGCCTGGAGGTCGATCCGGCTGCCGACGCCGAGATGAATGCCGGCTCTGCCACGCTGTCTGAGCCGCCGGGCGATGGCGGTTTGGCTCCACCACGCAAGTCATCCCGGCCAGCGCGAAGTCATAGCATGGGATCGTCGCCGGATCTGCATAGCAGGACCCCTCGCTCGAGAGCGGTATCGTCGGACTTTGGTGAGATACCAAACTCGTCGGATCGATTAGCAGCGGCCTCGGTAAGGACTGATTCGGCTGGCAAGGAAGCAGCGCTGTCGAGCCACACGCTTTCGCTCCTGGAAAAGATCGAAAAGGTAACGACAAGGCTCGGCCAAGAGCGGGGCGATTGCCGCCGAGTGCGTCGATGCGGTTGCTGCCACTTGAGTACTACTACGGACTGGGCTGGCTTCGGGTTGTGTTGGCTCCGCGGATCTTGGCGACGTTGTCGATATCGGCGCGCACTCTTTGCTGGTTGTGTTGGGGGGGGGTCGCTTGGTCGTTCTTGTCGACTGATCGCCGAGGCGCTATCCAGGTCAACTCAGACGTCCGAGAACTCCGACATCGAATGGAGCTCAAGCGGGAAGAAACTGCTCGCAAGCGGGTCACGATTGCCAACGCGCCGTCAGCACCAACCTCGATATCATAGGCAAGGACACATTCGCTCGCTCGTTCGCTCGTGGTGCATCCGGCTGTGCTCGATAGTGGATCCAGCACCTGTGCGCGGCGGGGCCCTGTCCAAATGATTGCATATCGGGATATCTTCATTTTCGGAGCAAAGGCGAGTGGGTGGACAGGTGACCGTGTGAGCGAGGGTGAGAAAAGGGCAAGATGGCTCTCGTTCGGATGTTTGTCGACTCAACGGTATGGCAGCTCACCCCGCTCACCATCCGCGATATCCCCCGCCCGACAGCTTACCCATCCGGCACCACCATGCACACGAAGGGCTCCTCATCCTGGAAACGGCAGCGTCGCGGTGGCGCAGAATGTGACTATTGCACACGGATGGAGAAGCCAACGTGGCTACTGCGGTGCGGGTTCTGTCCTTGTTCGATGCATGGAGCACGTATGCACCAACCGACCGAAAAGATCTCGACAACAACCTGGCACTTGGGGGCAGCCGAGCATATCCGAGGCCCGCGGGAAGGGGGCTCGAGGCCGGCGGGGACGGGTGGATGGATGCGGGGCGGCGGGGAGTGGTGTGCTCGTGGGGGAGGGATGCTGGCAAAGGCACAGGCACGCGCGCCGCGATCCAGTTTTGCGGCCAGGCAGCGCTGACTCACATGCCCAAATGCGTGTGATGTGTCACCAAACGGATACGCGCCAGGAGGTGACTCACGGCCGGTCAGCGCGAGTCACGGCCACGAGAGGGAAAAAAAGCTCATCCGCTGAGCGAACCAACGGCGGCTGCCCGATCGGCCTGCTGGCTGTGGTGCGGGGGAGGCCTGGGCCTTTGACGCAGCAGACGGGGCCGTGTTGTCCTGTCCGGCTTGATGCTGGAAGCACGGCCAGGAGGGGCATTGCTCCTGCACTGGACTGCACGCCCGGGATTGTCGGATCCTTCGGCGGTCAGCCCCCAGTTCTTGGTCGGCTGGACAGGTCAATGGAGAGCGGCATTGTGCCGTCCGATCTGCAAGCCCTGTGCAAATTGGCCGCCCGTGGCGCCGGGGTGTGCCTTGTCTGGGCCGAGACAACAGCGTTCATCAACAGCAACCCAGCCCGCCAGGGACACGCTGGCTGGCGTTGTGTCTGCACGGCCTCCCACTGCCGCTGCATTCGGCAACGGCCTGGCCTTGCGATCTTGGCGGGAGCAACAGCAGCAACAGCAGCAACAGCAGCAACAGCAACAGCAGCAGCAACAGCAACAGCAGCACCTCCGCTTCCCGCTTCCCGCTTCCCGCCGCTATCGGGCTCCACCGGCTGCCGATGACCGATGCTGACCCAGAGCGAGAAGCGGACGACACCCCCCCCGGCAGCCTCGCGGGCGTGCGTGGGCGAGCCGGCATGGGCGAGCTGGCATACATCTGGCCATTCTTCCGCAGAGGCACCCTCCGCAAGGCCCTCCCGCGAATCGCAGATGGCACGGCCAGGCCGGCAAGCGCCGTGAGTCATCGTGAGCCAGCGCCCAACCCGGAGGTGCGCCCCAGCGCGCGTTTGGAGGGGCTGCGGCCAGGGTGTCCCCGGTTTCTGAGACTGTGCCGACAGTGCCGACAGCGCTGCACTGTGCTGCACTGTGCTGCACTGTGCTGCACTGTGCTGCACTGTGCCGCACTGTCGACTGGCTGCGGCCTGCAGTGTTGTTGCTCTTGGCCTCGCAGTTAACCTCGGCCGGCCATTGTTCTTTGACTTGCCCTGTTTCGATTTGATCCTTTGACGAATGCTCTGTTGCCCAACACCGCCGCGGCTCCGTCGCCTCCGTCTGGTCGCCTCGCCTGGTCGCCCCGTCTGCGGCCATCGCCGTGTCCGCTTCCACGGCCTTCTCGTCGCAGCCGCGCTCCCACCAGGCAAGCGGTACACTGTCCCGCCACGGGGCTCCCAATCGCTTCCGTCCTGGCCAACGGTTAAACTACACCGGCTACCCTCTCCATCCTGCATATTTAAGCCGGCCGTGCGTCTCTTGTCGCTCGCCAGTCTCCACCCCACCGCCAAGCACCAATTAGAGCCCCTATAGCCACTCTGTCCATCAAAGACCGACAACCAAACGGTCTCGTCTGTCGATAGCCTCTCGACCCTCTCCTGCCTGCCCTGCCTTGCCCTGCCCTGCGCTTCGTTGCCCTGCATCGCCCTCTGGGCCACTACTCCGGCACTCCTATTCGCCTGCTCTCAGACCCATCTCGGAGTACTCAACCTCCCTGCAGAGCCCACCCGCATCTCCTGCAATTGCTCTTGCCGTCGCGTTCCTGGTTCCTGGTTCCTGGTTCCTGGGTCACCTTCTCAAACTCCACCGCGCTGTCCTCTTTTGCAAATGGCTCGAAAAACCATCGATCAGAAGCGTGTGATCGTTACCGAGGCCTACTCTAAACCCCGCAACATCAAGGCCACTGCCCGCAAGTACAGCATCCAGCCACAGCACATCCGTCGCTGGCGCGGCCAGATCCTCAGATTCGATGCCAACACTGGTCCCAACCGACCCTTTCGCTACCACACCCTCTGTCCTGCGTCGTTCCAGTCTCCGGCCGGATCCGATTCCCAGGCATGCTCGGCCTCGGCGTCGCCCTCGCCCACTTTGGATGTCGCTCCGCACGAAGACTCGGCGAGCGACTCTAGCGTCTCAGAAGCCGATCCGACCAGGCTGCCCGACTATCACGGATGGCCTGTGGTCTCCCAAGCTGGCCTGGCCGCCTTCAATGCGCCTCTTGTCGACACGGGCCTCTCCACTACTCCATCGAGCGACTACTCGTTCGGACCGGCTGCTTGCCCACAGCTGCAATTTTCCAATCGAGCCTCGACGGGTAAGCCTCTTGCGCAGGCACCTTGCTTCTCTGTGGTATTCGCTGGGCGGCCCCGTTTCAGTGTGTTGCCATGGCACCATCTGCTCCACTGCTCGCACTGCCAACCCAACCAGGCCGCCGCTGATTTCCTCCCATTTGAACTCGTCCAGATCAAACCCCCAACATCTTCTTCCCAGCCTCTGCCTATACCGACAACTCCTACACAGACAACTCCTTCGCCTCAACTGCCTCGTTTCCTGCCATTCCATCGTTCCTGCCGGTCACTTCATTCCAGCCACCTTCATTTCAAGCCTCCCCGTTCCCAGCAACGCCGTCGTTCCCAGCCAGCTCTCCGTTCTCAACAAACACAGCCGCTCCGGCCTGCTCGCCCTTCGCCTCCACACCGTCCAGGCCATCCATGTCCCCCTACCAAGCGAGCTCACCGCTGCCGGAGACGCCTCTCCTGCCGAGTGTCCCGCAGACCCTCGTCGGTACCATGCCCATCCTATCCACGACACTCGGCCCGCAACCAAGCGTCGTCCTGGCCGCCTGTCCTCCGTTTCAGCCCGACGGCCCGACGCTCGCGGTCACCACTACCGGCCACAACTTCCCAAACCTCTTCGTGGAATCAATATCGGCGCCCACGACGGCTACCATCATGTTTCGCGGCCTCGAAGATGCCGCTGCGTTGTACCAGTCCAATGTGACTTATCGCCTTGCACAGCCCGACGATGCCTTCTCGCCTCTACCACCTGATTCTCGGTCTATGCTGCCCTACTCGTACTCACAGGCTTACAGCCCTGTCGGCCTCGCTACTGAGCCTCGCCTGTCCATCAGCTCGCCCGAGATAGTCTCTCCCACCAGCGCGGCTGCATATGATACCCCTGCGACATCGCGACCATGGTGAGCTCCGATCCGGTTAACCAATCTTGCCAAACCAGAGATGCCCAAGCCCAAGCCCAAGCCCTGTGGAGGGCGTCTTGTCCAGCAGAGCGTCGTCCTCCTTGGTGTGTGTGGTGTACCGCCATAGCAGAGGCTCTCTCATAGCGTCCTCCTTCCTGGAGCAAAGCAAATCCCTTTAGTCGCTTGATGCTGATTGTGTTGGGCATCGTCTGGCATTTCGGTCCTCTTCTTAGCACAGTGCGCTCGCTGTGCCGGACCTTTTGTCGAGCCTCAGATAGCCTGGCCCAGGTGGCCCCCTGTCTAGTTCGCCGCTTTGGCCATTCCCACGATTGACTTGGCTGTCCTGACCCTTCCCCCATCCCTCATCACAGCTTATGCTGTTTCATTCCTCCCATCCCGGCCTCTGTTCGAGCCGAAAGACGAATCTGTATCTGTCCGTGAAATCAGCGACCGTTCGCACTGTTTGGTTGAGCTTTCGCAGTCGCCGGGGGGGGGATTCTCGCCCCAGCCAGCTTGCCAGGCAGCAGTGGCCAACTACTGGCTGGGTGATCTCCCCTTCTTGCAGAGCCGCCCCTGGTTGCTGGCTCGGCGCTGGGTCGGCAAGCCCGCGCCTTCGCTTCTCCAGCCCGATCGCCGTCAGCTTTTGCTCCAGACGCTCATCTCGGGCCAGCGCACCGACATCTTGAGACCCACATCTGCACTTCTGAGACCCCAGCCACGCACTCTGAGCCAACGTATCGACGTCCCGAGATCATTAGTGCGCCGCTTGCGTCTCCGATCGCCCGCCGTCGTTCGTCCGGCAGCTCCTTCCGCAAACCCGCCGGCGCTCTGCCGATCGCTCCGCTTGGCTCGGTTCAGTTCCTCCCAGTGTTCCCAGCGAGCTCCCCCGACAATGCCCCACATCTCATCCGATCCAGCTGCAGAGAGCGATTCTCTTTCCATGGCCGCTTCAGGCCGGCAGGGCGATCCATCCCCACACAAGCTTGCCCGGCCGGAGCCGCAGTTTGGTCTCGCCCAGGATAGCGCCAGCCCCGCCATCGTCGCCACTGCCGATCCCGATGTCTCTGTTCCGCCAGCGACTGCCACCGAGGAGATTGTGCTCGAGAAGAGATATCCGTTCCCACCCACAAAGCCGTACCTGACGGTCAGCGACATTTCGTCGCTCTTCTGGTGCGAGTCCCAGACCTTTCTCTCCGTCGTCACCGGCGTCAAGAAGCCCCAAACCGAAGCCATGACCATGGGCACCGCCGTCCACGAAACCCTGGAGCGAGAGGTCAAGGAGATTGTCGAGGTGCCGGTGACAACCAAGGAAGACAGCTGGGCTGTCCGGTAAGCATCGCCGCTGCGGGCTCGGGTCGATGGAGCGTCGCTGGTCTTGAGGAACCAATGTCGGCATCCTGGGGCGATCGTGAGGCCCGGCTGCCTGTCAGCGACAGCCCCGTTGCGTTGCCGAGATATCAAGCAGGGTTTTGGGTGCATTTGGTTTGCGGAGGATCAGCCCGCCTCGTCGGGTTCTTCCCTCTCGAGTCGATCCAAGGACAGGAAGTACTCACTCTGGCCCGGCCATCATCCGTGACAGGTTCGCCGAGATGATCCAGAATGTGCATCTGCTCGCCCATAACGGCATCACCCGAGAGATTCCCGTCATTGGGCGGATCGGGCGGTTTCTCGTTTACGGCATCATCGACGAAGTCCGCAAAACGCCGATCCAGGACACACTACCATTGGCATGCTCGCAGGGCCAGACTCCCACGCATCGTTCTCCCTTCTGCTACCACATCGCCGACACCAAGACCAAGCCCTCGCCCACCAAGGAGAAGCCCTTCTCGACCTTCCGCATCTCCAAGCCAGCCAAGGCCCAGGTGATGACCTACCGCTATCTGCTGGAGCAGCTCATCTGTGAGCAGCTCGATCCGGACTTTGTCCTCGCCAAGCTGCAAGAGATGGGTCTCGACTGCGACCAAGTGCTGTCGCTGCCGGTACTGGAACACCTGGCCAGCCTCGAGATGATCGAGCTGGGCTTTGGCGACTTTGACGTTGAGGACGATGACTGGGAGGACAGCAGTGATGTCGCCAAGGACGCTGTTCCGGCTACACAGGACACCGCTGCGTCGCATGCCATCAGCAACACCATCAGCATCGCCGACAGCAGCAGTGCTGTGGACTTGGCCGTTGACGCCCAACCGACCGACGCTGTCCAGCCGAGCAACATGCCCCAGAGCACACCCGAGAGCCTCGATTCCGATGCGGCCGTGGAGACAGCCAGACGCCTCCAAAGCTTCCGCATTCGCACCCTTCGCGACATTGTTCCCAGGGCCCTCAGCCAGTTCCGGTTTCTGCATCCGTCGTTTGATTCGATCATGCCGACTTCCAGCAAATACGAGCAGTGGAACTCTCTGCCCGAAGCATCCGCAACAGAGAATGCGTCGGGTCCGGCCATTGTCAATGAAGTGCTGCCTCTGGACTTGCCTCGACGGGATCGCTACCACTCCACGATCCGACCGCTGGTCGAAAGCTCCGGCTTCATCTCGAACGAGATCGAGATTCACTTTCGGGATCGTGTCAACGGCGATCTCCTTCAGATCTCCAAGGTTGAGTACCGCCCCCTCGAGATCACACAGATCCTGGATCGCGCCAACACCTTCTGGAGCGGTGGCCAGGACCAAGACCAAGATCAAGACCAAGACCAAGATCAGGGCCAGCACGAGATCGATGCAGCCGACCCAGAGACGGATCTGGCCCGCGCTCGACCACTATCGCTGTCGCCACCACCCACTCTGCCATCCAGCCGCAGGCCACAGACATCTGCTTTGGCCCGCAAGCGCACCAAGCTGGACTTTGTCGTTGGCGGCGTGGACGACGAGCGCGAGGCAGCTTTCAAGTGCCGCCTGTGCTTCTATGCGGAAATCTGCGACTTTCGCATTCAGAAATGCGAAGACGCTGTCAACAGGGCCAAGGGAAAGCGGATGTGATCAGCTGCGATCAGTGACCAGCAGCTTCTGCCGGCATTATCCGCTCACTAGGACTTGGCGGAGAGCAAAAGTGCAGAAGCTGGGGGTTCGAGGCTAGGGGCGGCAGTCCGGGCTTTGTGTTGGAAGCTTTGTATTGGGATGGGACTTTCTCATGATCGAAATGGAAAGCAGTCATTGATGAGGGAAAGCAAGGAAGGAAAGGAAGAGGGCTCTCGCATTCCCTGAGAGAGGCTGAATACACAGCGAGTCCAAACTGGATGCACAGCGAGTCCATACTGGATGCACGTCGACTCTACAGCTTGCTTTGATCGTGTGGCGGCGAGGGGAGCGGGGAGCCTAGACGGTCTCAGCAAAGTCGTTCTCAACGGGCGGCTCCATGAAACCGGCATGGCCGACAATGAAGATGCCGGCACCCACAACCAGCCAGAAGATGATGTCGAAGGCGTCGGTCAACCAGAAGGTCAAGAGGGTCAGAACAGCCAGGCCGATGTAAGACTGAGTCTGGGTCAGGGCGACTGCAGGGGGGGGGCAAATAGAACGAAGCCAGGCGAGATGAGTGGGCTGGGGCGGGCAAGGCGAGACACCAAGGTTCTATCCCGGCGATTGTCGCTGCATCCCGGGGGGAGTTTGCTTGAGACGGATGCAATCCAGCTGAGGATGTATGATGGGAGCAACATGCATTCACGACGGCAGTGGAGGGGGGGGGAGACGATCTGGAGCGCATTCCGCACCTTTTCCTCCAAACAGACGGGCGGGTTCATTGGCGGGCATCGACGAAACATATCGGAATCCGACTGATTGCAACGGACAAGGTGCGTTCACAGAAGCATAATGGCGTGCGAGGCAATCGATCAGCGAGCGCAACGAGAGGTCCATGGGCATTCGTTACCAGCGACGGGCTAACAGCAAAAGCACGGGCAGCGACAGGCTTACAGGCGAGCAGGACAGAGGAGATGAAAAAGAGGAGATTCGTGATGCTGTGGAATAGCGCGGTCAGATACGAGCGACAAGATTGGATGGCAGATCGTCAGATTCAGCTCCATGCGCTGCTCACGGCCATATTTCAGCCTGTGTGGACGGGTGGAAAGCCTGTATCGCCCAAGCAACTTACAGGGAATAAGCCGTGAAGACCAGGACGATCAGGAGGTAGTTGTTTTGGAAGTATTGGAGGTTGAAGCTGACCCGCTGCGAGAAGACTGACCAAGCCGGTGGTTCAAAGTCGACAGAGAGCGCCGATAGAGAGTGAGCCGGCTTTGCCTTGACCGTCTCCATCCGCCAACCGCCAAAGCATGCAGCCAACGACAAACCTACCAGCAAAGGAAGCGGGCTTGTTGAATCGGTTTCGATCGAAAAAGTCAGAGAACGGCTTGATGTTGTTCAGGCGCGATCGGCTGGTCTCCTTGAGGTTCTCGAGTGTCGAGTTGTCTGGTGGAGAACGACGGAGCATGGAGCCGAGAGTGAGACGGACATAGCCCAATCATCGGGTGGTTGGCCGAGCAGCGACAGCCGAGCGATCGGCGCACAGAAGCGAATCTGCTGTCGAGACAGCAATTGGCAGGGGGAGGGAAGTCGATGAGAGCGACAGCCCAGACCAGCGGCCGGAGCCAAAGACGCACCAAGCTTGATGTAGTTGGTGAATGAGGAGGCCGAGAAGCCGGCGCTGGATGCTGAGGCCATCATCTTGATGCGGTGGTGTGCGATACGGTGTGGGGAGATGGATGGAGACGATGGAGGCGATGGGGGCGAGGCGATATGGCGGTCGGGCTTGGCGCCAGCGTGGAGGTGTGGCGCGGCCGCGGCGCCAAGGACAGGCAGGTCGCAACACCCACACCCACCTGCATCGATATCAACGTCCGCATCTCCAGCACGCTTGCCCTCCGAGCCGGGGATACACGGACAGCACTGGTTTTATTCGATATCCTGAAGTCAGTCGCCATTCACGAATTGGGGACGTTCCGGAGGGAGCAAGTAAAGAAAGCACAAACATGCATGATCGTAAGCCACCCGAAAGAAGGAAGGGACGACGGAGAGAAAGTTGTACTGATCATTCGAGTGACTGTTTGGAGAGCCCGCGGTTGCTTCACATAAATTTCGGCATGCCGGTGGGCACACGCTCACATAAAGAACATAGTGCCAGCAAGGCCTGTGGTGAGCAGCGAGAGCTTGGGAACGATATCTTCGCCGCCACGGCCGCTGCTGGAGAGATCGCTAAAGTCGCCCTGCAGGAGGAGCTTGGCCTTGTCGGCGAGGTGGTGGGCAAAATAGGCCGGCGAGGCAATGCTGATACTGCGCGTGGCACGACCGGGCAGATGGGCCAGGTTGTACGTGAGGGCGTACAGATCGTCGGGCTTGACGTTGTTTTCGTCAAAGATGACGTGGTAGTGCGTCGGGCGCGAAGTTCCCTGGAGACCCGAGTGCGACAGCATATAAAAGTCGAACTCGGAGGGGTGGGTGACGTCCTTCTCGACGATGGTGCCGGGCAGAGAGTTTTCGCTGCGATCCCGGTCGTTGCTGTTTTCGGGCGGGAAGAAACGGATGTGGTGTCTCTTCTGGCAGATGATAAAGGTGATGGCGCATCGTTCAATCTTTCTCTTCTCCAGGGCGGCCTTGATTGCAGCAATCTCCTTCTCTCTCACTTCCTTGAACTGGCCAAAGGAAACGCCATCACGGTAGAAGATGATGCGCTGAGGGGTCACGGGCGGGCGACCGGGCTGCGAGTTGCTCTTGACAAAGGCGTCAATCAGCTCGCCCATCATCTGCTCCATCTCGGCCACAATCTCCACACGCGACGACTGGGTGCGGATCGCCGGGCGGAAGTATGTGCCGAATCGGTTGACGGAGCCGACCAGAGCCGCAATAGAGGGGGCGGCGGACCCGGGAGGGGGGTGCGTGACGTCGCAGCCCACGAGCAGCGTGGGCTTGTCCATCAGCGGGAGATGGGTGACGCGGTTGGTGCTGCCGCCGAGCTTCATGTTAATCTTCATGGCCACGTTGGCGGCAAACTGGTCCTTGACACGATCCACCGAGAAGATGTTGGAGCTGAGGATGCACTGGGTGGCGATGCCGGCCTCGGTCAGCGAGCAGTACTTGATCTGCTCGTAGATGCCCTTGCTGCCCTTTTCAATCACGCAGACGATGATCTTGGGCTTGTTCTTGTAGACATCCTGGGCGTCGGTGAAGGCACGGCGCAGGCCCGCCCTCACGTTCTGGCCAACGTCTCCGCTCTCGCCGTAGGGGTTCATGAGGACAACGGGAGGCGGCTTGTTGATCGTGATGTTGAGGGTCTTCTTCCACTTGCTAACCAGATCGTTAGCAATGGCTTGAGCCTCCTCGATGCTCTTGCGGGCGTACCAAACGAATGCCATGCTGTCGATGGTGATGGCCTCGACAAACTGGACATCGCGCAGCTGCCAAGAGCCCTCGCGAGGGTTGAGGGTCTTGCTCTTGGCAAAGACCAGGCCGGGAGGAGGGATGATGCGAGCCTCAACCTCGGTCATATTGGGATCGACCGAGAGACCAAACGCCTTCATGTAGGCGTTGTCGTTGTACTTGAGAATGCTTGTGACGGCATTGTCAATATCTCGCTTGCGGGCCGCCGGCTTCTGCACGGTGGCGCGAATCATATCCGAAGTTTGGTCCGGATTCAACTTCTTCATGAAGCGATCGGCAGGAGTCAGCATCAGGCACTCCATCGGGAAGACGCTGCGCGCGCTCGAAGACTGAACGCAGGGCAGGTACGGGTACTGGATGGTGTAGTTGTACTGCTTTTTGAAGTACTCCTGGATGTTTGTTTTGACCTGCTTTCCATCGGCATCGGCAGTGAAGGTGTACTCCTTCGGGGTCTGGCGAAGAAAGTCCTTGATGCGGTAGCGGCGAACAGTATCACCGCGGTGGCAGATCTGGACCTTGGCGTTCTTGAAGAGTTCGCGGAGGAGCTTGAGGAAGTCACGGACACGAGGGATCTCCTGCGGGCTTCCACAGCCCATCAGCTCCGTAGCCAGATCGACCAGGTTTCGGCCGCCGGTTCGGAACACAGCCGCGGCCACATCGATGTTGATGCCAAGGTGGCCCGAGAGCATTGCGATCGGCGACTGGTGGTAGCCGCGCCAGATTTCGAGGCCCTGGGAGATACCGATGCGGCTGTAGGGCGAGAAAAAGTTGTTGCGGACCGAGATGAATTTCTGTCCGGGCACGTGGCGGAGGACGACGCTGATGGCAGACATGGCCTGGGAAATGTTTTCGCTCATGGCTGCCTGGCGCTGTACAAACAGGGCGAGCTCGTGCATGTTGACGACGGCAACCTGCTTGATGGTCACTGTGTATTTCTTGCCCATCGCGTGCACATCGCCAGTGGGCTTCTTGGGAGCCGGAGTCGGGACTTGGCGCTGAGGAGAGGGGGCGGCCGAGGACTGGCCGCTCGAGAAGCCGCCGCGACCGCCACCACGACCACCACCACCACCACCACGGCCGCCACGGCCGCCACCTCGACCACCTCGACCGCCACCGCCACCACCAGACATCGGACGATCAGACTCGGGTAGAGGGAGGGACGCAAGGGCTTCGACCTCGCTCTCGGCGTTGGCGTTGAAGACGACATCGATCGAGAAGGAGGGATCGGGCAGGCTGGCGTTGGAATAGGCGATCTTTCGGCCATCGAAAACCATCACAAACGGGACGTTTCGGCCACTGGCGTTGCCAGTCTTGGGAAGCTGAGCCTCGACAAGCTTGAAGAGACGGCGAGAGACGTCGATCTCGGGGATATCCGGGGTGATGGCAACGTCGTACTGGAAGACGTTGTTGGTCAGGAAGTTGGAAATGCGGAAGATGTTGACCTTCACCTTCGAGAGGCGGCCCGTGGTGCCAAACCCGGGGCGGGTAGGCAGCTCTGTAAGGGCCACAGAGGAGCTGGACATTATGTAGGGGAGGCGGTGCCTGCTTGGGGCTTAAAAGTTGCGCAGCGGTGTGTGCTGGAGAAAGGGAGGGGTTCCTGGGGGGGGGGAGCAGATGGAGGACAGAGGATGAAGGGAACGAGCAGCAGCGGGCTGGAAAAAAAAAGAGCCGGATCACGTGTCGGCGAACCTGCCAGACGTCAGATGCACCCGGGGTCAGCGCCTGTGCCTGGACCATACTATGAAACGACAACAACCAAGCGGGCCAAGCCATCTCCCTGGGCGTCCCAATTCAGTGTAGGCACTCTGTATTGCTGCAAGGCACCCATGTAGACACCTGTGTGGACACCTGTGTAGACACCTGCGAGGCACCACTCAGTCGGCCGGGTTGCTGCTGGCGCTGCTCTCTGTGTCGGTGCCGATGGAGATTTCCTTGCTCAGTGGGTTTTCGGACCGAGTTCTTCCAGAGACCTGGGCCCGCATGCTGAATTTCGCTCCGCCCATCGATTCGTGCGACCCCGATCGATGCAGCGGCGGCGTGGACTGCATCGACAATGCTTTGCGGTGCCGCGAGTACTTGCTGCCGCGCCGTGGAAGCAGCATCGCCTGTGGGCTGTCTGGCGACTGCTCTGCATCGGCCGAGAGACAGGTCAAGCTCGTTCCGAGGGTCTCCTGGCGAACGAAAGCGAATCGGGGTCATGAGTGACTCTGTGTGGGTCCGTTGTGCAGCACAATCTGATCCGAATGCTGCAGCCCGCGGGGAGCGAGCCAGTGCATGTCGCACTTGCCTTCATGCTCATCAGCGACACAAGACCGGTACTCCTCTGTGTCGACGGCAGCACCGTCACATCCATCAGCCGGGCAACTACGGTCGTGCGCTCTGTTGTGCTCACTCCGGACTCGTCCTTCTTCAGATCCAGGCTCGACTGCCTCCACAGAGAGCCTGTCTTCCTGCGGCCGCTCCGCTGAGACGATCCCGCAGCGGGCTGCTCTATCGACATGCCGCTGTCGGAGCCAACATCCTCTGATGCTGTTGAGGTCTGCCCGTCGTCCATGAAATCAAGCGTCGACATGTTTAGCTTGCTCTCGATGCTGTTGCAAGGCTTCATGCCGTCGCCTCGCCGCGAAACCGATGCCCGACTCGCAAAGACGGTGGACTTGCCGAGCGCAGATGCTGTTGGAGAGATGTCGCCCAAGTCTTCCGCGACGAGGGACTCTAGTGCGGAGATCCAGCTGCATTGCTCACGCTCCGAGTGTGCGCCAAAGTCGTAGAAGGTGCCGTTGTGGATATTTCGGAGTCTCCATCCGTTTGCCAGTGAGGCTACATCGGCATACCGAGCGGGATGTCGCCCGATGCATTTGACCAGATCCAAGCGTACACAAGCGGCAGTTTAGTCGATCGAACAACAGATGTGTGATAAAGGATATTGAAACGGCACTTGGTGTTAGTCATTCGGGCCAAGTAAGCAGCGAGATCACAAGGCAATCGACCGATCAGGCCCAAGATCAGCGGTAGAAAGTGGCTTTAGGGGCCATGCGGACAAACACAGCCGATATCCTGCCGACCAACCGTATCAACCGCTCAGATCTGGCCCCTCGCCGCGCTCGTTATAAAGGGTTGAGAGCGACTCACAGTCGGTTTTTGTCAGCGTTCGTAGATAGTACTCTGGCAAATGCAACAACAGCTTGAGGTTGTATTGCGTGGCCTTCTTCGGCTTGATGATGACAATGTACTTCTTGAACAGAAAGACCCCCTGTATGGACCAGAAACCTGGGGATGTAAGGAATCTAGTTTGCACCGTCGGGCTATATCGCACACGCTTTCACCAGTGGTGGGTGTGTGTGAGACTTGCCCAGGTCCGGTCACCAACAGCGCAGAGGACGGAAAGACATGAACAGCCGCTCGATTCAATCATTTTCTCACCCGGTATGCCGTCCGTGGCGACCGTGCGTCAAAGTTGTAGACGTACAGCGGCCCGCCTATGATGATGTTTCCGATTCCGTGGTTGAGCTCCGGTGTCAAGTTGTCGAGTCGAGTGATGAGCCGCACGGTCCGCTCCTTGAGCTCCATGCTTTTCTTTCGTTGGCAAGGTCGACACAGTTGTGGCGACGGTGTAGATAGGGCAGAGAGATCAGGTATGTGATCATCAGTAGAGTGTACAAGGTCAAGCCCCACTTCTCTTTCAACAACGAAACGGGCACTCACTTTTGCCTCGTCAATGTTTGAGGCAACGGCCTGCATGGCTGAGAGGGCATCGAGCCAGCCGTCTCGGGCTGGGTGCGAAGTGCTTGTGTTTTTGATCAGCTCCTGAGCATGGATACAAAGCACAAGTTTAGTCGCCAGGCGATGCTAATGCGGGCATATTTGCAGGTGCACAGGGATACCACCCTGCTACCGGTGGGTCTGATCGATGAACTTGGCCGCTTCGGACGGTCGCCCGGGGTCGGACTCACCTGGATCAACAAAGGATAGCGACATATCCGCTGAATCGGCTTTCGTAGAGTCAGTATGGGATGGTTTACTCAGGCAGCCCAGCCGCATCCTTGATGGTGCAATCTGATTCATATAGATACGAGTCTCGTGGTCTCGCGCATCGAGTGGGAACTCGGTTTCGCTCTACCTCACCTTTATCATAAAGTCGGCGAGGTTGAGTCGGGTGCCCTTTTCGACCTTGAACTCTTGGATGATGCCGTTTACTTCGACCTTGGCTTCGAACTCGTTCCACTGCTTGGACAGCCGCTCGTGGTTGGTGCAATACTCGGTGTAGGCCTCGAACTTGTCTTTCTGTGTTGAGGGGAGTGGTATCAAGCCCATTGGCAGGTTTTCATCATCAGCGGCAGCTACCGGACTGATCAAGCGAATCCGCAACCTGGTGTTTGGTCTGACTTTCCTCGAACCAGCAACATTGGCATTCGGACACCCGATCGGATCGGACCAGACTGGACCCACCGTGTCGCCAAATATCCTCGAGAGTGTCTCCTCTGCGCTCATCGAATATTCCATCAAGCACACAAAGCGTTTGTGGAAGTTAAATATGCTTGTGATGCCATGGAAGCTTTCTTCGAGCGGCGGCGGCAGCATCGAGCCGAGTCGCCGGAGGCACTGTACACAGAAGAAACGTAGGCAAGGTGGATGGTGGTGGTGGTGGTGGTGTTAGAGACGGCTCGGCAAAGCTCGGGGGTCGCTGCACTGCCAGACGATCGTCTCGCACCTCTATCAGAAGATCGAGGTCCCGCACGTAGTTTTTCTCGGTCTCAAAGATCTCTTGAATAATCATCTTGCGCTTGGCCTCCTTTACGCCGTCTGGAGGACCTGCCGCCTGCGCTACGCTCGCGATGCTCCCAAATGAGAATGATGCCTCCGACACGAGAGATAGCATGTCCGATTGACTCGAGTGTGTGTGTGCCTCGTTGGCGCTGGAGGAGCCATTGTCGAGTGTAGGAGAATCGATGCCTGTCGAGCAGGACATTGTCGGCGAGCTTTGAATCGAATGAGCGTTGCTAGCGCTCAGAGATCGAACACTGAGCGGACGACGACGAGGCATCTCTGGCTGGACCACCGACTCGCTTGTCTTTGAGGCCACGGCGTTGGTGGAAGGCGACCGACTGATTTTAATGGACAGGGCATCGAGGGAACCGACTTTGGATTTTAGGTTGAATCCAAATAGACGTCTGGCCTTGGGATTTGATCCAACCGACGCCCGGTTCTGGGGCTGGGAGGATGGGCTTGCCACCAGCGACGGCCGCCCAAACCCACGACTATCCTTGGGCTGTGAGTGCGAATGTGCCGGCGATGTTGAGTCTGGGGACTGAGATGTGTCTGAATCGGCTGCACTGGCTCCGGAAAGCAGCGAGTCGATATCGGGGCCGATCGAGTCAAAGCGAATCGAGGTCTCGGGAAAGTCGCTGGGACTTTCGTTGGGGTCATCCGTAGGGCCGACCATGGGGTCGGTGGGTGACGGCCTGATTCCCTGGAACATATTCCCAGTACTCGCTGGGCGAGGGAGCTGTGCCATCGACCGCTCAGAATATGTCGAGAATATGGTTGAGTCGGCATTTGTGACGCTGTTCCGAAGGTTGGTGGACATGACGAGAACGAACGGATGGCAACAGTGGCCGAGAGAGCCAAGCACTCGGAGTCCAAAGTGAACAAAGTGTGACTGATATCCTTGCCAGCCTGATCGGTTAACAGCGACCGCAGAGGTTTGCCAATACTGCGCGGAGGAAGAGGATGGACTCGGTGGGGCAGAGCGAAGGGACTGGAAATGGTTGTCGACAGAGGCACTTCCCACGACACACGGACTTGTTTGTTGCTGGCTGAACAGAGCCCCGACTGACTCACAGACCCCCCCCCCGATGCAATTCGTGAGCAGATTGCCGCTGGAACTAGAGATTAGAACGCAGCTGCTGACGACGTCTCTGATTCGTTGCTACGTGAGTTCGACAATGCGACTGCCGCAGGCCTCCCAATCATACAGCACGTCCAAACCGAAACTGGCCACCCATTTCACAGCGTTTCCAAAATGAAATGGGACACCCCCGTTTTTAACCAAGAGAGTGTTTTTATCTGGAACCTGAATACACCCACTCGCTCATCGCATTCATGGCCAAGCACAGCACCATCTTGATATCGAGAAACCACACTTTGTCCGGAGCTGTGCAAGCTGCCATGCGCTGTGGGATCGAGACATCAATGCAGCCAGGAACATGATCTCGGCATGCCAGTCGATCATCGCCACAGGAGATCGACCGGGTGTATTCAAGACCATGCTTCCCAAACCAACCAAAACCACTCGATTGCCAACCAGGACGGGAAACAATCTCACGGCTTGCTCACTGGGGCCTACGGAAGTTCGGCAGGCTGCAGGCCGCTGAAGCCAGGAAGTGACTGTTCCGTTTTTCTGGACCGACTATAAGCTAGGTGTGCCGCTTTCTCTGGGTCTCGAATACACACCCATCCCACGGAGACTCGGATTCTCCAACTAAATTTCAGCTCCACCATAGCCAGAGACATCCAATGCCCAGTTCATGAATCGCTCTGCTGTAGGCCTTCCTCCAATTGGGCCCTGAAATGTTCTTCAATCTCATGCAGCCCGTGAGCCGACTGCAACTCTTGAGGGCTCAGCTCGGCAAGGAAGCGCTTCTTCAGCTGCGAGCACAGTCGCGACACTTCTTTCATTCGACGACCCTCGCTCGGCGTTCGCGCAAGGATTGATGAGATGGCTTCGCCGATGATGCGGTTCAACGAGCAATGAAGCTGGTGCACCCTGTTGCTGGCTGTTGTGGCCCTGTCCTTTTCCTTGGAGTGGCAAAGCAATGTCAACTGGCGGACAGAAACCGACCGACACTCGAGCCCAGAAATCGACAGACACTCGAGCTCAGATGTTGAGAGGCTTCACCTTCTGAGCAGCAAGCCTGGAACGGGAAGCGAGCTCCCTGCTTCTCCAATCATGGTGTTGCTTCGATGCCTCGAAGATCTGCAGCCATGCCTCCCTGTTACGGGGAATCCAGTTTCTGTTTCGCTTTGGTCAGTACTCAGGCGGCACTGGCACGGCGCAACCGATCGATCCAAGCTCACGAGCCGCACATAGAGCAATATCGGCAGATGCTTACTCTTCGTCTCCAACTACGATTGTCAGCTCGGCGTCCCATGGCTCGTTGGTGTGCCTTTGCTTCTCTCGAGGGCGGCTGTCGGGGCAACCTTGGGGCAGCTCAAATCGGTCCCACATCCTTTGGATGATACGATCAGACACACGCTGACCACAGGGCCGAGAGAGATTGCGATCGAGGGCTACGTCGAGTGGACATGGCAGGAAGAGTTGGACATAGCTAAGGCGGTCTGGCGCATGGGAAAGATGGATTGATGTCGGTTTAGAGATGAGACGATAAGCCGACCACAGCGACACAGGTGCATTTGAGGACGGCCGAGGAGGTTGTGTGAGGTAATGGCCGTACATTTGAATGCGACCTCGTAGTAAGCTCTGCGCATCGACAGATAATAGTTGTTATCGTCGATAACGATGAGATGATCTGGCTGGCTGGCAGAATCAGTTTGGTCCGTGATGTCGATGCGGTTGGCATGGTTGCTCTGACGAGACTCATTGGCTGCCAAGCAGGAGCAGACTGGAGACTGTGAGCTGAGCCAGCGATCCATCAGCGGTGCGACTGCTGGGGTTGTCGCCAGGGGTCGTTGGCCGAGGAGAGCCGGGATGATGTGCTCGTCTAATAGGGCCACCAGACTCATGCGGGCATCTTTGAAGTCGATCCGCGGGAATGCCAGGGCACCAGCAAGCGGCGAGGCTTCCGCATCAGCAGGCCCGAGCAGGTCTGGGTCTGAGTCTGGGTCTGGCGCAATCCATTCTTGGAACAGCCTGTCGAAAGCGAGGACGACGACATGGGAGTGTGTCTGCGAGCGAACCAGGGTGTCGCAGAGAGTCGACTTGCCCGCTCCAGGGAGACCTGCGGGACGGGCCACAGCTGGTCAGACGATGGGCTGTGAGCACCAGAGCAGTTTGAGGGACAGACGCACCCAGGAGAACGACAATCGCGAGCGACATGCGGCCGGCCCGATGGGCGGATGTGCAGACCAGGGCACCGATGCAGGACCGGATTGCGAACAGCAGGATCGATGTGTGCTCTGATGACAACAAGGCAGCCGATGGCGCGACGGCACGCCGGATCGAGCCAGGGGGGGCTGGATCGAGCCGCGGTGAGCGCGAGCAGATTTTCGGCCTGCTTGCTCGTTGCAGACAACTCCAGCTCCGTCCGCCCTGCCGATCCGCCCTCCCCCCCCTCTGCACGATGGCCGACGACAAGAGGAAGAAGCTCGCGGCCCTGGCTGCCAAGCGGGCTGCCGAAAACGCAGCCCAAGAAAAGAAGACGTAGGTGCTGGCAGCCGGTGCTCTCCGCCCGCGGGTGATCTGTGGTGGAGCCGAGGGCAAGGTTCGATTGGGCCGGTTGGGGACAGGGCAGCCGTGGCCAGCAGAGATCACAGCCCACAGATCGCCGGGTGATTCGTTTCCGACGGTCACTGACTCGCGCTTCCCCATGCCAGATCCAAGTCTGCCTCGGCCAGCTCGAAAGCCGTGTCCAGCCCTTCTTCCACAAACTCCACAGCCTCAAACCGGGCTGCCTTGAAGCGCGAGGAGGAGCTTGAGCGCCGAGAGCGACAAGCGTCTCGCACCCAGAACCTGGACAGCTACGACGACGGCGATGGGTTCATTGTGAACAGTGACGAGGAAGAGGAGGAGGAGGAGGGTATGTTGCCAGCCATTTGTTTCTGTGGGAGCGACTCCGGGGCACTTAAAAGCGGCTGCAGAATAGTTGCTGGGGGTGAGGTGGAGTAGAGTGCCGCCGCAGCAGTGCTGGAGCTATACGACATAACTGGCTGCACTGCCCGGGCTGATCGCCATGCTTGGCTCGCCGCGCGAACACCAGAGGACCGCTTTTCGGACGAAGAGGAAGACGAAGAGGAAGACGAAGAGGAGCAACGCAAGAAGCGAAAGAGATCCTCAAGCTCCAAGAAAGACAAGAAGCCGGAGAAGAAGGCGTCCAAGAAGTCCAAAAAGTCCAAGAAGGGAAGCGACTCGGACGAATCGGACGAAGAAGGCGACGAGGATCTCGGTAAGTCGTCCTGTGCCCAGCAGCGACTCCACTGTGGTGGAGCTCCACAAGATCGGTGTCGCTGGATGCCCGTCCCATTTCCAGGACATAAGCCCCCGGCTATTCGTGGGGCCTCCGACTCACTCGCTGCTGTGCTCTCGATCTGTGCAGACGACGATCTGGACTTCCTGAATCAGAGCGACATCATCACGACGGGCCGCCGCACCCGAGGCAAGAAGATCGACTTTACCCAATTCGGCCCTGATCCGGATGACAGCGACTGATCGCTGCCGCAGAGACACTCGCGCCGCAGTGTGTCGACGACAGAATAAAGATCGGACACAATTGATTCTCACGACTGGTTCCACGCGGTTCAACGGACTATCAAGAGAGAGAGGCTGCGGAGTCACGAGCCATCAGTTGCGCAAGCATCATGGGAAGCGTAGATTTGAATTGAATGCAAGCGGGCGGAGTTCTGTTCTTGCAAATCGATCTGCACACCATGGCTGTGTCCCTCGCTGGACCGACATGGAACAATGACCGATGGAGAGCAACATGATGGTCCCAGGAGGTTGGGACTACTGGGACTGCGCCGGATGGGCACGGACATGAGAGCTATACCAGATCGCCGAGGAGTACTCCCGCTGCATCCACACTTGTAGTCCGGGCCAAGTATACAACTCAAAAATGATGTATTTGGATTGAATTTTAAAACAAATGAGCGGCAAACAACAACCTAAGAGATCAGCCAGGACAGACGACGAGCGATGGCCAGGCCGGCCCCAGAGGCGAAGTTTTTTCTTTGGCCGGTTGATGAGGGAAAAGAATTGGACAGGGGCTCAAGGTCTATAGGGACAAGTGTGGAGGAAAAGGAGATTGACAAAGGAATGGGTGGGTGGAAGAGCACGGTGGTGTACAGGAGGAGAGAGTTATCCATGAAGGCGCTGAGACAGAGGGGGCAGGCAGCTGTGGGACAGTCCAAGCTGCAAGGAGAAAGGGGGGCTCGGCAAGACTGGACAACCAACACAAGACCAAACGTTTAGGCGTCGCTCTCGAAGGCATCGTCTTCGCCAGAGAGCTCCTCGAGGGTCTTGCCCATGGTCTCGGGGATGAAGTAGGTGGCAACACCGCCGAGGGCCATGACAACGGTGAAGACGTAGAGGACAATCTTGGGGTTCTGGCTGAAGAAGGGACCGACAGCCTCGACACCGATGATGGCACCGAGCTTACCAAAGCCAGCAGACATGCCGTGGGCGGTGGAGCGGAAGCGGGTCGGGAAGACCTCACCAGGAACAACAAAGGTGGTGGTGTTGGGGCCGAACTGGAAGAAGAACTGGGCGATCGTGAAGACAACGCAGAAGGCGACAGTGTTGTTCTTGATGGTGTCCCAGGCAATGGCGAGGATCAGGAGGCAGACGGTGATGACAGCAAAGCCGAGGTACTGGATGGGCTTGCGGCCCATGCGGTCGATCAGGGCGACACAGACCCAGTATCCAGGAACAGTGCCCATGCATGCAATGATGACCTGGCCGACGGTCTTTTGCCAGTAGTTGTCGTACGGAGGGAGCGAGTTGGAGCCGTTCCAGTTGATCAGCGTCAGGATCGTGCTGGCGTTGAGCGAGAGACCATACCAGGCGACATCGAGCGCAAACCAGGTGAAGGCACAGCCAAACAGGATCTTGCCGTTCTTCCACTGGCCAAAGTGCGCCCAGAATCCTCCCTTCTTGACGTTGGCACGGGTGCCGTTGGCGACCTCCTCGCCGACCCAGTTGGACGACACATCGCGGGTGGCGTTGAGGGCCATGACCTTCTCGACATCGCGCTCGGCCTGGTCGACAGAGCCAATGACATCGACGGTGTAGCGGGGGGTCTCGGGGATGGTCAGACGGAAGTACACGGCACCCATCGCAGGGATCACACCAAAGGCCAGGATGATGCGCCAGACGAGGTCGAGATAGGCCGGGTCGGAGCGGATGCTGTTCTGGAGGGCGGCGAGGGTGGCGAGGGTGACGAGGCCGCCGGTGAGGATTCCGATTCCCTGCATGGCAAAGACGGCGGCGATCATGGTGCCGCGCCACTTGACGTTGGCAAACTCGGAGGTGATGATGGCCGAGAGAGGATAGTCACCGCCAATACCGATGCCGAGGAAGAAGCGCCAGACGGCCAGGGTCTGGAGGATGTTGGCGCCGCGGATAGCGCTGGCCGAGAAGGCCGAGCCGATGGTGCAGACAATCATGATCATGAGCTCGACACCGTACATGTTCTTGCGGCCGAGCTTGTCGCCGAGGTAACCGAAGCCAAACTGGCCGATGAGGTTACCGTAGGAGGTGCAGGCCTTCATCCAAGCGTCGTAGTGAGGGTAGTCCTTCACAAAGTTGGAGGGAGTCTGCATATCAGGCGACTTGGGGAAGTACACATGGTAGAGCATGGGCAGGGCCAGGTTGATGACAAAGTTGTCGTACGAGTCGGTGTAGAAACCGACACCGGAGACGAGCACAGCGCGCAAGTGGAACCAGCCGAGCTTGGCTTCGTCGAGATGGGCAAAGGCCTTGGCGCGGACCTGGGTAGCTCTTTCCTTGCTCATGGTTTCTCCTGGATGACTTGACTGAGAAGGCAGGGAGGAGATGCTCGTGATCGAACTGATGATGGATCCCGATGGACGGGGAGGCCGATGGTATTTATATGTCGCGATGATGCCAGCACGGGCATGGACGAGCCCTGGCCTGTCGCAGAAAAAAAAGAGAGGCGGTTTAGCACGCGGCCGCCCAAGGACAGGGCTGACAAGACCGGACCCACAGCAGCGCTTGTGGGGGCTGGCCCGGACAGCAAGCGGCGAATCAGCAAGCGGCAAGCAATCAGCAAGCGGCCGGCATGTCTGCGAAGCCGTGCCGCCGCGGGCTTGTGCCTGTGGCCGTACACAGCTGTATATCTGTGTACCCGCCCCCTGCTCTGTGTCGCCAGCCCCTCCGCTCTGTGCGACACACAAGGCCGTGGCGGCGGCTCCGTCAAGGCCAAACCTTAGCCAAACTCTAAACTGGTTCGCAGGCTCTTCGGCGCGTGCTTTCCGTCGTCCACTCGCCGCTCGCCCTGCAGGCCCGCATGCGAACGCACGCAGATGCACGGCGAACATGGACCGCCCTTGCTCGCCCAGAGCACGCACGTTTCTGATGCGGGGGGTGGCGGCTCTATACATCGCTCTGGAACACAAGCCCACCCTTGTCTCGCCCCGCCTGGCACTTGCAATGAGTCTGACTCGGCCGAGCTCGGATGCAGGGTCGCTGTCGGTCGAGCTCTGGATCGGCCTGTTTGGCTGTCGAGCTCTGCCGTCGTATTCTTCCATGAGACCGGGTTGCGATGGCCATCCCATATCGGCCTTGGTCGCGGCGACGGCTGCAGCCAACCTGGCGTATTACAGACCCATTGCAATGCGGATGGGAACATGCGGGCTCACCCGTCGTTGTCTGGCTGTGCTGCCCTGTCTTGGCTGGCTCGCGGGTCAGCTCGTGCTATCGCGGGCGTCGGATCCGATCAGAGCACATGTGGACATGATTGGAGGACCGGCGCAACGACCAGGGCCGGTGCCCTGTCTGCCCTCCCCCCCTGTTGCTGAAGCCTCCACCAGCCAAATTCCCCACCTTGACCTCCAAGCAAGTCCCTGGCCTCTGTCTGACGATCGCACGCAGTCGGTCCCAACACAACCCTGTCCCTGTAGAGCAAGCCACCGTTCATCGACATGCCGCCCAAGAAGAAACCAGGATCGGCTGGGAAGGGCAAGAAAAAAGCCGTCAAGAATGCTGTCGGTGGTAAGGCACAAACTCTAAATCGCTGTGGTGAACGTGCATCGGGTCGCCCAGCGCATCCTTGTTAACGCGCAAGCCATGCCGACGATTCTGATGATGCTGATGATGGTTACGATGCCGACGATGCTGACGACGAAAAATATCATGCCCCCCCTTCTCATGCGCCCTCTGCATCAGAGTTATAACCATGCTGGCGTAATACACCGGCCAGCTCTTGTCGGGCGATACATTGCACGGACACTGAGGGCAGTCTGGAGGTGATTCTCGCGCGTCGACTCGCCCTGGGAGATTCGCTCAGCGCCAGGGTGCAGCCGACGACCAACTCGCAAGGGCGGGAGGCCGTTGAAACATTGAAGACAGCCACGATGAGAGTCGCATTGGAACGGCGGCAAGAATGCATCCTGGATGTGGAGCGGGCTGGAGAACGCTTGCTACGACCTCGTCGAGGGCAGTTCCTTCCGGTCGATCCTGAGCCAGCAGAACCATTCCTCGGAACAGATGGAAACGGTGAGCTGGACGTGGGCGAGAAACTTACCAAGGCCGGCGTCGAGATCGACGTCCTCATTCGCGATCTGGGTAAGCAGATGGGAAGTGATTCTGCTGCAGCAGCGATTGCGTGTTGGCCAAAGTGCGCTCGTGGGCGTCATTGTGCAGGAGACCGACAGCCTGGAATGGAGACAGGAGCCACTCCTCCAACTCTATCGGCCTTCCCCGAGTTTGCTTTTGCCGAGCCTCGAGGGAGTACCATGGTCGATGCAGACGGCCTGTGGGTTTGAGTTGGCGACCTCCGGAATTGCGGCGCTGGATCGACTCCTTAAAGCCCATCATCCTGCTGCATTCCGAAACTCCCACTGGCTTGGCTCTCGAAGCTTGGGAGAAGGGACCCGAAATCCGGGCAGCAGCCGACTGCAGCATCGATGTGGGTCGGGCGGGTTGGCTGGCGTCCGTCATTATATGTTCAACCGACCCACTTTTGCAAGGCCAGCCCACTGCCCGCACTGGCTTGGCTTGCAGCCTCAGGTACGCTGACGCCCTTCCGTCTCGCCAGAGTTTAAAACGGACCTCAACAGCCGACTGCAGAGCCAACTCACGGTGCAGAAGCAAAGCATGATGGACATGGAAGAGCAGCTGGAGACCCGGTCCAAGGACCGCCTCGAGCTCTCCGCAGACATGAGCCGGCAGTACAAGTGCATGCAGTCGGAGATGGCCTCGAAGATCAACCAGCTGGAGAACCAAGTGGCAGAGCTCAGGACGAAGCTGGGTGAGCAGTAGGCCGGTGGGGCGCGCTTTGTGCGGAGGCAGCATGACCAATGCTGATTGGGCGATAACGGCGACGAGTGAGACCATGCCATGAGGACGAAGGAGTGCTGGGCTGGCGGCTGGTTGGTACTTGGTACCCACGACCGGAAGGGTGCATTATCGAGTGGTGGATCCGCTCTGCCCCGCTCTGCCCCGCTCTGCCCCGCTCTGCCCCGCTCTCCTGGACTGCTGATGGAGTGATACCAAAACGGACTCGGTTGTATCGCTGCAAAGTATGCCCATGTCCCTGGCTAACCCCTCGAACGAACCGGAACAGCGGCCACCCAGAATGCCGCTCAGGAAGCCGCCAAGGAGCACGCCCGCGCCATCGAGGAGAAGGATTTGATCATCGAGGACCAGAATGCCAAGATGGCGTACATGTCCAGCGAGTTCGAGGCCATGCTCAATGTAAGCAGCATGGGTTTGGGCATCGCCGGGCGTGGAGAAGGAGTTCAAGTTCGGCTTGCCGTGATAAGTGCTGAGCCTTCCTTCTCGTTGCTGTACATCCGATGATCGATCGGCCGCCCCAACCCGCCTCCGGCTCCCGTCCCGTCAGGATACACTGTCAAAGATGACCAAGAAGCTCGAGGTTGTCAGCCAGCAGTGGAAGGAGAACGACAACATCCATCTCTCCGAGACAAGCCAGCGCCGTCTGGCCGACTTCAAGCTCACGAGGCTGGCCCTCGGCCGGACGGACTGAGTGGTGTTGACGGCATGTCCAACAGGCAGCTGCCGCCGGAGAGATACATGGGCCGAGCCACCCCCTGGAGGTGCACGTCGTGAACCTCCGTTCCAAAAGATGTGATCTGCAGCCCGTTGCGATTCAGTCCTGCCGAGCAGCTTTGTAATTTGCGCACTTTTTTTGGTGTGATCTGTGGGATTTGTATGAGGTCCCACCAATTGTGGATGAAAGTCTGCGGAGTGGGTTGATCAAGCATCAAAGTAGCCAGACCAAGAAACCAGGCGTCGAAACAAACCCAGAGCCCTATTATCATTGGAATCTGACACAGAATGGGCGACGGAGTGGCGCTGCTGGGACTCATCAAACAGTCTAGACAGGTCGCAGTTCGTAGTGAAAGATCAATATTACGGACTCTGGCTGAATATTACACTATTTGAACAAGCCGAGCAAAGAAGGCAAAAAAAAAAACAAGCAAAGAGGCTCAAGGGGACCATCGTTTCTATCATCGTCATCATAATCATAATCATAATCATCATCATCAACGTCGTCATCGTAGACATTGTCATCATCGTAGACATTGTCATCATCGATACCACAGCGACCTGCAGCAGGCAGCGTCACAGGATGCAAGGAAGCAAGCAAAAGGAAGGGTGGAGTGCCGATAGAAGTGGCGGTAGACGGGGGAAGATACACAGCAGAAAGCGATCAGGGAGAGCAAAAGAAGGAGTGAGCGAGATTGCAGGGTCGGTGTGCAAGCAAAGGCAAAGGCAAAGGCAAAGGCAATGCTCAAACAAAAGCGGAGACTCAAGCAAGGTGCAGCACAGAAAGCGAGGCAAAGTACCGACCCAAAGAAGACCAAAGGAGACAGACCCAAGGCGAGAAAATACTACGGGGATATTGGCGCCGATCATCAGACGAAGCCCAAGCATCACCAACGGTGGCCTCAATCCAATCCAGCGGGGACAGCGACGAGTCCAGTCTGCACCAAGCCCGCAGCTGGACCAAAAACGAAAGCAGAGTGAAAACAACAAAAACCAAAATAGCAGTCATATGCTAGGGAACGCAGAAAGGCCAGGTGCCATATCTGAAGGGCAGGAAACGCAAAATATGGAAGGGGGCTGCAATGATCGGAAAGAGCCGTCGAGTGGAATGGAGGGAGGGAGCGGGATGGTGGTGGGTCGGTGATGAGTTGGTGGGCCGGTGGTGAGTCGGCAGGTCGGTGGTGAGCTCGTAGCCAGACACCAAAGACGTGCAGTCCGCGGTTGGGATTGGGCGGGATCGGCGACATGGCACGGTTCAGTTCCGCGATTGAGCAGGTTGGCTCTGGTGAGTGGCGCCAGCCCATCCGTGCTGCAGATCCTTCCGCAGCCCCTCTAGGCCTTCAGCAACGCGAGACTCGACCGCCCGAGCTTCGTCAACGACCTTGTCAATAACAGACTCCAGAGCTGCCCGGCCTTTATGGGCGTTGGATTTGAAGCGGTTGATGGCGGCGTCTTCGACGAGGCGGGCAAAGGTGCTGAGAGCGCCCAAGGCGGTGATGGAGACCTACAAGAGCAACACGGCGAGGTCAGCAGAGAGGCAGTGCGGTGAGCAAGCGGGAGCATAGCGCGCGTGGTGGACAAGACGCCGGCCGGAAATACCAAGCAATCCTCTGGGCAGCAACACGGTGCACTGGGTCATTGCCGCCAGCAATCCCGCCAGCAATCCCGCAAGGAATCCCGCAAGGAATCTCAGGAGGATATGACTGCCGCGACAGAGGCCGCGCTGCACCGCATCGGACAGTCGGACAGGCATGTATATCCCCGGCCTGGCCTCATGGGTCATGGTCGTAGCTGGCCCGACAGCGACTCGATGCATGCATGCATGCATGCCATGTGCATGCGCGGCCTGATCAGCGGTGGCGAGCCGGAAGCACAGGCACCGGCGTGTCTGCCCCGGCAGCAGATTCGAGGGGCGAGGCCTCACCTTCTGGTCGAACTGCGTCGATGATGGGTCCGATTCGACCTGGCGGAACTTGCACGTTTCTTCAACGGTCAGGACACCTCGCATCATCAGATTGGTCGAGACGGCGGTGTAGGTCTGGGCGGCAGGGTCGAGATAGGAGACTTCGAGAAAGTACATGCACTGAGGCACCGGCAGACCGAGCCGGTGGACGATCGATGGGATGTTCTGCTTGCATGTCAGCAGGCGCTCGGTGCGGAGAACGCCGGTGGCGGGATCGATCTCTCTCGAGAGAACGTCGCAGGCGATGACGTGTTGCGACAGCTCATTGGGGTACTTGCGCCAGTTGGCGGTGGTGAGGGTCGACCAAGAGTGCGGAAACGAATGCGTGGACTCGAAGAGCTTCATGATGCTGGTCGTGTTGGATGGGCGGGAGCGCTCAGATGCGGCTCTGCAGATGCAGTCGAGTAGCAGGCGGGTAGGCAGGCGAGTCGAAGGACGGGCGAGCAGAGCAGGCACCCGATGATGGCGGTGGAGCGACGGAGCGATGGAGCGATGGCGAGAAAAGGAAGCAGCTGGAGCGGCAGAGCTGGAAACAGTAGAGAAAAAAAAAAACGGCGGTTGAAGGGGCGAGCGGCGACACAGATTGCGCATTCGCCTGGACAGCGCGAGGCGAGAGCACAGAGCCTGCGGCGAGAGCGCACCTCGGCGGCCGAGACGGCAGCGAGAACAGGGTCCGTTTCGGGCGCGCGAGAACAACGCGAGAACAACGCGAACAACAGCGCGAACAGCAGCACCGCCGCTTTCACATGCTTCCTCGGCGGCTGCGCACGGCCCTGATCCCGCCCGGTATTGATACGCGACCGATCAGGCGGCCGGATCAACCAGACGCAGACAGCGACTCATGAGCGACATTTGCTCATGGGGAAGGGCACTCGGTTGTTCCAGGCAGTTGCTCTGGCCAGTTGTTCTGGTCGCTTGCTCTGGCCAGTTGCTCTGGTCGCTTGCTCCGCCGTTCGTTCCCACGGGCCGTTTGAGGATCAGCGACAGCGACAGCGTCGGCAAGGCACCAGCGACCAAGCGACCCGAGAACCAGCACCGCCGAGCCGACCCTGCCATTCCGATCCCAGGCCGCCGTTCCCGAGTCTGTTCCAGCCTGGGGTGCCCCACTCGTGCTTGATGGCAGGCCGCTTTGCCGCAACCCGGTCGGTTGCTGACGGGCCTGTCTGTGCTGTGCTGCTGGCACAGAGCGAGACGCCGGCGAGACCGTTTCTCGGCCACCGAGAGCACGGCGAGGCGCAAGCGAGAGCCGGCCCAGCGCTCCCGGCTTTGACTTCCAGCAACACGGCAAACTTTTTTTTTATAAGCGCACAATGCCTCTCGTCCGCCCTTGACCTTCATCCAGCTTGCGTTTCTGCCCTCGAGCCAAGCAACAACAACAAACATCGCCCTGCCTCATCGCTCCTCCCTGGCCCCAGTTCATCTGTGGTCCATCTCCAGCTCGCCTCGTATCCGCCGGCCCGCTCCCGCCTCATCGCTCTTGCGCTCTCGCCGGTCTCCACCATCCGTCCGACACCCAGCACACCCGCTGCTGCGTCCCCACCTTGCCCTTGTCCGGCCTCATCCCATACCCACATTGCAATGACGCAACACCGCAGCATGTTCTGGCTTCTGGTTTTGGCCACGCTGATGGCCCTGATCCGGCCGTCCGTGCAGCAACTCACCTGCTCGATCACCTCGACCTTTGATCCCAGCAAAAACTACTTCCCCGCCGGACAGCAGATGAGCATCAGTGAGTCTCTCCCGCATATCCGCATCTAGCCCACTCGTATTCTCCGGAAGAGAACAGCCCAATCCATAGGGTGCACTCTGCTTCGCATCTCATTCCCAAGCCTAGATATGCTGCATACATGTTACTGATCATGTCTTCTTGTCTCAGAGTATGCCCAGAAGTTCAGCGTTTCGTACAGCAACAGCTACAAAATCCTCACAGTTGGCAGCTCGACCTACGTCCTCTACATGTGTAACGGCCCTGCTCCGAACTCGACTTCGATCCCTGCCAACGCCGTCAAGATCCCCGTCCCTGTTTCTACCGCTGCCGTTGCCGACCAGTCGGTGCTGGCTGCTCTTCAGGTAAATATCTTTGGATGGCGGCTGGGAGTTCCCCGAGCCTCGTTCGCCCGGCGCCTCCCTCTGGCTCAGGACAAGTTGTCTGCCCGCTTGCCCGTGCCGACTTGGCGCCGCTTCGATCTTGATCTTGATCTTGATCTATTTTCGATACCTGTCAAAGAGCCCAAGTCGCCCACCCTCATAGCTCGGTTTGCCGTCGCTTTGATCCTGACGCTCGCATACATTTCATCCCCCAATCCTACCAGCGCCTCGGCCTCCTCACTTCGGTGAGCTATGTCCAGAATCTCAATGCCATCACGCTGCCTTGCGCTGAAGCTCGCTCCAGCAGCAGCAATATCTTGGAGCTGCCCACGACTCCTGTCTCGAACATTGGCGTCGTCTTTGGCAACGTATCTAACATTTCCCTCAGCAGCGGTACCGTCCCGATCACCGCTAGCCTGATGTCAGAGACCTCGCCTCTGGCCCGCGCCGAGTGGATCAAGTTCATTGCTGCCTTTTATAACCAGGAGGCTCTCGCCGAAACTACGTTTAGCGGCATCGAATCCACCTACCAGTGCAACGTCGCCGCTTTCCAGATCCTTCAAACCTCGGATCGCCCGGCCGTCACATGGATTACCACCATCGATGGCTCGCACTGGGGAGATTACAACCCACAGTATGCTGCCTCCCTGATCAACAGCTCTGGCGGCAACTATGTTTCGATGGGCGCCTCTCTCGGACACGCCGATGTTGTCAAGTTCCTCCAGACCGTTGATGTCGTCATCGATGCCACCCCCGTCAACCCCAACGGCGTCTCCAACATCCAGACATTCTACCAGAACTACAACATCACCCCTCTGGATATGGAGTCTTTCCGATGGACTGGCCTTCAAGGATTTGTCCTTCGAACCGACGAGAACGTGAACTCGAACGGCTACGATGGTACGCATCGCTATCCCGAGCACCGTAGTCCTCTGGCGCTTTCATTCCGTGGTATCACTGCCGCGGATCCTGAAACCGGTCGCAGTCGTTGCTCCTCCTGTGCACTGGGCTTTGCCTGCCTTGCCTACTAACCTGCCTTGTCCTCTGCATGTCTTGTTCGTCTCGCTCGCCCCAACTTGCCACCTCTCTCTGGCATTTGAATGTGCAGACTGGCCCAACTCGGCCGTGTTCCAGCCGGACTACTACCAGATGGATTTGATCCACAACCTGAATCCCAAGTACAACAGCACATTCAAGGATGTCTGGTTCCGCAACATCGCCCAGGGTAAAGATCGCTTCGTTTTGCTCGCGCTTTGGCCCCGACGTGCTTTACATCCCCTTTCCGCTTGCAGCACGACTGCACCAAGCCAGACCGGCCGTCCTCAACCTAACGCACTGTCGCTTGTTTCGCAAAGGTGACGGCACTGTGGCCGCCAGCCCCAAGTCGTGCGCGGATCCCACTGCCATCCTGAGTGTTCCTTCGACCCTCTGTCCTGTGGGTGCAACAGCCAACATCCAGAAGTGGACCGATGTTGCCCACACTGGCGCCGTCTCCTCTCCTCCCACCTTTGAGATTGTCCCTGATCCCTCCGGTGCTCTGCGCAACGTGCTCCTGGTGGTCTTTACAACCCTCATTGCTCTTGGAGTTGCTGGTTACTTTATCATCAAGTACCGCAAGTACCTGAGCGAGCGATGGTACAAGTTCACCGACGACACCCCGGTCTATCCCAGCAATGTCCGCGACCCCGAGCGCTTCGACAGCCGGGCGGAAATCATCACTATGACTCGCTTCTAAGGCTGTCCGGCTCTATGATGATGCTGTGCATACCATGGACTGCCACGCGAGCGAGCGGCTCCATGTTTTTTTCGGAGCGGTTGGCTTTGCCTGGCTCCCCAGTCCTGCTCGATCTTGTTTTGCATTGTATTTTGATCACTCCCTCTGTTCGCCCTTCATCGTGGCCTCGGCTTTGTGCTCCGCCGTTTCGACTGCGTCGTTGCACTCATCGCCTGTGATCCTTCGCGGGCCGCTGTTTCGGCCGTGCGCAACGGCGCTGCATCTCCAATTGTTCCCTTTCTTGTATTTATGACTTTTTCAGAGCAAAAACCTCACCCCCCCCCCAAAAAAAAAAGTTACACTCAAACCCTGCTCGCCGACGGGTCGCTCTGCTGTCGTGCTGTGTGTGTCTATGGCTCAGCGGTGCTGTGCACAAACGCATCGTTTCCGCCCGCTCTGCCTCTCATCGCCCCAGCCCGACCCGCTGCTCGCTCATCCCCATACGATGACGCCCTCGTCGACGACTCAATCTCGCCGTACTTCCAGCGGCTCCTGGCTCCTGACGGCCGCCATCACCCTGGCGGTGCTCGTCCGAGTGCTCGTCCCTGTGGCATTCCCCGATCTCGCCGAAACCCTGGCCTCACGACCCGAGGTCGCGACGCCAATTACCCAGTTTCAGCGACGTAAGTTTGGGCCGGCAATCGTATAGATGCAGGCAACAGCATATCCCAAGCGCAGATCTCTTCGGGAGAGGAAAAATGCCAGGACGGCTCTCTGAACGGAGATGTCCTGAGGCTCGAGACGTTGGTCGACCATTGTCGGCCGCTCGTCCCCGGCAGTGCTGACATCGGGTGCTCGCTTGTGTATTTCTCTTTTCAGTGACTGAAGGCGTTTATCTTATGCGCCATGGCATCTCGCCGTACGATGGGAACGTTGTGTACCAAGTAGGCATGCATCCATTCGGCGGTTGAATGGGGTAGAATGGTGATCGATTAGACCGAGAACGAGCGGATAAGCACACGGGCTTATGGAGCCGGGTCGCCGCACAATTTCGCTCCGCAACCAGCAGCAGCAAGAAGCAAACGAAGTGGAACTTTCATCGGCCCTCGATGGGCGCACAGTGATCTAATAGCTGCGTCCTCCCTTGCTCCATACCGTTTCGCTGGTTGGCTTGGCAGACCCCTATCCTGTTGGCGCTGTTCGAAGCGCTGCCTTCGTTTCTGCACCGCTGGATCTTTGTCCTCTGCGACATTGCCATCGCCGCTGCGATCCGCCAGATCAGCCAGTCCAAGGATGAGTTTGACCAGATCCTCAACGCTGAGCTTTCGGCCAAGCCCACGTCGCCATCGAGCGACGACGAGATCCCCGAAGACGTCGTATCGGCCAGCACTTTGGCTGAGCGCAAGCCAAGCGACGGTAACGGCAAGGATAACGATAACGACAGCAGCAACGACAACAGCAACGGCGACGATCGTGCCGAATCCAAGCTCGATCGGGTTCTGACAGAGTTGCAGACTGAGAAGGCAATCGAGGCTCGATCGCTGGATCCGTGGCTCATCACTCTGTTGTATTTGGCGAGCCCGTTCTCGATCGCCTCCTGCATCGGCATGTCTCTCGGAGTCTTTGACAATCTGGCCATTGTTCTGGCGGTGGACTTTGCCATCCAAGGTAGGCGCTTTGAGCTGTCGCACCGTTGCGGAGACTTGCAGATGGCGAGACGGCGGCGTGCCTTCCCGTCACGTTTCTGTCTCATCGCCGCTGGACTGCAGGTGAAGCTTCTCCCTGGACAGCAAGTGTAACTGCGCTCTTGTCGTCATCCAGGCAAGCGGCTGCCGTCAATGGCGTTCCTGGCCTTTGCTACCTACCTGGGCATGTATCCGGTGATCTTGATATTCCCTTGTGTGTTGCTGATTTCTCGCCGGCGGAACACTGGAGTAAGTAGTGCTTGAGCCTGTGTGTGTTTGTATGAGTTTGTATGGGCCGGTGTGAGTGGAGCGGACTTCTTGGTTCGGTCTATGGACGACTGAAGTACCTCCAGGATCACGATGGAGGTCTGAGGAACAGGAGTGGACGAGACAGAGGATGTGCTATTGGCAGCAACAGCAGCAGCAACAGCAGCAGCAGTGATAGGGATCGTTCAGTCACTTACGCAGCCACCACAACCCAAACGAACCCCCCTGTTCTTGCGCCATCAACGTCTCAGTTTTGGGTGACGCTCCTTTGGGCAGGGCTCTTCTATGCTCTTTCGTTGGCATTCCTGTTGGGGCTCTCTCGATCGATTGCGGGGTCCTGGTCGTTCATCAATTCAACATTCGGCACCATGTAAGTGGTTGTCAGGAGCTGCAAGGGCTGGTGACTTGGCGTTGCCTGTTGAAGGATGAGTGTCCAAGTTCATGGCGAGCCAGATTGCAGCAGCACCAGGACTAGAAACATGTCGTTTCGATCTCACATTTCCGCAACACCAATGACTCTCTGAGCTGACGCTTCCCACTCGAATATGCCTTTGGGCGTGACAGCTTGCTGGTCCCGGATTTGACTCCAAACATTGGGCTGTGGTGGTACATCTTCATTGAAATGTTTGATCAGTTCCGAACCTTTTTCCTGGCTGTGTTCCAGCTTTGGGTGGTTGTGTTTGCTGTCCCCATCTCGATTCGATTCAAGTAAGTCCTTGGAGGATTGTGCAACTTCTTCGGCATTCGGCTTTGGGAGAGTGAGTGGGTGAGTGAGCGAGTGACAGGAATGCAAGCCACCATCGCTCGGAACCCACCGAATCAAGAGCAATCGACTGTCTTAACTTTGCGTTGTATTTGTGTTGGTAGAAACTCGCCGCTGTTTGTCGTCTTGGTGCTCCTTGCGGTTGTATCGACGCTCAAGTCGTATCCGTCGTTCGTTGATCTGGCCGTCTATCTGCCGCTCGTCGGACTCTATGCCGACCTCTACAAGTGTGAGTAAGCGCCCCCGGTCGACCCTATGGGCTGCTGTAGTGGGTCCTTAGCATCATGGTCCTGATCGGGAGTCAGTTATCGCTATCCACCACGGCTGCTTCCGTGAACGGACTGCACTTGCCGTAGCTAACATGCGGCTGCTTGTTCTTGCTTCACTGTCCCAGATATGACGTGGCTCTTCTTCTCCCTCTCCATGCTCGCGTATGCCACAATACTGCTGCCTTTGTTTTTCCATCTTTGGATTGGCTTTGGTGCTGGCAACGCCAACTTTTTCTACGCCATCACCCTGGTCTTCTCGCTTGCCCAGGTGATTTTGACCATGGACCTGGTCTCGGCAATGAAGCTGTGTGAGTGGGAGCGCCGCCACCCTCGACAACGTAACTCTCGCCTCGAAGTCCACGACAACTGAACGGCGGTATCCGTTGGACAACAACCCACGCCATATCATGCTATCTCATCTTGCACGATGATACTGCAACGAATGGGCAACACCGCTGTCGGCCGCCAAACAAGTGAATACATGGAGATTATTGTATTTGTTCTTGATATTCTCTGGAGGGGACATAGCCCACAGCTATCTAGGCTGCAAACAGAGCTAACTATATGCCCCCCCCCGCTCACGACCTTGCTCTGCACCGATGATAGTGGTGGCCGATTCGGTTATTCCGCTGGCGGATCCAAGTTTCGTGAAGTAGCTCGACTTCGCGGACCTTTTGGAGCGAGATATTGTTCATGTCGGCCCAGGAGGGCGGAAGCGGGGCCAAGAAGCCGTAGGGTTGCATGCTCGAGTCCCGCTTGTCGAGGTCGCAGTCGACCAGCGGACTGCCAAGCAAGCGACGACGGACAGGGTTGTTGGAGTCTCCAGACCCAGGGGGTCGTGCTCGACGGACTGCCAGCGACACGACTGATGAACCGCTTGGACTGGGCGGCTGAATCTGTTGTCCCGGAGACGGTGCGCCAGTGGGACCGTACTGGATGCAATTCTGGGCATTATCGAGAACGTCACTCAGGACGATCGAGAAAGGCTCGAGGATCTGGGACTTGTCTTCTGAGAAATCCGTGAGGTGCTGGCTGCTCTGGCTCTGCCATAGCTCCCAGATGCGATCAACGTTCCTGCGGCGTCAGGAGAAATCGACGGCCGGTTATTTGAGGATGGCGCAACAGCTATGCTGTGGTCCGCACGGCGGGTACATTTGTTACCAACGTCGGATTGACCCAACCAAGGTTGGCATCCCCAGTGCGCATGGAACACTTACGAATGGTGGAGATAAAAGATGGGATCGTTTGGCGAGTACATTTGCCAGAGATCTCCAGCAGGCCCACCGCCAACGAGCACTGTACGGTCCAGCCCAACGCAAGCGAGGGCAGTGGGTTGGCTTTAGTGAACGCATTGCACAAGTGCTCACAACTGACTCGAGCAGCAAGCCGGGACCTGATACGCAGTCCCGTCTCCCTTTGACGCTGATCTCAAAGCTGCGTGGTGCACAGCGACCTACTCACCGTGGACAGCTCCGTGGATGATCTCAAGATGCGGCGCAAACGAGGCAAAGTCGTTGTAGGCCGGGATGACTTGGGACTGCAGCTGGTCATTGCTCATAAGTGGACCAATCTTTCCGTTTGTCCAGAGCCTGCATAGACATGAACCGGCCAGATTGGGGTCATTGTCGGGAAATTTGCGAACCCATCCTGATGGTGAATGATGGTCGTTAGCATCGGAGGATCGCCACCCTCGAATAAAGCGACGCATAAGAAGAATATGTACCTTGTGCAATACCGTCGGGAATGCAAGCGGGTCCGTGCCCACCAAAGGCACTTGAATAGAATATCGATGACAGCTCGGGGGTTTGCGATTCGCTGCCCCAGTCCCAGTACGGAACAAACACGTCCGGATCGATTCGCTGGAGGTGCTGTTCAAAGATTGAGAGCAAGGCCCGATGCCACGGAAGGAAGAGCGGCTGACTCGCCAGGGTATCCAAGTAAGCGGCGAAGGAGGCAAGTGGATGAGTGTCAAGAAGGTTGAAGAGACGGCACGTGCAGTTCAAACTTTGAGAAACGGACACCATCCATCAGGATCATAGATCCACCTCACTACTCCACTTGATATGCGTTGGAAATGCACTTACGGTTCCATGCACCTTTGTCTTGTACTGCAGATGGATGCTTACAAAGTCATCATAGCTGTACTGATTTCCATCGATTTGGGGACCCAATTTTAGGGCGGTGAGAGCACGCAGGAACTTTTGTTTCTCGGTGTCGTTCATCAAGCGCCAGCTCTTGCGTGTAGTCGTTGTTGCACAATTTGGAAGCCCAGTTGCAACGGGAGAAGGTGCAGGGGCAGTGGTAGGATTTGGTTGTGTCGACGAGCTGGTATGAGGGGATTGAGCATTTACACCTCCCTGGTGGCTGGATGGTGATGGTGATGGTGATGGTGATGGTGATGGTGATGGTGATGGTGATGGTGATGGTGATGGTGATGGTGGTAATGGCGATGGTGATGGCGATGGTGATGGTGATGGCGATGGTGACGGTGATGGGGATGGAGATGGTGATGGTGATGGTGATTGTGATGGTGATGGTGATGGTGATGGTGATGGTGACGGTGATGGGGATGGAGATGGAGATGGTGATGGTGATGGTGATGGTGATGGTGATGGCGATGGTGATGGTGATGGTGATGGTGATGGTGATGGTGGTAATGGCGATGGTGATGGTGATGGTGATGGTGATGGCGATGGTGACGGTGATGGGGATGGTGATGGTGATGGTGATGGTGATGGTGATTGTGATTGTGATGGAGATGGAGATGGTGATGGTGATGGTGATGGTGATGGCGATGGTGATGGCGATGGTGATGGTGATGGTGATGGTGATGGTGATGGCGATGGTGATGGCGATGGTGATGGTGATGGTGATGGTTCAGGGTCCTGTTGCTTGGATGGCAATGTGCCTGGTGATGACTGTGATGGCTGTGATACTGCCGGGCTCGCCTCGACAGTTGGCCATAATATCGGCGCTGTTGTGGCTTTGTTTCTGACTGCTTTCATGTCGATGCGAGTACCGGCCTCGCAGGTGTGTCCGTCTCTCGAGCACTTGAGGATACAGGAGATGCTCTTGAGAGTTGGTTCTTGAGCCTCTCTGTTGCCACAATAGCACCAGCCATTGGCCTCGGCGCGGTAGTAGTAACTGGATGGGTAGAGTGGCGTCCATGGTCGCAGTGACATTGGCATTCCAATCAACGGTCTGTTAGAACATGTCGAAAGTCGCCCGTGTGTATGATAGACACATGTGCCGCATGGCGATACATACGCGTAATGTCGTCTGGAGCACTGATGGTGGCATGACTGTGAAGAACTACTGGCGCTCTGGAAAACACAGCGTTGTGCTCCAAGTTAGAAGTGTGCTCGAAGAGAACAGCCCATTCCGAAGTACGGAGGCCCTGGAGGCCGGCACAAGAGTGACAACTTACCATGGGCCGGACGGTGATACTTGCGTGGATGGCTGTGCAAGAGCACTTTTGTCTGGCCCGAGGCCGATCCCCGAGAGATGGGCTTGCGCTATCGATCCAGATTCTTGAGGGCCCACCACAGCCGTGCGAGCCGTCAAGGCAGGGCGTGCAGCATTCGCTTGCGGGGACTCTCGGGACATCGCTGAGCGCATTACCGCAGTGACACTCATCTCCGTTCTCGAGACCAAAGTACCTGTTGTCACAGGCTGATGAGTTAGATCGACGTAGATAAAGCCATAGTGATCGAGGGGCAGACTCAGAGAATTGCTGCCCCTTCTGGCATCCGAGGGGTGCTGAGCCGAGGAGGGGAAGCATGTGGCGGCGAGTCATCTGCTCACCGATATTGGAGCGAGGCACACTGCTGCTTGCACAGACTGACGGTCCAGTTCCCGGCCTGTAGAAACGAGGATGTTAAGGAAGGTCGTCGAGGCAGCGGACGAGACACATGGCGATTGGGTTATGCCACAGCTTGGGTAGCCGCTGTGCTGACCACGAGCGTATTCGCCTCGCTCCAGTCAGGATTGAGTAAAGCTCGCCATGGCAAGACGCTCCAGGGTCGTTGAGCCAGACTTACGCCAATGAAGTGAGACAGAGGCCGACCCAGGCCAGCGCCATCGACATAGCAAGTGCCGGAGGGTGTGCCTGCAGCCAAAGCGGTCGAACGCATGTTAGACCAGCCACAGCCGATGGTCAGCATCATCAGCGCGGCTCCCATGCAGCCAAACCTCAGAGGGCCACGGCGACGATCATCCCAGCAGCAGATCGAGAGGCAAACCCAACGAGCTGGTTGCTGCTCGCTGCAAGACAGACAACTGCACCTGAAGGCCGACTGCTGACGACCGCACAGAGCACAACCAGGACGAAGAACAGGGGCAAGGGCATTGCTGACGAGCCGATGCGGCCTGTCGAGAGGCGCATCGGTCTCTGGATCTATATAGCTCCAGAGGCAGAGATCAGCCCGCCCTGCGGCCTGGAGACGTTGTCTCTGCGCCTCGGAGTGCTGCACCCTTCCCGAGCCCGTCGGGGTCTTTGCTCTTTCGTTGGCCCGCAATCATCCACAACCTTGAACAGCAGGGACCGTCGGAGGGGGATCTTTGACCTCATCTCTTTCGCCAACCATGTCGGATTCAGGCCGGGGGTCCCTGTGTGCAAGGGTCGAGCGGGATCAGACACTGCGCTGGGAGGAGATCGTCGCGAGACTGCCAGATCCGCATGAATCAGCTCCGCTTGCATGGCTCTCTTGTGGGAGAGTCCTGCTCGCTGGATGGCAGTGTGGCAAAGCGAGAGTGATACTCTTCGCTGGAGGATGGTTTGCATTCTCTGCTCCAGCGACGAACGGTCTTCTTGGACACACCGAGTGATGGTATGGCATCGTAACGCAGCGGTGCGAAAGTCAAGTGTGTGGCAAATGGCCATGGTCGGTGCGCGATGGTATTGGGTAAACAAAATATTTGATCAATGGTCAAAAAAACCAGGGTGTCCCGTTTTTTATTGGATTGACTGTAATTTGCTTTGTTGAGGAAGCCCTGCAAATCGAGGGAGAGGGGACTGCGACTGGCTCCCAGAGTACATGTGTGGTTGCCAGTCCAGAAGTGCTGCCTGTAGAGATGATGGGCAGGGACGAGAATAGATGCAAACAAAGTCGGGACCGAAGCGACAAGAGACATACGTGGATCGTCGGACTTGCACGGAAAGGTAAAGAGTGGCGCCGAGCACATGGAGCGAAGCGCAGAAACGAAAAAGACAAGCAACACTATGTACAAAACCATCATCCAAAAAAGGTACGAAAAACAACAACAGCAGCAACAACAACAACGATGCAAGGGCAGCGATAACCAATGGATAGAAGTCAGACGGGCGAGAGGCAGCAAGCCAGAGAACAAAGGGGCGGTCCAAGTTGGTGCAAAGCCGGGTTGCCCAAGGGTCCTGCCGCAGCTCATCGGGATCAGGGCATGATGTATGCTGCTTCCCGGCTGGACTTGCCCGAGTGAGTTTTAGAAATGTATCGAAGGCTGGCGACTCAGGAACGGAGCCGCGGTCTCCTCTTCGCTTTCGGGGACGGAGATGGGCAGGGCCGGCGGAATGTCGGGCGACTGCGCCGACTCGCTGGTGCTGACGACCTTGGTGAGCAACCGAAACTCGGGCTGGGGCTTGCTCTCCCGATTCGGAATGGTGCGGCCGGCGTTGGTGGCATGGTGAACGGCATCGTACAGGTCGTGGGTGGGATCCGAAAAGACCTTTTCGTCCAGGAGGAAGGACTTGACGTGTTTTGTGCCGTAGGACCGATGAATGCCGGAGCAGGCTTTGAGTTGGCAAGGGGAGGGATGGAGGGTGAGCGGGACCGGTCGGATGGGTGAGTGAGCCAGCAGGCGAAACGAGCCTATCGGTCGACCAGAGTTGGAGGACGCATGGCAATCGGACAGGGCCACAGAGCACATGCGAGGATCGGACACGGCCACAAGCAGACAGCCCGAGTAGGAGACAGCAGTCCAGAGGCCATGGCGGCAGCGCAACCCGCGGTCGGATATGGCGGCCAACGCAGGAGAGAAACTTACATTCGCAGATGAGGATGGCCGAGTGGTTTTCCTTGTCGATGGAGACCCATGTCGGGAGCTCGATGCCGCAGTCGGCGCAAAAGTTGTTGTGCTCGTCGATTTCTCGGAGGGCCATGAGCAGATTTCGGCCGTCGCCGACGGTGCCCTCGATGGCAGCTTCCTTTTCTCGCTCAACAAGGTCACGGAAGCTCTCGAAGGTCTCGGGGGAGGCGTAGAAGGATATGGACGTGGTCGGGGCAAAGAGCTTGAAGCGAATCTTTTTCCTCAGCGATAGGATCGAGCCCGAAGGCGACGGGTTGCTCTGCGAGCCAGGCGACGGCGACGACGAGAGCACGGGCGAGGCAAAGCTGGGGTTGATGTAGGGCATGGCGTAGATGGCCGGGGCGGGCGAGAACGAGCCCGGGCCGGTGTTGTAGGGCAGGGTGGTGTACTGGAAGAGCTCGATGGGGGTGGTGGTGTTGGAGGCCGAGCGGGACTTGAGGACAGGGGGGGAGCTGACCGAGGATGGGCCGGCGATGGGTGTCGACGGAGGCGACTTTTCCTGGGCGGCGGCGGCGGTCAGGGCCGAGACGACCTTGATGGCCTGTGAGGAGGTGGCCGAGATATAGGAGCTGCCGGACCAGACGCTGCTGCCAGAGACTCTGATTTTCAGGACGGTGAGGGCCACGGGGCACTCAAAGACGGGCTTGATGTTCTGGTCCTTTGATCTTGGGTAGATCGAGAGAATGCCGTTGGCAAAGCGAGGGGCATAATACGAGTTGGAGGTGGCCTTGTAGAAGAGCATCGTCGAGGAGGCCGCATCGGTAAGCGAGTCGGTCTCGACCTCCTGCGAGATGACACTCGGGGTTCTTGCGGGAGTGTTTGGGTCGATGGCGGGCATCGGAGGGGTGTTTGAGGGGCGACGGAGGCCTGGATTGGGAAGGGAGGAGGCCGAGGAGTCGATGGAGGTGGAGCTGTCTGCTCGCTTGCGACTGGAGGCCGAGGTGAGAGGGATGAAATTGGACATGGCAAACTCCTAAAAGGCGAGAAGGGGGGGGCAAATTTCAACGGCGATGGCGAGATCGGAGAGGGGGGGTGGGGAATGGGAGATTGAGTGATTGATTGCTTGATTGATTGATTGACTGGGTTGTTGTTGGGTGGTTGATGGAGACCGATGGCGGCACGGAAGAGCCTGGGCACGATGTCCGCAACCGAACGAGGGGAGCAAACGGCGCTTGCAACAGCGCGAATGGGGCAACGGCGTCCTTTGGATCGGGCGACGGACGGCCGCGCTCGGCCGCTGGTTGGTGCAGACCCAGCGCGACACTGGGCCCATGGCCGAGCCGATTGGTGGGTGTCGCGGGCAAGGGGCAGCACGGACCCCCGCAGAGACTGTCGACACGGACTGTGGACACAGGCTGCGCCGGAGAAACGCGGAGAATCCAGTGACACGGCGCGGACAGGCCGCTGCTGCGGCCCCCGCATCCCACAGAGATAGCACCACTCGGACAGTGCGGCATGCAAGGAGATACATGTGTCGCGGACACCTTTCCGCGGAGCACTTCTTTAGAGACTGCGCCTTGTTTGCGATGGCTGACATGGTCTGTTGCCAGCGGTGCAACCAGCGGTGCGACCAGCGGGGAGACCAGCCGCGGGTGTCCCCATGCCTTGGTCAGCAGCGACGCTGGCGCGGACCAGCAGACACATAACAAGGCGGGGGGCGGCTGGTTGGCTGCATGGGTTCCGAGATGGCGCTGTGACGCTGCGGCAAGGACACGGTGTGTCGGGCTGCGGTGTGGTGTGGTGCGGCGGGTGTGGTCCAGTGTGGTGCAGACTCCGTCTGTTTGTGTTTGCGGGTGCGCTGGCCCTGTGGGCAAACCCGTGGCTGCATTGTGGTGTGGGCGGCCACAGCCACCGGGCGCACAAGTGTGGCATGCTGGCATACTGGCATACTGGCACCGCTGTTCGCCTCTGCTGTGCTCTGTGCGTTTGTTTGTGCCGACGCGCTGTATGCCGCAGCGCCCCAGATGCCAGTGTCGCACCGGCGCGCCAGCACGTCGCACAATCGGGTGACGGCGCCCACCCGTGCAGCATCACGTGCCGTCCCGCCCGACCCCGGCGGCCTGCCCGGCCAGCAAAGAGGAAAGAAATATACGCCGTGTAACGGCGGCGTAACGCACCGCTGTTGGTTGAGGGGCGTGCAGCACGCACTCCCGTGCTGCGCATGCCAGGCGGGGCGGGGTGTGCCAGCTCGGTGCTGCTCCTGTTGCCGCTGCCGGGCGACTGTATTCGCCGTGGCTGCGCTGTCGCGATAGCCAGCGATAGCCAGCGATAACCGGCGATAGCGACCATCGACGACCATCAACGGCCCTCAGTCCCGCGTCTGGAACCCTGCGGATGCCGTGGTGCGGCTTGTTGCTTCCCGCGACGGCTGCGACGCCAGGACGATCGCAGCCCGGGCGTGTCCCTTCGATCGCGCCCCTGTGCCGCTGTCGTTTGTCCGAGCCACCCCCACCCTTGCTGCTGAGTCTTCTCGCGCGGCAGACCCCTGTTGAGCTGGCCGATCCGATCGTCGCCAGTCGTTCGATGGTGCGATCGTCGCTGTATCCCCGGCTTGTTTCGTGTCGGCTGCATTGTCCCCGGCGCCTGCGTCGGACAGCCATGCCGGGTGAAACGGCCTCGGTTCCCCTGTCCGTGCCTGGGGCTGTCCCTGTCTGCGAGCGGCTCGGTCGATGCGGCTCGGTACAGCGAACTTGTTTTGAAACAGGACGCTTTCACACACGAATGACTTGATGTTCATCGATCTGGCTGGACGGCTTTGACTGGCACCCAAACCAGCAATATTGCTCTTTGCCCTGTGTCTTCCTCCCTCATCCCCAGGTATGTCTCCGTGCTCTGAATTGCAGTGACTGCATCTGCAGCGGCTCGCTGGTCCCGTCGCGCACGCTCACTCCATGGAATCGGCTCCCCTTCCAGGCGTTCATATCGAGCACGCATTCCTCCAGTGCATCTCTCCAGTGCATCTATCCAATGCCTCCTCCAATGCATTTCCTCCATGCATTCCTGTCGCGTCGATTCTCTCTCCACCAGCCATCGACACCCAGCCCTTCATGGCGCCGCTGCATGTGCCTCTGTGTTTCCCCCGCCGGCCATCTCCACATCAACCTCCCCCCCCTTGCAGCCGTGCCGATGATCGGATGCACGGACGGAGCAAGGCCAGCCTCCAGCAAGGCAGCCGTCTGGTGTGTGGTATCGTTCGGCAAGCTGTCTGGTGCCGTCGCCGTATCGGGGCCGGCCTTGACCCATCACCTCCAGCCTGGGTCAGCTGTCGCCCCCACCAGCAGCTTGCAAGTCCTGGAAACCACTCAAACCCAGGGAGTTCTGGCGCCTGCAGATCATCCTCCTGGTCAGGGCGACCGTCAGCACCGGCCGTCCATGGTCCACCGCGGCAGCGACCACCTGCGAAAAGGGAAAAAGCCAGCGGCATGTGTGAGCATGTGTGAGCATGTCGTCCTTCAGCTGCGGGGCGGGGGAGAGCCGATCCCCCCCTGCGGCCGCATGTGGTCTCCCTGAGCAATCATGGCCCGGCTCCGATTTGCATGGATGCGATTCGACCCCGAGCAAAGATGACTGAACCATATCGCTCCAATTGCGACCTGCTCGTGTCCGTCGTTGTCGGCGACACGGCTCCATGCAATGCCAGCCAGGCACCCTGGCCGGTCCCTCCCCGCTGCATCGCATGGATTTGAAACGCATCCGCTGTGCGGAGATCCACATCCAGGATCATCGGGCTGCGGCAATATGCTCTCGGAGATGCCCCGTCGCGGCCTTTTCCCTGTCCCTTTCGCAATCCTCCGCCCGCAAGCTTCCGATCCAGCACCTGGTTCAGGGCCCGTGGATGGACCCTGTCGCACCCTCCGCATCCTCCGCACCCGCCAGCCCGTTCAATCAAGACCAATGCACGCCGTCGATGCGGATACTGGTCACAATGGCTGCTTTCTCCTTTCGGTTGCCAGGCCGGGCGACAAACGACTGCCTTGGCGGAGGGTCGTGAAGCGTGGAGAAAACGTGGAGGACGCATGGGATTGTGGGCAAAGTATCGGCCGCCAGACCATCGACGGGGGGCGCCGGCGCCGGGGAGACGGCAGCAGCCTCCATCGAAAACCAGCGGGGCGGTGTTGTTATTGGGGTGGGGAGTGAGGGAGGCACCATGCAGCCGAATTGTATCGTCGCTTCAGTGTCGCCATCGATACACCCGCGATGGCCAAAGCCATCCACAGCACATTGCTCCCATAGCACATTGCTCTCACATCATCACCTGCACATTTACTTGGCTCAGCCGGTCTTCTGTACGCTCTGGCTCGCCAGCGGTGTCGCCCACGGCTGCATGGGCGGCTCAACAAACATCGCTTGGCCTCGGCAATCCCATGCTTCAACGAGGTCTGCGTGGGAAACTGCCTCCCCCTTCGAATACCCAGCACCCCCCCCCAACAGCCCAGCGCCGCTCCAGCCGCCCGCACGGGATCTCTCCCAGAGCTGTCTGTCTGCCTTGCCTTTTTTCTCTTCGGGGTCGTATGCTTTCTCCCTTGCTGGTCCTCCTCCAGATGCGGATGACACCGTCGCTGCATCTCCACTCCGACTGCACCGGCGGAGATGCTTGCGTCCCGCACATCCTCCTCCCGAGCGACCCTCGTATATCTGATTTCGAATGAGGCCCTGACGGCCACGGCCTTTACCTCTTTCCCACCCGTATCCGGAGCCGGCCAGCGCAGTATTCCGAGACTCGCACCCTTCTAATCGCCTCCTGCGTCCCTGTCGCCTGCACATCCTCTGCTTGCCTCCGGGAGCACCCTGGCCATCTCTGCATCCGCTCGGCTTTGCCCTCCCCGCCGCCGCCTCCTCTCGCTCAGCAGAGAGGATCAGTCCAGCTCAGAGGCTCAAAGTCGCTCCCCATCGGCCAGGCATCGCCTTCCCTGCTTCTTCGCGTCGCCCTCTCCTGGAAACCCCCTATCCCTTCCCCACTCTGGACCTGCTACCACCAGCCTGCTCCTTTCCTCACCAGCACCCTTGATCTTCTATCCTCTCCTTTGTCGTCCCTGTCCTGGTCCCGCTCTTGCCTCCGGCTGCAGGAACTCTCCACCACCACCCCCTTGCTCGCCAGTGCCCTACCCTTTCTGAGCCCAACTCCCCGATCCTGTCTCTCCACTGCCTGGTTTCCCTGCCATGTCCGTGTATGCCTTTGATGGCTCGAGCTACGACGAATTTGCTCTCTCATCGCTCTCATACGATCCGCTCTCTACCATCGCCGACGCCTCGGTCGACACAGCCATGTCAACTTGGACTCAGCCCGAGCCCTCGGCCGGCTTGCCGCAGGCTCCTTTGGCCAACGACTCGAGCCTGCCTCTCAGCTTCGATAGTACTCTGGCCACTTCCCACTCCCACTCCCACTCGGATGAGGATGTGACCCTCACCGCAAGCCTACCTTCGAGCTCCCAGACAACCCCAGAAATGTTTGCCAATCCCTCGCCCATCCAGCTGATGAAGGCGGCTACCACCGTGAGCATGAGCCCGGCCTTCCCTAACCAAGAGTCCGCCGTCGCGTCCATCGGCGATGTTGGAAAGCTGCCCCCTGTCTCAGCAGGGGTAGCCGGCGACCGGGACATCATCCCTGTGGGAACCGCCGCCTCGTCTCCCCACAGCACCTCGGCACACGGCATTGCCTTTGCCTTCTCGTTCGATCAGCCTTTCAGCCCGCTCGAGACTCAGGCTCCGTTCAGTCCGCTCAATGAGCACCCTCCCTTCAGTCCCCTGTATTCTCCCGACCATATGTTCTTTCCTCGCCACACCATCAGCGACGACATGTTTTCTCCCACGTCGCCCCAGGTCTCGTCTCCTTCGACCGCAGTGCAGATCACCCGCCGTGCCCCTATCAAGATCATCTCGGAACGGTTCCGCTCCCCAGTTCCGCTGCAGAACAGCCCAGAGGCCCACACCGCTGATCTTCAGTACACGCAGCCGTACCAGTCGCTCTCGCAGCCCTCGGCCTATGCCCGTCGCAACTACTCCAACACCATCTTGCTCGAGGTGCCCAAGCCCAAACACAAGAAGAAGCGACCCGTTGAGCTTGCTGCGATATCGACTCTGCCTATGGGCTTGGGCTCTGCAGATCCCACCCTGTCTCCTTCTGAGAGCGTTGGCTCCATGCAGTCCCCGAAGGACTCTATCGCCGAGTGGGAAGCAGCCGAAGGAGTCGGCGAGGCCATCGAGGCCGCTGAAATCACTGAAGTCAAGAAACGATTTGTCTGGTAAGAGTCGGATGTCGCCAGGGCCTGATCGCTGATGTGTCTCAGCTCCATCGCCAAATGTGTATTCTGACTCACCGAAACTGTCTGTGATTATGTTGCAATCTGGATTTTGGCTGCGACTAACCCATTTGTGTCTTCGCTCCTGCTACGATGCCCCACTGTCGCGGCACTCTCCCCCTGGACCAAAGTACATGGGCCGGTTGCGGCAAATCGTTCTCGACCAGCGGCCATCTCTCCCGCCACACCCGCATCCACCTCAACATCAAGCCGTTCTGCTGCCCGTTCCCAGACTGCTCCTCGCGATTCTCGCGACAGGACAACATGCGCCAGCACTACAAGATCCATTTCCGGAACTCGCGGTCTCGGTTCTCGCTTTCGATGCAGTCCAATATGGATCTCTCGGGCGGGATCGACGATATGGACACCTCTGGTCAGATCGGCGACGATGGTGCCGCCAGCGCCGACTTTGGCTCCTACCGCAACTCTGGCCATGACGACTGCAGCATCTCGCCCGTGTCGCCGTCGTTCCCGTCGTCATTTGACGACCAGGAGCTGTTCGAGGCCATGGGTGGCCACGTTGTCAATCCCGGCACCATCAAACTGCAGGCCAGCCCGACGCAGAGCAGCAGCGACGAAGACAGCGGAACCATCGAGCACTTTATGCCGTATCCGTCCGAGGATCTGCTCACCAACGCCACCCCGAGCCTGTCGGGCCTGACCCTGGGCGATAGTGGCTACTACGACAAATCCAAGGAGCCGCTCTTTGCCCACAAGCCTCGCCACGAATATGCACTTGTGCATAACCGCGATCCCTACGGCCAGCTCAAGTCGGCGTCGGTCTCGCCGTCGCTGTCGGCATCATCGGCCAGCACAGCGCGGATGCTTCGAACACACGGCGACGCATATCACTCGCTGGAACAGCACCCCTCTGCGGCTGCCCACTCTGGCCGTGCTGGATACGGCTGCCACCACTGCCACCACCCCAGCAACTCGCAGCACGTCTATGCGGATTACCACTCGGTCGGCCACGCCTGCCAGGTTCACCACACGCCGGCCCACACATGCTCGCACCCGGGTTTCCAGCGAATGTACTCGCCGCAGCACGGCTCCTCGGTCCTCCACGTTCCGGCCATGCGGAACGGCGACGCCTATCCATTCGGCGGCGACATGCTCATGGACGACGCGGCGTACTCGCCCGAGGGTGGTTTGTCGGCGCTGGCGGGCCAAAAGACCCCGACGATCCTCGCTCGCGCACGCCGTTCGCAAATGCCACAGCTCTCACAGATGCAGCAGATGCAACAGATGCAGCAGACGCCGCATATCTCGCAAATCTCGCAGATGCCACCTATGGGAGCGGCTGGCCGGCCGACCACGATGCACCATGCCTCGCAATTCGTACCCAGCGCCAGCGCCCTCCAGACCCCGCCATCGGACTCGCCCGAGATGGTTGCGGTGGCTTTCCCGCCATACCGCCATGGTGTCGCCATCGAGAACCATCACCACCATGCATGAATGCGAGCACTCCTCAGTCCCTGATCCGTGGCCCGCCAATCATCCTCTTGCCTGTCATCTTGCACGATCGTTATTGCTCGTCTTGCATCCGCCGCGGCTCGCATCGGTATATTGTCGTTGCGGCAGCCGTCGATTAGTCACTTTGGTCCACGCGATGGTACATGTACTGACCTTGCGTCGGTTCATGTCCATAGTTCGTGGTTCGTGTTCATTTCGCACCCGGGATACTTTGCCAGCCCGAGTTCTACCCGCCTCCTCTCCTGCAGCTCCCTCTATCCACCCTCTCTCTGTTTGTTTGTTTGCTATATTCGTTGGGCAGGCCGCTTGATTTCAGCATCACTTTCGGACTGTTTCTCTCGACAGACTGCCGGTCGAGGACGGGAGGAGATCGCTGTGACAAAATAGATACAAAATCAAAGGCCGCTGGAAGCGCTCGACCACGAGCTGAATTCATGGAAAGCCTCGAGCCTGCCACCGCAAAGCCTTCTGGGCGGATCGCGGCAGGCGAACATCGGCTTGCCCCTCCACCTCCCCTTGTTCCACAACCTGTACACCGCTGGAACATCGTGTGGGGACAGCCGTGCGCCTCCTCCAGCCAAAGGAGGCAGTGCACCCCGATTTGGACAGACACCATCCGGAAATAGCCCCGGGTGCTGCTCGAGGAAATCGATCCTGCGACGCTGGGAACAGCGCAGCCGAGGCAGCCAGCGGCCGAACCCAGTCCACGATACGGGCGGATGCGTCAGTCGGTCTTGCTGCAGCGACCCAGAGCCTTGCGCACGCCATGGTCGAGCCGGTGGTCAACAGCGGGCAGCCGCGCTGCGTTGTTGCTGGCAGACCGCAGCAGCAATCCCCAGCATCACCCGACTTGCGACACACAAGGCCCGGCCAATCGCCGCCCGCCTCGCCATGTCTCGGATTGCCCTTTTGGGGCAAGGCCGGCTTTCCACATCACCGCCGCTCAATGGCCAGCGAAGGGTATAAGAGCAACCCAGTGCTCGCCGGCCAGGATGTTCGCTGCCCGCTGCTCGTCTCCTCCTCTCACCGCCGTCCCTGCATCCCCCCCCATTCGCCTTCCGCCATGTCTTTTGTCGACCGTACTCGTCCCGATACCTTGGTCCTCTTCGACGTCGACGGAACCCTCACTCCCGCTCGTCTGGTGGGTGGATTGCCTGCAGCTGCAATCTAGTGTTGGTGTGGCAGGCTGGGCTTGCCAGGCTATTGTCGCAGAGTCGTCACGGGCGAGGGAGGCCGTTGGTTCGTCTCGTCGCCGTCCATAGCATGTGCGATACGAGAGAAGCGCTGGCCAGTCGTCTCAATGCCCGATTACCTCATTATCTGACTGCCTCGTTGCCTCGCTATCGGATTGCCTGATTGCCTCATTATCGGATTTGCCTCACTGCCTGATGGCCGATCCTACCGCTCACTCTGTTGCTCGTGACCTCTGTCCATCCAGACCATCTCTGACGAAATGAGAGACTTGCTCGCTGATCTGCGCAAGCGAGTTGTCATCGGCTTTGTCGGCGGCTCCGATTTGTCCAAGCAGAAGGAGCAGCTCGGAGAGAACGGTACGATCACATCTGTTATCCACCAAGCGGCGAATGGGAGCAATTCCGGCATGGGTCCAGGCCCCTCGATCTATGCATTGCCCAGAGCAGAGAGCCTGGTGCGGGAAGGAGAAGGAGGGGGGATGGAGAGCTTGTTCTGCTCGTCTCCTCGGTCTCATTCTCGGTGCAATTTGGATCAGTCGTCGTCTGTGGCATTAATCGCCTCCTCCCCCCCATCTATGCTCTGCAGCCGTCGATCTCTTTGACTTTTCCTTTTCCGAGAACGGCCTCACTGCCTTCCGCCAAGGCGAGAAGCTCCCCTCTGCTGTAAGTATCCGTTGGGATCCCCATCCGGAGATCGTCAATGAGAGCTTGCGCTTCGCCATTTCGCATTTCGACTCGCTTGGGGGCTGCCTGAACAACCGACTCGCAAACGGCCTTCTTGTTTGCTTGCTGGACCCGCTGGTTGACGAATGCATCTCGGCCGCTCCTACAGAGCTTCATCCAGTGGATCGGTGAAGAGGAATACAAGAAGCTGGCCAACTTTATCCTGCACTACATTGCTGATCTTGATCTGCCAATGAAGCGGTAAGTCTTTGGGGGGGGTCAAAGAAGCCGGCGACGGTAGTCGTCGAGTGTGAATCCGCAGCTTGCATATGCATCCGATGTGTCCTGTCTCTGACAACACGATGTGCGCCGCCCTGTCGTGATTGTCGTATCTAGCGGCACGTTCATCGAGTTCCGCAACGGCATGATCAACGTCTCTCCCATCGGCCGCAACTGCTCGTAAGTCAAAGGAGTAATTGGTTCACAGTGCCGCTGCTGGCGGTGGTGGTTGTGGGGGCAGCCGTGAATGATGGGGGAAGGCAGCAATGAGCCGGGTATACGTTGGTACCGGCGCCGGCCTCACATCCCGCTGCTCTCTGCGTCATCCCCCCCCCAGTCACCCCGAGCGAAACGAGTTTGAAAAGTTCGACAAGGTTCGTTACAATGCATCGGCCTTGATGCATCGATACATCCCGCTGCTCCTCCAGCGCATCGTGGTCGCACACCGATCCGCTCATCTCAGCCCAGCACCTTTATTACCGCTGTCGGCTGTATCCCGATGACTTTGCTGCTCACACTTCCCTGGATTGCATCCAGATCCACAACATCCGCCCCAAGTTTGTCGAGGCCCTGAGAGCCAACTTCCCCCACCTGGACCTCACCTACTCTATCGGTATGGCAGCCGTCCAGTGTCGTCTCGGTCGCCAGAGGCCTTTGATAACTACGACTGTGCGGAGGCAACCTAACCAAGGATATCCCTGCTGCGTCTTGTTCGTGCTCCCCCAGGTGGCCAGATCTCCTTCGACGTCTTCCCCACTGGCTGGGACAAGACCTACTGCCTGCGACATGTCAAGGATGACAACTTCAAGGAGATTCACTTCTTTGGCGACAAGACCTTCAAGGTAAATGGTCTATGCGAGCCGATGTATCGGTGGCCGTGTTGGCAGCCATGTCTGCGCTTGGAGGCACCTCGTCGCTCTGTCGTCACGCAACTTGTTTCACCCCTTCCTGCTTCTGACGGACTCTGGTACATTGCGCACACACCAGGGCGGAAACGACTACGAGATCTACACGCACCCCTCGGTTATCGGCCACAGTGTCGAGAGCCCCGCTGATACCATCCGCATTCTGAAGGAGCTCTTCTTCTAATAACATCGCTGTTGACCCTGTGCCGTGGCATTACCGAGACAGCGCCCAATACAATGTGTTCGGCTGGTCAGTCGATCAGCCGGGTTGCTCGATCGATCTGCGTCGTATTGCATCGCGTTGTATCGCAGCCGTGCTCTGTCTGTGGCTGGTGGTTGGACGCCTTGCACAGCGATGGCTGAGCATATTCCTCCGTCGGATAGTTTTACCAAGACGCAGGTCCTGGACCCAGCTTGGATCCTTGCCACGCATGTCGAGCGGCTCAGACCGGTGAATCCCTCTCCCTCCCTCCCTCCCTTCCGCCCCTCTCAGAAAACCACGGCCGGTTAAAGCCTAGTGGGCAGTGATGTGGAGAGCAGAAGCGGAGCAGTCAGTCGATTTGATTTTTTGTTGCTTTCGAGGCCATAGCGGCGACCCCAGCGGGCTCTGGGGCTGGGTCTGGACATTTTGTTGTTGCGATGGCGGCATCGGTGGGCGGAGCCAGGAGCGGGAGATGCAGGAGCAACGTGCGCTTTCTCGCACCCGGCATATCGATCGCAGGTCGTCGGGGATATGGCCAGGGGGGGATCACGGCGCCCGCGGAGAGTTAAGTGGCCCTGGGTGTTGCCTGCAGGCAGCAGTAACAACAACAACAGTAACCGTTCAAGCACAGGCTGGCGGTCGCTGCTGGACAAGCCAGATCGTCGTCATGCTCGCCGTGGGGCGAAACGGTCCGGACGGAGTGGCACGGATCGGCGGCGGCAGCAGCGAGCAGCGAGAGCGAGCGGCGGATGTATCGGTCCGTCGGGATGGTTGTACGTCGGAGACAACGGACAGACCTTGGCCATCTCGGCGATTTCGGTGCCATCGGCGATAGGTGGGTCGCGGTTGGTTTGCGCTTTGGGTGTATCGACCGCCGGGAGAGCATCTGCGCTGGAGCGTCGTCTCTGGACATTGGCATTAACATTAGCGTTAGCATTGGCACTAACATTAGCATTAACATTAGCGTTCACATTGGCACCAGCATCGCCATTGGCATTGAGAGCCAGCGCGATTGCAACAACGGCATCGTTACGACATGCCCCTATACCCGATTGCTTTCGTATCGAGTCGCCCATGCACCAACACTCCCCGATCGCCCTCCCGGCCTGACCAGGCTTTGCCATCTCGCACATTTGCTTCTTTCTCCGCGGACAGCGAGCGATCTGCTGATCGACGGAGCGAGCGGGCGGTGGATCGGTGTGCTGGGTATCTCCCTCTCTGTCCCCAGCGTCGCATTCCGCCCAGAGTGCACCCGACCGAGATCGCCCGTTTCCCAGATGCGAGTGCTGCCCCCCCACGGCGGGATATTACCCCCCCCCAGTAAGAGTGCTGGGGACACCGGGGCAGCTGTGGGACAGCCAAGACCGGTCCTCCGCGGGCCAAGCGAAAGCGGCCGCAGGGGACTCACAACAGACATGTTTCCTCGGCTGGCCCGTTGTGCTCTTCCCCCTTTCCGTCCCTGCCATCATCTCCCACGGACTACCTGAGCCTCGTCCCTTGGCTTTGACCTTGATCTGCTGCCCCCCCGCGCGGCTCGCCCTGCCCTCCGATGCACTGTGCTCTGTAGTCCACCGTTGGTGGTCGGTATCGTCGGTGGACTTGTCGGCACACCGTCGGTTTATTGCTTGCCCTCGATCCGCCCGTTACTTCCACACTCCAACGACGAACACACCAGCGACTACTCACGCACTCCGGCGACTGTTCGCACACAACCCTCCCCCCCCCGCTCACTTCGACGCTGCCCTTGGTACCTGCGGCCTGGCCTCGCAACAGGCCAATGATCGGCGCATTCCTTTCGTCCTCCTCCCCTCTCCGGCATTCCATTCCGTCCCTCCAGTGGGGATTCCCTTCGCCCTTGTATTTCTTGCCCGTATCCTGCACCCTCCCCCCTCGTCTCTTGCCACCTTGGTCCCTTTTCTGCCCTGCAGCTTTCCCTGCTCCGTCGACTTGCTTCCCTCACCTCCAATACCGCCCCTGCATCCCATTGCATCCCATTGCATCCCATTGCATCCCAGTAATCTCGTCTCCCTGTCCTCTCCCAGCGGCTCCCTTACCTTATCCTGGGTCGCTTTGCTCCGTATCTTCTGCCTACGGTCCCTATTTATGCTCGTTGCCGAGCGGCCTGTCCGTCGCTCATACAACCTGTGAATCTCGCTCGCCCGATTTTGCTCGAGCACTTCCCGTCCCTCGGATTGACACTTGAGACTACTCCGTCTGTCGTATCGTTGCATCGCAGCATCCTCGCTGGCAGCATTCAAGTCGATTCCAGCTCAGATCGGCTTGCCCATCGCTGTCGCTAGTCTGCACGTTCACTTGCAGTCCCCTGCCCTCCCCCGGCGAGCCGAGCACACTCCTGGGAACCATTCCGTTCGCATACTGGACCATCCCGGCGCTATCCTCCGCTCTTGAACCAAAGCACTCTCCCAGTGCCCTTTGTCTCCCTGACCCCCAGCGCTTCGCATCGAGCGTTTGGTAACCTCGCAACAGGCTTTTATTTCACCCCGACGCACCTTCAACTCTTGTGCTCGGCTATCTCTCACTTGGCTTTCGATCCCCACGAGGCTTCGCTCCTGGAAAACTCGCCACACCACATCGATAAAGTACTCTCGCTCTCGCATCGACACCGCCCTCGCCGTGATCCAAAACCCCTCGAAAGTCTCCCACGCTTGCAGCACCGCCATGCCCGCCGACACCGACCACAGCACCGCCCTGAATCAGACCCAGCTCAAGGGTCGCTCGGCCGAAGGCGTGCTCGTTAATCTGTGCAATGAGCACGAAAACCCAGCCCAGCCCGCGGCGGCCGAGAACATCAACCCAGAGTCGCCTTGCCTGCCGTCGCTGCAGACCATGCTCAGTACCGGCCAGCCGTCTTCTTCTTCCTCCTCCTCCTTCTCTGGCCGCATGGTAACCCTGCCGCCCCTCGGTGTTTCCCACTACGGCACCCCGTCTCCCTCGCCGCCAAGTACCCCTATGACCAAACCCCGGCTGTATCCCCTCCATGCTCTCACGTTCGCGGAGCCCCGGCCCAGCCAGCGGCCGACAACGGGCACTCTTCTGCGGTTCGATTGCCACGGGACGGCAGCCGCCTCCCGACGCTCCCGATGCTCGTCCATGGAGCCCCTCACACCCCAGAAGAGGCTGCAGCCGCCGGCCGGAGACGATGCACAGAGACGCTTTTCTGTCGACAGCGTCATTGACGGCATCGCCGACGAGCAGGCCGGGTCTACTACCCGACAGACTTCCCTGAGCTGCTCACCGCCACCCGCAGCCGGAAGCTCGGCGCTACTAAGCCTTCCCCAGGATCTGTCCGAGTCGCTGGCAAGCACGAACGAGTCTCCGTCCAAAGAGCAAGATGCCGAGGCAAGCGCTAGCACAAAGCGGCGGTTTCAATGCACCTTCCAAAATTGCCAAAAGTCGTTCAGCACAAGGTAAGCACCCAGCCCGGCCGCTTGACAACTCGACACTGAATGCTGAATGCTGAATGCTGAATGCTGAATGCTGAATGCTGAATGCTGAATGCTGAATGCTGAATGCTGGCTGCTGAATCCTTTCGCAGCGGCCACTTGTCGAGGCACCACCGTATCCACACTGGCGTCAAGCCGTACGAGTGTCCTGTTACCGATTGCAAGGCTCGGTTCTCTCGACAAGACAACATGATGCAGGTGAGTTCCTGCATCACGGCGCTGTGGTGTGTCTGGTTGTGTCTTCGTCTCCTACGTGTCCGGGGTCTCCGTGGTATGAGCCGCAAACGCACCCCTGATGGATCTATATCTCTCGATAGCACTACCGCACCCATGTTCTCAAGGTCCAGCGCAAGGGCAGCGAGGGCTCCGGCTTGGTGCTGCAGCTCGATCCCACGTCCGGGAGCCGGCCTGCCTTTGGAACGATCATGGCCGCCTCTGGTCAGGCACCAGCGACTGTTTCGGTGGTTTCCTTGGGCCCCTCCATTCACACGCCGTCGCCCTGGCGTACTCGCTACTGCTCTCTACCCACCACCGCCGCCCCATATCCACACAGCAGCCCTGCCTCCATCGCAAAACGGAGGGCCTCCTTCCCTCACATGGCATATTCGATACCCAGCTATACCCATCCGTACTCGCATGCCCACATCCCTGCGCGTGCTGTGCCCTATCCGCATCTCTATCAGCATCATCCAGGCGGCTATGCTGTCACTGGTCCCTCGCTGACCTCTGTCTGCCATTGCATGCCCGGCAGCGGCTCTCGTCGAGGCTCGGGGGCGACTCAGTGCGATGGAGCCCACCACGAGGCCGGATGTGGCTCGCTTGTCGTCCGACTCCCAGATCCGGCATCGGGTCGCTCTGCAGAAAGATCGCCAAAGCGGCAAGCATGAACGAAGGCGATCGTACTTTTCTTGGGACTCTTGCATGACTCCAAGCACATCCTTACCACCTCTCGGCCACTCCAAGACGGCCCCAACATCCAATACCTCGCACTCGCTCACACTGCTCGGCTTTCGTATTATTCCCGCGCTCCTTTCGCTGCCCGTTGCTTGCTACTCGTCGCTCGCGGTGTGCTGTTGCGCCTCTGCCTTTGATCCAGGTTGATTGCTATGGCAGGCTGCACAGTGCCAGTCGAGCCTCGGGTGCTGCTCTTTTGGAGTGCCCTTTGATCTTTACAATATGTCCTCCGCCATCGCGGCCATTTCTCTCTCTCTCACTCTCTCTTGGATATCTATCCGTCAGTTTAAAGTACGCACTCGCATCAGTATGCATCGCTCCATCCATCCGTGGTGCGGGACTCCACACACTCCTTGTGGCTCTCTTCATACGCTGTATTCAGGAGGAAATGGGACACTTGCCCACAGCCCATATGATAGCATGTCTGTGATGGCGTTTGTCCAACTATACCATAAGAAATAAAATCAAATCACTTTGGCAGCCTCCGAGTGAACACCGCCGGTCACTCTCCGGTCTCCACAATCGACCTGCACACTGTTCTCGGAGTGCCAGCGGTGAATGGCGCTCTTGGACACACTGGCGAATGGTCATGGCCAGCGCGCGATGGTATTGGGTAACAAAATATTTGATCAATGGTCAAAATCAAGGGTGTCCCGTTTTTTGGATCGCCTGTAAAGCCCACCATGATCATCGTATCGATCGGAATCCGGCCGGAGAGAGCTATCAGCACGACGGCAACAGACGGCGCGGGAGCATGCTCACGTTTGGTTGTGCTGCAGATCCCTCCCAATCATCATCGAGGTTGACAACGCAGAGCGATCCGATCAAGACGATGCAGGGCTGGCTGCTGTCTTGCCTTTTGGCGGCGCCTGCACACCAACGACGCTCTGTGCATCCATCTTGGAGCCTCTGATACAGCGCCCTTCGACCATGCCTCTCTCCAACGGAGTTATCGAGGCGCCAGCGCCCATTCCGTCGCAGCCCAACAGCTCGTTTACCTCAGTGCTCAATGCCGTTGGTCCCCAGGGTGTGCTGCAGCAGGTACCCGAAAAGAATGCCTGGTCTGCACGAACCCGACCTCCGCGAGTGGTCAGATAGTCACGGATGTCCTGTGGGCGCAGTAACGAAACCACACTCACCTCGCTCTTTCTCCTCCGTTGGTCTGAACGGCCGACTCGTCTTGGTCGTGATGCACATTCAAACCCGCTCCCTTCGTTCGGCATCGGCTTTCGCCAGTCGTCGCTGATGCAGCTGACGCGCGCAATCGACGTTCTGGCTCAGTTTTCGTACCATGCCAATGATATCTTTGCCGGTACGAGCCGGTCCAAACAGGAGCTCCGTTGGGTTCTCTCGTCAACATTGTGGTCTCAGTCGGTGCAGCTACACGCTCTTCTCGTGCAAGAGCTCTTTGGCTGCGACTCCTTTCCTCGATTTCGCCTCTGTCCCATGCGTTTGTGCGTCGGCCCATCGATGTCAAGCTGGGGCACTCTCTCTCTCTTCGTTTCCCTGAACTCATCCAGTCAATGGCTGCATCCTGGCCAACCCCAAAACCACCCTTCTCTCTCTGCAGAACTCGAATCGCACACAAGCAGGATTGCAGACAGGATTGCCTTGGCCAAAGAGAAAGTCGACAATCTGAAGCAGACTCTGCCTGTTGTCGCGCTGAAGATGCAGAGCACCACCGTGATCAACTCGCTCGCTCCAGAGAGTAGGTTTCCGCAGCTGCACGAAGAGAGAGAGAGAGAGAGAGAGAGAGAGGGAAGCTGGGGCGGTGCCTATCGAACTCTATGCAGTAGTGGATATTGATGGTTTACCGCCTCGCCTGCCATGCCGCTCTCGCCTGCCATCCGTCCTTTGATCCCACGCGCAGGGTTCGCATTCAACCCCGGCCATCTCACTGAATGGAGCTTGATCACAAAGAAGACCGAGCCAGTGTCCATCTCCAAGGTTTACGATCGCTGTCGAGGCCCGCCGGAGCTCTCCCGTCTCGACGAGTTTCGGACGGACGGCCAAAACTCGCTCAAAGTAAGTACTCTGCCCTTGTTCTTCCGAATGTGTCATGCCAGGGAACTGTCGAGTTTGAAGGTCCAACTCGACTTACGACGCATGACTCTCTCGTCAGCAATACACCTACCCCGAGTTCTTCCTGGAAGAGTGGAAAAAACTCATGGCGGCCGAGGCCAATACCAAGCCCAAGAAAGCACGCAAGAAGGAGAAGGTAAGAAGAGGCGGAGAGGAGGCATCTGCAGCGCCGCGACGAGAGCACGGACGCTGTATGTGCGGCCATATCCATGCAGGGTGCTTGGGCTGCTCATCCGTTACTCACAGCCGACCTCGGGACGCTCTCAGCAAGCCCTGAAGGCAGTCGAGACCGTCAAAGTCAAGGAGCTGGATATCAAGCGGTACAACTCGCATGGTGACATGATTGCAGCAGGAGACGAGGGCACATCCGCCAGCCGCAACCCAGTCCGCACCCGGGCTGCTGTCGCCGACGATCCATACGCTTCGCCTCTGTCGGGCCTCTCAAGCCTTCCCACGAGCGCATCTGCCTCAAGGGACCTTGCAGTGGCCGCAAAAGCGGCCCCAGTGCCATCTCGGCTCCCACCACCACCACCTCCACCACCTCCTCCGGCAGCAGCAGCGGGGACTCCTCCGCCCCCAGGACCAGGTGCCCCTCCACCACCACCATCGCTTGCCACGGGTGGGACGGTAACCATCTCAGCGCAGCTCGCAGCGGTGCAGCTCAAGGCGAATCCACAAGCAAGCCAGAAAAAGCTCGACGATCGTGGTAGCCTGCTGAGCGACATATCAAAGGGACAGGTACGCCCGTGCGGGCAAGCTGTTTGGCACTGACTCGAGTGTGGTTGTTGGGAAACTGGCAGCCTCCGGGCCGAGGTGTGTGGTTCTCGCCCAGACTGTGGCATCTGCCAGAAGTTCGCTGACCGTCGATGCTGTCTGTCGGTGCATCTTTCTTTGATTGCATGCAGTTCAAGCTGCGTAAAATCGAAGTCGCCGAGCGGCCCAAGAAGAAGGAGGAGCCCGAGGGAGTCGCTGCGATCCTGATGCGACGTGCAGCGATCGAAATGAGCGACAGCGAGTCAGGTTCGTTCACTTCTCTTAGACTTGGATTGTCGATGTGTTGCCGAGGAGATTGTGAAGGCAAGCTCCAGAGGGATGGCTCACAATCCAACGGGACACCTGCACCTGTGTCTGCGCGCTATGTGCTCATCCTCAACCCCTCTCCAAACCGCAGAGTCAGATGAAAGCCAGAGCAGTGACTGGGAATAGTGGCAAGCGAGTCCCTCCATCAAAGGGGATCATCGAAAATGGTCTTGTTGTGGAAGTCTGACATACAGCGAGGCAAGGCTTCGTACGTCATGCCGGCGAATAGACCCTGCTTCTGTCTTAGCGGAGCTGAATCGGCGTGTGTGACGAGAGGGATGCACATCAAGAGGCCGTGTGCTCGGGCAGCGCTGCGAGCAGCTGTCGCCATATCTGGCTTGGAGGGGCCAAGGGACGAGGTAGATCGGTAGCAGCAACGCCGATGAGATGCACTGGATTCTGTTGGAGCCAAAGATCAGATCAGCAAGTGACCAAAGCCGAGCAGAAAGTGATTGATGTCGGGCTATCCCCTCGCGAGCAGCACCGCTGCTTGTAAGGCTACCACACTGCACCCCCGTCGACTCAAAGCAACGCACATTCAGGGTGGCATCGAGGTTGCCGCGATACTTGCGACCCAGCGACATCGTTTCGGCCTTGAGCTTTGCACGCTCCAAGACTATGATTTTCCGGGCAATGCAGTCGCTCTGCTTGTTGCGGATGGCAATGCGTCTGGATGGGACATGGACGACAGTGCATCTTCCTTAGTGCTAGTGACTTTATCGGTCCTTGCCTCGGATGCATCTCGCCGGAGAACCTGCTCATGATCAACAGGCAGCGAGTAGGACCTGCAAGACAGCAAGACAGCAAGACAGCGCGAACGGACACACCTCTGCCTCTGGCATTCCAATGGATCAAACTCGGGTAGCTTGGGCAGGCGGGGCTGCGGTATCAGAGCACGTTGGTGAGTTTCGTGCTGTCGAGACGGATCGGCATCCCAACAACTTACAGAGATCGATGCATCACCACACACTCAAGCGATGTCGGCGGGTGGCGCTTCTCGGATGGCTTTACCTCCATCGACTCCAACAGTGCCTTGAACTTGAGTCTGGCAACGACCGTCCGCTGGAGTCCCACGCTCATGTTTCTTTGAGAATGAACCAACGATGGAACAGTAGTGGCGGGATCTGGCTTCACCGGATCGACATCATTCTGTGTGGCACGATGGTTCTTTGCTCTGACAAAGGACAAGAGATGTCGACAAGCAGCGTCTGTCGATACTACGAGCAATCAGACAATCAGAAGAGGTGCCGAGAAAGCGCCGCTGGAACAACGAACACTCGGACACCTCAGACACCTCAGCTATCGCTGGGCTGACCTGCGACATGGTCTTTGGCCTGCTGCTCTATAGCAGACGGATGCGAGTGTGGTTGAGCCTTGTCGTCGCTGCGATGGAGCTTGTCAACTGTGGCCATGTAGAATCGTTCGAGATTGATGCGCTGCATCTCGAGACGCTGGGGTAGAATGTGTGGTCAGATCGAAGCGAAATGCCTGCTCAAAGCGAGTACGCTGGGCTGACGAGTAGAGCGGACGTACTTCCTGCAGATCGTCGGAATTGCTCTTCCGACTGGGTGGATCGGCTCGATTTGCATGGCTCCCGGATTGCTTTTGCTGCTTTCGTTCCTGCCGCTCTCGTCGCTTGATTGCCTCGGCCCATTCGCGGAACTCGACCCGCTCAAGCCAGTCGTCATCGCCGTCCGAGGGTTCCAAGAGCCAAGCCAACGAGTGTTCCGCCGAGACGCTTGGTTCTGCGCGAGCCTCTAGCGGGGTGCGGCACTGAGCGGCGGCCTCCCAGATGTCTTGGAGCTCGTATTGGCTCTGTGCATAGGACGGATCAGCACCACCACGAGCAAGATCCCACGCGGGATCATCCCACTCGCGGACATTTACGAGCCACGGATCCGAACGCTGCTGCTGCCCGGGGAGATAGTCGTCAAAATCCGATGGGTATTTGTCGAGCGAACCAACAGAGCTGCCTGAGGCGGTCCGGTGCTCGGCATGGTTGACTGCAGCCAGATCGGTAATGTCGTCAAAGTCGGAGGAGTAGCCGTTCCAATCCGGCAGGGACTCTGGCCGCTGCTCGCCGCCTTCGCCTTGGGCTTGGGCTTGAAAACCATCTACCTCTTGGAGGAGCGAGAGGCTCTCAAAGTCAGAGGCATATTCGTGCTGGATGCTGGTGATGTCCTCGGCCGAGTCTTGGTCGGAGAGTCTGGGTAGAGCGTGGGAGTATGCGGAGAAGCCGAATGCTTCTGCACCCGGGCTTGCTGCCAGCGGTGACGGATCCTCAAAGGCCGAGGAGTATGAGACTTCTGACACACGGCCCCTCGATTGCACGCTCGAGACGGCAATGCTCTCAGCGATACTCTCGTCCATGGCCGCTCAAGATGGAGATCAGAATGGTCGGCGGGCATCGCCGGTCTTCCCGCCTCTTTCGAAGCGCCAAAGTGCTGCTGTGGACGACGACGCACGAACGAGTGGATTGGATCTGCTGCGAGCACAGTCTGTCAAAGGAATGGAGGTGGATCCAAACGGAATGCAAGTGGGACATGGGGAATAATGGCGGTTGCATCGAGTAATCAACATCCCATGGGCTTGGTCGAAGCACAGCGGATGCTGATACAGGCGTCGAAACGAACAAACGCGGCTGGATGTAGTCATGTATTCAACGACTATGAGAGCGGCACTCAGTCCCGTGAGATCCGGCAGTGACTTTTGCTCGGTATCAAAATCGGCAGTGTTCTCGGCGCCCAGGACTCGCACTGGCTCCCAGCAGACAGCGATAGACTGGCCCTTCCTCCTCTCGATCAGCTGAGCATCCTGCTCTGGTCCTGATTGACGGGTGTTGATGGCTCCCTCCACAGCGATCCCACCAGTCTCGACACATCCCCAAAGTCTGCCGGGTACGGGGGCCATGCAGGCGATGGTTTGCGGATACTCGCGGACACTTGCATGCGAGGGCGGTCTCAAGTGGAGACATGGCGAAAGTCGGGATGGACTTTCATATGCCATGGCCTCCGTCGTTCTCGGAAGCGCACCCTGCGACTGGCCCGGCAACTCCCCCAAAAAGCCGATGCAAGCCAGACGCTGCCCCCTCTGGCAGGCCTACTCGGCCCTGACTGGCCTGTCTTGTCCAGGCAAGGCCGACAAGCTTGGGGTGCCGTTGGCAGGGCAGTTGGCAGGGCCGATCAGACGGCGGCTTTCACATGAAGGGGTAGGTGCACTTGCGCCCGACCACCCCCAAAGCCGCGGATGCTGGGTGCCTGCTGCTGCCCGGCATGTGTCCTGGGTGGCCTTCCATCAGACGGCGGCTTGCACATTGACGAGTTAGTATGCCAGTGTGCAGCAGCATTGCCCAGCCAAGACGCTGATATCAGCGTGCTGGCGGATCGAATCTCAACATATCCAGCACCAGCATATCGGCGTGTTGGTCGCTCGCACCGCGGTCTCTGTCTGGCCGTCCCCAGATCCGCTCTGATCAAACTCCCCTCCTCCCCCATCCCATCCCAGCCCGGCCCAGCCCGAGCCAAGCATGCGGGTCGCCCCTGTCAGGCGGCAGTTTTTGGGTGTCGCTGTTCTTGTCGCCGCCCCAATCACAGCCATGTGAAGGCGGCGCTATCGTCGCGTCGGCGGAGATTGAAACAACCCCAAAAAAGCGCTTGAAGGTAACGCCGCGCTGGGCCGGTGTGCTTGCCTTGCACCGCCCGACAAGCCCATTGCACATCCGGGTTGATGTGAGCAGAACCCGGCCATAGCATCCAGACGCTTGATCAGTCTGGCCAGACACTCTCAACCAATGTGATCAAGTACTCGACCGGCACAATCACGCACTCCCCCCCATTTTGATCAATCGATCGAGCTCCTTCAACGACTCCGATCAAGCTCTCGACCAGTCTCCGTCCATGGCCTGGCGGGTTGGCGCCCGCTGTCAGCCGTCCCCCGCTTTGCTCTGCTGCCCCAGCGTTTCTGATGCACCGTTGCGCGGCTTCCCCGCTGCCGGTCACTCGCGGGCAGGATTCTGGTCGCACTCGACTATAAAACCCCTGACTGCTCGCCTCTTCCCTCCACACCATCGCTCCCGCCGACCACCCCCAGAGACCCTGTTCTGCCACCTCCGCTACTCACATCGTCGCCATGGCCACCGCTACCAACCTCGGATTCCCCCGCATGGGCGCTAACCGTGACCTCAAGAAGGCCGTTGAGGCTTACTGGGGCGGCAAGATCACTGCTGACAGCCTCCTGGAGACCGCCAAGGAGCTCCGCCGCTCTCACTGGAGCCTCCAGGCTGCCGCCGGCATTGCCCAGGGCCACATCCCCAGCAACGACTTCTCCTTCTACGACCAGGTGCTGGATCACTCGGTCCTCTTCAGTGCCATCCCCGAGCGCTACGCCGGCGTCCCCGTCAAGTCTGAGCTCGACCTGTACTTTGCTATGGGCCGTGGTCTGCAGAAGAAGGAGGAGGGCATCGACGTCCCCGCCATGGAGATGAAGAAGTGGTTCGACACCAACTGTGAGTATCTGAGGCGGCGTTGTCTGTCCAGCAGCTCCGCCAGGGCTCTGTCCACCATTGCCCGGCCGTTGCGCCTCCCCTTCCCCTGATTTCCGCGCTGCTGCCAACTGCCTGGAACCGCGTCGTCTTGTCTGTTGACACCTTGGTGTGCACCATCCCAGACCACTACATCGTCCCCGAGTTCAAGGCCGATCAGACCTTTGCCCTCGGCGCCAACCCCAAGCCCGTCGCCCAGTTCCTCGAGGCTAAGGCTCTCGGCATCGAGACCCGCCCCGTCATCCTCGGCCCCATCAGCTACCTCCACCTCGGCAAGCCCGCTCGTGGTGTCGCTGCCTTTGACCATCTCTCTCTCCTCCCTGCCCTCCTCCCCGCCTACGAGGCACTGTTCGCTGAGCTCGCCAAGGCCGGGGCCCAGTGGGTCCAGCTTGACGAGCCCGTGCTTTGCCTGGATCTCCCTGCTCACTACAAGTCTGAGTTTGCTGCGGCTTACGGCCGCCTCGCGGCCGCTGCCCCTGCTCTTAAAATCCTGCTTGCTTCCTACTTTGGTACCATCGGAGACAACCTCAACTCGGTCATCTCCCTGCCCATTGCTGGTCTGCATCTGGATCTTGTTCGTGCTGAGGGTGATCTCGACACTGTTCTGGCCAGAAAGTCCGAGTTTAGCTTCAACCTCTCCCTCGGTGTCATCAGTAAGTTGGCTCCCACGTCCACCGCCGCCATCAAGCTGTACCCGCCCCCGCCGCATCTGGTGCCCGTCTGACCACTTCTGCCCATCCCGCATTGACTCTGCACATCAGACGGCCGCAACATCTGGAAGGCCGATCTCGAGAAGGCCATCGCCAAGGTCGACCGTGCTGTCGCTGCCCTCGGCGTCGACCGTGTCCTGGTTGCCCCCTCCTGCTCTCTCCTGCACAGCCCCCACGGTCTCGCTGCTGAGACCAAGATGGACAAGCAGATCCTGGATTGGCTCGCCTTTGCCGTCGAGAAGCTCGATGAGATCTCTGTTGTCTCCCGCGCTGTCAAGAACGGTGCTCACTCTGTGAAGGAGCAGCTCGAGAGCAACAAAAAGTCGTGAGTATCCATTCCACATCCTCTTGCCGATGCAGGGACCCGGAGAGCCGGCTGGAGTGGAAAGACAGGCGACGCCATGCTTTAGCGGCCTCTGCTTGGACAGCACTTGGCTCACCTACGCCTTTGCATTCGATATCCACCAGGCTCGAGGCCCGCCGTGTCTCTTCCCTCATCCACGACCCCGTCGTCCAGGCCCGCCACAAGGCCATCACCCCCGAGATGATCAAGCGCCAGTCTCCCTTCCCTGCTCGCTACGCCGCCCAGCAGGCCCGCCTCTCTCTCCCTGCCTTCCCCACCACCACCGTTGGCTCCTTCCCCCAGACCAAGGAGGTCCGTGTTGCCCGCCAGAACCTCAAGAAGGGTGCCTACACCCAGGAGCAGTACGACGAGTTCATCAAGCAGGAGATCCAGAAGTGCATCAAGTTCCAGGAGGATGTCGGTCTCGATGTCCTCGTCCACGGCGAGTTTGAGCGCAACGACATGGTCGAGTACTTTGGTGAGAACCTGAAGGGCTACGCCTTCTCTGCCAACGGCTGGGTCCAGAGCTACGGCTCCCGCTGCGTCAAGCCCCCGATCATCTACGGTGATGTCTCCCGCCCCGTCGCCATGACCGTCGAGTGGACAAAGTACGCCCAGACCCTGACCACCAAGCCCATGAAGGGCATGCTCACTGGTCCCGTCACCATGCTGTGCTGGTCCTTTGTCCGTGACGACCAGCCCCGCCGCATCACCACCGAGCAGCTTGCCCTCGCCATCCGCGACGAGGTCCAGGACCTCGAGGCCGCCGGCATCCCCGTCATCCAGATCGACGAGCCCGCCATCCGCGAGGGTCTTCCTCTGCGCCGCTCTGACTGGACCGCCTACCTGCGCTGGGCTGCCGATGCCTTCCTGCTGTCCTCCACCGGTGTCCGCGACGACACTCAGATCCACACCCACATGTGCTACTCGGACTTCCAGGACATCTTCACTGCCATCAAGGATCTGGATGCCGATGTCATCACCATCGAGTCGTCCCGCTCGGATCTCAAGCTCCTCTCGGCCTTTAACGGCGACTCGTACCCCAACGCCATCGGCCCCGGTCTCTACGACATCCACTCTCCCCGTGTTCCCTCGACCGAGGAGATGCACCACCGCGTCAAGGAGATGCTCAAGTACATGGACTCGAAGCTCCTGTGGATCAACCCCGACTGCGGTCTCAAGACCCGCGGCTGGACCGAGACCGATGCTGCCCTCCGCAACCTCGTCGAGGTCGCCATCCGCATGCGTAACTAAAGCACACGCGGGTATCTCTGGCTCTTCCATGAGCGGTGTCTGAACTTGGCTCTCTGGGCAAGCTTTGCGCCTCTGCTCGGCAATACACCTTTCCCACGCCGATAATAATCCTTCGGCCCTCCATCAATACACTTGTAAATTAACAAACAAACTCTGCGGCGTCCTCAGTGAGCAGTGTGCGCGGAGAGCTGTGGAGTCGGAGTCGGAGTCGGATTTGGATTTGGATTTGGATTCAGGCTGGATTGGCGGTACACCTGTGCTCGATTAACAGATATGCAACGAAAGCAGGACAATCCATCGGGCGGACCTGTTCTCTGAATGCAATGCGCGATGCGACCCTGCCCGGGTGTACTTGGCCGAGTCGCAAGTGGTGTCCTGGGCTATGGCCGCCAACTGCATTCGATCGGGCTGACACCAGAGATCATGAGACCTGTGAGATCCAGCAGAGCACGATCCAGCAGAGCACGATCGAGGACGTCAACCTGCCTCGCCCCTGTTACCAACGAGCATCGATTTGTGCCGCTGGACAGACACTTCGCCGCTGGACAGACACTGCGCCGCGGGACAGACACTGCGCCGTCCTCCGCACGCCTTTCGCCGTAGCCACCATCCAGAGCCGCGGCCATCGTCTGTCGCCTCGATCCCCCCCCCATATCGCCATGGCCATATCGCCGTGGCCGCCCTCCCCTTTCCCATCGTCCTCTCTTTCCCATCGTCCTCTCCGTCGCACCACGCAGCGCGACCGCCTTCTTGCTTCCACGTGACTCGACACACACGCACGCGCGCCCACACAAGGCCGGCGCATCGCCCTTCGCTCTCGGCAAGCAGAAAAATGTCGAAGCCAGAAAGCCCAGCCCTGCAGGACCGACCGGCCAGCACAGGCCTGCATCTGCCCTCGCCATCGCTGCCCCTCGGCCCTTGCTCCTGGCCCCCAGTGTCCCGCGGGCTCTCGTGCTGACCTCTCCGCGATTCGTCTCTGGTGAGGCCCGGGCGTCGCATCGGCCCTGGCGTGGCCCAGATCTGGCGCCGTTGCCCAACACCGGCCAGGGTGCTTGGTCCCTGTTCTGCTCTGCCCTGTTCGGCTTTGCTCCGTCCTGCTCTGCGCTGTTCTGCTCTGCTCTGCCGCCTTTCCTTCCAGAGGCTGGCTTTTCCGTCTCCACGTTCCAGTCTCTGGATGCATTCAGCCCACCGGGTGGGGGCGGCCTGCTGCCGCATCGACCTCCCGGACAACCATTCGCTGGCTATCCATTCGGCGTCCTGACAGCTCCTTCCTTTTCCCTTTGCCCACACCGTCCTGTTCCTCGTCCCTGCCGCTGACTCGTCTGCTGCAGCTACCAGACTCAATCACTCGCCCGGGCGTGAGCAATGTCATATCCCGGCCAGTCTTACTACGAAAGTCGGGCCTTCTCACCTCCGCCCAAGGAAGCCTCGGCCAACGACAACCGGGTCTTCTCGGACGATGAGGACGCCGATGCCCTGATCGATTACAGTCCCGAGCGAGACACCTCGCAGGGTACGCTGCAGCGCATCAAGAGCCCTTCTGACGACCCGGCCACCAAGCCAGCAGCTTCCGAGCCGCCTGCTCGGCAGCGGCAGCGCAGAACCCATCTCCTGACCCATGACGACTATTTCCCTGAGAAGAAGCGGCACCCCCGATTCGATCCCTACAACAACAACCCGTACGTCCTCGGATCGGTGCCGCCGAACCGGCACCCCTCGGACCCGGGATTTCGCCGGATCATGACGGGCGTCGACATCATCCGGATCACCAACCGGGTCCTGGTCATGGGCCTGCCGTGGATGTATCGCAGCGAGCGCACCAACCGGCGCAACAACATCGGCGACATTGCCGTCTTTCTCAACACTCGTTACGGCAACAACTACATGATATGGAACCTAGCAGGTAGCATCGTGGGCAAAGCGTGCTGCCGTTGTCCGGCCTGAGGGTGGTGGTGTTGCTGGTGGTGGTGTTGCTGGTGGTGGTGTTGCTGGTGGTGGTGTTGCTGGTGATGGACTGCAAGCCTCGGGGCACTGTCTCTTCCGCCGAGCCTGAGGTGCGGGCGTCGACGTCAGGGCGATGCCCTTGTCGTCTCGCTGCACTGTCTGCACTCTGGCTCGAGCTGGAGCTGGGGCTGCCCAGCTCCCTCGCCCTTGGTGCGCTCTGTCAGCGTATATAACGATGCAGCCTCTGACTCACATCCCATCGCATCATCCATTGCCCACTCTCCGACCTTCCTCCCTGATTCTCGTCGACTTGACGCTATCGATTGCATCGATGACATGCAATTTACTACCGGGCCATCGCAGGCGACACTTCGCAGGGCCAGTACGACACCGAGCCCTTCAGCAACCAGGTCCTCGAAGTCAACTTCTCGAAAGCCTACCACATGAGCATCATGACGCTGCTGGACATATGCCGGTCGATGCATGCGTGGCTGTCCCTCGACAACAGCAACGTGGCCGTCGTGCACTGCACCAACGGCGTCGGTCGGTCCGGCATCGCTATCGCCTGCTATCTCCGCTTTGTCGATATCTTCAGCGACGCCACAAAGGCATTCGAATACTTTATGGAGCGGCGGACGCCCCAGGACCGCTCCTGGATGACCGTGAGCCAGAACCGCTACAACCAGTACTTCAACAACATCCTGCTACTCAACGGGCAGCTCCCGAGCCCATACCCCTTGCGGCTGACCCGCGTGGTCATCAACACCATACCCAACTTTGACGGCCGGGGATCGTGCAACCCGGGGCTGGAGATCTACCAGAACGGACAGCTTGTGTACTCGTCCACGGCCCCGGCCTCGACCATCCCGCTCTACATCACAGCCGAAAACATCATCTTCAAGATCCCTTCCCAGTCGCTCTTCTTGCAGCATGACATCCAAGTGCGCATCTTCCACTGCCCCGATCCGCTCAACAACCCCAACCAGCTTGTGACCATGATCAACTTTTCCTTCAACACGGGGTTCATGCCCGCAGGACTGATCCGCATTGGCTTCCAGGACCTGGAGGTCTCGAAGCGCGACTGCGCCGAGGGCCGCTTCATGCCGGACCTCTCGCTCGACCTGATTTTCCAGGAAGCTAGTGTCGACGAAGACGCCTATATCAACGAGGGGCTTGTTCCAACTTCGTACTCCAAGCTGCTCGACAAGGGCCTTATCCGATCACTGCCACGGCTCATCAGCTGTCACAGTGTCAAGGTCCTGGAGGAAGAACTGCAGGCCATCGAGCGCTTCGGCTGCTCCAAAATATTTGGTGAGTCTCGCACGTTGTGCGATCTGCAGACGCAGCCTCGTTGGTGCCAGATCGTGTCCATAGTGATTCTGTTTTGCAATGCACGGAAGGCTGCGCTTAGCGACGGTCGACTAACTTTACCACCTGCACCAGCGTGCTTCGCTCTGCAAAAGTACAACAACGATGCTGCTGCCGCCCAGCAGTATCTCGTTGGCTTCCGTGATCGCCCAGACTTGCCAACGTCGCTCACACGCGGACTCAACGAACTGGCCGAGCACGTCCTCCAGAGGCTGCGGACGGCCAAGCAAGCGCGATTCTCGGGCAACTCTGTAACCGAAGCCTTCACGCCGGCAAGCGGCAGTCCCAGTCTATCAAGCGCCTCGGTCCCGCAACTCAGTCAACGGTCGCGACTCCAGGGCACCGACTCGCCCGGCCCCATCATCCCGCCGCGGAGCGCTACGCCGCATATTCGGCCATCGGACTCGGGAAGATCCACACCCGTGCGCATGGCCTCTCCAGCACGGGCTACACGCGGCAGGACGGCCTCGCCGGCCAGATCACAATATGGCTCGAGAGATGCACAGCGAGGGCATTCCGGGCACTCGGTCGACGACTACATCGAGCGGAACGTGCCGGCGCGCCTTCTTTCTCATCCGGAGCGCAAGTCCTCGCTCGATAGCTCATTTGTGGCGACAAGCGCAAGTGCCCGGAGACTCGAGCGTCTCTTGGCGCAGCCGTCCCGTTCACCGGTACCGGCAGAGCCGCCGCAGAGCAATCAGGCAGTTGAAATGAATCGCGTGCGGAATGTCTCTCGCGAGAAGAGTGTCCCCAGCGACGACCTGAACGACCTGCAGGATCTGCTGAACCAGCTCAAGGATCGCAAACGTCTCCCCACTAGCTCGAGTGCAACTGCTTCAACCGAGGATACCCGGAGCACTCTCTCGAGCGTCCATTCGCGGACGCGCAAGAACAGCGACTTTTCTGAAACAAGTGGCTCGTACGCACGCCAACGCAGCTCCAGCACCCCGAACATTACGCATCACGAGCCCGAGGAATCGATCATGGATGCCATGGACCGAGAATGGGAAAAGATCAAAATGCGGTCCCCTGAGGGCATGGAGGACTCTGGGAACGGAGGCCAAGACCCGACAGGCGGCCGTGAGGTCAAGCCGAAAGATGGCGCATCGGCTGGCAGCCACAAGTACACGGGTACGGAGCGAGCTCCAGCTCTTCCACTGCCGCCATCGATGGATGTCCGCTCGCCTACCGAAGATTCCGTCTTTTCGCCGACATCGGCGCGGCGCAACGATAGAGCCACCAAAGGCGACTTTAGCAATCTCGCGCATCACAACTACACGGGAACAGAGAAGGCCCCGGCCCTCCCCGTAGCGCCGGGCATGGGCTCGGACTCGTCTGCCCGCCCCGAGGAACACCGGCGCCGACGCAAGCACGATGACCAGGAGGAGCAAGCGCGGGAAAGACGCACCCGTGTCCACCGCGACCAGGCCACCCCCGAAACAACGACTAGCAGCGAAGCCCCGACCCGTGAGCTCGAGACAACCACGAGAGAGCGGTCTGCCAGCGTGCCCCATCGAGAGCGGCGGCCGCGTCGAGAGGCGTCGAGCGACGACCGGCGCGCCAAGTCCAGAGCTGGCGAAGCGCCAGCCGACGACACCGAATCCGATCGTGCTCTGCCTGCCGAGACCAAGTCGGACGTCCCTGCTGTTCCGCCTGCTCCTGAGGTTCCGGTCAAAGCCTCGGCTCCTCCACCGCCACCGCCACCGCCGCCTCCACCGCTGTCGCTCCTCAGTAAGTGCTGCATTCGTCGGGATCGGCGGCAGTGGTTGTCCTATGAGTGGGCTCTGGCTGCCGATGCATTCACATTTTCGTCCGGGACTGCAATTCGTGCTTGATCGAGAACTAACAGCCGTGGATCTCCCGCTGCCAGCCACCGCTATTCCTCCGCCTCCACCGCCACCGCCGCCGTTGGGAGGAGGTAAGATAGATCATCTGGATGCCAACAGCGAGCAGACATTGCCGTGCCAACGTGGTTCTGATCGACTCTCTCCACATCCAGGGCCCCCGCCCCCTCCACCACCCCCACCAGGTACGGTTTGACGGCATGAAGCCGAGATACGTTGGTGCACGGCGCACATGTGTCTGCAGGTCCCCCCCCCTCGTTGCTCCATGTGCATGTCCATACAGCAGGGCTTTGCGATACTGACCCGTCGCCATGACCTTGCAGGACCCGGCGGCCCTCCTCCGCCGCCACCTCCGCCCGGCAGCAGCTCTCTCAATGCTGTGGTGTCTCCGGCTGCGTCGACTCCCCGCGCGCGAGCCAAGTTGCACTGGCAGGAAATCAACGCCAATGCCCTCAAGGACACCATCTGGACTGAAGGCGAGGGGCAGAAGAACGACGACCCGGACCAGGTTTCCCTTGATGTGAAGCGGTTCGAAGGTGAGCATCCATCTCTTGCAAGCCACGCTTACGACGGCTTCGGCACCGCGTGTTGGGTAATGTACGGATGTGAAAGTCCGCTGGCGCCATTTCAATGCTGTGATACTGATCGACCGCATGCGGCAGAACTGTTTTGCATCGTGCCGGGCACCGATGGAAAGGCCAAGACGCAGCAAAAGCCCAAGATGGTCAACAAGTACGCGAATCGCTCGGGTTGGGTGCATTCGGTTTCCGCGGTCACGGTTCGCAGTCGCTTCGTGTTCCCATAAGCTGAGCCGGCCTTTCTTTTGTCCCGCAGGACCCAGTTCACGACCCTCCTCGATCTGCGCCGCGCAAACAACGTCTCGATCGGCCTTGCACGATACACCCGGCGGGGGCTCACTGCGCTTTCGATCGGCACCGCCATCCGCGAGCTCAACGAACAGGTGCTGTCCCACGATGACCTCACGAATATCCAAGGGCTCCTTCCAACCAATGACGAGAAGAAGCTCCTGCAAGCGTACATCTCCAAGCCCGTCGACCCGAATGCACCGCCCCTTGGCCCCGCCGAGGTCTTTATGATCGAGATTTGCAAGGATGCCGACGTGGGGCAGCAGCTGAGCGCCTTTGTCTTCAAGCTGCAGTTCACATCGGAGCATTCCGAGATCATGATCAAGGTCACAAAGTGTCTCGAGACATGTTTGCGCCTCAAGCAAAGTGACCGACTCAAGGTCGTCCTCAAGACGGTCCTGCAGCTCGGCAACATGACCAACTACCAATACGGCGCCGGCAACTCGTCGTACCGGCCGTGGATGGGCAAAGAGGCGCGTGCTCTCGGCTTCAAGATCGATGGCCTGGCGCGCCTCAAGGATGTCAAGAGCGCCGATGGCAAGTGGAGTCTGATGAACTTTTTGGTTGACATGGTGGAGCAGAGCGTGCCCGAGGTAAGAGACCCTTTTGCCTGATATGCGCTGGCGACGGGAGGGGTGGAACGAGTGGCAAACAAGGACTGCGAAAGGCACGATCGAGCCGGGTCGAGTTGTTTTGGCACGGACGCAGTTGCCAACGTTGCCTCCGGTCATACAGGTGCTGGATCTGCGCTTGGACTTCAAGGATCTCCATATTGTCCGCCACTACGATCTGAGAGACCTGGTCATGCAGCTTCTTGGTCTGGAATCGACTCTCGAGACCCTCAAGACATTCAAGTACCGAAGCCCGGACTTCCAGAAACGCCTGGAGCCCTTTGTTGCCCAGGCCGAGCCGATGCTCCAGATGCTGCGCGCTCGGTTCATTGAGTTCTCGAATGCCTGGACCGATGCAGCGCGGTACTTTGGCGAGGAAGTTACCGACTACATCCCACTACTTGAGCTAGCCAAGCTGCCCGAGCCGAGCAAGGGAGGGGACGGAGGCGGCGGCAGCAGCAAGAAGCTGCCGACGCACATGTTCATCACGATCGACATGTTCATGCAAGCGTTCGACGATGCCGTGAAGCAGAACCGGAAGCGTATCGAGGAAGAGGAGCGACGCCTGAAGCGAGAGCAAAAAGCGCTCGAAGAACGGGCAATGCGCGAGAAGCGCCGGATAGAGAAGCAGCGACAGCTTGAGGAAGAGCGGCGCCTGGCCCGGGAATGGGAAGAAGAACAAGCTGAAAAGGAAGCCGCTGCCCTGGCCTCATTCAGAGGGCCGCAGACGCCAACACAGCCCAAGCAGGAAACGACCAATCTCCCCGCTGCAGCCGCACTCGACAGCCCAGAACCGTCCCTGGAACCCAAGACACCGGCAAGCGAAGCCGCTGTGCTCGAGGCTCTTGGCGAGGGCGACCGCATGGGCGGTGCTGTGTCCGCGGGAATCGGTCAAGGAGGTGTAAAGGCATCCCAAGATGCCGACGGAATAGGCCATGCTGTTCTCACCCAGTCGAGCCCGGCGTCGTCCGAGTTCCGTCCAACCATTCCGCCGCCTCCTCCGCCGCCCCTGCTGACGTTCGACGCCGCGCAAATCCCGCCGCCCCCGCGACTGATGGTTTCACGCTCAAGCCCTTCCGAGATTCAACATACGGACGATGTCCGGGTGATCCAAAGCCCGACGCGAGCTGGACGGCACCGCAACACTCTACTGATTCACGAGGCCGAGGCCAAGGAGATGATGCGGCGGTTCAGCGTTATCCAGATCCAGAAGCACCAGAGCGACGACGACGACGACGACGACGACGAGTCTGCCGACGAAGCCAGCAATGGCTTGCAGGCAAGCCGCAGCTCTTCGCTTGACAAGACCGACGTGCCGGCCGGGAATGTCAGGGGCGGAGACACGTCAAGCCCCAGTGGATATTCGGATGACAGCAACGGCGTCGACTATGCCGCCGAAAATCCAGTCGGCGGACGCCCCCAGGCCGCCGACGGTGCTTTGGCAGCGAAGCGCAAGCTGATCCACTCCACAGTCCCACCACCACCGCCGCCACCCATCAACATGATGAGCCCAAAGCTTGCGCCAAAGGCGGCGTCAGTCGAGCGGCGACAGCCAATCAGCGTATCCATCAAAACCAGTCGGCGAAGCCCGCGGGTCAACCGGGGGCCGTCGCTCAAGCGGGTAGCCAAGAGCGGTGCTCACCCAAGCGACGGCGTCTGCGAAGAATGCATGCAGCTGCTGGACGAGTGCGAATGTAATCTGTAGCGGCGTCAGCTCCCAGAGCGATTCGATGCGACATGCAGAAGAAGTATCGCACGATGGCGGCTCGGGTGCGTTGCGTCCACGGACCGGCTCCCTGGGTCGCCTGCGTATGCCCTGTATTTCGCAATCGCGAGGTCTGCTGCCACCGCGATCTGTACAAATAGGATATCCCGATACCGCACCCTAACGACCAACGTGGGAACCCCAACGCAGCCTCCTGGAATGGAGGGAGAGAGAGGGGCCGCCGACGACCGAGCCCACGCGAGAGGTGCTCGGAATTCTGAAAGGGAGTTGATTTGGCAGCCCCACGAAGAACACCGCTGCTCGCACCTGTCTGCATGTGCTCGGTGGCCAAACATGGGGAGGTTCTGTGGACCTGGTGACCACGGCGATGGATCCTTGCTCTTGCAAGGCTGCGACAGAGCCAGCCCATATCCGATGCAGACCGTATCCGATGCAGGCCCTATCAAATGCACGCCATACCAAATGCAGCCCGCATTCGACATCAGAGTCTCCAGACCCAGCTTGCTGATGCAGAGGCACCCCCTCGCTGTCCATCCCACCCCACCCCACAGCCCCTCGCGCCGTGGGCAGTGTCGTGCAGAAACAGGCCACGGCAAGCGCCGCGCGATCCCACCAATGAAAATTTCTTCGACCTGCCTTTTTTCCTGCCGCCCAACAAGTGTGCGACGGTCTCGACAACGCAGCCTCGATCACCACACAAACACAGGACCAGCCCGAGATCGGGCCTGCCCAGCAGCGACGCATTCTGCGTCCTCCCGCTCGCCCCAAACGACATAAAGGCGGCCGTCGATGGCCTGCCGTCCCGGTCTCGCTGCTTGCCCCTGCCTGTCGCCTGCCTGTCTGCCTGCCCGTCGACAGAGGTGAGTGTCTTGGCCCTGCCTATGCATCGGACCGGCTGCTGGCTGCGGGTCTGCCGCCTGCGATCGTCTGGAGGTCCTGTCCGCTGTCAGGCTCGTCTCGGCCGCTGCCCTGGTGCCTATCGGCGCCCGGGACACCAAATAAGCTGCCGCCCGATAGATGCACCGGCTGCACCCAGGGCCTCTTTGATCTTCAGCAAAACTGGCGGCTAACTGCATGTCGCCTCTGGTAGCCGCCGATCCAGATCCAGATCCAGATCCAGAGCCCGCAACGCTGCAGCCGCATCTAATGGAGCCTCCTCGTCCCGAGACCTTCGCCCGACAAGCGATTCACCCACGGCGTATGTCGAGCCGCTGCCGCTCCTCCGTTCCCAGGACCCAGCCCATCTCCATGCTCGTGTCCTGGGACCGTCTGCGTCGCTGTGCTCCTTGCGGCTGTTTGCCCAGCAACACCGCGCCATCGCAGTCGGCTCGCGGCCATGATTTCGCACGGACTCGGGCCTAATCGCTCTCTGTCGCTTGTCCTTGCCCCCCGCCGCCCATGGCATCTAGCATCGCTCGCACTTGCGCCGAGCAGCCTCTCGACATCGCCCTCCAAGATCTCGCCGCTGTCGACCTCGCCGCTATCCTCGTACTTCCACAACCAGCGCCTTGACCTTGGACCCGACAGCCCCGTGCACGGCAATGCTGGATTCGACAAGAACTTTCCCGACGAATACCCATTCTGGTACGGCGGACCCTCTGGCGTCCGCCACATGGACCAGCAGACCGACTTTGGCTCAGACGACGACACCGAAGCCACTCGATTCCTCGACAACGAATCGGTACGATCGCTGATATATGGCGGCTTCCAGGACGAAATCAAGCCCAAGGACTTTGAAACCGAGCAGCGCAAGAGCGACTCTGTGCTGCACTATTTTGTTGCAACCGAGACGAGCGAAAGCGCTCTGGACCAGTATCTGACAACCATCATCCACGGTATGCTACGATGTGATGCTTCGCATCGTCTCGACGAGTTTGGGCGTGCGGCCCATGGTTCGCCGAGCTAGTTGAATCCTTGCTCGAGGTGCTGGATAGACCACAGGCTCAGCTCTCCAGCTCTTTGTCCGATTCAGATCGGCCGTTTTGGATTGCGTCGCCATCGGCCTTCCCCCAGCAGCCGACTTCGAATCCCAGTGGCTCGCCTAGCCTTAGCACTCAGCGACTCCCTTCCTCTAATATGTGTCCTTTTGTCTTGCCCCAGCATTTCTGAACGATCCCTCTCGCATCAACGCCTCAAATCTGGATTCGCCCGAGACCCTGCAGTCCAAATTTGGCCGGATTTCCATCCCCACAGTAGAGGACGGCAACGCCAGCAAGACCATCCACAACTATTTATCGTCGGTCAAATCGAATGTGATCGACAAGGCTACACGAGTATCGTCATCGAAAATGATCGGGCACATGGTAATGGCAGTCTCGCATCGACTGGATGTGATCTTCAGCCCCGGCCTTGATCGTCATACTGGAGCATCTTTCTCTCGACACGTCCCCCTGTTGTATTCCTTGCATTACGTGAGGTTGTGTGCACACACCGTCCCAGCCAGACACGACCGGAATGCCCGCTTAACCGATCAACTTAAAAGCCTGTCGAGCACGACGCCTAATCTCATGGTTTCTGTCCGCATTGCACCGCCCCCCCCCTCACAACAGACCACCTCCTTGCCATACTTCCATCGCCCGCTGGCTCGGCTCCTGACTGCCCTCAACCAAAACGTGGTCAAGATCGAGACGGCCGCGACGATGAGCTATCTTGAGCGCGAAACCATCTCGATGTTGCACAATGAGTTTTATCGCCTGCCGAAACGCTTCTATGAAACCTACATGCACTCTCCCGACCACTGCCTTGGTGTCTTTACCTCGGGTGGCACAATCGCCAACATCACAGCAATATGGGCGGCCCGCAACACTGCCCTGGGTCCCCAGGCTGCCCCTGACGGCGGCGTTGCCTTCAAGGGCGTCGACAAAGAGGGAATCTACAAAGCCTTGCAGTACTACGGCTACAACGGCGCTGTTATTGTAGGCTCGTGCTTGATGCACTACTCCTTCAAGAAGGCTGCCGATCTCCTTGGTCTTGGCGACGAAGGCCTGCGCCTGATCCCCACTGATACCGACTTCCGCGTCAAGTATGTTTCTGCTGACTTGACTGCGACGGGTTGGTGTGCTCAGCGGCGACTGGGGCAGCGGATGCAGCGACTCTGCTAACCAGTACATTGCCGCATTCATCCCTCTTTCACCGATGTCGCCGCACCAATGTTGTGGATACACAGCACCGACATTCTCAAGGCAGTTGTCGAGGAATGCATCCGATCCAAGGTTCTGATCATCGCGATTGTTGGCATCGCTGGCACGACCGAAACGTAAGTTGCGCCAGCCAAAGTCATCTGCCCCTCCACTTCCCTTGCCAGGATTTTTGCATCCCTTTCGGAGGCTTGGTTGCTCGGCTCTGTTGCTCGCCTTCTATCGCCGCAAGTACATCGAGCGCATATCTGACATGGCGTCCTTTGCAATCCAGCGGCTCGATCGATGATCTCAATACGATTGCTCGAATCTCCTCCAAGCACTCGATTCACTTCCACGTCGACGCTGCCTGGGGCGGGCCCCTCGTATTCTCGCGCGATCATCAGTACAAGCTCAACGGCATCAAGCTGGCCAACACCGTCACAGTCGACGCACACAAGCAGCTCTACAGCCCAATGGGCCTTGGTCTGCTGCTCTTTCGGTCGCCAAGTCATGCGCACAGTATCCGAAAGACTGCCAACTACGTCATCCGCAACGACTCGCCGGATCTCGGCAAATTCACTCTGGAGGGCTCCCGCCCTGCCAACTCGCTCCATCTGCATGCGTCGCTGCACCTGCTGGGCCGCAACGGCCTCGAGAGTCTGACGACCCGCAGCGTCGTGCTTGTTCGCCAGCTCTACGGCCGGCTGCAGACCCACCCCGCACGCTGCTTCCAGGCGCTGCACGAGCCCATGACCAACATCCTGCTCTACCGATACATTCCGCGCGAGCTGCGCGACAAGATCTCGGCGATAGAAGCCTACCGGGACTCATTCCTTCCTTTGTCGGAGACGGCCGCAAGCCTCGAAAAGGTGACGCTCTCGCGGCGCGAGCAAGATGCCATATCCGAGATCACCAAGAAGATCCAGACCCGCCAGTCGCACTGTGGCAAGGCCGGCTTTGTGAGCCGCACCAGGGTCTCGATCGACCACGACGGCGTCAACGTCATGGTGGATGCCTTCCGGGTCGTGATCGCCAACCCGCTGACCAAGTGGGAAGATGTGGACGAGATTGTCTGCGAACAAGTCAAACTGGGTCTGGAGCTGGAAGAGGAGATGAGGAAGGAGAATGCTCTGCTCGAGGCAAAGAACAACCCGCGAGACTGGCCGGGATGGCCATTCGAGTTTTGAGCATGATGCACCAGATGATATCCATGCTGCCGGCGACCAATACAGCACAGCGTACCCCAGAGCGATTGCATCATGTCAGCCTCTTGGACACACTGTTTGGGCGTGGCGGAATGTGTATTCGGAGATCCAGAACAGTGACATGCGGGACTCGAGGAAAGGGTGTCCCGTTTCGCTTTGAGACACCGTATGCTTTGTGGAGTGGTGACGCTTGGCGAACACTCACAAAATCGTACACAGCCGAGCCCTGCTGTCGTCCGTGGCCACCCGGCCCACCAGCCAGTCAAGAACTTGGTCAACCCCTTCGCCGGTCTTGGCCGACACCTGCCGAAAGCCGCATCCGAGCTGGTTCGCGAGCTCGCGGCCCTCGGCTTCTGAAACGGTCCACTGCGCCGGCTCTAGATCGCACTTTGATGCCACAAGGATAATCGGGATCGGGCATGCCAGAGGGCCGCCAAGCGGATGCCGAAAGGCAGATTTGAGGGCCGTCAGGCGCCTCTGCCAGCGGCTGATGGACTGCACTGGCTCTCCGGCCTGCTGCTGGTGAGCATTCTTCGGGCGGACTCGGTCATAAACCCAGTTGGGAACCGATTTGGTGGGAGCCGCCAGACGCAGCCACAGAATCCATATCAGATGGTCCTTGGCTCTCTCAAACGAATCGCGCGAGTCGACGGCGTAGGTGCAGATGAAGCCCTCGAAGGTGCGGAGCTGCTGGATGAGGGTCCATGGCAGAACGTCCCGGTGGTAGTCCAAGAGGCAGACCCGGACGTCTCGGGCGCCGCAAATCCAGCGCTTATGGAACAGCTCGCCGCCGTTGCTGCTGGCAGGCACAGCGCCAGCGGCCAAGGTTCCCGTAGAAGGAGAGTCGCTGTCTGGCTGGTCCGCAGCAGGCTGAGTGTTGCTCGCAGATGCATCTTGTCCCGCTGGGCGAGCTGCTGGCGCTGCGTCTCCGTCTCCAACATACTTTCCTCGTCCGATGCGCACGCTCAATGCTGTCTTGCCGACGCCGCGGGGACCGGTCACCACGAACCGATAGGATGTTGATGGCGGCTGGACGGGGCAGCCCGCAGACGATGGCGGCAGGGCAAACGATGGGCGAGACTTGCCTGATCGGCTCCGGGCTGGATGTGCAGGACTATCCGCTGTCGCAGCGAGCGACGGCAGCAGCTGCCGCTGTCGAGACTTGCGCTGGATCTGCTGCCGGAGCCAGAGATGCGATAGCCCCTGGCACTTACCCATATCGCGAAAGAGCCGACAAGTCCGCGTCAGCGCGCAGGGGTGATCCAGACACAGGAAGATCTGCCGGAGAATGTGATCGGGCAGGCTGAGCAGCGAAATATCGTCCGGAGAGAGCGACGGACGGCGCTGCGGGTGCACCAGTCCATCGATCGAGACCAAGACTGGCGCAATAACGGTCATTCGCGCCAGCGGCCATGGCCCACTCCTCGACAGTGTGCTGATGGGCGACGGAGACGACGACGGGATCGGCCGCGAGTTCTCGAGCCGAGCCATGCCTGAGTATGCGCGCTGCTTCGAGGGCGATTGCGATTGAGATTGAGATTGCGATTGCGATTGCGATCGTGGGTGCGATATTGAGGTGGATGGTGCTCAATGCTCGGATAAGGAAAGCGCTATGGAGCGATTATGCTCGTGGATTCCGGGCAAGGCAGAGACAACGACAGAGCTGGATGGCCAGGCCGATGCGACGGAAGATGCTTTGCGAGCGGAATCTCCTGGGCCGATCGATCTGGAGAAGCGGCTCCGAGCAACAATCACCGCAAGCATATGTCTGGCAGCCGTCATATGACGACCGGGCAGGGACCACCGCCGCAGACTTTTGGCGGCGCCCGCAATCAGCATCTGCCGCGGATCGACGCACACCCGAGACACCCTGGAGGGCCATTCTCTGCGGGTGCTCGATGGCCATTGCCCCGACTGCTGTCTCGGGCATCTGTGGGCGGTGGGAAGGCCAGACCAAGAACCGCGTCCAGAACAAACGAGAGCGCCGATCTTCCTGACCCAGGACCAGATCGTGCCTTTGATCTGCCACGAAAGAGGGCCGCACATCGCAAGAGCCACTTTGCCGCCCCTCGACCCATCTGCAAATGTCGGCCCCGACGGATTTTGATCAGTGGTCACGCGAGGATCTCATCGCCAGGATTCGGCAGTTGGAGCAAATGCAGCCGGGAGCCAGCCCCGTCCAGCCTGCCCAGGCCAAACCAAGCGATCAGCCCAAGCCGACCGCTGCCCCAACCCCAAAGAAGACCCAGCGCCCTTTCGACTTTTCAAAATACTCGGCCAGGCATGTTGCCCTCAAGGTTGCATATCTCGGACACAAGTACTCTGGTCTCCAGGCGGTCCAGGCCGAGGGAGTCGAAACCATCGAGTCGCATCTCTTCCAAGCGCTGGTGACGGCCAAGCTGATTCCGGACCCCAAAGTCTGCAACTGGTCCCGCTGTGGCCGCACAGACAAAGGCGTGAGCTCGTTCGGCCAGGTGTTCGGAGTCTATCTTCGGAGCAACCTGCCAAAGGACTCACCCGAGGCCGTGGAGTGGACCAGTCCCGACAATCGTGCCAACGACAACGACGATGTTGATGACAAGCCTCAGCCCAATGCCGAGCAGCTGAAGCGGCCCTCTGGCCCTGTTCCTGAGGAGCAGCGCATCCGGACCCACCGGGCCGAGTCTGCGTCCTTCTCGGAGCTGCCGTATGTTGCCATCTTGAACCGCCTGCTGCCGCGGGATATTCGTGTGCTGGCTTGGTCGGCCGTCGACAAGCCCTTCAGTGCCCGCTTCAACTGCACAGCCCGCCGATACAAGTACTTCTTCCCGGCCGAGCGGCTCAACGTCGCCAAGATGCGGCAAGCGGCGCGCTACTTCCGGGGTGTCCACGATTTCCGGCACTTTTGCAAGGTCGATCCCACAAAAACGGTCAACTACGAGAGAACGGTCTACTACGCAGACGTCTTTGTGCGCGATACGGAGGACGGGCTGTCGGAGGCCAGCGACGAAGCAAAGCCCGCTATCGGCGGCGAGGCGGGCTTCGACAGCGATCCAACGCAAATGTACGTCTTTGTCGTCAAAGGACAGGCATTCCTCTGGCACCAGGTCCGCTGCATGGTGGCCATCCTGTTCCTGGTCGGCCGCGGTCTCGAGGAGCCCGAGGTCGTTCTGGACCTCCTCGATCTCAGCAGACATCCTCTCGGGAGCGGCAGACCCAACTACGATATCGCCAGCGAGTACCCCTTGGTTTTGGTCGACTGCGAGTATCCAGAGGGCACCTTTGACTGGCAGCTCGAGGCTGGGCCGGTGCCCGAGAAAGACGGGCTCAACGAGTTCCGCTTGATCGACGCCGTGTGGAGCAACTGGAAGCAACGGGAACTGGAGGCAACGCTCTCCAAGAGCCTCATCCACGAACTGGCCCTCGGATTGGGCACCAGCGTCGACAACTTTGCCGACACCCTAGCCAAGGATCCCCGAGGTCCGAAGTACGTCAAGCTGATGCAGCGCTCGCGCGCCGACTCGATCGAGACCAAGATCGAGAAGCAGAAGGCCCGCCAGGCCCAGCGACAGACGGGGGACCAGCCGGAAAAGTCACTGGCATCGCCAGGATCAGCTGCAGGCCAAAGAAAGCACAAGCAGCCCAGTCCAGTGTCGGAGGCAAAGCAGCTGAAAAAGCCCAAGATCACCAGCGAGTGACCGGCCAGAGCAGATGAGGCGGGAGAATTCCGACGGCGCAATAATCTTGCGGTGGCGTGGCATGAGCGACAGAGGTACGAACTGCGGTGTCAGATCACCGTTTGTATCTCAGGGCTGCAGGATGTATCCCCAATGAGAACGGATGGTCCCGCCCGATGGAAGCAGCGCCAATATACTCTTTGTTGTGCCCCACCGCACAATCACTTCGAAGCTGTGCCCGATCCTGCCCGCTGTCGCTCTCGTGAAAGTGCGACTTGGTAAGTGTCTGGTCGGTCCGTGGGCTGCAACGCAGATGCATGAGAGATCCGCCACACTCTTGCTGGCGGGGCGCCGTCCACACTCACAGCACATGTGCCTCGGGGTGTTTCGCTTGGTATTATTTCAGGATCAGATCTAGGCACAACAGCTGGGCGGGATGTGCGTTCACAGGGCGGCGTTCACTACCGATGATGTGTCGAGGTGGGGACCAGCCGCTTCGGAGATGATGCTACACAGTGGTATAGGAACAGATGGGCTGGTCAAACTGGAAAGAACATGGCGAAGGTGGGGGAGAGTTGCCATGAGTACGGGCTTGGGAGCCAGCCTTGAGCCGGCCGGACGGGGGTGGAGTAGTATAGGGGTATATCAGTGACTATACCGTTTTTGAGAGCTGGCGGGGACGACAGAAACGGTATAGCTGGCTAACCTAAAAGGAAGAGGAGGGGGGTAGGGGTAGACGTGGGGTACGCAGGGTGGGGGATGTGGAGGACGGTAGGGTTGGCGGGGTAGGGGGTAGATGGTAGGGTTGGTGTAGTCGGGGTAGTCGGGGTAGTAGGGGTAGACGTGGGGAGGGGGCGCAGAGGACGGTAGGGTTGGCGGGGTAGGGGTAGTCGGAGGGTATGGCGTAACCTAAGGGAAGACGGGGTAGTCGGGGTAGTCGTATGGGTTGGGGGTAGTCGTAGGGAATGGGGTAGTCGTAAGCTATGGGGTGGTTGTAGGATATGGTGTATCTGTTATAGTAGTTATATTTGGTGAATTCGTTGTAGTTGGGGTAGTTGGGCTTTATTGGTGTCATTGTAATAGTTGGGGTAGTCGGGGTATTGGGGGCGGGTTTAGGTTAACTTAGGTTAGGTTAGGTTAGGGTTGTGAGGGGTGGGGTGGGCGTGGGAGTTGGGCTTGGTGGGGTACTTGGGAGTAGTCGGGGTAGTCGTGGGAATTGGAGTACTTGGGGTACTTGGGGTACTTGGGGTACTTGGGTGTCGTCGGGGTAGGCGTTGTTCTTCGGGTGAGAGTGGATTTGCTGATGGAGGCGGGGATGCTGCTGCTTTTATGTTGCTGGGTGTGATAAGTGTGGCTTGGGTTTTCGGGTGCGCAGTGTGGCGGATTACATATCTGGGGTATTTTGGGTATTTTGGGTATCTGGGCTATCTGGGTGTTCGTTGGGGTTCGGTGTTGTTCGTTGGGTCGGGTGGTTTGGGCCCGCCCGGCTTGACCGGGATGGATCTCGTGTATATTGGGTGGTTGATGATATCGCCGGGTCGCAATGCGCGGGTGGCGAGACTCGCATTTTTGGGTGGTTCGATGCAGGGGGTTGTGATGATCATGCACGTTGGGAACACGTGTGGACTGCTGCGCGTGATGCACCGTGAGTCATGTTTGTTTGTCTTGGCGTGTATTCCCTGATTGGCTGGCGCCGATGACTCTTACTTCGCCTCCGACTGCGCTGTGCTTCGCCCCTCTCTCTAGCAGCTCCGCCTCCCTCGCACCCCCATCTCGTCCCTCGTTTGTCGCTCCACCCCTCTCGCCCACTTTCGCCCTTCGGTTTCCCTCTTGGCTATAAAGCCCCTCCTTTCTTGCACCCATTTTGTATCTGCAGTTCGAACAACACTTGTTGTTATCTGATAAGTCGTAATATAGCTTATCGTTGTTCGCCAAGCACCTGGTCGTCCAGTGTCGTTGCTTGTCGTGGTCCTCACATATTGTTCGAACTCCCTCTCTCTGTCTGACCACCTGCTTGGCTGAGGCTTCGTTGCTGCCCTCATCCTTCTATTCTCTGTTGTCTTCCCTGCATCCTCGCTCCCCACTTTCAAAGCCCACATGGACCAACTCCAGGCCCAAATCGTTGCCCTCCAGGAGGAACTGGTTCTCCTCCGGACCACACATTCTTCCGCCGCCCCACAGCTCCCGCACATGCCGACCCCGGACAAGTTCGACGGCACCAGGTCAAAGTTCCGCCCCTTCGTCAACCAGTGCCGCCTGCTCATGATGCTCCAGGCATCCAGGTTCCCGTCCGAGCAAGTCAAGGTGGGTTACGTCTTGAGTTTGCTCACTGGTCCGGCCCTCCAGTGGGCGACTCCCTTGATCGAGTCGAACGATCAAATCCTGCACTCGTTCGACTCGTTCATGGAACGCTTTCGCCAAGCGTTTGACGATCCCGACCGCACCCACACTGCCGAGCTGCTCCTTTCCTCCATGGCACAGGGCAACCGCTCGTGCATGGATTATGCCTCAGAGTTCCTCCGCGTTGCCGCCGACCTTCCCTGGAACGACGAAGCCAAGATCTCCGCCTTCCGCCGTGGCCTGTCGAGGGAGATCAAGCAGCGCCTCTCCTTCATCGACCCTCTCCCTCTCCGCTTGGTCCCGTTCGTCGAGCGTTGCCTCAAGATCGATGCACGCATCATCGAGCTCAACAACGAGCTCCGAAACACTGGCCCTGTTTCCTTCGGCACCCAGGCCTTCAACTCCCGCACCCCGTCCTTCCAGCCGCCCGCCCAGGAGCCTCCGGTTCTCTACTCCGAGCCGATGCAGATCGACGCCGCCGTCGTCAGCCGCCTGACCCCCGAGGAGAAGAACCGCCGCTTCCAGGAGCGCCTCTGCTTCCGCTGTGGCAAGCCCGGCCACGTCGCCAAGTCCTGCCCCCTCAAGTCCGGCTCCCGTGCTCCCGCCTCTGGTTCCCGCTTCCCCGGCTCCCGTCCTCAGGCTCCCGGCTCCCGTCCCCGTTCGAAGGTTGTCCGAACCATCGTCTACGATGATGGTGAGGAGGAACACTTCGAGTCGGGAAACGACCAGGCCCAGATCTAAGTGGAGGCTTAGATCTGGAGCCGTCTCCCCTTCCTCCAGAAGCAAGCGTCGATGGTAAGGAGCATGAGGTAAGTGTCGAACGCATGGCTATGTGTGGAATGATCAATGTAGTCGGTGGTGGATCGCACTCTGTCAAACCCGCCTCTTCTAAGGGCACATCTGGCTCCCAGATGTCTTTGACAGAGCTCCCGATCTCCACACCACCTGCGAACTTGGTCATCTGCTCGAACCATGCTGCCGACACTGATCTCTGCTCCGAGCCTTCTTCGTGCGTCTCGTCGATTTCTTCGTCTTCTCCCGTTTTCTCCGCTTCTCTTGTTCTCCCTTCTGGTCGCTCCCTCTCTTGCCAACTTCTCGTCGATTCTGGTGCCTCCGGCAACTTCATCGACGAGAGCTTTGTTGACCGCTTCTCGGTCCCCCTCGTTTCCAAATCCACTCCCCTCCCTGTCCAAGGTGTCGATGGCCAGCCACTTTCTTCCGGCCCCATCACTTTTGAGACGGAACCCCTCAAGATTGTTCTTGGGGACTACACTCAACACCTTTCCTTTGATGTCATTAAGTCTCCCCACCAACCTGTTATCCTTGGCTATCCCTGGCTGCAGTCCATCGAACCCAGGTTCCACTGGGCTCGTGGACTCCTTTGCCTTCCCCGTCCTGCAAACCACATCCTCAAGGTTGTGGATGCCTCTTCCCTCCCTTCCGTTTCTTCCGTTTCTCCTTCTCCCCTTCCTCTTGTTGGCGACACACCCAATGTTTTCCCTCGTGCCTCTACCGACACCACTGTGGTGCTCGCTTCTTCGCCTCGCACCGTTTGTACTCGCGAAGATGATCAGAATAAAGTGATCGCTCAACGTTATTCTGATTGTGTTCCGAGTGAGGTGCCCTGTTCCTGTGCTGCTCGTCCTGGTCCCTCCGGTCTCGTCTCCGTCCGTCCTGGTCTCCCCGGTCCCGTTGCTCCCAGCCCCGCTCCTGTCCGTGTCCAAGCGATCAGGTACAAGTCGTTGGAGCAGTCCGTCCTCGACACACAGTCTAGCCCCGACCCCCTGACTGTGTTCCAAGTCCTCGTCCTTCCTGCCACCGATCCGGATCCGACGCCCCTCTCGACGTCGATCCCCGAGGAGTACAAGTCGTTTGGCTCAGTCTTCTCGAAGCAGGAAGCCGATTCGTTGCCCCCGCACCGGACGTACGACTGCCCGATCGACCTGGAGCCCGGCAAGACCCCCAAGTTCGGACCGCTCTACTCCCTGTCAGAGCCCGAACTCAAGGCCCTTCGTGAATACCTCGACGACAACCTCGTCAAAGGGTTCATCCGTCCTTCGTCCTCTCCCGCCGGTTCTCCGATCCTTTTCGTCAAGAAGAAGGACGGCTCTCTGCGTCTCTGCGTGGACTATCGCGCATTGAACACGATCACGGTCAAGAATCGTTACCCCTTACCGTTGATCAATGAGATGCTGGACCGAGTCCGGGACGCGAAGGTGTTCACGAAGCTGGACCTCCGCGGGGCCTACAACCTGCTGCGTATCCGCGCAGGCGACGAGTGGAAGACGGCCTTTCGCACTCGTTACGGCCAGTTCGAGTACTTGGTGATGCCCTTTGGACTCACCAATGCTCCGGCCACCTTCCAGCACTTCATCAACGATGTCCTTCGTGATGAACTGGACAACTTTGCGATTGCCTACCTTGACGACATTTTGATTTACAGCGCTGACCCCACTCAGCATGCAAATCACGTCAAGCAGGTCCTGGCCAAGCTCCAGGCTGCAAAGTTGTACTGCAAGCTGGAGAAGTGCGAGTTCTCCAAGGACAAGGTCTCATTCCTCGGCTACGTCATCTCGCCCAAGGGTATCGAGATGGAACGAGCAAAGCTCTCCGCCATTGTCGACTGGCCCGTCCCCCGCAATGTCTCCGACCTTCGCTCCTTCATTGGGTTCTCGAACTTTTACCGTCGCTTCATTGACGGATATGCCAAGATCGCCGGTCCGCTCACGCTCCTGTTCAAGAAGTCCCAGGTCTTCCGCTGGTCCCCCGACGCCCACAAGGCTTTCCAGTCCCTCAAGGAAGCCTTCGTCTCCGAGCCCGTCCTTGCGCACCCCGACCCATCCAAGCCCTTTGTCGTGGAGTCTGATGCCTCAGACTTTGCGATCGGATGC